ACAGCATGTGGTAATGGCATTGGTGGGATAAAGCTTCTCAATCACTAGTTTCATAATTTTTCACCCACTCACTAGTTTCATAATTTTCCGGCAGGCGGTGGCGGTCGCCATCGCGACAGAGGGTGTTTAGCACCCGAGACCATATGGGCTCTGTTGTGTAGAATTTGTAAGGGTAGTCTTTTTTGTAGAAGCTATAGTTTGCCCATATGTGTCCTGTCAAGGACAATTTTCGACTTGGGTATTTCGATATAAATGAGGCCGCTTTTGAAGTTCGCTGACGGATTGATTTTGGATTGGAAGTTTTTAAATGCAAGGGTTTGGCATTTCTCTGGGATTGGTAGTTTTTTTAGCATAGTGTGGTTTGTGTATAAAAAAGGGAGTCGGAGTGCGGTGAGAAGTTAGTTGGTGAGGTGGTTGCTGGAAGTTTGTTGGTTAAAATTGTTCTGTTGTTAAGTACTCGTGAGCAATGGTTGTAATGGTTGATACAATTGTGAGTCGTGTATGTTTCTGAGTTGAAGCGTTGTGGTTTGAAACTGGAATCCAGTTACGCTGAAATTTTTCATTTTATTGCTGGTGATTCAGTTAACGGTATGTTTATTATAATAATGTCGTATCATAATGACGTATAAAAATGATAATAATATAATAATGACGTATAATATGATTTTATTATTGGTAAGAGGAAAAGCGGAATGAATAACACGAAAATAGTGGGCTTGGAAGATGAGTAGTGTCTTGATCACTGTAGTGTGGTTGGAAAGGTATGAAAAAGAAAGTCCATAAAATAAACAATTTGTTCTAGAAAATCTTGTTATTTTATTACTTGTATTAATATTCGTTTAAAGTAAGTAATCGAATGTTTCAATATTGATTAAGTTTTTATTGTAAAGTATGGTTTACTGGTGTAGTTATGAAGAAATATTTATTTTTATAGGTAACATTTTTAAAAGAGTGTGTGATGACATTAACTGTTGGGTTAGTTGTTATAGTTAATAGCAAATAGTGCTTTATTTTTACAAGATTATTAAATTTGCAGTTAACCTGTTAATAAGTTTATGTAACAGATAACAGAAAGGATGGTTAGGCTCTGAGTTTTCTGACAGCATGCAACAATAGTTTTTATGATTAAGCGAATTCCATTTTGATGTTCGATAAAGGGTGAAAAAATTTTAAAGTCATGCATTGCAGTATGATAGTATCTTTTAATTAAAATTCATATGATAATATCACACATCAAATTGGTAGGTGAAAAAACACAGACAAATGCAGTTGCAAAATTTAGTTCAAATAGGTACTAAATTAAAATTAAATTAATCACTACTTATGTCTGTACAGTATTATTTACTTAAAGTATGTTTAAATTTGAGGTATTTGTCGAAATTCAGAATAAATGCATCGTAATTGATTACGATGAGGTTTTAACATGGAGTTTTGGCAGAAGTAAACTAAACATGAAAACAGGTGGATCCAGTCATCCGATTTCTTTAATGATCATATATTCAATGAGCCGTTTCAATATCTCTACTGATTTGTTGGATATTTATTTCCAGAGCATAAATTAGGAGATTTGGAGCATGAAAAAGTATGCCGTGATAAAATCAAGCATTAATATCAGTTAGATACAGCCATCCGAAAAAATTTTATGGCTGTGCTTGGCAAAGACTTCTGGCGCATTTTATCAGATTTGTCTGTATGTAGTAGAAAAGTGCAGAAAATGAATTTAGGCATAGTAAATGGTAATTCGCCAAAACAGTTTGGCTAAACTGTATTGTGTAACGACTTATTATACGAGGACGCACGCAGTCAAACCGACAGTACAGTAAAACCGACAAACAGACAGTACAGTCAAACCGACAGGACAATTCCTCCGACAGCCACTTTCTCTGGAGATACAACGGGGCAATGCGGCGTCAGTCATGGGTACAATGGGGGAAGCGGAAAAGTTAAGTGAACTCTGGATGTTATAAAGTGTAGCTTTTTCGCTTGCTCTCAATGTTTTTTTTACTGGCTCTTCTGTGTTCGGTTTTCATCAATAAAGAATCTTCCCGTACAGTAAATTTTTTCAGCGAGACCAACCGACAACCATGCACACAAGCAGATTATTTTTTCGCATAAAAACCACCCGTGGAAGGGAGGTATCGTTTACACTGTATGCGTAGTACAGGTGACAGCCATCCGTGGATGGTTGGCAGTCGCTTGCACAAAGCGCGCGGTTGTCGGTTGGTCTCGCTGAAAAAATTTACTGTCGGTTTGACTGCGTGCATCCTCGTACTGGAAAACTAAAAGCTTTCTTTTGGCATGAAAACATTTTACATGTACACAAGTGTGTGCAGTCATCCGATGTGTTTCCTATTAACTGAAAAAAACATTTAAAACGCACAACCCACCGCGTTTGAAAGACGTTCGCCATATTGCATAACACGCAGTTTACGCTAATTGAGAAAAATGAGTACATGACCGCTGTTACCGATTCGCGGACAGTAATAAAACTTAAGGCTTTAACGCAATACTGTGTTATGCAGTATAAAAATCAGTACAGTACTATTAGCATTAGGTGCCGTACTATATTATAAGTATGCGCCCAACCGCGCCCAACCACAGATTTACTGCCACCCGTAAGCGGTTGTGGGCGTGCGTGTTACTTGCTGCGTTTGAGATACCGATTAACAATATACAGATATACAAAGTACAAACTATCTTATAATAATATTAGTATATCAGCAAATTGTAACAATTTGCCGATATATGCTCTGTAAACTTCGAATAATTCTAACCGAATGGAAAAACCAGAACCCAAAAACATTCCGAAGACACCCTGTTAACATAAAAATACTTCACATCAACAAGCAGCACTAACCAACAGTTAATCTTGTATGCTTCAAATGCTCAAACGCCGCACATGTGCTGTATATACAGGACCACAGGTGACGATCCTAGCTCCTTAACCCGCCTGCACCTGGCTCTCTTCCAGAGAGAGAGAGAGAGAGAGCCGCCCGTGAGGCTTTTGTTTAATTCTTCTCGATTATTAACAGCAGTAATTTTTAGAAGAATTGCAAAGGATCTGACTATTGGTCGAAAACCTCTGATACTGCCCGGTACACTATTACGGTATTCCCAGTACATAGTGCTGTATGTATTAAAGCACTTGAATTAAGTTTAGCCACGCCCACTTAACCATGGCCGATGAAAATATTTTTTAAGTATACCCAAGGGTTACTCTGTCTTCCTGCAAAAAAACGAAATTTTTCGGAGCCGGGAGCCGGTGACCGGGCCCTGGTTAGTACCATGTATTGCACTTGTACAATACTCTAACAATGTGTTGCCATGTGGCATGTACAAGTACCATGTATAGATATTGCTTGCTTACTGTGCAATCCTATCAACGCAGTGAATGGCGTGCATACTTGAGTTACATGCAAACTTTAAAGTGTTCTTAAGATTTCACTTCGAGTTCGTTCGTGTTGATTTCAAGCCTTCTAGCTTTGCGTTTTCTCGGAGCTCATCAAATACCGACGCGATCAACAAGGTTTTGTCGCCTAAGTAGCGGATTACCGCCATGATATAATACACCGTTAGAGACTTCATAAATGCATTTGTATTGCAAACCTGAATTTTTCCGGAAGTCCGCCGGCTTTTTAGTTACAAAAATCCGGCCGGGATTTGTAAAAAATATTACATGACGAGACAACAATATAAAAGGTATTATCATTACAACGGTACTTATGCAAACAGCTGCTGCTGATTGAATGCTGTTATTTACAACAGTGCCCAGTGCCCACCGATCTATGAATGCCGTCAGGATGTTTGCATTTATCCAGTTTGCATTTATCCAGTCTAAAGTATAATCAAAGTAAAACTGATTAAAAAGGGTCCGCGAGAGCACTCGATCCGCGTGCGGAAACACCGGCCAATTTGTCCCTGGAGGTGGACACAATTTATCCGGACGCCAACGAGTGTTTCTTTCTGGACGCGGGCAAGACGCCGCGCAAGCGGAAACGCGCCTCACCCGATTTGCGCTCGCACGCCCGCGCAGGATACCAGCGCGATGGCGCGCATAAAAATGACCGCCAGCTCCGCAATGTCTTTTCGGCAGTTTGAATGAGCGGCTAATAGAAGGGTAATGGTGGTTAATGCCTCGGTGGCAGACAAGCCGGGGAATTTGTTTTGTTTGTGTTAATAATATTTGATGTTTCGCTAATATTGTGGTGTTCATCTTTTTCAAGGTTTGACGTTTTTACGGGGTCATGTGAATATTTCCTTGTGTTGTGAAACGACAGAGAAGTGTCTGTCGTCTGGGGCTATCGCAGAAACTGAAAATATTTGTCACTGGAAAAATAAAAAAATTGATGGAAAAATGCATTTCTTTCCGTGTTTGAGATGCGAAATTAAATTTCATAAAGTAACGAATAACTGGTTTCTGTTCTGACCATGAATTAAACGGCACACAGCTGTCAGCCGGACTACAGCGTACCGCCAGGAAAACTTAAGTTATTTTACCTATTTAGTTTTAACAAATAATGACTATTTGTAAAAACTGAATAGATAAAATAACTTAAGTTTTCCTGGCGGTACGCTTATTTTTTTGGTAATTCAAAACAGTTATATTTTAGCTGCTTTATTAAATTTACTTTCCCATCTCAAACGCTGAAAGATATTGAGTTTTCAACCAATTTCCCGATTTTTCCAGTGCCTACTAGGGTAGTTTTCTTTCAGCGTTTGAGATGGGAAAGTAAATTTAATAAAGTAGCTGATATAACTGTTTCTGTTTGAATTACCAAAAAAAATCGGCGTACCGGCAGGAAACCTTTAGTTATTTTGTCTACCTAAGTTCGTATTTTTCGATACATACGCATTACATTAACATGACTGCATGATTACATTTTGCTGTTTGCTCTGCATTTAGTTACTATGTAGTACAGAACGTTTTTTACCGACACGTCATTTTTACGACAATCGATCGCAGAATTAATATTTCAGCGAGACGCCCTTTCCGACAGTTTAATTGATTTCAGTCTATTGCTTCCACAAAGTTCCACAAGAGCAGTTAAATGGAAGTTTCATAAAAATTCCCGTGATGCCACCAAAACAAAAACAGCGGATACCCGTTATGCATTACGATGCCGTCATAAAAAGTTAACAAACATTTCCGATGAGACCTGATTACAGCAGGAAAAAGAAACATGGCAACCGTTAAATAAAGCGAATAACAGCCACAATTATGCCTTAACAATACGCATTCGTCAGCGCAACAATATTCCCCGACAACCAACACTTTCCTGACAGTAAAACGGTGTATCCAGTAGAGGTGAATGTATGTGATGGCCCGGAAGTGGAAGCTGTTGGTGATCCACCCATTAAGCCGGGCTCTTGCTGCGGGACGCCGGTGTCTTGCTGCGCGAGTGCGAATGCGCCGAGCGACTGCGCGAACGCGACGCCTCCTTCTTGCGCTTACTGTCGTGGTCGCTGACGGCGCCATCATCCCCGCGCGCTAGCGAGTCGTTGCGTTTGGAGCGCACAGGGGTCCGGCTGCGACTGCGTGGGGAGCGGGAGCGCGAACGGGAATGACTGCCGCCTTCCGCCGGCTTCAAGCGGATGTACGATGTTTCTCCCTGTAAAACGCCGAATTAATTCTATCTATCACAGAACCGAAATACTGTACCACTCGGGAAGCTGTGACTGATCACAAATGCGTACAAGCAGACGCACCTCGTGAGATCGGAACTTGGTGTCGTCCAGTTTCTTGATGGCGTGGTCCATGTCGTCACGACGGACAAACTCCACACTGCCGGTGCCGTCCTTATTGTCGTCCGCATGACGGAGAGACGAGTACGATAGGGATAATACCGTAATATCAATCCTACCGACCTGACTCAACGACAGAGAATGAGCTGATAATTTCAATGTGGCATAACTAAGCAATATGCATAAGCTACGAACTACGCGAAGCAAGAATACGACACTGCATTCCGACGATATATTTTAACGAAATGGCTACGCGCGAGAGCCTCCCGCGCTATGAGTTTTGGCTACGCGCGAGAGTATCTCGCGCTATGAGTATTGACTACGCGCGAGAGTTTTTCCCCGCACAAAAAAAACCACCAACAAACAGTTTAAATCAGTGCGTTTATCACCACATGGCAACCAAAAATTACGGGAAGTTCACCTTTTAGTGCAAGTAATAAAACATCTGACCGTACCGGCATTTTACATTTTCTAATAATTCAAGTATTCACAACCATCAGCCGATATGGCCTCAGAACTTAAAGTGGGAAATAGATACGAATCCTACGCGGAAGTTTTGAGAGCAATGGAGCCAGCGAACACATCAAAAGTCTATAAATCCCGGCGGCAAAGCACTTTTTGAGCGGCGATTTCACACAAATTGCGGTGCTGAAGAGCGTTTCCTCGACATGCCCCTACTTATTTGTGCATTCCACGCAATAAAGACATGGAAGTTACAGATCGCAAAAGAACAGTTGAATGTCACGGAGAAGCAAGGTCTGCTGACGGCTTTCCGTGGTTTACTTGTACGCGCCACAAGAAGGCATGTTCCAAGAACGGGAAGCCATATTTCTGCAGAGTTGCACCGACAGGCTGCGAATTTACTACGAAAAGAATTGGGCGTAGGATTCTGCGATGTGGTGCATGGCAAAGCGGCGTGAACTGAGAACGTTTGGCAACAACACCACAAATCAAATAGAAAGGTTTTTCCTTACTGTGAAAACAGCGCTGCGCGGATCGGGACGATCGATTGCCAAACGTTTCCATCTAACAGAGTGCATCGAGATTGTCATGTCCGTCATTGACCATAAAGCCAACCTTGCAGAATATCAGGATTACATCAACATGGCAAAGACGATGATACTACACAAATATCCAATTCCAGAAATCGGATCGGCGATCGAGGCAAAGGTCACTGACCTTGCCGCTCGAGTCATCAGAGGACAGTGCGTCTTGTACTTGAAGGAAACATACGAAGTAAGCTCTGGAGCGGAACGAGGAAGCTGGGTACTCGCTAATACCAAAGGCGGAAGAACTTACGAGGTAAATGCGTCTGCATCTTTGACCGGTGCTCAGTACGTTACTTGTGAAAATTTTCGATGTAACGTACTGACCGGTGCTCAGTACGTTGCATCGAAACCGGCACGTTGGCGCCTCCTCCCAGATCGCAGGGATGTAATCCTCGAACGAAAACCACGGTGCAAGATCATAACTTCACAGTAACAGCAACAGATACGGTTGAAATACGCCGGCGGTTGCATCTGCCCAGCGGATACAGAACAGTTTCGCTTCGAAAATTGCTCACATACTGAATGATACAATAACTGTTCTGTTTCTTAACCTGACCACCTCAAGAAAAAATAAATTTGACGTACGTGGACGTGTGTTCAAAAATAATTGAAAGAACCGTACAATTTCCAGTTTATGCCGTAACTGGCGGTCTAAAATATTCCGTGAGATATTCTCGCGCGGTTTTTTCTTCTCTTAAACGTTTTGTTCGTAGTTTTATTGGGCGGGGAAAAACTCTCGCGCGTAGTCAATACTCATAGCGCGAGATACTCTCGCGCGTAGCCAAAACTCATAGCGCGAGAGTATTCTCGCGCGTAGACATGACCATATTTTAATACCAAACTCCGACACTGCCAAACTCAGAATGCGAACCAACTGATGCCAAAATACTGCAACTCTCGGACTTATATAGGCGCGAAGCGCCTCCGTGTAGAAACAACCAAAAGTAGATCCGAACACAAAAGAGAAACTGCGAGAAAGTACAAAAATATAGCCGTAAAGTACGAGTACATATATCTAGAAGTACGTACATCACTGCTACTGTACACCATATTCCGTCACGCACAGCAGACATCGCTCGCTTCCCGCATATGATCCTTCAGATCCTGCCAACTGCCGGATTTGGGCAGACCTGTGCCACCAAGACAAAGTTGTTGCTGAACAAACTGGCGACCATTAACAGCAAACAAACCTCAACAACAGTCAACCAATTCCATTCAACACTTCCGTCTTACCGAATTACTTATGGTAAATACGAGTATATAACAATCATTGGTTGGCGGCATTAAACAACCTGCTCAAACTACCCGTTTACGATAAGATCATCATGAGTGCTTAGAATTGTGTGTAACGCGCCCTTCATCATATCTTCGCGAATTCCGCGGGGTTCCTGAGAGTAACCTCCGTCAAAGACTCAAGAGCCCCATCCGCGCATTAATCCCACTGATAAATTTTCATAAAACCAAGCTTCACCGTCAAACAAAACCACATTCAACCAGAATTTTAATAAACATTTATTAACAAGCAGCAACAAAAAGCAAAAGACGATATAAGCCTATAAGAAAATTAAGAGTCTAACGTGTGTGCATACCGAACAAGAATACAGCAATTTGCAATATCGTCTTAGTCCTTCCACGCTATCATGCCACAATTGCCAAAATTCACGGTATCTGATTCAGTGATTCTGCAGTTCTATCGATAGCGACAATTAATGTGACATGGCCGCATGAAAAACAAGCAATGAAAGCTATCCAATGATGGTACAGTCACTACAGTGCATGATTACCCAGTAAGTCCTCGCACAGTATTCCAGTGGCCGTCAAAAAAGAGGCTAATTGCCCATCGTTCTTCTTCGTACGGAAGGAATCGGAGTGTGCTGCCCTGCGGGTCCACGTTAAACATCTGTAGTTCAGCCGGCAGATGCTGTAGACCCGGAACACCCAGGATTTCGACGCTGGTTGGCCGCTGTTGCAGAATAAGATTTTGCACAGGAAGCAGGTGCAGCGCAGGTGGCCCTGTGCAGTTATAAGCAAGAATTAATCTAAACATGAATGCAGATTGAAGCACGATTAAAAATGAACAAGAGAGCATTTACGTACTCATTGTGATAATCATATTAAGGCGCTCAAGCGCCTGATTGGCGTTATTCATATTGTCCAATGTCCATATTTCTGAATGAATGACAGAGCAAATTATCTCAGCTGGGCTGGCGCCTATGGCGTACCAAACGGGCCAGAGTTTATCCAGACAAATGCTAATGACAAATGCTTTTTCAACATTAAACAAATGCTACTGACAAATGCTTTTCACTACCAGACAAATGCTTTCAGAAAAAAACTTTAACAGACAAATGCTACTGACAAACGTTTTTTTCGCTATCAAACAAATGCTTTTAGAAAACACTTTAACAGACAAATGCTACTGACGAATGTTTTTTTACTATCAAACAAATGCTACTGACAAATGCTTTACACTACCACCGCAAATCTGATTGCGGACTTCGAAACTTTTTCACATTTAAAAATTCCAATTCCACTCTTCCAGTTACAGGGAATTTATTGGAGATCACTGTAGTTTGGTGGGATTGGTCTGAAACCATTTGTTTGATAGTTGTACGGTTGTACGTAGCGTGGGCCCCCGAATACCTTTTCGATTTTCGCCTTTCACCGTCCCCCGTGGTCCGACGTGGGAAAACACTTTGCAGTTTATTTCCTGCACAATAATTTTGCTATGTTTGAAAAGATGTACGCATTATTGTAAACATATTATTGAATCCCGGAAGTTATTATTCTTATAAATTCCAGCAATAAATTCTTCTGAAATTCAGAAATTACTCCAAATTGTATGCCCAGAAATTCACTGCGCGACAACGTAATTGGTATTTTGTCCGACTGTTTAAAGCAGTATCATGTTTCGGACATTTACGAAAATTATACTTTAGAAATATCTTGACGAATGTAAGTGAATGTACAGTACAGCACTATTTTGAAAACAAGCAACTGTGGTGAAAGCAAATGCAAATGTCGAGCGAAGGAAATTTTGACTTGAACCGTTGGGCCAGGCATTAAACGGAATGAACGGAGGGAAAAGTAGTACGAGTACCGAAAGTTTCAAAGTTTTTTTTGTGTACAGAAATACGAGTACGATTGAAAGGCAATGAAAAGTTCAAAAGTGGTGAACTGAGTCGTCCAATTAATAAGTTATTCTCAAATCTTCTAAACGGTGCCACCGCGAAAGTGGTTTTTGGTTGTTCCACTGACTGGTCATTAACACTGACTGCTGATAAGTACGTATTTATTACGATCGTAGTGTTATTAACGAAAATTAATAAGTATTGTACGCAGTACGAGTAGATCTCCATTATTGAATGTTCGTGCAGTTTTCAGCCACTGATTTACTTCGCGCAATTTGCGCGGGGTCCACTAGTTCTTTTATATAGATAGATAGATATTATGGGAAATAAAACCGTAGCCATCACTGGAAAAAGTCCTGCTACACAAAAAAGAAGCACCAACTACACAAAAACAACAAACCATGAACAAGAAAATTTCCAGTGCATTGCATTCCCTCATTCTTTCCCTTCGATCACAAATTAGGAGCACTTTTACCACTAACAAAACGTAGTAACTAGTAACGTAACACCAGTAACTAGTAACGTAACACCACTAGTAACAGAATCTATTCTGTTTGAACCAGTTTCGTTATATCCGATGATTAACTGATGAAAACTGGTTCTGATTACAACTTCGATCGTAATCCCGGCATCTAGAGGCTCCAACAACAACCGAAATCCAAAGAGATCTCCGAAAATTTCCCACGCAATATTCGAAAATTTCCCACACTGCGTAGTATTCGCATTTTTTCACCGTGCTGACTGGGGCAAAGAATCTGCATAACGGAGAATCATGTCATTTTCAGTCAGTTAAATAGCATACAGTTACAACTAAGATTATAGTACAGTTATAAAATATATACCACCACTAAACAATTGGCCAACTAACGAAATGGTAAACCTGTTTTTACTTAATGGGAATACATTTCAAAGTTGCAAGAATCACCTTGCAACCAGCGGACTAGTGATTGTGACAGAGTTAGTGATTTACCAGCTTGCTGAAATCGAGCTGCTGTGTTTCTTCAAAACTGCTAAGAAAATATGGCTGTAAGCCTATAAAGTACTGAGAAATGTGGCCATCAGGCCATTTATATAACCATGTGTCAGCGGTAATTTCATTATGTTCGTACACGAGCTCACTCCATAGTTATCAAAGTTCTACTTTTGCCAAACTGAAGCTGAAAAACACAAGCTTTCAGATTACTAGCCTGGTACATCAAAACAAAAATCTCACTGTCAGAGGACAGCTATCAAATGACCCAAACATCGGTTTACAGTAGAAGCTCAACAAACTGCAACCCACATAAGAAACTGGAACACCGAAAAGCGGTCAGCAGATCCTCACTCCGAGCCGCTATCATTCAAACTCAGCTTTGATCTTTTCGGCTCATCGTCGCTTTCATTGCCTCCTTTGTCCATGTCCATCCCAAAATTTGCATGTTCCGTTTCTTCATCCGAAGACGCCAGTGCCCGAACTTTCTTCGGGGAGCTCTTCTCTTGCGCCTTCTCGGTTTCTTCTTCATCACTATCCATAACCCGCGCTTTTTTCTTTACCGTCTCCTTTTCCTCGTCCGAAGAAGCCAGTGCGTCTCGTCCGCTCGGCAAATTATTCCCTTCATCATCGGACGATGCAACAGTATCTTTCTTACTCTTACCACCCCCGTCGTCTTCGCCTTCTGAAGATGAGCTAGTATCCGTGTCACTGACGGTCTCTTTTGTGAGATAACGTTTTCCTTTTGGCCCAGCATATGGATCATAATCCTTGCCTTTTTCTTCATCAGAATCCGACCCAATTTCTCCTTCCCGTTGGTCTTCACGCTTTTTCCGACCAGCGAGTCTCTTCTTTCGGCCTTCGGAATCATGTTTCGATCGCTTTCGACTCGGCTCACCTAAAGTATTTAAAGGGTTAATATCAATAACGATTTACGAGTATACGAAGAAAAACACGGCATGCCATGTCAAAAAAACACGGTCAGGTTCCGTATACTGCCAGTCGTGAAAAATTAAAAACACTGTCGACATATAAAATATTATTACAGAAAAATATTTCTATTAAATTATTTCTTTGAATAAGCAACCCACCAGGACGGTCTTCGTAAACATCACCGTCGTTAACGAATCCATCGTCCGCGTCATGTTTCTTCGTCCGCTTACGTGGTCTGACAACAGCGTCTTCCGTTGCTGACCGCAACAGCTTCTCCTTGACTTCCAGAGCCCTGTTAAGCACTTCTTGGCGTTTCTTCATCAAGTCTTCCTGCTCCTTCAACTTCTCTTCTTCCTTGCGGACGCTTTCCTCTTGAACTCGTTTCTGATAAGCCAATCTGGCTTCTTCCACTTTTTGACGTGTCAGTTTCTGAGCGGCATCTGTCTCTTTCGCACGATCGAGGTGATAATCCGCTTGATTCTTATAATCACTGCACATTCGAGCCTGCTCTGAGGCTTTCGTTGGATCAATGAGAAACGATTTATCGGTTTCCAGCGCTAAATTCTCGAACATTTCCTCAGCGCCTTTGAGATCGGCAATTGCCCCCATCACATCATACAGTTCGGCGCGCGAATCTTTCAACGTAGTCACCGCCATTCTCTTCATCACTATGGCCAGATTATAACGCACTTGCGAATTTTGCGGTACAAGATGACGGGCCAACTGTAATGTGCGTCTGGCGTCTTTAAGATCTCCGTTGAAGTACTGAGCGCGCGCAAGATACAGATGAATTTGCGGATCCAGTTGTGCATCTTTAAACCGACGAAGCGCATTTTCATACATTTTCATACCGGCAACGTACTGCTTAGCTTCACAATATTGATGACCAATATTTAACCACAAATCCAATATGTCGGCCGATGATTCCCGCACAACTGCGAACATTTCTTTGGCTTCCTCGGTTTGACCTAACAAATGTAATCACATTCAATTTCGCAGTTACGTAGACTACTGTAGGAATACAAAATAAAAAAACAAACCCTTATCCGGAAATTTATTACATACCAAATTATGGGAATAATAACGGCAACAAGAAAATCGTAAAGAAATATTTTTTTGCGTGAAAAATTACCGATTCTGGCCAATAACGCTCCCAATCCGTTCACCGCGTAGATATTAAACGGGTCAACGTGCAACACTTGCTTGTAAAAGTCATACGCCCTGTCGACATGTCGTTTCTTCTTCTCCGGATCGGCTGTGCTCATATACAACGACTCCAACCAAATATTTCCCAAACTCAGCATGGCATACGTATCGGTTTTCGACTTCGGCAGCGTCAGCACCTTTTCGTATTTCTTCTGAGCCAGGACATATTCCGCTCTGGACATATGCAGGTTTCCGAACAACAACTGCGCTACTGGATGATCTTGCCCGACACTGCCAGCCAGTTTGAACCAATCTGCCGCCTTGGGAAAGAAGCCTCGATCCCGCTCCATGCACCCGTGACGGAGATAGCAATCCAGATAACTAGGATTCTTCTTCAGAATGCTGTCATAGCACTCCCGGGCTTCTTTAAAGTCGCGAGCTTCTTCCGCCAGCCGACCTTGATTGTACGTCATCGTGGTGAGCAGTGCACCGTAATGTCCGTCGGGGACTTCTTTCTGAGCTTCTTCCGCTCGTGCTTTAGCCATTTCCAGAAACTTCCGACTATTCGGAATTTCGTTCAGGTAGAAGTACAAAACACTGATGTTGTTGAACAGCTCGGCCGGCGCATCGTCTTGTGACGATCGCTCGTTATATATCTCCAACACCCGAAGGTACGTATTCAATGCAGAACGCTACAAGCAAACGAATTTAGCTACTAATTGCAAATATGGGAACAAGAAGATTTCTCACCGGAGCATTTCCTTCCTGCAGTTCGGCAAACTTCATATGCGCGTCAATATCATCCGGGCACAACTCGGTGACTTTCTTCAAATAACCTTTTGCCTTTTCTCTTTTGTCGGCCTCCCCCGTTGTAAGATATAATAGTCCCAGAATCTTCAGCGTCTCAACATTATTCGGGCTCTGTGCCAAAACTTTCTCAAAACACTGTGTCGCGCTTTTGTTATCCCCTCTCTGAATGTACATTTGGCCCAAACCATACCACGGCAAAACAAAAGTGGCTTTAGCAAACTGGGTTGCCTGATAATAATACTGGAATGCCTGATCGAAGTCCTCCTTGTAATGGAAACTTCTTCCCAGCATATACGCCGATTCGGCCTTCAGGGTGTCCGAATACGACGTCTGGAATGCCACTGTGGATAGATTGATGGCCTTTTCGGTTTCGCGTCGATAAAAGAAATGATCCGCTAAAAGGTTTAGATTGATCGGATTGGATCTGTCCAGTTTGTACACTTCACCGATCATTTTTCCGGCTTCGAAAATCGAGGCGGGAGTTCCCTCGTTCAGTAAGACCACGGCACAGCCGACGTTGGCTCCCACACAAGTCCGGTCAATTTCCAGTGCTTGTCTGTATGCCATTTTGGCTTTATCATAACGACCCAACTTGAAAAGACAATGTCCGATCGCCATTCTACGAATCACCAAAAGCAAAACATAGTTGTATTTCACAAACTGCAACAAAAAACGTAAGCAATAAATATTTGGTCCTCCAAAAACTGATAACAAACCCAAGTGAAGCCGCATGTTTACAACACTTTCACGAAAAATCATTAGAAAATACGCTGAATAAAATCTATAAAAAGGTGAAAAAAACAAGATATCTCCGAAAGCCAGACATAAACAACGAAAAATGTTTCGAAAAACTGCTTTTGTTGTATTTAAATGTTTTCGCTGTGTTTAAAAATCCGAAAATATTACCTGACATCTGCTGAACATTGGGGATAAGCCGAGAGCAATCGCCTAAATTGTTGCAGTGCCAGCTTGTAGTCCTGCTGATGAAAGGCAACAATTCCGCGACCTTGCAGCGCAAGCGGATCATTAGGCCAGCTCTTCAACACGAAATCAAACTGGGTTTTAGCCTGCTCCATCTTCTCCGGATCCAGGACACAGAAATACGCGCGTCCCACCAAATGGTACTGATTATAGATGGCCATCCGGTCCACATGTGTGTACAACACCGTGGCTTTCGACATGAGCTCTTTTTTACGATCACCCGTTTCCTTGGTCGACTTGAGAGCATAATAATTCGCCAGTAAATCCAGGCAGAAAGCCATATCGATGAGATCCTCCTGCGAGTCCTTATGCTGCATCTGGTACATAAAATTCTGATTGGCCTGCTCGAGGATCTGACAGAAGACATCCTCGCGCTGATGCACCAGGTAGTGCAAGGCCAGCAGATTCCAGATGCGAGCGGGGGGCTTCTCGGATTTCAGCATCTCAAAGACTTCCTCGGGACTCGTCACGTCTTCAGGATTCGTGACATCATCGTTGGCATCGGGTTCCAGTTTAAATTCTACAATCATAGGCACGCCCATCGAGGATGGATCGGTACTTCGAACAGGAAACGGGAATTTCTTTTCCTGCAGAAAATCATTGTACCAGTAGTCTGGCACAGGTTGGATCACGTGTGCATTCATTTCGGCGAAGATGTGAAAAGTACTCTACACGATAAGAATTATTTCGGTATCTGAGACTGCTACTATACAATGCAAAATATTAAAGCATTTTACGTGAAGAAGCATTTAAAGCATTTTACCGCGTCTCAAGAAAAGAATTCTTCGCACAGAGACAAAAAATTAAGAAATCGAGAAACTCAGGAACTGCGAACTGTCACAGTGGCGCATTGCCATGCTGCTGCAGAACGAGTCGATAGAGTCGCGTGTGACCATGTGGCCGACCACCGCAAGCGGAAGTCCAGTATTTACTTCTACACCTAAATGACGTAATATTGTATACGGTGTTTACCGTTTACGGTAACAGAGACTGTACATAAACCTAGATGCATTAGTGCGTGGAAAATTTCGTTGGATTTTCCGTGTCACGAAATTTTGCCGAAAATCATTAAATTATTAATTACTTCTCACACTTCTGGAATTCTCATTATCCTTAATTCATAATTACTTCTTTTAAGAAATTAGTGAACACTTTGATTTTCATTTCCCCACAGAAACTCGATCCTGAACTGCAGATGTTGGACCGATGATCACCGATCTAGTGTTGGCTGCATGTATTAGTTGTAACACTTTTTCCAAAGAACTTTTCGTGTAGAATGCAAATCTTTCCCTTTGCCAACCAAAGTGCGGTTCTTCCTACGAGGTCTTATCAGCCCTGTAATGGCGCCATGCTCTGGATTGTTTAGTTGTTTTGGCAGAAGCCGATCGCGACATACCAAATCATACATGGATCCCAATCAAGAGCGGTATGTATGTGGCTTGTGCTCAAGAAACGATCGACTGTGCTCAAGAAACGTTTTTGCGACTACGATCGATCGACTGTGCGAACGATCGACTGTGCTCAAGAAACGTTTTTGCTCGTGACTCGAGCGTGATTCTGCTTATCGCTGAGTAATAATTGCTTAACTATTTGAAGTGTTTATCATTCCATGGCTTCTGCTGGAGTATTTGACGTCATTTTTTCTACGGTCCTTTAGTTTATTACGAATACTCGTATTAGTCGTTCTCTAAATTTCTGTTTTTGTGCAGTTTGTCGCCGAGTGAGCAGTGTCGCCAAACGAAAATCTATCGCGATGTCGCTGAGCACCAGTGGCCGATCGTGTACAGTCCCGAGTATAATCTGTCCGTTATGGGAATGGAGAAGCTCCATCCGTTTGACGCGGGAAAATGGGGGAAAGTGTACGAAAAACTGAAAAGTGAGCTGATTATTAACATACTGGTTTTTTGCGTCGGTTCGGACTCCTATCCCTCCGATCCGATGCATTTTGCCTGCAGATTTATTATTTATTTACGTTCGTCACTGAAATAATCAGCAGCACTATCTGCATTGACTTGATCAGCTGATATGAAAACAGATTGACTTCAGCGTGCGTAAGAGCATTCTGTGAAGTAGATCTAGATAAGAGGTTGTTATTTTATTAGAAATTTTACTGATATTATTTTTATATTGGATGATTTTCCTTATGTCTTTATTTTGAATTTTTATTTTATTATTATTTTGATTTTAAAGGAGTTGTGTCTGGTTGTAGCCATGAGAATTGTGAATCCCAAATATTGAATAGATGATTTGTTTTACCGATAGAAACTCGAATTGTATGTCCAGCGAATGGTTTAGGAAGCGTACAGTACGATGTTGTACATTAATTACGCTGGTTATTCTGCAGAACAGGGGATGATCGGCGATGATACAGTTGTGGAGCCCATCGAAGCATCGGAAGCGGATTTGTTAGTGGTGCATACGCCGCGTTATTTGGAAAGTCTTACGGTAGGTATTGACATGATTACCAACTGGTTTGATAAAATCTTTTACTTATGCCAACTACGCAGGATAAGTGCTACACTGGGGTGATGGAGATTTAGGATTAGGATTTTTACTGCTTTAAATTTTAATTTCGTACGAAATGGTCGAAGTGATAGTAGCAGGCAGCATCATAGTGTCCGTGCTGGTAATTGCCGGGAGCAGCATTTTACCTTATTCGTATCAGTTTTATCCGTATTAGTTTTCGCAAACTATGTTGAATTTGATAAATAATTCCCAATATAATTGACTGAAGTAAATCCGTTTTTAGTCGAGCGTTGTGGTGGCCAGAATTACGGAAGTCCCACCAGCTGCTATGCTCCCGAACAGTGTGCTGCAGCAGAAATTCTTGCGACCCATGCGAATGCAGACCGCCGGTACAATTCTGGTATGTGTTTTCTGAAACTCCTTTTTAGCCTTTGACCAGTGCCGCACTTTGTTAGAATTGTTCTGGCAACACTTTTCGACACTGTTATTAACGGTTGCACTTATTTGTTGATTGATTAGGCTGGCAAATTAGCATTGGAACGGAAATGGGCGATAAATATTGGTGGAGGTAGATACTACAATACGATACGCTCGTTTCAAGTATTTTTGTGAAAAGTTGAATTTTTTGATTTTGTTATCTTGTTTTGAATTTTGTTGTTTTGATGCTGTGCTAATATTAATGGGAGGTGTTCAAAATGCAGTACGTACTTTTTCGCTAATGTTACTTTGTATTATCCTGTCCTTCAGCCGGCTTGAATTGTTTTTTAGGGTTTCACCACTGTTCCGCTGACAATGGCGGCGGTTTTTGTCCATATGCGGATATAACGCTATGCCTGCACTTTTTGTTTCATCGTGACTTAATCAAGAAAGCTCTCATCATTGATTTAGACGCCCATCAGGTTAGTCCCGGGCTGGATATTTGTGAATTGTTGGCTGTTTTTCAGTTACCGTAAAGTTTGTTTGCCGACGCCGTAAAACGTAAATATGAAATGCATTTGCGTACATGCAGGGAAATGGGCATGAACGGGATTTCATGAACGATGACCGAGTGTACATCTTGGATATTTACAACGAATGGATTTATCCTCATGATTCCACAGCAAAAAGTATGCTTATTGGTGCTCGCTTTATTTGCGTCGAACGAGCAAACATCTTATTGTTAACAGACACTAATTTAATTCTTTTCTTTTGCTACAAAGTTTTGTTGTGGAAGCGAATAACATAAGATCGATGTCTTCGCTGCAAGCGCTTTCTCGGTTTGATTTTCACCTTTTGCGGTTTTTTTTACAGGAGCTATCAAGCGCAAAGTGGAACTGTCTTCGGGTACAGCCGATGAGGAATATCTGGATAAAGTGCGAAGGTGACGATGAAGAGTATAGTGCGAATAACGAAGGTTAAATTACATGATACCAATACCTCGTAATTACTTTTCCTATGGTTAGGTAATCTTATACAATAAAGAGTTTGGAAAGTTGAGTGTAAAAATCTATTTTCTTCGATTTTCCTTTTTAGAAAAGAGTTTGTGAATTATTTATTGTTTGCGCAGAATAAACCGACATATATTGAAAGCGCGCTCAGTTTTACGCATTGAGTATGCAGATTTACGCTGTACTGTATACTAGTAATGATTTTGCTTTGACCTAACCCTTATTTGAGTATTTATTTGCCGTTTTAGTCAGTTGTGCAACGTATCCTAAATAATTGAAAATATTGAATTGCAGACATGTTGCTGGTGCCATGAACGAATTCCCGGCGAATATTATCATTTACAATGCCGGTACGGACATTTTGATTGGAGATCCTCTAGGCGCAATGAACATAACACCAGAAGGGATTATCACGCGCGACCAGATTGTCTTCGAGGAAGCCGTAGCGCACAGCATTCCCATTGTGATGGTGACCAGTGGTGGTTATCAGAAGCAAACCGGGCCAATCATTGCCGATTCGATTCTGAATCTGTACAGGAGAAAACTCATCCAGTGGGATCCGGCCGAGGCCTTTGAGAAGCAACATGGACGTTCTGTGGACAAGTCAGAATTGTGATGCCTGTTGTATTATATTCTGCACGAATGTGAGCATCGACTTCTTGATCTTCAATCTTGCCGAATCATAATTAAAGGTACTTACTCGTATTTGTACATTTTGTAACGGTGTAACTATGTGATCTGCAAATTCTGCATGCTGTACAGAGATGTGATGCTGGTCATAAACCTCTAGAGCACTTTAATAATTTAAACGGTGTTTGTTATGAAGTTGTTCAATGTGGAAAAGTTGCTGTGGATTTGCGTGGTCATAATATTTTGTGATACATCATGTTTTCTGCACCATTGGAATTTCAGTCGAAGATTACCTCGTTGCTACTTTTGTGGTATATAATTACAAATAAATTATTTAGTACAATTATTTGTGATAAAATAAGCGATATGTGCAAAACTGCAAATCTGATTGCAAATGCAGCTTTGCCCGGTATCGCTACGAGTAGCCATTTTTTGTAGCCATGAGTACTTAATTAATTTAATGTACGTTTCAGCTTGCTTTAATACCAAATTTCGTTTAGTAGGTAGATTACTTAGGTTTGACTGAATGTTAGAAAGAAACTTTTTTGTTTTCTTCGATATTATTTTTTGTTGATTACGTGTAATCAGTGAAATTACAGTACAATGCAAATATAATGCAGCAAATTAAATGTGTTTTGCATAAAAAATTAATACGGTTATACGTTATACTTATCGTTAGTTGCTGGACCTGCATGGTTTTCCGTATTCCGTAAGTACTTTGTATACGAGTATAGATCTATCGTAAAATAAATAATTGGATGAAATGGTCAAGTACTTACACTACCTACACTGACACACACTTCTACATCGTATGTAAACGGCTAGTGCTTGTCATAAAATTGTAGTTTTATGGATTGTGCTCGTATTGTTGGGTTTCGAGCGAAATGACGCACAATCAGCAGAAAAGTGATAAAGACGGTAGATTCACCTTATGCTTTGACTTGTAACAAGCGGATCACGATTGACGAGCGTTACTCATCGGTTCCCTAACGTGTACGTACATGAACTTGAAATTTTATCGAACACTCACGAACAGCAAGGAAGTGCAGATGACTGCAGCATGCCGCAATGGGCGACAACATGCTGTAACATGTTACGGGATGCATGAATTGTCGGCGTGCCTGGGATACGACTACCGGTTTAAAAACTGCACGCATCACATAAACGCAAGCGTCATATGAATTTTTGTAAATTATCCTGACGCGTTCTGGCTCGTCTGGCGTAGATTTGTGAGCTCGCATTTATCCTTTATTCCGTTGTTCGATACATTTTGTTTTCATCCAGTCTTTAGACGCGTTAAAAAGTTTATCTGATTTTTATATTAATTACTGTATTGACGATGCCGCCGAAGCGAAAAGTTATCGCTAAGAAAACTGCGCCGAAGAAGGCTGCGCCTGTTTCCGCAAAAACACGCGGAAAACCTCCCACCAAGAAGGCAACTGCTGCGAGTGCCAAGAAGAGCGCCACCACATCCGCTGCCCAACCGGATGTCGACTGGTCATCTTTGACAGTGGCCAAGTTGAAGGAAGAACTGGAAGCGCGTGATCTCGACACATCTGGGAAAAAGGCCGATTTGATAAGACGCTTGGAAGAGGCGGACGAAGGTATGTACTATGTACTACTACTTTACAATAAACTACACTGTGCTATTTTATTTTATTATTTTTAATTTTTTCGATCCATTTATTTTTTCTGTTTGTGTATTTTCATGTATTTATTTACATTAACTGTTTATTTCAGTTTTATTTGGTAGCGATTGTTTCTTATTTTGCATTTATTACAATTTGTATAATACTGCATACTATGTAGCATACAAATACTACCAAATTTTCATTTATTTTATCCATTTGTGTATTTTCATGTATTTATTTACATTAACTGTTTATTTCAATTTTATTTGGTAGCGATTGTATCTCTCTTTCTTTCTGAATTATTTTCGTCTTATTATTTGCGTTTTCGTGTCCTTTTTATTTTCTCGGGTATTACTGCAGTGTGGGTTTGTACACCGTAACCTTTTTTTCTATTAGATGAAAGTGGCCCGTCGACGAAGAAAACCAAAGCCTCGGATGGTCAGCCGAAATCCGTGATCCAGAAAGCTATCGATAAACTGAAAAAGTCCAATAAAAATAAAGCGGCTGTTTCCTATAAAGTGGACACCCTGGCGGCCAGCCAGAATCCGGGAATTTATGCCGGAGTGCACGAGGATTACTCCTTTATGCTGAACCAGACCAATATCGGGAACAACAATAATAAATTTTACGTGGGTCAGCTCCTGCATCGGAACGATGGGAAATTCGACGTTTTTACAAAATGGGGACGAGTGGTACGTTTGAGTTTAAAAAGCTTTCTAAAAATGTTTGCATTCGATTGCTCATATTTCTTTTTACAGGGTGAGCCCGGCGCCGTCCAGTTTCTCGGCCCATCTGACATTACCGAGGCTATTCAGGCGTTCGGGAAAAAATTTCACGATAAGACCGGCAATAAATGGGAAAACCGGGATGACTTCCAACCTAAATCTGGTAAATACACTCTACTGGAAATGGAAGCCAGTGATGAAGATACCAGTGCTACCGTGGCCGTTGACACTTCGGTAAATGCCTTTAAAAAGCGGTTGGCTATTTTAGTAGCTGTGGTGTTTGATTAATTAATAAAAAGTTTTTTATGCATATATTTTACCATAAAAAAATAATTCATTGGATAAATCAAATAGTTGTAAAAACTACCAGATTTATTTTCATCTCTAGCAACATTCGCTTGCGTTTTAGAACCAAATTGTTGGTGACCCCAAAGCCAAGTGTTCCTTAGAAGAAGTGACCCAAGATTTGGTGAATCTCATTTTCGATCACGATATGTTCAACGATGCTATGCAGAAGCTGAATCTGGACACGAAAAAGATGCCGTTGGGTAAATTGAGCAAATCCCAAATTGCGCGAGGATTTGAAGTTCTGGAGAAAATTGAAAGCGCGTAAGTCAAGCCGATCCTGTTCTGAATAATAAAATGTCCTGCTGTTAATCTTTTTCTGTTACCTTGAACGTTTTCTTGTTGATTAGACTGAAGGATGGAGATGCGACAAATGCTACGTTGACACAGCTTTCCAATGAGTTTTACACGGTTATTCCGCACGACTTCAAGCGGTCGCGTCCGCCGGTGATTGACAGTCTGGGCACGGTGCAGGATAAATTCGACATGTTGGCTACGCTGGGCGATATTGAAATCGCCCAGGAAATGCAGAAGAGCCAGAAAGGCAGCAGTCAGAAACACCACCCTTGCGACATTAAATACGACTTGCTGAAGTGCAAACTGCATTTAGTGGATTCTTCCAGTAAAGAATTCAAGGTACTGTACCATGGAATACAGATACATATGTTTTTTATTAATGTTTTACCATTTTGAATTACCATTTTTATTACAATTCTGGAAAGCCGCATTAACTGCACTTAATGACTGATTTTTTATACTTATTTTGACGTTGACAAAATAATTGAATTTTGCTATAGATGGTTCTTAATACTGCGAGTAGACGGTGGGAAAAAAATTTAGGAATCCCAGTTTTTTACAATCACAATTTTGCAAATTTCGCTTATTGAAAACTTTTTTAAAGGAAGGAAATTTGCTGCAGGTGATTCAAAAGTACTTCGACAGTACGAAATGGAATAACAGCAACATGAAGTTGAAGCACATCTGGGAAGTGGACCGCGAAAGCGAAGGCCCCCGCTTTAAAAACCACAATACCATCCAACACCGTAAACTATTATGGCACGGCACCAATGTGGCCGTCGTCGCCGCCATCCTGAAGACGGGTCTGCGCATCATGCCGCACAGTGGCGGTCGCGTGGGTAAAGGCATCTATTTCGCATCGGAAAATGCCAAAAGTGCCGGCTACAGTACGTACTAATAAGTTGTAAACCGGTGGAGATCTTACATGCCTAAATCTGTATATGTTAACAGCTCGTCCGGCGAAGAACACCGGTTTGATGTTCCTGAATGAAGTGGCATTGGGGAATGAATGGGAAATCACCCAGGATGATTCTAGTTTGGTCTCAGCTCCCAGTGGTTATGATTCCGTAGTGGCGCGCGGTCAAGTTGAACCCGGTATGTAAACAATGCCATCTAGAATTGTTTTACCTTCATGCTTTATCCTTGGTAGTGTGCTTTCCAGTTTTACGGAATTTCTCTAATAACAACCTTTTTCATTCGGACAGATCCTAAATTTGATGTGAAGTTGAAATTCGACGGACATGAAGTGATCATTCCGCAAGGCAATCCTATCCAGCAGGGCAAATTCAACCGCAGCAGCTTCAGTCAGAGCGAATACCTGGTATACCGGGAAAGCCAAGTCAGAATACGTTACCTGCTGGCATTCGACTGGGGATATCCTGGATTTTAAGAGTGGTTTGCAGATCGTACTATTGCTTCTCGCACAGATAGTTGCAGCTTTTGTCCTTGTGAAAGAGATTATGATATATCATAATTATACTACTAATCGCAGTGTTTCACAGATACAGTGTATATGTTCCGTTACTTCCATATGAGTTGCCTGTTTTGATTATCCTTCTTATTTTATTTTTTCGTGTTCGGTTATACGCAAAACTTTAACGACATGACTGTTAGATGACGGGGTATATGGCTTGGAATTCGGTTACGAGTTGCGTTTGTCGAATTATAAAGCAAGCTACTTGAGTGGTCTTTTTCTGATGGTGAACTGTAATTCAAAAATCGGATTACCATATACTACATCAAAAAGCACTAATGGCAAGTACCGTTGGGGTTTGTTGATTAAAAGGTCATCGTATGTACACCTATTTAGCTTCATCTGTGGTTTTAATAAAAAATAGTTTACTTTAATCGAGGTGGTCATCTCCACAGGGTTGTTGATGCCGTTTCTGTTTTACCTGAAATTTTATTCCAAACATTTGACAAATTATGCAAAATTATATTTTCAGTGTGGACATGTCTATCAGTTTATTTCCATCTCCCAATTCAGCTGTTAACAACCAAAACAAAAGAATTAAAATTTGTTTAACTTCTTCAATATGCATCGGCAAAAACTTAAAAAACGCTATCCTTGCTGAGTTGTCGTGTGGCCTGCTGTTTGATCATAACGGTTTTCTCCGTGGCCTCTGAGCCGCCGCCGTTATCCATATGATTACCGGCCGGCACTGCCGTGGAGTACACGTGGGTGGTCTCGGTCAAGGAGAAACCCAGGCTGTCTTTGTTGCCTTCCCGCCCTTTCCGCTTGAGGGCCTGTGACAGACGAAGGGAGCGGCTGCGGATGAAACCGGTGGCCGTTTCCGCACCGCTCATGTCTGTCCGCTCAAAGTCCACGGCATGGGTCGGTGAGCGGAGTTGGCCGCACAGGAGGAGATTCTTGAAGCTGCTCCGGAAGCCCGGATGGGCGGCGGCATAGATAAACGGGTTCAGACAAACATTGGAGTAGGCCAGAACGTGGGCGGCGATCTGTACCGGCACGGAGACCGTGTCCACCGGGTACAGATCCAGAGATTTCAGAGCCAGTATAAAGGTAATTGGACTCCTGCATATTAACAAATTATACAATCGAAGAAATATAAACTTCCACTTAATGAAATGTGTTTATGAATTGTGAATGTATCGCATTGTGCAAGTACAAATATATGGTAAAATTATATAACTTTGTATGTTTATTAATGACACTTTTGAAATCTTTGAAATTTAACTATATATACCGAAGCACGAATCTGTGCCTACTGTACTTGACCTTAAGTCCAAAAGCTGAAGTACTTTGTATTAACAGAGATACCTAGAACACTTTCCGAGCCGTGTAAGCGGGATCAGTTTACATAAATTATTCGTTACTGAATTTACTGAATTATGTATTTCTTACCAGCACAAAATAAAAATAATCACGACCGCAATAACCATTCGCGTAACGCGCTTCTTGGAGCGGTTGCCTTCGTTTGAGCGGTGCCCGACCGGGCCACGAATATCCCAGAGTCGTCGCAGCATAATGAAATACAGCGATGATATTATTGTCACCGGTAATATAAAAAACGTGCCCAGGAAGGCCAATCTGAAAAAGCAAAAACTTTATTGTCATCGTTAATCAATATGAATGAAAGCGAAATTAAGTGGCTCGAGCTGGTATTGATTTCTGGGATAGATGGATAACAATATGCGATAGAGTAGACAAAATCTGCAACTATATTACGCTAGTACGGTGATTACCAAAGCCATGGCGTCCCATGCATGTAATGTGTCTGTTCCATTTTTTGTGTCCTTTGGCATTTTATAAATTTTGTGGTATCATGACGGTGGATTACCGTAATTGAATTACAATAGTGCGACATATAGACTACGCAAAGAAAATACTTGCACGGCAATAATACTTAACAATGTAAGCAATCGATTAACGATTATCGAAAATACTACTGTTACCTGCATAAAGTTACATAACTGGCCAATTTCTAGGAAATTACATCAATATCTCGATTATCGTCAATTTTCTTATTTACCGAGCAGAGGACCAGTGCAATCTGCCCGTGATGCAAAAACTGCAAAAAGCTGTTGATATCGCTTTTCTTCAGTACATGGTGTTATGAAAAACCATTGGATCTGAATAATTACTAAGAGAATTACAGGTCGATTCCGAAATATAAAGAGATAATGTGCAAGACGTACCGGAAACTAATTTCATCATAGACCAGATAATGGAACATACAGGGCACCGATTGTTCACAATCATGTATGGGTAATTTAACAATTCCATGCGCCAGGATCAGCGGAATATTAGCCGACATGATGACCACCCACTGGATGCCTATTGCTATGTAGGTATTCTTTTGCGTTCGTAAGGTCATGGAGGATATCGGGTGTACCACAGCTGTACATAAAGCAAAAAAATAAAATTAATTTATATATGCAGAGTACAGATTGCGTTAAGCTGTGCCAAAGATCAATAATTTATTGCCAACATGTATGTTTATGGTAATAATGTTTGGGGAGTATTTTTAATCATCGGTGGACCCCGAAAATATCCACCATGGGCAAATAACATTTTCCCTCGTGCGCCCGCGAGAGACGGAGTTCACAACGCAAAATCCCAGTTGTAATGCGATAGTGTGACACCCCGTACACTACAACATTACACTCACGCACTCACCCAGGTATCGATCCACCGACATCAGCACCAGCGTGTACACGCTGGAGTACGCACAGACATGGATGAGATATTGGACGATTTTGCACCAGATTACACCAAATGGCCATTCCCGAAACACATAATCGGCGGCGGTGTAAGGCACGCAGAAGACGATGAATAATAAATCGGCACACTGTTCCGGGATCACCCGAGAAAAAACACACACATAGTATAAAGGTTGATATCCATATGACGGGACAGCATATTTTGTCATTATTTATTAAAACATCTGACACGTAGTATGTGCATAATTTATAATTAGCGTTATTTGCGAGATGCGTCACCTGACAAGGTCGCCTTTTATCCAAAAACCGGAGGCATTTCACTTGTACTTAATTAAAAAGTGCATTCTATTAAATAACGCCAGCAAGCTTATTTGTTTCCATAAGGGAGAACGTGTCGTGACAAATGAAAACAATTTATTTTTTCAATCAAAAAAGTAGATTGTATCGCAAAAACTAGATCTGCCAGCACAAAACTTATTGTGATAACATTAAAACGAGGAAGAAGCAACCAGTCTGCACTCTGCAGAAAGGTTACGCTTTAATAAACTGTAATAAATACGCCTATGTTTTTTGTTAGCGGCATATAAATGCTTTGTGCGGCTATGTTTACAATTTTTGCGCAATTACATGCGGCAGTAGATCACTGATGTGCCTCGCTTACCGCTAAATTGACAATTAGCAGATTAGTGCTATTGCGGATTTGTTTTGCTCGCTTCCCAAGTACAATGATAATGACAAAGGCGTTGCCGATAAATCCCAGAACAGCAATCACTCCAAATAAAACCTACCGCGAACAACAGGAAGTGAACAAATGTTTAAGACGTCTTCAATGCACTGCAGCGTCATCAGTGATGACAATAGCTGTCCGCCTACCGGAACGGCAATGGACACGGCATTACGTAGACGTCGATCGTCTTGATAGTCGTAATTCGGCTGCGCTGTGCAATTAGCTGCTGGATCCGGATCGACTGTTAATGCTGCCGCCGCATCCATGGACATACTGCTGACGGTCATGACACTCTGCCTCGTGGTCCACTCAGCCAGACCGGCTAGCGGGGGCGGAAATGCTCGCCGAGGAGTGCTGTTCCTCAAGAAGGGAATTCTAGGATGATCTGTAATAATTCTGCACAGTCAACAAGAAATATATCGTTACATTTAATCCAGCGTGGAAGATCAAAATTAGGGGCAGAAATGTTTATGTATATATATATTTTGCATTATCGCGCTAATTACCATACGAGAAAATTATCCATATAGCTATAGTGTAAATAATTATAGGCATTATTTTATGTACACACAGTTAAAACTGCTTGCGTTGTATAAATGTGCATGCAAGCAGTGTAAAATGTAATGTTTGACGCAGGATTAATGACGATGAAAATTTTATGCCCGCACGGCTGCACATGCAACTACAACGTCGTGGATATAAATACTTCATACGTCGTTGATATATAAATACATCATACGAGACTTACGAGTAATATAATTAGCTATGATGAACATGTGCCGCAATTTTTTTTGTAGAAATTTTTGATTGTATTGCAAATTCTAATCAATTCTACTACCTAAATAAAAACGCTGTTGCTGACCAAAGTTTGTTTGTCTAACTCATAACAGAGACGTAGCCGCAACAGAATGCAAACGTAATGATCATGAGGTATTCGTACCTTTAACTCGCTGCATTACGATAGCGGCATTACATCAATCCCAAAAATTTTAAGCGTATGATATTGTGTACAGCATTCGTCAGCTGGATGAAAGTCCGAATCCGTACACCAACGCATGCATCCTTGCAGCGGCTCAATTAAGCGCGCCAGGGTAGATAACAAATTAATGTCAAAGTAACATTTTTTGTCTCCATCCACACAAGAAGCCTTTGAAAAACTCGACACACTGCGAATTATCAGCCTACACAAAAGTTCATTCGATACTGAACTGCGCGTGTAAGTTGGTGTAACGTTCAGCAGGCGCGCCTGCCAGGCTCAATACATATGAGAAACGGTAAGCCAATCCAGAGTTAGTAGTGTAATGGTATTTCCGTTACACTACCTTAACTTCCGGCTGTCTGCTATTGTACCGGAAACAGCTGTATTCATCCAGGAATAATCGTGGCTAAATCTTTGAGTGTATGTTTGTGCTAAAGAGCCAACAAACCAGCTGGCCATCACAGCACGTCATATTTGGGAGGTTGGTTGGTGTTTCGTAATTGTACTACTACACTGCCGGATAATAATGGAGTAACACAGTGCACCGGCTTATTAGTTCGCCGAATCATTATTATTACTCCCCATTGACAAACTGACATTACAATTCGTAATTCGATTAGGCCGGGCATGACAAATTAAATTGCAGCAGATAAATGCAATTATCAAGGCGATATTTGCCGGTAATGGTGTCCAGTATCAACGTAATCAATATATGCGCCTCATTTTTTGTGCGGCCACCAAAGGTTCTTTTGCTTAATCGGTTTTCTGACGTCGATTGTGTACGACTGGTGGATTGTTTAATATGGAAAAGCACTAGCAGTGTAGCACCTTCTCTGATAAAATCGATGCATAGTGCAAACAAAAGAGCCATGTAATTGTTATTTTTTGTCGGAAACTAAGTTCACTCATCAAATTTTTTATTGACAATGGAATTGCTAATCACGGAGAATATCGATTACTATTGAGCATAGTATGTTCAAAGAGATATACGCCGATCATAAACAAAACTACGCACTGTTCCACACTGAATCGTATGCTTGCAGATATCTTACAATTACTCTTAAAAATCGTACAGATGCGTTCAAAATATTTAGAGTTCAACCAGTTGCTTTCGTACGAACATCAATAAAATTGTTGTAATGCTGTAAACAATTTGTAGGCATATGGTTAACGTAAACATATTACATAATCATATACACGCAATCGTAATTGTTTTTTCTTATGTAAGACGCTCGGTAAAAATCAAAAACCCAGTTTTTGAAAAAATCCCCTACGAACGTCTATATTGTCAGTTTTCGTTCTTAGATTAAACTATGCAATAAAAAACAGTCATAATTTATTAATTTTGTGTTTTCGTAATGATCCACTCCCGCAAAACAATGCTCAACGCAGTTATTATATAAGACGGTCAGTTCATAAAAGACGCTAATTAATCGGCAACTCTCTAACCGATGCCGGTTTTTGCCGGTGATCTTGCGGCTCAGCAGTCGAATGGCATTCACACACTGCAGGATGATACATACTACACACTAAAATGGAGAACACATTTTTTGCCGGGATTTTCTTCCACTTGGGTGCCTTTCGCGGGCCCCTACGCCGCATCACAACCAACACAATCCCCGGGAATGGTTAGTGGAGCATGAGCGCATCAGCTCTGGGGAATATACGATATAGTCTGGCAACAGACAGTGTGAAAGTATCTTTCCTAACCGTTGCCCTCCCTTCTGCCCGTCAGCGCGGCCGCAACCGAGCAGCGACAACGTAAACGTTGAGGCGTGCGGGGGGTGGAGCGTGTTGGGGAGTGGAATTGGAAAATGAGCCCGCGTGCCACCGACACAGCCCCTATCAATCATCCGCCAGCCCCGTGGGAACACTTTCTCACCAGTCCCGCGCAATCTCAACAAACTCCTGCAGTTTTTCGCGCTCGCGACTTCTTCGATTGCGAGTGCCCAGCCATCGTGGTTGGCAAGAAAACGTAAAAAAACCGATTCATATATAGAAGTGTAGATAGTTGTTAGTGATAGGTACATGCAGCTATTACTTGTTCACTGTTTTCGCAGGTATTAGCAAAATATAGATATTTGATAATTATATATAAGCTCTGTTCACTATATTTTGAAATCAGCGCCGAAAGACAAAAAATGTCTGCTCGTACGCATCTGCATAAAAATTTTTCTTCTAAAAATAAAAGACATGGAAGTACTCGAATTACGAATTTCGCGAAATTATTTTAAATTGTGGTAAAAAATTAACATTGATCGGTCATTTTATTACAGTTTTTGTTACGGGTAAAGTCGAGTTGCTAAGAACTTCATACAGCATCAGGCGAACACTGATGAACAAGAGCGATGCGCTTATAAGGCGGCTGACGTAATTGCCAACAGGAGGAAAAAGATTGGCTCAATAGGATAATTACCTGTAAATGGATAACTGGAAAATGTACAAGTGTACCATTTTACATGTGGCAGTGTTTGATTGCAGCACAAAAGCGGGGATTTGGTTAATTGAGGTTTACCACGGAAAAAGAACATTGGACTAACGGCTGCAAATTATAACGACACAGACGGAAATGCAAGTTCGGTATCATGGGACCTAATTAGATAGCGTTTACCGCAGGGGTCACTATATTTACCCGTTTCCGGCTATTTATCCATGGCGCATTCTGTTGAATAATACACGAAATTCCGCAGCATCTGTTTGAACGCTTTTACCACGATTTTATTACAGCATGATTCTCCTCACGCAAGAGTCAGAAAATTGGGACACACTATGCAAAATATTCCCTTTAGGAAAACTGAAACAATTGTTTCGAAAATTTCAATGGTTGGTACTCAGCGTAAATTTGCATTCGGCATCTTGCGACTTGCTTTGTTTGACATAGCAAAAAAAAACTGAAATAGCTGTTCGCCGTAATGTACTTAATACAATGCCGGTATCCGCGAAACTGGCGCTTTCCACAGATTGGTAGCTGAATCTGTACAAGCATAAGGGTTCTTTACGGGATAGAGCGGTCTTTCTTTAAGGCTCCTACACTCTCATCGTGTGCGCCTCATTAAATAGTCAATGAGAACGAAATCAATTAAACCTACCACTAACTGGCCGAGCATTTTCTCCGTTTCTTGCCAGTGCGTGGAAGATCCCGAATACTCTCCAGGGTATTGTCACCATCAAGCCGGCGGAATCTTAAGATGGCCATAAACAAAAACCGCGCGGTTTTGCGTACTTGAGTACGTCTTCATGCCGCCATGAAATGATATTGCGGACACGATGCACTGTAATATTAAGCCGGCGATCAATGCCGGGGTCATATACACTGCTCGTTGTAAATGCATTTCGTAAAGCGTCAAATTAAATCTTGTGTCGTCTTTGATGATTACGTAACAATCAATTTCGGTTTTTTGTTGGAGCAGCTGGTTATAAAAGTATTTAATATGGAAAAAACCTAGCAGGCTTTCTGCCCAAAAAGATATTTAGTACTGCTTATGGCAACGCATTTAAGGTTTTTGGTTTGCATACAATGTTCCGTTAATTTCATTAAATGTTAATAAAGACATATGAACCTTTCACGAGATGTACAAAGTCTACCGCAGCTTTGTACAGAAAATGCACAAGCAGATGGTAATGCCATTCAAAGTGATGTACATGAAGTAAATTTGATCAGAATGTAGTTTCCGGTGCGGTGCATCGGGCGCAGACACATGTAGGATACGCATAGGTCGCGTAGAGTGAACGTGCCGCTTGTCTAAATGTTTTGGCTAAAGGCATTTTGACGAATGGTTCGGGCCCGCGCGTTTTGCTGTTTGTGTGTGAGCCTTGTAGATGGGATGATCCGCATTTGACCCATCTTCCTGTATTCTATCCGATTACCATTAGACGCGGACTGCGATAAGATTGTTCAATATGGTTAGTACGCTTTGCACCACTAACTGCTGGCTTTTATTCACTTGCCAAATAACCCACATCCGCCTTTACATACACCGGAAGACCCATTCCATATATTCAATTTCTCCACTTGTGTCTGTGACCATTTTTCTCTTTTACAAGATGTGCATACATTTCACATTTGAGTAAAGGAGCTGGGAGGAGAGAGCAATTTATGGCTCTCGTAATTCACCACTACATTAAGGTTTCCATCGTTTATTTATCATGTCACTTTATATATATCGTACCCAATCAAAACCCAGGCAGAATCCAAACAGTTATGCAATACCACGCCAAACTCCCGGTTTTTTATACGCAGCTGTCACTGCGTGCACTTTCATTTTGCATTGTTTGCTACTTAAAAAGTGTAGCGAACACTCCAAATAAGCCATGATAAAAATCGTTTCCAGCCGGTAAAAGCCCGCTTAACTATGTCGATGTGAAAGACATACACAAATTTAACCATTTTATCGCATATACAATTGTTTATACAGATATGGTATGATGCAGTTTGCAGATTCCAAGGTCAGATTTTGTAACCAGAAAATTTATCTAAATTAACGACTGGCTGCGAATAAATTGTCCTTCATAAATTGTAACTAAAAAGTTTTCCACGAATCGGGAAATGCCATGCACAAAAGCCGGCTTCCAAATTGACGATCGTATAGTACTGTGGATGCGGGACAGTGAAGTGGTATGTTGATTTATGCGGACGCATGGGCGAATGATTGCGGCAGCAATATAGGTCCTTTGCATAGCTGCGTTTTCATGGAACTTATGTCCATCAAAGGGATCTCACAAATTGGACGTTCGTGCTCGGCATTACTCGTTGCTCAACTAGTTGAGAAAGATCCCCTGATCTTGTGTTGCACATATATATACAGTAGTTGGGCTTCTTTAACACGTTTCTCCCATTCCTCGCCGTATAGTGTAGTGTTATGTGTGAATGTAGAGTTCGGGATAAGTCAAGGGTGAAATTGTGAGCTTGACGCTCATTTCCGCCAGCAGAATTAAAGTAACTCGCGTGATGATTAACACAACATCGTAGCCTTACATCATGCATCATTTGTATGGGTGCTTTAAATGCCCGACGGATTAACGCTATCAATCGTGGCAATATTTAATGGCTGTGTTAGTAAGAAAAAATAATTCGTAAAGCTAATTAGATGGCTGAAGAATTAACTATAACAGGGAATAATTTACAGTGTTGTAACAATAATTTATCCCCGGTAACATAATATAGTCCCACGTACCTCCTAAATGCAATTATGTATCAGAAGATGTTTGATTTGTATTGAACTAGTGTGCTCCTGATAAGTTTTATCGTTTTGATTCTTGTCATCGTTATTAATTTGCTGCTCCTAACGTAACATATACAGCTTCGATATTATCTGCACATATCTGTAAGGTTACCGCACTAAAATCTCTGCATGTTGATTTGGATTCAGAATGATTTTTAACTTATGTAATTGACGTTGGGAGATGAGTCGATTTAAAACCTTCTGTCGGATTAATGAGGCAAATCAGGAAAAGTTGCTGACAGCGGCGAAAATGGGCATTAACGAGATAGGAAGGCCGCGATGAACGGAGACAGGAAAAATGATGCTTGTTGGCCACAAGAAGATGATCCCTGTCAAAGTCATTAATCTACGGAAAATGTCAAACGTTTTACCGAGATTTTTCTAGGGCGGATTTATCATAGAACCGGCATATTGTCGGCGCGGCACCAAGCTCAACCGGCAAATAATCCCCCGTAATAGCACACATCCTCATCCCGGTAAACTCAACGAGCCACCACGTATGCATACACCGAGCTGTCATCCATAAATGCGCGCGAGAGAGAAAATTATTTCGTCCCTTCTCCCACAACGCGAGGTGCCCCCAAATGTTAATTCCCCTTTATCCAACATAAAGTTGGCCCGGCTCAGTATTTAGATAAGAGAGCAAAATGGGAATACCCGCAAGTTTCTTAATGGAATTCTATTCTGTGGATTATGGGCTTATGCAGTTAAGGGTAAAAACACACCGCGGGGCATCGCGATTCATAGGCTGTCCACACTGCACTATAGCATACACCGAGGCATTGAGCCCTGATTTCGGCGTCCTGCACATTCATCAGGAAAATGAGCGCTCGTCCAATTCATCCCTCACAGATCTAGTCAATATACACACATACAACACACCGGACTCCGAAAATGCCCGTTAAGCTACTTTAACCGTTCGTGCGGCGCGGGCACTGACGGATGTCGAATGAGTTAGGATAATTGACGCGCTTGCAGAAAAAAAGGGACTTTTCGACAAATAAGCACCACATACACTGATATACAAAAGCATATATGCATAATGTACATGACGCTATCAGTCTGTGAGAAATCTCCTTGCATTGCGTGTATTGATTCGCTACTTTTCGACGGACGTTTGTCATTATCGCCGCAATGGTATATTTACATGACATACTTTTTCATCAAGAATACTGTTTTGTGCAGATTCACAGAATTCAAAGTGTTACAAATTGTATTCCATGGATAATAAAGCGCGCTCGATCGCTTACATTTAATTACGTTGCATTTAATTATATGTTATTCCTGGACCGACGCGGCTGTATATATAACACTGACTAGTAATCTAGTATCAATTTCCGTCTGCCTGTCACATTCAGTAAATTATATTTCGTCGAGAGCTTACTCATACGACATTTGTGTAATTTCTATAAAAGTGTTTTTCTATGCCAAGTATGTATGTACGGTTTCCAAGAGGGAAAATCACTTTACGTTGTGATTACGTCGTTACAGTCGTCCCTTGAAAACACGATTGATCATATATATGCGTCTATTGATACTGCATTTTAAGTGACATTTTCCGTCGATCCTTACCTTTTTGTTAACAAGCTGGGATAATAAATGGGGTCGCCGGGGTTGTTACAACCTGCGACTAATAGGCATCCAAACACAGATCCAGGGCGGATAAGGATCTGGCCGCTGCACTGCCACCGGTAACTGAATCGCTCTGGATAAACAGGTAGTACGATCAGCTATTTATCACCCGAATACACATCACATTCAGCGACGATCATCTTTCATCCCCCTCCGATCATCTCACGGTAGATCAATGGATTGTGTTATTTGTGTATAACGTAACTTTTATTCATTAACCAACCGGTAACCATCAGCGCCTTATGAATGCTGAGTTGATCACCTGCACGGAGAGAACCGAAATTAAATATGCATATTTAATGTTCAATGCCGTAATTGCAAAGCGTTCAGCGATGCGCCAATGCATGATGTCCAATAAAACATTAATTACGGTCAATTTTGCGTAATTCCAATGTAAAGTGATCAGAACTATTTGTGAATGAGACAGAAATTAAATATTTATGTGCAGTGGCCCGGGTCAATCATACGGCACTTAAACGTATTTATGCTTGCAACAGGCATCGGCAGGACGACAAATTCCACAAATTTAAGTTTATCAACGTGCTTGTTCTGATTCCTATCTAATGCGGATGCTTGAATCTTGCAGTAAAACCTCGTAATTAATTGAACGTTCATTTCGTTACGTACCTGCATCAGTTAGTTAAAACCAGGCCGGTTATCCGATAGGAGAAACCCGCGAAATAATAATTAACCGGTGGTAACAGATATTATGTTGATGCCGGGATGCACGTGCATCCAGGAAAACACGGCTACTTTTTTCCGGGCAAATGGAAACGGCAGTTGCACAGCTGCCGAGTGTATCCAATCAATCAGTTAGCACGCGCGCGCGCCCAAAGAAACAACTGGGTTAAACCAAGCATGTTCAGTTGGGGCACAAGACGAAAGACATATACACAGATGGTCATATATATATAAGGCGACCGGGACATAAAGTGAGAGGAGGATTTCTCTGTGTAGATTTAATGCCGATACGGGATAATGATCGGGCGGAAAAAAGACAAAATGTTTACGGGCCGGGATGGATCGTACGGGTATATGCAAATTGATCCACAATGACCTTAAAGCACAAAACGATCATGATCCGCTCCTCCATAAGGAAGCCACGCGGAGACAATTCAACAATTCCCGCCGCACTCTATACGGCCAGCTGCAGTGCCAACGACGTCCAATATAAATTCACACCGAATCAATAAAAAAGCACAACAAGAAGCCATTTTCCCGTGTGGCATTACATGGGTATTATAGGGAAGGAAGCGTTTTTGCCGGGGCTTGTCAAGCGATATATTATTATATGTCTCTCCCTCGGCTGCGGATATATGTGCGCTCAGATACAACACCGATCGCCGATCGGCCCCCTCCTTGATACCGGCGCGTGTACAGGCTATAACGATAAAAGCCCGTTTGGGCAATCAGGCAGAAAGAAAACAATAATCAAGAAAGTCTATTTGCCGTGGATGTCCATTGCGATGTTTATGGGACGATGTTGGCAATCAAAGAGGCAGTCAAGTGTCGATCGCTTCGATATCCAATGTAGCAACATTGGTCGCCGTATATCGCTGCAGCGGCCACAGGCGCAGACAGTCATATACCAGCACATAACACTGATACCAAATCCCCATCGTGCCGGGTGGGAGGTCCCCCTGATGGCCGCATTCGAGCAAGGGAATGGGCGGGATGTGAATTAGGCACATTTTTTCGCCGCCACAAGTACTAACCACTTCTCCGGCTGATTTCAAGAACGTTTCCAGTTGCCATACAGACACCGTAAAGAAACATACTGGATTACCCGCTATGCGCAATTGTATCTTCTACATCTTGAGTATTTTACTTGATTAAAAAGTTTTACATAATTATTTTCAGTAAATCGAAAACATTCCATAATCTCCGCTGCGTAACGTTAATTCAGCGCTGCACAAATTTGTATTTCGAACAAAATTTAAAAATAAAAGGTTTTTTGACAGTTTCAACAATAAATACACAAAATGTTTAGCAACTTCAGACGACGAAACGATAGACTACATTAAACATTTTAATGGATGTCGTAACAAATGTTATTTATTATAAATGGCTCATGGAAGAATCGGCGTCTGCAGTATAAACCCCGCTTCCGCATTGGCGGTTTTTTCCCGTTTTATTACTGTGTAGTGCGTGCGTGCAGTTTTGCGGTTTCGCAATCACTGCAAAATTTTCAAGATTATGGTCCAATCGGCAAATGAGTTTTCGCTGCGGTAAACTGCAGTGGCAGCCTGTAACTGATCTTTGCCGGATGCGTCACGTTTCGTCTGTACACGAAACTTTTCCATCCAGCAATCCATCACCGCCCATAACCCTACGTACCGACCCACATTATTTTCTGGAATAGACACACCGTGGTTTTCTTGAACAACCACATCGCTGTAAATAATCACTGCATTGCACCACCGCCATCAACTTGACTGGCCATTCTGCCAGCACTCGAGCTGTTGCCGCGCTGTGGCATCGGTTTTCTGCTGCTGTCAGACGTGCAGCTTTTTGTCTTGGCTATCAGCTGCGACAACATATCTCTCCCGTCCCTGCACATGTTCTCGATCTGTGCGCCGAAGCAGTTGGGCCCGATTCAAAGCGACACTGAATTAATTTAATCTTACAGTTTTCTCTGGCAACCGGAAATTCAGACAGTTACAAGATTGTGTCTGTGTACATTCCTGTCGTCGATCGGCACCACGGCCAACGCCAGCCGCAACGCAACGCAACACACACAGTCACACACATTGACGCGGACAATGTTTGTTTCCCGACCTATCGTCGCCCGGCCGCGCGCGCGCTCGCCGACCAGGGATACGCGCTGCTACGGCTGCCGTACAGTGTGTGTATTTGTACAAGGGAACGGGAAGTCTTGATCATGTAACGGAATGGGTGTTGCCTTTATCCGGTTGTCCGTCAAACGCGCTGCCTGCAACACTGCCGTGTGTATACTGTACTGTGCAGATATGACATGTGTGCTAGCTGATCTCCCTTGTTGTCGACGGTTAATGATGTGCCTGATTTAACAGCAAGAAAAAACATCCCATACACACTCTTTCCACTCCAGTAATCCAATTCTCATTCAATACAGCTCGACAAACGCTTCCCCATAATGCACAAGACCAGAATTCCTGTTTATTCACACAGGATGCTGACAGAAAATAATTGCCAAGATATATTGTACGACATTCAAATCTTGCCGTTCGAATCAAAACGCACAAAACCTGATTCGAGTAATTACAAAAATCGCTTAGAAACTGTTGCTATTACTAATTAAAGTTAGCAAAAATTAGTGTTTACACTAAACATACATCGATTTGATTGTAATTCATCAATTCCAAAACGGTTGCACAAATAAAACTTAATTAATAAACCGTGCACGAAAAATTGTGTTTAACAATCAACCATATAGGCATATACAAAAACAACTCCACGAGGAAAAATAAAATTACGTGCAGTTGTTTTGCCGTTATATTATTGTAAAATGCCGGCCCAATCAGAAATTGTTGTTGACTCGATTGCAGTAATGTCATTAAATGAATGACATAACTGTACTCTGGACAATTCAAATTTTGTTGAACATACAGCGGATGCGTCGCATAAGCTATTCATAAATCATATACGATTTTTTTGCCGGTCTCTAGGCAGTTGGCTTACATCTGTCCGTGTCCGCGCGCCTTTTGAGGGTGCACTTCAGACGTTTAATGCAATAATTGTCGAAAGAGAAGCATGAAAAGCAAAGTGCTGAGGGAACCCCTCGGACATAAATCGACGACGGGCTGTGTTTAATCGCAGGGAGAATCCGAACATAATACGGCTTTCTTCGCCAACCGGAAGTCCCTGGCTGCCCGGCGAACGGAACCGGGCGCGCATGCAGCAGTTCGATTCACTAACTACTTTATTTCACTTAGACAGTTTTCCTTGTTCGCTCTCCACTGCTGTTCCAAAGTAAAAATGCACGTCTGCCCTTCAAGTGTCATTCGATGCCAGACTTGTGAAAGGTCACGAAAAATGTGTTTCAGTTTGGCGTTTTTCGACACCATAATACGTTAGCAGTTTTTATCGTTTGCAGTTTACACTAGCCGACAAAGCCATCAGGTTTAAATAGTGAATTGCGTAACACTAAGTTTTTTCTATAAATTTACGCTAGAAAATACAGCATTGAAACCGGTAAAATTTTTTTGCAGTCGCGATCAAACAGTCGCGATTGCACACCATTTTTTTCAGCAAGGTTTTAACAGAATACTTTCATAAAACTAATCTTAAAATTATTTACTTTGATTTCTAAAAGTGTTGTAACTCCGAAAAAATTTGTTCGTTTTTTGCGCTTTAGATTTTCTGACCGGCTGGTTTTACAATAATGATAAACAATGAGCATCTGCATCCGGATTGACCAATCACAGTGGCGTGGTGGTTTGCGCGTGGGAGTTTAGTTTAACCTGGTATTTCGTTGTGGTGGCTGCGACGGTGGTTATTTCATTGCCGGTGATGTACGGAACAGCCGTATCCCATTAACATTTGCTGGAGTTCATGGCCTGAGTCCTTGTACAGTTATACACAAGATCCATAATCGTATGTGCTGTCTGCAAATTCCAATCCGTGCCAGCACAGACGCTGGTTATTTGCTCTCATCCGCATCACTGCCGTTTTACCGTTTGACGCTCGAATACAACCCGGGCGCCGGCATGTTGCGCGATTCCCGGTTGCAGCCGCGGATCGAAAGACGGTTTGGAGGAACATCTTTTCCCCGGAAAATCTCACCAGTCACAAGCAATTGACATAACCATTTTGCCTCGCTTCGATTGACGGATGATGTAACCGTGTACGAATGTTCCCCCATCCAGTCATCCAGTTGAAACAATTTGTTAACATTTCGTTTTTTCCTAGTTACTGCTTCACCGAACAGTTCTGTCGGCGATTCGTCACACAAGTGGCTAAATAAAACTTTAATCTTTCATGATCTGAATCGGTCTGTTTATCGTGACGAGGCCGTTAGGGAAACGTTGAGTGCGAATGTTGTAAAGTGTTGAAATGTAGCAATAAATTATCCGAAATTATTATGGTATTGAGCTCATAAAGTGATTAAGTATTACCGTACGCGCTCTGAGCTCTCCAGCGCTGCAGACACTGTACGCGGTATTTACCGTGCGATCCGTCATCTTAATTTCTTACTTTAAAAAATTAATTATTCAAAAATTAATCACATAAGTATGCTTGGTATTCCAATATAAACAAATACATTTTCAACGAATGCCATTTCAAAGTGCATCCAGCCCATCTGCCGATATAATTATTATTTAGAAATCTTTATTTCGATTATTCCTTCCTAAATTAAAATTAAAAATTCAACGTTTCAATGGATTCTTGATTTCTGAATTTCTGTACTCCGATTACCAAAATTAACACAATAATTTTGATATTATTTTTATAATTTTTGTAAGCAACTGTGAACGCGGGTAACGTCAAAATTCCTATTCAAAAATTTCAGAATTCAACTTAACCAAGACATATACCAAAATAACCATAATGTCACCCAGAAAACTCGCACAGTTGCACAGCGCAAAAATTAATGGATAAGTTGTTGGTATTCCTGTTGGAAAAGCGCTGACACGGATCTGATTTATCACGGTCATACTCGTAGAAAACGAGTGGCATGATATTTCGAATGTTATTAGGCAATTGAAATGACGGTTAACACCTCGTCCAACCCATTTGGACTCAGTCTGTTGCTAATTTGACGATCATTTTTTACACGACTTCGCCGTACTAGCCCTACTCTAACCGACTAGCAGCGCTAAGAAAATCTTTCACAAATCCAAGGCATACCCATTAGTCAGTCAAGTAGAAAAATGTTCCACAGATGTTGACAAGCTACAAACTTCTTTGCCGTAAATTCTTCTACTCAGACTTAATTTAGCCCACTCATAAATTAAAATTCCTTCCTCTCAATTCGCATTGTTTTAAATTACAAACACTGTAGAAAAACAGATCATGATCCATGATCCACAATGTCAGGTTGGTGCCTCGAGCTTCTTTTCTATGGGATCTTTATGTTACTTCCTCCAGGAAGAAGACCACAAAGTATACTGCCATGTTAATGCAACAAAAGGAAAGAAGTTTAGCAAGACTGCTGACGAAGGCCACTGTAAACACTTGACTCGTTAGCATTTCAAAATAATTTTAGCAACCGTACAAAAACCAGGGCGTAATTAGCGAAAAAAACTAACAGAAAATGGTCGACAGATAACAAGCGGTTTTATGGTTTACACCGTTCAACGAATCGTGGATACAGCGTACAATCGCGAATATGATACCGGTTGCACATCCACGTCAAGTAGCGCTCCAATCCCAATCCGTAGCCACCATGGGGATGGGTGCCGTACTTGCGCAGATCCAGGTACCAGTAGTACGTATCCGGGTTCAGACCGTTCTTCTTAAAAGCCTCCACCAAGTCATCGTACTTCCACATCCTCATCGAGCCTCCGATAATTTCTCCTACGTTGGGCAGCAGCATATCCACCGATTCGGTCAGACGGGGATCCTCTGCGCAGCGCTGCATGTAGAACGCCTTGATCTCCGCCGGAAAACGACAGAGCATAATCGGCTGAAAAAACAACCAAACACTCCTTTTAACCGGATAACAATCAAAGTAAATTCGCTTGTTGACACAAACCTCGTTAATCTGATCAGTCATTTTACGCTCAGGAGCTTCCGGAATGTCCTGTAAGGAAGATAAAAAATAAAATAAAAAGGATAATCTCTAACAAAGGAAAAATATATGCTCTTTAAGTTCTAAATGACTGGACCACAAACCTCTCCAAATTCGTAAAATGTCCCATCATCTTTCGTGATACTGTGCTCTTTAAGGTACGTAATGGCGTCAGAGTAGTTCATCCGCCGGAATGGGCGCTTGGGCACCTTGAAATCCTGCGAAAAGTAGGACAGTGTCAATCGACATTCTATTCATTACACTTCAACCACTGAGCGACAAGCTAACCGATTCCGATAGAAAAATCAACATTCTGGTGAAAAGTCTAAACCTCTGTTTACTGGGTTCAAGTCCTTGATTAAATAAGCAAACGGTGAATCCATCACTCGCTGCGCGACATCCACAATCAAATCCTCCAATCGATCCAGCATCTCATCAAACGTAATAAACGGACACTCAGCCTCAATGTGCGTGTACCTGGAAAAAGGCCACCTTAGACACTGGACCAGCGACTAACAAATCAGAGCCTACTCAGCCAGATGACGTCGGGTCCTTGACATTTCCGCCCGATACGATTGCGCAATGCAGTACGTATCGCCCAGGACCGGGATGGCCGTCTCCAGGTACAGCTGCGAACTCTGCGTCAAGTAGGCCTCCTCGCCAAAGTAGTTCAACTTAAACAGCGTCGAGCCGCCCTCCACCTGCGTCTGCACGAGCGTCGGCGGGCTGATCTCAAAATAGCCGCGATCGCGGTAATGGTCACGGAAGGCGTTGATCAAGACAGATCGGGCTTTCATGACCTTCGACAACTGAAGAGGAAGCGAAATCACAACAATCCCCAGAAAAGAAAACAAGTGGGCGTGTAAATTTTGTACCGTTTCTCCGCGTAGATGAATGTGACGGTTATCCAGCAACACGTCCACACCCGATTCTTCGTTCAGAAGGTTGTCCACACCGCCGGCCGGTGATGCACCGATCAGCTCCCAGTAATCCACTTCCATTTCATGCCCGTCCGGAGCCGTTTGACCTTCTGGAACCGGTTTGATCACACCGTACAGAAGCACGGCTGCTTCCGTAGCTAATGTCACGGCTTCGTATGTTTGGCACTACAATATCACGAACATGCGAACCAGAATCACAACATAAACAAATAAAACAGATTACAGAAAAACTGATATCGGAGCAAAACACAACAGTGAACAGATTCGGTATAATATTGCCCAACCGGACCGGAAATGAAATTTCTATTCAAATAACGACTAACACTGCCGTTTCGTACTAGTTCACCGGCTGTGATCACCAAACAAGATTTCGGAAACAGAAATTCTCCAGCGTATTTCGTTGAAAAGGAAATACTAGCAATTATCTGGCGATCTGATTTTTTTGCGTATTTTTTTCCAAACTGGCACTGCTTGCAATCGTGCAGCAAATTGTATGATGCGTAGTACTTAGACTTCAATCTCGACACTAGTTCACCGACTGTGGGCACTGTAGAGATGTAGACTGTTAACACTACAATTGACCACATGCTAAGCATAGTGCACGAATGCTCTTACCATTTCACCGGTCAAGACGCACTGGAGATAACCAGTTCCATCGCGCAGCGTGATGAACCACAGCACCTTCCCTTGTCGTCGCAGATGATGCACCCATCCGTAGATCTTCACGCGAACACCACGGCTTTTTGTTGCATCGCGGATTTTTATCTAATCACAACAAATCACTGCAGATTAAACGGATTGTCGACGCAAAATTATTCCTAGCTTTACCTTGGTAGCTGCGGGAAGACTAGGGTTTTCCTTGATGGTGACGGATTTGGCCTGCTCGAGATTCTTTTCCCTGCGTTCTTTATCCTCTTTTTCTTTCTCCGCCTGTTTGTCCGCTTTTCGCTGATCTTGTTGGTACAATTTCTTGGCTTTCTTCAGCGCCGAATCGGATATGGGCAGCCATTTCTGGAAGGGAAAAATATTTCTGTGATTAAAAAATCCACGTCACTATACAATATTATGGCAACGTTAACTTCCGGTCTGAACGAAGTGTTCGCAAAAAGCAAAAAAGCCACAGCAGGTACAGCCAAAAATCTTTAGCCACACTGTTTCAGCCTTCCATTGAACAGATACTGGACACAGCAAGGGATGCTAAATTAGTACTGCACTGAAAATTGGTAGCATTAACGGTGCCACGATAAAGTATCCCAGTAAAATATTAAATAATCATCATCAATGCACGGAAAACGTGGCAGTTTTCAGAATTCACCTGAAACTAAAAGCAGTACTCGTACCTGCTGGGCATCGCCGCCATCGGCACTCCCTTCTACCATAATGTCCACATCATTTCCGTCAGAATGCCGCAGTGCCTAAAGTCAAATTTTGGTCCAATTGCATACGGACAGATCACAGACAGTTCAAAAACCATCGGAACTCGGAAGTTCTTCGACCATATGCGATATCGTCTTCATTTTTGGTGCTGCTTACGCAAATGGCAGTCTTGAAAGGCTTTCCCTCCGATCCATTTCCCGTCTCGTCACTGCCGTTTTTATCCGAGATGTAAAGCGTAGCTGCAATAACGGAAGGCTTTGATAGTTAAGAAGCGTATGAGTACAAGTTCACTGTTAAAAACCTGGAATACACTCAGTACAGTTCAAAATCTTCGACGCATGAAGGACAACAAACCTAATTTTTTCGTAGCTTCTTCAGTCATTTCTTTCGTAAAGACAGATCAACACTAACAATTTAGAGACCCACAGACACGCAAAATTCAATCGCGAAAATAATTAAATTTGTAAATTAAAGAGAAATGCGATTATTCCTTTTATGCACCTCCGCAGAACACAAACCGGAGAAATTGCAAGTCTGATTTCGTACGCACTTGTGAGTAGTGGGTTCGCGATTACTGTTAGCGTAGCGATGTACACCATAAGGGAACCCTGCCCCAAATGAGGATAGCTTTTTATGGAGGCGGAAAACGCAGCATGTTCTTCGCTACGTCGGTGGGTCATAGATTAGATTGGCTACGAGTAAGTACGTAAGTACTGATGCCACAAATGACCGGTTTACATCAGGCTACGACGTGTGTAGGACTGTGTGAACATCCGATGCCGCACTCGTGTACACCGGAACCGGGTTCAGCGTGGTATTGCAAATTTGCAATGGTCAATGAGATATCATGCTTTATACCGATACTACAACTGTCTGTGAGTACTTTTTTGTAACCTTTTGACGGTCCGAAGAAACCAAAACAAGAAAAAGCCGTGTTTCGCGGAATTGCGATACAGAAGAAGGGATAAGACGGATACGCAGAGCTCTACAGTAGAGGCTAAGGCCTACAGTAGAGCTCTAGTCGGAGGCACTCGTAGTCGTCTGACTCGCTGGCGCAATCGCGCCGTACTCGTAAGTACTGATTTTGTTACATAGGCGCCTTGCCTTAGGACAGCAGCACCAACGCCACGGCCTCATGGGGAGCGTTTCTGCAGTTTCGGACTTCCGGAAACTTTCCCAAAAATTTTGGGAATGCTTACGGTGAGCAAGATTGCTAAGATTTTTATAGTCCAACAAGACTCCATTATTGTGAGCTAGAATAATGGAGTCTCGATGGACTATGAAAATTTACTGCAGATAAACTGTGTTGGCAAGTTTAAAGAATTCATTTTAAGTTAAATCACAGTACTTCCCAGTTCCTACTTCCTACTCGTAGAGAGAGAATCGGAAGTGTCCAAAATTTTACTGTGTATAAACTATAAACCAGCCTGAAATCCTGAGGCATTATACAACCGGTAAGGCATGTAACAAACAATTTACGAAGTGATTTTTGTTTCCATTGATATTCAAAATTCTCGGACTTTGTATCCCACATCGGGCCACACACAGTCACACACTCGTTTATGAATGCCGATTGCCGAGCGCCGACATGACTATTCAAACTTGTTTTACCGTATAAAGAACGCACAGACGGTACAGCACATACTATTAGTGCTTACTTAAAATGTGGAGACTTCAGTAGGTACAGTGCTGTTCTTGTTATGGGAATGGATGTGTTTGTTGATGCCCTGCAGAATTCAGACCAATCCACAGTCTCGCTGTCAGCCGGCTTTGCGAACTTCCCGCGTGCGGGGCACCTAGTGCCCATTAAGACCAAAATTCCTGATAACACATACCGAAGTTTGGGCTTGGAAACAGGATTGTACGTTACTGGTATCTCATAAATTGCAATGCAATTATGCAACCCATAATCACTTTTGTGTTCTGATTGTGAGCTGATGATGTTCTCCGGTCAGTTAATGGCGAACAAATGAAAAAGAATGGTATTAAACAAGCCACCCGCCACGGGGCAGCGCTCCTAAACCAAGTTCAGATTGGGTATATTTTGCGTTCATTTTCGCGTATACCAAACGCTTACAGCCATTTCGACTGTAAGGAAGCCTATACAGGGATGCAGCGATTGTCACGTGATGCGTACCGTATTTTTATTGCGGGTACATCCATCGTGACTGCAGATCGTTTCAAAGCTTGATTTTCACTGGTTGCTAGCAACCGTGAGCTGAATTTGGAACACAGCCAGGGCTGTTGGCTCCGCCCACTACTGCAGGCCTCGATGGAAATCTAACATTTTGCGCCTATATAAGCCGAGTGCGGGCGAATCGCGAATTAGTCTTGATGTTTGCAGCTATGCAGTTAACATTGCAGAATACAGCCGTTTCGCAGGGTTCAATGGCTGGGAAGGGCAGGCCATATCGGCAGCATTTATTTACTTTATTAGCAATAGACGATCTGGATGAGTTAGGCGAGGTTAGTTCTTCACGGGACCCCTCAGGGAGCTTCTTTAGTCTTGTTTGGGTTCTCAGTCAGATGCGTCAAGTACAACTCGTACAGCCCCGGTTCATACTGTTCACATAGGCTCGGCCCGGGCATGCATGTGGTAGAATGAACGGACTGAACGCAATTGTGTGGGGATTGTTTGTAAAAGAACGCGTTCAATCACGTGACCAAACAATCACGCGCTCTGCCAAGACCCAACAAAGAAGCACCCCGAGGTGTGCGATAACAAGCCATTTTCGTACGTGTAGGCCTTTGGGTGTTTTTTCACAGCGTATGACTGTCTTTTGCAGAAGCTAGAAGACGACTTTAACAAAATAACCAGCATCCAGAATGGCTGTTCAGAGAACGAAGGACGAGACAAGCTCGTCAGCTACGTAAGTGATTCCGACTTCCGAGTACCCCGTTGGGTTCTTGGACCCGTTCTCGTCGCATACGTCCGAAGACGAAGCGGAGGCCTGAAATAAGACTGACTACGCTATGATCATCCGTTTCCGCGGTGGCTTCGAGCTGACAATCCGCTTGTTTGATAGGCACAGCAGGGAACCGATGAGTACGTTAAAGCGATGGACGGACTGCTGTACGGAATCCTCACAGACCCCGGACTCTGTGAAAAGGTGCTGGGGAATGATCATATTGCAGCCAGATTGTCCGTTTACATTCCGTCATCTTGCAGTACATGGGGGATGCGACAACCCTTTCGCTGCTCAATGCAGAAGCCTTCAATCCTCTCACCAGATCTCTGTCACTCCTCGCCAGCGAGAAGTATGCCAAGCTGTCCGATACAGCCCGAAAACAGAGTGTCTGGTTGATGAAAACCTTCGCTAAGAAAAACATCCCGGGACTAGACAGGATTTTTATTCCCTGGATGAGGAACCTTACAGGTACTGTTGAGAACTCCACGTGAGCTCGCGCGGTTCCTGTTCAGCATGTTGTTTGTGCTCATAGTGGGCGATCACTGGAAAAATGTGTCATTGATCGAAGGCATTTTGGAGACGCTAGTGGAATGCAGGCATGTGTGCATTTTGCCGTTCTTGAGAAATTTTTTGAAGTCAAATTCATGGCAAAGCATGTTGTTAGGCCGATATTAGACAACGGTGCAGGAGTTCCTATTCTCCAGATGGCTCTGTTGACTTTTATTCAGCTGATCCAGTATCACCACACTTCCTTGCAATATTCGGTGATCAAAGATAAAGAAGTGGATTTTTGTCTGGACTTATTGCGCAATAAAGTACGTTTTTCACTAAGAAATGCCTAACTTTTATTTTATCAGCCTTATGCCCTTATCAGGCCTTTTTATCGTTCTGGTTATCTGTTATCAAAATGCCGCGAACTTTGGCATATGCAGATAATGCAGTGTAACTTACCAAGAATTAAGTTCCGGTTCAAAATTTATATTAAAACGTAAAGTGTAAGAAACTTATTTTTCTTCTACCTTATTTTGAAAATTGTCATTTCCATTTTTTCTTTACGAAGTTTCTGGTGAAAGTATTAAAGCTGTTGTTTGTTGAACAGTTGTATGTGCGTGCGGACTGTACAGTACGGTCATGTCTGATCTTGGAAATTAATAAAAAAAATGCTGTTTTTAGTTTGGAGAATGTATGGCCATCGGGAAAGATTTTATCCGCATCTTGATGCAAATTTGTAAAATGCCTAAGATGAAGGAATTCTGGAGTGACTTAGTCAATGATCCCAAAAAGATTGCTCCCAGTGTGCCAAATTTTACGGGTGAGCGAATCATTTTACATTTTATTGCTGTCGGGGATTTAACGATATAGGTGACGTGTTATAGGTGTGCCATACATTTTACAACTGAAAACGTCGAGATGGATTTATCCACACCGTATCACAGCGGACCTGGAAGCCAAAATCGCTTTTCTTTTGAGCAAAGTTCGCGCTCCTCAGGTGTCGCGTTATGCCGATATCTTTTTGAAACAGGTAAGACTGCCCTTCAGGCTTCGTCTGTAAGATGTTCGGAGCAGCCTCACAACTATTAAATTTTAAACTGTTGCAGTATTTATCCAGCGCTGAAGGGGAAGCTTTAATACCGGAAATCATTCGGTTCGTGTGCCGATCTATCCACCCGACCAACGAAATTCTCGGTTCGGACGTGCTGCAACGATGGAATTTTTTCCTTATCTTGATCTGCACATGCAAGGTTTGATGCATGTTTTTTCCAGTCTATGACATTTGCTCATTAATCGACAATGTTGCGCTTGCTCATGGTAGACGGTTGCCGGTCTGAATCAGTGCCTGTTGGCGCTGTTTTACGATTGGATGCTGTTTGATCCGCAGGGCGAAAACGTCAGCATTATGTTCATTGGTAAGTTGACTGTTTACATAACAAACATGTGGCGGTAAAAAGGCTGTATGAACGGACGTTATGTTTTTCTATAGAACCTGGAATACTTCTGTTGATGAATGTACTGCAGAAGAATATCAAAGTGCTGCAAAAGCCGTTGATGGTTACCTTGGTAGAATATCTTTGCAAGGTACGATGTGGATAGCTGAAATGGTTTTGTAGATTCTCAGCTGCTGTGTTTGCTGTAGATTCCGTTTGAATTTTTTCCTCCAATCAGCGCCAAAGTTCGTTCATCAATCGTCGCTTCCTTTCGCTATATTTTGGAGAAACGGGTTGTGGGTTCGGTTGCGCCTATTATTGATTTCGCTCCCGAAGAGCAGAAGATTCTTCTGAGGAAAACGTACCCGGAGATTTTTGGCCCGGGCGAAGCTGGTTCAGGTAAATAACCAGCCCATAAGTAAATCGATTATCCCCCGGGCGTTGATCAATAAGATTATTAATTTTGCGGTCTGTAATTAGACCTAATATTTACGTGAAAGGCACATAGTACTCCTAAGTGCGTCTGCCGATTCATTTGGAGGCTGCGGAGCGTTTAGGCGCCCGCATTAACTAGGTTGCACAGATTGCAGCCATCAAATTCAGCATGCTTTTTACGCTGTGATGATATTACTGCTCTGTGCGTTATGTCATTTATGTGTTGTGTGTGCCCCACATTACGAAATCTGATATAATTAATAAATGCGGTAAAGCGGCGTTGTAGCTGGTCGCATAACTTGATTGTTTTTCTCATTGGTTTTACTTTGCGGTTATCGTTCAAACACTGCGTAATCACAATAATTGAGGTAAAAGTGTAAGTTGAGATTGTAAATTTTGCTGTTTTCTGCATTTGACATTCGATATTTTCACATTTGGAACGGCTTGTTTTTGATCACTTTCGTGGATTTTGACTTGTTTAGCGGATATCGATGGTTAAACAAGGGAAGCCTATCATTAGGTTTTAGTAAAACCATTTCCTAATTGGTTTAAAAAAATTAGGCTCCAAAAATTTATTGTGTATCGATTTGTTGTGTATCGGTTTATTGTTTTTCAGTTTGAGTGTTTTATCTTTGGATTGTGTTATATGGATTTGGCTTTTCTTTTGCCGTATTGTTTTATATGTTTGTTTGCGAAGACACGTTGTTCGCGGTGCTTCATTTAGTTACTTTTAATACTTACTCTTAGTTGCAGGAGTTGCTGTGAATGGCGGTCCCGGTAATATCAAAATCGATCTCGATTCACTTCCATCACCTGCATCATTGCTGGGCTCTATGCCGGAATTGAAAACCGACGACGATGAGCCGATGGATGATTGGCCGGAACCGGTGATGCAAAATAAAACCCCCAAAGCAGCCGCTGTCGCGATTAATCACAAACCCATAGCGCGTCATCATTCCATCTCTGCCGCATCGAAAGTGAAACGGAGTCAGGAGCCATCTCTGGATGAATGTATTGGGATGCTACCGGAGACAATGCAGCCGTTTCTGTGTGCGATGCGCGATGGGTAATTACTTAATTATTGATTTTAAACGAATTCGCCTTGGGATTAATTGGATGCTTGTGCACTTGCAGGCCGGTGGAAGAGAAATGCCAGATCATGGAGGAATTTGTTGATGACGTTATTAACAAGGTAAGCAAGCGGTCGAGATAATCATGGTCACAGCTTCCAGGTTAAAGTGACGTTAACGCGTTTTTTCCTGCAGGGAAGAAACTTTGATTCTGAACAGTATGAAGCCGTCTCGTTATTAGCAAGATCGTTGGTGTTAGTATTGAAACCATATTACGACGACTTCCGGTTACCGCAGACGATCAATGAAGAGTAAGGTTGTCCTGTTCACATCGCCGGTTGGTTCTAATTCTGACACTTTGAAATTGAATAGGACTCTGGATGACTCTATCCAGTCTCCTCTGTTCATTTTGTACAGGTGAGGCTTTTGCCGATAATTGAGACTCTGTTTAAAACTATCACAGATCTGTTTAAAACTAATTAAAACTATCAGTCTCCTAACTCTTCCTTAAGTATTTGATAGCTTGTATGTGGTTTAGGTTTTTGAGTTCGCTTACAAATCAATTATAGTATTATATAATGTTTTTGGTTTTTGATAAGTCTTGAGTACTTATTTCTCTTCATGTAAATCCAGTTTTGCTTCCGTACTCGTATAAATGCTGCACTTGATGTCTGCATTATTTAACAGTAATTGCAGTTTCAGTATTTCCCATATTTCAGTATTTCGCATTTTTTCCGAGTAGTTCTTTTGTGCGTTGATTTGAATGTTTTAATAAAATATTAGGTAAATTGTAAAATAGATGCAGTAATTCTGGCAGCTGATTGTGACTGATCGTGGTTTAAGCACTTATTTATAGCCCAAATTTGAACGTTTATACAAATCGTTAATGCAAGTATTATGCAGGCGCCTATGGGAAGAAGAAGACGGTTCATTGCCTCGAAAGCGTGTAATCGATCTGCTGGTGGCGATGTACCCATTAATGCCGGTTCTTGGGTATTTGATCATCTATTATCTGTATTATCGCAAAATGTCACCTTCCTGGACAACGACATCCGATGCGCGGGATGTAATGGCGGATTACGAAGAATTCTGTAGTGAATATCTTCGGCGTACGAAGCAGGAGGAGATCTGCGAAGCTAACTACACAGTGTGCATAGCCGAAGATTTGGAAGCGTGTGGTCAGCAAGACCATGCCATGCTGACAGAATTGGTGCCATTTTTGTACAAAGAGAATCCCCGTATTGCCATTGACAGTGCATTGATCATGAAAACTGTCATCGGGTACATTGATGCCTTTGAGGTGCAGAGGTTAGCGTGTTTGGTGCTCAAGCGAGAACTGATAATGCTCTCGGACAAAGGATGTGTGGATGTTATAAGTGAGTATCTTGATGGACAAAGTTTTGCATTTATTTTTGTGAGCGTCTCTATGTTTTCCTGGTAATTTGTAATTGAAATCCCAGTGTTGTGTATACTACGTAATCGTAATTTACACCGCGTCTTATCAGTCATATGGTACGGCATTTCGAGTAGCGAACCTGTCTATGGTAAATCAAATTCATAATTTTTTGACTTTTCTCTTTTACAGAGGATAGTTTAACATGGGAAACAATCGAACAGACCTTCTTTTGGAAGTTATTATTGGTGCACGACTTAAAAATAGATAATATCCTAAAGGAAATTGTTGCCTACATTGACTTCCGTCATCACCCTGAGGCGACATTGCAAGTGATGGAGCTGCTTCGCAATGATCAGTACGTAAAGGAATTTGGAATTTTTTTAAAATGCCAGCTCCGAAAAAAAACAATGTTGTATAAAATGTATAAATGAATTTGCAGTCCTCGGGAAGCCTTAGTGGCGGAAGTTTTCCGCCGTGACCCGGTTGAAGTGGAAAGCAATCCGTTTATTACTATCTGCCTACACTGGACCAAGAAAAATAACGCAATGTTTACCACTTCTTTAAGCAGTATCATTACGAAAGCCGGTGCGACTAACAAGAAGCGTGTTGTGAAGTGAGTTCATGCGGAGATTAAATCCCGATTACAATGCGTGTGCTAAAACATTCTTTTGTATAGCAAAGCGACAGTGAACGTGAAACCCGACTTGACCATCGATCAGGTATTAGCACATTTGGATTTGCTCCGACTGTATATGGTGTCATTGGATCAGAAGAATGACAAGCGAATGCGGGATTTCGCATCAGGTAGATAGTTTTTTCTGATTGAAGGAGCTGCCGTCCAGTGGAATTGATGTTGCAGGTTTATACGCCACTCTCTATAACAGTAACGTTCTGCTATCTCTACGAACAATTAAAGCGGCGTTGGCCTCAAACCTGAAAGAGAAGTAAGTCAGATGAGATGTCATGTAGAGAATATTTGGATCAATTAACCGAAGTATTAATCACTCTGACCAGTATGCAGGACGTTCGTTATTTGAGCCTTTGAGGAGAATGCTTACTTTGTTGTTGAAATCGCACGTTTGGTTTCGGTTTAACCGGCGTGAACATTAGAAATTTTCCCAAGATACTCGTAAGTGATTGATATTAATCTTGATTTTTGATACAGGTTCAGAGAAGTGTTGCAGTTAGTGGAAGATCCTGAAGATGACGTTAAAGCCTCCCCTGGCAAGAAAGGCAGCACCGCCAAGCGTGGTCGAACGAAAGCCGCGGCCAAGAATACCGTAGCCAAAGACAGTGATTCGGATCGGAGTGATGAGGAGGATGACGTGGCTCCCGTGAAAAGCAAGAAAGCCAGGAATAAGTCGCCACCTGTGGAAGACTGACAGGTGTACGGGTAGTCATTGTCAGTTGACTGTTTTGGGCTGTGATGTTCTAGCCAGAGGAATCGCTACGGTTTGATCTCAGTGAAATGGTGACTGCGTGGGGGTGGCTATTGTGACTTTTGTAAAGTTGTGTCTCTCTCTTATCTTCTCTTTTTGTTGGTATCCTTTTAAGACATTTTTTAGGTGACTTCAATCGGTTTTCTTGGGTTTCGTGCAGAGTTGGAGTCGCTTTACGATAATTTTCAGTTGTATGTCGGAGCTGTCAGTGTTTTAAAAAATGTGTGGATATTTTGTTGTTGTTGATTACGGGATTGCTACTGGAGAAATTGCCATTAGACTGGAAGCAGTTCGTTGTAATGTTAGAAGTTGGTTAAGCAGCCTAACGAGAGCTTCTAAAGAAATCACATTTGGAATATTTGTCGCCTACCCCAAATAGTATTAAAATCTGAACGTGAGGTATTAAATTCTACAGGTAAGGTACTAAAATACGATATGTGGACGAAAACTTTCGCGCATGCCCCAACACCCTTTCGCTTTGTTTTATGATCATGCATTCTGTAGCCAGATAAATTACAATACATATATTGGCGTGAAAATCGTTTGTGCGCGCAACATCCGGTTCGTGAATAAAGGCTGGAAACCTGGAACGAAATTCCAAAACGCTTAAACGCATTCGCGTTTATACAAGTCGTGTTTCGACGATCTTATTTTACACCTTAACGCACGTAAGTATAAAGATCATGTTTACGCCGATACCAAAACTGTACTATTTTTTCAAGTTTTTAAAAGGACTTTTTAAAAGTATCCCGAACCGGATGTTGCACAAACGGTTTTCCTTTTCACGCTAATGTGTACAAATCATCTGGTTACAGAATCAGTCTGCCGGAATAAGTTAACTACAACATATCCTCTGATTCTACTGAACAACAATAAGATTTGACTATTCCTTCATTTAAAATAAAGGTGACTGCTATGCGCCCCCACAAACCGGGCGCACAGAATTTGGCTTTGCGCCCCGAATTTCCGGGCGCCGAAATATCGACGATTTGCTGTTTTTCCGAAGGTTTTTTATATTTTATTCGGCTTCTCTTATTAATTATTTAACCACTCAATTTTCCTGTTGTATAGTCAAATGCGTTGTACGTATTGTTTGATGAGTTATTGCTTAAACTGCGATACCAGAATGCACCCAAACTTTAAGTAATGTGTGCTTTCCAGAAAAGAATCTAGAGAAGCAACAGCAAAGTTGTTATTTATTGTGTCAGTCCTGAAGTAGCAGTTTAGTTTCACCCCCCTACAGCCGTAAAGGTTGCAACGCGCATGAAAGTAGGACAGTTTACAATACATATGCCTCAACCTGTGGATTAATTTGCGTTAACGCAGACTACGGCAACAACAGCGACGACGGGTAATTAATGAATGAGCTTTGTTTGGGCATTGGGTGAAGACACTAGCACCGGAACACGGGTCAACGGCGCAACCGGCCCCGTCGTCCTGGTTAAATAAATCCCTCGTTTCCTCGCAAACGAGGGTAGACGGGAGGGAAGAACGACTTGATACATGTAAATCAACTTTACTTCGACACAACAGCAACAAAAGTGTACTGAACGCAAATATGCAATCGCTATGCGACATCGTCAAACAATTTCATTACTCCCCTTTTTTAATCAGAGCTACTACATACGGCGCACTGGCGCAGTATCCGGATGGGCATCCCAACGGCTTTTCTCGGCTGGACACTGGTCAAACAAGTCGTCCAGCCTTGCAACCACCTCCGCTGCGTGAACCGACCGGAATCACCTTTTCTGTTTTGCTACATTTTACGACAGTTCTGCTAATTCCATTTTGCCACAGTTTTGTGCATGGAGTGGACATCCGTGCCGTCCTAGATAACCTCTAACAATTGTTACGCACAGAATCTGATAAACGTGTTCTTAGCCTTACCTTGCTGTAAAGTGGCTGGAAATCAGGATTTCTCAGACATATTCCGTGCATGTGATGTTTTGAACAACCTCTTCAGTAGACCAGGCGATAAAAAGGGAATACACCAAACGAAAACTTGGCTATTACAGGTTCTCAAATTCTGCAGTGCTCTCTCAGCTTCTGCTCTCCTGCAACCTTAAGGGTTAATCGACTAAAAACATTAAGTAAAAACAATCACCTATTGGAAAAAAACATAAAAATTTCGATATTTCCGCGCCCGGACATTCGGGGCGCAAAGCCAAATTCTGTGCGCCCGAACACTCGGGGCGCACAGCTAAATTCTATGCGCCGATTTGTCGGGGCGCACAGCCATTTCGTAAAATAAAAGGTGAAATGTACATTATATGTAAGTAATTTATTTATATAATAATTTTTTCAAAATCATTTTTTAAGTTGTGCAGCGTCACAGCGTGCTACTTTTCAACGTGCTTCCGCCACATGAGGACGGCTACGTGGGTACAAGCACGTTGTTATCACAGCATTGGATGAAAACTGAAGTTTGAGCGGTGAACCGCGGTCAGCTTGTTTTTTCGTACTCGTAGTCTCGTACATGTACAATTGTACATATACAATCGTAAGATAGCCTGGGTCAGTCGCGAAGCTTTTCGGGAGTTTGGTCGAGACTTTCGAATACCAATTGCTATTTTGTTCAGTGGATCTGTTGATCTCATCAAATTTCTGTTGTTCTTTATGCGTTGGACTTGATTATCGCCTTGATTTTGTTCGGACTCTCGACCGTTCTCTTGGCAGAGTACAAGTTTGACAAGAACTCACCATCAGAAATGTTGCGATCACGAACCTTTTACGACGCAAATGGCGTTCTTCGTGAGCGAAAATTCTTATTTACCTTTACAGCGGAGTTCTTGCTGCGGGAAGTGTAATTTAATTGTTATCGTTCACAGGGACGGAGCTGATTCCCATCGCACAGCCACGTGTTTTCGACATTTCACGGGAAAGCGTGAAAATCGTGGGCTACTCACAAATCCGTATTGTGTGCACTGGCACTCTGTAAGCGTTCGCGGTAAAATATGTAGGAGTTGAAGAACCATACTTGATTAATGTCGATTATGCTGCATTACTAAATTAAATTTTTTATTTATTGTTTTTTAGTCCTCGTGATGTGGATTTGCCCTTGTGTGGCGTCATCAAGTTGGTAAGTCTGGACCTCGAACGTCGTAATATCAGTTCTATAAATTGAGCTTACGCTCAAGTCGTTTCCAGCTGATGCAGGGTTATATTAGTATTAGTTAGTTTCCATTCAGTATAAATTGCAGTTTTAATTGTTTTAGTGTTACAGTGACGCACTCACAAATTTTGTACAGTGTTGATTGGTTTTTGCATTACAGTTGCAAGCGCATCCGCTGTTCCTCCTTTGCGATAATCGTATGACAGTGCAGGATCTGATGGGCTACATGAAGGAGCATTACCGGCTGGCAGATGCGCAAATCGTAAGGCCGTGTCAATTGATGACTGCTGCTTATCACTCAACAGTCAACAGTATCTAATACAATGATTGGTTTATCGTTTGTGCTGTCCAGGTGTTTACGAAAAATGGTGAGGCACTGGCAAGCACGGAAACCATTCGCGACTGGATTAACAGTATTAAATGGCCGAAAGTAAGTACTAGTAATTTCGGTTTGTTTTTAATTTAATTTCGGAAATAATTAATTTAATTTTGTTTAATCTTTTATTTATTTCAAATTTGCGTCTGGTAACATGTTTGTATACGAGTAGCCAAAATACAGCCGTATTTTGACCCTTCTTGTAATTATTAGTACTGGACCGTGTGGTGAGTAAACATTGCGTTAAATATTTTGTTTGCAGGAGCCCGGAATGTACGGGGAGGTGTGTTACAGTTTGAATCTGGATATTCGCCTGCCGGGGCCGGGTCCGGGTGCTCCGCAGAGTTTGCCGGAATTAGTGCGAACTTTAAGTAGTATTGCGCCAATCAACAAGTTAACTGTGACGTTGGAGTTTGAGGATGGAGAAAAGATGGTTATTTCAGGAACATATTGAGGTAATTATCGAAACTTTAAAGGTGGTTATTTAAAATGCAACTATTTTCCATAGCTGGCGGTAGTTGCTATAATGGGTCGTTTGACATGCTCATGATAAACTATTCAATGCAAGAAAAAATCTTTTTTTTGGAAATGTAACGATTTTAACAAAATGCATCATCGTAATAAATTTTATTTTGGATTCGGTGTAATTATAAATTTGAAACCTGTTGTTATGTTTTGTTTTCAGTCTCTGCCGTGTCTTTCAAAATCCGAACCTTGCCTTCGTCCCCCCAACTTAATCTCCCGACAGGCCCGTTATTATTGTGTTTTAAGTTCTTTCTTTTTTAACCAATTTAAATGGCATTTGTGATATATAGCCGTCCGTCAGCTAATGACGAATCCCATTTTTGATTTAACTAAACACAGAATCCTACGGTATACACTAACTAAGCAGACTTCAGCTATTTGGAACTAGATATCTATATTTTATAAGTACGTGATTATTTCACACTGGGATACATGCCCGAAATGCAATAAGATGTTTTACACATGCAGTAAAATTTTGCGTGATGCAGGGATAGTTCTCGTGCTATTTAAAACACTCGGTATGTTAAAATCCAACGAGTAGACATTTGAATTAACTCTTTAGAAATAATAACACGTGATGTGGCACGATATATAGGATAGAGCGGTAATTATAGCCGAAACTATTTATGTTGACCTTCGTCAAATCACCGGGGACACAGTCAGTGTGCCGACTATCCCGATCAACAGCCTACATATAAACGGGAACCTCACAATAGCAGCCGTATGACCAATTGAAATTCCTGTTTCAAGTTAATTGTTATTCAAATAAGTATCTATTTCGGGTGGCTGACTGGCTGGTGCCGATACCGCAGCATTTGTGGTGATTAGCCGTGGCACGGGAAACGTGACGATGCCGGCGTTGACGTCAGACATCCGCTGGCCTTGCACATCGCTGTGTTTCCTCTGCGGCGCGCGCGAAGTGGGAAAAGGGTTTCCACTGAGAGCGGAGGAGAGGATGTGTATAAGGCACACAAGGAACGGCATTCCTATGGCCCCGGCGTCGTCCTGTCACTTCCATTCCGTGAACAATCAATCTGGACGGATGGATTTGAATAGAGCCAATCACTGTCCAGTTAAAAAGCTCCTGTGTCTTTGCCCATTTGCATGGGTAATGTGTACGCCGGTTCTGACCATAAATACCCGCCGCTGCATTGCATTTCCGCTCTTCTGATAATAACGGCCGGCATCTTGTCGACTTCCCGGCCTGTTTCCCTTTCCAATCGATGATCCCTGGCAGTGTATTAAGAAAGTGTATGCGTAAATAATGTGCTTTTTGTGGTGAGCATAAGATGGTTTGATCACGATCAGTTGTCCCTCTCGACGAAGTCAAATACGGTTAACTTTAAGCTGAACAGTATACCCTGTAATACAGTATAGTGCATTTGGTATACGATATTTTATTGTTAGCAGGAGAGTATATATGTAAGGTTACCGGCCGGAAACAAAACAGCTGCTGTGTACAGCTGCTTAGGAATGCATAAATTTAGGAGTTTCTTGCTTTTGTAAAGTATTTGCAAGCCAGTGTTTCTGCTCAGCCACATGATTCCACAGCGAGCGCCGAGCACAAAGTTGCTAAAAAATTACGGCAAAAGAGTTTCAGTTAATGGCAATCCACAAAGCATGTTGGACATATTTGATATTCGACCGTAATCCATAGACGAAGTACTTGTACAGTAGCCAAAATATAATTTAATTAACTGAGTGACAGACTTGTGGAATAGTACAAAATTCACTTAATGAGAATTTGTTAAGATGTATCCAAAATTTAATGAAGGTTCGGCTTCGGATTAGTCTTTACAAAAATACCGTGCGTTATGCAAAATTAATAGATGCGGTTGTATACTCGCTGCGGTCGCTTCGGTATATAGATATCTATATATCATATACCGTACCTGTGCAAGTATGTATTCTGCAATCGAAATTAAACATGTTTAATTATTAAAGTACCGAGTCAGCGCCCGATAAGTAAGTTATTAAATAGGAAACTAAGGGAAGGTTGACCGGTAAATACTTTGTAGTTCGAGAACATCTGTAATATACAGTATTTACGCGCCCATTTGCTAACTGAAACGACAAAGTTGTTTTTTTTGTAACCCTGTCAACAGTCAACAGACGCGGAATGAGTTTCCCATCATGTACCCTGACATATACAGGATCGACCTCAGTATATAACTAGTCCCGCTAACTGAATGGGATTGGCTGAGCCACTCACTGGAAGTGCTATCCCAGACTTCCGTGATATCCTGTCGTTCGCTTGAAAACCAAACGCATTCAACAGTCTGTGGATGCGTACTGCACGTACGGGATGGTGGATTTGTTATTCCAGCTTTCAACCAGGTGCAGTAGACTTGACAATCGCCTGTTCGCCGCTGCACATACATATCCAGTGATCCACCACCGTCGACGTCGTTGGCTGACAGGCTTGTTTGTTATAAAGCATTCTGCCCGTATATATATCAGCATCCACACGCACACTGCCTAATAGGCAATCCCAACCGGAAGCGCAGTGAACTAACCAGCTGTTTCAGCTGGATGCGCTTATCCAGTGCGGTGCAGCATTGCTAGAGGTGAGAGAGGTGTACAAGGATAAAGCGCTGTATACGCCTAGTGTGTTATTTGTTCATGACCTGTTTGGCGAGAAAACATCTGCTCGTAAAAGGCTTTTGTGTTGCGGTGATAATTCGGTTTTTGTGGTTATTTGTGAGGGTGTGTAGGCTTTTTGCAGATTAGCATACATCTTCAGTCGGCCATATGGAGGAGACACTGTAAAATATTTTCAACATGGCTGTTAAAGGCACCGGTGGTAAGTGACGCCATATTAAAGTAAACGGTACACATATTACGCAAATTATCGTATTTTAATTTATACCAAGGTACTTTACAAAAGATTAATTATATCCAGACCAATTTATTCAAGACTTTGACGTTTGTCACGATTTTCTCTACAAAAGCAATGTGCAATGTTAATTATGCAAGTATGCTACAGAGTACTATCGAAATTACTGGTGCGAAGTGGCTCGCCTCAACGTGAAACAGCTTAATTTAGAGTATGAAAAGTATTTCGATATTAATAATCATTAACACTATTTGTATGCCTGATTATTATTGACTCTGTTCAACTAACCAGAAAGTTATTTTTATCGATTGCACTGGTAAGTTTGAACAGAGCTCGAAAGCTGGTCACGTTTGTTATCCATGTGCCGGTAGTAGCACATATTTTCAACTGACTCGTTAAATAATTTTAGGAATCTCGGTATCATTAATTTCTGGCCAAGTATAAAAACATTGTGGCGGAAGTTTTTGTTGACTGTTAAATAAAGCACGCGCATGTGTGTTCTTAATTGCCTCATGGCGAGTTTGATCGCTGTTTGTATACGTTTTTAATCGGATCCCATCTTTGAAAAATTGATATCTTTTAAGATTACGGACACCATGCATGTTTCCAGTATAAACTGGGTGAACGAACTTGTGCCCATTATCTATACAAGAGCAATTCACGTATACAATATCAACAATATAAAAACCGAATAGAAATCCGGGCCGGTTATAAATCTCATCCCAAAAGCCCACTTTCACCCGGCCAACGGCAGGTGCCGATGGACCCGCGTTATACGCGGGGGCAGCTGGCAACGTTAACGTTGTAGGTATTCCTAAACCGGAACAAGCAACCGTACTCGATTACCGGCTTACGTCAATCATCCCATGACATATGGAACACAGTCTGTGTGCACGGGAAGCCCCCGCACCGCACTGCCTGTAATGGAATTAAACGTGGAAGTCTGCAAAATGGGAAAAAATTCATTGCTCTATCAGGCTGACTGCAGGGAAGATTTGCGAAGCCGTGTAACTGTGCAGCAAAGGCCATAGTCAGATCAGACATCACGCAAAAAATGGAGTGCGTCAGCTGCCTACTTTACAAGTAGATTGTTTTCCCAGCAAGGCGACTGCGTACATTTATTTACATAACTCCGCAACATGGCAAAATGCAGCTTTTACGCAAAGCAGACAATCTATAGAGAAAACATCATCAATATCGATCCGCTTAATTATTTTAAAAATAATTTAAAGCTACAGCGCGAATGCCTGCCTTATACTTGCACAGTACATATATATGCATCCTAGGCTAACTAATTTCCGATGTCACCTTTGTACGAGGATGATATAAGCACTATATTATGGATTTGTCGCATACCCATCGAATACAGTTTTAATATTGTGAATTTGAACAAAGAAGACCGCTTAATTTACTATCTGTAAATTAGATTAAAAGGCCCAGCGCCGAAAGTATAACGTTGTTTTAAATTATTTTTCACGACAAGTTTAATCTGTCAATTTTAATTAATTGTCCCTTATTTTTTATAGTTTCCGGCACCACCATCGTTGGCATCGTGCTGAGTGGCCTCCTGGTAGCGGTACTCAGTGTTCTGGCCATTCTCTCCGTCATCCGTAAATTCCGCGCCAAGAAAGCGAACGATCTGCGTACTCCGCCGGCCGACATCGAGTGCGCTATCCTGGGTAAGGGCGTGGTCGCCCACGGTCCCCCCACCGAGCGTCGCCGTGTCCAGAAACATATCCGCAGCGGCACCGTTGCGTCCTTGGCGGCATCCGGCAAGGCGTCCTCACCGTCCGGCAGTTCCAGTCATCCGGCATCCTGGACCGAGAGTGGTGGGGCGTATGAGGAAGGCACTGAAGCGGAATACGACCTGGAGGAAGAGGATACCGAGGATGAGACGCTGACGGAAGAACGAGAAAATAAACCGGTCAGCTTTGGGACACTGCATTTCAGTGCGCGGTACAATTTCGAGAGGAATGCACTGACCATTAATGTGCTGCGGTGTGAGGAACTGGTTAGCCGGACGACATCGAAGAAAAGGTACAAAAATATTTCCTTACTACAGTACAGTATGCGTATTGCGTTCCTGTATATGGTTAAATGTATAATAACTATATCGCTTTAAAGCCCCGATTATCTCGTTAATCTGTATTATTATTATGGCTGGCTGGACACGTTTTGCAGATCTGTTCTATAACCTACAAATTAAATGGTGTATATACGAATTACTTCAGGCATAAACACGTGGTCGGTAATTATAAGGCGGGTGTAATGGTTGCCCATTTCTGAAAATTTCAGAGGTACGGCGAGCGTAATTATTTATTGGATGTACACGTGATGAAAAATTAATCGCGTTGCGCCGTCATAAGAGCCCACCGTAGTGCAGTAATAAGTAATTCCATCCCATCTATTAGCGGCCATTAATCCGCCAGCTGGACAGTCGCTGCCCGCACACGGGAAGAACGGTGCCGACGTGCTTATTGTCTGCTCTTCCATGGTGTAGACGGGATATTAGGGCAGCGAAATTTGATTAATCTGTTGCATAATTCACATTGCTGGCAAACATTGTTATTGTGCATCCGGACTCATTTAACGACATTCATTCTGGCTGTCAATTTTGTCTCTATAATACGTCTCCAATGCATTTGACAAATGTTCTACACCACGGAAGCTTTTTATATACAGTAGCATATGCGGGCATCATATATATAGTGGGAAAAATCGATTTTAAGTATTCGATGCAGTGACATTATTGGGTCAGATAGGCGGCGTATATCTTCCGCGACTGGGATAAATTGTTGTATGCTGTCCGGTAATAAAAATATCCATTAATGCCCGCTATTGTGTTGCTTTTTTAATTCGCGCTTTTTACTCTCTCCGCGTCGAGTGCGAGAGTTTTTCAATAAAAATTTCTGTGAATGGCTGCAAATACAGTGCAGCGCATAGCTTTTACGGAGACTGTTTGGCGTTATGCTCAAAGGATATATTGACGTAATCGTTATCTAGAAATCCATTTACTAAGCGAACTTTCTTCACATTTGCATTTATATAGCTATTTCTGTTCATAGTATGAACAGAAATTAAAGTGTGGTATTCATGCATGCCTGTTTAAGGATGACACAGTATATATCAATTTACGTCTAGAAATTATAGCACTCATTTTATAATAAGCTACAAAGTACAAAAACCTGTTTACGGGAAAGAGAAGAAGCTGCAGTGCACCTAATAAACTATTTTTTTAGGTGAATGGTAGCTCAAACATTGCTTAAATCTTTGAAGGTTTATTTTAAGGTCTTAAGGAATGTAGATTTATAGCGCGAACAGATAATGATTTCTTGTAATAGCGTCTAACTTTGTAAAATAATACATTAATCAGTTGGTTGACAAAAACCGGTAAGCCGTTCTAAAAATGCCATCGTAAATTACCAGCGATTAAATGACAAGTACATCCGTCGTCGTATTATTATAGTGTGGATCCCTACGTCAAACTGCAGCTCTTACCGGAAAAGCAGCATCGGGCCAAAACCCGCGTCTTGCGCAACACCAACAATCCCATTTACAATGAGGAGTTCACATTCTTCGGATTAAATTACAATCAACTACAGGGCATGGTTATCCATTTCGCCATCATTAGCTTTGATCGGTATTCTCGCGATGAGATCCTCGGAGAACTGCTCTGCCCGCTTAGCTTAATCGATCTGTCGCAGTCTGATCAGGAAACAACACTCTCCAAGGAAATCTGCACCCGACAAAAGGTACTGGTGTTGCTGTGGATAATTAGCATTTCACGACGTCGAACGGGATGAGATTTTGTTCGATGTAAATTATATACGCTCGGCTAGGCTTGCTTACTTAGGAAAGTTTAAGTGCAGGGTCGTGCGGGAATTCTACATTGCGAAAGGCATACTTAGACTAAAATACGGGACGTTTCTTGACCTTTCCCAAGTATAAAATAACAGTTGTATTGGATTGCTAATACGTGCATCCCAACCATTTGTTTATACCAAAAATAGCTTAGTAATGTTTTTTGCAGATTTCACAATACATTGCTGTAATTGCTAAACGCCAAATTCAATTTAAGCAATGCACTATTTAAGATTACTGTATTAAATACATCCTTTCATAATTTAATTGCCGTAAATAACAGCACAGGGTAAGCACTAAGCATACGTCCATTAATCATAATAGCAGTTATAGCTGATCTATAATTCGGTACGTACCGCGCGCGGTTGTTTTCTCCTTCGTTCTTTAAGTTTCAACGTGAGCACATTGTAATGTACACAAGCTTGTTTACGACTGTTTCGCTTGTAAAAAAAATTGTTTTTGAGCATATATGCAAAATAGTAAGCAAAGTAGGCTACCGGTAATTATGTTTTGAATTATTGTGACGCATGTCAAAACCTGTTTGTTTTCCGCATGTAGTCTTAAAGTGATTAAACCATGGGGTGCGGTGCGGTCCTTAAGACAGACTTGCTTACATACGTACTTTCCGTGGTATTAAAGCCTCGTAATCCTACGTCGCTCCCGTTTCCGCTTAATACCCTTCGAAATTATTTCAGTGCAGCTGGTGTACCTGAGCTTGTGGATGTGGCTTTTTGATTATGTTTGCGGGCATTTCGATTAACGATGATTCCATAAAAAAAATTTGACTACATTAAAATTAGAATAGACAGCTGCCACCGAGTACAGTATATGGACTGATACTTATTTTTCTAATGAATGAAAAGGCTATATTAGCCGGCTTTGCATGAGACTCGCAATGTTTTCCGTAATATGACTGTGCAAATAAAAACTGTAATACAGTATACAGTATCTTTACGTACGATGTTATTAATGAAGCTGCACCACACAGGTTTTAATCATATTTACGCGCCAGAAAAAACTAACGCATAATTACTTTTGGGGGACATTTTTTATCAACCACACTTAATAGTCAAAAACCGTCGTAGGTACACTGTACGTAGTACGTACAAACCAAATATCGATTATTCAGAACATATGTATTTAGCCTGCGCCGAGTTTTAAAAACTGTTTACTTGATAATGCATGCATCCGACTACGTAATCAGAAAGAGCATTGACATTATTTTGATAAGTGACAGCGTCCCTTTTTAAAATTGCAATCTGTTTCCTCACCGTAATTGGATAGCACAACAGTGCACTGTCATTAATGTGCAAATACATTAACTATTATGATCAGGTGACAAAATTAGACGTCAGGATTTACCGGCAACCATGAATTGATAATAACTCCATATTTATACACATTACGATCATTATACTTTATATACATACACACCGTGATAAAGGGACCGCATGGAACAATTTACGCTAAATACTAAGTAAACCGTAAAGGTTAGCCGGTACATTTCCGGCTGACAAATACATGCACCATATGGCGCAAATGGCCCGCTGGTGTCTGACGTCACTTGACCTTTCCGGGGTTGCACACAATACATTAGTCGTGGCGTAGTCCTATGTGCCTGACAGAACCCAAGAATCTCCCGAGGGTCTCTTATGAATTCCTTTAATGACGCCTTTACATTCCCATTTGGCGTATGCATGTGTGCGCCAATACACCCATTCGCCGTTATTCATTCACGCACTGCTTTGCGCATAGCGCACCGCATCCATAGAAAATTAGCCCCTCACGCCCAACCGCCCATCAGCATATACGGCGTTGAAGTAAAAAAACCCAACAAAGCTGAAAAAGGAATTAAGAGAAAATAACGTGTGATTTACATACATATCGATCTAGTAAAGGCGTGCTTCCGAACGGGCTAAGTTAATTATATTCGCATCACTTCGTATTTACTGTCAAAATACCGATAGATAAATGTTTTGACAAGACCCAGCCGCGCTGACGTCGTCTAAGCCGGAAATCGATTTATCCTGTAAATCCCGGGCTGGGCTGATTGATTTGCTTCGTCAATGACATTCCTTCGCACACTTTAATGCCCTGTATATACAAGAATACACAGACCGTAATTAATCTTTTATGTTATTCACAGGTCCGTTCACAAGGTCGCGGCGAAGTATTGTTGTCCTTGTGCTATCAACCGGCAACCAACCGCTTGACATGTGTCATTCTCAAAGCCAAAGGACTCCCACGGAAGAACATAATGGACTTGGCAGGTACTTGACAATTGTGGTGCAAACCCGGATGAGGCCTATTAGCTGACGCACTGACCACTTATTTTTCCTCCTTTTTTCCTCTTTCTCGCGGTTATGGTTCAAACCGGTAAACAATACGCACATTGAAAGACATTCTCCTCCGTGTGGGTGGAAAATGGCTGGCGTAAGTCGTTCCCGGCATCACGCTCGCCTGTATATAATATGCTCGATAACCGGCTTAATGGTTCATTACCTGGGGGCATATTCGGATCAGGGAAAGGTTAAAGCATCTTGGTTTAATCCAAAATCCAATAACTTCACCATGACGTAACGCAATCAATATATGTGGCCAAATTATCACGAGTCTTTACAGCCGTTAACAAGATTTTTTTGGTGAAACTGAATCTCAGTTAGCTCTTCCGGCGCCCTTCGCCATGACAAATCAGATATTGACCTTAACGCCGTCTGGTACTTAGTGGCTGCCCAAAGAAATGTCGTTTTCCAATGCGGAAAATTGTAGCAATCTGTAATATTATTTAAATAGTTAATCATTTGTGAACTTGATATTTGAAAAATGCCTGGTTTCCGCGTGCCGGTACGCAACCAATAATAATGCCAGTATATCACCTTTTCATGGGTAAGTTTCCCAGTTTTCGTTTTTAATAGTTGTTTTGAAGTCATGCTTTATGAATTTATTTATTCTTTGCTGTTAGAACGGGGCATTGCCTGTTCCAACTCAAGCCAGTCACAACATAGGCAAATGCCGTGCGGCTGTTGATTCTCAGTGGAAATGCCATGTTGATGTGGTTTTAATGCATTAGTCTTCGTTAAAATTGTAATAAGCAAAATGCAGTGTTGACATTTTCCTCGTTTGAAGAAAGTAATCAAAGCTTATTTAATGTCATCCATTAATAATTGTTAACAAATGACAAAATGACTCATTAGCGACTATAAAGCAACGGTACTCGTAGATCGTCGTAGGCAAAAATCATAAATATCCGAAAATTAAAACAAATTTTCCCGCTCATGGAAACCCAGACTTAGCTGCCTGCATCTGTTTACGTTTGCATTATTGCTTGTAGCAAAAAGGCGTAAGCATTATTGAAAGAGAGTTTGATGGAAAGAACAAAAACGGAAAAGCTCGCACTAAGGCACCACAACAGCAGTGCGCCCAGTGCACAAGCTTATTTCCTTTCAGAAGCGCTGATATTAGCGATCGAAACGTGCGCGTTAGAATTGTAAGCGAAAATAAGACTAGAAATCATTATTATTTTCGGTGTTATAAATCAGGATATCCAAAGGACTATCTGGTTGTACAAAGTAGTATGTAGCTGCAATATGAAAATGTTTTATTAATATCGAATGACACTGAATCGCATTACCAGTAACTTCTACCAAACCACATGTACTGCTTATATATAGACAGACTCGTACAATCTTGTGAGCCGGGTTATTTGCCGGTAGTTCACTAATGACCAAAAGCAAACACGCTGCCAGTAATTGTCCAGGTCACGCAGTAACCTTTGGCCATTAAATATTTAAGTGGCATCCCTTAACAAGTTTTTAATAAATCCAATAACTCAAATGAAGAATTATGTAACTACATGAGGGCTGTTAGTGTAACCGGAAAGAATCCTACAGCAAAAACGTGTTTGCTAACCTATCTTTTATTGTCCCATACCCTAATACTCCTGGCTTTTGCTTTCCTGGCTCCTGTAGAAAGCGTAAAATAAACACAGGGAAAATACTTGATATTATGTTGGCAGATTGCTGTTTATCGTGCGCGATGCCGGTTGGACTTGCAAGTACGGATGCCAAACGACACTGTTTTACCAAACTACGCTTTACTACATACGCATTCAGTTTTTAAATTTTCAAACAATTCGGAAACGGGTCGTTTTGAAATACGAATTCAACCGCGCATATGTTGCATTTGATGCATGGTTGTAAGCTAATTATTATGTTGCTTTTTGTTAAATCTGCTGCAAAAGCGTTTTACGCGTGTGACCTTTACCATGTATTCTTTTCAGACCCATACATGAAGCTGTATCTGATCTGCAACGGCCAGCGTATTGCTAAAAAGAAGACCCACGTGAAGAAGCACACTTTGAATCCGGTGTTTAACGAATCATTCGTCTTTGATCTGCCGGCTAACATTCAAGGCCTGGAAGGGGTCTCACTGGAGCTGATGCTATTGGATTTTGACCGGCTTACCAAAAACGAAGTCGTGGGAAGACTGGAGCTGGGCCCGAATGTTTTGGAGGAAACAGCACGCAAACATTGGCAGGACATTTGCAGCAGTCCACGGAAGCAGATTGCCGAATGGCATAAACTGCAGGAATGATCGATGGGAGCGGAAGTCACATCTATTTATTTAACCTTTTCACCTGCTGCAGTGCAGTTTGTAGAGAATATCGTTCAGTTGATGTTCACATCGATTGCCACTTTCATTTTTTATAATTTGTGCGACAACTGGCTGTTTATATTCATCTATCGGTATAAGAACCCCTTCTGTTGGCGGCTGAAAATAACGGAAAGCATACAGTTATAAGCTTCTTATTGATAGCAAAGATATATTTTTTGAGCCTTTGCGCTTTTTTTGTTTTCAATTTTTTGCTTTGCATTTCATGTTCAGATATCCACAACAACGAAATCATGCACGGCTTTTAAAGAACACCTTCACAAACTAATGGCCACCACAGTAATTATAGCCCGGCGTACGCTGAATAAAATCAAGAAAGCCCAACAACAACATTGTTAATACCGATGATTAAGGAGAAGAATATGCATGTTGTTGGCTAAATGCGAAAAGACATGACAGTAAATTATAAAGGCGCTTCGGCGCGTTTCGCCATTCAACCAGTGATCTTGTTGGTGTGACGTGTGTAGATTGTGAGCTTTATGTTTTGTTTTGTTCAACTGTCTTTGGTGTTTGGAAGATTTACGAGTGTTACTGTTGTTGACTTGTGATCAAATTACAGCGAATATGTATAACTGAAACGCGGTAGCACCAGATGCGGCGTAAATACAATAAACCAAATTAACTAACCAAGGAATAATTTTAGGGACCTTTACAGAATCGCGTTCTGCTTGTGTTCCGTCGGTTCGGGAAAATTAAATTAAATAAACATATGCTTTTTTTAAACGGAATTAATAGCAAAGCATACTCAGTACTCACCAATTAAGAGTGGCTGAAACCACATTGCTGCCGGTTCGGTTATTTTTTACCGTACGGCATGCTATGAAGTGGTAATGGCAACATGAACAGTGGCCGGCTTACCATGAGTCCAGCAAGCTGCAAACGATTCACTTTCGCCGTTTCATTTTTCTTTACTTAAATAAATTCTGAAGTTTTAATTTTAAATACAGTACCTTTTTTACAGTGTCTTCTATAAAAAATCGAAGTACGCCATCAGGCGATCAGGGCATCTGTCCCTTTTTGCACGTATTAGGTTAATCATGACTTAAATTTTTAGGTGTTCTCTTGCAGCATATTGGGTTTTCGGAACCATATGATGATATGATGAGACTGGTTGTTTGAGATTCGAGCACATAATACGGTATTTATTTTCGCAGTGGATTTCTTCCGATCTAGGCTTGAAATGTTTGCTTTTTAGATGGGTGCGAAAGAACACCGCTTCTTTTTTCACTCTGAACATTCTCCCAAACCGGAGAAGACTTTGGAAACCACGGAATCGCACATGTCGTTTCTCCACCGTCGTCCAAGTCACACGTTTCTTCTCCATTTTGATTTGCGTAAGTTTGCTTTACATCGCTTTAGAGCATTTTGGATGAAGGGTTTCTTTTTGTTTTTTATGCTGTTCAGCGGTTAACGATTTAGGCTAAATTTGTAAAGCAGCCAGTGTTAATGTGTTGACAAAATCAATGCAGTGACTTTAAAATGTTGACATTGCTGTCCATTGTTAAGGGAAGAATAGCAGCGAGTTTCCCGACACGACCACAGGAAACCCACGACGGACGAGCGAAGCCACTTTCCCTTACACTTATCGCAATACTGCGGACCAGGTGGTCTTGATCAGTCTGGGCTTGGTTCCGGCGTCCGTTCGGGATCGCTGCGAGCGGATTGTGTATCCGCCCTGCGTTGAAGTGTTCTTTAATAAGCGGATGAAATTGCAGGTAGGATGAATTTTCGAAATTCGCTTTTTCGGTCAGCTAATTTCTTGTAATACCTGCCCGGTTTATCATGTTTATAGTAATATAATTATAATTTCAGAATTGGTGTCATACTTTTTAATGTATTTTTAATTGTATTTGCTCTTGTTTTGACATTCGGTTGCTGTAAGCGCTTAGCATGGAAGTTTAGTAAAAGATCACTTACTTTTTTACCAGCACAGTCAAACTGTCAAACGACTTGTTGCGCCGGTAATTCTACAAAAGTTTCTTTGCTCTGTACAAAAGCCAAAACGTTATCAGGTACCAGCAGTTTTTGATCGAGTAACCGTGCATTTGGTTCTATGCTGTAAAAGTAAAAAAGGGGTTTTTTCAGTATACACATATATTTTTTTCCGCCTGCAGACATTTTTTGTTGTAGGTTACCCCCGTGGATCCCATACCGCACCCGGAAATCGCAGTTGAAGTACCCGTTTCGGAGTTGCTCGCGGAAAATCGACTGGCTGTCACATGGATGGATCCAGTAAACACCAGCCCAGATTTTCCGCTGAATTCTTCGCCACTTCCGGTTTGTGCATCTATAAACTTGCTGTAATTTTTTCGCTGGTGTTTTAATGCTGTTACATAGTTCATTATTTAAAAACGTATTACCGGTTGTTTTTTTGTAGTCTTATGCCGTATCCGTTTTCCTTACGAGAAGGAAACGGATAACAACGATTGTCGAGGAAATCAAGTCGGCTGTCAAGTCACTTGACGAGTGTGTAGCTGAAGGTAAGACTTATCACGCTTGACATGCAATGCATTATTAGAATTTATTTTAAAGAAGCACTGTATTTTTCAAATAGATGATTAAGTGGCTCGATAAATATCTCAAAATGGTATTGTTTGTGTGTTTTATAAATTTTGCAATTGTGTTGTTACGTTATTTAGAGTGTCTGCGGTTCACATCAGCGGAGGATGAAGGCGTTTCTGCTGGAGAACGGTGTGTTTCATTAGCTTGTCCAGTTTTGAAGAAGCGTCCACTTAATCCAGCTCGAGGCAGAAATTGTCCTCACGTTGAATGCTACGATGTCAGCGCGTATGTCTCCATCAATTTTCCCAGCTCAAAAGCCCGCTGGAAGTGTCCATATTGCAGTCGCACAGTACTGCCACAGGATCTCCGTGTCGACGAGTATGGATAATTATGTAGCTGGATAATACTAAGACTATAAGAGTAATCAAAGAATTTGCCATGATAGTAATTGCTGGCACTTGATATTATAATTTGCGAAATTACGAGTATCTTAATGTTCTGTTTTGCATTTTTTGTTCGTTTTGCTAATTATGAGGTGAATAGCGTTTGACAAGTTTCATGTATGTCTATTTTCGGAATAAGCCTTGCTTTGTTTTTTTGCCAGATTTTTCCAAGAGTTGCTGAAATTTACTGATAAGGAAAAAATCGAATTATTCCGCGAAGGATTCGATCTCGTTATTCGGGAACCTTTGGACGACTCCATAGTTATTGATCTCGAAGAAGGTGAAATTATTTTAAAATAACAGAAAAGGGAGTGTGTCATTGTAACGAAACTTTGGAGAAACCTTTTGTCGAAGATACGCAGAAATTATATAATTTATTTTGACTTAATGCTGGACTTTAATTCATTTCAGTGAATTTTTTTGAAATCATGTGATTTCTGGGATTAATTTAACTTGTGTTTTTGCAGATGAATTGGATCTCGATACAAACCCAACTGTGAAAACCGCACAAGATAGGTGTTCACAGCCTGCCGAACTGTCCATTCAGGAGGACATACAGGAGTACGTTCTGGATAGCGATAGCGACATATCCATACTGGGAATTAAGGATGATCAGTCTTTGGGCGATGAGGATGATGACAACAATCGTAGCGATAACGATGAAATGGATGCAGATGATGATTCCGATCCACAATCGGCTGGCAGTTCCAGTGGTGGAGCGCCTGTTAGCCGTCAAACTTACCCGGAGCCAGAGGATGATGACAGTGTGATTATTATTGACTGATGAGAATGCTCATAACAGAACGTTCTTTCCTTACATTATATGCCTTTACAGTAGATGTATATACTGTAAATAAGTTTTTGTTTCAGGTTCCTGTAACAGTGATCTTTTCTCGGAAGTTTGAGTGATTCTCGTACAAAAAAATAATGCATTTCCGTAAGGAATAGTATACTACAGTATTTTTGTGTACTAAAGTTGTTGATGATTCTCTACGAGTATAGTTTTGTTGTACACATTCTGCAGATCTGCACATTGTTGTAAATGCGCTGTAAAAAGTGGTTTTACTTGCAATTCTTTTCGATGCTTTTTAATTTTTACGTATTGATGCTTGTCTCAAACACCGAAATATACGTAGCAGTCTGTCTGTAAAAAATAAATACGTATTGTAGATTATGTGCGAAATATTCAGTTGTTCCTTATTTAGAAAACTGTTCATGCAAGAAGGTGAATTCATGACAAAACCCATGTTTGTTATGGAATTTTCCCTTGCATTAAAAGTGCCGACACATGCAAACTCATATTAATAATTATGCATATCATGCCTAGGTAGTTTGTTTCATGGGACAGGAAAAGATTGCAATCTTGTATCATTAATTCAGTACGTTAGTGACAACTTGATAGGTGTTGTTTGTTGTAACATGTCACAGATAAATTATCATTTTCAACAAGTGCAATATGCTTCCACTATTTACCTGGTCGCTTGATAAAGTACTGGTTTAAATATGATAGCCGGATGAATAATGATTTTGTTTGCGTACCCACTAATGAATTCATTATCGCCAAAGGTTATACGCATCTGATGAAGCGCTTTTTTTACTCTCTGATGTCCACAAGCGAAGTTACCCACGTGTTCATTTTATGTTTCGTCTAATAACGCACAAGAATATTCATGTTTTCGAATTTTGACCATGCTTTAACTGATTGTGGTATACCGATATTACGTACCGGTACGAGTGCAACATATTTTATGCTGCTACTCAATTGTCCATAATGCGAGGTTTTACTTGCGGACATAATTCGATATGTTTATGGATTTGCATTATTTTTATCACAGGTAAATGCTGGAGTTTCTTTATCTTGCTTCTTGGTGGTACTTGTAGTAAACACGGTTCTGTTTCTTCTATTTTGCAGTTTTGCATTTAGAGGCTAGCACTGCTAAGTTGGTGCGGAAGAAATCGGAAGATGATGACAGCACCGAATTATCCGATGTGCAACCCCGCTTCATTTCTATAATTCACCATTTCGATCACTTTCCCAAGGTACTGTTTAAGCTGAGAAATCTGTTGACCTACTGACTACTGAGTAGCAGTTAATACGTCTATATCGTGAAATTTTACGCTCTGATTTTAGAAAATATGTAAAAGCTATAAAAATCAAAAAAGCAAAATTTTATGACAGAGATTATAGAATACAATACGAGTGAAAAAAAATTATGTACGAAAAGAAAGGTGTGCCAATGTGTTTGTTACCGTGCAAATGTTTCCAAACGTTCTTTTTGAAGCAGTTGTTGTGCTGTTGAGACATCTTGTTGTGGGAGAGTAACGTAGCGTACAGAACGCATTTTTCCACTACACAAAAAGCTTTCTTTACCGCTAAAAAGTAACACATTTGTATTAATATGATTTACTTATTAATATCTGTACACAGACACCCTATCACTTACGGTTAGCTGGATAATTTATTTTTCTTGATATTTGATATGCCGTTAACGCTTGAAAACTTTAAGCTTTTTCGCAATGTCGAGTGCAACTTGTTTAGTTATGTATGCATGTGCCGGTATGTGTATAAATATGTATTGTATTGTGAAAAAAATTTTAGATCGTAATTTTTTCATGAAATTGTTCTTAAACTTTACACCTGTACAAAACGGAGCGCTTATTTGCATTGATTTGTGCGTTTAGCCGAAAGGGATGACGACGACGACCGAGGAGCCGGAAGAGACAACAACTGAGGAAACAACCACCACCACTACCACAAAAAGGACAAAGAGGAAGAGAAAGAAAACAACTACGACAACTACAACCACTACCACAGAAGAACCAACCACCACCGAGGAGCCGACCACAACCACGACAACTCCGACTACGACCACTAGAACTACTACTATACCGACGACGACACCCACAACTACCACCAAAAAGAGAACAAAAAAGCCCACCACCACAACTACCACTACTACTACCACTACACCGACCACGACGACAACCACCACGGAGCTGACAACGGAACAACGCAATATAGTGTACTGTGTGATAGAACGGGCCTACTACTATGACAGATGTCCTGTGCATGTCGCGCAAACAACCAGACGACCCATGCAGAACCAAGCAGCGGCAGCCGCCGCCGCGGGCGGTGGAAGGGGCGCTGTAGGACCGGGTGGTCACGGGGTACCGGCGCGCGGTGCCGGGCAAGGTACCGGTGCAAGGGGAGGTGGACGGGGAGGCGGTGGCCGTGGACGGGGGTAAAGGTCACATATGAACTATTGCTGTTAACAACGACATCGTCGTGGCTAATCCTGAACATTAATTTATCTTTTTGTTAGTGTTGATGAATTTATTGTTGATGTTAATCAATATTAAATGGTAATGCACATGCGATTTTACAAGCTTGTTTGTCGGCTAATTTTTCTATTTCAAATATGACGTGGAGTTGTGCGACTTTTGCGTCAGAATCGCAACTTTGTATGTCGGTTTGAATATTTACGAGCACAATTTATTGCTTTTGTGATATACGTTATTTGCATCGCCAACAACGATGATTTATTGCTTTTGTTCTACTGCAAGCTACTTGATGAGATTAATAGTATATCATTACCGAGCGATATTAGACAGATTTTTATGCTGAAGCATCTAGCTGATTCACGGGCACAACGACCGGCTGCAGTCGACAAAAAACTCATTTACAATCTGAAAGCGTGCGTATTGTACGTAAACACCTACACGTAAACACTTGAATAATCATATTAGTAGGTGCTCATACCTGTATTGTCACCTGCCGATGCGTTTCAGTTGGCGTACAATGCATACGAACACATTCCAAGTTCACTTCCGCACTGTCAAAAATGTGATCTGCACAAGCGCAACCAGTGACCTTAATACCGGCCCGTTATTGTGTACATACCATTCTACCAACATTGAATTAATATTATTCTCAGTGTGCACGCTGTGGTTAATTAAAGTGTAATATGCGGATATCGATGGGTGTAGATAATTATAATAATTTAGGGTTTATGTTATACTCGAATCAAATGCACAGTTTATCATATTTATTGTTGTCACTGCGTTTTCGCATGCGGAAGTAAGTATATACACAAATCTTCTCACATGGACATTGGACACGCACAAACAAAAATAAAATTCGCTCGTACCGGTATTGTCGTTAAAACACTGAAGAGTATTTTTCGTTTTGTTGTCATAGTTTTCAGTTCATGTAAGATATCGTATGCATATTTTCATACACTGATCAATGGCGCTTCCGGGCGGCTTTGGCTTCCAAATTTTTTGCTGCATTGCTGCCTTGGTATACTGTAAGCGAGATCGATGCGTACGGAACCATTAGCCAAACTAACCGCATAGAGCTTTAAAGGGTAGAACAGCTTTTAAATGCAGGTAGAATACGTTTTTCTCATTTGTAAACATCGTTATTCATTTGCCAAACACGCAAACAGTCTTCTGGATCGCCATGTGCTTTAATAATGTTAAGATATTAATACTCCTAATGTGACAAAGATTACTATAAGACTTTTACGGCTACTCGATTTTGGGTAAATCATTTGCAAGTACTAATAACGAAATACTGCAAGCACAGCCTTACGAACAACTCGTACGGGTTGGCTCATTGCATAAAATGAATTACACCGATTGTAATCCTTAAATATATGCTGTTAAGGTTTAATTCCGGCCAGCGGTGGAATATTCTTATTCAGGCGCCAATTTGGACAGTTTCCGAAATGGATTGATGCCCGCCCAAAGGTCAGTCAGTTCTTACAAAAACCATTAATTTTTAATAACTAAGGAAGAAATAATAGTTTATTTTCGTTCGTATATCCGGGGCATCTAAGAGTTCCTTTTATATTTTTAATAAAGACTACTCTGTAGTTAGCTAATAGCTATACAAAATCGTAATGTTTTCAAGTATTGATATGTTATCCTTTTATTGCTCGAACGTATAATTTTTTGTTCACCTGACATAACAGGTAGATACAAGTCATACAGGCATATGCATGTACTCTACAGTAGATCAACTGTCCAGCTGAATATTTAGGAAGCATACGACGCATGGATCTTCGATGACCGTTCCATTGACCCTATTCCTTCGCCGGCAAATATCGGGAAATTAGTCTACTGTATCTTGGAAGATGCCTTTCTCCCTAAATGTCCTGTTCACCGGCCCCAACCATGGTTATCGACTCTCCCCTACCGCGGCAACCAACCGCATCAATATGATCCTGATTATGTTCGTCAGCCGGCGAAACCGTTCACCTTCGCTAACAGCCCCTTCCTACATCCGCTTGCCCATCAAGACCTCACACCTCAACACGGGCGCCCGAATAAACCAAACAAACCCAAGCCGGTGAACAATGACGGGAACAAACCTTCGGACAGTAAACCGAACCATATCCCACCCAATGCCGGAAATGGTCAGAGCGGGAATCAGATCCGCCCAGAAGGTCATGGCGGGCATCCTGCAGCGGGAAGCGGGAACCATATTAATAATTATAAACCAATACAAGCGAGCAATCCGTTGACCGGAAGTGGCCAAGGTCACGGAGGGGCAGGAGAGCATCCACGGCCGCCCTCCTCTGCAACGAGCAATCATCAGAACTCCGGTGGCGGAAACCGACCAGGTGGTTCTCCAGGAGGCCAGCCAGGTCGAGGTTCTTCCGGAGGCTTAGGCGGTGGTAGTCACCCCGCCGGTGGAAGTGGCGGTGGAGGTAACCACGGAAGCGGTGGCGATGGTAGTGGAGGAGGTGGTAGAGGCGGTTCTTCAGGAGCACATGGAGGTGGTGGAGGCGGAGGCCAGGGAGGTGGCGGTCACGGAGGTGGTGGAGGTCATGGCAGGCGGAAGTGGAGGAGGAGGGTCAGGTGAGGTGGCGGTCGTGTGGCACGCAGGAGAGGAGTGGTGAGTCAAGGGGAAGCGGCCGAGTGGGAGTGGTTCTGGTCACGGCAGGGGTGGGTCTGGCGGGGAGGTCACGTAGGAGGTGGTGGTGGTGGCCAAGGCGGAGGAGGAGGAAGAGGTGGTGGCCGTTGGTGAAAAATGGACACCCAGCCGAACTCAAACAACTGCTTACTACGTACAAAACGTGGATACAAATCATACAGTTAATCCTGATTCGAATTGCATATGCGCCAAGTTGATGCAGTATAATGATTGAAAACTGGCTTTACATATGCACTGGATATACATTATTTACACTTTATACTTTTAACTTAGTTGCTTTTAAATTTTCTTTACAGCGTAATTAATGCTAATTAACTACACGCGTAGTAGCTCAACTTTATTCCTGTTGGACTGTATTTACTGCGCTGCACGTTCACATTCGTATTATGCAGGCATTAATAGTACAGCTACATTAATTCAGAGCCACAGAAAAATTAACATATTTTATGATCATCAAAATACATTAACATCGTGAACCATGCCATATTTTGCACCACTGCCTATTAAAGTTTGCGTTTCTCAGCTATGCAGTTTGTGTTGTTGGTTACGCGCGAAATACGGCAAAATTACTAAATTCCGATTTTACTTTTAACCTCCATTAAGTTTTCATCACAAATCTGTGGCAGTGTTAACAATAATACGACGCCTTTAAAATTAAAACAACATGTGCAATTTTCAGTACATGGAATTGTGGAAATGCCAATACAATACATGGAAATGTACAGTATATCTATCAACAATATTTACAGCTTAAACAGAAGTGTACATAAAGCGAATACTACAGAATATATAAAACATAATACTTCTATACATATTTTGCAATTAATAATCACCAAAACCCCCGAAACCACCGCCACCGAATCCGCCACCAAAATCACCAAAACCTCCCGCCATATCCGTTGACGACAGGGAATCCACGGCGCCGCTACCCCCGAAGCCCCCGAAGCCTCCGCCCATCCCACCAAACCCACCAATGGCATCCGTGACATCCATCGTATCCACCACGCCCCCGCCGCCACCTAATCCACCGAATCCCCCGCCTAATCCGCCACCGAAACCCCCAAATCCACCAATAGCGTCCGTCGCATCCACTGTATCCACCACGCCCCCGCCGCCACCCAATCCACCAAACCCACCACTTAATCCACCGAATCCCCCACCTAATCCACCACCGAAACCTCCAAGCCCGCCCAAGCCACCGCCGAATCCCCCTCCAAAACCTCCTCCAAGACCTCCCAGTCCTCCTCCAAATCCTCCCAACCCGCCTTCAAATCCCCCGCTAAAACCCGGGAAACCAAATTGCCGTTTAGTCCGGCGTCCTCCGCGGCGCCATGCTGCCGCACGCTGAAAGCGGCGCAGTTCGGGATTTTTTGGTGTCAGGACGGACTGAATATCGCTGGGCACTTTCTGCTGGGGATTGGTGACCGGGGATGGTTCCGTGAAGTTGTTAGTGCCGTTGACCGGAAGTGGTGCTGCCGATCCGATCTCGATGGTCCGTGTTGTGGTGGTGACCAGTTCATGGGGCGTGGCACCGAGGGAGATGGTTGATAGTCCGCTCCACTCGGCGGTTGTCGGCAGGGCGGTGGTGTTAGTGCCAATGTCCTGCAGTTCGCCATTTCCTATAAAACATTTGTATCGCGCTGTTTGTAATCAAAATACCGTATCGACGTACACCAGAATTTGTTCTACTACGTATTATAAAAATAATGCGTAGTGTACCTGAATATATAAAATAAAGAATAAAGAAGCGAACCTACTCGCACAATATACAATACTTATATAACACGATATTTCTATACAATATTTAGTATGCAGCAGAATTTTACATTAAGTACATACTTAAGACTATAATATGAGCCTAACAAAGGAAGCACAGAATTTAAACACAATTGTACAAAAATCTGTGACTTCGATTTTTCAGTATAGGTAGTCTATACTTCTATGGATTGAAAGATGTACATACAGAGGTAAGTATGGCTAATGATACTTACTCGTTATGTATATTATGAGACTTACCAAGGGCCATGTATACCAGTATAAGGAAACACATAAGATATATCAGACATTTTGCCATGCTGATTAGTTCACGATCAGTATAAACAATCCCAAGACACATAAAAAATCAATGGTGAAGAGACTTTGTGACTACAATAAGCTGCGTCGCAGAATCGAAAAGATTAAATGTACTAGAAATTACGATTACATCTACCGTATCTTGTACCAGATCAAGCGACAAACAACATTAAAGGTCACCATATACATGGACGTATAGTGCATTGCAGTCACTGGTGTTACCGTATTATTACACTGTAATGGAGGTACTGTTAGTGGTGAACTTGGGCAGCAAAATTTATCAAATAAATCTGAGAGTTCTACATCTGGTAAAGCAATCTACACTCCATGGACGACATCCACTAGAGTAGCCATATTTGATCGCTGTATATATTTGTACACCGTCCACCTGGAGCATGGGTTTCAGATGGCAACCGGCAAAGATTCACATTGTTATAATAATGCCTTTGATATTCGGATGATGTAATCTCAGAAAATTCACTTGCACTTTCATTGATAAGGAAAACTGCAAGGAGACTGAAGGCTTTCCGTCGGTGTCTATCGGTAGAAGAGACTACATGACAGTCAGTCGCGACATTACAAAGTGACCAGCGGCTAATCCCAATGTGACCTATTTATTCTTATTCATGTGATGAATGTCCATGAACTGGTCTTTTCAATACCCCTTTAATTACTGTTCATCGGTTGATAAAAACCGAAAACAAGCAATTAATTGGTCGTTTCTTCACTTATCGGGCTTTGAGCCCGGGAATCCCTGAGAGCATTGCATTTGCTTCACACCTCATTGTCAGAATTTCGTGGTTGGTACTGCAATACTTTCATCGACGTGGGTAATTTCAAATAACAGCAAATAACGCAATATTCAATAAATGCCAGTTTATGGTGGGCTCTCTTAGGTAGAAACATCAGTACAAAAGGTACAAAACGTAAAAACTTATACATGTACAGATGTAGGAGTAGTAAAAGTACAATTATTACGAAATGAGACCAAAAATAGCGTTCACATAATGCGTGCTGGATACATGGTGTCAACTAGAACAATTATTGGGAGCGATTACTTTGTCAAAACATAAACATGATCATCCCAACGTAGAAAGGATCGTTTGGGCGGATTGGTGAGAACGATCCGCTTTCCTGTCGATTTATCGACACTTCCCTGCAGTTTTCGGGATATCCCAAGGCAGATCATGGAAAACTGGAGAGCCGTATTGAACAACACTCCGTATGTCAGATTCTACAAAATAAACATTCAAAAGTTTAGGTTTTGATTGATATTATTCTAATGTCACTTCCTACTAATCTGAGCAAAATTTCCAGTATTAAACGAAATCCAGCAAGTAACAAGTGCTTTCTATATAGTGTAAGTGTAGTGTAAGACTGCTTTCTATAGTGTAAGTAAAGGTTCCTGCAGCAAAGTATACGTACTACGTAGTAGCAAAATAATGGACCAACATATATTTACGGAGCCATCACAATTAAATTTCCAGAAGTTCAATAAATAAAAAAGTAGCAATGTATAGCTGCATACGCTTTCCGTGAAGGATCCCGTTGCTATCCATGGGCCGTCCTTCACCGGAATCAGCCGAATGCGAATGTTGCAGTCGGACAGTTTATCGGGTGAGTACTCGTCTCCGCCCATTAATCCCACGCCTTCCGCTAGGTAACTTTCCATTAGAGGACTTTGAAATCCGTACAATAGGTGCTCCACCACGGCCACGGCCAGAGGAGTGAAATAACTCTACATTTTAGAACAAATTCCAGACTTTTAATGATATCATGAGGTGCCCGTAAGATACCAATTTACACACGCACAAAAAGCGGGCACTTGTTGATTCATGTTGCAATGCCGGTATTTGGATGGAATTACTAGATATTTGGATAGTATTATACGGTATTCTTGGTTTTATTACAAGAAAGTCACGTATGGTTAGTACGATAAATCTGTTAAAAAATGAATACGATAGTTAGTACAGATAATTACTCGTAAGCTATGTTTAGCCGCGCACTTACCGTGCAAACAAGGGAATCCAATGCTGAAATGGTCACGGTTTGTCCGCACATGTATGGTTCCATCAGGAATGCTTCGGTTACTTCCGTTTCCGATGGAGCACATTCGCTTAACATCCGCACGTTATGGTCGTGTTCTGTTGGCAGGTAGTTATCAAAATTAAATCAAAACACGTTACCAACATGTATTGATAAGAAAATGTTAAACGGCATTTAGTCAAAAACTACTCAATAGTTTAATTGTTCTATAGCTTACGAAGAGCCGTGACGATTGGCAGCTCGAAATCACTTCCGGCCATCTTCCCATCGGGATGGTCAAAGGGCATGGCTTTCAGGTTTAGTGTGGTCAACACGGCGGTCTTATCGTCTAAGATGGGGTCGATAGACTTGCCGGTCCATGCCGATAGAACCACGCACATGGCGGCGGTTTTTACTGAGACCGCTCGCAGATCTGCCCGGTTGAGCGGATCTCCGTCCACAACGGTGATCAGTGGCAGATTGCGGAGTTGCGGCCACTCCCTCTCCAAGTACACCGGATTGCCCAGTAGAACAATCTCTTTTAGCTCGTTATGCGGGATACGGCTGCTGCGCATCGGCACGACAAAATCCCGCAGATCCATGATGGGATCATCCGGATGGGAAGATACCAGGACGATAATGTGGTTTTTAAATGGATAATCCAACGCCATACTTCGATCCTGAACAAATATCGTGTACCAATTTCATAAACGATCAAAAATTTTGCTAAGCTGTGTAAAACACATCTATATTAAGGCTGCAACAAGAAGAGTAAACAAAAACGTCACCGTCAACCGGACACTGTTTTTTTGGAGGCGAAATTTCATTGAGGTATTAACTTACCAACAGTATGGACGCAAAGGGGCGGCTCTCGCACCAGTAAAAATTGCGCGATATATCCAAGAAAATTTTGGTTTTGGCATGGACGGACTTTTTACGCAGGAGCCGGCTGTCGCTGTTGAAGTCTGCACTGTCTGTCAACCTGTTGAACACAGAACACCGACCTGATATAGAAGTATACCGGTATATCATCGGAAACGTTTGCCGCTGCTATATTTTTAAAAACATCTCGAAATGCTCTTCATAAAGCTTAAAGCTAATCAAAGCTTAAGATAGTAGGATTTAAGGTTACAGCAGTGTAAATATTTCTATTTGTACATACGCATCACTGCGGATTTTGCGCATAAGCATATCTTCAAATCCAAATGAATGTTTCGTTGGCTTGAGGGATTTTATGGGCGCGGCGCCATCCGCTTCCACTTCTTCCCGCGATTGGCCCCAGATACTCCGGTAAGGATTCCTGCGCGCTTGAACACTGGATCGTTTCGCTTTTGCTCCTTAAATAATAAACCCATAATGGCACCAATGGCATCCATAAAATATATTTGGAAATGGCTATTGTCACCCCCCTGCACCCCCTTTTGACTATCGTCGCTCCCTTGCACCCCCTTTTGACTATTGTCACCCCCTTTATTTTAATAAAATACACACCCCCTTTGACTATTGTCACCCCTCACAACACGCCCTTTTGGCTATTGTCACCACCTTTCAATTTATTTTAATAGTCAAAAGGGCGTGCAAGGGGGTGACAATAGCCAAAAGGGGGTGTGAGGGGGTGATAATAGTCGCACCCAATATATTTTGCATTGGTTCTGACAACAGATAGAGTAAAATCTGTTTTACAGAACACGCAGTTGTGAATTCCACTGGATTTCGTATCGGTACTAGCGCAAAAGCGCACTCTGTTGGGCTTTCTTACCGTGCTTGCATTTGCATGGGACACATCGTCCGACATCCTTTAGATTAGCGTGGCATGCTTGACAGTACCAGGAAACTCTGCGCACGTCAATGGCTGACCGTGCAAGAAATATTCCGATACAGTCCTCGCTGATGATTACCGAACCATCACATAACAACAGCCCACTCCTTCCGTTTGATTCTGGAGTGCTGGCATTAGTGCGCGCGGGAGTAAAGGTCCCGATGAGCACGACATCCAATTTGGAATAGCACAATCTGTACATATGCATTAGTAATCAGGAGTATATAGATATATCTGTACACTTCCAGCAACAATGCAGTTAATTTACGTACTCGGCAGCCTGGAAGAAGGTCATCCCGTAACAGATCGGACTGAACGGGCCAGAATACATTTCCATATAGCATCCGTGGACGTAATCCTGTACTTCCTGTGATGCTTCGCCAATATCCAGAGATTCCGATAGACTCGCGCGGATCATGTTGGAGAGTAGCGTGGCACAGCCGGGAGCCAGGCAGTTCTGCGCGGTTAAGGCCAGTTCCAACTCTTGAAAGCAGATCACCGTATCACCTCTCTCCATAAGAAACCCAGGAATACTGCTAAACTGAGACTGAAAATTAAAAAGAAAAATTTACTGTACGTTGTACACGTGTTCATTCTTTTACGCTACAGTGTATAATAACTTCATTCACGCTACATTGTATACAGTGTTAAGATCATATAATGCAAATCTTTTATAGCAATATCTGCATCTGAACACTGCAATTTTCTATCAATGTATGCTGCGCAAATACACTGCAAATTATCGTACATACTTTATAAACTTTTATTTCATTATATGAATTTTGTCGTACTATACCATTGCTTTTATGTCATATTTACTGCATATTGTATACTCGTACACAATAACAAATTTGTTACGATCAGCACAAAGCTGTAGTTCGAAAGCTTCGAACAATGTTAACGTTTTTGTATTAACTATACTTCACGAATATTAAGTACTATGACTGTTGTATATTAAGTACTAAATTAAGTACTATGTTGTATATATTGTTATAATATTAAGTACTATGTTGTATATATTGTAGTATTATTTTTTATATTAATATTGATTACTATTATAATTTACCTTGGTGCCATTTTGAAGCACTTCCGCAACACAGCGCAGATAAGGATTCCAGCTTTTAATACTGGCTATCGTTAATAACGTCGTGGAATCGTCTTTATAGGGATCAACTGAACTGCGGTTGGCCACGTGCAGGTAGGCAACGGCTGCGTTGACTTTTGCGTTCTGCAGGCAGGCGGCATGCAGGAGGCTTCCTTGCACATACTGTACGTATGTCTGGACTTCTTTTAATAACGACTTCATTTCCATGCTCGGCTCTTCCCTGAAAAAAGCAGTTGTAACATTTGTTGCAATTGCTTGCTTGTACAGTAACATCGTAAGGTAACATTTGTAAGGTTTGATAATTTGTCTGCATTGAGCATGCGGTACTCACGAATTAACGAAGACGAGATCAAGGCTTCTTTGTCGCCGGTCGGGTCGGCTGAGATCCTTGATCAGCGCTTGCATTGTAGTGGCGGTAATATGACCGGAAACGATGACGTGCTGAATACCACTGCCCAGTTTGTACGGCGCAGTAAACTGCTGAAAGTTGCTAATCAGTCCATAGATTTCCGGTACTGATGAGGCAAATAATGCCTAAATTTAACACACGTTACCCACTGGATCGCCTTTCAACGTATTGTGTAAGTCGGTATTTGCGAAAACTTTTTAAATTACTAATAATAAACTGATCGATAAGCAGCAAAAATTAAAATGACAGAATTTAACTTACCTAAATAATTACTGACTATGAGCTTAAAGTAAAGAAGTCGTTCATACAGTACAGTACATACAACAAAAGTTTTAAGCAAGGTGTAATCATTTCCTTTTACGGATGGTACAAATATTTTGGTTTGAAATCAAAAAATACTAATTAAATCTCCCTGATCAACCAATCGCCAAACCGGTAAGTAGTGCGATACCATATTCAAGAGATGTTTTGTATTGTTCATACCAAAGCTCCAACAATGAACATGATGCAGAAAATTTGGCCAAGGGTGGATTTAGGCGAAAGGTCTCCATATCCGACGGTTGACCTAAAAAAACCATACCTCATAAAGTTTTTGAAATTTTTTTATCTTATACAGGCTTTCTTCAAAATTTTTGCAGAATCAGTAGTAGAAATACTCCGGCAACTGGTATGTTTGAGAAACTGTCGAATCAATAAATTTCCAAATAATATTCTACATATATTCTTGTTGTACAATTTAAGCAAAATATCACATACATAGTGCAAAATATCGCGCTTGTGTTTTTTTATATGTTTTCTTCTACAACCTAGTATTTCCGGCTGGCATTATTCAACATCAATAACAGGAATGGACACAAGCTTCAATCTACGTACAAGGTCACCACGGACATATAAACCCATTCCCAGTAGGTTTTGTCTTGTTGACCGACACGGGCGCCAATCCAATCATCGCCAGTCAGTTCCAACTGAAAAGTAAAACAAATCTTTTTTATAGTTCGGCTTGTATTCCCTTATTGCACGTTTTGCAACAATAAACACATTTTTTAGCAGGCATTTTTTAGCATTTTTTTCAGAATTACGCGAACACCGCAGAATTTCGGGTTAATCGATGTGTAAAGGGTGCCGTGGTAAGTTTACTCCAACACAAAAAGTCTAACATCGCGTACAGCTGGATATAACGTATGTATAATTTACACTTGTGGGACTTCCGGCGAATCGGACATTAAACAATGCTGTCCATTGATAATTAATTTCGATATGCAACCGTTGCAGCCGCATTGTAGTGTGTGTGAGTATCGTGCGTGTGTGTTCCTTACCAAATGAAATATTCCAGCCGCCACCAGCGTCACGGTAACGATTACCGTGCAAATGTAAATCAATCGGCGAATAGTGGCTTTTTTAACCAGCTGGGAATAGCGGAAGTAGTCAGGGATAAACAACAGATGGCAGGCACGCAAGCATCGCAACCCTGTTAAATGCGAGTATATAAAATGCCGGTTGACCCGGGAATAAATTGCACGCCACTGGGCCGCCGTGCAGAGTATTCACTAAGGATACTTGATACAATCTTGATACAATCTTGATACGATTTCAATGTTAAAATTCGGCTGCATTAAAGCAGTACACTGCTGCATGTACATGTATATTACTTTCATTTACCAATCCAATCGTGGTTGAAGATGAGGGTAAGAAACGATGGGGGAATGGTGAAGTAGGTGACCAAGGACTTAATCGATAACAAGAAATCCACTTTATCCATGGCGCCAATAAACTAAAAAAACTAACACTTTTATCCGACGGGGACCAGCAAATATTTGCATTTCTGTAATGCAATTTTAGCAACCTCCGTACTCTTAGCATAAAGATGGACAACAAGATCGCGTTGCAGATGAACTCGACCTGCAAATCGATACGCTCCGTCCAGTTAACACAGCTTTCCACGGCAATGGTTTTTCTGCAAAATGTACAATCATAGTAGTAGTTATATCGATGTACAATTGCATTGCATACTTGTTTACGGACGAAATACAGGACATCCATTATTGTTACAATTTACGGTATTCAAACAAAATATTATATGTATTAAGCATTTTTCAATAAATGACTGCTCAACTGTTTAAATGTGCACGCAGTTTTATCCATCGTTCTGATACGTATATTAATGAAAATGGGATTAATTTATAAAATTGGCTTTATAAAAACAATTGCGATGGATTTTGTTTAAATTTTGCCTGCATACGGCTGTTTCAAAATTTCATAGATTTAAGTTTTCAGCCGGCCGAATTTTTGATGAAGAACAGCAGCTGTCCGCTAAACGATTGTGGGATACTACTTGTTATTCATGACAAAACTCGTTCGTTTTAAATTCCCAGCTGATAATACACTCCAGAGCAATTCACTATGATACCGACACGCGCCGGTGCTATCCACTTAACCCTTGCAGATTAATGCAAAAAAAAAGAGCAATCCCGTCAAATGATACCAAAGTGGGCGAATCTCAGTTGTAAAATGCTGTCGCAATGAAGGATTACACCGGATGCAGATTAAACCGCGTTGTATAATAAGAAGCTCAATGCAGAGCATTTACTCGTAATCAAGGCATGCTGCCGATCGCATTCACCAATCACATAAACAAACGCACCCATACGTGTGGCAGACCGGAAATACGAAAAGTCAAATCAAAAGTGCAAATCCGTATTAGATGTTTGTTAATACGAGTATGAACCTACCTGGAGACATGGGAGAAATACAGAAACAGAACTGCCATTCCAAGGAAAAACTCCAAGAAAGCCTACAAAAGTGTGTCAGTCGTTTTTAGGTGTTGCAGATTGTGTGCACTAGCGGTGTTATACAGTATACAGCTGCAGTTCAAAAATTTCTCAACAGTTCGGTAAAAAACTGAAACATAATGTACTAATTTTAATGGCAACATCCGGCAATGGCCGGTATATATACATCTAATTTTGCTAAAATACTCGTACATCTGATTCATATATTATGTAAGTATAGAGGTATCTAATTTAGGTTAAAATAACTTTACTTTATTATGTTTTGTACAAAGCGCTGCTGCAAAAATTGTAAACCATATACTGCTTGCCATTATATTAGTATAAAAAATTCTTATGACATAAACAACCGCATATTTTATCTGAATACATATTCCACTAAATTAATTTTGTTCAATTTAAGCACCAGCGTTCTTCCTGTTGTCGTCGATAGTGAGATAGTTTCCCCGATAACAAATTTCGCCGTGGACATCCAGCTGGGCCGTTCGTTGGCTCCATGACCAGTTGGTAAGGCTCCGGGGACTAATTTGTAGCTTCGAGCATTTCGATGTTCCCAGACGGATAGCAGAGCCCTGCCTATCGCTAGTCCCAACGCCATAACACTGCCGAACGCCACGCACGCAGCTAAAAAAATTGGCCACATCCGTTCGCCGCAGTGCACGTAGGGCATTGATGCCCAACTGTCAAAGTGAATAAAGCCTCTTTTAATCTTTTAAAAGACCCATTATAACAATAACAAGACCGTACCTCGCTTCCGTAATCGATTCCTGTGTGGCATTGTCGAGGGTGGCAGTGGTGTTATCCGTGTCCGAATAATTGATATTGGCGAAGCGAACACGCCGGCGAAAATGGTAGGGGCTGAATAGTGCCGATAAGCCATAATCCATTTTTATTTATTTTTAAATGTTATTCCCGATAACTTTACTACTTAAGTATATTCTAACTATCAAACACTATTTTTAAATTTTTAAATAAGAAAATATAAAACAGTTTGCCGTTGGTGAGTTAGAAACGGAAAATCGCTGCCAGCGCTAATTTTGCGTCAAAAGAAAAATGGAAGTATCTTCTTAAAGTGCCGGGATAATGGCTACAAGAAACTGCCGGCACTAACGATCCAGCTCGACTTATGCCGGGTGTAGTCGAGCAGTGCCAATTATTTTCTCTGGAGTACGTTTGCCGGTGGCGCTGTTCGTTGCTCATCCGCAGGCGACACCCATTTCGTGTAATAACGTGTGCTGCACTGGCGTGAGAAAACGGCAACAGCCAAACAACGCCCGTGTAACGCTACGGTATGACTCCCATGCACCCAGTATGTGGACGCGGAAGCTGTTCACCCATAACATACTCCGATCAATCGATGGATTTGTCAACCCATTTCTCGTAGCTAAACGCTTCTGCGCTTCCTGTGTTGTATACTGATAGCTAAAAAATAATAAACAACTACAAACCTTATCGTGTCCTGCACTCCATAACTAGACCAGTTTTGTCGCCAATTGTAAAAATTCTAATTACGCCGCGCTGCCAATAAAAGGTTTGTAACGTTTTTAATTTTACGCTTTCATAAAAAATGTATGAGTAGTAGGAATTTGGAAAACTGTCCGTAATCACGCAAAGCAAGCAGCATTGTATATATAAGTAAACTTCTCAGCATCGCAACGGGTCAAAAGGTCACCGCTACGTGTACCATATACACGAGTATATGTGCGCAGTGCATTTTATCTATAACTGTGATAGTCGCGCTAAAATTTCTAGCGCTAATTTTGTTTAACACAAAGAGCGGTCAAAAAATGTAGTTTACTTTAGCTGAAAGCCTGAAAGAACAGGTCAGTTAATCACGAAATTGTACAGAATAATGAGAACCGTTGTATCGGTAAGAGCTGAGAAAGACATTTTGTACTAGATGTTAAAAATTATATTTACAGCACAAAATCGTGCTTATTTGGTATCGTGCTGCAGCTACTTTGTCAAGACGTAAACATGGTCATCCCAGCGCAGTACGCAGTGTTTCGATGGATTGGTTATGACAATTCGCTTTGTTGTTCGGTAATCATGTCCGTTCATTTTCCTGGATATCCCCAGACAGATCATACAGCATTTGAGGGCAGCGACAAATAACGTTGCATATGCCAGGTCCTGCCAATAAAAGGGCAGGAAGTTATACTGCACCGGTGGACATTATTGTTACGAAGCCAGTAATTTACGCATAACTATCCATCGAATACTTACGTTGTTTTCCGCAACGGAAATAATTGACGTCCAGGGACCATCCGTAACAGGAATCAGCCGGATTCTGACATTGTACTCGGAAAGTCTGTCGGAAGCATAATCGTCTCCGCCCATCAGCCCCACGCCTTCCGCTAAATAGCTCTCCATCAGTGGACTTTGAAACCCGTACAACAGATGCTCGAATATAGGCACAGCGAGTGGAGTAAAATAACTCTGCAATTATTCCAAATCTGCCGTTTTCAACAAATTCAGCCCAGCAGGAAGAAAACAAAATACCGTGCTGATTAGGGAATCAAGGGCCGAAATTGTTACAGTCTGTCCGCACATAAATGGTTCCATCAGGAAGGCTTCCGTTATTTTTGCCTCCGACTGTGCGCTGTCGCTCAGTATTCGTACGTTATGATCGTGTTCTGTAAATTGTCGGTTAAAAATTTTATTCAATATGAGCTTTAAAAGGTAAAGTGTATGACGTAGTATCAAATTAATAACTCGTAAGAATAAAGACAGTATTTTTAAGTCAAGTGCTATAATCGACCGAAGCGTAGCGAAGGTCCTCTATGTTCAGCGTTCATGAAAAATGTGGTGTCTGTCGGTCACCGCCATCTAATGCACATATGCGCAACCTTTACACTGTAAAATGCCCATATGCGCGGTGGCCGTATATACTCAAGGTCATGGTCGGTTACCGCCATCTTATGCACACATGCAACCTTTAGACTGTCAAATGCACATAAGCGCGCTGGCCGTATATACTCAAGATGCATGCAAACTGTGGTGTCTGTCGGTCACCGCCATCCAATGCACATATGAGCAACCTTTACGCTGTAAAATGCCCATATGCGCGGTGGCCGTATATACACAAGGTCATGGTCGGTTACCGCCATCTTATGCACATATGCGCAACCTTTACACTGTAAAATTCCCATATGCGCGCTGGCCGTATATACTCAAGGTGCATGCAAACTGTGGTGTCTGTCGGTTACCGCCATCACTGCGCATATACGCGGCATTGCTAGTACGCTACTACTAGATTGCTACAGTAATAAAATGCATACATACATTACGGTTACCCACCGCCATCTAATGCATATCTGTACGGTCACCACATACGATGAAACGCACACATGCACGGTCACCCTACTATCAAAACCCGAAGTGATGGCTGGTCGTATATACTCGGGCCGCGTGTTATAAGGTGTCCAGAGGCGCGGTAGCCGTATAAAAATACTGTGCTGCCTACTGCCGTTTCAGAGAATGTTATATTTATCTCGTTGATAATTCGAGGTAACTATTTTGTATTCCTATCTTTGCACCTTACGTAAACCATTGTGTCTATCGGTCACCGGCACCCTGCTTAAAAGGGTAAAAGGCGCTGTGTCCATTTGTACTCGAGGTTTGTGGCTACCGTAAGGTCTTTTTTTGGTAACCGATACAACGGTACCCTTTTACCGTTGCACTATTTGTTGCAAAAATCATTAAGTTCTGAATACTGTAACCGCTCCATGAGACTTTAACACAGAGCCTGGAAGTCCGGAAATTGTCATAGCTGCTTGGTGTGACCAGCGCACTGCCGGCATGCCCAAGCTAAGTCATGATCTGACCGTAGGTAGGGCAGTTTTATGCATGGAAGGCTACATTAGTTTAATGAGTAACTATTCTTAAAACCGCTTTTGACAGTCAGCTCATGAGTCATGTGGAAAATGTTTTGGCATTTTGCCGGGAAAGTTACCGCCATCTACTCGAACGCCGATCAGTTGAACAAACAAACAAGACTTGACTACCTGATTTTTCAAAGAAATTTAGAAATTGCATTAAATATTGTCCAGAAACTCGTCTGTAGCCAGCCGGTGAAACCATGCATCCGCCGGCCCAGAAGGACGTTCACCGCAACTGAGACCGTAAACACTTACATATACGAACGAGTATGTCCCTTCAAGTAGGCTTTAGTTTCACACAATGTTTTTCGTTATGACCGGCAAAAATGTCCGATTCAAAACTTTTGCCATATTCTGAAAACAGGAGAATATTGATCTGCCTGGAAGGCCTCATTGGTCACATGGTTGTACTTGTACCGCTGCCGCTCTGTACATTAGTGCAGATTAGTGCAGAGTGGCAGAGTCTGTCTGCAGTAATGAAGAGCGGCAATGGTTGCACTCTACAGACACTGTACGTACTTTAAAACCGTAACATTCATTCCGCAAATTTTTGCTAATAAGTAGATAAAAAATATTTATAAATTTATTGCTACGCTTCGGTCATACAGTGCCCGCCAGAAGCGAGTGCACTTTCCTAGTTATGAGCAAGTAAACAGTCAGCAATCGTACAATGACTGCATGCTTGCTGATTGGTCACTTCCAGTTTTATATGCGAGTAGGAGGTTTTAATTTTCACCTCTATTTCGTAAACGAATTTTTTTGTTAGTCAGTAAATCCGATTATCATCTACCCCCCAGTAGTAAGGCGTTTAGCTTGCAGCACTTGGCGTCTGCTATCATAACATTTTAGGTAAACATCGATAACTAACTGTAGCTTACGCAGAGCGGTAACAATGGTGAGTTCAAAAGGAACTTCCGTCATTTTCCCAGCGGGATGGTCAAAGGCATGGCCTTCAGATTCAGTGTCGTCAGCACAGCGGTTTTATCGTCCAGTACCGGATCCACGGATTTGCCACTCCAGGCGGAGAGCACTACGCACACCGAGGCGGATTTGACGGAGACGGCCCGCAGATCCGCCCGGTCAAGGGGATCGCCGTCCACGACGGTGATCAGCGGCAGATTGCGCAGCTGCGGCCACTCTCTAACCAGATACTGCGCGTTGCCCAGAAACACGATTTCCTTTAGTTCGTCATGGGGGATGCGACTGCTGCGCAGAGGCACGACGAAATCGCGCAAGTCCATGATGGGGTCATCGGGACGCGCGGAAACCAGGACAACAATGTGATTATCAAAAGTATAATTTAGCGCCATCCTGCGATTCTGTAATGATACTTTGTAGTTGTACTTGTAATACAATGCAAAACTGCAAATGAGTTAATTATAGTGCACGATGAATTTTCGCTTTCTTGCAGGTGCATATCTTACCATCAATATTGAAGAAAATGGACGGCTTTCACACCAATAAAAATTTCGAGTAACATCCAAGGAAATTCTGATTTCAGCATTGTGAAGTGAAGTGAAGTTTATTGTCCTTGCAACGAGGCGATTGCCCCCTCTAGGCTTCAGACAGCAGAAAGAAAACAGAGTGTAGAAACAATATCCAGAAATATAAACATGAAAACATGAAGGTCTTTTAAAACAAGCAGGAAACAAAACAAGCAAAGTAACACGCGTTGGCCATTAGCACATGAATAGGCAGAAAGGAAGTGAGTACTTTTACTGCGGTTGCGAAAAGTCGTTTTTACCAATGTGGAAAAAGGGAGGGAGACGATCGCGCTGGGGTCGATGCGTAAAACCGAAACCCACGAAATGTACAAAGTAATTATTAAGTTTCTCAAAATTTTCAAAAGAAAACCGTGGGGAAAGGAAAGCACCGACACTTACGCACGTAATCGCCTTGTACTATCGTTGTCAACTATATCGCAACCGTGAAATAATTGCAGGAAAGAAAGAGAAGTTAACACCAAACATTAAGTAACTTCACAAACAATAAATATTCGAGTAAAAAACATTTAAACAAGAGTTTTCACTTTTAACACTTTCTTTCAAGATCTTTACTGATGGCAAATTGTTCAGTTTCACGGTATTCAGGGCTTCGGTAAAGGTGGCCAGCGTTACATACGCAATGGATTGTAGCGGAAGGTCATTCCAGACGGACACGAGTCTGTTGAGATATGATTCATGGGTGACTGGAACTGTTCTACCACAAATGGTTGTTGGAGCCGGTTTGATAGGACATGGATGCTTCAGGAGACGGTCAGATGTTCTGGTGTTACCTGCAACAGACTCAAGCACAGCAGCCGAGAGCGTGAGCGGTGATACGATTTGGTCACCCAACGGAATTACTTGGAACACCAATTTGTAAATAAACAACAAGGCTTTTTTCAAACGACGTATGCTTAGATCGTCCCATTTTAGCTCTTTTAGCCGTTTGTTGTAATTCAGGACACCGTTGCCTAAGCGTAGGGTTTTGGTAAATCTTCTTTGACAACGTTCGATTATTTTTCTTGACTGTTTCAGCACCGGATGCGTTAGGGAGCAGCAGTAATCGAGAACTGAGAGGACGAGTGATTCGAAAAGCCGAATGCGAGCCCCGTAGTCCGTGTATCGAAAAACATGATTAATGTAGCCAATTCTTTGGTTACATTTTTTTGCTACATTTTCACTGTTAACTTTAAAATTAAGTTTTCGATCAACAGACACTCCAAGGTGCTTAACATGATCACATTTCGGAACGGGAACGTCATTTATACTGTACTGGAATGGTGAGATCTTATCTTTTCTTCGAGAAATGAACATGGGCAGATTTACTGGGATTGAGAATCAGCTGCTTGGTGTTAAGCCATTCATTCAAATTTTTCAGGTCTCCCTGCAGCAACTGGCTATCTGTAGTGTTGGTAACAGGACGTAGCAGAACAATGTCGTCCGCGAAAACGTACACAGCGCTTCCGTTTTTCAGTGCACGAATAATGAAATTTAGGACGCATATGAACAGTAAAGGTCCCAACACAGAACCCTGAGGTACGCCGCTGTACACTGGTAGTTCATCGGAGATTTCGTTATCAACAACGACACGTTGCAGGCGGTTTTTCAAATAGTCAGAAATTAGGTGCACAATCTGACTAGGGAGATTCATTTCGGTTAACGCACTGATTATTGATTCGTGAGAAAGCTTATCGAAAGCTTTAGAACAGTCCAAAAATACGGCGTCTACAGCAATACCGTTATTAATAAAATCGTTAACAGTTTTAACAAAAAGAAAGAGCTGTAATTCAGTTGATCTTTTATGCCGGTAAGCAAACTGATGGTCGAAAAGAATTTTATTTTTATTTAAGTGATCACGAATTAGTTGGTCAAGACATCGCTCAAAATTTTCGAAACAGGGTTCAACATCGACACTGGTCTGTAACTGCCCGGTTTTCTGTGATCTGTTGCAACCTTCGGCACCGGGGTGATGTAAGATTGCTTCCATCTTGCAGGAAACTGACCCTCGTTAATAGCAGCACTGAATACCAATTTAAGCGGAGCGATGATTGACGGCGCAGCAATTTTAAGAAGCTTGTTTGTTATTTCGAATTTTCCGCTAGATGTTGTAACAGAAATTTTTTGCTAATTGTTCGAAAATTAAAAGTTCTGAGATTTCCCAAATTTCATTGTTATTACAAATTAAATTTAAGTTCGAGCCACTACAGTGCCCATCGCACGGAGACTGAGAATCACGGTATAAAGAGTTCAGAGTATCTGCCTTATCCCTGTCCGTAGTTACTAGTTTGCCATCGCCAACGTTGAGCGGTGGCATACCGATTCGGCCATTTAACGACTTCATGTACCGCCAAAATTTCGAAGGATTATTTCTATAAGCCGTAGATACATCACTAAGCTTATGCTGGCCGAACTTCCTGATAAGAGAGGTACATTTTTTAGAAAGATTTTTCCATTTTATTTTTTCGTCAGCCGACTTTATGTTTTCACGGTACAATCTAAAAGCACGATCTCTCGAATTAATTATTTTTTTAATGTTTCTGGGATATTTCATAGATCCTTTACGTATTTTTACTTCGGCATATGTAAAAAACGATCTAGCAATCTCAAGAAAGGTTTTTTCGAATTTTTCCGCACGCTGGTTAGCATTAAGGTTAGCGAACAGGTTTGTCCAATCAACAGCTTTAAGCCCATCATTAAAATTACTAATAAGGTTACTCTCAATTTTCCACCGCATTACTGTACGGAATCTTCTCCGAAACTTTTTAACTTTTAAAAAAAATTCAAAACCAATATGATCATTGGAAGAAGAGGGCGGACAAATCGGCTTAGCTGGTTCGAATAGCGCGTTTGCACTTATCAAGCACAAATCAAGACAATTTTGCTCTCTAGTTGGAAAGTCGATTATTTGCGCTAATCCGAATTCTTTTACCGCATTTAACAATTCCCTGCTGGCTGGTCTAATTGCTGTTTTATTTGACCAGTTGATATCGGGCCGATTAAAATCACCCAAAATTACACACCTTGCAAACAATTGAGGAGAGAAATTAGAACGCAGATGTTCAATTAGGGCAGGGACAGCGTGCATGCATTTATCTGGAGACGAATAGAAGGCAATAAAATTCGCTTGAGTGACCGAGATTCTACACACAAAATTTCCAGTGCAGGTGACTCTAGCTCCGGCCTGTGAATCGCTCGTAAAGAATTGCGTATAACAATGGCCACACCGCCACGACCATCAGCTCTAGCTTTTCGAAAGACAATAAAATTATCTAGGTCAGCAAAACAGGAATCTGTCGTAGAAGGCCTGTCGTGAGTTTCAGTAAGAATGGTCACATCACTGCCTGAACAGAATAATTTTACTTCGTCTTTTTTGTTGCTAACGCTATTCACATTACAACACCGCACACGGATGTTTTCTAAAGAAGACGGATGTTTCGGCTGCCCTACAACTTCGGCATGATCAGTAATTTTAAAATTATTCAAATAAGCAAGATCGTTAGTTTCAAAAGTCCCTAACTTTAGCGGTAACGTGGCACGTTTTTTAGGGAGCTATTATAAAACATTCTCGACTTATAAATTTCTTGGTAGACAGTGCAGTATTCATAAGCAAAAGCCGCATGCGAATTTTTAACATCGTGTTTACCAGCCGCTTTGCAGTTCACACACACGTATTTAAACAAAGGGTCTGTTTCGGGACAATCAGTAGAAAGATGTTGTTTTCCACAGTATCCACATACTGCACTCTTCTCACACTTTGAAGTAACGTGATAGTATTCACAACATTTCTTGCATTGCGGAACGTAGAAATGGTCACTGACAGGGCATGAATACCAACCCAACAATACGGACTTTTTGGTATTCAAAGCGTTGCGCGTCTCAGCATCGACGTCAATGACAACTGCATAGGTCAGCGGGTTAGGGCGATTACTTGTAAGTTTTGTTTACTACTTTAACTTCACACTCATCATGTAAATTTTTGGACTTCAGCTCAGTGACAAAATTATCTTCGGACATAGCAACTGGAACCCTGCGAATTATCATACGATGTTTACGGGCTTTCGGCTTTTCAACATGTACTCCAAGGGCTTCACTATGCTTGTTAAATAGTTCTTCCCCTTTTGCCACATCGTCTGACGTTTTAAATTCAACAACGACTGACTTACCAAAACCCGGACGAACTTTCGTTACATTCGCTCCCTGAGCTCCGGTCGGAATAGTAGTAGACAAAATGTTGCAAAAATCCGTCATTTCCTTGGCCGTTTTGCGGGACTGAGTGGACGTGGGCGCTTCTTTCGGTTTCAGCACCAGGATTTTCTTGCTGGATGCGGCATTTGGGAATGTTCCATGGGATGACACAGATGCGTAGGTGCTTCTTGAAGCGATTGCCGGGACATTCTGACGGTGAAAAGACTCAATTTCCAAAAGTGCGGTTTTGTGTAGTTGTTGTAGGGAGTCAGTCAGCTCCAGCACTGCACGGCCATCGGTGGTCAACGCAGTGAAATCCGCTAATTTTTTACACGTAAGAAAATCCGTAATGAACCGATTAATTTTGGCAACTGATTGGGAAAAATCAAGCAAGGGAATTTCCGACGTCTTAATCGAACTTTTACTGTTTTCCCCCATGATGGGGAAAACGAAAGGTCAAGCCTCAATCAACACAGTTAACTGAATCCGGATATGTTATTCTCGCAAGCAAGAAAAGTTAGATGCGCACGCGAGACTGCTTAAGCGAGAATGAGACTGCTTAAGCGAGAATGAAGTGATTCACTTCGTATTTGCTGCTCGTGATGTATGACAGAAAGGTCAATGAATTTTCAGAGTACTCGGTCAACCTAGGTAAAATTATAATAAAGCTGGCTTCGCCATGATGGCACAAATAACGTACCTATTTATTTTGCGAAATTTTTTCGTACATTGTTATAGTCCTGCTCTTTTCAAAATAGTAAATTTTCGTACATAGTTATAGTCCTGCTCTTTTCACTCTTTTCCTGCTCTTTGGCAGAACGTTTTTTTTACAGTTACTACTAGAGGCGTTGTAGGTCACTGTTAAATCTAGCCGAGCGAACGTACGCATCATTGCGAATTTTGTTCATCAACACATTCTCCCATCCAAAGCAGTAACTTGGCCCTCGGGTGCAGTCGAGCTTGGATTCCTCCTGGCACTGAATCCAAATATTTCGGTGTGGATTTTGCGGCGCTTCAGTGTTCAGTTTCTTAACTTTAACACCTAGAGTAAATCGAATTCGATTTGTAGTCCAGACTATTGCGGATAACGAATCAAATTTTTTACGAGCACCAGTCAAAATCATTTTACCGTACTGGCAGTTGCAGGGCTTGCACTGTGTTATGTCCAGTAGTTCGTTGTGGCATAGCCCACAATACCAGGACACTCTAAAAACAAACCAAGGTTAGAGACAACTAATGGGTGCTGATTTTATAATACAAAATAATTCTACAGTGCGCACGAAGATTTAATATACTTAATTTGTAAGTGCCTGTGCGACTAAACACTGTACCAATGTACCTGTGCATGTCGGTAGCCGAACTAGCAAGAAATAATCCCAAACATTCCTCTTTTATCGTAGCGGAAGAATTACACAAAAGGAAACCGGTTTGCCCGCTAATTTTCTTGGCAGAACGTGACGACGAAAACGTTCCAATAAGCACCACACCCAGTTTGGAGTAGCAGAATCTGAATGTAGCAAAATTTAAGAAAATTAATTTTTTATCCTATGCGATTACTACAGTTATAATACATGTACAGATGTTCTGTATATTACTCGTGGATAAAAAGATATAGATATATCGATTTGTTTTGGTTATAGAACTATATTCATTATCAATATATGTTTATATTGTAGATATAGCTGTAATATGTGAACGAACGTTAACGTACTCGGCTGCATGGAAAAATGTCATCCCGTGGAAAACTGGACTAAAAGACCCGGAATGCAGCTCCATGTAGCAGCCGTGCAGATAATCTTGCACGTCTTGCGAAGCATGCTTAACATCCGAAACCGGTCCGGACATGCCGCGGATAAGGTTGGACAGTAACGTGGCACACCCCGGCGCTAAGCAGTTCTGCGCGGTGAGAGCCCATTCCAGTTCTTGGAAACAGATTACCGCATCGCCACGTTCCATTAGAAAACCCGGTATGGTGCTGAACTGGGACTTCAAATAGAATTATCGAATATGTCAGCAATCATTGTCAACAGCGGCAGTACGTATATGCAATTGCAACCTGCTCCGCAAACTCTGTACGTGTGATGTCAATTGAAACTTAGCGTACATTTTAAGAAAATACATTCATATTCTTTATGTGCAGATGTTGACAGTCCTTCATGAAAAATTATATCCTTATACATAGATAATTTTTGACAATCCTTATGTGCATCTGTTATCCAAATCTATTACTACAGATTTATACAGAAAAATAGTTTGACCTTTATTGCATACAGATACATTTGTACCTTGGTACCGTTTTGCAGCACTTCCACAACGCACCGCAAATACGGGTTGGCGCTTTTTATGCTGGCTATCGTGAGCAGCGTCGTAGAGTCCTCCTTGTAAGGATCCACAGAACTTCGGTTAGCCAAATGCAGATCCCATAAAAAAGTCGCAAAGGTAGATTGTATTTTAAATGTAAAGTTGTCTCGTGGGATTTCAGATCGCTTGCCGACCAGGATAGTTGTCAATAATAGGTCGCACAGTAACTTGTATTCGCTTCCTATCTACACCTCAAAGCCTCATATAGGAATTCTTGTAACTGAAAATACTTGTTTTCCGTCAGTAGAAAGCAATCTGCTGACCACGAATACGGACCCCAATACCGATCCAAATTAAAATCGTGTTTGTGTTGGTATTCGGCCTGCTTTTGAGTATTCGGCCGCTAGCGGCGGAAGTACGAAAAGCGAGCAACGTAACTGCCCTTGAAGCAGTTTTACCACTTGCCACAAATGTCAAAATCACCACAACTATCTGTCGCATTTCAGTTCCAAAAAAAGTTTGACATTGTGAATTTAAACATTTATGATTCAGATTCGCTTTAGTTTATTTAAAAATGAAACTGGCTACGTTAATGAAGTTGTATCTCCGGAAAAATATCTCTCGACGGCTGTTTTTAATTCTGCGACGTAAGATACTTCGACGGAGACGAAAAACATATTTTCATGACGAATGGCGTGCAGCATCATTTAGCCTGAATGCTTTAAGCGAGAAGGAATGCTGGGATTTTTTCCGCTTTAAGAAGCATGATCTTCCTATGTTGGCGACGGCGCTTAAAATTCCGGATTTGGTCTGGACTGCAGAAGGAGACTGTGTGAATGCTGTGGAGGCCTTGTGCATTTTGTTGCGCCGTCTGTGTTATCCAAATCGATGGATTGAACTGCGTACATTTTTTGGCCGTTCCCAAGGTTCTATGTCGAGAATTTTCTACGCGGTCTTGTCAGTACTGGATCGCTTGTGGTCGAAGCATCTTTCCCGCCTGGATCATCCCTGGTTGTCAGAAGAAGATCTCGCAGGGTACGCGTCGGCTATCTCACAGAAAGGAGGTGTTTTCCCTGATGTTTTTGCCTTTATTGACGGGACGGCGCGCCCCATTTGCCGACCAACATATAACCAGAAGATCATGTACAGCGGCCATAAACGTCTCCACTGCACCAAGTGGCAGTCTATTTTACTACCAAACGGTAAATTCATATTTTTTGTCAATTAATAAATTACTGTAAATTTGTAATTGTTTTTTTAAACTTCCTTCACTGAGATTTAGTACATTTCAATAATTTTTGGATGTTACATTTATTGAAGTTCTGACATTTTGCTTTAGGATTAATTTGCAACCTGTACGGCGGTGAACCTGGTAGTGTCCATGACAGTCGCATGTTTCAAGAGAGTAAAATGCTCGGGCGACTGAAAACCATGCAGAGCACCTTTTGCCGGAAATTCGCGTTATATGGAGATTCTGGTTATGGAATGAACGATTATTTAAGGAAGCCGTACTCAAAACTTCAGACAGCGTACAACCGCGTGAAGAGACACCAGAACGATGCCATGAAAACTGTTCGGGAATCTGTGGAATGGGGGTTCAAGGAAGTGGTTGTTAAATTCGCTTTTGTAGACTTCAGAAAACAGATGAAGTTATTCGAGAAACCCGTTAACAAAATTTTTCGTATGGCTGTTTTTTTGACAAATTGTTGTAACTGTTTGTACCCTAACCAAGCAAGTCAGTATTTTAATGTTGAACCACCAACACTGGAAGAATACCTGTGTTAAACATCGGAAATAAATTTCGGTAATCTACAATGAGAAAATATTTCAATAAAAAACATCTCAAAAAATAAAACAACAAATAAAACAAAAATCTGAAAAAATCACATTTACAAATCAAAAAAATTGTTATTTGACCCCCGGCCTAAAATTGCCTGCCATTTTAATTTCTCCACTGCAATTCTCTCACGTTCAATATCCAGTTTTTTTAATTCGATCTCTTTTGCGTCAGCGGCTTGCTGTTCTTTGAATTTCAGCTTTTTCTCGTCCTGCTCTTTCATAAAATTCATCCACATAATGTCACTTTCTGCTTCCTTATCTTTTCGCATAGCTCGGGAAGATTTGAATTTCCTCTCTTCTGACATTTGTGGGACAGTGGCTGCTTTTTCTGCCCGTCGGAGACGAACTTCCTCTTGCCAATCTTGAATGTCGCCGCCGTTGGCGCTGAGCCAGTCGTTCATGGCATCTTCATCATCTAGAATTCGAAAGCCCCGGTAATAGTTTGAAATGTTGTGCATAAAGACGAGCATCTAAATGTCCTAAAAGTAATAAAATTTCTATGAAATTACGTAATCCAGCAATCAAATTTGACGTGACGTACTTACGGGAACTGTCGGAAAAAATAAAAAATTTAAAACTGAAAATCTTCAAAATCTAACACGAACCAAATCAGCGATATTTTCTCAAGAAATCAGAAATACTAGATATCTACAAGTAGAACTTAAACGTGCATTTGTATATACCGTACATCAACATACCGTACATCAACATCCATTTACGTAATTTTTTTAGATTATTTTGGTTGTTAAGCTTCTTACCGGATAAAACGGAGACATCGTCAGGAGCTTCCTGCTCGCCCTTCTTTCGCCCGTGCTCTCCTGCAGAAACCATGAAGGCCGCTGTCCGCTTACGCATCGCCATTTGCTCAGCATGGGCCTTAGATTTCTGCTGACGCGTTTCATCGGCGCTCTTTACAAGAGTCAAAATTTCCTGGAGTAGCTGCTCCATCTTGTTGTAGTCCTCCTCCGTTCCACTTCGGAACTTCTTTTGCAGGTCGTTCGCCTGGAATGCCGTGATGAGCACGCTGAGTCTTTCTTTCACAGCTCGGACGTCCAGAGACTTTGAAAACAGAGCAGCATCGTTCAGACTTTTCACCACATCCATCCACGCTTTCTCCTTGTTTTCAGCCGCATAGGGATTAAAATGTTGGACTTCACCCAACAAAGCCAAATCAGCTTTCGCGTAGAATCGATTATAAGTTTTTTTAACTAGAGTTTTTTCCATTATGAACGTTTGTGAAACAACAAGTTAAAAATTAAAATAAAATACTACGTATAATTTGAAAATAACGCACGACTGACACGAGCCAGTGCACACAAGGCAACCTATGTGTATTACTGCAATATACCGCGGCCAAATTAGATTTTACAGCCTGTTTCGGTGCTCTCCTGGGATTCATATTTTCATTGTTTATTTCGGCTTTTATCGCCCGACAAAACATATCAGAAGATAGGAAATGTTTTTTTCTATCATTCTGCAAAAACAAAACGGAAATTGGTCCACTACATGTTCCACAGCAGCATTTCGCAACAGACACACGATTCAAAGCATAAATTCCGTATTTTACGGAATCGTACGAAACGAATGGGGCTATGACTCACGCAAAAGAGGCGGAGATTAGTATTAGGGTCCGTATTCGTGGTGCGCAGATTACTTTCTAGTGACAACACTTGAGTATGACTCTTGAACGGGCTGTTCTCCGTGTACATCATCACTACGATGTAACCCTGCAGAGCACTATTATTGAAAGTCGTATCGATCATGACTTGACTGGATTTCCGATCGGTATCAATGTAAGATCACTATGAATATAATTGTGATTTTCACGCATATACTGTTATGGTCAATTATATCGTTCCCGCGCTTTTTGTTTTGATTCTTCACACAGTCTCACAACCGTCAACACCGCTAGTAGAAAAAAGTAGCGGAGAACGCTAAACTAAAAGTAAAACCATTTAACAATCACTGCAGACAATTCACGAATTAAATCCTGTAATTCACAAACGTGCCGCAAAAACTTTCTAGTCACATTTTGTAAATCATTAAAATGATTAAGGAAATTGTCACAAAAGCAACTGGATATCCATAACCTCTTAATACGTCAGTTTCTTTATTCATCCGTTGCTTTTCGTTTCTTCGGCACTGCACCCATAGCATGCATGCGTGTTTTGTAGAGGTTGATCAGCTTGTTGTTCATCATAGCTTTGAACACGGTGAGCTCTTTCATGGGTTGCTGAAGCTTGTAAAGGTCCGTGACATACGCTAAAACAGCACATGATGTCCGTAAATTGTATGTTGCATTGTTTAATGTGGATATCCATAAAGAAAAATTATACGAGTACAAATAACACTAAGCGCATACCACAGAATGGAGAAAAACTCACATAAAACGGCCTGCAAAGTGTTTCGGCCAAGGAGAAAGTCCGCGCCCTGATTGTCGTACTTGTTTTCGTAGCACGCAATAATGCCCTCGTCGCCGCCCATGAGATGCTGAACTAGCTCCCAAGCATGCCCGATACATGTTTTGGGATTCCAGATGGGACACTTCACCTTGCAGTCGTCAAGGATGGTCTCGTAGACATAAATGTCGTATCCTTTTCGCAGCTGAACACTTCCATCGGATTTGGATTGCCAGTACCAGATGAACTTCTTGTAGCCTCCTTGGTTCATTATGATGCGTGGATTATTTTCACGTATGATTACTGCATGATCGTTACTGCGGATATCCGTGCCATGTCGATTTCGGACAACTACATTTCTCACGCCGGGCATGCCGGTAATTGGTCGAAGATGACTGGGCAGACCATTTTTCTCTGCTGAATAAAGCGCAATGTTTTCGGCATTCAAAATAGGTGGGATATCCCGAGCCTGGTTTCGAGCTGCAACAAAATCGTAAAATATTAAGAACGATCTAACGTAACGTAAGTCGGGGAACGTGCACTTAACACAACATCTCAAGATCAGCCTTAACTTACCCGCCGGTAAAACAATGGATGTGCTGTTTCCAGATAATAAAGTATGGCTATCCAAAGCTTTCGTAACTTCATCTACAAATAACCCGCCCTAAAAGATTTCGTAACAGATAGAGCATCTACGTTTAGCGCTTACTCGGTGCACTGGACGTCCCTGGTGTGGGAGAAAAATCATCGTCACAAAGAATACTGTTGTTGCCTAGAAAAGTCATTTCTTTTTTCGGATTACGCACTAAGGAAAACATGCAACGCAGCAAAATCTGGAATAGGCGATGAAGAAATTAACCAGTTTTATTCAGCCGCATTACTGCTGTTTGCACCGACTGATTTCGGATTACATATGTTGTTGACGTGCTTGTACTGTAAAGTGCAAAGTATCTTACTGTTTTCAGCAGCATTCAGCGCTCGGTCACACTGCTTTTCTGGAACAGCCGCTCGTTTCTGTGATGCTTGGATATCCAGCTCAGTAGATTGTAGCCCCCCGCTTAATTCCCCATTATGACCGTTTGCATCTTCAGAATGAACTTCGGCTTGAGTAGTACCTGTTGCAAACGTTTTCACGAAACATTTAAAAATTAATAAAACTACGTACTTCCGCCAACGAATCTCGCATAATCAGCAATACTTGGCTGCGAAGATGTAAGCGTGGCGTAATCCTGCCCGTAGAAGCCGGGTGCATGTATACCTAACTCAAAACTTTATATGAAAGATAATGCAGCAAGCGCCGGCAAATCATTGTAATTACCCTCCCAAACCGGCGACAACGGTAGTAAATTTAGTGCTGTTGCAATTCCAACATTTTCTAAACAATTAATTTTATCCTTAACGAGTGCAGTCGAAGTTACACTTCCATTGTACTAACCAACGGTAAGGATATCCTTCGATGGCGTTCGTCCAGTATCAGCTGCATGCATCCCCGGCAACGTATTGCTATCTACACAAAGTTCCTTCAGTCTCTCTGCATCCTGTAAAAAAAAACTCATCTAGTTTAACGCATAAAATTATTCGGCGTAACTATGGCACTGTTACAAGGCGGCACCTTAATAGTTGCATTAGCAGCAGCAAACTAACAGCATCAGAAGGGGAAAATGGATATCCAGCATAAAACGTACTTTTACAGTTCGTCCCGTTTTCTTGCTTTCTTTAAACTTCTCCACAAGCCGGCACTTCACGTCCTGCGCTTCCTTCTCCGTCTCACATATGTCGGCTATCTCGCATACGTAAAATCCCGCAGTAAAGCCTTTCGATTTAGGAAACCAGGCCGCGACCTTATCTTCCTTCTGATATTCCGCTCCATAGCTCCCATTCTGTACCTCGTTTTCCAAAAGCCGAAAAGATGTCTTTTCTGTGCGTTTACGGGAAAAGTCCACAACTCGAACGCAGCTATCGTGATCACTTACGACGACAAAAAAATCTACAAAAATGCAATACTGCGCCAAAAGTCATTATGGGTAGGGCCAGCGTACGTTTCTTAGCTTCCTTGCACCGGTGATGGCTATCCAACTCCTGCTGCTTTCGCTCGAATTCTCCCAGTAAGTCTTTGTTGCGCTCCGAACTGCAGGACCGGCTCCGAGAAGAGCGACGCATAACAGACATCTTCAACAGACACAAGAGAAAAGTATGTCAGTAGCACGTATAACGTACAAAAGAAAAAAATGCTCGAAGTGCAACTGAAATTTAAATACAAGCAGTTTAACTGCACACTAATAACTAAATGATGGCTTTGCAAGCGCCTCTCGAAACATCAAAAGATGCCGACAACGGGCAGAGTTGCTACTAAGCCGCCAAAGGCACGCAACGTTAAAATCCACTGAGGTAGTGGAATTCACCACTACAGCACAGTGGCAACTAGCACTACTTGCATTTCGATGTCCTGTATTGGGAATTCCATTTACGGCGTCGTATGACATAAGACTGGATATCCATTGGCGTTGTTGTAACTGGCCTTTATTTAAGCGGTTCTTTTATATTTTTATTGGTGGTGGTCTTGTTTCGCAATTTCGTATGCAAAAACTGGTTTTTAACTCGTAAGTTGCTTTTGCACACATTAGTGTTTAGTTGTAAATATGATAGTCATTTCACTGTGTCCGATTCATTTGACAATGAATCGGAAGAGCACCGGAAATCTCCGAAGATTTGCGCCAAAAACCGGTCGTTTGAGCAGGACCAGTATTTATCGCCGACTTTCAAGTTTAAGCGAGAATTCTGCTGAAGGATATCCTGATGCACTTGCAGGTAGCTAATCGTAACGGGAAACGTTTTGCAACAGTAAGATGTGAAGTACCTTAATTTTAAGTACTGCATAATTCAAAACTTCCGTAGATCGCGCGGAGAAAATCGGCACTACCTTTCACGAGTTTGAGTTCCATGACAGCAGCAGCTACTGTGAAGCTAGTTCAGCTAAAGAATTCGCAACAGACGGATATCCGGATGAGAGCGTGACTGGATGCTCGACTTCAGCTGATTTACTGTATGATGGATGCGATGTTCTTCGGAAGGAAGCTGTTGAAGAACTCCTGCTTATTTTTCAAAAATCAAATTGCAGTAATGCGGTTCAAGAACGAATATTGTCTTTTATCGGCCGGATACTCCCTCCGGGCCACAATTTTCCATCGTCCCATTTTCTTTTGACGGCGTTTGTACGTAAAGAAAGACCGGAAATTTTCGAATATATTCATTGTGTTGAAAAAGGAACTGCCCGCGTTGCTGCCGAACCTTTAGTCTGCTGTCAGGAGACGGAGATCACCAGAGCCAACCATGTGAAATTTTATTGTTTATCGTTAAAGGATAGCCTGCTTCAACTGTTAAAAGATCCAGATGTTTTGGAACTTATTAGTGCTCCAATCCCGGGGAATTATTTGGATATCCAGCATGGAAACAGATTATCTATGCTACCTTGCAGAAGCAACTGCCGACGTTTGACATTATTGCTTTGGTTTGACGGGGCGGATATAAAGGGAAGAAAAAACAGCTTATGGGTGGTAGCGTGGACGGTGGCTGAGTTGCCTTTGCAGTACCGGTGGAGGTTTGCGCGTTTTGCCACAGTATATGTGGGCCAGAAGAAGCCATCTGCAAACGTTTTATTCAAAACCTTAGTGACAGAGTTGCTGGCTATCCAAAACGATTCACTGTGTGTAAAGTCCGGAGAAAATACTCTCCATTTTGACGTCGACATTGGACTGTGTTGCTGTCATTCTCCGGCACGAGCTGACATCCGAGGGAGCCGGCTTTACAATTCAAAACAGCGTGGTTGTACAAGCTGTATAATGGATGGGATGCAAGAAAACAAAAGCGTTCGTTACCCTTACACTCACGGTGATGCTGTCTGCTGGAGAACGAACGATGGCCTAAGACAACAAGCTATCAACTGGTTACAAAAGAGAATGACAGCACAGTCAGCGAAAGAGATTCTGGAGTCGGAAGTCGGGGAGGATGGAATCAATAATTATTCTGAGATGCTCAGAGTTCCAGCGGCAAGATTTGACATGATTAAGTGCTTCCCACATGACTTAATGCACGTGATAACGAACATATCTGAACGATTGTTTTTCATTCTAAAAGAAGTGGATATCCAAGATCTACCAATTGCAAAGCAGTTCAATTTTGGCAGCCAAAAACGTTTATTAGACAAGCGCTGTGTGGACCTGCTGAGTGGCATTATGGAAACGGAAATCAAGTATCCCAGTAATTATAACCGAATCCCCGGTCCTCTCAACGAAACAAATGACTATAAAAACAGTCAGTTCCTGCATTTATTCCTTCATACGTTTCCCTTATTGTTTCAAAGGAGGGGTGACAACGTTGACCAGGCTGTGCACCCATCTGTGCGAAAGTTATTGCTGACATTTTCTTATGCGCTGACACATCTTTTATGCGATTATTATTCTTCGGATAGCAATCCAAAGGATATCCTGATTAACCGTGGTAAAATGGCTAAGCGACTGACCAGTGATTTCGTGCATATGGCAAACCTGTATTTCGGCACTGCACATATGACTTATGCCTTTCACCAGCTCTTGCACTGCTGCGAAAACTATTTGGACTTTGGTCCGGCTTACGCATGGAGCGCCTGGGGATAGGAAGCGCTATTCAATCCGTTAAAGAAGAAGCAGCATGGAACTAAAAACGCAGGAAAAGAGCTAGCTAACAAGGTAGCACACGATCAGGCAGTTAGATCTGTGATCGGTGTTTCAAAGTCTGCTTGTGATTTTATTGTATCGGGATATCCCAAGTCTTTTAACACGCTCCCGGGTGAGCAAATCGCGGCACTGGAAAGGTCAACCGGACTAAAGCTTGGAGACCATAGCATCAATGCCCGAGTTTACAGTAGCATTCGTTTTGCTGATGGAAGGATAGCAGAATCTGTCAACTCTCATCACTTGACTGCTCGGTGCAATGCGGTGTGGAGGCTCAAAATTCAAAGATCGTCCAGATTTTAAATTTTGTGACATTGCAAACCGTTTCTGAAAAAGCGACTTACGTCATCGCGAAGTATTTATCGGCGGCCAGCAGTGCTGTTCCTGTGGTTTGGAAGGAAGCGGGAATCGCTTCGAGCAGCCCTACTAACCTTGAGATACCGGTGTTGTATAGACAAACGCCCCTGAACCAGCCAAGAAGCGATGCAGTAGTTGCGGTGGAACAACTTGATATCCCTTTGTTTGGTATAAACTCTAGATGCAAGCTGTTCGTTACGTATCTTTGTCCTGCAGTGAAAAACGTGCCATCAGACTAATACGGTTTTACATTACAGCTGTTTTTTGTTAAACAACTTTTTGATGCAGGCAATAATACTTGTTTTCTATAGCTGGATATCCAGATGAATAATGTACACGGTAAATCTGTGTTTAACGATGAAATCGAACAATTCTTCACCCAATACATTCTACGTGATCATAAAAATATCAGTCGGTGTACTTAACTTTTGCCACTTGTTACCCAGATATGGACAGGATACAAAATAAACAGGTAGTAGTGAACGAGCATCTAGACGTTACGATCGAAAATAATCGCTTAACGCAATCACGACTTTATAAGCACTCACCAGTCAGTGCTACTCCACAACGTGTAAAAAAAACAATGACAGACTTTCTGCCCACAATACCGACCAATTACTCTATCACAAAAGAAAGAACAATTCCGTTTCCAATACGAAACGCTCACCACCCTCGACCAAATCCGGACCATTGAGCGCAACATTGAGATTCCGCACAAGGGCGCCTTCACGCAGCGTGGCACAACCGAAACAAAATTCGGAAAAAAGTAATTCTGTGCAGCATCTAATGAACAGCCATAAAAAGTGCAGCGAGAACACAAGTCAGATTCCTTATCAACTTATCACGGTGGGATATCCCGCATCGTTTAACCTCCATGAATCTCAAACGCAAAATCTCCAGCCTGGTTGTACTGCAGCGCAACGTCACCGTTGATTCCGTTCCCGCGGCGCAGTCGGCGATGGAACTCTTTGCCAACCGGAAAAACGCGTCCATTCGGTGGCAGCAGATCATCGTAGAGCGCCCCGTCCATAAACGGGCAGACGCTGGCATGGTACGTTGCGTCCGCGCTTGTACTCCCCGTCGGGCCGCGTACCGGCAAGTGACACTTTTCGCACTCAAAACCACCTTGCATCTACCAAAAACAACAGATACAGGGATATCCCGAATATCGATTTTGGGTACTACAATAAATATACGCACAAACTGTTCTCGATGGATATCCATCACATGCTGATTCAGGCGGTGAGCCACGGGATCCGCCGGGCAATACGGGCATCGAACCCGATGAATGTAGTGGCCTGAATCGCGCTGCTCACGCCTAATAAAAGAAACGTTACACTCTTTATTGCGCTGTAATTTTACTTATTAACTTGCATTTGGCGGATGTGATGTTCACAGCTACGAATGCAGTCGCGAACGCGTTGGAAGGAATAAGCTCCATCAGCTATCAAATGCTCTGTGTGGACAACATTTGCGAGTTTGGGGATGCCGCAGTGCAGCGCCAGCTGCATGAAAAACTGTAAAAAACGACACCATGTTTATGTGCTTCTAGTTTCTTTGACTTAACGTCTGCAAATGGATATCCAGACTAAAATGACTTACTGATTTATCACGAAAAGAAAATACCACATCGTACATATACAGTATTCCGCATTTTTAGCACACTGTATTACCGTAAGCTGTATACTTGTTTATCACAAATAGACAGTGACAGACTATTCTACCTGCGGGTCACGGTCAGCACCAACAGCAAACGGACGCAAGAACGCATCAAAGAAAACCACACGAAAGTAACTGTTTCCCGTACGCCAGCGCAGTCCGTCTGGCAGCACAACTGCCTTGATAACTTCTTCTTTCACTCGCCAACGTTTCATGAACTGGCCCAAGTTCACTATATCCGAAAAATTCCAACGATCCAGCACCATTGCCGAATGAACTTCCTTCCCAATTGTCGGGATATCCCCATTGCTGCAACCAATTGAACTTGCCACTACATATGTACATTTTGTGCACGCAAACTAGATACAATATTGTCAAAAAATAATTTCATACACGCTACTGCCAACGCTTCGAAGACTTTCAGGAAATGAATGTCAGCGGCTGGAACAACTTCCAAATTCTGGAGGGTGATGGGGATATCCCGATACAGTTCAGCGCTAAGATCAACCACGACGAACAAACCCGCATGAACCTGATGATTCATGATTTCTTGGACAACACCACTCTGCCAATCCAGTTGCTGTGCCATTTTGACGCAGATATAAATGGGAGTTTTAAGGAAACAAAAATATCTCAGGAACAAGAACAAAGTACGAATGTTTGGGAAGTACCAAAGAACACTTTCACAAAGAAATGAAAACACAAGGCTCAAGCCAAAAATCTGCTTGATCACGCTCCTCAATGCAGGTCACATTATACGGTACGTACCGTATAACGTGTACGTTCTACGCCGACTACGCGTATCCCGCTCACTTTCGTGCGCACGCGGCATATGCGGTATGCTTTTGTTTTGCACATAGTTCCAATACGGCACTGCTGCAATATGACTTTAAGGCTGATCGAGAATGTAATATTTAATCTGCCCACGATGAACTACTGATATCTATGTGTCCTGGCTTAATTTTAAATCTAACGTTGTATGACTTGGATCTGGGCGGAAGCCTTCTTCGAAGCAACCGAAAAAGATTCAAATTGTAGTCCTGACAGCCGTTTTTCTTTATGGGGATAGGCTTCGGCGTCGTTGATTTTAACATTTTGCAGACAAGCGGCATAAAGCAGACTTCCTTGAACATAATGTACATACGTCTGGACTTCCTTTAAAAAAGACTTGACCTCCATGCTTGGTTCGCTCCTAAAGAATGCCATAGTTTGCGTATGCGAGCAAAATAACATGTTGATTGCTGTGGAAGGTACCCACGGACTAATAAAAACAATATCGAGACAGTACTGTCGTCGATCTGGTCGGCTCAAATCCTTGACCAGCGACTGCATCGTTCCAATGGTGATGTGCCCGGAAACCACAATGTGGTGCACACCGCGCTCCGGTTGGTAAGGCGCGGCGAATTTGTGCCAGTTGCTGATGATTTCGTATATTTCTGGTACTGCCGAGGCAAACAATGCCTGAAATAATATAATGATGATTTCTGTGGATTACAGAAATTAGTTAACAAAAAAAGGGTAACAATGACTGCCAAAAAAACTGTCGTACCAAAACTCCCACTATCAGCATAATGCAGAAGATCTGGCCAAGAGTCGATTTGGGTGAAATGTCGCCGAATCCTACTGTCGATCTGCGGGAAACGTTGATTGGTTTCTTCTCGAAAATTCAAGCACGTAATTTAATTTTCAAATATTTTATGATGGGGTCGATAGATTTTTATGCAGCCGATTTCAAAGTGACAACGTACAAAGTGACAACGGACATGTACACCCATTCCCAGTATGACTTGTCCTGACGAGTAGCATCGCTGTCAACTTGCAACCAGTCATCCCCAGTTAATTCCAGCTAAAAAAATTAGTAAATTTTAAAATGTGTTATAACTTATAACTAGTGTCGCCTTAAAATGGATACAACGTTGCTTAACGATGTACGCATTCGGCCATCAACCTTTAACAAATTAAAAAGTTAGAATTTTTTATTGTTAGAAGTTTTTTTACGATTTCATGAATTGATGTTCGTGAATTAAAGTGAATTCAGGTGACAGAGTTAAAAAAAGAATATCACAGTGCAACAACAAAAACAACAATATTGACTCATTACTATTAGAATGAAGTGAAATTGATCCATTATTCTTCATACTTCATAGTATATGTACTGCAATGTATCGTTCTTACTTCTTACAAGTTACATTAATTTTTATACTACGTAAAACGTAGACCCTGTCGACCGCCCGCAGCGGACGAACGGAGTTGAGACAACGAACCCCGCTCGGTGACAGCCAGCGTGCAAAGTATTGCGTTCAGCACTTTAGCTGCTAAACTTTAGCAACAAGAGTATGACGTATTGTACAGCGAATTAAGCGTATCCTCCCAGCCACCAAGAAAGAAGTTCCAGAGTTCGTTAATTTTAATTTTTAGGAATCAGCTGTTATGAGTGTTATCATAATTATTATGCTACGTAGATATAGCATGTTGAATATCTTAAAATGGCTAGCCTGTCGAAACGTGACCTCCGCGCTATTATGTATTTTAATTTCTTGAAAAAGATGAATGCAGTTGAATGTCATACGGAAATGCATGCCTTATTCGAGAATCAGTGTCCTTCAGTAAAGACTGTGGAGCGATGGTTTCGGTGTTTTCGTTGTGGAAAATTCGACCTGGACGATGATAGGAGATCGGGACGACCTTCAGCGAAGACTCCAAGAATGATCGCAGCGGTGCAGAAGTTAGTTAATGAGGATCCGCAGATATCTATCAAAAAGATAGCTGATGAAGTGGGGATTGGTGCGGGCACTGTTTTTTCTATTCTGCGCGTGGACCTGAAATTGCACAAGAGTGCTTGTGGTTGGGTGCCTCGTACGGGAAAGCGCTCCCGTGTTTAATTGGCCGAGCGCACAAAGATTTTGTACTGCCCGTCAGTAAAAAGTTCAATGGGAGTCTGGAACGATGGATCCTGATGTACTCTCATGGTCTAAAATATCGGTACAAGAAACAAGTCTGCCGCAGGAGTTAGAATTCAGCAACTGGGAAGCAGCCGGCTGCCGACGATCCCTTGGAATTTTGGAAAGGCATGCCATTGTACAGATAAAAATTTTATCATGGTAATTACTTGTGCTTTTAATTTTGTTACTGATATAGATACCGCAGCATCGACATTGCGTGAACGAGTGACGTGGGATTGTTTTAGTTAATCAATACTACATATTTCTGCATGGTATTGTGTTTTGTGCGACTGCTTGTTCATATAAACTATAAAGTACTCTAAGTATTATTTATATTATTTATTTAATTTAGTGTTCATATATATTGGTATTTTTTGTTTAACTTTTTGTTAAAAGCCGTAACAACTTTTCGTACACGTGTTATTCAGTTATTGTCACAGGTTTCCTGGTAAATAACGGTAACTAATACTTCCACAACTTTCAGGCTTATTTTAGATTGAAAATACGCGTAGGCAAACCCAGTTTTTTAAAACTACGGTAGTGTACAAAGGTGAGATTACGTTTCACTTACCAAATGAAATATTCCCGCTGCCACTAGAGTAACAGTGACGATAACTGTGCAAATGTGAATTAATCGCCGCACAGTAGCCTTCTTAATCAATTGGGTGTAGCGGAAGTAATCCGATATAAATAACAAATGACAAGCACGAAGACACCGCAGCCCTAAAAAACATGCGATAGACTAGTAGCGAGTCTAGCTTTCCTTGGGTTGACAGTGAAACCTCATCGTACGTACACCCCGAAGAAACGTATAGTACATCCCTCTATTACGTTCGAAAAATGCTGTCCATATACAATTGTACTTGGTACGTCAAACTTTTCCTCCTACTGCAGAAGCTTTCGTTTTAAAAAATTAATGATAAGCAAATATATCGGAGTTGAGTCGACGTCTAGGGTTCAATCAATTACAGCTACGTTTAGTTTTCCCAAATATACATTCTGAAATGTCTTACCGATCCAATCATGATTAAAAATCATGGAGAGGAATGATGGAGGTATGGTGAAATATGTTACCATCGCTTTAATCGACAACAAAAACTCCACTTTATCCATAGCACCAGTGAACTGAAGATAGAGAAAAGGTCACGGTTGTGTACAAATACAAAAATGGCGCCAGATACAGAAATGGCGGCAAAAATACATAATCGGTTGATTTTAAGAAAATTCGGCTTTAATTGTTTGGTTGGTCTTTAGTTTTACCTGGAATGCGAAGAAAAGGAAGAGGACAGTGTTGCAGATACATTCAAGCTGTAAGTCCGGACGCTGCGTCCACTTAATGCAGCTTTCTACAGCGGTTATCTTCCTAAATGCAATAAAACCCTGGTTAACATGGCTGAAGGCTTAATACGTACTAAGTAGTAGGACAGTATGGCTCTTTTTCGAAAAGGAAGGCTGACCCCGAGACCCTCGAGAAGTAGATGATAAGGACTGTCATTCCCAGACAAAATTCCAGGAAAGCCTACAGTCGGAAAAATACATCGCAGGAAACAGTACACCAGGTAAATGTTATCATTTGGATTTGGTAAGGACTGCAGCGTGATAATTTTGACCTACCAACGCTCTTCCTGTCGCTGTGGACAGTGAAAGAAATTCGCCCACAACAAACTTCACCGTGGACATCCAGCTAGGTTGTTCGCGTATGCGCATTTTATCCGCAACACCCGATGCTGGTCTGTAGAGTCTCCTGTGACGGTATTCCCATACAGCCAAAAGTCCCCGCCCCACGGCCAGCCCTATCCACATTGCACCGGCAAAGGTAAAACACGAAGCCAGAAAGAGCGGCCACATCCGCTGCCCACAGGTATTCGTCCAGTCTCTACAGATGCAGTCTTTACTTTTCCCCGGTAATTAAACATTGAGGCGAAACTTACAGAATTACTCCCGATGCTGATTTGAATGTGCCGTTGTCCATTTTTGTTGTTAGTAAGTGATTCACACAAAAATATTACATTCGCCACCGAGACGACGCTTTCTTCGTACCACACATTGATTTTCCGGTACATGTAAGTACCCGTATAATTACAACTTCCTGATAGTCCTGCTATTGCTACATTTTATTTCCAGTAAAGTGGCAGAAGGGGAATTATGCGGAAAAACAAGCGCAATATAAAAATAAGTACACAAATGCACACATGTTTCCACTTAGTTCAACGTTCATGTCATGCACGTACTGTACATGTGCATTACAACCTTCAAGTGCGTATAATATGCATCGTCCAACAATATCTCCGGGAATTAAGGTAAAATAGATAAGTGTCCTTCATTAGGAAAATATGACGCTTTATAAAAATGCAACATGCTGACTTCAGAGTGCGGCCTTTTTTCGAAATGACTATGCCGTCTGGAGCGCTAATTATGTGTACATGTATTCCACCGTGGCGTATAATATAAAAATTGGAAACTTGTAAAATGCTATTTAGAGTTGATGCGAATTTGCACATAAGCATACTCTAACGAAAGAAAAACCTGACAATGTGTTAATATTGCTCGTAACTCCTCGCACCGATCCGCATTTCCGGTCTGTTCAGAGCTGGATGTCTTGCGATATTTTTATCGCCACGTGTATGTAATACTATAGCCCTGGCAGTCATTTGTTAGAAGGCGAGGGCGATTCCTGCCAGATTAATCCCACAGTTGAAACTCAGCAGCAGTTTGCATAATACCCGTTGAACGAAAATAAACTGCCGTCAAATCCCATAATCTTTTTTGCCTGTCTATTCGCAACAGCTTGCGCAGTGTCAGTTACTTCCTACGTGCACATTAATTAGCACTAATCTTACACTTCTAAACGACAACGGCGATCCGAAAATGCTTCTGCAGTATTTCGAAATACAGCATCAGTAAAGTGTATTGTAATTTATACAGTGTTTAAACACGCGATATAAAAATTTTTAAAAGATAAATCTGAGGCACCACTAAAAGCCCATAATTTAATGATATATAAATAGAAGTATCTAGCGATAAAAAAATTCACATTTTCATTTGGTTTTATTTCGTGAGCACATAAACTTGATCATCCCAGCGCAGCACTGTTTGTCTGGGTGGATTGCTGATAATAATTCGTTTTGGTGCGGTTGTGGCATTTTCTGGTTGGAACATTCTTGAGATCCCCAGGCAGACCATTGAAGAGTGTAGTGCATGTACGAATAACTCTCCATACGACAGATTCTGCAACACAATCGAAGCAAGTTTCACTTGCGCATTTAATGTGAAATATTCCAGAATAATAACTACTGTATGTATGCGCGCAGTGGTCTGATTATGTACAAAGTACATAAATTGCCACATCTGACGAATGCATAAATTTACAACTTCATCATTTGATTGACTTACGGTGGTGCTAGTGTTGAGAGTGTGTGATTGCGTCCACGGACCATCCCTAACGGTGATAAGCCGCACGCGAATATTGTACGGTGAAAGCTCGTCCGGATTGTATTCATCGCCTCCCATTAATCCCACCCCTTCGGCCAAATAACTTTCCATTACCGGACTCTGGAAACCGTATAGCAGATGCTCTACCACCGGTACAGCCAGCGGCGTAAAATAGCTCTGCAAATGAATTATTGTAACTGTAATATGCCAGCAATGTGGCGCACGCAAAAGCAAAACCTCATAGCATAAAAATATCATATCAATCTTTCGTACCGTGCTGATCAAGGAGTACAGCGCCGAAATGGTCACTGTTTGTCCACACATGAACGGTTCCATCATGAAGGATTCCCTCACCTCCACTTCCGATGAAGCGTCTTCGCTCAATAATCGTACATTGCGATTGTGCTCTACGATCAATCATTATTTTTATTGGTTAAAAAATTAGCAGAAATTGATACGAGAAGGGCTAAGATGGGCTGATATTAATGTATTCCACAATGCGGTTATTTTCATTGGCGCAATTTTTTCGGTGCAAGTTACAGTACAGTCAGTACCTGTACGGCTATTTCCTTGGGTACACCGTACAAGTACATTATTTTACCAGCACCAGCCCATCCCCTACACCCAGAGCTTACGTAAATTTCGTAAGCCCCAGTTTAATTTTTGAGTTAAATTCTTACGAAGCGCGGTAACAATGGGCAGTTCGAAATGCGCATCCATCCCTTCCGGATGGTCAAAGGGCATCGCGCGGACGTTTAACGTTGTGAGAACCGCGGTCTTATCATCCAACACTGGATCCACCGATTTCCCGGTCCAGGCTGACAACACCACACAGACCGAAGCTGTCTTGATGGAGACCGCTCGCAGATCGGCGCGATTCAGCGGATCCCCATCGACGACGGTCACCAGCGGCAAATTGCGCAGTTGCGGCCATTCACGGTGCAGGTATTCCGCATTGCCCAGCAGAACGATTTCCTTGACTTCGTCGTACGGAATCCGACTGCTGCGCATGGGCACCACGAAATCCCGCAGTCCCATGGGTGGATCATCAGGATGGGAGGAAATCAAGACAACGATATGACCGCTTAACGGATAATCTAATGCCATGCGACGGTCCTAAAACAATATAAGGGTATCTCCACAAGTTTGATCTTTAATTTAAACTGACTGATGTTATTTTTTTAATTTTTATTCAATTTTTTAAATTTTAAATTCCAGTAACAAGATCATTCAGTATGGAAACCATTGAAAGTATGCGGCACCGAGGTGTTACCTATTTCTTACATGTATTAATTGGCCATTTTCAACTATGAAATAAGAATACGAACATACGAGATACATAGGCTGAAATTTTCTATCAGCCTGCATTACGTACCAAAAGTACCGACGCAAAGGGCCGACTTTCACACCAGTAAAAGTTACGAGAAACATCCAAACAAATTTGTGTGTTGGCATGCACAGATTCCTTGCGCATAAACTTCGCATGCCGTGGATTAGTAGGAGGGCTGCTGCTCGGCTGCGAATAATTTTCCTCCACTGTACTATACGGGGTACAATACAAATTTATTTTAATTAATGATTTTTATCAGTTCACGTAGTTAGGTTGTAAGCGTTTGAATTATTAGCAGCACCGCTATCGCGATCGCTCCTGCAGCTATTGCCAAATTGTGCATTTAAATTTAGCCCAGATACTCTAAATATGCAGATATGATTGCGCATTAGGACACCATATTACATGTATCTGATTATCCAGTGAGTTCTAATTACATTCAAGAATTTAGATTTGCAAGTCTGTACGTACGCATCACTTCGAATTTTGTGCATAAGTGCATCCTCCCATCCCAGTGGCTGCCGACGTGTTTTACTGTATTTCGGCACAGCATTGTTGACGTCCTGGTGCGAGTGATCCCACAGATGACGGTACGAAACCTGGTCCAGTTGTTTCACTCGTACGCCTGTCGCAGCAAAATACTCGTACAGCTTTACGATATTACGTCATTTACACAATCAACCAAATCGCGTGGTCAACCGGAATATAGTTAAGAATGGGTGACCTTTTCATTACTACTTTACAGACCATGCATTAACTTGCCATACATCCTTTCCGCCACTATCTTTCGCTCTTAAACGTTATTTACTAAGTAAAACATAGAACGTACTCCAGGTAGCGAGCAAAACTATATATACCTACCGGTATATGCGCAAAGTATACGGAGCTAAAAGGAGTGCTTAAGATTGGTCTTCTAAAAATTGCAGTAATTAATATGTATCCGTATGTTACCATTTTCACAGTTGCAAGGTGCCAGCTGAGTAATATCCGGTAACTTTTCGTGGCATGACTGGCAGTACCAATGCACTCTGTGAAAACAAAATGCATTTTTGTTTGTATCTTTTTCGAATAAGCAAGACCCGCTCGCAGCTCCCGTTACCTTCTTGCATGAATGGCAGATCGTGCCAAGAATATCCCGATACAGCCTCCTTCAATACGGACGTTAGCATTACACAACAGGGGACCGTTTTGTGTGCCGTTCTGCGCCGTTCTCGCCGGCGAGAAAGTTCCAATGAGCACCACATTCAGTTTCGAGTAGCAGAACCTGTATGTTTCACACTATCATATATAAGTAAGAAGCTTTGCACAGCTGTGCGACACCGCACCAAACCTACTCGGCGGCTTGGAAAAAGGTCATTCCATGACAAGCTGCTGTGAACGGGCCGGAATGCAGTTCCATGTGGCAGCCCTGCAGATAATCATGCATTTCCTGTGGGGCATCCTTCAGTTCCACGGCGCCATGAAAAGCGCGTATGAGATTGGAGAGGAGTGTTGATGAGCCCGGCGCCAAACAGTTCTGCGCGGTCAGCGCCAATTCCAGCTCTTGAAGCAAATCACCGCATCGCCGCGCTTCATCAGAAAACCCGGGATGCTGCTAAACTGCGACTGCACCAGATAAAAAGAATTACACCGTGGGTATATATTGATAAATTATGTATAAAGGTTTAATTTTACCAGTTGCCGTTTTACATAATATTGTTGCAGGTATAATACAATATAGATGTTTGTACCTTTGTACTGCTTTGCAGAATTTGCACCACACACCGCAAATACGGATTGGCACTCTTAACACTGGCCACCGTAAGTAAGGTCGTGGAATCATCTTTCTCGGGATCATCCGATCGTCGATTAGCTAGATGGAGGTATGCTTCGGCCTCGTGGACCTTCGTGTTCTGCAAGCAGGCAGCATGCAGGAGACTGCCTTCCACGTAGCGCACATACGTCTGCACTTCCTTAAGAAATGACTTCATTTCGATATCCGGTTCTTCTCTGTTAGAGAACAATCAGTTGTCCAGAATTGCATAAGTACATGTGCCTTCAAAGCAATTTATTTACGGGTTAACAAAGACGATATCCAGTTTCCTCTGACGTCGGTCTGGCCGACTAAGGTCATTAACCAAGGACCGCATGGTTTCGATGGTAATGTTGCCGGAAACAATTATGTGTTGCGTGCCCCGTGCCGGTCGGTAAGGTTTTGTAAACTTTTGCAAGTTGCTGATGATTCCGTGAATTTCTGGTATAGAAGAGGCAAATAACGCCTGCAGTTTAAAAATACGACCGCTGAAAAGATTACCGTAGATGACATTAAGTTTATTTATAGCTGCATAAACCAAAAAACCCATGTACTATGCAGAAGGACCATTGCAATAAATTTTATATGCAATTTCATTTTGAGAATCCAATGTGATGTTTTAACAAATCATTTACCAGTGCTCCAATGATAAACATGACGCAAAACACTTGACCAAGCGTTGATTTCGGTGAGATGTCTCCATACCCAACAGTCGACCTACCAGTAATCGGCAGATTAATACACAGAATACACTATAGTGGCTATACAGTCATTTAATGAAGGTAATAATTTAGTTTTAAAATTGCTGAAAATCGTTTCTGCTTAACTGTTATCTGTACGAGTATAAACGGGCGCGCAGATATTTGTCGCAGTGTGAACTTACAAAGTGACAACTGACATATACACCCATTCCCAATAGGTTTTTTCCTGTTTGCCGGTAACGTTGTCCACCCAGTCATCCCCGGTCAAATCCAGCTAACAACAATAACAGGCAATAGAAGGGGGTAATAAAAGGCAGAAACTGATTGTTTGGAATAAGCCTAAGTACAGCAAACTGCATATACGGTAGGTACAGTATGTGTAATTATATGTGTGCATGCATCTACTTTACAATTGTTAGTAGTTTTTGCATATATACAGCCGACAAAATTGAACAGGTATTCGGAAATCGTAACTGTAATCAGAGAGCAATCAAGAGAATCTGTTTATACCAAGTGAAATATCCCTGCTGCCACCAAAATAACCGTAGCCACAATCGTGCAGATATGCATCAGCCGCAATAAAGTGGCTTTCCTGATTAAACGGGAGTAGAATACATATCGAGGAATGGACAACAAGTGACAAGCACGTAGGCATCGTAATCCTGTTATTAGGAACAAGAGGTCAGAAAGATGACAAGGTACAGTGTATGTCCCGCTTACCGAGAACGATAATGTATTTACATGAAAGAAGCAATATTTGAAAAACACCTAAAATATCTAACGATAAATAATCTTCAGGAAGATCAAGCACGCACGGTTTATTCTGCTTAAGCTCGACAATATAAAGTGATGCTAATGCAGGACAAAAAACTAATTTGATAAATTAACATTGGCAAGACCTAATGTGAAACTGTGTTTTTGGTATCATCGCGAATCGAGTCATAGTACTATGCGCCTTCGACATTGATGCTATGATCGAGTGTATGCTACAGTAAATTTTCAACTTATTTACGCGCACGTAAATTACTATACCGAAAATAAAATATTAATACTTTATTATATTATAATTTTCACATTACAATACGCGCTACGCAATCATTTACAGCCGTTATAAAAACTGTAAAATTGCAACATTACATACCAATCCAATCACGACTAAGGATTACGGTAACAAACGACGGAGGAATCGTAAAATAGGTGACTATTGCGTCGAGCGATATTAGAAACTCCAGTGTGTCCATGGCGCCGATAAACTGCAACACAACAAGGGCAAAAATGTTTTACTGTTTCTGCATACCGTTACTAGCAATTGCAGTTTTTACTCGAAGTATAAAAATGCAGAGCAGGATGATATTGCAAACAAACTCAATTTGCAGATCCAGTCGTTCGCTCCAGATGACACAGCTTTCCACAGTGGCACTTGTGTATCTGCAACGCACAAAAGCATAAAACCACAATCTAACTAAATAAAAGCTAAAGTAACGACTGTAAATAAGAATTCTGAGCGAATGACTCTAACATTACAGTAGTTAACACTACAGTAGTACAATAATTATGCAGTGACGTACAATAAGTGATGTTTACATTTAATGACCTTATGGACAAATCGCTATTGTTTCCTATTTTGTATTGCATCCGGATTATTTTTAGGTATACAAAAATGATTTTAAATGGTAGTTATTAATATGGGAATGAGATATAGTACTCCCTTCTAGGGAGCCCTATTGTAGGATGAGTTCAAAACTGGAGCCATTCCACATTCTTAACACCGCCGGTATTTTCATCCTGAACGTTTTGATACTGTTTAAAATACAGTGCCTATGTAGTTACGAAATTTAAATTTTCTCCGTTGTGACTAAATCGTAGAATGCACTCACCTCGAAACACGTGCATAATAAATAAACAGCACCGTCATTCCTAAGCCAAATTCCAAAAAGGCCTAAAAACAAATACGCTAGAGGCAAGGTAGCTAGTAAAACCATGACATTAACGTGAATTATCGCGAGTGCTATCAATCAGCTGTTGAATACTTCGGTTTTGCCCGCATTTTATTACTTCTGTATAAAACATTATACTCGCAAACGTAACATGTCCGTTTGGATCCTAATATTTATTGAAACAGGTAACTTCCTGTCGCAATTTTTCAATTAAAAACATAGACCAAAACGTTTGCGTTTATTTGTGCTGCTGCACGGCAAGTTAAGGAATATGTAATTAATAATAATTATTACTTACCACTGCCTTGCCGCTGAAAGTGGATGCCGACATAAATTCTCCCACAATAAATTTCACCGTAGACATACAGCTGGCCTGTTCACGAAGTTTATTCGGACCGGGAGAGCGGCCGTCTGCCACTAATTTGTACCGTGGCTTGCTCCTGCGATAATCACGAATGGCCCATATTAATCTGGCAACGGCCAATCCCAATCCCATTACGGCGGCGAACACCAGACATGATGCCAAGAAAACGGGCCACATCCGCTGTCCGCACTGCGTAACATCGCTACCGATAGAAACAACTGTTAACAGCGGTGTGGATTGCACAGTTATTTTAACCAAGGTCATTCCCATAAGAAGTCACTTACGGAGCGATCGTACTAGCACCGTGGTCCATTTTTGTGCTTATTACTACAATCAGCAGATTAACCGCGCGAATTGCGGTTGATGTTTTATGTTGACATCTGTTGTAGTTTCATACTCGTACATGGCAATCACAATGCGAAATGCGAATGCATGGACTCTTCCATTCAAAAACGCCAAAACTTGCAAAACTTTGTTCTCGCCAAATTGACCTGCGGGCTAAAGCCGGTGCGATATAACATTTTAACCGACCCCGAGGAGATTCGAAATGATGATGACAAAAGTACAGTATCAAATAGAATTCTTACCATTAGTTACTGTACTACTTAAGACAGTTAAAAAATAAACAGAACAGTGTATACCGCAATAAATTAATTATTTGCGCTATGTTCATGTGTTTACTAAAAAAACACGAAACCAACTGATTTTTTATTAATCAAACACACAGCATATTTTCTGAATTCTACATGAAAACAAAATTGCAAATAAATTTCTAAAAACTATATACACATTCAACTTCTCAAGAAACACTGCAACAATAACCAGAATAACAAAATAGGAAACTTGGGGGGGGGGAGAGAACTAGCGGCAAAAATCTGAGCAAAATTGTGCAATAGTATGCAGTGAGCATAAACGTGTAATCATCTAGTCAGAACATAAACCCCATCATCATGCTGCAGCGGAAAATCCTTCCGCGGATTACTAATAACACACCGTCGAGGCTGTAGCGACTCTTCCTGCTCAGCATGAACCGGTAAATAGCGGGCAATGCCCAAACAAATCACTCCTTTCTGTAGAGCGCTCTCGAATATCGTTCGATACAAGACAACCTAAAATCAACAAACAGCTGCGTGAATATTACAGTACTTTTGTATATGTGAAAATTTTGTCGCACTTCACAGCGAGGAGACATTCAATATTCTTCCTAACCGTGTGCGTACTGCGTAACACTCGCAACAGTATAGTAACACTCTGACTTCTGAGTAATCGTTTTGGTTAAAAATTATGAAGTTCACGCGAAATGATCACTGTTTCAACCAGTTTTTATCTGTTATACAAACAACATATGACATATCCAAGAATACTACGACCATTGGTTAGCTCTAATAAATTATGTAAATGGTTTTGAAATCCTATATAGAAGTCAAATGAAATAAGTTAAAAACTTCACAGAAATACCAGTTTTCCGAAATTCGACCCGGTGAGTTTTCGTGCCGCTGTATTCCAGTTAAGTAGGCTCATACCGTAGTCAACAGACCGTGCTCATACTGCATTCCAACGCACCTGACTGGATGAAAAATGTTCCTTCCACGATGCAGATGTAAGCGAGATCAGCTGGATACGAGTAGTAAATTCTGATATCTTTTCTCTAGTATACACTTCACCGGGGATCAATCCCGCACCTTCGGCATCAAGCATGTCCATCAACGGACTCTGATAGCCATAAAGTAACGCTTGAAGGATAGGTGTCGCTAACGGACTCATGTAACTCTACAATAAATCATTATGGAAAACAAATTTCAAAGAACATGCGTTGTTACATATGGTTGACAACTTGACATACAGTGACAAGCATGGAATCAAGTGCACTAATTGTAACCGTTTCGCCACACATGAACGGTTCCGTAAGGTAGACCACTTCGTGTCCAGAACTTTTCCGATCATATTCACTTAGCAGCCGCACATTAATATCATGCTCTGAAAGATACAAAATATAGTTTTCATCACAAACAGTACATCACACGTCATATAATTATATTTTGCACTGAGAAGTACTCCGTTACGAAATATTTGTCTGGGTTGCCCGGCTCGAATTAACCGTTCCTTATTTTTAGTTTTGTGTTAAATAAGCTTGTTTCTCGATGCTTTAGCCATCCGTGTTTCACTTGATATAAAATAAACATCTGGTAAGTGATGTTCAAACTCACGTATTGCAGTGGTCGTCGGCACATGGGGCTGCATGAACACCTTCCCATGCCCATTCTGCCCGTGCCCATTTACAGCCGGTATCGGAATCTCATCGAATGGTATCGCTTTGACATTTAACGTGGCCAGCACGGCGGCCTGATCGTCCAGGGACAAATCCAATCCCGTGCCTGTCCACGCCGACAATACCACGCACATAGCACAATCCCGTACCGACACCGCTCGCAAATCCGATCGGTTCAGCGGATCGCCCTGTACCAGGGTTATTTTCGGCAGACTGGCAATGCGTGACCATTCCACCCGTAAAACTTGTGGATCACCCAACAAAACAATTTCCTGCAGGTCCTGATAAGGAATTCGACTGGAACGCAGCGGCAAAATTAAGTCCTCGATGCCAATTTGCGGATCGGTTGCCCGGGCCATCACGAGAACCACCACATGGTTGCGGAACGACCGTCCGGAACCCAGAAGGGCAGCTCGATCCTAAACAAGCGTGTTCGAGAAATCTGACGGTACGAGCATGCAAAACTTACCACTTAAAGCACTAATTCAATAACAGTAATCAAACAGGCACACGGAAAAATTTTTTATGTATAATCTACCAGATAATAACGTGTGTTAATCGCACCAGGAAAGCTGATCGGAAACTGCGTGGCGCACAGCAGTAAAAAGACCCGGTAATGTCCAGCAGAATAACTTCCGGCTGTGGAAATAACCCTTCGTCTTCCGGTTGACTTTGGAGATCACCTTTCAATGACGTTTTGATATGTTCGTCCATATGTATTATCAACCTGCACAGCAAAAATAAAACGTCAGAAGTTTATGAAAAAATCACCAAAGTTAAAACTTAACACCAGTGCGTTTAAAGCAGCTACTGATGGAAAAATGGGACATTAGAAATTACGATATGAACTACGGAGCACTTTTACAGAGTAAGCCAAAAACCTCCACAAAAGTAAAAATTATGGAAATGGAGAATGTCATTGCGTCTCATTACTGGCATCTGTGGTTTACCTAGATTTAGCATGCTGGAGCAGTTTGGCTTCCCATCCCGGTGGCGGCCGCACCAAAATCGAATGCCGTATACGCGGCAAATCGCGCGCATGGGTCAAGCTCAGCAATCGCTCGAAGGGATTGCGCATCAGTTGCAATCGCAAAGGTGACTTTTCTGCAGGCAAATCCAAAATGATCATTCGTCATTTGTATTATGTAGGCACGTTCAGCCACCAACCTCGATCGCACCCGCAGAGATTAACTGAAGAAGCAAGCATTGCATCTTTGTGACATTGATCACAGTAATAATGCGCCCTAAGAATGGACAAAAAATGTCAAAAATAGACAAGATTCCTTAAACGGTTTATATACCGTGCAACATCGGAAGACGAAGCGGCAATGAAAACTCCAAGACGTTCGTTGTCAACCTCCATGTCCCCTGGCGGCAACACCAACAGTCCCGGGCGGGTATTACTACGTTCCGGTTTGAACAATCCAATTAACAACAAATCCAGTTTATTGAAGCATAACCTAACAAGTATCGTTAATCACCGGAATGTAGCAAACACCAGCTGAACACAAAATATAAGAACTCACAATGCTGCTTCCGTAAACGTCAAGTTATAAAAGTGCGGACTGAAAGCTCCACAGTAAATGGAGAACTGACAACCGCGGACGTACTCCGTAAAGGACGGACTTTTATCTTTGTTAGCAATTTTCTGGTCATCCGGTACTAAGTGCATCATATTCAACAGAAGAGTGGCTGCACCCGGTGCCAAACAATTTTGCGCGATCAAGGATAATTCAAACTCTTGACAGCATAGCACCACATCTCCACGTTTTATGTGGAAACTGGGAATGCTGAGTAACAAAATCTGTAGGAAACGAAGCACAATATACATCCAGACAATAAAAAATACTGTGCAGCGGGTGTGCAACAGAAAATGCAAATGATCGCCCGCACGTATAGCCGATTATGCATGTATAGCCGCCAATTAAAATGGTCAAAAGCGTAAGCAAATTTAAGAAAGGTTAATTTGCGCTTACCTTTGCCTGGGTTCGTAAAATTTGTACAATGCATCTCGTACGCGGATTATAATTCTTTACGGACGTCACAAGCATAACCGTAGTGGCGTCATCCTTGTCCGGGCTAGCCGTGGCAATATTGGTAACAAACAAACAGGCAAATGCGTGGTGGACACCAGCACGTCGCAGGTCTTCCACGCACAGCAAACTGCCTTGTAGATACGTAATCTGGATGGAGTGTGCCCGGATGATACATTCCATTTCAGCATCCGGCTCGCTACTGCAAATAAATACAGTAACTTAGCTTGGTGCTGACCACCTGTTGGCGCTGGCTACAAACAACGCTCACAGCATAACGGAGAAGGTTCCATCAAGAAAAAAGTGCAAAAACTGGCATACATACAGCAGTTATTGCTCTGTTGAGTAGTTAAAAATATAGCCAACCCACTAGATGAGGTTCTATTCTTAAAAATAAAATTTCATCGGCAAGAATTAACCGCCGTTTCTATACTTACTGATGTACAAAACAAAGTTTGACGTCTTTTCTTCGCCGGTCCCTTTGATTAAAGTCATGAAGAATCTTTTGCATAGTTGTGGCAGTAATATGCCCGGTAACCACCACATGCCCAGTGCCACGCTCTAGTTTATAACTGCCACCGTATCGGCGACGAGTGCTGATGATTTTGTACACTTCCGGTATAGTGGAGGCAAAAAAGGCCTAGGAAAAAAACATTTGTCAAATGAAACGTGACGGGCAGCTTATGGAACAGGTTCATAGAAAGAGTAACTCACAAGGGCACCAACGATAAATAAACAGCAGAATAATCGGCCTAGAAACGTCTGCGGTGAAATGTCGCCGAATCCAACTGTTGATCTAAACGAACCCAAATTAAAAGTACAATATACTGCACCATGAATGTTATGCTATAATCCGACCGTTCGGTTGGCAGCGTGTAGTTATTTGAAAATATTGCAAATCAATTAATACCACCAGTAAACTTTAATTAAACTTTCCTGAGTCTGACTGTCTTTCAGTTTGCTAATTTTCGTAACCTGATATTTGTAAAAAATCAAGCGCTTGTATTAATTCTGCCGTTTACTTTACAACTAACTGCAAAGTGCAATATATTCATCTCTCCAAGCCAAAAGGTAGTCCCCAAATTGTGCCATAACTGATACTTTTATAAGCCTTACAGAGTAATGATCGAAAGATAAACGAATTCCCAGTATGGCCGTTTCTGAACAGTATCCGATCCCATCCACATGTCACCGGAATTCTCCAGCTGTGTTCCAAAGTATGTTGTGTTACTGCAGCTTCAAGTAGTCATATCAAGCAAAAAAGATTAATCTGTACCAGGTGAAAAATTCCACTCCCAACCAAGAGCACCGTTAAGAGAACACAACACAAATGCGCCAAACGGACACTGGATCGTGAATTCAAAATTCGGAATGAGTGTAGAATATCCGGTACAATCAACAAATGGCACGCTCGTAAACATCGCAGACCTATAAACAAAACTTACGTACACCTAAATACGGTGTCAATAGTGCAATAAAAACATTTCAAATCGCGAAATTATTTTACCTATCCAATATCGATGAGCTGCCAAGGCGATAAATGCCGGCGGAATGGTCAGGTAATTGATGAATGAAGAAAGCCGGGTAAGATACATAACTTTGTAGGTTGCGCCTACAAACTGCAAAAAAGAAAACGTAGCTTCAAAGCATGCATTTAGGAAAATTAAGATACTGCGAGTATAATTTGGATGGTAGTAAGTGTTCATTCCCTAAACATATTTAGATTTCTTAATTTACCACAATATATATATAGATATATCATTTTTCAATATTTTCGTTCAGCCTTTCCAGTTATTTCTATGGAATAGAGAAAGAAAACACTGCGCCCGCTCCATCATCAGCAGATTTTCTGTTTGCCGGCATATGCGAAAATTGTCATGCTGCTTTCCAGCTACCGGCGATTACCACACTTCTCCACGCCAGAGTATTGAGAAAATTATAAGTGGAAGTGGGCAATTCTTAAGCAGGTTTACCTTGATAAGAAAGAGGATCAGCAAAAAGACATTGCACGCCAGCTCAATCTGCCAGTCAATGCGGTCTTTCCACCAGGCCCATAATTCCGTGTCGTCAATTTTCCTAGATATGGATTATGGACACACACACATGTCAGCGGCTAATCTTGGGGAATTAAACGTCCCTCGTCAGCAAAAATTAATAAATATTTACCACTCCAGTAGATAAGCGCTGTCAATCTTACCTTGAGACGAAATGGAAATAGATCACCAATACCGTCATGCCGGCTATGAATTCCATAACACGCTATAAAAGATTAAAGTGGCTATAATCGGGCACGAGTACGACAGATAAGTTAGAATACAAAAACAAAATGGCCGGACTCTAAAAGCATTGCAGAAGTCTAGTGTTGATAAAAATTAAAAAGTTTAAGTGCGTAAGTAAATCATAGCTAAAAATCGGACAATTCTGATAAAACTGACCCGCAAAATGGTAATGCCAATTTCAGACAGCAAATTCAGTATGATAAAAAGGAAGAGTTTCAGTGCAAATGGTCAATGAAAATAAATAAACTACAACCATACCAATACTACGATTTTTACAAATATATAACAAAAAACTGTATCGACAATTTTTTGTATATATATGTCATTCCCCATATTTTCAACAAAGAAAATATATGTAGTAAGGAAAAACAGTGCGAGAAAGTAGGGGAAAAAATTAGAAGAAAAACAATACAGGCTAAACTGCAAGATAACAAAAACAAATATCTCCTTACCAACAATTTGCCAGACAGTGTCCGAGAGGACACCAGTTCACTGCAGAAATGTTTAATCTTCCCCGGAACGGAGATTTCCTCATCCCATTCCGGTTCCATTGGAGCAATTCCACTGGCGGCACTGCTGCTGTTGCTGTCGACTGCGACGGCGTGGTATCGCCAACGGCGAGGAAAATAATCGCGTCCATGCCGCAACCGCCATAAGAGCAGCAGAAACAAAAGACACAGCGGAAATGCCGCCGATGCCAGGATAAACCAAGGCCAGGCTCGCGATTCATCGCAGGGCAGCGAATTATCGTGCAGTTGCCCCGCACTAAAAAAGTACGTAAATAAAGTCTGCAAGGTATATCTGTGCACGAAATTATTAATATTATTAATTAATAATATTGGTATCCATAAAATAACTTGTTAAACTTCGAAATGCCGTTACGCCTGTTATTTTATTGTCAAATTAATAGCTATAGGCCTATAGCGTACAATCAAACAGTTGCCCTTGAGGCTGAAAATGATATGAAAATTTTGGAGAAAATGGAGACGAAGAACCAAAATCCAAATTAATTAACCTGAAATCTGCTGAAAGGATTTACTGGATGTAAGTTGTGATCAAATAGGCACAATAACCCAAATAACGCAAAACCTCATTTACGACATTTTAATGGATTCCGGCAGCGGTGTCTTCACGTGCACGGCACCTCCGCTTCTCGTGAATTATTCATTAAAAAATCTATTTTAATTTGCTAGCAGCTAGCTGTTACACAGTAATCAGAGATTCAGAATGCGTACCTGGCTAGGTCCGTCGAATTATTAGCGTCCATTTCGAAGAGCGTTACTATACTGGAGTAAATACGGCAATGAGGTAGCAAGCGCTAATTTCCACGAATCAATAATTTCAGTCCTCATGCAGTCATTCGCAGTTGGAAACAAATATTAATAATATCAAAAGAACTTAAAGAAGCAAAGCAACCTGGATGGCAACTGGCAAGTTGGCAATATGTAAACAATATCCATGCTGCAGTGAAATTCGTGGAATGATAACATCAATCGGTTCGGTCCAGGTTAAACATTCCGAATATGAAGCACTACGCCACTCACGTTCTGCTTGGACAAAGGCAGCAAAGGAATAGGCCATTTGCTGCTGCTTATCAGATACGGGTCATACGGCACAACAGACAGCCTGCGCTAATCGGCTGACTGAAAGTCTGAAACAGCGTACGCTATGTACCGGCGGTTACAATTAGGACAACCCACTTTGTTTACGTCAGTAGTGCCAGCTGGCTAATGTAAACTTGCCAACATGACGTCAAAATGGCCATCCAAAATGGCAAAATTATACTTACGATTAATATAACTTACTCCGTACTCGTATATAAAAAAATATTTGTTAATTTGTAATTTTCATATTCATGAATTGTACAGATAATAAGCTAATTGTAAGTACTATATTTTTCCAGAATCTCACGACTGCAGCGACATAGAATGCATTGGTCAGCGCCAGTTAGCTACAGTGCTCCTAAGGGACTTTATATCGATTTGTTCAGTATTTCTACAAATAACTCCAACAATCAACAACCGCAATTGCAAACACTGCAAAATTGCATATTATACTTAACTAGATAGATATAGATACATTATTGTACAGTACGAGTATTGTACAAAATACACTTATGTTTCATTGTTAAAAACGAATTGTAAAACCCTACCATATTATACCGTGGAAATGCGCAGCATTTCCACTACTTAGTATTGCGTATCTGTAAAAGAACACAGTGTACAGACCGTCGCTTTTATTACTACAGCATGTGTCTATCGCCAAGCATTTATCGATGCCTTTAATTATCCTGAGCTAGTGAAAGAAAAGAAAAAACCAGTCTTTCCACTTTTTTCTTTATGGCTTTCTTCGAATTTGCCAATTAACGTAACGTGCGCAGTATGATATTCGATGCGCGTGGAACTGGAGTTTACAGTAGGAGAAGTGAGAACATGCATCATACATGCATTTACACACGTATAACCAAACCTCCAGCTGACAAACTTCGAGCAATTTTTAAACCTCTTTTGGCGGGAAAATTAAAATATATTTAAAATTCGGATGGTTGCAGTGCCCTACACGACTGTTCTCCATGAATTAAGCTTATCGAATTATTATTTATACAAGTACCGACATTTCACAAAGTTATAGTTACGTGATATGCACGACGACGCATGCATTCCCGTTCTGCGATAAGATTTGTTCGCAATGATCCAGCGCAAAATATCTTTAGATACTTACGGTTAGACCGACCAATTAAGGTGTCTTTGGGGTCAACGTGCGGTTCCTAACCTTGACAAGCGTTCGAGTGCGAAAATGATTGTGAAAAAGCAAAAATTTCAGCAAAACACGAGTGTAATCAAACACGCGTGTTAATTGGAAATCAAACCCGTAAATGGTATTTCTATGCTCAGAACAATTATATTAAACGTACTCGTTTTTCGAAAATAGCACTGCAATACCGGTGGCTGCTTTCACTGGCCAGCTTCCGTTTTCGAATTTCGCTAATTTTACAGTTTACACATAACAGTGCCATGCTCAACGTTAGCTGGATATTTTTGGTCTCTTTGATTTTGCAGGCAAGTTACGAAGCAGTCTTGCTATAATATATATTTACTTTTTTATATGTATACTTTATATTTATAGGTATATATTTACTTTTTTACATTTATTTTTCGGAAAAATATCATGTGCTCATGTTCCTTATTGTCAGCGAATTAGAGATCTACGAAACACAATAGATCCGACGAAAATCTACGCTGTAGTAAAAAACTAGTACAGCTAGAAGTACGTAAGTACGTAATCCCCTATCATGAATGACACAGTTTTCATCCACTACAGCAGTACTGCGCTACTTGTCAAGAAGATCCAGCTGGACTATCATCGTCACTTTCTACGCCCAACCAACCTGACGACAGCTTAGTCTCCCAGAATTTGGATTTAGTCAGTTAGTGAATTAAACATAAACGCTGGATCTATCATCTAGGACTTATTTGTAATAACATTAATTTCAGTATTCAATCTGCTTATTTTGCAAGAATCCTTAAGTACTGCACAAGGATACATACTATGATACTAGTATACGATATACCGCTGAATCTGATGTCAACACACTACGTTATACGCATACTTCTAGGCATAGCACAATCGTTTGCGCTTTAATTTATACTGTAATTTTATCGGTCATTTGTAGCAGCTTTCATATTTGTAGAGTTTGCGATGTTAGAAAAAGTACGGCGGCTTATTACGTCGCAAGTGGTGTCGTCCATTGCGCGATACAATACCGTGCAAAATTTGTTAATGTTGAACTGTATTTTTATATGAAATAGACAGGCTATTTGGTGGATTCTTGGGTGCCGGTGGTGGTCCCAGGGGATCTGTCTCGCAAAGTGGTCTATTCCCGGGTGGAGCCAGCGGTATTTTAGGAGCCAATACCGGTAGTGCTTCCGCATCTAACTGGATGCCCTTTGGGTTATTCGTGGGTGATATTAACCGCTATAATAATCGCATCGGTGGGGAATGTGTACTTGTTGGAGCGAAATGCAAAATCGACAACTCCATTTGCAGTTCCATGCTGACCGGTGTTACGTCCATCGGAAAATGCCAGTGTAAATCCGGATTTCAGGAAATGAATGGAGAATGCTTTTCTGTACTTATTCGCAGTGCAATCTGGGATACGCCACTGGAGAGCGAGCCGGTGCTAGTCCAAGCTCTAACCCAAACTCACTAGCTAGAGCTCTACGAAACTGTAGCTGTGTTAATCAGTTGATGGCATCTTTAAGAAACTGATCACCCCTTTTTACTGCACTAACATCGTTAAGCAAATACTAGTCCGTACTAGTATAGTGCAATATCCGTTTCCTGATTCTTTGTAAATTTTTGACGCTGACGTATTTGTATGCATGTATTTTGCAGCAGCCATATATGCATATTGCATACGACTAATAATGTGCGCACCACGCTCCTGCTTGCAGCCGTGTTTCACTGATTTCGAAATCTCTTGTTTCTAGTAAGGAAAAAATAAATAAGTTTAATAAATTTAGGTGGTGACCTTGCTTGCGGTGTTTATCAAAAGCATAGCCGTCTTTCCTGATCGCTAATCCACTTCCGGTCAGCCGATTTACGGTACTGTATAGTCTGTACTCTGTATGCTTGGCTGGTGACAACGAGTTTTCCTATCAAGAAGTTTTTCAGTTCATAACCTGTCGAAAAAAATGGAATAAACAGTCGGATGTTGCGAGGTGCGAATGTTAAGGTTTAATATTCACTATAGTACAGTAATTTTTACTGTTACTTGCGAGTTCCCGAGTTCTATAACAATGGCAGTAGAGACTAGAGATACGACTCCGTCGAACAACCAGCCTTCCTCGAACGGCGACTACGATACCATTGGCAGTACACATTTTAGGAACAGAGCATTGGGATTTGGGACTACTGTATCTGTACAGTAGAGGGAGACTTTCAAATCTCTTGCAGCTGACTGCTCGTGGTTTATGGAGAACTGAAATCCGAAAGCCAATGTTTTAATATTTTAACAACACCAGGTTTAACACCGCGGATATCTCCATCTTTTCCGTTATCCTGTAGCTTTTTTCTGATCTACCATGTCGGGGGATTCTGTTGTTAGCGAATGGCACTCGCAGCTAATGGAGAATGTGAAGAATTTCGACGAAGCATCTGTCGTCGCAATCGCTGCAGGTACCTTATGGGAATAATTGAAAATTTTGCAATATGATGTGTGTATTATTTTCGTGTTTTGCGTGGCTCGTGTACTGTATGCCAAGAATCCGTATTATGTTTATGCAGAAATTAATCAACGTCAGAAAGTCCTGTTGCACGTTGTGGAAGCGCTTGGGTACGTATGCGCATGCAAGAATATCGAGAAATGTGTTGATGGACCTGCGTTATAGACCGAGTCTGACACACAAAGATGCAGCGATCCGCCAAGAAGCTGTCCGCGTTATTGTCACCATTCTGGAGCATTTGCACGTTACCGCGCTCAATGACGGAGAATGCGAGACACTGTGCAGGTTCCTGTGTGATCGTCTGCGTGATCACCAGAGCTTCTTTGGACTGGTGATGCGCGGTTTCCTAGCACTGGTAAGACTAGATTGCATTTCTTTTTTATGAGAAAATATATCCATAATACTAACAATTTGCAGATTCGTATGGATGCGTTTCCGGAGGATTGCGTAATAACAATTCTGAATGCCTTAGCGGAAGATGTGATTGTGTCGATGATGGCGAAGAATGATCGCTATAACGTGTATTTACTCGTGGAAATTATGATAAGCCGTTTTCAAACAGGTAATGTAGTGTGGTATAATAATGCAGTTGTTTTAGCCCGCTTTTTAACTCAGTTTTTAATTGTGTTAAAAATCCACCTTGTCGCATTTTTCTGTGTATATCGTTCTCATTGATTATTATTTTTCTGGAGATTAATAACATTTTTTCTGCTTTGTACGAGGTAGTATTGGAAAAAATGGGGCCGACTTTTCTGGCCCGATTTGTTAATTTTATGAATGGCGAACATGAACCGCGGAATTTGGTACTGTGTTTTCGTCTGATGACTAGGATACTGCGCAAATTTGAAATCGGTAAGCAATATTGATTATACTCGTAACTGATTTAATTTATGCATTTTTGCAAGTTTCTGTATTTTCGTTGATGTTCGACTTTAGAACCTATGGAAGAAATGGCGTTTGATGTTGTGGCTTGTTATTTCCCTGTTGATTTTACTCCTTCAAACAAGGAAGATATCGAATCGAACATCAGGGATACGCTGGTCATCGGACTGCGACGGTGCCTCACAATAGCTCCACAGTTTGCGAAGTTTTTATTACCGTTACTGTTGGAGAAACTGATGTCGGATTTAAAGGATGCGAAGGTTTGTAATTTGTCATTTTCAGTTGGATTTCCACTTGTAAATATTTTCTGATCCGTTATGCGTTATAGTGTGTTTTTGCTTTTAAAGGTGGAAGCTTTAAAAACACTCACTGCTTGCTGTAATTCCGAGCCTCCACGGGATGTTATTTTGGAACATCTCCCTGTTCTCTGGCCCGCAGTACGCAAAGAAATCCTGACTGCCACATCTGACAGCATCGAGGAGGCCGCTTTGGAAGCCCTGACGGCTGTCACGCGCTATCTCGCTTCCGGTGTACAGCAAGGTATGACGGTTTGATAAAGTTGGCCATTACATTTTAGCATCATTGGTATTCTGTGTCCAGTGCTTTTAAATGGTTTCATTGTGTGGATGGGGTTTTTATATAGTTGATGGTGTCTATTACTTAAATTTGCCAAATTTCGAATGTATTCGCAGTTTACAAAGATTTTTTGTCAGCTGTAATAATCATGGTTATTCGTCGTTTTAGATATCGTCGTTTTGCTGAAATAATTTCTTGAGTAACTTTTTAAAATCATTGTCCTGCTTTATTGGAAAGTATTTTTGTTCTTTTCGTCTAGAAGGTTTTCAAGATTTCTTATTCATTCTTAGGGAAGAATGGTGTAGATGCCTTCGTTGCAACTGTGATTAAGGATGTTGATCCTTATCTTCGTAAACCCGAACTGCAGTTACAGCAGTCGACGGGAAAAATTTTACGGGCCATATCACTGGGCTCTAGTAATGCGTGCTCTGCCATCGCTACTTCTGTGTTGCCAAACGGTGTCAAGCTCTATATGGACCAAGTCCAACCAGAGAGCCGTTTAGCCATTGTTAGCGTAATGACGCTGCAGCTGCGCACCATGGCCGAAATACCATCCGGACATATCTTCACCGTGCCGGACAAAAATTCCATCGTAACATTGTATCAGTCCATCATATCGGATACTCCACAGAGTATGACGACATGCCTCGGCATCTCTGGTTTGGCGCATATGTTGATGTTGCGCGATGAGAAGAATGAGCCGTTTGTGGAGCTGACCAAAGTCGAACAGATCTGCAATACGTTTATTACGGGAATTATGTACTATGAAAATCCCGGCGTCGTGGATGAAGTTATAAATTTTTTCACCATGGTCGGACAGGAAGAGGATGAACAGTACATTTATGGAAAGCTGTTGCCGAAGTTGTTGGAGTTCATGCAGAGTCATGAAGTGTTGCCGATTCCCCAGAGGTTGTTGGATGTGGCTACGGCGATACTGAAGACGTCGCGGCCGAAACGGGTACCCACAATTATCCCCGTGCTCCTCGAGAGAATCCAGTTTCTGGACGAAAGTAAGGCTTTAGCCGCTTATGCGAAATATTGGTGTTCTTCAATATTGACGCATGAACACTGAAATGGTTCACGAAATTTTTTCCATTTGTTTATGACAAATTATTTAATTACTAACATTTTTTCAGGAATAGTTTCTGTTACTTGTGCGATTTTTTTCCACTAGTGCTTACTGCGCTTTGAATTTTTCAGTTGATGTCTTTTATTGAGTGATGTTATTTTGTAGATGGACCCTATGTTCCTACCATGAAAATGTATTTGGACATCATTGCTTCGTATGTGGAGGGCATTCATTCGCCTATAGAAGCTGACGAGCTCTGTGAACTGGTGTTGCTACCAACTTTTGGGAAAGCCGTTAGAGCAGCCACATCGGAAAACACTAGCGGGTACCAGGATATCACAGTGCTGCACTCGCTGAGCCGAGTGTACAGGGCCATCGTTTCGCGTCTGGACATCCAGTAAGCTGATCATGTTGGCGGTTTTGTTAAGATTTAGAACAATCATTTGATTCTTTAGGAGTTATGGACAGCTTGTTTTAAAACTGGATAAAATGTATCTACGAGGCGACACGACCTACAAGGAATATACGACTGGACGAAAAAGAGAGCAGTTGTTTGGAGGCGCCTTTAAGCCTTTAGAGGTTGGTACAAATCTTGCTGATTTTTGCATATTTACATTGCCTGGCTTAGTTTCATCATTTCATATGGAGCGATAGTGATTGCATATGGAGTTGATATATTTTTATGTTAAAATATTATCGGTGGATAATTTTTTTGGACAATATGCCCTAAAAATTGATTAATTTGGATGCTAGCAGTATAAATTATTTTGCACTACTGTTTTTAAAAATATTGTTACAATTACCGGCATCTTCTGTTTGTAGAAACCGTATTTAACCACGCACACGAGATGTATTTCCATCATGACATCTATTGTTTGTGCGGCCCCCGTGGGTTTTGTCTACGTATATGATGAATGGAAAGCAGACATTCATAAACTGGTTGAAGCGTGCTGCTTTTGTGCGGATGAAATATCTTCGGTTTTTGCTGCGCAATGTATCGGAGGGATTCTCAACCGGGTTGATGACGGTAATTGCATACGAAATAAAACTTTTTGGTTTAGATTTTACATCAAATATTTCGAAAATATTACTCATTCTGCAGATGAGACATTTGATAATCTTCTTCGGGATATTATGGACGAACAACCGCTAGCCAAAGCCCGCAGCCAAGAACGCCGATATCTGCGGGTGTTGATTTGGATTACCAAAGCACTGGTGCTGCACGGTCGACGGGTGTCGTTAATATTGAAACTGGCCCAGATTAGCGTCGATCACCTGAACAGTAAAAAGAGCGGGGAAGAAGCGGCCGACGGATTCCGTGTTGTTTTAGAGGATTCCTCTTTTGTGCTGAATCCGTCGATGAACGCCATTGTCAGTCCGCTATTCCGGCAGAAATTCTTCAACGTTGTCCTACCATTGGTGCTGAATAGCTACAAAGAAATCGAGAACGCGGAAGAAGCCTGGAAAAAGCGGAATCACCTGGTGGCGTTGTCGCATTTACTGAAGAATGTGCCACAAATTGTCGCTAGACCGAATATGCCGTTGGTAAGCTTCAACAGCACTGCTACAGATTTCCTAATCAGTAAATTTACAAGTTCCAAAAATGGCTTTTCGCACTTAATTGCAAAATTGGAGTAAATGGTCGTTGGTGCACTGTGCAGAAGAACGATTTAACGTAACGTTGTATATAAAGACTGAATTGCTTAACGGTTGCGTAGAAGTATTGGTTGTTAGATCGACAGGAAAGGGTATTTGTAGTTTGTATGCTGACGAGGTGCAAATTCGCAGGCTGTAAATTTAATTTTTTTGGCTTTAGGTTGTCCCGCTGCTTCTTCAGTCCTTGAGCAGTCCGGATATCGAACTGCTTATCTCTACGCTGAACTCTTTTGAGGAGTTATTGACGGATTCGGACGCCGACACAGTGTCAGCATCTCTGGGTACTCCATCCATCCCACCCCTAATCGAAAAGCTGTTGGAATTATGTGTACATCAGTCTAGTATGGTATGCCATTTGTCCTGTTCGTACCGTTCGTTAGAGTATAATTATATTAGTTTGCTGAATACCATTGTGAGGATTTTTAATCTATTGTAGAGTATCAGGATTGCTGCTCTAAAATGTTTGGAACTGGTCAGTTCACAACTACCGGTGCCGCCGCTTTTGCCATATAAAAGCAAAGTTCTGAAGAGATTGGCTTTATGTGTGGATGATAAGAAAAGAAAGGTTCGGGAAGTGGCGGTGGAAACTCGAGGATCATGGTGATAGAATTATTTAGTTTATGTAGTTACAGTATATTAATTTTACAGTTTGCTTGATAGTACGGTGACGACTCAGTATTTAGGCAAAATATTATCAGCAATACGTCTAAACAAAATTTATCATTCCGCTTCTCTCTGCAGGTTTCTCGTGGGGCAAGCCAATAAAGCAGGATAATAAAGCTGGAGATTATTTGCGCGGCCTGATGTATTTATTTCGTGATTGCGACTACGCTTTTGTGAATGTTATTTGCGATGCATCTTTCATTGTTGTTCCTGCTGTTTCTGCTTTAACCGCAGATCAGTTCACTTACTTGAATGTTTTACTGAAACGATCCGGGAATTTTATTCAAGTGGTTGTTCTCTCTTCCGCTGTTTAGATATACGAGTTCAGTAAGCATTGAGCACCATGACTGACGAGCTTCAGTAGAACCATAGAGTAGAAGTATTTTTGATTTCAATGTGCTTCTGGTGACGATATTTGACCATAAAGCAGAATTACAATAACAGCATCAACAAGGAATTTTAGGTACCTGTGCTACGCTCAGCTACCCAGGTTTATATCGCACAAAAATACCTAGTGCAAAGTGCAAGCGCTATTAGATCAAAACAACGTACCAGTTAACTGAGAAAAATTTCTCTGTCGTAATCTTCATGATCGCATCGGTTACTGGAAAAGCACAACAAAACAGAATTGTGTTGTACGACTAAATACGAGTACCATTACACATCTGCCATTACAATAAGTAACTACCATCTACTTTCCTTACTATCCTTGTTAAGGGAGTTGAGTGGCATTTTTTGATCATTTTCGGCGGAACTCCAAAAGCGAGCCAGTACTAGTACGAGTACATACTCAGGCGTGACATCCTTGACAACGAAACTCTTGGGATTATTACGTTGATATCTCAGTCCTCTTCCTCCGGTATTTGTATTTGTGGAATCGGGCTAGTAAAAATAAAAACCTAATATGTAGGTCACTTAAAAACAAAAAAAAATGATATTATAGTGGATCGTTTAAAACGGTACCGCGTTAAATTCGGCAGCTTCCAGTTACGAGTTAATTCACGTTTTGTAAACATTTTCTAAATTTGATTCGGTCAGAATGTATCTATTTGAATCATTATCAATCTTCTTTAATTACATTGGCCCCTCAAATGCTGGTTCTGCAGCCATTTCTGGTTGTTCAACATTTACAGGTTCCGACTGGGTATTCATTTCTTCTATCATGGAGTGCCATATATTGTCGATCTCGGTTCTGTTTTCCTGTATGGCTTCTTTAACTAAATCTGTTAACAAAAATTTTTTTTATTTGAAATCACACAGCAAGTGCAGCGTAAGCTGGGTGTACAACAAACCATGCAAATCACGTTTACCTTGAATGAGCAAGTTAACAGCTTGGGCTTCATCCAGACTGTGGCTGACCTTTCGTATGAGCCACGGAACAAAATGGATATCCAGCTCTGGTCAGAAAGCAAAAACCTGAGTTTCATTAGGCATCAAAGTTGGTACATTGCCAAATTATATAAAAAATATTTATGATGATTACCACTTTGTACATTACAAAAATATAATCAAACTTTATCGGAGATCGGTACTTCATTATGACAGTCATTACTGAAAGTGGCCAAAAAACAATCGTGCGTAATATGGCAATTGCGAGGATAATACCGCAACTGTGCCAACGTCTCGTTAAGTTATGTGTAGCACTCGTACAATAATCAATTACCTATGCAAATGCAAACCACCACTTCTAAATGTTCAAAAATTACAGGTTGTGTGTAGTACTGCAAACCTGCTCGGGCGGGATTAACAAACAGTCCATCTTCGCGTAACCGACTGAATACATTGGGTATCAAGGCTTCCAGATAAGTTTTTGCAAAGGCATGCGCAGCTAACTTCTCCGACACCTCCTGTTCCTTTTTCATGACAATTATCCGTTCTCGTTTTCGCATTTCCTACAACGGAAGAATTCAGGAAAACCAATACAACCCGGAAAGGAATAAACAAGTTGCTTTAAAGTTAAGAAAACCGCGAAACGACCAGCTGCAAAAAATTAGGCCGCATCGCATTTACAGAAGAATAGCCAAAATACACTGAAGAAAATGCCGTAAATATTACAAATACCTTTTCTTCCCGGCGACGACGCGCTTCATCAACTAATCGCTGTTGTTCGGCCTTTTCGAAATTTCTGATGGCTTGATACATATTCTGCTGCATACGGATGTCAGCCAATTCTTCTTCTTGTAAAACTTCCAGGAGAGCCTGATAAAAAGAATAAAATCAAATAAAACTAATAAACCACAAATAACTGCTAAGTATATTTGGCAATTGGAAAGATGTATTTTGATTTCATAAATACGGGTAAATACATTGGAAAGATTAAATCAATAATTAACAAAACAAAAAAAATTAGGGGGACACTAACACCCACGTCAGTCACCCCTAACACCCACGTTTTTTATAGCCACCCCTTTTCCGCACTCCGTTAATTATAGGCACCCTTTTTTCAATTAATTAATAAAGTTTTCTGACGCCCTGCTTTTTATATACACCCATTTTATAGGGCATTTTTAAGTAATCTAATTTTTAATAGGAAGCAGTAACAAAAACTGGTACGATTGCCGACGAAATGGAGTTTAGTATACAAGCACGGATTCTTCTTAGTGGGGAACAACAGTTACAACACTAATAATTTTGTGGAAGCCTTCTTCAAAACAGTGAAAGCTTCGATACCACTAACCAGAACCACAAGACCTCATCCTGCGAAATGTGTAAAAATTGTGTAAAAACTGATAAATCACCAGATAAAGCGCCAAATAAACCAGATTCTGGAGTCACCAGATAAATTATAGAAAATAAATAAAAAGGGGTGTCTATAAAAAACAACAACCGGGTGTTGTTATTTAATTAATAGCAGAAAAGAGTGGCTATAAAAAACAGGGTGCGAAAAGGGGTGGCTATAAAAAACCGAGGTGAAAAAAGTTGGCTATACATGTAGTGATTTCCAGAAAATTAATTTAATTTAAAGTATAATGTAAAAAAATAAAAAAATTCAAACAGAAAGTCAGAATGAGTTTAATAAAAATACAAGAAAGATATGGACAAATCGCAGCCCGTGTGTAGCAGTTTACCTGCTCGATCACTTTTCCATTGACCACTTCAATAATCGGTTTGACCTCCACATCAAACAGAAACAACTCCCCATCCAGAATCTGCGTATCGTTATCCACGCCGGTTTTGGCCGGGACGAAGACAGGAGAAGGTGGTCGCTCCAGAAATTCATCCGTCTGATTGGCCTTCTCCGCTTCGGGGATTTTGGCCAGCACTTCCTGGAGAAACAGCTCCGTCTGCACCGGCACATGACTGCGTCCGGCCACCGGCGGCACCGTGTCGAAGACCGCCGCCTCCCGGGCGGCTCGCATCCGCCGATGATAGGCGTTATCGTAGGTCGGACGGGCTTTGATGGTGCGTTTTTCCCGCTCCATATCGGATAGACGTTTCTGCTCCTGTTTGAGATTGCGGTATAGAGTGTAGGTATTGCCGCGCCATACTCGCGGATCCGTCATGATATTCCCGTAGAATAACTGTTTATCGCGGTTGTTCTGGCGATCTCTGTAAAAATCGTTCAAATATCGTATAACTGCGCTAATATTAGAGCTTGTTCTAGACACACCACGGTGACGATAACGATCGGTTACCGTGACGGTAAACGCCATCGTATGTGAGTTTGTTTGTTCGCTAAGCACAACGGTAACGATAGACTCGAATTCGGCTCGGGCTCGGTCCGGTCTCGCGATAAATAAAATATCGAAGTGAATGTGCAGAGACGTGACAGCCGCTTGTGGGGTCGCAGTTTGAGCACTCACGCTACTTTCGATCTCGGAGTTGCTCGCAAAAAATAAATTCTTTTGCTTTGTAGTAACTGCGTAGTTTCTTGTCTTAGTTCTTAGGTACGGCTAGCATGGTACGCGACCGTATACTCGTACGCTAGCAAGGATACATCATCGTCGTCGCTTCTGCACGTATTTGGCGTGCTTCGCCCATTTCTTCCTTGTGCAGAGAGGTTCTTACAGACAATTTACCGATAAGTACACGGAATGTGTCCTCGATGCGTCTCTCCCATCACACATGTAATTATCGTAAACCAGCAAGTACCCGTTTCATTTCCGGTCAATCTAGCCCAATGAATTTCCAGAAAATTTAGTGATTTTCAGAAACGCCATATTTTAAGGTCATTTTGACAGTGAGGTTCACAGGTTTTGCAGGTGTTATTCGGGCGAATAATTCGCGAGGCTTTAATTAATGCAACGGCGTAAGCATAAGAAAAACAAATTAAACAAGTTATTCCTTATTATAATACTGTGCCACATTGGGTGATGCATGTATGATACGTATCGCAGCAACAATAATAACTATTCTACAGTTTGGTTTCGAATCCTAGGGTAGTGCTTACTTTACTAATACCTAGTTCCAAGCATTAATTTTACATGGCTTGAGTACAAATAGTTTTACTAAAGAATGAAAACTAGAAGATATTTTCAGCCTCGATTTCAGACTTTTCCTGTATGCCAAAAATTACATCATTCGGATTTCGCTTTATCACAACCGCCATCCTCTTACAAGACCAGTAAAACCATCAAATCCATAAAACTCATTTCAACTGCACACATACCGTACAAGAGCACACCGAATCGCAAATTCATCACACACTCTGGCTCCACATGTCATCATTGCAGAAAAGAATTCCTCACAATTCCAATTACACAAACACAATCATAATCCAATTACAAACTGTACTTTCTGCACGGCAGAAAACGTTTCAGCAATCAGTGTCTCCACTAATTCTTTGGCTGGCAGTTCCCTTATTAGTGTCACACCCTGCCCGGCAAACAAGGAGAGAAAATCCGCTTTACCGGCCTTCGCACTGGCTGTCCGGATCTCCCGGGTCATGGCGTTCTGAATAGGATATTCCGGAATGTCACCGGCATTTTTTTCCATCTCCACCATAAAACGATTTCGAATTCCCCGAGCATACCGTCCGGAATAGACGCGGGACACCTCCGTGAAGCGAGCGTCCGGGCTTTTTAGCGTGGCACGGTAGGGCTGATTCGTGCTGGCTTCCGGGCAGAGCAGGAACGCCGTTCCGAGGGAAACGCCGCTGGCACCCATGGCCAACGCAGCGGCAACCTGACTGCCGTGCATTATGCCACCGGCGGCAATTACTGGAATTTTCACGGCTTGCACTAACTGCGGAACAAGTGCGGTAAGTCCGATACGCGCATCATGGAAATCTCCAATAAAAGTTCCGCGATGGCCGCCAGCTTCGTATCCTAAACAAAAAACAGGAAATCAGTTCGCCCGTTAAAAAACACCATGACCATACATCTCGGACTCATTGTGAAGTATCGTATCAGCAAACCGAGACGGCGGCTCAATCACCAGGCAGTCTTAGTTTGCTATGATATAAGTCTCAGGCTTATAGCAGAGCAAACATCTGCAAAAATAAATTATTAAGTAAAATTTTCCTTACAGTTGAAGTTTTCAAAAAGATTATCAATGATTTCCGGGAAAAACAAATTTTTGAAAATGAACATTTATTTAGAGGACTTCGCTAAGTTACAGTAGCGATCACGAATCACGAGCATGGTACATAGCAAAAATTTAAAGCAATCTCTGAGCGCTGGCCAACTTAAAATAATCAGCTACACTGCTTCTCCATTATTGCTGTTGAAGTGCTGCTGCTGAATTTCATCAGATACCCCATTTTCATTTTGTGCCTTGTTTTCCAAGTATTCCTTACCCTGCGCGAATACCATATCCACTCCAGCCTTCTCCAGCGCCACAGCTTCCTCGATATGGGTCGCTGTGCCAATCGTGACAATATTTTCGTTCTTGCACTCGTGCAGAAACGACTCCGGAGGCATTCCGAAGGTGAAGGTAAATACTGAGGGTCTTTCCTCCAGCACCACTTGCAACTGTGCCGTGAGATCCTCACAATACTTCTCCGGAGCGGGTGGATTCAGACCGAGGCCCAACTCCTTTCTGTAGGGATCGAGGAGAGCGTTGGCCCGCGCGAACTGACTAGCTGTAGGAACGGGATTGCTCAGCGGTGTGAAGAGATTCACCGCGAAGGAAGACTTTGTCAGGGTGCGTGTCTCCTTGATCTCCGCTCGCAGTTTGTCGGGCGACAGGTAGCCGCCAGCAATAGACCCTAGTCCACCGGCATTGGAGACGGCAGCAGCGAGAGCGGGCGATGTGGAACCACCAGCCATCGGAGCTTGCAAGATGGGGAATTTTATAAACAGCTTTCGAGCTAGCAGCCTGGCGTTGTCCATTGCTCAGAGGTTTTCAAGGAATCACCGTTTCAGATTTTTAAAGAAGGCACCTATTAGAAACGATAGAAGGAAGGTAAATATTCTTAAGGATAATGTGGTATTTTATAATAACCTATTTTTTCGTAACTTTTATTTTTTATTCTGAAAAATTAACTGAAAAAACAGAAAAATAATTAACGGAAAATGGAAGGTTTTTAGTGATTCACCTCAGTTCCATCGACAAGATCATTAAAATGCATACGAGTACAATTAAAGGCAGTCGATTGCCTCAACCGTGTACGCCTCCCTGGGCGGCTGGCAAAACAGCGTGCAATGCTATGAAATTGGTCGCCTCACAGTATTTCATCCCATAGACTTATACGTTAAGCTCATCGACTTGTGTGACTTGTGTCTTACGGATTTCTAAATGAAACCATGCAACCGATATCTCCAAAGATTGAGAAAAAATTAAGACATTTTTCGATACCAAACAAGGTGCCATTGATGGCGATTAAGCCAAGATGTTCCCATTTCAAGTTCTCGTAGACATTGTATAGGATCTCTGCGTACAACCCTGACCATGCATTCAGTGCTTTGTCTACGAGAAATCCCTAATGGCTCTATATTGTCTGATTTGCTTTCAATAGCACCTTTTTTGGTTTCAAAAATCGTCTTTATTTTTTCCCTATCTTTTAAGATATCCGTTAGGTAATTCTTTTGAGAACTGAACGAGGTGCAAGTGTCTGAGTTTAACACAGGAGTCAATGGAGAAAGTAACGACGAGGCGACCAATTTTATAGCATAGAATGGCGTTTTGCTGTCGCCTGACAACCGCCCGCTGCAGCCATACACGGTTGAGGCAATCGACTGCCCCTAATTAGCCGTACCACTTGATAAACACCGTACGATGGGTTAAACGCCTCCCGTGGTGGCTGCCCATTACACAGAGCCTCCGTAGAGATTTAACATTGCGCTATGCAGAGTTGCGCTGCAGTCTGCAATGGTTTCTCTGCTAGTAACACTGCAGTTCTTTACTCTTTTGTGTTCAATTTTAAATTATTGAAATTGATTTCAATTACATTAAAATAAATTTTTACTCAGTACGATGGAGAATTGTGTGTTCGATATAAGGATAATCCTTCTTTGTTTCGTTTGTGAAGCTGTACGACGCCTGTGTGTCGCTGCCGTGTAGCCTCTACGGTCTATCCATGGCGAACTTGTGAGCAGATTTTGCTGAGTTTACTTACTGACTACTGTCTTTACATTCGGAACCCGGAATGCCAAATCATCCAGCAACAGAACAGCAGATCATCCAGGAACAGTACACCAAGCTATTAAGAAAGAGAACTTTTGGAGTGGGGCAAAATACTACTCGATTAGCATAATACTGAGTAGGATTGCTCTTTTTGCGCTGTAGCCTGTACAGTGGTGACTTACTGACTTTTTGCCCCACTCCAGAAGTTCCCTCTCTTATTGACTCTTAATAGCTTGGTGTACTGTTCCTGGATGATCTGCTGTTCTGTTGCTGGATGATTTGGCATTCCGGGTTCCGAATGTAAAGACAGTAGTCAGTAAGTAAACTCAGCAAAATCTGCTCACAAGTTCGCCATGGATAGACCGTAGAGGCTACACGGCAGCGACACACAGGCGTCGTACAGCTTCACAAACGAAACAAAGAAGGATTATCCTTATATCGAACACACAATTCTCCATCGTACTGAGTAAAAATTTATTTTAATGTAATTGAAATCAATTTCAATAATTTAAAATTGAACACAAAAGAGTAAAGAACTGCAGTGTTACTAGCAGAGAAACCATTGCAGACTGCAGCGCAACTCTGCATAGCGCAATGTTAAATCTCTACGGAGGCTCTGTGTAATGGGCAGCCACCACGGGAGGCGTTTAACCCATCGTACGGTGTTTATCAAGTGGTACGGCTAATTGCAAGTACAGTACTCGTACATAGCCACTTGCTAGTAACTGTCATGCTAAGGGTGGTTCGTTAGATTTGTGCTACCTTTGTTATCTGAGGGTTTTCAGTTGTCTCTTTTCCTAGATTTCTTGGGTTCTTTAAGTTTTTTTGTGTCTCATATTGCAGTACGTCTAGCAGTGATTTTCCTCACTCGGAACAACTTTTTCGAAAATAAATGTTACGTGTAAAAAAACACAGGCAGTGGGTCAATTAATAGCGTGCGCCTGGTAATACGAAAAGTTTTACTGGCTTCGCCGTTGTGGCATACCGCATACGGCATACACTAATTTCTACGAACGACACACTTTACTTATACTGTTCTCCTCGCTCTTGAAGCGGAATAAATTTTATTCACCACAGGAGCACACAGTCGAGGCTTTTAACGCGAGGTTCCCAGTGGAAATTCATTTTGGGGTTTATAGCTCATTGTAAAGAATAAAGTCTCCTCTATCAGAATATGGCGCTATCATGTATGTAAAAAATTTGTTTACGTTAAAAAACGATTTTCCGTTATGAGTGCCGAAGGGGGAAGCGCTGTTCAACAGAGAAAAAGCGGCTAGCGCTGCCTTTAGACTATCCGGGTTATGAATCAGGTCTTTTATAGTCAAGAGCGATGGATGGGATTCTGATGCAAAGCTATTGTTAGCGCAGGTGAAGTAATCAGCCGTTTCAAAGGAATGCTGAGCCGAAGCAATTAGTGACAAGATGGTGTGATAACTTAGTTGACCGACGGCTATTGTCTTTGCATGCGGCGTGCGCGTCTGCAGTCTCCAGCCCTTCTGTCCTTTCATCTGCTTCGCTCAGCGTTCCAGCTGTAGATTTTCTGTACTGAACATAGCGCAACAAACCACGACAGACTTTAAACGCGTTTCGTGAGAAATCAAACTTAAATTCACAACAAATCAACGCGTTATCCAAAAATTACTCAAAAAGTGTCATTAAATCGAGCGCTACCTGCTGAGCTTGTTACACATACCGTTTTTTGATATCGTGTTAGCTTTGAGAGTTATAGCAGAAAATGTTCAGGGGCGGCACCACCCCACCACCCCTGGATCGGTTTTTTGCACTTTAAATTTTTAATAGGAATGATATTGAAATTTCCAATGTTTGATAAGCTTTCACACTGTTTCCGCACCGAATAGCGTTTCCAAGTCTCAGCGCTATGTCACATCAATAAAGAGTCAAAGACAAAGATTCGGAACCGACTAGATTCGGCTAGATTTAACCAACTAGCTCAGTTATCGTGTTATCGTAATACTGAGAATCTAAGCTCAAGCCAAAGGATCTACGCGGTGCGGGGCACTACCAGAATTTTAATTTTATCGCTTTCTAAAAAAACACGAAGTAAAACTATAAAATAATACTGAAAAAATAATACTTCAAATTTGGATAGTTCAAACGGGCCTTTATGGTCAACTTTCGGCGTCCAAGTCCCAGAAACAGCCCACACTTTTCGATCCAGTCACTGCATGCAGCAGAATTTAGCATCTGAATAAGGAAAAACATTCAAATTAGAGTACAGTACTTAAAAGGAAAAGAAGCGTTTTACTCATTTTTTTTAAAAGCGTTAGCAGATTCGCTGATGATATAGTGCATAAAAAGCATGGGAGTCGGGACTGTATCTCGATTTCTGTGTGTCACTGCCGGTTAGTGTCCGGTACTGCTGTATCTGTACTGGCAAACGTTCCCTACTCATTAACTACGAATTTTATTTTATTCTTCGAAAGTTTCTTTATTTAAAAGTCATTTCTTCTAGGCTTATGTCTTTTGCGATACGGACCCATTGAAATAAACCTTGCACACCATCTTTCTCATTGCTACTTTGTCACAGTTCCAGTAACATAAGGTGGGTAAATCGTCAACTGCATGTAATCGTACTGGCTGCTTACAATTAGTTTTCTTTGGTTTTGGTAGAGCAGCAGGACGGACCGACAGTGGAACAGCGGGGCCGGATGCGATGGCAAAGTCACGGTGGACCATTCCCGAACCTCCGGTGGTTGCAGGATTCCCGTGCATACTTGCAACAAAATCGTGTGAAACATCAACAGGTCCGCTGTATGATATTACACAAGGAATGAAATGGATGGAGTTGGACATATCCGGTTTAGAGGGGAATGAGCCTTCAGCAACGAACAAAAGTAATAATTAGCAAACTTTTCATAATCGTACTGATGCTCGTAAAAAATATTCGTTTCACGGTACTGTTTTTCCGTCACTAAATCCTTCTTAAAAAATACGAGTATTTAAAAAGAAAAGCCACCTTGCGACGGTTGCTGACTTTCCGTTGGATCACCAACAGGCTGCTCGCCGCCACCTAATTTGTTCTTTTCATCCCCTGCATCGAAGTAAATCTTAATAATTTCCCGTGCCTTTAGGCAGATTTCCGGAGTTTCGTGCACTCGAAGGGATTTCAGCTTTTCCAATCCTAAAGCAGAACAGAGTGTCGATTCAAACATCCCTGACACTCGGGAAATGCCAGCCTTAACTTTACCGCAATAATAACAATTCCAGGTTTAACTTTGCCGTAGTAACTTTACTTTGGTTTACCATAATGCTCCACGATAAGCGCGTTAGGATTCCGGCCCCGATCATCCACGCGATTTTTGCCAATACGGAGAATGTTTTCGACGCTATTAAGAGCCACCTGTACGATCCTAGTAGCATCTGTGATGCCCAAAAGATCACACATTGGCGGAATGCATCCCGCTTGTACGAACACTCTATGAACAGTAATTGAAGGTTCATCAAATGTACCAAAATGAATATTTATTATGTATCCCGCAAAATTTCTGTTATCAGTAACTAAATGCAAAGCTTCAGCATACTGAATCTGTTCCTCAGAGCCACCAGAAAGCGCGTTCGATATAGCCCAAGCCGCTTCTTTTCGCGTCTTAAATTCAGCATTACCCAGGATCTCTATGAGAACTGGAACAAGTCCTGCGTCTATTACAAGCTGCAAAAAAAGCCCAACTTTAGGCTAAAGAATGCACTGATACGTAAACGATTCTAACCTGAATGTGACTGCGGCTTCCTGCATTGATATTTGACAACGCCCAGCAAGCTTCCTTACGAACGCTTTTCTTTTACGTCCTGACGAACAAGTAGCCGCTTCAACAGCTGCAATACGCCACTATTCAAAACCATTTGCGTCAGGGAGACATTTCCTGTTACGATGTTCCCAACGGCGCGCAAAGCAGAGGAAACCACGTTTTGAACATCATGACTAAAAAATCAACAGCACGTAAAGAAGTATGAGCCAACTATACATGCAATGCACAGTTACCCTAGAAGGGTGACCAACCGCGGACAGACACTCGCATTAACAACAGCCTGAATCTTGTCGTCTGGACCATCACACAGGTAAGAAATCGCCCAACATGCATCGGTCAGCACATCTGCATCTGAATGGAACAAAAGCCGGGCTAAAATTGGCAAAGCTTGTTTCACCTAATGTCCAAACATGGTAGTTACAATATGCCAAATAAAGCAGCGACCGACAACAAAATAAAATACGACCTTGGCAAAATCTGGCCGCGGTGTCCTGCCACGGCACAAATTGCAGAGAGCCCACACTGAATTGCGGACCACCGTTAAATTCTTCGAATGGGTTAGAATGCTACACGACAAATAAAAGCTTGTTTTTCTAAATTAATTTTAGTTTCTGCAAAGCCAATAAATACTTTATCAACGGAAGAAGAATTTCTTCGTTCAACACCAGATCGCGGCATTCTGGGCCATCTCCAGCAATGTTTCCCAAAGCCCATACAGCCTACAAAAATGGATCAGCACCCAGTTGAATATTGCACATCTGAGGTAACCATAATTTATTTACTAGATCATAATTCCTACTTGATTTTGAATATCCTCCGACGGAGAATCCAGCAATCGAATGAAGATCGGCACAGCACCTACTTCAACGACTCTGCGCGTATGTTGTGATGTTCCTGATGCAACATTGGTCAAAGCCCATGCCGCCTCGTACTTACAAAATACATACAAAATACCTGCAGATTCGTACTACATACTTTATGTTACAAAATGTACACGTTTATGGAAAGCTACCTTTGGACTGATAAATCCAAAGCATGATGGCGGATGTACGGCAAGTACGTACCAATATTTGGATTAAAATTTTCACCACATATCGTAGTAGCTGGTAGCGTTCATGTTGCAGTGTGCATTGAATGTGCTTGTGTACTTATTTACCTGCAGCTGGACTAGATCAGTCATTTGCAGGAACTGAACAAACCGCGGCAGAATTCCGGTATTTATCACTTCGTCAATGGGTGGAGGTCCAGGTTCTGGAGGTAGAAAGCAGGAAAATGAACTACTGGCAATGATCGGGGAATTATGGTTTTTCACCTACCTTTAGAGAGCAGCCTTCGAAAGTTCTGGGCAGCATTCAACATCCTGCGCGGATCCTGACTGGCGAGATCAGTGACCATCTCAGGACTGAAATGCTGTAACAAAAAGTTTCTTCACCGATTTCCACAAGCAGTGGAGTGTGGACTATTAATATCAATTAAAACCACTGAAAACTCATCAGTGAAAAGTAAACAGTTCTACGCTATAATGCAAGTAATGAGTAACTGATGAGTTCCAGACCTACCACAACCTGCGCTGCAATGTCTGCCTGTGCCTGATACATGTCTTCCGCATTATTAGATGACCCAATGTTTCCCGTGCTCAGTCTTCTAGCAATCTACAAAAATTGTTATTCAACAGTAAATGTCGGACAAGAGAACTGTAGGTGCTTAAAGATTTACCTGTTCTTCACGCTTATTTCGACGTAATTCATTGGCTTCCATTTCCTGCTGCTCTCCAGCGACATTCTGACCACTTCCATCATTTGGATATCTGTCAGTACTCGTACACTGGGAACGCATTTCTAGTGTGAGTCTGTTAGACAATCAGTGCAAAAAGGTGAGCCACAAAAAATCCAGGACTTTTCCACTTGCGGAATGATATCATAGGTTCAAATTAATCGTGCTGGAGATTTTGCAAAGTGGCTCAATTTCATAACTTCAAAATACAGGAAGTAATCGAAGATTACGGAGTCGAATAATTCGTACCAACTGGAAAAACATTTGACTGTGATCAGTGTCGAGTGTTAGTACTGAACTGGGTGGGCACCTCTGCTTAAAGTGAACCCTCAGGGCGGTAACTATGACGGCTGCAAAAGAAACGGCATACGCCTTTAGAAAGCAATAGTTCGGCGATGCAGCTTTTCACCAGGCTGGAGGCGGGAATGTGGTCCTCGTATTGTTCTTTGAATCCTGCCATGCGGAAGTCGCGTGAGGCGACAGATACAAGTACATGTAACACTTACAATTAGTCGTGCAGTATTATTTAAACACGGCCTACATTTACAGGTTAGGTTGCAGTTGGTAAACCCCCTGCTATTGTAAACAACCTGCCCCTGCTTTTGTGCTTCGGCAGGAAATCATTGAAAGACTGATATGTGTTTGTAGTTTCAAGCAGCCTATGTGCGGACGGCAAACTGAGCTGCCTTTAAACGCCGGGTGCGAATTTCGAAAATCGGTGTGACGGTGTCTAACAGAAGCGCGAATGCGAATTCTGTTACCGTAATATTATTATTCGCTCAGCAGCAAATTTATAAAATTAATAATTTTTATTTTACATTCTCCTTGAGCATCTCCAGTACCAATGTAGCTTTTCCATAATCATTACAAATAGTCCGGTCAACCAACAAAACAGCAATGCAGTAAGAGGAGCGTGGAAATCGGCGACAGTAATGCCTTTCATGGTCAGCTGACGTCGACCTTGTGAGCCCATTTTATGCGCCACGCAACTACGCGTCTTGCGTTCAGCGCGAAGTTTATCGTACGCAAATTCTGTGTAATAACCTAAATCAAAATCTACGATCCCGGTCACTGAAAGCCAACGAAACCTATATAAGATTTTTCCAGTTAGCTGCTGAATTGCTCATTTCAGTAAAAACTCTAAAGGTTACCTTTTTAGAAATTTGGAGTACAATGGATGATCTTTACGGAACCAGAAAGATCCCACCGGCGCACTGACAACATCAGATATTACTTCCACAAAGTCGCAGGATAATTCAGAAAGAGCCAATTTATCCATTACATTCATTAGATAAGCACGGCGCTTTCCTTCCGGAGAAACTGCCGACATATACAGATCGTTATTGTCTATTTCCGTTTTCATTTTTGACCCAAGCAAACGGAAACGTCTGGTGCTGCTTGTCTGCAAAGTTAATGCCACAAATTTTTGATGAATGATAATAACAACGCCGACATCTACAATATAACACTTTATTAGCTGCCGTGGTATTGACTGTCGGATTACATGGTCGCTGGCAATTTTATTATTTTTAGCTTAATAATGGCATAATGCTGATCGCAGTAGTATTGCATAGGTTGTATACTTCTGTGCTAACAAAAACAAAATACGAGGAAGTTTACTAATATTTCAGTCCCATAATAATACTCTGTAGTCTGTGCTTATAAATTAGTAAAAAACACCTTTTTCAAATGTATTATGCATGCGGCATATCTGTATGCTACATTACCATCAGAACCTCCTTAACAACGTCGCTCCCCCATAATTCAAAACTGGAATTCAGAAATTCTTCTGTTGTCGAAAAGGGCAACTTTGCGCTCGTGCTCACAGCCAGAATTGCCGGTAATGTGGATAACACTACACTTTGGAAAAGGAGCGTATAGATAAGTATTGTAACAATTAATAATCTTCGTCCCATGCTGAACGCTCTGGAGTATTTTCTCTGGTTTTCGCAATCTGCAAATAAATAAATTCAAGGAATGTCAACTAACTATACGAGCACCATGCATTTAGACCCTCTACTCGTACCATACGAGTACAACCATACTATAAATTACAGTCAACCATACTATTGCACACAATTATATCTACAAAGGTATGAGCGTGCCAGCAGTTACTTTAACTTACTTATTCAAAGCTAAGTATACATTTCTGTGCACAAATATATATTTTGGATATTCAACTAAATCTGTTACAGTCTAAGCAAGGAAGGTGTAGCGGTGTAGCCAATATCGTATAATTTTTATCTGGTTTTCAACTTCCCATATGTCCCCTATAAGGAGATTGTTAAGGTATCTTAGAGAAGAATATTACCAAAATCGGAGAGGAGGATGTGAAGAAATGACCAGGATAAACACTTTAACCAGGTGGACGATATTCCTGCCACCCGATTGCGAAAGGCCACAAATACTGCCAATATCAACCCAAGTATGACGGACAATGCGGCAGCTGCTAACCATGTCCCCAAAGAAAACTCGTCCAAAATTCGTTCCATATCATTATGACCCTCGATGAGGAATTTCTTGTGAATCACTAAGGAATAACTTTTCTTCACGGTGGAGTCAATAACAGAATAATTATTGGACATATATCGGGACATCGTCATCACCAGCCCTCCGACGCCAACATCTGCGCTCCCATCCAGCACATCCTCCAGCACAGCATTATGCGTGATCACAGCGGCATCATCGTCTGCGGTTTCGTATAATTTACACCTGCGAATCCAATGTATCTGTATAATTATAAAATAATGTATAATTATATGATGTATAATTACAACTGTTAATGTTATGTAGATTTGCGAGGCATACAGTGGTAACTGCAAAAACGGCGTCTGTATCGCAGTAAATGCATATGGTCGGTGTACTTGTAGTTAAAATACATATAGTGTTATAGTTAAAATACGGTATTTTAATAGACAGGTAAAGAGTAATCCCTATTTATTAATCTTACCGAATTTTTAATGAGAAGCAAATCGCTTCTAGTGCCAGAATCAATACGCCGCCCCACGCGTACTGTGTAACATTAACAATTTGCGCACCGGATCCGTAACAAGAGTCCATCGTAGCAACTTCTTCCCGAACAGTAAAAGGAGCTTGCTGCAAATTTAGAATAATTGAGAAAGGATCCCGAATGCATGTTAACCGAATTAAACAAAGTGATTCCATATCCTTTCATGCAAGTTTTTTTTAAAACTAAAAGATAAGCCTTTGTGAGCCTTCGAGAAAATATGAAGACGTATTGTCCATCTGAAAATTTATAATTAGTAAAGCGGGGCGGGACTTGTAAAATGCAAAAATAATATTAATATATTAAATACGAGTATTAATAATGTTACAGTCATCAACCCACCGGGCTTGTTACAGCAACGTTAACTGCGCAGGATCTGTTAATGCAGTTGTCCACAATGTTTCCGACATCGTAGGTTGCGGTGGAACAATTGAAGGCGCCGCTTTTTGCTCCCCATAATTCTGTCCATTCCGCCAGCATTAAACCATCCATGATATGCTGTGCACAAGTCTTTCAAATTTTCTTGATTGTTTAGAAATAGGTTGATTAGGTTTATAAGAAATGCAAATAAAATCTTATATATAGAATACATATATCAGTACGTAAATCTGCAGTGAGCGTAACAGCGTCACTTTAATTTGCTGCTGTTCTTGTTTATTTTTATACGGTACTAAATGTTCGTTAATTTCATGAAGTCTTTACATGGTCAACAGACGCAGAGTGCAATGTAGGCATACAATTGCCAAAATGGTACAACTGGTCTATTAAACACCTGGTCTTAAGTACAGTCAGTGCCGCTCTACAGCAGTATAGGCTACTGGCGTAGCTATACATATGTACTAATGTAGCTATACTAGGCCGGATTCACGCTGACTGCTATCTGTCCATTTTCTATTGAAGCACCGCCCAAAACGGCCGGTTTTTTAGCAGTATGCGTGAACGCGGCGCGCTCTTCTAAATAGATACCTAAATAGGGAGCAGAATAGCGTTCACACAGACACCTTTGACTAGGTGCAATAAAAGTTACCGTTTTGGCGCCTGCGATAGTCAGTCGGGTCTGCGTGAACACATGCCGCCTATCTGCACTTATTCGAACTTAATTCAGTACTCAAACAAAACGCGGAACGGAAACCGAACAAGATCATAGAATGGTAAATATTTTTACACTCTTACTATTTGCGAAGATTAATTATCAAGTATACTGCAGGATAAAATATGTGTAATACCATTAACACTTCCGTGTGTTTCATACATTTAGTCGTAATTGTATATAATAAAAACTGAATTTCTCGCTTGCGCTAGCTCAGTTCTTCAGTTCTTTTGTTGCCATTTGTTTGCTACAAGGCTTACAATAGATATTGAATGTATTTCAAGTTAGTGCTTCCAAGATGGGCAAAAGTTTAAATGAGTTCTGCAGGTTCAAAAAATGGGACATCTCACAAGACAACAGATATTGCAGTAGCCAGTAGTCGTATTTACACGACACAAGTCTATCCAGTTGGTTCGATAATTGTTCGGCTTGCCATACGCCTGATATCGGCTCACCATAATGCAGCGCTTAACCGCCTCGGGCGGCCATTTGCTACCGTCACAGCGGGCGGATGCGTATAACGCTACATCTTGCTACCTCGGGCGGTTGCCAGTTGCCGATACAGCGGGCGGGGGCCCACTGTCTAGCAAAGTGTAACCACAGCTTTCATGCAATTATTTTTCAATACGTAGTATATCGAGAATAAATTGTTAAAAAGTGCGGACTGCGTACACGTATGAACCGCTGAATCATACCACGTAATAACGCAATAAATAATTTTGAAGGAGTTTTGTTATTTTAAAGTATAAAAGTATAATTTCCAGGGTGTTTGCACAGTTTAAATTTCCATCGTACGTAACTGCAAGTGCAGACTTACCAGTACAGGTGATCTTTCTTAAATTTTTCACCCGGTGAAAAGTATATATCTATATTCTTTGTGTCAGCGGCTGAACTCCAATTTCATAAACACACATATAAAACATAATATTATGGCGTGTATTATAATTATATTAATGACATTATGCACTGAATGCAAATTTGGTTATGCAACAAAGAGCAAACGCACGATAGTGACGATATCATTTTAAAATGTGATAATAACGTTAAGTAGACTGTACACGTAAAAGTATGGCAGATGTCTGAAATGATAATTAAAAGCCAGATCAATCGCATCCTGGATCAAAACTCTGTTTAGGTCATTGCATAAGCATGGTGAAAGCATTTCAATAAGAAATGCTATGTATATCCGCGACAAATAGAACCTCGAGTGGTTCCTATTTGTCTTAACCATTGTGTTTACGGAACAAACGGAAAGGTACCTTTTGACAGGAAAGCACTGTTCACGCCGCACATTGCTATCTATCAATTATGAGCTAGGTAATTAACGTTAGCATAGGTGTACTGCGTGAACGCAATTTTGGGACCTAATGCAATTAGGTGGTTGTCCCCGGTTGAACTCAAATCTTGCTAAGCAATTAAGATAGATAGGTGTATGCCAGAACGGGGCCTAGCTATACTAATGTAGAGCGGCACTGATACAGTAGCTAGCGGCACTATAGCTATACTAATGTAGAGCGGCACTGGTACAGTATATCTACAGTATATAAACGCTGCGGGTTTCTCCTTCTACTCGAGTTGTTCCCAGAACGCTATTGGCAGCTCAAACGTTAACGCTGTGGAAGCTGTTCAAACGTGCAGCAGGTGGTCAATTTTAACTGAAATAAACAAACGGAAAAAGGGATCGATTTTGTAATCTTGTATTAAGTGTCTCTTTCGAAGTTGGTGCTAATATGAGATGCTCCTGAATGTAACGAAGCGGTACTTAATGGTTTCTCGCTTTCGTGCTCACGTTTCGTTTCGTCATTTTGTCCTGGTTACATGTACAGTTATGGGCTTGCCGATATCAGCAATCAAAATTTACAAGAATGTTAATACTTCTTACTTGGAATTTCTGGCTTGGCTCTATTTTCACTACTTACAGTTAATTCGAGGCCAGCATAATGTAATAGGTGAGACTAATATCGTATTCCGCAGTATCCATCTCGATCTGTGTGTTCACTATATGTAACAAATTGCAAATAATTTTGTGTTTGTTTGTCGAAACTCATATTGTAATAAATCTGCCATGGCATAATTTACAAAATGCGCAGTTCATGATTGAGTGATACTTTTATCACATCAGATTATCAAATTGCCGGCTTAACCCAGTTAACGTTTAGCCAGTGCCGCTCTACATTAGTATAGCTACGCCAGTATAGCTACATTACATATAGTGAACACACAGATCGAGATGGATACTGCGGAATACGATATTAGTCTCACCTATTACATTATGCTGGCCTCGAATTAACTGTAAGTAGTGAAAATAGAGCCAAGCCAGAAATTCCAAGTAAGAAGTATTAACATTCTAGTATAGCTACATTAGTATAGCTACGCCAGTAGCCTATACTGCTGTAGAGCGGCACTGGTTTAGCCCAAAGGGAAGTGTACCTTCACTGCCGCACCACCACAGTGCATCATACAGCGTTTGAAATTTTATTGATAAGCTTACGGGGGCACTTAATGCATATGAAACTGTTTTCGCAGGAATAGTTGAGCTCGAGCCGACTGGCCAGCAGCCACAAAAAAAGTAGAACAAGTGGCAGAAACGTTTTGCGAATTATGAAATTAAAAGTAGTACCTTCAACTTTAGTCGAATGACTAATAATTTTAGATATCTGTCACCTACCTATTTTACTTGTACAATATTAAACTCCAAAATCAGATGATCGTTTTGCTCATATTGTAAATAGTATCGACATGGATAGCGAGTACGTACTTTTCCTGAAATGGGGAAGCAATCTATCGTATCAAGGGTTGTATTAAACAAGTCAGCATAAACCTGTTGTGCATAATGACATTTTGTAGTATATTTTTCTTTGAATTCGAAATCTTTCGCTTTTCATACGATAAGCGGTTTATGATCCTGCTACTGATCTTGTTTGCATCTCCACACACTGGCTGCACATCGCACACAGGTAAATAAAGACGTTTCATATTTTGTGGGAAGCCTTCTTCGCCTGACGCTTTTTGCAGTGGCAGATGTTTCTTGCTTCGAAAGCCTTGTTTCCCCTATGCCTACACCAGCAAAAATCTGGCTCAAGCAATATTCATTGGAGGACTGCAAGATTTCGTGTCGTTTCGCCTTGGAAGTATACGATTTCCACTGCTGGTACACTGCCCACTATGCTGCCTCGCTGGACTGTGTTTTGCACGGAAATGAAAGCATGACGGTCATGCATGTACGACGATGGACATCTACGGCGTCTACATCTACGGCTACATCTCCCTCGGGATCCGCGGCGCTGTTCAGAAATTCCTGCGATCAGAAACGTAAACGTTTTTGATAACCCATCATCTTTAAATTGTAGAATTATTTTTAACAATGTCGCTCACGGGATTCTGGATTTTGAAGAACGGTATCAGTGTGTTGATCAAGCACAAAAATGTGCTTATCAGACGACCGCGCTGTGCCGAAACAAGGACATTATAACGGAGAAGTCCACAACACTTAGCGGCAAGGCATGCAAGTCTTGGAACACTACCCGGTATCCTAACGTGGGAAGCCATAATTTTTGCGCCAATCCCGATGGATCAGATGGTCCATGGTGCTATACGACGGATTTGAAGGAGAGGTGGGGTTACTGTTTTTCCAGCTGTTCCGGTGAGTGATGTATCTACGTAATATATTGGTAAAATACTACAAATAGACTGCAGTTTGGAGTTAACACTTACCCACTACAGTCCATTGTGGTGCATGAATACTCTTATTTCCCACTGTACAAATGGGTACTTGATGCCTAATTTATGAGACCAAAATCCCAATGCTTCATCCTCAATAAAAATTTGATACTATAACGGATTTTGTGCTGCTGTTCAGATGAGACACCTTGCGTAGATGAGAATAGACAGTGCGCAATGGACGGAAGTCCTGCGTGCCGACAGAACGATTACAAGGGAATTAAAAACATAACGTTCAGTGGATTACCATGTAAGAATTGGTCATTGAGCAACAGACCATTGGAAGGAGACCATAACTACTGTCGAAATCCCGGCGGAGAAGAGCCGGCGCCTTGGTGTTACACCGAAAAAGGCTGGGATTACTGCTTTGCGCGCTGCAATCGTAAGCGAGGTCATGATGAAGAATGTTCATACAGTAAATAATTTTAAACTGGCATGTACTTTTCAAGACTGCTACTTTAATTTACGTTAAAATGTGAGCTACTACTGCATGCAGAGCTGAAAATACACATTTCATATGGGGCCTCGGATTTGCAGCGAACGAAATCTTGCATTGATACATAAACAAGAACGTCCAATGGTAATCGTACTCATCGTTACTGATGACAGGTCGTTTTTAGGAGAAAAATGTCCGGAAGTTCCACCAAATCTAGCTCTCAAGACAATAAAAACAAAACAATGGATCGATGGTCATCTGCATTCCAATACGCATCTTGCGGATGATTACACGAGCCCTTTGAACGTGAATATTACTATACACAAGCAATCGGGGCGAAGCTTTATTCTAACGATAAACAACTGGTCACCGAGAGCATTGTCCGAACTACGATGTAGAATTACCTTTGAAGATGCCGGTAAAACGCCCATCGATGTAACTATCCCTGGCCCAGTTAATGACTGGACCGTATATCAGTATCACACCGAAATTTCCGGATTAAGTGAGGTTTCGGATATCAAGACGATTAAGGTCTAGGACTGCAATATTTGTAAACCCATTTAAAGGTCACTCATTGATAAGCAGAAAATCAAAATAGTTAAGGCCCTTTTAAGTGTCTGTTTGTTTTGGTTTGCGTAAAAAACGGCTGGAAACACGAACACTAAACGAGTTAACGTTAATATTGCAGGTGATCTTGCCCTTTCCATGGTATCCAATTATCTTTGTGGGCTACGGCAGGCTAGCAGCGCATGCCGAGAAATATGTGAACCTTACAGCGATGGATAAGCAGGCATTTTCTCGACTGCTCTCCGATCTCCGCATTATGTTTCATCTGCCTAAATACCGTCTATGGCTTCTTGGCTATCGTATGACCCAAAGCGACCCCATTCGGCATGGGCGAATGTCTGAGTTCGACCGCAAAGCCGACACGTACCTGGTGACACTACCGCTAAAGGTCAGCCAGACAGGCGGCGGTTTTGGTAACCTATTTTACGATGATTTGCGACCGGAGCGAAGATGGACCAGCTCGTATGTGTCAGTGGCCAGTTCCGAAATTAATGACTATCTCGCGGGCTGGGCAAAAGATCCGTTTTGGACGTTGGAACACGAACTGCAGCACAATCATGGCTGGAAAGATCGCGACTTCGAGATGCTGGCGACGCAGTATTTCATGTACGAACTAGCTGATGAACTGCATGATGCATGTGTGTTACGGTGGTTCAAAGCACCATTAGAACGCTACGAAGATACGGTTCTGCTCAGCGCGTTTCAGAATCCAGTTGACGGGCTGGTATATGTGTTATCCGCTTACACATACCGAACCTTAAATCTCCGTAAGCGACGGGAATACCGATACCGCTGAATCGAATCCATGCTAGAACTTTTATTTTGAAACAATGATAATTTTCAGAGGGGTTCATTACCACAGCTGGTCGCTCGTTTGACGTTACCCCAGCGCAGAGCGACAACTGCACAATACCGGAACTAGACTGCTACAGATTAAATCTGCCACGCTGTAGAACCGTGACCTCTTATAATGGGACCAAGAGTACGACTCTTTCCGGGAAAACTTGCCAACAATGGAATGTCAACACGCCGCATAAAAGTTATAATCACCGTATTGGTAGTCACAACTACTGCAGGAATCCCGGCAACAGCGATGGACCATGGTGCTACACGACCGACAAGAACGTCAACTGGGAGTACTGTTTCAACGACTGTGAGTAGAGAATTCCCAGTAAGATGTTACTCAGAAAGTTTACATGTTATCAAGATATCATGGTGATCATGGGTTACAGGTGGTTACCTTGCAAGCGATCCGGACGATCCTGTTTACTGTGTGAACACAAGGAAAAAATGCACATACAAAAATTTGCCTCTGTGCCAGGATCGCATACCTCTTTGGGCAGCACAATTTCCTGATTGTGGTTAGAATTTAGTTCATAAAGAGTGCACTTATCTTACAAAACTGCTGAGCTGGTTGATTTCCAGATGAGCAGAATCCGTGCTTGGATGAAGAAAACGGATGCTACTACGATCAAAAAGCGGAGTGTGCACAGGCGATTATCATGTACGGCGGACCAAGATTTACGACTGCTGAAGGATTGACCTGCGCGCGCAGCCCATCCAGTGATCCCCAAGTTCGTTGTTGGGGTGACCATGGACCGTCGTACTTCAATACGACACCGTACTGCTTCCCAAATCCAGATTCCAAATATGAAAGAGACCTCTGTTTTAAAACCTGCGGTAAGCAGTTGCAGAGTACATGAAATGCTTTATAGCATCAGAAGCCGCCGAAGAGGAGAGGTTAACGATTACGAGCAAGGACTCTTTTTCAGAATCGGAGATATTAAAGACGTTACGAGCCAAACCACGTGCATACATCCAGAGGAAATGGTTCATTCCGGCGCCGGCTAAATTCGCGTTCGTTGTCAATAGCAATCAGTTAGCGTTTGTTCCATACCGATACGGTGCAGATGTTAACGATGAGAAAATCCGCTTGTACGGTTTGAAAACGGGGTCATGGCTGGGAGACAACACAGTGAGCGGCCTTTTCGAAGCGCTGGGCAAAAAATATTATAACCCCCAATTTCTGCAAGGATACGGTGTTTTCGTGGGATCCCAGTACTGCCGACTGGATAACGTCACGATGAAGGCCGTTGACTGCGAAAACGTGTACACCAGCACGAAGTGGGCGGATCTGCGACGCTTCTCCAGCGGACCCGGCGATTTCGACCTGGTCTTCCGGGCGGACAGTTTAGCCTTCTTCTTCAAAGGCGCCGAATATCTGGTGTACGATCTGCAAGCAGGAAAGGCGTTGCCGTTCTATCCGCGCTCAACGAAAGAATTCCTTTACAAGGTCGGCATTCTCGGCACATCGTTTGCTGCACTGGTTTAGCTATTCATGTCTTGAAATTGGCAAGTTAGAAGTTAACAGTTAACCGAGGTATGGAAAGCAGGAAAGATGGGAATGTTTTTCAGATCGATATGTGTTTGCAGTTTTTTTACTTCCTCGCAACACAGATTTCTTTTACGCAGGAACAATAGATTTTCAGCTTGACTGCACTATCCACATTTGCCTGTAATTTATCTAGTCAGGTAAAAGTTCTACAGTACTTGCAGGCTTGCAGCTACTTTGTACCTGGAGGCTGCGCTCCTTCGCGCAAATCCTTCGACAACACCGTTTGCGTAATACGTACAGTACACTTATCTGGTTTTTTCCCTAGAAATTTAGTCCGTACAGCTTGATCTTTACCGTGGAAAATGTTACATTAATTGAAGTGTGCAGCTCGCATGTGTGCATTGTACAGATACACATGCGCCAAAAATTAGAAAAACGACTATTTAAACTCATTAGCTTATGATTAGCCGAATTGCAGCCAAATAATCACACTGCAGTTTCATCAAACATCGGCAAAACGTGAAGAAGGTAAGTACATACTCTGTATTTTGTGTAGAATAGAACAAGTTTGGCTGAATATCACTGCAGTAATATTTGTAAGCGATATGGTATATAACTATATATACATGTATAATGTCAAGGAAGCTGCTGGCTGCCGTAAAAATGTCCAGACCACGGCATTTGAATTGCTGATTAGTCAAAACGTCTACCTGGTACCATGTCTGGGCCACAAAAGCGCTTAGTGTCGATGAAACCTTAAATGCTATCCCGTATCCACTCACTGATAAAATTAACACTGGATTTTACGAGTAATAAATTCAATATGGTATGCAAGAAGTGACTACCGTTTCTGAAAAGCCCTTCTTTATTGCTCACACATGGCAGATTAATATTATGACATAAAACAGATACTGTAACTTGCTTCTGCGAAACAGAATTACCGGCTCCGAGTTAATATTGTATTTCGAAACGTGGTTATCGTAATTATTATTATCTTCCTGGAGTAGACAACCCTTTCAAGGGACTTCGACAATGACATTATAGGTGCTAAAATGAGATTATGCTGTACCTGCTAAAACCAACAATAAAGCAGGAACAAGAAACCTATCCAAATAGCATTTGGAAGTCCAACGCTTTTTAAGCAAACTGTAAAAATCCCAACGAACACTAACTGCACAGCGCTGCTACTGTTTCAACCTGATTTAATTTTGTCCATATGAATAGTATTTTTAACTGCAGTTTGGTGCCCACATACGTTGGATTGGGCGATTTGTACTATAATACAAACTACAAAGTGATAATATTAGAAACGAAAACCCGTTCGAATTCACGCAATTGCTACAAAGGCTCTCGATGGCCATGGGGTTAATACCAAAATTAGGGTTTAGAAGAACAATTACTTTAGTGTGAAAGTGCGGTGTTGTAATTTACATACGTGGCTGCAAATCGCTAAGTTTGTAAAACCACATTTTAGGCATCCGGCTTAACGCGTCAGTCATCAATATCGTGAGTACTTTCTTTTAATGTCCATCAGCGAAACTTATCAATCCAGGCACACAGAAGTAATTTATGAATAAAGTGCAAAAGTAGTGCCCTTAAATCTGCTCGTAACAAAAATCGTGGTATATAAGAGAGGAAAAACCTGCACGAGAAAACCCCAGATCAGTTGTTGGACTACGCGCAACAGCTGACCTTGTCGGCACGACACGTTGGGCCAGCCAACATATTTTTCCCATCCGTTATTTAATGCTATAACCCTAAACCAGTTCACAATTGTTGGAGGTAAGCAGATGTACTGTGTTTAAGTAATTACTGGAAATCGTAGAAAGTGATCCTGAATGCATGTCAGGTAGTGTGGCCCCAGTGTTTAAATTTCCTTGAGCCTGCTCTACCCTAGAGTACCTGAGATACGTTACCATTAGATCATTCTGGTAAATAATTATTGATGTCTGTGTACTGCAGGCCTAACAAAAGGTTGTCATGCAGTTTCAGGCTGCACTGTTGGCAGGCAAAACACCACATGGCTGTTGGAACTATTTGGAGGTAATTTTAATGTGATCTGCAGATTTTAAGCTGTATCAATCAAGTTCAAAATTGTTTATATTTTTCGGTATTATTAAAGACTGATAAATGCTACTAGCGCTCCAGTAACCACAAGCGAAGCCAACAGCCCAAAGCCTCTAAATTTGTCGCTAACACACAGTAATACTCGTACAATAATACTCGTACAGTATTACAATAATACTCGTACAGTATTACAATAATACTCGTACAGTATTACAATAATACTCGTACAATAATACTGTATAATTGTATAATGTATTAATACCTAGGCCTAACGCACTGTATTCTGTAGATTCTCTGCGGCCATACTGACACTTGTCACCGCCTGTATCGCTGCAGGTACAAAGTACCTACCAGAACAAAGGCATCATCGTCATTTCATATTGCTTGATTTATGATTATCAAATTTTTTAGAAATTGATCATTTTTGATATTGCAGCACCGGATGTGTCGTGTTTCGACCGTATGACATCAGTCAGTCCCTCTTCGGCGCAGATATGGCTGAAACAGTACTCGCAGGATGAATGCAAAATCGCTTGTCGCTATGCATTGGAACTGTACGATTTTCGCTGCTCGTCTATTGGACACTACGCCGACACACTGGACTGCGTCCTCTACGGAGACGAAAGTGTCACCGTCACTCATGCCAAACGATGGACCTCAACGACTGTGCCATCGGGAACCGCAACGCTCTTCAAGAATTCATGCGAAAAACGTAAGTGCAGACAGAAGAAGGCGTTCGAAACTGCAAAATGGCAATTATTTTAGCTAACGCACTCCTGGTTTATGTACTTATACAGCAACTTATCAGTGCGTCGATGAAATCAACAAGTGCGCTTACCAGAAAACTGGGCTGTGCCAAGATAAAAACCTTTTGACGAATAAAACAACCACTGTCAGCGGCAATACCTGTCAATCATGGAGCGGCACCAAATATCCCAACGTGGGCACACACAACTTTTGCGTCAATCCCGATAACTCTGATGGTCCATGGTGCTATACGACGAACCCGAAGGAAAGGTGGGGTTACTGTTATCCAGACTGCCCAAGTAGGTGTCAGGTGATACTGTGAGTGTTGCATTATATCAGATGGCTTTTGTATGGTATTGATGACCACTGGCTACTGCTTCATTTCTGCAAAAATGTCCTTCGACTATCATCCATCACGCCTTTAATAATTATTATGCTCACAATTAAAACTTACCACTGTGAAAAGCTTCAACAAAAATTCATCGATCGAGAAATGCGGAGCACAACGTACTTTCTTTTCATCAGCGGACACGTTGACCTGCGTCAATGAGGTTGATCAGTGTGCTGTGGCTGGTAGTCCTATATGTCAGCGGGATAAGTATACTGGCACGAAATCGACTACCTTTAGCGGATTTACTTGCAAAAACTGGCAACTAACCAGATTCGCTGCGGTGGGCAATCATAACTACTGCCGAAATCCCAGCGGAGACGATGCGCCTTGGTGTTATACGGAAACAAGTTGGGACTACTGCTTTGCTCGATGTGACGGTATGCAGCAACATTTAACACGTCGAACATGCTGTACGTATTTGTAACAGTCAGATAAACGCTGTACATGCTTGCATTTTCAGTTCAGCAATGCCCCACTGTGGCTTCGAATCCGGCTTTGACAATAGTTAAGATGAAACAATGGCAGGATGGTCAGTTAGACGTTAATAACTTTTTCCCGGACGATTTCACCAGTCCTCTCAACATCAGTGTCACCGTACAACAATCGGGACAGACCTTTACATTGACCATCAATAATTGGTCACCCCGGGCTTTAACCGAGCTGCGTTGCCGAATTCTCTTCAGGACAAGCGGAAAAGCGCCCATCGATGTTGTCGTGCCTGGCCCCATAAACGACTGGACCGTGTATCAATATCAGACAAATATTCCTGGATTGGTGGACGTTGCAGATATTGATACTGTAAAGGTCGGTCTTACGTTGCTGATGGAGGGCGCGTTCTGTTTTATGTCAGATGTGTAATTTAAAACCCAGTTAGAAATTATTGCTGAAATTTTCGTACTACCCAGCTTGATCCAGACGACCAAAGGTCCGTAGCTAAATGTATTTCGCCTAAAAAATAACTGTAAGCGGAATAAGCACTACCAAAACCATTTCTTTAATTTTTTGCAGGTTATCTTTCCTTTCCCATGGTATTCAATCGTTTTGGTCGGATATGGCAGGCTGGCGACGGACGATGCAAAATTCCTGAGCGCAACAGCAAAAGAAAAGCAAGTTTTCGCTCGACTTGTTTCTGACTTTCGGATTCTGTTTCATCTGCCAAAATATCGTTTATGGATGTTGGGCTATCGGATGATGCAGAGCGACCCTGTTCGACATGGGCGACTGTCCGACTACGACCGAAAAGCAGACACTTACCTTGTAACTCTGCCGCAGAAGCTGGACGCCGGTGGCGGTGGTCTGGCGAAATTGGGTTACGATGACCCGCGGCCGGAGCGGAAATGGACCGGATCCTGGGCTTCGATAGCCGCCGGACGTGTTACGAACTACTTATCCGGCTGGATGAAAGATCCTTACTGGACACTGGAGCATGAACTGCAGCACAATCATGGATGGAGTGATCGGGAATTTGAAATGCAAGCCACGCAATATTTCATGCAGGAACTGGCTAAGGAAGCATATGCCGGTTGCTTACTGCGTTGGTTCAAAGCACCGTTGGAACGCTACGAAGACACAGCATTGCTCAGCGCTTTCCAGAATCCCGAGGACGGACTAGTTTACGTATTTTCGGCTTACACGTACCGGACAATAGATCTAAGTGGGTACATCAAACTGAAGCGTACTTTAAGTTTGTATGTATATTTACCCTTTCGCTTTTAGACGGGTTTATTACGGATGCCGGTCGGCAGAGTACTTTCGGAGGTAATCCATTTGGTGGTGATTGCACTGTTCCTGGTTTGGACTGTTACCGTCTGCAGATTCCCAAGTGCAAGAACGTAACAGCCTATACTGGCACCAAGAGTACAACTCTGTCTGGGAGAACATGTCAACAGTGGAATCTTAACACTCCACAGTACAGCTACAATCACCAGCTGGGCAGCATTAATTACTGCCGCAATCCGGATAACGATGCTGGACCCTGGTGCTACACAACCGATAAAAATGTCCGATGGGAATACTGCTTCAAGGACTGTAAGTGCAATGCAACGGCAGTGGCATCCATTCCATCTACCATGGAGAGGTTTTGTAAAAATTTTGCATCGTTTAAACACTTGAAGCGATTTACTTTAAATAATTATAAAACTGTATGTCTGCCGTGTGAAACTACTGATCGTAACCTTTCTGGTAGGCGGATATGCGTCTACGGACCCAGATGACCCTCTTTACTGTGTGAAAAATGACAAGACCTGCACGTATAAAAATATGCCGTTGTGTAAGGATCGCATACCCGGCTGGGCAATGGATCTTCCAGACTGCGGTGTGTTCATTTCATAGCCGATCGCGATAATCTGAAATATCTGTTTACTCATTACGGAAACAGAAGGACTGGTTGCAACGCTTCGGCTCTTACAGATGATCGCGGTGCATGCATCAATGAAGCTGACGGATGCATTCGGGATCAAAGCCTAAGTTGTAAGCCAGAGATTTACGAGTATAAAGGACCGAGATTTACGAGTGCTGAAGGCATGCCATGTGCTGGAAGCCCATCTAGCGATCCATCGATTCGCTGTTGGGGAGATCACGGACCGACGTATTATAACACCACACCTTTCTGTTACGTCAACCCGGCCACTCAAGAGGAAAGAGACTTATGTTTCAAGATATGCGGTAAGCAAATAAAGTAATAAGCTGATTAAGAAAAACATGAAAAAACAGCGTGATTTTTTCCTCACGCATTAACTGTGATTGCCGTACCCAGCATTATGGATGGGTATACGTATGCCGTATACAGTTCGAGACTTCGAGTTATGACTACTTGATACGAGTAAGTATGGTTTTCTTCAGAGTCAGAGATATTGAAGACGTTACGAGCCAAACCTCGTGCGTACATTCAGAGCAAATGGTCCATCCCTGACCCGGCAAAATTCGTATTTGTTGTCAACAGCAATCAGCTCGCGTTTGTTCCATACCGATACGGCGCAGATATCAACGACGAGAAAATCCGCTTGTACGATTTGAAAACGGGGTCATGGCTGGGAGACAGAACAGTGAGCGGCCTGTTCGAAACGCTGAGCAACAAATACTACAACCCGCAGTTTCTGCAAGGATACGGTGTTTTCGTGGGATCCCAGTACTGCCGACTGGATGACGTCACGGTGAAGGCGGTTGACTGCGAAAACGTGTACACCAGCACGAAGTGGGCGGATCTGCGACGCTTCTCCAGCGGACCCGGCGATTTTGACCTGGTCTTCCGGGCGGACAGTTTAGCCTTTTTCTTCAAAGGCGCCGAATATCTGGTGTACGATTTGCAAGCAGGAAAGGCGTTGCCCTTTTATCCGCGCCCAACCAAGGAATTCCTTTACAAAGTCGGCATTCTCGGCACATCGTTTGCTGCACTGGTTTAGCTACACAAGTCCTCGAATTACCAATTTAAAAGTTGACTGCATAGCTTGCATTAATTCGTAACAATCAACTTTGACAATAAAGAAATTAAAGCGCGGAATTAACTTACTGATGTTTGAGGGGTTTTTTCCTTTAATATTGTATGTATGATGTTTGTGCTTCAAGGTAGGTGCAGTTCTATTTTGTCAGGCAATGTTTGAGGCTTTGAGCTAAAAAGCTTGTGGTCAGAAAACTGTAATAAAATCTGTTTTTTTTATCTAGCTTGAATCAGGTATAAAACGGTACGCACTCTACTTAGAAGTTTTTTCGAGTTTTTTTTTTAACTGGCGCTGTATATTTAAACGATAAGTTTTGTCAGAAAAGTTGTCGGTTGTTGCAATACAATTACCGGAGATTGAATTTGCTGATCAATCAAAAGTGTTCTGGCAAACCACAAAAGCGCTATCCAGTAGAGCATCCAGGCCACTACTTGCAAATTAAACGCTGCATTACAGTATTACTAGGAGTAATAAATTCAATTTAGCACCGGGAATTGGCCACCGACTACTGAAAACCACATCTTTATTGCTCACAGGTAGTAAACCAATATGACGTAGGGTGGGTTTTTTCTGAGAGAACATTAATCGGTCTCGAGATGACTGTTTTACAACGCGCACACTGTGGCACTAAAATTCGTACGCGTACTCCTATAGTAATACTGATGTGTATAATTATACTGTTTCAAACCTGGTCCATAACCCTGTTATTTAGATAAAAGAATCTACTTCGATGTAAGTAAATATTTTTAGTTATAAAATACATAAATATATATACTGTTTGTATACAGTACTCGTATTTCTTATATTTGTATATTGTATGTACTGTACCAGCGACATAACTTTTAGATGTCCTTTTAAAGTGTCATTCATCAATGCTATATGTACTTCTACCGCAATTGCTTTCTCCAGTGTCGATCAGTGAAAACCGGCAATCCAGGCCTGGGCAAAGAATTTATGAACGAAGTGCAAAAGTATAACACACTTATCATCAAATCCACTTCTTACGAGTAAGTCATGAAACATTACGGGATGTAACTGCTGTACGAAAAACCAGGGCCAGGTGAACCACAGATCGGTTGTTGGACCACGGACAACAACTGCCTTTGTAGGGTCGGGACGTTGAGGTCAGTAAATTTCCATCTGTGCTTTGGCACAACATCTTCATTTCACAGTTTGCCATAAAACTACTTAATAACCATACATAATAATATTGTTCGCGGTATGTTAGTGTAATGTATAACCACTGAAGTTACAAATGGGCTTGGATACATGCCAGTTGGTATACCGGTCGCCAATGTAGCTACTGGTAGTTTTCTTGGGTTTATGGCATATAAACGACTGTGCGTGCGCTGTAGGCGGCAATAATAGGCCTATAGTTGTAAGTATAAACTGGAACTGGATGCGCGCCTAACACCAAAACGGCAACACCAAATGGCTGTCGGGATTATCTGCAGGTATTTCTAAGACTATTAAGTTAGTCTACAGTTTTAAGTTTCATCAGGCAAGTACAAAATTAATCAGGTAATTAGGTGGTAGCAGTTTCCGTAAGAACACTGGCAGCATGAAAACTGTCTGTCATCGGTAAGACTATTGGCAGGATGATAAATACAGCGAATTAGGTAAACCTGTGCCTTTGAACACTCGTGTAAACTGAAGTACACTGCAGATGTACAACCCGAATAACCATAATAACTCCGTAACGGAGGCCCACCGTATTTTGGTCACCTTTGGCCTTAAGGCTGAAGGTGATCACTTACCAGTCACGTTTATCACTTACCAGAATAAATTATCTTCTGAACTCTCGTTTTTTTCAGATCTTTCGTTGCCGCACTGACGCTGGCCAGCGCCTATGTCGCTGCAAGTAATCACATATCCACTTCAGAGTTATCGCAATTTTATAAACATTTTATCCCTTCTGACATTGCAGCACCGGACGTATCATGCTTTGACAGTTTGACATCAGTCAGTCCCTCTCCGGCGCAGATATGGTTGAAGCAGTATTCGCAGGATGAATGCAAAGTCGCTTGTCGTTACGCACTGGAGCTGTATGATTTTCGCTGCTCGTTCATTGGATACTACGCCGGCACACTGGACTGTGTCCTCTATGGAAACGAAAGTGTCACCGTCACACATGCCAAACGATGGACGTCAACGGCTTTGCCATCGGGAACCGCAACGCTCTTCAGGAGTTCTTGCGAAAAACGTAAAAACGCCTTTTAAAACTGTGAACCGGCAACTCAGTGAACTGACATACAATTTTATTTACAGCAAACTATCAGTGCTTGGATCAGACCAATAATTGTGCATACCAGAAGACCGGTTTGTGCCAAAGTAAAGGCATTGTAACCAACAAATCGACCACCGTCAGCGGCAAGACTTGCCAATCGTGGAGCAACAGTCGATTTCCCGAAGTGGGTACCCATAATTTCTGCGCTAATCCAGATGGCTCAGATGGTCCGTGGTGTTACACCACAGACACGAGTGAAAGATGGGGCTACTGTTACCCAGATTGTCCAAGTAGGTAACAATGTGGGCATGGAAAAATTGGATGGCTTTTGTGTGGTGGCTTCTACATCCTTTTGGCTCGTTTTTGGTTACAGTAGACGCTCATCGAATATAATAATACTATGACTTTTTTTAATTCAAAACTGATACGATACCGCACTTACAGTACTGCAGCTGCATCAGTACATATCCGTTGATTAGTAAACTGACATTAAAATCTGCAATTTTATTTAATTAGCGGACAAGCTAACCTGTGTGAGTGAGGGCGACCAGTGCGCCAAAGCCGGTAGTCCTATTTGTCAATTGAATAAGTACACCGGTACGAAGACGACAACATTTAGCGGATTGCCCTGCAAGAACTGGTCGCTAACTAAATACTCTGCGGAGGGAATCATAACAACTGCCGAAATCCCAGCGGAGACGATGCGCCATGGTGTTATACCGAAACAAGTTGGGAGTACTGCTTTGCTCGATGTGACGGTACGCCGTTTACCTGTTATCTTTTTCATTTTCCTGTGACGTAGTCATATTATCCTACAATACAACCATACTGTATGAGACGCATTAAAAGTTCATGCACACTATAAATGTTGTATTTGTAGCTCAGCAGTGCCCCACGGCGCCTCCGAATCCGGCCCTGACTATAATTAAAACAAAAAAGTGGCAGGATGGTCAACTGGACGTTAATAACCTTTTCCCTGACGATTACACCAGCCCCCTCAACATTAGCGTTACTGTGCAACAGTCGGGACAGACCTTTACACTGACCATCAATAACTGGTCACCCCGGGCTTTAACCGAGCTGCGTTGCCGAATTCTCTTCAGGACAACCGAAAAAGCGCCCATCGACGTCATTGTTCCGGGTCCGATCAACGACTGGACCGTGTATCAGTATCAGACGGCTATTCCGGGTTTGACGAGCGTTGCGGATATCGATACCGTAAAGGTCAGTTTTTTATTGTCCATTGCGTACTCGTACGCGATGTTTATGAAAATCACTTAAATGCTCGTATTGTCAGGCTTGATTCAGATGAAAAGCCGTAGCGACATTAATTTGGTGCTTGAAAAATAGCTCTACTGTATAAGCAGAAAACATATTATTGAAGCAATTTCGTTTGCGCAGGTTATTTTTCCATTTCCATGGTATTCGATCGTACTGATCGGCTACGGTCGACAGGCTACCGATGACCCGAAATTTCTCAGTGTAACAGCAAAAGAAAAGCAAGTTTTCGCCCGACTCGTTTCGGACTTTCGGATACTGTTCCACCTGCCGAAATACCGTTTGTGGATGTTGGGCTATCGGATGACGCAAAGCGACCCCGTTCGGCATGGACGACTGTCCGATTACGACCGGAAAGCCGACACCTATCTGGTAACCTTTCCACAGAAGCTAAACGCCAGTGGTGGCGGTCTGGCGAAATTGGGTTACGATGACCCGCGGCCGGAGCGGAAATGGACCGGAGCCTGGGCATCGATAGCCGCCGGCCGTGTCAACGACTACTTATCCGGTTGGATGAAGGATCCTTACTGGACACTGGAACATGAATTGCAGCACAATCATGGATGGAGTGATCGGGAGTTCCAAATGCAGGCCACGCAGTATTTCATACAGGAGCTGGCTACGGAAGCGTACGCCTCCTGCTTACTGCGATGGTTCAAAGCGCCGTTGGAACGCTACGAAGACACAGCCCTCCTCAGTGCTTTCCAGAATCCCGTGGACGGACTAGTTTATGTGGTCTCGGCCTACACCTACCGGACGATAGATCTGAGTAAGTATAAAACATTTAAAACGTGCCTTGGATGAAGTACCAGGAGCAACTAGTACATGAGATGTACAGTTGCACTAAGGCAATCGCTGATTAAACCTACTTTACTTGTGGGAATCTCTCTGCTGTGGCCGCTAGTGAGGTGGCATGCTCACTGCGTCCATTAAGCGAATGCCTAAACTCGGGACTTCCGCTGGTACACACTTTATTGCTTTTTCTTCTGAGAAACGAAGATTACCGCCGTGTGGTGAAAATCTCGTGTACGTTTAATCATTATATGTGTATGCACATCTGCAGCTGATTTAAAGGTAACAGTTTGAAGACACAGACTCTTTCAAGACTCTCAATTTAGCGATGAAAACTACAAAAAATTGCAATTAATTTAGGGAAACACAAACCCCGGCATGCAGACACTGCGACGCACTATCTGTACTGTGGGCTTACTTCTACTGCGAATATAAATAATACCTGCTCGCGTAGAGATTGGCAGATGAATTTGACCTTTGATTTCCTTCAGGCGGGTTTATCACGGATGCCGGTCGGCAAAGCTCATTCGATGGTAATCCACTTGGAGGAGACAGCTGTACTGTTCCGGGTGTGGACTGTTATCGTCTGAAGATTCCCAAGTGCAAGAATTTGACAGCCTACAGCGGCACCAAGAGTACAACTCTGTCCGGGAGAACATGTCAACAGTGGGATGTTAACACTCCCCAGTACAGCTACAACCACCAATTGGGCAGTAATAATTACTGCCGCAATCCTGATAAGGATGATGGACCGTGGTGCTACACAATGGATAAAAGTGTCCGATGGGAGTACTGCTTCAAAGACTGTAAGTCCAGTGCACCGGCTATTAAATCCGTTCGGTCTCTGTGCTTCATATACTTACATGTATAGCTTAAAAATTTTTAAAAAAGTTAAATTTGCACGCCCGCATCACGCATGCACATCGCGCGTCTACATGCAGCTCACCGTGACCTTTCTTTTAGGTGGATATGCGACTACGGATCCAGATGATCCTGGTTACTGCGTGAAGAAAGACAAGAGTTGTACATATAAAAACATGCCCTTGTGCAAGGACCGCATACCTGGATGGGCAATTGATCTTCCAGACTGCGGTATGTTCCTTAAGTTGCTGATAATCTGAAAGTACATACATTCCACATGGCACACACATTCCTTATACGGAAACAGCTGAGTCGTTACGTTGCTGTTCTTACAGATGATCACGGTGCATGCTTTAATGAAGTTGATGGATGCCTTCGCGACCAGAGCCAGGGCTGTAAGCTGGAGATCTTCAATTATAAAGGACCGAGATTTACGAGTGCTGAAGGCATGCCATGTGCTGGAAGCCCATCCAGCGATCCATCGATTCGCTGTTGGGGAGATCACGGACCGACGTATTACAACACCACACCTTACTGTTATGTCAACCCGGCCACTCAAGATGAGAGAGACTTATGTTTCAAAATATGTGGTAAGTGAAAACAGATAAATTAACATTGCAGTATTATTACTAGTATACTGCAACTAAAGAAGAACACAAAAAATAGCGTGGCTTCCCCGTTACAAATAGGCTATACAGCGTAGTGCGTACCATGTAAAGCTCGACTTACTCGGTTGTCCTTTTTTAACATTCTGATACGAGTATGGCTTTCTTCAGAGTCAGAGATATTAAAGACGTTGCGAGCCAAGCCGCGTGCGTACATCCAGAGCAAATGGTCCATTCCGGAACCGGTGAAATTCGCGTTCGTTGTCAATAGCAATCAGTTAGCGTTTGTTCCATACCGATACGGTGCAGATGTCTACGATGAGAAAATCCGCTTGTACGATTTGAAAACGGGGTCATGGCTGGGAGACAAAACAGTGAGCGGCCTTTTCGAAGCGCTGGGCAACAAATATTATAACCCCCAATTTCTGCAAGGATACGGTGTTTTCGTGGGATCCCAGTACTGCCGACTGGATGACGTCACGGTGAAGGCGGTTGACTGCGAAAACGTGTACACCAGCACGAAGTGGGCGGATCTGCGACGCTTCTCCAGCGGACCCGGCGATTTCGACCTGGTCTTCCGGGCGGACAGTTTAGCCTTCTTCTTCAAAGGCGCCGAATATCTCGTGTACGATTTGCAAACAGGAAAGGCGCTGCCCTTCTATCCGCGTCCAACCAAGGAATTCCTTTATAAAGTCGGCATTCTCGGCACATCGTTTGCTGCACTAGTGTAGCGTGCTTCTCTCATAAAAGAAACATTTGTTCAGTAATCGAAAAGGTTCGTTTGCTTTCTTTGTGGTTTATTGTTAATTGCATTGCTGCAAAGGTTTATCAGGATTTAAGTACTGTACGTTGACTTCCAGTCTTCCAGACAGAAAACTCAAAATTTACTAGAATTATGAGCAAGACGGGTAGTTCATTCTTTAAGTTTATTGTAATCCCATGATCACGATTCTGAACGTCACAGCAAAAAAAGAGGGAAACCAACTGCCCAAACAATTTCCCGTTAAATCGGTAACAATCAAGCCGCGGATTTCAAACAAAAACATCTAAGGAACAATACCAAACAAAAAAATATCCGTTGAGATTATAAAACAAATATGGTACATGTTATGAATATCATCCCCATCAAAGCACTGTTTATGCAACAAAATACCGCTGACTGGGTTTCGAGAGAAAAGAGTGCACCCTTCCAAGATCCAGCAGCCCTGATAATAGAGATCGACTGACTGCTTCATTTGCCCTTCTGCGGCGCTTTACTCAGCCGAAACGGAGTGGTTTTGCGGATAAATTCATCCTCCATAATGTCAGCATACTGATAATAAATTGTATTCTCTCGATTGAAAGTGCGCGCATTATCAAAAATCAATCCACAGTCATAGAGAAATTCCTGGAGGAAGCGATACTGACGGTTCTGCAGCTTTTCCGAAACCGTTCCCAGATCTACCATACAAAAAACCCCAGTAAAAACATAACATTTTTATTTTCTTACGTTGTAGTACCTACTTATAAAAGTAGGTCAAACACTTACCCATTGGTTCACGAATGACCCGATAGTAATTAGGCGCCTCTTCCTCTTTAACCGGTGACAGAAAGAAACTGGCTTGGGGGAGACTCTTCAGTTGAGCAAGGATTTTTTCTAGTTTCTCAATATCCGCTTCCGTCAGTTCACGAAAGAGTGAATCTTTAAACTCGGTTTTCTTCAAACATCCATCACACACATAGCGCCGTAGAACCTGCTTCGATGTTCGACCAACACAACGCGGATGATACCATTCACGGCAGCGTTCGCACTTAATGAACTTCCGGTATCCCCTGTTAGCACAACAGAAATCATGCTAAACATAGACCAGTTTCGTGCAAAAGGTTAATGTCTAAATATTAATAGAATATGGCCTTGAGAAATGTATTTCTCTTTCCCTTTGTGTTATTAAAAAAATCAGCATCCACTAACTAATTTGCGTGACGGGCTCGTGCAGTTCCGAAAAATTAACTTACTTAGCGGGATCGTACAATTCCTGGCAGAAGCAGTACCGTTGTCCTTGCTCCTTTTTCCCTGGCTCTCGGATCATTTTCTGCCGTCCATTACGAATAGGTTCCTTCTCCTCAGGTGGCGGCGCAGTCATCACAGTATTAACAGGCGCAGGTTCTGGCTCAGCCACCGTTTCCGGCAGATCCAATACCGCGGTTTCAGTGTTCACTGCCACACATCCATCCACTTTATTCTGAATCTTAGGCACGCGTATTTTCTTGACAACACCATGAGATTTCTTTGATAACTTCTCCTTCGGAAGCGCTGTAGGCTCCTTTGGAGGCACTGAAGGCTCTTTTGGAGGCGCCGACGGCTCTTTCGGAATCGCTGGAGGTTCCTTTGCTCCAGCGGACTTCTTAGACACCTTATTTAACCGCAAAATAATCGGAGGCATGGGAAGAGCTGGTGGTAGATTGAAATCAATATTAGCATTCACGGGAGGAGCGGGCAACGGTGCTGGTGTAGGGGCTGACATCGATCGCTCCAAATCTTGGAAATTCACGGGCGATGGACTGCGAGGTAGTTTAACTGTCAGTTTCACGGCAGCCTTCTTGGACTTGGATTTCTTTTGAGTGGATTTAACGGGGGTGGGATTTTCCGCCACAACAACAGGAGTATCAGCCACAGGTTCTGTCTTCTGTTTCTTCTTCTTGGAGCTCTTCCCTTTCCGCTTCGTTTCCGCAGGAGGCTGCTGAGGAGTGGCGGGAGCAGTTTGCGCTCGGCAAGTAGGACAATACCAAGGATTCTCGTCCAGTTTAGGATCGCCCTGTTTTTCGCCGACGCAGTCTCCATGAAACCATTTATCACACCGATCACAGCAGACATAAAACCTGTAACAAAAATAACAGTATAATCTCATCACAACCTTCACGGCTGATTCCTAATCCACTCACTTCTTTTTATCATAGGGAGTCTGACAATAGCAATGCAATTCTTTCGAACTCCTGTTCGCCTTCCGCTTCTTGGGCGGTGGAGATGTGATTTCCGGAGGCGCCACCACCGGTGTCGCCGGAACGGCCGCATCACTGTCTCGCTTACGCTTCTTGCTTTTCTTCTTCTCAACCACAATCGGTTCAACCACCTCTTGGACCGGCTCCTCGGTAATCTCCACTTTCAACACCTCCTCCGTAGCAGGCTCTGTTGCCTCCTCTTCGGTCTTCTGCTTCTTTCGCTTTCGCTTCTTTTCTTTCTTATCCTTTTTGTCCTTCTTTTCTTTTTTATCTTTCTTCTCTTTCTTTTCACTTATAACTTCTTCGGCGTCATCACGTTCTTTATCCTTGCGCTTTTTCGCTTTCTTCTTCTTTTCCTTTTCCCGTTTTCTCTTCTTGTTCTTCTTCTTTTCGCCCTCTTCCACTGGGGTTTCTCCTTCCAAAAGCGAGGTCTCTCGTTTGACGGGAGATGCAGAACGAGATAGCGGAGGTACGGTTGGTTCGACAGCGGCGGTCGCAGCAGCCAGTGCCGCCGCTTCTTCAGCCGCTTTCTGCGCGGCTTCGGCTTGTAATCGCTCCTTCTCGGCTTCTTCCGCAGCCTTCTGCAGCTTCTCCGCTTTGGAAGGACGTCCACGTTTCTTGGGAATTTTGGGAATTACCTCTTTCTCTTCTATCTTTGGACCAGTTGAAATCATTTTCGCTCGGGGTACCTTCGCTTCGTCCGGACTGGAGAAGACCTTTTTGTCTTCTGGTGTCGACTCGTCCGTGATAATTAGACCAGTTTCGTCCGCAACGGGTGGTGTCGGTGTGGTCACCTTGACCTCGTCGCGCTGTTTTTTCTTATATCTTCCCCGACGTTTCTTAGGCGAACCAGTACCAGGTGTAGAAGACATGGCTCTCGGACGCACAGGCAAGTCCGGGAATAGGTGCGGATGCACTCTCTGTCAACATATTTAAATCAAAATAATATTAATGTGTTACTACTACAAAACTTAACATCCAACTTGTTCATGAGAAATCCTTACCACAAGTGCCTGCAGCGCGGTTGCGTGCATATTATTCTGCGATTTCCGGTAGACACTCTTAACGTGCATGATGCGGTTAGTCAACAGTTTCCGCAATTGCAGCGTTCGTTTATTTATCCGATCATTCGCAGCAATTACAACAGCATCCATCACCGTCTGAGCAGCATCCGCAGCCTGAGCGGCTTCCTTCGCTTTACCGCGAGACTTTGGCTGCACACCGTCCTTGTAAGAAATTTGCAGTTTGTTCAGCGCTTCTTGTGTTAGCGTTCCACTTTTAATTTGTTCCATAACTAAAAATCACAAGATGATAAGCAGAGGCAGCCAGAATTCGGAATTCTATATCATCATACTGTTCTGCAGATCCGCGGGTAAAGTTGACGTTTCTGATTTCTCTGATTCGCTTTCGTTACTGGCCGGTTCAACTGGCTCTGCAGGAGTAGAAGCAGATTCAGCCGCGGCTGGAGTAGCCGGAGTGATTTTCGCACCGGATTTAAACTGGTACACAATTTGCTGCATCCGACCTAAACAGAATATAAAGGCAACGCTCCATATAGTCCGCAAATTTTGAAACAGTCTGAATTAAACTAACCAACAAAGTTTGGTTGTATGAGATATGTTCGATTTCCCACAACAACCTGTACAGGTGTTGTTCCGACGTCCGTGGTGGATTTAAGCAAATTATGTTGACTTAGCTTCTGACCACTGGCGACCGGGGTAGCTGGCGGGCTGCGGTTGTTGCTCGAATACTTAATCGGCGCTATTTGTTTGATGACGGGTTTAGGCGGTTCGGGTGGAGGATGTTCGATGCGATCGTAAAAAGATCGAATTTCCCACAAATCCACTGCCTCTTCTCCGACCCATATTTCCTGCGTGAATGGTTCTCTGAACTTCGGTTGTTCCAGTTTACGTTCTCGTAGTCCCTCACGACCAGGCGTCGACTTCAACAAATCTATGAAAAAACAGTACAATTATCTTTTGAGCTCTTCCTAATCGGTCATTTTACCTAATGCTTATAACATTTCTTAAATTTTTTTCTTTTGCAGTAACACCATGCCAGGCAGGTGACTTACTTGCAACCACTGCAGCATATATATATTTCGCATAATAATAGTTGATTCGCTTGGTCATCAACACATGCTAACTTGAATACTTCCTACTACGTACTTTTCTGATTTCCCTCTCGAAAAGGCACAACTTCCCGCCTAACCAAATATTCACATCGCGGAAAATCCGAGAATCGAGCACTGGAGCGTTTTTGGATAATTTCGGACGTGCAGGTGCCAGAGTCATCTTTTAAGATCTTTTTCCCGCCTAAAACAATACAATTAAAGAATCCAAACTGTGATTAACTACAATCATTGATCATTAACCAACCGCTCATACCAGCCAGCCCCTTATTGTGCAAATCTTCCCAGCGCAAGGCGGCATGCAACATCTTCATCTGCAATGCCACACCTCCCCAGTTTTTGATGGCATATGTTCGAAATCGCCAGATGGTACGGGTGTTGGGGCGCGGGAAATGAGGATATTCCCAATACTGGGCCGTTTTGTAATCGTACTTGAAACCGGGTAGCTGCAATACATAAGGCAGTTTTAACATAAAAAGCGGCTCAAGCGGTCTGATCAACTACTTTACGTCATACCTCGCTCAGTCCGGCATTGAGAGCCAACACCATGAAGTCGGTATGCGAAACACGGAAGAAGTCAAGCAGGTTTTCTTCCTTCACCATACGCAACAGTGCCGGCAACATTGCTTTGTATGTGACGTTCTTCGGATTGTTCAGGTTGACAATTCCAGCCGTGTTTAACGCAACCGGCGCCACAGCTGCTTTTCCAGGAGTGTTGTCCTTCTTCTCCTCAGCGGCAACTGCGGCGGGACCGCCTTCCTTCATAATTCGCTTTTCTTCTTCGGTTGCTTGCCCATTAAGCAGAACCACATCTTTCTGTCCATTTGACTTCGAAGGCTCAACGTTTTCAAGAGCTTCCGTTTTCACGGGCCCATCGGTCGTGATGGTTAGACAACTCTCCTTTTTTTCATTCGCAGTCGATGGGGCAACGTATGGCTCCATATTTCTCAGACGATCCGTAGTCTGTAGAGTCTTCTTTAACTGATCTTTGAGAACATCGTCAACCGGATAAAATTTGGAGTCCGATGCAAAAGCCGCTGATATATCCAGTACATCCTCCTCCACGTTGTCGTCAGGTACGGCTTTGTTCGGGACACAGGGCGCTTCCGGTTCTTCCGTATACCGACTACTCCACCAGAAAACCCCACCCCGACCGGAAAGACGAAATTCTTCACCTTTATGTTTCCATATCTAAACAATTCAACGATGCAAATTATCTATGCTAAAGAAAAAAAATTTTAATATGTCGCACCTGATGTTGTACACCCTGAACGAAATTCACGTAGGCTTTTTTCGCAGACCGACTTATGATCTCTTCATCATCACGACGACGGGCTCTGGGTTCTTCTTTGTCAATATTGGCAAATTTTCCCCACTTAAGGCATCCTACAACGACAAATAACGGACTGCCAAATAATTTCAGTTTGTTTTCAATACAGTTTCCCTAATTTCCACAATACAGTTTCCCTAATTTCAGTACGTGGTCATGAATTCGGGTTCAGTCATGACTAATTTCAAACCAGATGCCTCACCTAGAGTTTCGTGCCAGGCCGGTACGAATACCACTGGTTTACAAGAGGTTTCGAACCTGGAGAGAGCCACGGCTAACTCCTCTGGTTTCTCTACCTTTTCCAGCGCTTTGACCCATTCCGCACGGTACGTTGCCCAATGAGGATGATAAAAGGATGGATGAATATTCTTCTCCATTTCCAACAATGTAGCGCGCAATGTCGGCACCATAGTTTTGCAGAGTCCCGTGGTCAGGCCATTCCACCGGAAATCCCACGGAGTCTGTTTTTCTCCCGGCAAGGAAAACTTCATAGCGAACAGCTTTTCCCGTGAGCGCTTATCTTCTGGCTTCTTGCCCTGGGCCGGCAGGCCGAGTGGACTGTTATGGTAATTTTTATAAATCCGGAATGTTCCTTCCACGCCCAGTTTGTATAAAACACCAACAACTTTTGACAGATCAAAGGTCAACTTGGGATCACTACTGCATGGCGGAGGAATTACGCTCGGTTCTTTTATTTTGTGATTGAGTGGTGTATCGGCGTAGGATCTCGGAACAATAGCACCTGTTCGAGTTCGAGTGGCAACACGAGGACCTGATGATATAAATAGTCTAAGATCAGCATTACAATCTCAACCAACACCTGAGGCAACAGAGGCGTTATATACCTTCTTCCTCTTTCACGCCTTCTGGTATGGGACCATTCGTCAGGGTTTCCTCCTCTTTTGGTTTCTCATCCACTTCGGCCATCTCGATATCCTTACTTTCCTCTTCCTTCCGGAGCTGCTCCTCTTTTTCTTCTTGTTTCTTTCGAATATCAGCTAGAATTTTGATATTCAAAAATTACTGAAGAAGATTCCCTACAGAAAATGAAAATCTTTTTTACCATCAGCTTTATCCAAATAAGTTGGACGACCTTTGGCAAAGGTTTTCGTTAGTTTAGATGTTATATCCATATGTTGACGTATTTCGCCATCCAGTTCTGCGAGGGATTCGCACAGTTCCTTTTCCAAATCAACAGGATCCAGTAGTGCCTTAACCTCATCGAACTGCTCAGCAGTCGTATAATACGAAACGAAGGATTCGTCTTCGGCATATCTAATATAGAAACACTTTCATCAGTGAAAGAAAATCATAACCTGAAAATTTCACAGCTCACATGAGTAAACGTCGGGCGATAAAGGCAAAGCGCCGCCCGTGCCGATCCAGTCCCAGGGGCTCGTAGCGCAGGCAAAAATTCTGCTTTTCCGTCTCGGTGACACATTCCAGCACTCCCGTAACCTAGAATGCATATTCAAATTTACATAAATTTTTTACGCAGCCCCTTAAAAATATTATTCCTAGCTTTACTGACAGGTTAAATGTTGTAGGCATGAAATGCAATATACAATCCGCAGAAAAGATGTGCAATATTTTGCGTCAGCAATATAATTTAAGAAATACAAAAACCAGTATGCTGGCGATTTCGCAAAAAAATAGGCAGTTCAAATTTTTTTAGGATCAGACAAAGCGGTTGCTATGATTGAGCATAATACTGGGAAATAACACTGGGATAAAGTGTGCAATATGGATGCAACAGGACACTGCTGACCATACCACAAAATGTTAAGGAAATTTTCTGTTGTCGTACCTGCTGGTTGTGTCTGCAAAGAGTACAAAACCAATCCCATTCCGGAGCCTCCTTTAAAGGCGGCGACAGGCAGAATAAATGATAAACTGCGGGGCATGCACTGCAGCAGACCATCGTGCCCGTCGTCCGGCAGCTGCGGCAGACATCTTCATGCTGCGAATCATCCAGGATCATGGCATCGGGATTGAGGGCGTTCCGTACTACGCCGGGCAGCCGCAACAGCACACTACACAACACCTCCAACACCACCAGTTTCTCCTTGGCGGGCACACAGGGAAACTGGCTCTGCTCGACCACTTTCAGGGCCGGGGCGTATTCGGGGGAGGTCTGTAAAAATGACCGTAGCAGCTCCGGCCAGGTCAGATTATCCATGCAGACAATGGCCAACTGCACGGAATCCTTCTCGTCATGCGGCGCCAACCACGAGCCGACATGCTCATTCTCGCGCACCAGTAAGCGAATCACAGAGGCAAAGATTTCACATAATAACTGCGAGCTTTCTTCCGCTAGCAGGGCACAGCAGAAATCCTCAATCCGGAAGACGGTCAGCTGCACGCAATTCGTCAGGCGTCGCAGGATTTCATACACCCCGAACGCCTGCAGGACGACATCGTTAGGGATCACCAGGTCTTCCGATGACGGAGGGAGGGTCAAGGGGTCAAAATCCCGCTCCTGAATGTACACGGGATCACGATCGCGCGGGATATATGTCCGTTTCTTCAGATTTTCTTCGCCCACCGACTCCGTTTCCTCGTAGTCATCGTCCTCATCCGCGTCGGCGGCCACGGTAAACTCCACGTCTTCCTCTTCGGAACTGGAGTTATCATCGCTGGAATCGTTCCCGTAGTCGGAGGCATGATCATCATCGTCCGAACTCTCCGAGGCATGGCGTTTACGCCGTTTCCGATGACTGGTGACGACAGGCACAGGTTTCGGGTTGGATTTCTTACTGCGACGGCTTTTCCGTTTGGATGTCACGGGGACAGGATTACTGTCCTCATCTGACTGATAATCCTGCTCATCCTCCACAACATCCTCTTTTGGCTTGGCGCGCTTGTCTTTACGAGAAGAACGGCTGTTCTTCCCCGAGCGCCGCGGAGGCATGGCTGAAAAAGTTTGATAATACCCTGTAGGAACATGACAAAAGTCGTCATTTTGAAGGAAAAACCTAAATTCACACTGTAAATCGTCAATCTAAAGTGAAAATCACTACTACCACTCCAGATAAACATACCGACTGATTTCACATCAGATCACGACAACAATAATCCAGAATTTTATGGTAAATTACATTAAAATAAAGTTACAATGACAGATGGATGAATAGGGCAAAAATAAATATTCGCTGTACCGAATGGGCTGTCAAAATTTCAAGATACACAAAAAGAACGGCATACGCCTTGAAAAGCAGCCGTATTTCGGAAATGACCAGCGACCAATCTGTTGGTGACCGGTGTGATCAAGTCAAAGCTTACTTTGCCTTCAAAATTAATTGCATAAAACCTTCCCAGATCGCATCGTTTTCTGCGGAGATCCACACAACTAGCTTATAACGCTTTCGCCTGAAAAGTCCTCACGTTAAACGCTATGGCTTTGGAGCTATCGCAGGCCGATAGGTGGCGCCAGCTCTGCAGTAATGTCCCTGACTTTAATGTTACTACGCGTTAGTCGCGCCATCTAGCGGCCCTAAATCGAGATGAACCATCTGAATCTTCAACATGCTGCCTTTGCACTGAATGGCGGCGAACGGAAACACGACGATTATCTATCTCATCGCCTCAAACATGCACTGCGCATTCCGAATTTCCGAGGTCTTTAAACCAGCAGTTTAAAATCGCTTACTAAAAGCAGAATCGAACAGATCAATATTGCACCAAAATATTCGAATCCCTGATTTTAAAATTATCAGAGCTTCGCTAAGCTACAATTTCAAATCAATGGAAGGTTTAACAATCAAATAACCATGACATTTTTAAACATACTGTAAGTTAAATTCGTTGACGTTATCCTTAATTTCTGTAAATGCGAAGACAACACGTGGTTCTGTACATGGAAACGGCCTCTAGAGCATCGTTTGTTTTAACTTTCAAGGCGTAACAAAAATTAAATGGAAATGTACAGTGCGAGTGCGAGTACAGTGTTTATGATGTCATTTTGCCAACACAGCTTTTACGACTGCCCAAGTTTCCGGTTATACGCGTACACAGATAGAAGAAAAGTTGATTTATGCATAGTAACTGGACGTTCTCTCTTGATAATTATAATTATTGAAATAAGAATCCATAAAGGAAGCAAAGTGAAATACCGCAGGCAGGCGCAGGGTCAGAGAAAAATTAAGGGAAAAGTAAGAAGGACTCCGAAACAAAAGTCGAAGGTTTTGAGCACTGTACGTAGTACTACGTACTCTAATTATTCTTGTATGTCTCGTACAATACCACTCAGGAATTCGGCTGTGGAATGCTTTTGCAATTCCATTGGAATTTGTATGAATTTCCACAGGAATCCGATTGACCGAATACTCGTACTTCAAAATTTCTGTAGTTGTGTAGTACTTCTAGGTATTTCAGTTTTTCTGGTCTTGACTTTTAGTTTTTAATTTGGTTTATCAATAATAATTGTTAGCACTCGCGATCAGCATTTTCCCCTTTGTGTTGACCTGCTATAGTTTTTAAAATTAATACAAGGTATTGCGCTTTACACAGTAGTGGTTTCTGAATCGTATTGTTCGGATCCCCCGCTGTAGTTGCGGATAGATGCACCCTTGTCGGCACAATCCTACACTGCACATCATAACATGGCCGCGGATGATGAGCAGGAGACTTACAGGCTATGGCGTGCTCGGAAAACTATCTTGCAGGTCCGTAGTTACTGCTAACACGGATACATCTTGTGTTTGTTTTTTTATGTGCCTATACAGGCTATACTGTAGGATGACTGTTTGCTTAAATTTCAATGTAACAGATGTGTCACGATCGCGGCTACTTAGTGGCGCAGCACGAACTTGATCAGACCATCGATGACTTCTCCGAGCACTTCGGCAACAAACCCAGCGAACGGAAACCCGCCAGAAACGATTTGCTCATTCTGGTTCAACATGCCAATGATCCGACAGGTAAATCATTTTATTTGAAATTTCTAGTACCGCTGTGCTCGATTTGATCGTTCTCCCTGTTGTGCAGAACAGCTTTTGGTGTTCTGGCCAGAGGAGCCCAAAGTGGGTATCAAACCGATCAAAACGTACTTCCAGCAGATGCAAGAGCAAAGCGTCTCCCGAGCCATAATCGTCATCAAGCAAGGGATGACACCAATCGCGAAATCGGTATGGACTTTTTGTGTGTTTCAGTATACCGTGTAGTTTTGTACATACAAGGTAACAAGCGCAGTTATCGCACGTAATCATTTTCTGCATAACTGATTTTTGGAAGAAAAATCTGATTTTTATGAATCTGTTTTGCAGAACTATTCCCAGAGTTTGATATTAAAATATTTGGTATATTCGATGTATATTTTCAGTTGTTTAAAATAATTTTCAATGACCTGGAACTGTATTTTCTTAAAAATAATTTGTGCTTGCTTACCTTTGGCTTTAATAATAAGATGCGTACGGTCCTGTATATCGTATTCTGTGATTTAAAATTTCAGGCATTGAACGATATGGCTCCAAAATACATCATGGAACATTTTACCGAAGCCGAGTTGATGTTCAATGTGACAGAGCATGAAGTACGTTCCGCGTCCAGAAAAGTTATTCCGATATGGTTCTTGTAAATTTGTATGACTTCCCTGAGGAACCTATTCCTCCATATTGTAGTTGGTTCCCAAACATGTGTTATTGAGCCCGGAAGAAAAGCAGGAACTTCTGACCAGATATAAACTCAAAGAGAATCAACTTCCCCGAATGCAGCTGGGAGATCCCGTCGCGAGGTATTTCGGGATGAAACGCGGCCAGGTAAGCCATTTATTCGAAATTCCTTTGCTTATTTGTAAATTACGGTGAACACATTTGCTGTGAACACTGGATGGTGGATACGAGTTTGTATAGACTTGACAGGTTTTCGAATCCGTAGGTTGTGAAGATCATTAGAGCCTCGGAAACGGCTGGACGTTACGTCACTTATCGGCTGGTGATCTGAAATTGTGAATCGTCTGACCGTCGCCATGGAAAGATTGAAATTGTTCCTTGGAAGATTTTGGTTTGCGGCACACGGTTTACGGTTTTCTAGTTGATCTACGCGGCTTCGATTTGGATTTTGTTTTCGATGCCGACTTTTTATGTACACTACCTAAGGGATACAATTGTTTGGACAGTACAGAATATGATTATGTGGTAAATTAAAACTGCGCATATTTCCTTTTGTCTTTCACATACGTATCTGCGTCGGTTGTTTTACAGCCGATATTTTCTTATGATTACGTATGCAGTTCCATTTATCCGATAAATCTCCATGGTTTTCCTCATCGGTTTTCTCTTTTTTATGATTAGCTCATCGACCGCTTCGACTTCAGCAACTTCTGCGATTGAGACTTGGAATAGGTTTTTGGAATTCTTACAGTAATTAATTTGTTAGACATCTGCAGTAAGTGGTAGGTCTTAGTGGCTGTTGCTTTCTAGAAGCTGTTCAAAGGGTACTCGTAACTTTTAAAATATAAACCGAGATAAGCTTTGTTCCAGAAAACAAAAGAACCTAAATTTTACTACTATGTACACAGTACACTGTAGTCTTTACTCTTTACTGTATGGCAGTATGCCCTTATTAAAATGAATGAAATATGGATATTTGTTTTACAGCGTTCTTATAATAATTATTATAGTGTTGTAAATGCATAACACTACTACGATTATCAGCAACTGACTCGAGCATAAGCCATAGAGTATACTGATGCGCAAATGACGATTACTTTAAAACAAAATCTCGATTTATTCCAAACTCTGAAAACTTTATGGACTTTAAAGTGCATCAAATTCCCAACTGACAAGAATTTCAACCGCAGACTGGACAAATGTCACAAACGTAAAAAGTGCAAAAGGGTGAAAAACCAGTTGACAACACTCAACAACGATTAACCCAAATAAGCAACTTCACCGCCATACTATTCACGAAATGAGCCCAGATATGTATCCGCAACGATCACGATAAATATGTGTGTGCTCCGCAAAACTTAACGCCAAGTGTACAAACAAAAAAAAACTATCCTGGAAAAAATTTTTACACGATCTGAAACTGTCTGATACTGTAACCTCTTCGCTGGGGGACGCACAGAAAAGAGAACTGAATCAAATGGACACAATAAGAACAACGGTAAACACCGAACGACCATGGCTCCATGAGAACGTCTATACTCTAACCCTTTACAACTCAGCCACCTCCACGGTATCCACAATTATCGCCACCCCATCCGCGCTCACCGTAGTACTGCGCTGATGCGTGATCATGTCCTGCGTCCCATCAGGTAAATCCACGAGATCCGAGCGCACCGTGGTGGTCTCCATCGGCGTTTCATCAACACCACGCACCACCGAAATCTCCGCGGCATCCTGACTTTTTGGCATCGGCTGGTCGTCTGGCTGGGGAGATGCCACTTCCGGCACCTTCTCCGGTGAAGACGCAACTTCCTCCGGCACCGAATGTTTACGCTCCTCCTTCTCATCGTCCTCATCGCCTTTAGCTGCGAATTTAATCACCGAATCTTTCCCGGAATCCTCCGACACCGACGATCCCGAGGGGCCATCTTTGGTATCGTCTGTGTCGCCTTCGACCTCCATCTTGTCCTCGGTGCCGTTTTTCACGTCCTCTGAGATTCCGCTGGCGTGGTTGGAATTGTCATCCTCCTCCGCTGAATGCTGTGCAGTGTCTTCCGATTCGTCGCCAGTGGAGCGCTTCTTGCGCCGTCCTCTGGAGGAGCGACGGTCTTTCTTCCGTTTCTCTTTGGCTTCGAACAGCTCAATGAGCAGCGGATCGAGAATATTCTCCTCCGGTTCCCAGGTATTCTGACTGCGCGGATAGCCCCGCCATTTGACGAAATATTCCACATGGCCTTTACGCACACGTTTTTTCATCAGTGCTTCGCATCGATACACATCCGTGGGCACTTCTTTGTCAGCCAGAGTTTTTTCAGGCTTCGGCATGGCGAAATCTAAAACAATTGTTTCGTATAAAAAATCGCTGGAATAATTAAACTGAAACCATTAGCTGATTAGCAAAATCTATGTCAAATGTCAATAGCTGGAAAACCACCATGTACTGTATGTGATCGCAATGTTGTCATAACTTAGTAAACTTACAGAGTAGTTCAGCTGAATAAGCCCCTGGATTCAAGAACCCAGGCCTAAGATCAGGAATTCCGCGTATTGCAGCAAAAGCCAAAGACAGCACGCAAATCAAGACAAGTTAAAATTGAAAAATCCAGTAATGTTTGCTGAAGTGAAAGTATTTTTTAAAATATTAAATATTAGTTAAAAATAACGGTTAAAATTAGGCCAACGGCTTCACAGCTATCAAAAACACAAAAATTCATGGTTAACCGTAAACAACCACAGGTTAGGTAATTTTTAATTGGGTCAATTTAACGCACGGAACGGAAATATGGTTGCCTTTCAGGTGCAAGGCTGCACCGCTCTTGTGCTGACACGCTCTTAGGTGCTGACACACTTCACGGTCGTAGATCGTCTCCCCACTGTGCTCCCTGAACCCGCTACGCCGCCAAAGCTAGTCAGCGGTTTTTCAAAAAAAGTGAAAGCTCATAAGTATAACTTAAAAATCGGAAATTCTATGTATTTTGTAAAAATTTCCATAAATAGCAAACGATGTGATTTCTTTTTTAGTTCCATTTTACAGTTTTATTTACTAAATTTGAATAAGTAACTTTTTAAAATGCAATGTATTACCCGCTTGATGCGGCATCGAATATCTCTTAACGGAGTGCAAACGGTGTTTCGCGCGAAACCGTCAGTGCCCGTATCGCAGCAGCGATGGTTGTCTTCGCACAGACCTCTCAACGGAATTTTGTTAAAATCATCTGGTGAATCTCCGGTGCTATTAGGTGTTTATTCTACGCGTCCTGGATCGCTGTATGTTTCGCGGCGAACTATCGCCGTCTCCGCTGTGTGGCTGAAGGACGCTGAAGATGGGAAACGGGACGACGGACCCGAAGACGAATCCCCAGAGCATGACGATGTCAATGTTGCTGGTCCCGTTATCCAAATCCAGCTTCCACCGGGAGCTGCCGCCTTGACTGCGCTAACCGTCCCCGAAAACTTCCCCGTTGTACCGATGATTCCCATAACGCGGTATCCTGTCTTTCCTAAATTTATAAAAATTGTTGAGGTTGGTGCTTTTTGAATTTTTAAACTTTTTACGGTTCCAAAGGCTGTATTTACTTTCGCGTTATAGGTGTCCAACCCCGCTTTAATGGAGATTCTTCGAAGAAAAGTGCGACTGAACGTGCCGTATGCAGGGTGTTTTGTGAGGAAAGAAGACACGTCGGATATTACAAAGTAAGACGGTTGACTCCGCAGTTGCATGATTAATCAGATATGAAATAAGTGAAATTGTATGATTTTTCATCTGAATTTTCATTTCATTAATTTGAGAATATTTCTTTTCGCTAGTTTATTTCTCCGTGAAATGAAAAATGACTGCGTAGAAATATAAGCATAAGTTGGGTTATACAGTCCCGCTGTTTTGTCTGAATATAAAAACATCGAGATTCAGATTAATTGTTTTTTATTACATAATTCATCAGCGACGTTTTGAAGGGTTGAAAAGTCTGACTTCGAAGTGGTCAAAAGTTTGGACGAGGTGTACTCGGTGGGAACGTTTGTTCAGATCCACGAAATGCAGGACATGGGCGATCGACTGCGGATGATCGTTTTAGCACACCGGCGCATCCGCGCCACCGGTGTCGTTCAGGATACCGAGCAAGAACCGGACAACGTTGTTGTGCGACGCGGACGATTAGTTAAGAAATCCAAGCGGAAATCCGTCGAGGAGTCACCTCCCGTCGACCTGTCGCAGGAAAAACTTCCAAATGAGAATAATACCAACGGCCCGACGACTCCCACCCCCGAAGAACTTAAAAACCAAGTTTTAATGGTGGATGTGGAAAATGTTCCCGCTCCGGTATTTCAGATGACCGATCAGATTAAGGCTTTGACGGCGGAAGTGGTCAAAACCATTCGCGACATTATCAGCATGAATCCCTTGTACCGCGAAAGCTTGATGCAGATGATCCAAGCAGGGCAGCGGGTGACGGACAATCCCGTTTATCTGGCGGATCTCGGAGCGGCTTTAACGGCCGGAGAAGCTGCGGAGTTGCAGGCTGTTCTAGAGGAGCCGGATATTGCTCGCAGACTGGAATTGGTGCTGGGACTGTTGAAAAAAGAGTACGAGCTGAGTAAATTGCAGCACAAGATTGGAAAAGATGTGGAGGAAAAGGTGAAACAGCAGCACCGAAAATATATGCTGCAAGAACAGATGAAAGTGATCAAGAAAGAGTTGGGATTGGAGAAGGACGATAAGGATGCTATTGCTGATAAATTCCGCGCGAGATTAAAAGTAATTTTCAGTATAACCAATCAAACCCGAATCCATACATCAAACAATTATTTTCACTAGGATTTAACATTATCCAAGGAAGTAGAAGATGTTATCAATGAAGAGCTGAACAAACTGGGAATGCTGGATAATCATTCGTCGGAATTTGCTGTGACTAGAAATTATTTGGACTGGTTGACGAGTATGCCATGGGGGAAATCGAGCGAAGAAAATCTGGAGTTAGACCGTGCCAAGTAAGTCTGTGTAGCTTAGTTAGCGACCGGTGAATTGATGAATGATGCAAAAGAAATTCATTTAAGAAACGTAGTTGTGTGTTTTTTGTAGAAAAATCCTGGAAGAGGATCATTACGGAATGAATGACGTTAAGCAGCGCATTTTGGAGTTTATTGCTGTCAGTCAACTGAAAAAAACCATTCAAGGAAAGATTTTGTGTTTCTATGGACCACCCGGTGTGGGCAAGACAAGTATAGCTCGATCCATTGCGAAGGCTCTTAATCGCGAATATTACAGGTACCGTTGTACGTTTGGGTTTACATTTGTACATCCTGTGGTTTTCGTATAAGTAATTCTTTCTAAAACCGCAATAATTTTGTCTTTAGATTTTCGGTTGGCGGTATGACTGATGTGGCAGAAATTAAGGGTCACCGCCGCACTTATGTTGGTGCCATGCCTGGGAAGATCATACAATGCTTGAAAAAGACCAAAACAGAGAATCCGTTGGTATTGATTGATGAAGTAGATAAGATTGGTAAAGGATACCAAGGCGATCCAGCCGCCGCTTTGCTGGAATTACTGGATCCTGAGCAGAATAAAAACTTTATGGACCATTATTTGGATGTGTCAGTGGATTTGTCCAAGGTAATTTAAAACAGTCTTGCACTATGGAGTACGGATACTGTTCTGTTTAACTCCTATTCGAAATTTTACACAGTTTACAAATGTTATTGTTAAATTTTTGCGAATCCACCGCACCGAATTCACTTACCTTTTTTAGGTTTTGTTTATATGCACGGCCAACGTTATCGACACGATACCCGATGCGTTGCGGGATCGTATGGAAATGATCGAAGTGGCCGGTTACGTACAAGAGGAGAAACTGGCAATCGCCCAGAAGTATCTCATCCCGCAAGCACAAGAAAAGAGTGGTATTAAGCCTGAACAGCTCCATACATCTGATGAGGCGATCTCGCGACTGATACGGCAGTATTGTCGGGAAAGTGGTGTCCGAGCGTTGCAGAAATACGTCGAAAAGGTGATTGCAGAAATACGTTTGTATAGCCGGACTGGTGATTGACATGAGTATGCTTGTAGATCCACCGGAAAGTGGCATATAAAATTGTAGAAGAAAAGAAGGAACAGGTTGAAGTTACTTTGGAAAATTTGGAAGAATTTGTGGGTAAACCCAAGTTTTTATCTGAGCGTCTATACGAAGCGGAGACACCGGCTGGTGTGGTTATGGGTCTAGCTTGGACCGCTATGGGTAAGCGCATAATTTATCTTTACTTTGGTTAAACTTATCAGTACCATTTTGTAGCTCTCTTCTGTTTTGCATGATTGTATCTGTAATCGATAAGAGCGTGTAGCTTTTTTTATAACTGAACTGGATTGGGTTGAGTCTGTAGAATGTTCCGTACTCAACGTCCAGTCATTAATTTTGGGGAGTTGAAATATTCGGTTTCGCCTTTTACTCTGTGCTGTTTTTTTCTGGTAGATACCGCTTTGAGTTTTCTTGTCTTATCATATTGTTTACTGTAAACATGTTTTCAGGTGGAGCATCTTTGTTTGTGGAAACGACTTTGCGACGGCCACTAGATCAAGAAAACAAAGAAGGTTCCATCGAAGTTACCGGCCACCTGGGTGATGTTATGAAGGAGTCTTGCAGGATATCGCACACAGTAGCCAAAAATTTGCTCATGCAGCATGAGCTGTCAAATCGTCTCCTGGAGAAAGGCCATTTGCACATCCATGTGCCGGAAGGCGCCACGCCAAAGGATGGACCAAGTGCTGGTGTGACCATCGTCACCGCGTTGTTGTCGTTGGCTTTGAATAAGCCCATACCCGCCAATGTGGCCATGACGGGAGAAATTTCGCTGACCGGGAAAGTTTTGCCTGTTGGTGGTATTAAAGAAAAAACAATCGCGGTAGGTTTTGTAAAAGCTAATGCATGGTTAGCTATTGTAAAAAGGTTTGATTTCTGTTACTACCAGCTTGCTGCATCAGTTTTTGCTAATAATTCATTACATTTTCCGTTTGTAGGCGAAGCGGTCAGGAGTTACAACTTTGATATTACCGGAGCAAAATCGGAAAGATTTTGCCGATCTACCCGATTTCATACGGAATGATATCAATGTACATTTTGTTGACCATTATTCAAAGTTGTTTCCTCTTGTTTTTCCTGATGCTGCCAAACACTCTTTGTAATTTTATGGGTTTAATGGGTTTCTGGGTTTGGGTATATTTGGTGAAGTTTTTTTTATTGGTTATAAGTCTTGAGTAAAGTTGTTAACTTGGGCTTGTGAATAGTGCAGGGATTAAATAACATCAACCTAAATGTTAATGCTACATGGTAAATTAATAATGAGTTGCGAACGTAGCAAAAAAAAAGACGAAGCCACACCAGTCAATTGCATATGTAAAGTATTTTTAATACTATGAAGGTGTTATGAAAACTTGGCAGCAAGTTGAGTAGGAAAGAAACAGAATTAGAAATGAAAAAAAAGGAGTGTGGATTGTCCAGTGCACAGTTAACAAATAAATGAATATCAATCCCGCAGTAGCGAAAGCAGTAGATAGTCCACAAATGGATAAGTATCCGATTTAAGACTGGGCATTGTCTTCTCAGAGAATCCTGAAAAGATTTGTAAGCAAAGATCAGATTTTTTTGGGATTTTCATTTTACTCGTAATCGCTGTACGTAGAAAATTTGGCTTAAAATACGTTTTTCGAGCTTTGAGCCGTTCACGGAACATTGCTCTTGACGCTCCATATGGTAAGTGTTAATTGTAAAACCAAAGCACTCAAGTGTGACGATGCAGCTACATATGAGTAGCATCCAGTAGTGGAACTTATATTTGCCGAAATCAGATACTGCACCATTGAACAGCGTTCGACTGTTAACTAATCTAAAACACTATACCGAGTTGCCTCGAATCTTTAAGTCTCAAGGAGATACAAAATCGTTGGTTTTAATGCATTATACCACATCACAGCGAGCGCACAGGTTGTTAGCTCTTGTTATCTTGGCTGTATTTATTTATTGTGGATTCCTTTTGAAAATCTCGAAATCCGAATTCAACCACACCCATAAATGTGATCAAGCGTTAGCAAATCTCAGATCTTGCGGCGCCATTTTCAGACTTGGACACAACCCACTTTTACTCCAGGACTTTCATAAATGCCGACTGCTTAATTACACCAGAAGGTGAGAGATTTGTATCCCATGTATCTGTACACAGTACACTTTATACGGTAAATTACTGTATTATATTTTAGTCGTATTTTACCACATGTTACTTTAAGTGCATCAACCATTAATCCGGTGCGCAATTTATTTTAAAGTCTATCATACAAATTTTTAAGCGCAGAGAAGCATCCTATTGCGCCCGAAACAACACTATCCGCATCATCCTGATTGGTGATTCTCGAATGCGCCAGATTTACACGGAAACGGTCAGAATATTTAATGCAGCGTATGCAGCGGAGATTACGGCAGGAAAGCATGAAGATTTACATTATGAGACGGAAGATCGCAAGCTGGGCATTCATTTCCGCTGGGCGGCGTATCTCGACAAACAGTTTACGGATATTGTCCATAAAGAGTACGAGTATAGAAGCTGTGGTCAGGAGAATGTAATTTTCTTAATGGGATCTGCTGTTTGGACGATACGATATCGAAATGGTGACCGGAAACAAGCGTATCATGAATATCACAGGTGCACAATAATTTATTTACGTTTATATGCTATGTACAATTATGCAAATATAAATGCAAAAATTATTACTACTCGTATTGCATGGGCGTGTTTTGAGAGAGTCAAATATTCACCAACGACGGGTAAAATTTACAGATTGCAGACGATGCGTTACGATCCCATTAAAAGTGCATACACAAATGTACGAGACATTGTAAGATACACCACAGCTGGGTAATTAAGTGACACTTAATTATATCGTTAGTAGGACAGAACAACCATGCGTATACGGCATACATAAAGAATCGGAATTAGAATGCATAAAAGAACAAAACTCTTTCTGCTTCAGGAATCTCACCGCCCTCATCCCGTTACTTAGCCGGATTGCCAAATACCATCCGGTCATCTGGATGCTGCAGGACCCTGTCATCGAGGAAAAGCTGGCAGAACGAAGGCGAATGATTACCAACGCAGCAATCAATACGTACAACAATCTGGCAAAAGAACTATTTCGCGCTACTGATGTCAGACTGTGGGAATCAGGAAGAGAAATCGCTTTGCAAATGCAATCGTCCGAAGATGGCCTACATGTTGATTCCCACGTTGGGCACGCCCAAGCGCAACTTCTGGTCAATTTTATTTGTAATAAGAATCTGCAGAATAATGTTAATGACAGATTGTGCTGCACTTCGGACGGGTAAACGTAATTTTGTACAGCATGTTGGGCACTTTTCAAGGATGTCTAAAAGTGTGGCAGAGAAGTGATTAAGAAATGCGCACAACATGCAGTTGCACATACACGATAGTCTACAGATCTACACAGCATACGTGTTTTTTACAATACATCTACTTAATTTTGGATTCTTTCTGGTGGTTGAACTTGAGTTATTGTTGGGCGATTAAACGCAAGTGATGAGTCTATTTATGCTCTTAATGTGAGGAGTTTGCAATTAAATTATTCAGCTGTGTGAATTGGTTCATCGGAGATTCACCGAACGGCTCATCTTCGAATAACCTTTAACCAAAATCCGGAACAAAGAACATATTTACCGTGTATCGCATCTATATAGCGGTCGCACTGCGCAAAATCACTTCGCTTAGATTGACAAGATACTTTTTAAATACATAATTTAACGTTTAAAATTTTTATGTTTACTGTTAATGTAATTTAACCTTTTTATGGTGTCAGATTGCAGCGAAACTTTATTTTCTGGTACTTTGGTTTTATAAATCATGGATGCATTAAATTATCTTTGTGGTATTACGTTAACGGCTTTAGCCGTCGTTACCGGTAAGCAAAACAATATACAGCATATAATTTTGCATATTTATGCCATACGCGAGCATACGAATTTATTGGAACCAGTTTTTGTAGATAAAATCGGGTCGGTGGAGTAAGTAGACGTTTTTCTAGATGTTCCATTACGTGACTATCTCATGTTGTTTGCGCCTGGCGCATGTTCGCGATCAGCTTCGGGATGTACAATAGTAGCAAAGAAACAAGTGCAAGCCTAAAAATAACATGAAGCAGCGCATTGTTACGAAAACTTTGCAGTGGCCGTCGCTCAGGGATACGGAGGATATGGAGGCGGAGGTGGAGGCTATGGAGGGTACGGGGGCGGCAGCAGTTATGGAGGCGGAAGTTACGGAGGGGGAAGTTACGGATCCATGCAGGGAGGTTACGGTGGATCGTATGGATCGAATACAACGATGAATCAGACCGGTGTATTGTACAATATTCCACCTGTGCCTTTGGCGTTCACGTTTCCAGGCCCGCTCCCTATTGTTGGGGTACGTAGTTAATCTTATCTATGTAATAAAAACCCTCAAAAGCAGTTGTATTATTTGCATCGAAGAATAGCTGTCAAAATGAGCGCAAATAGAATCGAATTAAATATAAATAACACGAATATTTCATCGTCTTATGTTTTCGTATTTATAGGTCAGCTGGCCGCCGTTGGGAGGCACGCCCTATATTGCGGAAGGACGCTTTCCGTATAACGGTTATGTGGGAGTGCGTTCTCCACAGATCGCCTATATCAACCGCATGCAGGCCGCACAGATAGCGTACGATGCCATGAGAGCTAACTACTCTTCAGGAGGTTATGGTTACGGAGGATCGGGGTACGGGAGTGGAGGATACGGAAGCAGTTATGGTGGTAGCGGTGGTTATGGCGGTGGCGGATACGGTGGCGGTGGTTACGGCGGTGGCGGTTATGGCGGAGGAGGTTACAGTGGATATGGGCGTTAATCAAGCGGCGGCATTGTAGAGCAGTGCAGCCGGATCTGATTGTGTCCGCTAACTGAAGGATCTCAAAAGGTCAAAACAGTTGTTTTGATTGTGCTTTTTGATTTGAATGCTTAACCAATTTAATGTTGATGGGAAGCTTTAAGAATTAGTGTGCAGCATTTACTGCGTAGACGTATACTTGAACAACACTGCGAATTACTTAACATCATTCTGTACTGGAATATTATGAATTTTTACCGATAAGAAGCATTCAAGCAGGGTCGTTGTGCTGGCAATAACGACCATTATAAAATAATATTATGTGTTGACTGTATACATTGATAATTCCATGTGCATGAAATGGCGGAATTTTCTTGTGCATTATTAACAGAATACGGCGCTACAAAGATCACCAAGCTTTATATATAAGTTTATTCAAGTAAATGGTAAACAATCAACTAACCGTAGCAGTTACACGGGAATTACAGATATAAGCAGTGGAAAGCGCAGCTATTTCCTGAAGATAACAAAAGAAATATGACCTTGAGCATGGAGCAATTAGTTATAACCAGCACATTTACCTGGTTTACGCAGATAACGATTTATTAATCGACATATAAGACGATTTACGATATCTATATTACACTACGCAGCACATGCGCACCAGCACTCAGACCATCATATCGCTTAAGGTACAAAGTTTTTAATAAATCACAGATATGTTAATGGCAATGTTACAAAATTATGCAAAAGATCACAAAAAATTTCAAAATTATTTCAGAATTACTTCATCTGTCAACATTATAGAATTGTTCAAAATATTTTCAGTTAGCAGTCTAAAGTGCATATTGTGTAACATTATTAACTGTATCAGTATGGTTGGTGTGCCCAGTCGGCGGATAATTTTAAAGGTCGTTGTGTATACTGCACCGCTTGCTTGCATGGTTTTCTATGCGCGGTTACAGTATTTGCAGGTACGGAGGCGCATTAATCGAGCAGATACTGCAAATTAAACCAATTAATTATGACAAAGTAATGGCAAGGATGGTCATTGCTTCCAGCTTTTATACTCATTGACATAATTTCCACCTGCCTTTACGCAGCACAATCGGTCAATTTTACAGTGCAAAGTGTTTTTGATAAATCATCTTCGGACACCAAAGAATCTCCGATGACCCTTGCGAGATGCGCGATGTGCCCAAATGAAAGCAATAACATAATATAGTCCGCTGATATTGCTCACAGACTTTCTCTTTCTTTTGGGGTTGCCTGATGAAAAGATCGCGTTTCAGTAGAGATTTCACTGATTTACCTTGTAGTTATCATTTATTCAAATACACTTCTTATAGTTAGTGAATCTCTTCGTTTTTACATAGTTTCGAACTTTCGCCCAATCTGCAGTTTATTGTACACCAACCGAAAACCATGATGTTCCGTTTATCCTCGCATTGGAATGCCTTTCTGCTTTATTTATTTGCCTTTTTAGGTAACTGTCCTTGACACAAATGTCAAATTTGACTGCATATGTTTAACTTTTATTGAAAGAAAAAGCTACATCTGCGGTTTTTTTAGGCATTGCAGCCATAGCATTTATATATATGTATATATATTTAGATTATTGAATTTTGTTTAACTCAACCAAAATGTTATAAGTAGTGCAAGCTTGTTAGTCTGCACTACGTAATCAACGAATTCATCCACCTTTAGGAATTAGTCAGTTTTAACTTTTAAGTAATTAATCGTTATTCCTATTTTGGTAAACCGTTTTTTTTTGTAGGAACGATACTAGCTTATGGAGAGGGGCCAATGGGGATGAACAGTTACGGTGGGGGTGGCAGTATGGGAGGTTACGGGGGCGGCGGCGCCATGGGAAGTTACAGTGGTGGCGGCAATGGTTATGGCGGTCCCTATAGCAATTACGGTGACGATGGCGGATGGATGGATGTGGGAAAATTGGACTGGGGCCCAGTATCACCAGTGCCGTATTGGCCGCTACCGGTGCGTATCTGCGTAGTTTGGGATTAAATGGTTTTTACTTTTTACCAGTACAAAATGAGGATGTAATGGTTTGCAGACAACACACAACGTATACAGTATTGTACTACTTAATTGCAATTGAATATGCAAGCGGGCAAGCCGATCATCGCCTGTCTGTTATCGCAGTTTCTATTGTCTCCAAGGTGCACCTAAGCATGTTTATTTAATTTTGGCTAATGTTTTTTATTCCTTTATTTCCTTTTCCAGTTTTTGCCACCTGCATGGCCGTTGTTCCCTAATCGCGATTTCGCCTATGGTTACTATCCATTTCCCTTCACATGGGGCTTTCCTGGGTACTCTCGTGGTTTCTATGGCGGTTTTGGAAGGAGCGGCTATTAACAAATTTAATTGAGCTTAATTAATAAGATCTCCACAGTATGCTTCAATGATGTTTGCACTGACAGTTATTTTCGTTGTTACCGTGATCTGAAACATAAATATATGCCTACCGGCTTTGCCTAAACGTCTAGTTGGTGCGTATGTAAAACCTTCTGTAGCGTGTTTAACGATGAGTTTTATGTAAATACCACAATACTTTTGCTGATTGCGGATTTGCGGTGATACTTTGCGTGAAATAAATTTCGCGGGCCGAAGTACATATGCTACACTGTACAAAACTATAGAGCACACCACCACCAGTATCTACAAAAAAGCCATCTACGTGCCGATTTATTATTGCAGTTCAAGTTATGTAAATAGTATTTATTAATTGACAATCTGCGTTTCCGGAATCCGGATTTTGTTATTGCAGGTTTGATTTTTCCCGTTTCTATGTACTTTCATTTGTTTATCAAAAATATGCGTTCAGCGTGCACTGGTATGAGACATTGCTCACATTTCCGGTTCGCTACCGGATTTTCACCCAAATCACGAACCTGACCTTTGGATTCACCGTAGCCTACGTAGGTAAACAATTTCTCATCACATCGAAGCATACGAATATCCTTTCGCTTGGCACAAACCGCAATGCAGCGTTATCAGTTAGTAACTGACTGTGCTCCAGTTGTAATTTCACAGGGCGGTCGTCAAGGAGGCATTAACTTTAGGTCGTTTCCGCCCCGTCTTGAAGACGCTCGCAACGCCAATCAGTGTTTTTGACGTAACATGTGAAAATTTCAGCAAGAATAAAAACCAGTTTTGATGTTGGTAACGAAACTTCATTTGATCATTCTAGCACGCGTTCTATCGCCAATTATGCATATGTTTGCATTAATTTCAAAAACCTTATTCACCTGGAGAACGTGAAACGGTGGTGGTCCAACGTGAATGCATAAGTTCATGAGTGCAACGGTGCTAGCAAATTTTTACGTACTCGTTCGCAACTTTTTGTTGCGACTGTTGGTGAGTGTTCACTCGTTCTGAGTCTCTGATTATTGTCTGATTGCCGCCGGATCCGGTATTGTTGCAGGCAGCAGTTGTTAATATGAATATGCCGTGGTGGGAGCGCGGAGATAATGGAAACAGTGATTTGGTGCATCCTGCGGGTCGGGTGAGTCCTAATGTTACTCAGGATCCCGTTTTCTGGGTTGGCATTTTTTTACGGATCGACAGGTGGTTTTCCCTTGCGAAGGCCTGCTTGTTTTGTACTACAGTAATCTAATAGCAGATGTGCATTTAAAATTTTATTTTCTGCGCTGTTGGATTGTAAGAATTTTCGAAAATGGCTTCTATATGCTCGCTCGTTAATGTTTGACTGATTGTGATGTGATTGTACTCGTACATGCATTTTTGTTGGATTTGTGGTGTTTGTTTACTTTAAATTTTAGATATCGATTTTGCCTCACATGTCGTGCAAAAAACAGAGAAAACAGTTAGCAAAAGTTTTTATATAGATTATTAAAATGAAATCAGATTGGAAAATGAATGTTAGGTTGTTTTGACGTTGTTAAGACAGTAAAGTCTATTTGCATAAGTAATTTGCAGTTATAACTAATTTTACGTTTTGTGGGTAGGCTTTTCATGTTGTAGGCTTTTGAAAAGCATACAAGCAAAACGGAAAATTAATTTTTTTATTTTCCGCTTTTATTAATTCTTTGCAAATGCGAATCAGGTTTGGCTATCACGTATTCCTGATCACAGTGTCCGTGAGATGTCACACACACTTAAACCACACTAATAACGAATCAAACACAAAATCTGATTAAGAGAGTCCGATCCCTGCTGATTAGGAAATCAGCATATTTTTTCAAAACTGTCTTCCTTCCATTAGACGTGCATTCATGGCGCTGAGCTTGGGCTGGGCATTTAATTAACAACAAGAGTCTACCGCGCGTGAATTGCTTATGGTTAAGAATCCAAGTAGACATTCAGCGGCGCTGAAGTAGCCGCTTATTAATTTCACCACAGAACACCGTTCGTCCGACTGTTCTTTTATATGCGAAATGGAGTTTTGATTTTTCATAGCCTGCAGCAGAAAGTGATAAATGGGTGCTAGCACGCGATACCAGTATGGAGCACGTCGTGTATGAAGCTGATTCATGCTGTTGTTCCTCGAGGGTAGCGAAATTTCGGTTGGGTTAAGTTGAAAAACCACCGACAATATGTGCGGATTAGTTTAGTCCATAATCAGTGCACTAGCTGATTTTTTTTCCTTTGGTTGGCGTGAATTTTTTGTCTCTTGCATCATGGGAACCGAAGCCAATACCGATCCATATGGAATGCGCAATGTATGCATTAAGCGTTGCAGACGTTTTTCCTTTTAATTAAATATTTATTTAGTTGCGTTTTTTGTGATGATTTTTAAAGCTTTTTGCCACATGTGTAGTTTATTTTTGCAGGATCGCAATATCACTCCCATGGAACACCATGTCTCGCGCTCGACCAGAGGAAAAATTATGGGACAACGAGCAGGATTCCGCGGCTGCACCATTTGGTTTACCGGTAAGACTGCGCCATTTGATTATGCATTGTGAATGTGCGCCAGATTATGGCATGTTGCGGTAAATTAGAGTGGCCGAGATAAATCGGTTTATAGTTTGGCTGCGAGTAGATTTGATAAGTTTGATTAACTGGTAAGTACATAATGTTCTGAATGGAGTAGCTACGCTTGATCGGAAAAATCAAAGAAGTCATAGGATTAAAATTATAAAAACGGAACTAATTTCGACGAATTTGCCATGCAAGAGAATTGGTGGTGGAACGAAAAAATGGATAAGATAAGTCAGATAATTAAATTATTATCTGAATATTTTATAGGTTATTCCGGCGCTGGTAAATCCACCCTGGCGTTCGAACTAGAGGAATATCTGTGCCTGAAAGGCATCCCTGCATATGTATTGGACGGTGATAATATCCGGCACGGATTGAACAACAATCTTGGCTTTTCGCCGGCCGACCGCGAAGAGAACATCCGCCGTGTGGCGGAAGTAGCGCGATTGTTTGCTGATAGCGGTGTCGTCTGCATTACGTCATTTATCAGTCCTTATCTCAAGGTGAAAATCTACTCTAATTTACCGAACCGAAATAGCAGCGAGGGTATTCGTTGATTGCAGGACCGTGAAAATGCTCGGGCCATCCATGAAAAAGACGGGTTAGTCTTTATGGAAATCTTCGTCGATGCACCTCTCCAAGTGTGCGAGGGACGAGATGTCAAAGGGTTGTATAAGAAAGCCCGTGCCGGTTTGATTAAAGGTACATCGAATGCAAAGAAAACACTGGATTTGGAAAAATACATACATAAATCTTACGTGTTTTTCCTTTTAAGGTTTCACCGGAATCGATCAAGCGTATGAACCACCGGTCAGCCCCGACCTGGACATTAAAACCGCGGAATTCTCGGTGAAGGATAGTATCCAACAGTTGGTGACATCTCTCCAGGCGCGCGGTATCGTCCCGTCCAACACCGCCGATTACGTGCGCGAACTCTTCGTTCCTCAGGGTTTCCTCCCCGCCGCCCTGGAAGAAGCCGGACGTCTTCGATCACTCGCCATCAATACTCTGGACCTGCAGTGGGTGCAGGTGCTCAGTGAAGGCTGGGCGTCGCCGCTGCATGGTTTCATGCGGGAGATGGAATATCTTCAGTCTCAGCATTTTGACTGCTTGGCCAATGGACGTCAGATTAATCAGTCGATCCCCATTGTCCTTACGGCTACCACCGAAGATTACGAAAAGCTGAAAAACGAAAAGGCCATTGTGCTGCGATATGAAAGCAAACCAGTGGCGATCCTACGCAATCCAGAGTTTTACGAGCATAGGAAAGAGGAACGCTGTGCCAGGACTTTCGGCACTACGAATCCGGAACATCCGTATATCAAGGTTGGTTGTGGTATTAACTATTAACCGTTTCGCGTTGAGTTTCACTTTAATTCACAAGTCACAGCGTGCAGGAAATAGACAATCTGAAAATCTGTGAATTTAATATTTTACCTAGTTTTGTTTATGGGATCTGCAAAATCCAGTCTTTTTCGAATTTTAGTAGATCGACTTATTTTTACAAAATACAAAAATTCGTTTTGTTTTTTTTAGCTATTATGTAACGTTAAATCACTTTTTAGAGCGAAATTTCCGTCTGGTCGATTATGACTAAGCTTAATTAAGCCGGTGGCTAGCTTGATTTTGGCTCAAAACCGATGTAAATACTCTAGATGATTATGGCAAGCGGTGACTGGCTGGTTGGAGGCGATTTGGAAGTGTTCGAGCGTATCCGGTGGAATGATGGGCTAGACGAATATCGACTAACGCCCAACGAACTCCGAAAAAAGTTTGCAGACTTAGGGGTAAGATTACATACCACTTATGCAGAGCATAAATCAGTGGTACTGGAGAGAATAAACCTTGTTTTGTTCGACTGTAGTCTGACGCGATCTTCGCTTTCCAACTGCGTAATCCTATCCACAACGGGCATGCCCTGCTAATGCAGGACACACGGAAAACACTGGAGCAACGCGGACATAAAAATCCCACACTTCTCCTGCATCCCTTAGGTCAAAATTTTGTCACAACAATGTCATGTTCTTTGTTGTACTTAATTGTGCAGTCATTCGTAATGTGGTTTGCTCCAAACCTTGCCTTTTGTTCATGTTATTGTTAGCCTTCGGGGTTTTCCGTACATTTTATAATACTTTTTATTTTTTTTTATTCTTAGGTGGATGGACAAAAGACGATGATGTACCACTTGATGTTCGCATGCGACAGCATCATGCTGTTCTCAAAGAGGGTATATTAGATCCAAAGTCAACAGTGTTGGCTATCTTTCCTTCGCCAATGTTATACGCCGGTCCCACCGAGGTACAGTGGCATGCTAAGGCACGAATGGCAGCTGGAGCTAATTTCTACATTGTTGGCCGTGATCCTGCTGGGATGCCGCATCCGGTGACAAAGAAAGATCTGTATAATCCAACACACGGAGCAAGGGTAAGCCATAATGGCTTAATTAATCAAAGTACGTATTTGCTAATAATTTTAGCTACATACTTTGCATGCTTATTTGTAAATTTCTCTTGTTGGATTTTGTAATTATTCTTTGCACATGCCCGGTTTGTTTTCTCATTTCTGTGTACCATAATTTCGTTGGTGCACATGCGAATCGTTCCATCTTCCTACAGGTCCTAACAATGGCACCGGGTTTGAGCCAGCTTGAAATCATTCCCTTCCGGGAAGCATCGTACAATACCAAACTGCAGCGCATGGATTTCTTTGATCCCCTGCGGAAGGACGACTTCCAGACTATCTCCGGGACAAAGATGCGCGGAATGGCGCGCAGTGGTGAGGAGCCTCCGTCAGGCTTCATGGGGCAGGAGGCGTGGAAAGTATTGTCGGAATACTATCAATCACTTACAAAAAAATAATGCTGAAAATGACACCCGTTTAGTTCAGTTTTATTGTAGTCCATGACAGAGGATAAACTTAATATATATTGCGCTGTTGTAGAATGCTTTCCATGAGGTGTTCGGGTATCTCTTGAAATTTGTTAACGTGCTATTGCATTCCGCTGTTGCTGTTTTATGCGGTACGTTTTATTTTTTTGAATAGTTTGAAAACTTTTATCATTTTGCTTGTTAATGGGACCAAGCGCCGGTGAATTGTCGCTCAACAGCATGAATTAAAGCGGTTTTTGTGTCGTCGTGAAAAACTCGTTATTTTTATTCAGTATTCAAATATTCGCATTATTTAACTATTAGTTCCGGTGTTGCTTAATACTGCGCCGTACAAACAATTATAATTCGTGGTCAACTTTGTACAAGACGTAACTGCGCGCAGCGTAGAATTATCGGGGAACAATCTTCGTTAAGCATGGCTGTGGAGAAAGGTGTGAATTCTGAGCAGTCAGCTTATCGCAGAAATTAAATCTGTGATTAATGAGATTAATTAGTGTGACTTGGACTCCATAGTCCATGCCTCCCGTTTTCCTGAAAAGACCACCACAAATCGCTTAGGTGGTTTTCGTGTGCATAATTATTTCGGAAATCTTTATTAAAACATTAAATAACTGCAACTTACAAACTTTTCTGTGTGCTGAATGTGAGTGCGACCCATGCTTTTGAGATTTAAAATATTTTTAGTGCTCGACACTCGTACAGCAATAACGTAGCAGCATATTGTAGAGAAAAATTTCATGGAGTACAGTACAGATCAATATAGTGTACAACTGGTGTGAGCAGGTGTCGCGCACGCAGAGTAATTTATCTGTAAGATAAATTATAACAGATATACGGTAGATAACTGGAAACAGTAAATTAATTTTACCCTCTGGGCTGTGGTCAACGAGCGGTCCTTTAAATTGTTTATTATCAGCAGTTGTCTCATTTTGACTTCATTCGCTAGTAATTTATAACCGAGGCCACTATATTATTGCTGAAGCGAAATAGTGAATTCTCCAGGATGATGTTGTGTCTTCGACAATTTTTGACTCTCGGTAAGAAACGCTTGTGCCAAAACCGATTATACTACGTTTGGTTTGATGAAGTTATTATTACATTTTAAGCAGCATGCAGCATAGCTTTGTTAAATAAGCCTTATATCCGAGATTAACGTGACTTATTATTTCCATTTCAGTTCTACTTATAATATGCACTCTGCACTTGGATAGTATACAGGCTCGCCGAGCTGCAGCGCATTCCTCAACCTCCGACGCCAGTTCAGACGATGAATATACCTACAGTTCGCGATGGATGACCACAACGCACCGTCCCCGGCAAACTACCCGTTACCACGCATCATCCAGTAGATACGGGTCATCGCGATCAGTCTCAGACACTGGCTATTCTTCCCGTTATGGTTCTGGATCCAGTTACGATTCCGACCACTATCGAACGAGCAGCCGTACCGCATCCACCGGAAATGCCCGGCACAGCTCTGACTCCTATTACTCATCAGGCAGTGGCAGCCGCACTACAACCGCACCGCGATGGAAAACCACCAGCAGTCGTTATAGCAGCAGCTCCGGAGATTATTTCGGATACACAGGACGACCTAGCTCTTATCGACGAACGGAGAGCACTGACGGGTACTACAGCAGTCGCACGGGATCGGGATTAAGTTCATCGCGTTCATATACTGGTGGTGCAAGTGATTATGCCAGCGGGACAAGCCGCTACTTGGACGGTTATCGCACACGCGAAACGTCCCGGTTAAGTCGTATATCCCCTGGTGGAAACGATTACAGTTATAACTCGGCAAGCTGGCGATCCGAAACCTATTCTGCAACAACAAAAAAACCATCAAGCTTGGGAAAGGTCATGAGCTCTATTACAGGTATTTATTTTCAGTCATCCGGTACAAATATCTTGTAAGCGGTCTTGTAAGATATTTGTAATAACCGATTCTGATCGGTTATTAGCTGATCGCTATAGTAAATCAGTGTTCTTTCAGCTTAATATCAAGTATTTTTATGTGATTAAAAAATTAACGAGACGTAACGGAACGATTCGAATTAGTCTGTATCGGGTAATTTAATTACTGGTATACAATACTGCGATATTTCATGAACATTTCGTTGTAAAGTCTGTACGTATGTTATAGCGATTTATAACTGGGGAAAGCAAAGAAAAAAATTATTTTAGTAACTTGCATCAGCAGCATTGGTGAACAGATCAAATGCGTACATTCTTTTAATTAAGTAATACATTACTACCTTATTTATATTATTTGCAGGAATGCTGGGATCCTCGTCATCGCATTCTGGTGGCCATAAGACCGGCTCCTCGTCATCCGGTGCCCTTTCCTCTATCACATCTCTGCTGGGTGGTGGTTCCAGCAAAAGCGGATTGTCGGGCGGCTCGGGCAGTTCATCCTCCGGTATGAGCAAATACCTGATGCCAGCATTAACATTCGGTGGAAAGCACTTGGCCAAGATGGTCGCCAAAAAATTCGGTTCCGGTGGATCCAAGAGTGGCGGCCATTCCACTGGAGCGTTGGCCGCATCCGGTGCCGGTATCGGTAGCGTTGCTGGTCTGTTAGGATTCGGCCGTGGCAGCTCACATTCACGTCAGTCCGGCGGTTATGTGGCGCCGATTGGTCCAATCCCGGATACAAGCGGTTACGCGGATCCGCATGCGCGAGTACAGCCACCAAATCGCGCGGTTCCTATTGGTCAACCGATTACGACGACCGAGTCCGTCCCGATTATGACACCGGCCATGAACGATCGAAAAGTGGTTCCATTCATGTCTTTCACCAGTACAACACATGCACCAGAATCACAGCAGGAAAATCACAACATTGACCCGTGTTTACTGGTGCAGTGGAATTACGAGTTTAAGTTTACCGAATTACCCAATTTGCTCGTGGGATTGATTGCGAATGACAGCGCTTCTGGAGAAAGTGTCCAGGACAAATTTAAGTAAGCGTGCGAACTGCAGTAGTTTTTTAAGGTACAGTACATCATGTACATGTGTATACGCACAGCTAAAAAAAGCTCTTGGTTGTGATGCAGTTTTCTTCAAGTTTTCGTGGCGATGATAGCGGAAATGTCGGAGACTGTGGACATCGACCATTCGGAAGCGGTTTTCCGTATTCCAGAAGGCTATTCGTCGGAAAGGTGCCGGCCGAACGGAGAACGCGTTGCCAGATCGACCGCGGATGGTTCTTTAGCGACACGATGCGACATTGCTCGTCGCATGCGCATGACGGTATTTCTTGACCCCAGTTTGATTACAGCACTAGCGCTCATCTATTGTTAGACTGATCGCAAAAATTTATTTTTGCAAACTTATTTTCGAAAACTGATCTAGCGAGTTGATAAAAAAAATTCATGTGCTCATTTTAGCTTCCGGAATGCCATATCGAGGAGAATCCAACCGAACGTCCACTAGAATGGACGTTTACCACCAGACCTGTGCACACCGCAATAGAAGGCCTGCATTCAGTTTACCTCAACCCCAACCGCAGCACCAACGATTTCAAAGGTATTATTTATGTACTTTCAAAGTTTTTGGAGTAGTTTGAGTTGTTAAGCGGGTGAAACCAATAACCGTAAAATTAATTGTTTTTATGATGCTAGAACTGGTTCGGTCGGTGAAGAATTGTTATGCACATACCGGAAGGCCCAGATACGAGCAGCAACATTCGTGCCTGGACTTTCACATTAATCCGGAAACGATATTATCAAATTTGCCTCCAGACCACCATAATTCCCTATTTGGAAATAAAGACGTGTGTCGGTAAGTTAACTCTGCTAAAAATTGTAGAAGATTAATTGCTTGATGAACCTTAATCTAACAGCATTACTTTATAGTACTAACCGGTGGGTTCAGAACGCGCTTTGTACAATACTTATAGCTGGGTATACGTATTTCTGTTGATAATAAACATTTTGCTGAGGACAAAATCAATCTAAAATTAATAATTCGCAGCACATTGCTTATTATTTTCACAATAATATTAGCCTTCATATTATCATTCGTACTGTTGATGTACAATTCAATTACTTAATAAGTAATAGCGTTTTGCAGTCAATTCCTGAACTTTGATTTGCTTTCTTGTGCAAACCCAAATCCAGTGGAGGGTGATGACGCAGATTGTTCCATTGATGACCTCTTAGTGATCAACGCATTTTCAAGGAATATTTATTTGTGTTCCCATGAAATTGAGCCAGAAATGGTAAGCGACTATTACTGCATTGATACAGGGAGTAATATCAAAGAGTTCGCAGAAATACTCGCACTTGTCACTCGTAGTGTGTAATTTTAGAACTGCAAAGTGCTCCATAGAGCATCCATGGCATCCATGTTGACTGTTTTCGTTTTTTTACAGATCGAAGCCATACAGAGACGATTTCCACCGAGTGACGAACAGTGATCCCAGAAAACCTCAAACTGAAAAAGAGAATTGCGAGTACTTTTCTGAGAAAGAAACGTTTTAAATCTTGATTACATTACAAATAACAATTAGGCTGTATAATGTATATACAGGGCATAAACTATTCGTTAAAGGTACGTAGCCGATCAAGTTGTACGTTCGCACAAATACATAACTGCTTCACATTTGATCGCGTTCACAATACGTACGTACGAGTACTGAATTGAATTTCACACATCCTGACCTGTCCTCAGTGTCCTGCATCACTTATATCTTGTTGTTACGATATGATTAACGTTAAAATGTTAAAATAAAAATTATTATAAAAATAAGATTTATTAATGTTAAAATAAAAAATTAGATGTTAAAATATCAGATAAATAATAAATTAATAATGCAATTAGACGTCGCCATATGATCATATCTATGGAATATACCTCATAGTCAGTAGCAAGAACTATTAGGCATCGGAATTTACTCGTGTAACACGTACAGGAATTTGTTCGCTTGCTAATTTTAAATTACTTTATTCGTACATATGCCGAATGCACAACCGTATGGAGTCGCAACCGGTAAATCTACAAATTTGCATATTTATATTTATACTGAAATATATATAGATATACGTAGTTACATAACTTACACTCAACAAGAAAAATAAACACACCTAAACTGCTTAAATTTTAAAGAACTTTTTCGACAGTTTTCCGTGTATCCTGCAGTTCAACGATCCGACATCTGGCAGCGGTATATATCAAACATTTATTCATAACAAATTAACATTTATTCCGTTCTTTTCATAAATATAGATATACTGTATAGTACACGAGATCACCGAAAAATGATCCACCCCTCATTACAAATCGAAAACATTTTTACCGTTAAATTCGGACACACATCATATTCACAGATATCGGCAGACAACAGTTACGGAACAAGGAGTGCTGAAGGTACAATACAAAGTTAATAAAGGCCATAAATTATTAACATGTGCTGTACACTGTACAGACAGTACAGTTCCCACTATTCAAAGATAGTTACTCCGCCTGGATCATCGTCTTCCGGATTGAAACCCTCGTCGAGAATTTCTATGCCGCCTTTGGAACGAGTAAACAAATGCCATCGATACCGGTTGTTGAGCAAGCAGGCCAGGCCGATGATTATCGACAAGAAAACCGCAACGCCACCGATAACCACGTACAAATATGCTGCAAAACAGTAAAGCATAAGTGACGAAGATACTGTAACTAAGTACAGTAACCCACCGTGTGCATTACGAGCAGGTAACCACAATTTTTGTATCGCTCCTTTCAATATATCAAAAAAATAATGATTATATTTATATAACTTCGCACTGATTTCGACCACTTATCGTTTATGAAACGATCTTTGTAATAATTATACGGCTCCAAGTGACCAAGTCTCGACACTACGCAATACGAGACCGGAAACTGAAAATAATGACAGGAGAACCAAAACAGATAAAATTATGAATTCATGATAGAATATGAAATTATGAATCTACCATAAATATTTGAATCTACCCTAAATATGCAGGTACTGCTCAAAATCAACAGTTAAATTACACAGTTCACACCTGTCATGTTCAAGTCATTTAAGCCAATGCACTATGCTACCATACTGTAGTCTTTGAGAGAAGTACTGTAATCGAGAGTTTTTAGAAATAAACCATACCATTTTGAACTGTCCGCAAAACTTCGATGCGTGGATCTGTGTCATTCATGACTTTTCCACTCCTGTGGAATCTTCAACATAGCTGGCAGCTCGGCGTCACAAATCAGGCTGCCGTCGCGTCGAGCAGAATACTCTATTGGTTGGACCGATACGCAGCTTTGGAATACGCAGCTTTGGTAGGACCGATACGGTAGTAAGGCAAAATTGGCTTTGGCTTGGGCTTGGGTAAGGCTTTGGTTGGTAGCTAGGAATACGCAGCTTTGGTTGGACCGATACGGTAGTAAGGCAAAATTTGGAATGCTGTCAAAGCATGCTGAATGTCCCTTCAAAATAGAAGCTAAGAAGCTGCACAAAGAGTCCACCAGCTTTCCCAATTCCCGCCGGTTCCTGTCAACAACGATCGCAACTCGATAACAGAGCTAGGAAATAGGAACTCCAAAATCGCACACAGCAACCTGCTAAAAAAATAGCATACGCAAAGAAGACAGCAGAAGAGCAAAAGGCGAAAAATCTAAGCAGGAGTCAGTAATACTGCAAAAATAGCATACGCGAAGAAGACAGCAGAAGAGCAAAAAGGCGAAAAATCTAAGCAGGAGTCAGTAATACTGCAAATTTTAAAATTCCGTAATCTGCGCTGCTTCCGATCGGCATGCTTTTGCTGGTATGTCATTCCGTCTCACAGCGGATTCTTCGAGGCGGTTCACTCGGCTACTGGCCTAATACTGAGGCAACCGCCTCGAGTCGTCAATTAACGCTTGTACGCATTTCGAGTGCGTATGGCGTATCAGTAAGTACTTATGGTAAAGTGCCGATTTCCAACAATCGTTCTTTATAGTTTATGGTGTACTTTTGTTATTTGAGGTAAAACTTCGGTAAACCTCAGCGTATTTGTTGTTTAGTGGAATTACTTTTAATCCAGTTTCATCAGACGAACCCAGAATGCAACTAGAACACTTTCATGTTTCATCTTGCTTAGAAATAATTTCCACGGGTTTAGTTTAGACAGAGGCGATGGAAAACGGCCCGACGGTGTGACAGCATTCCCTTGGAAAAATGGAAAGCCGCTAGTGTGGGATGTAACCGTGGCGGACACATTTGCCCAAACGTACATCGCCCAGACGTCCAGGGTTCCGGGAAGTGCAGCGGAAATACGCGAAAACCGGAAGTTAGGAAAGTACAGCGGGCTGGCAGACCGTTATACCGTTCAACCGCTGGCGTTCGAAACTACAGGCACATTCGGACCACTGACCAAGAAATTCTTCAAAGAGCTGTCGAGAAAGATTATTGACAGTACAGGCAATCCCCGCTCAGGAGAGTTTTTACGCCAAAAAATTGGTATTGAAATTCAGCGAGGAAATGCGGTGTCTGTTCTCGGTACATTCGGCGACACGGTGGAGAGGGAAGATGTGTACTTTGCATTTCATTTAGCGGAACGAAAATGATGTTATGGTTTTTGTTAACTGATATTCTTGTATTACATTGTCCAATACGAACCTCATTAAATAGTGGGACGCACTGTAAAAAAAAAAAAGGTACAGAACTTTTGCATACATGCAAATCGACATTTTAGTGATATAAAACTGGCTCTGCTGTTCACCATCTGACGTAACGTTGTTCTTGTTGTCGGAAAAGGATTATAACCATAGAAGGGTACCTTATTAACTGATCAGTGATTAGATATCAGACCTGCATAAAGCAAGGAACTGGCAAAAACAACAATAGTTGTCAGTGTAACAATAAACAACAACAAGGATAAAGCAGACCGCAGTGAAAAGTGCAGTCAACAGACAGAAATTATTCAACCGACATTGGTTCGCCACGGTTCACAGCCGCGTTATCTCCTCCTGCCATACTCTGATCTTGACGGTGAAATAAATACTCCTCGGAATGTTTCTGCAAATAATCCGCCGATCTGATTTCATCAATGAATAAGTGATATGCCTTCATGATGTCGTCCTTGTTGATCTCCATGGCCTACGAGCGAAATACAATCAATTAGTTAATGTTGCTTAGGGTCAGCGCGCATCCACGCCGAACTAAGATAAAAACGAGCCGTAACCCGTACTAAAAGTAAAGAAGTCAAGCTCCACATGAGCGTACAAGCGACGCTTATTCTCATTAGGCGAGAAGTGTTACAGTGCACATCCACACAATCAAATGACCCAAGCGAACTCACCTTTCTTCTCCTGCACAGTACTTTGGCTACCATGATCAGTTGCATGGAATAGCGTAGCGACGCTGTGCTGGCTGTTTCTGCTAGCATCTTCAACGCGTCTTCTTCGATGTTGGCGTCCTCTTCCTCGCAACTACAGGATAAACAAATTGCAATGAATGTCTGTCTATAATATCGTATGCACGTTCGTCTCTCAAAAATCTAACATCGCCACTAACCGAATTTTTAAGATTTCATGTATCTCTTTTTCCGTGTAGGGTTCGGTTGAGATTATCAACGAGCGATCAAGCAGATCCACGGGAATGCCATGGGGACTTTGTTCCTTGGTGCCGCGAATTCTAAACCGCACAAAATACCGCACCGTAAATTGCAGAACTCTCAGAAACGTAAACACTTCGTTCTTCATAATAAATCACTTCAAAAACTGATGCTGCTATACGCACCGAGTAATGCCTCGATTTGTAGCCATTATGACAATGGGTGCGTTATCTGCTTCCAGCGCACGGTTCAAAAACGCGAAACACTCAATGGTCAGCATATGCACTTCGTCAATAAACAGAATCTATGAAACAGATAACACAAAAATATCAATTCTGTGCCTCATTCATGTATCCTCAGTATCCTCAGAAACCAGAACAAACGTAGTCATCCACATCGCAAGCGTTTACTCACCCCAGGAACAATTTCGGCTTTGCCTTCTTCTTTCCATTCTGCTACTTTTTGGTTGATCTGGTCTCGAACTTCCTGTTTAATTTCGCCGGTGTCACCTATAATATCATTGAAAGGTGTGATATGCATAAACAGATTAGCACGTGATTAAATAGAATTACAGACTTACAGTTAACCAAGAAGTATTTCTAACTGCCAGAAAAATCACGTTTGTAAAAACGAATGTAAAGAAACATGATTCTTACCAGAAAAAAAGGGCAAGAAATCCTTGTTGCCGACTGTTAATAACATCAATATCGTGAAGTGTCACCATGTGCGTGACTTCCTTGCGTTTCTGCAATTCACCATCGGGCGTCTGGAGGAATCGTGTTTGTGCACCTTGGGCATCATAGTCCCTTGCTCGGACGAACGAACGTCCCAGTTTGGCAATGCGTCCGGTGGCCTTGTCGATGGTGATGATGTCCCTACATATATTGTTAATAATTATGTAACGACGCATAATTTAACGTAAGAATACCGGCATCCTGCACGTGTTGCGTCTTGACGAAACAGATTCAAGCGTACTACAGGGAAATTTTGATATGACTAATTTTAAAAAAATTTCGTTCTGAAATTCACCGCAAACAGTACGGTACTTTGGCTTCTTTGAATAAAATTCCGATTTATTAATTTGCAGCGAAGCTTGGCATACTAACCCGATACAATGCATTACTCAGTGGTTCCATCTGCAACCACCACAACCAGATACACTTACCCGGCAATGATATTTTCTTTGATGATAGATTCGATCATTTTTCCTCCGAGATCATAAACAGTCTCCATTTCCGTGGTCTTCAGCGTCAGACGGCCAGCTTTCGCTCCCATTCCGGTGGCTGGGCGTTCTGTGACCACTTCTACCACTTCGCCCTCAATAATTTCGGTTTCCTCTCTGTTTGCAGAGAAAGAAAATTTTTTGGGTATTATCGTATGTTGACAATATAAAATGTAAAGAGTCAGTAAAGAATTAATTCCAAAATTATTTACTTTATCCTAATGCCCACAGAACGACGTAATGACTGCGTCAGAGCCTCTGCGATGCTGATTTCAGGGGAGAAAATTTCACTGGCCGACATAAGCGTGACTGGCGTACCTTCGCCCATTTCCTTGGCCATGGCTGCGCAAAAATTGATAAATTTCCAATTTATTAACGATAAAGATAAACTAACAGTTTCACTTCGCATTACCCATGGCAAGAGCAGTCTTTCCCGTTCCTGGCTGGCCCGCAATAAGAACGGCGCGTCCTGTGACTTTTCCATCCTGCAGAATGTTCTCAACTCAAAATACAAGTGAAAAAGTTTCCTTTCGCCATAATGCAAGCATGGCAGTTCAGCGACGTACTTTAACCATGCGCACGATAAAGCCAGCGGCTTTTCTGGCTTTCAGCTGCCCCACAAGACCACCGGAGGTGGGACGAGGTTCCAAGTCATTGGTTAAACCGAGATTGCGGATATGCGAATGCACACCTACACAAATACAGATGATCGAACCACTCAGAGACCCAAGAACCAAAACACAGTATGTTGAAGTACCAGTGCGCTCTGTTCGAATTAACTCGCTTGACTTCGCCAGCTGATCATGCCCGGACTGCAAACACAGAAATGATATATTGATGCAACAGCTTCTAATTACTGCGTTTGCTCAGCGTAACAAACGGATCAGTAGGATCAGCGAAAGATCAAAAACTCACCAAATCCATCGCTCACTGCGTAATCTTCCCGAGTGTAAAATACGTCTGGGTCTATGATCACAGGGAGATGGAATTCACAAGCAGAGCTAAACGAGGATGCTAATTGAGAATGATAAAATTATTTCCCAATTTCCACATCACGTAAGAATCGCCACTAAGAAAAATCAGAACAATTTACGAAGTTAATTTTCACTTATCAAAAAAATATGAAAAAATCGTTCAGGCTCACCGTCACGAGTCAAGCTGCCGGGTACACACACGGATTTGAAGCGGTTCTGAACGTACTGGCAGACCTCAGCGGGTGCCGTTGCGACAGCCATTTAATACGCTCCGGTTACACCGGAAATTCGAACACCATATCTTCATGGCTCCTTGTGGTCATTTTCAGATCAAAATTCTGTTGATTCCAAGCCAAAGCGTGTAAAATAAGCGCTAATGGTAAGTGATAAATAGTAGCCAGTGTACTAGCCACTGGGCCGTTCGCTTTCATTCATCCCTTAAAATGAGCAAGCAGTTTTTATCTAGTTCAAACAAATTTATGTGCAGTTTTGACTGTGAAATTTGGTGCACTTCCAACCATTTCATCAAAATGTGAAAGTGCTCTAATAAAAATTAAAAAGTTATTTCTTACTACAAACCGTTTCGGTGAAACAAAAAGATTTAAAAACTGATTCTTTTAAGTAGATATATAAGTTGTAGAACTGTTTTGGGACAATAAGTCGAAAAAAAGAAAAAATGTCATATTTGTAGAAACAATTTTCCCTTATTGCACAAATTTTTTAACAATGTTGTCAGCGCCGAAATAGCTCAGTTGGGAGAGCGTTAGACTGAAGATCTAAAGGTCCCGTGTTCAATCCACGGTTTCGGCAATTTTTTTTTCCACTAGAAGTATAAATGTAGTGAATTATTTTTTGAGCACATATCCAGATTCTTGTCGGATTTAGTAACAGCTGCTGTCCAGTTTTTAATGGTAATGGTTTTTAACTCGACATTTTATTGTAAATAAAAGAAATTTTTCATGCAGTTGGTGTGCAGGCACAAAACAGTCGCATCTTTAGAATTCCAGTTTTGCATACGACAGCATGCCAAATAAAAGACATAAAAATATCTATAAAGTAGACAACCACCAATACCTCCACAATACGATACCAAAACAACTTCAGAAGGTCAAATATAAGAACTTCTCTATTATGCCAAACATATCCACCGTCACACTTTTAAATACAGACTATAATAAAAAGTTAAAAACTGTGCATTCACTTGTCAGTATCAAAAAACCGGCTAAATGCAATTACGAGAGCATGCGAAACACATCACATTTTCACAATCAGGGTTCACCGTAGAATTCACAAAACTTATAATACTAGCACCGAATAGCACGTATAACTTATAATACTAGCACCGTCAAACGAAAGTTTACACGTCACTTTGAGAGAGTACTGTACCATACGCAATCAGCATTACTGAGATATTTCAATGAGAGTGATTACATTCGAATACTGATGCGCCCAGTTCCTTTGAACGTAGTTGTAAACTGCTGAAAATCTTCGCATGATCCATGGACACGTCCGAACACCGCACTACAGTCGGCCGACGGCTTTTTCCAAGCGACTATCCGTACATTTCGCGTCAGTGTCCCCTCCATAAGATCCCATTCAAACCACACCGCTCCGGTGGCAGAATGCGACAGTACACTGCGTTCCTGCACAAGTTTCTGACTGAGCCCGAAGCGACCCATTCCCATGTGCTTCTTTGAGAATTCATTCTCGAAATCACCGAAGCGGATGTGATAATTTCCTTGGATTAACTCCTTCAACATGGCACAGCACTCGGGTGCCAAATCCGGTCGCATTTCAATGGTGAAGAAACCACATTTCTTTTTCCGTGTAACATCCCGACTACTGTAAAAATAATCAACGTGGCAAAACCAAAACGTCGGTGGTGGCACACGTGGTATTTTGATGAAAGCGGTGTCCGGTTTTTCTGTCGCGCAAAGATAGCGGAAGAGGTCTCTTTCCTCATTTCCAACAAATACTTCCTCCTACAAAGATGGCATAAATTATCGCAATGCAGCTACAAAAACACGTTAGAGGAATTTTGCACCAAACAGATTTATAATACTGTATGTATTATGTACTTTTGCATGAGCATCTGCTAGCTCCTTTATAGTGAACACTGGGAACCGAATTGAATCAAACAATGATCCCATGGATTCCCGCAAAGAAGCACCAGATTTTAAAGTGTTGTGTCTTGCCCAACTGAAAGAAAATCAGAATTCATGAGATATCAAAAATAATGCCAACATTGAGTACGCTAAACAACAATAATAACACTAAACTATGATTATTTCTACGCTTTTTCTACGTTAAATTTTTTTGAACATGAAAAGTTACTGAACACAAAATATCAGGCCCGTTTCAGAATTTTCTGCTCCATTTATTGTACAGCGTTTTATGTGTCATGTAAGTAAAACAAAACGCTATTCAACAACAGCATTCACGACACCACGTGAATCAAGATTCACTGATTTACCGGCAAACTTGTTTGTAAATTGTGGGTTCTGTTGAAGAAAGATGATCATGATCCAAAATCGTCCTCACGCATGATAGGGACAGTGTCAAAAATGCGTCACTTTCCATTACGTCGTCAGTATACTGCGCGATTTCCGCCAAAGCCAATATGGCAAGCTCGTCTTCTTCGATGCGCCTTGCCTATTAAGCACAGAATACAGTAGATCAGCTCGATCCACATGGCTTATAATCTATCACGATACACAGATAAAAATAGCACTTCGCGAAATATTTGAACGATAAATAGCAATGAAATATGCAGGATTAGTTGAGAAAATTCAAAACTATGATATACCGTAGTCATACAACACATAGACTGTGTACAGTCTCGTTTGTGGATGCTCAGCAATGACAAGAACGATCTTGTAAGTAAATTCTCTGCTGCCTTTTTGTCCACGATTTTCGATTAACTACGGTACCTACCAACCGGCAACCAGTAATTTTTTTCAAAACAATGTTGAATATTTTTGCAATTAACACGATCAAGGAATAATGGAGTCAAAGTACAAGACATCACCCTAACGAGAGGGAATCTCAGGTTACTACTATTAAAAAGCGATTTCTTGTGTACCAATACAGTACGTAAGCCACTGTGTCAGTACAGTATGTAAATACAGTAGTTGCCTATCAAATATCAACATAAGAGATGCCATTTAAGTACTGTACTCTACTCGAAGAAATTAATTTATTACCTGTTCAAGAATAAAACAGACGCGCTCAGTAGAACCACCAATTTCCAGCTGAACAAAATCCCGACATCGGCGGGCCAGTTTGTCGATCAAATACTTTTTGGCGCAATAAAGAGTGTCCATAACATTGTCCATCGTCAGATTGTCCGCTACATTATCACCGTAAGCGTAACTGCAAACGACACGCACAACGATTATAACTTTGACAGATGAGAACATTTCCCAAAGCAGAAATCACGTACCTAATTTAAAAAACAGAAAGCCTGACATAACAAGCAAATGTGAAAGTATTAAGTCTGCGACTTAGGTTTTTGCGGCACAATCTTTGCTCGATATTTCAGTTACAAGCGACGCATGCGAGGTATAACATTCTCAAACAAATTCATACATTTTTATATCAGTCAGAAGTAACAAGAACTTACTGCAACATTATTCTAAAAGCCGTTGGAGAAATGTCAGGAATTAAAATAATTTCGTCTGTCTGCGGAAAAGCGCCGTAAAACATTTGCTGGAACATGGAGCTGACCAAACCCAGAATGAATCTGCAAGTCCAAGCATACAGAGTACAGACTAAACGTTAAACTGTAAACAGTTATGTATAAATGGATAAATCATCTATACTGTCCAAAGTTATCGCAAACATTTTTATTCAAAGCACTGGTTCCAACCTACTTGTGGCAATTGAAGGTTTCCTTCGGTTCTCCGATGCCATTACCCACCAGAAACGTAACATCACTGGGAATTTCTGCATCAGGATGGTCGAAAAGGTAGCGTGTACGTTTTCGTATCTGCTTGCTGGAATGCCAATCGTCCTTTTTTCTCTTCCTGGACTCCGTAGACATGATGCGCGCAGCAAACTGAAATGGAGCTCTGCTATAAAAGAAGATGCACTTAAAAAAACAACTACCCTAGTTTAAATGAAGCGTTCAAAAGTGAAGAAACAAAATAGATCAAAAGGGTTTAAACCGACTTCAAAGATGTGGAGGATGCGAAAATGCCATTTCGCAATTGCCAGCTGAATTCTCACGACTCCCAGGCATGCGAAAAGCAGCGAACAACCTCGGTCAGACACGTAACCCGCTCGTGCTGGGGGTAGCTGTAAGTACTGTATACCAAGGAATAATACATACGAGTAAGTAGTTGGTAATTTATTTTTATTCGTCTTTGGATGTGGTTGGTGAATCTTTGTGAGCTTTTTTGTATTTTCTCAGTTCATTTTCTCGAAATAGTTATTTAATATCATAGCTTACCTTGAGTGTGGTTATTGAGGCTGGTGGCGGATTTATCCATTTGCGGTTTGGCTATGGATATGGACGTCGACAATCGGACTTACGCGGCTGGCGATGGCACAGCAACACCAAATTCCGCTGATGCGTTCTTCCAGATCCGTTTGATCACGAAATCCCCAAAGTAAGTTTGCATCCCGCACATACTAAAAGCAATTTATATTTCTACAAGCCGCACGCATTTAGACAGCTGCTGCATGTGCGACGCAGGATTATCGTGAATTTGCTGTTATAGATTCGCCGTTCCTGATGTCGCGTACTCTGTGCCGAGTTCCACGAGGTCGCCAGACTTGAATTCTCTTTTAAATCAGCTATTGTCTGGTAAGCATTCTCGAACTTCTGAGCGTCATGCTTTGTGAACATGCAGCCGGAGAAGTGATTGCCGAATGTTTGTGTAGATAATGCCGCAGAATGGACTGAAGTCCAGTTTGATTTTCTCATTGACGGAGAAGTTCTTTCGGAATCCATCGGAGAATATGCTGCCAAAAAAGCAGTTTCATCGGTAAGACTGGAAAACAGTAGATTTATTATGGGAATATTTTTGTAATTTTTATCTGTCCAAATATTATTCCGTTAGTGCTGTGGAAGCGCTTTCTGTCGGATTAGGTTTTAAATCCGAAATACTTGCGAACAGTTTACTGTGCAATGACAATATGTCTTTAGCTCTGAAAGTTTAATTCGGTATTTTTTTATAGGAAAGTGTTATATCGGTGGAATACATTGAGCATCTCCCCGCGCCAAAGCCCGACCAAAGTATCGAACATTCCGACTGGGTGTCCGCACTGCACATGTTAAACGATGTGATTCTGACGGAAGTTACGATAAAACCGTTTCTCTGTGGTCACGTTCCGGTTCACTTCTTTGCCGCAACGAATCCCATCTCTCACCTATTCGGGCCGTGACTTTTGTGGATGAATCCAATTTCCTGTCGTCCTCACATGATCAGACCGCTGCGTTGTGGTATTTGGAGAAGCAGGGAAAGAAGTTGTCCTGCCGACCGCAGGCGTTCTATCGTGGACATGCTGGTAGTGTGGACGGGCTGTCGGTGAGCCCCGATAAACAACGGGTAAGATTTTATAGGAGGGACTGGAACTATTGGTGATCAGGTATACTGTCCGCATATTTAGTAATTAACGGTCTCTTTCCGCTTACAGTTTTGCTCAGTATCGTGGGATAAAATGCTGAAGATTTGGTCTTTGACGGAGGAAGCAGACGAGGGAGTTGGTTCGGACGGCGAACCAGCCGACAAAAAGCAGAAGATTGATGGGAAAAAACTGACTCGGGTAAGCAAGATGCGCGCAATAATTATTCGCAGTAATTTCGCGCAAACGTAATCTGCGATGTTGTTTTTTCTGCTGTAATCAGTATCCCAAAATGGTAATAAATATACTTGTATCTGTATGAATTACCCAGTATTTCTAGTACTGCTTGCGTTCGCTTCCGGTTTATTTTGTTCTTTTGTAAAAATAATATTATCGTATTCCTCGCAGGTTCCGTTGATGACTTTATCCGGTCATAAGGAAGCTGTCAGTACGTGTGTGTGGACGAACCCTACCGAAATTATCACTGCAAGCTGGGATCATACGATTAAATTGTGGGATGTTGAGCTGGGAGGATTGAGTCGACAGATAGACGGATCGAAAGCCTACCTGTCCATTGCGTATTCACATCTCAATCGCTTACTTGTCACCGGCGCGACTGATAGGCTAATTCGCTTGTTCGATCCTCGATCTACGGGTACAAATTGCATAGTACATACCTATTGTTTCTCACGATGCATACAGTATTTTCTGAGGTCACGGTTGTACAAGAGTACGTATTTTGGAAGTCGGTTCGGAGTACATCTGCATATTGTTGACGTTGGTGGCTCTTAGATGACCATAAAGCGTATTTAAATTTGCTAAATCATAAGTGCGTTTTAATTTTCAGAGGGCTCTATTGTAAAAACTGGATTTTCCTCGCACATGGGTTGGGTGTCCAGTGTATCGTGGAGTCCTTTAAACGAAAACCTGTTCATCAGTGGATCTTACGATATGGTTTTGAAAATGTGGGATATACGCAGGTAATGTTGGTATTTTTTTACTGTATTTTCATTGTCCGACTTATTAGTCGTAACCACGACATTTTCTTTGCAGTCCAAAGAGCCCAGTATATGATATGGCAGGACACGCCGATAAGATCCTCTGCGCCTTTTGGTCGCAGAATAATCTGCTTCTGAGCGGTGGAGCGGATAATGCCGTTAAAGTATTTAATGCAGCTGTTTAGTTTGGTGTGCGCTGATTTTACAGTTTTAAATGTGAACACACCGCAACCTTTACATCTGGGCGCTGAACAAACTTGCTGTTTTTGTTGAACGGGGTTGCAGTAACGCAAATCTCGGTGAATTAAGATAGTGTGATTACTCTCACTGTTGTAATACGGGTTCATGGTTAGTTCTGTGAGCTGAATTCGATCCAAAGATTCCTTTTACCACCAAACTTAAAACATATCAGGCTGTAAAAACGTCTCCTTATTACAATTCAGCTGTAGCATGCCGGCCATGGCCAGCTATCGCTTTTTAGCATGAATACGCAACCGGCAAAGCAGGGTGTGCGGAAAATGAAAGTAAAAAAGACAACAGACGTTAGGATATCAAAGCAAAATTCATGTTATCCTTCGTATAAATGTTTTCTGCTTCCAAAAATTTGCATTTTCTCGAAAAAATCAAGATCCTGCGCAACTCAAGAAATTCACCGGTACATGAAGGTGTTATGAACCATGAAGACATGAACCTTCGAGCACAGTTAAACTGGTCCACTTGGCGCAATATCACATTTCTGTTGTAAGACACAATAGGGCATCAACATCAGGTTCAGGGGTATCTTTCGATGTTGACTAGCCGACAACTCAGCTGGTCCGCTATGGTAAACAACCGGCGAAGCCACCCAGTCGTTGAAAACGGTCAACAATTTTGCAGTTGTCATAAATCCTGATAATTTTTCAGAGTTGGTAGACAACTTGGCTCGGATCCGGCAAAATTGTCAGTCAGGTGTGGCATATGCATTCTTTGTTGCGCCTCGTCGTGAGCCCTGGAGTGCAATCAATTATTTATTTGAACATAAGCATGTTATTGTTAAATAATGGATCATAATAGATCATATGAGGTGTTTTCATTCTAGAATTTGCGGTAACTAGGAAAATTGCTAATCCGGTATACGTAGGAGTAAGGCACTTACGAGCTTTGGAGATAGGTGACGCAAAGCCGGTAGAACGCCGTAACGGCTGTGACAATCAAGAATGCGGCCCTGTAACATCAATCACCGTCAGTTAATGCCGTACAAGATATCGATGTGACACGATAAAAAAATAATAAATAACACTATTAAGCACAATAATCACTATTTACTTCGCACTAAAATTTACAAGGGCTGTTCGTCATGATCCTCACCAGTAAAAATACTCGCCTGTTTTAATCAAACCATAGTGCATAACTGCGAATACAGAAATTTTACAGTCTATAATTTGATACTGCATAGTGCATACTAAATTTTATAACTATAACTACAAATTTGCTCTTACATATATTTTTGCTACAAATATACCATCTATAATATGATATACCATCATCTATGATATACCATCTATAATACACTTACTTATTTGTAAGATCTCCGCATATGCCGTATTAGCAATTTGGCAGTACGACAAAGCTTAGAATTGATTAAGTAATGAAAAAGATTTGCTCAAGTACATTCACATTTCACGTACACTAAGGTCATGACTTGAATGATCCGTTTCCCGATGGCCGTCTCGGTTACCACACACGGCGACTGCGGAGGCGCCAGGTTGTTATACGACACACTAGCGCTGGTGTCGCTCGCCTGACTAACGGACCGCGAGTACGACGACGGCACGAAGCGCGTCGTGGACCGACTGGCCAGGGAATCCACTTCATTGGGATCCACTTCGGCGCAGCTGCACGCACTCTCCGGTACCACCGACAGCATCCGCTGCAGATTGCGGTTGAAACTGCTGGTGCGGGGCCGACTCTCATCCGGACTGGAGGAGCTGGATCCGGAGGAGGAGATACTGTGCAATGTCTCATCGTGGTCACCATGGAACAACGGTCCTTCGTCGGCATGATCGTAGTACTCACAATCGCCTTCGATTGTATAATGCGGATCCTGGACGGAAACGCGCCGGGAATCCGAGGAAATACCGCACAGTGAGCAGATGGTCTTGTAGACGGCGTTGCGCGAGAACAACTGACTGAAGACATACTGCCAAAGAGGAAATCAAGAGGTCATTAAGAGCCGGTGTGAGTGGTCGCTGCGGGTGACGGATGCCTGTAGTGTATGTACTCTATGTCATTCTACAGACTGCAAAGTGGTAATGTGATGAAAATTTGTTTAATGAGTTAATTCGACTCTTTCTGGAAGAGGAGTATTTAGGATGTCGATTAGAGTGCTCAAGTGATGTAATTGTATAGTTGATTTCCAGTTTCAAATGCACATGCCGGATTTTAAAAATAAATCTGTCGTAATCACTCGGACGCACAGTCACTGCGCCGCGGCAGTGCCGCAGTTGTATATAATAATAAAATTGTCCTCCTGAGAGGTGTGTTAATTTTAACACAATTCATTCGCTCGTTAATCTTATTGGATTATCGAACCATTTTATCATCTGGCTTACGCGGCTAAAATCTATTCACAAGGTGCCGCTTGACTGCGAATTGTGTGGTCAGCCTGATCGGGAATTTCCCCTATATATAGGCAATGCGTTTGTGGACAACAAAAATGTGACCGGCAGGATTAAATGTTATATTGTCATGTGTCAACTGTTAGCATCTGTTTGTAGATGCTTAATCTAATAGAACACTTACTAATGAACTGCAGAATAAAATTAAAGTGCGCGATAAGCAAACGCAAACAACGTGTACTGTAATTCACCGCCAAACGTTGGAGAACAACGGTCCGTATAAACCTCCACAGTTCAAGCCGGACTCTGTTCATATAAAGTGAATAACCCTAAATAACGAATGGCCAAAAACACCTTCGACATTTTATACAAAATAACTTTCACAAGAAATTTTAGAACTCCTAGCTATCCGTAACAGGCAAAAAACTGCAGCCTGTCAGCTGTATCATAATTCAAACCCATAAGTCTTAAACACTTAATTATGTCATAAGCATCGACATCTGCAGAGTGCAGACTGGACATCTTGTACAGTTTGTACTGCACCAGTTGCTATTAAATACTATCCCACTCTTTTGAACACTAATAATATTAATTTTTTCACTAAAAATACAATTGTATTTTTTCAATGTGGAATGTTACTAGTACTTACGAATCAGGATCAGTAACTTGTTAGGCTCAAGTTTTATATGCACGGAAAAGGTTAAGTGTAAAAATACGATGTACTACAGTGAACAGTGTACAATATTATTGCACACTCAGTAAAAAAACTGTTAGTTATGCTTATGTACCTTTTTGGATCCAACCGCCTCAATGAGAATACTATCCGGGAAAATGCTGAGTGACCGGATCTTGGCAACGCGCACAACACTCAGTACGTCGATGAGAATTTTTCTCTCACTTTCAGATCGCTTTCTTTTCCTGCGACTGGCACAATAAAATCCGATATGATTATCCGTTAAGTATAATCCACCATGTAGTGATTTCCTAGCGCTCTTCCGCCAGTTGCATGGAATATCTGTAAACAAAATTACCCAGCGCTTGTAAGATTTTCCCAAGAATTACTGCGCCCGCGTATATATACGCACATCTGACCAGATTCTCGTTCTTCACTTCGGGAAATCGGCTGCGGAATTTCAGTATCCGATTACTGCCATCCGTCGGTAGTTGACTGGCTGGGGGATTAACGAACCAAGCCATCGGTGCTGTTGTTGCTGGTTAATCTCTGTAACGAGTCCAATTAGCCTTTTTTAGGACGAGTTGAGGTTTTTATGGCTGTATTGTGGTTGCGTGCGCCACAGCAGCAACTAGACCATCACTGGTCTTCTGAGCGTTTAACGATGGCTCAAAATGGTCGTATATTCTGAGCACGACAGTGATGAAATACGGCATTATTGCACAGCAACGTTTTTCGGTTCCGGTTTAAATTCGTCCATTCGATTTCAGCGCCGGATCGTGCTGCGCGCTGGTGCAACATTTTGGCCGGCAGGTGTAAACGTTCTTGAGACCTGTAGAATTCTGTCAGTTCAGGGACACGCCATCATATTGAATAGTAATTTTTAAATTTGTATAAATATGAATAGAAAAACGCCCGGGGAATTTTCATTCGGTAAAATGGCGGAACAAAATGTCAGCAGCCATATATAAGCAACGTCTATCGTTAAATAAAGGTTTACACAACCAGGCTGTTATTTTTACTCCGGTTAATTCCGGCCGCACATACATGTAAAATCACTGGAAAAGCTAACTGCAAAAGCGTGCTACTAACAGCAAGTTTAGTACTGTACCATATGGCCATGTGAATAGTTAAAAATATTTTGCGGGAGATTGAGATATATTGTGCAAGTCAGAGTGGATCAAGATTACAAGACGCTATTTCCGTCAGCTGCTCGTCCAATGCCGGTCGCACGCGCACAAAGCAGCACATCGGCAAACCGGTTCTGAAGATGTCCTGTTCCTTTTAAATGCAAGTTTAATGTTACCATCGTGGGTGCAACTAATTTTTTTGTCGCATTAGAAAGTCCGCTAACGTAACTAAAGTCTGTCCGTTTGCACACGAGATCATGGGATTTAATAGTGCAACGAATTTGTCAAGAAACTGACGAAGCGCAGCATACTGAAAGATGTAAATCACAGTCATACGAATATAGTCAATATACGTACTCCTGTATGCGAATAGAAGTGTACTTTCTGCGTCAGTTTTTTATCTTCGAACTTGAAAAGGTGCCGAAAAATGATGTCTACACTGGTACAAACTGTAGGTTTGCGACACTCAGCGACAGTAGGTAAAAAAAAATTTATTGTACATAATTTCGAATATTCAAAACTATATATGCTAACAGAAAAACGATAATAACGTTTACAAGCTTGCAAAAAACCAAACGATAAAACGGAAACATAAACAACTCCAGTACAAAACTTTCAAAAATTTAAACAGAACCTGCTAAAAAAGACAGTACAGTACAGGTAGCTCGTAAATTTAAAATACGGTTGTTATTAATTTTGTTAATGTATGTTCCTGTAATTTTAGTTTTATTTTACAAAGACTGCCTGTGCCAATTACTTCATGGTTGGATAATAGATAGTGGCAAAATCTTACTAAACAAAACATTCTGTTTAGTAATATTATGAAAGTGGATACATTATCGGTAAAAACAAAGGTACGTGTATGAGAAGAAAGTATTATTGCTGGTGCCACTGCACTACCGAACTTAATCCCACCCTGTACATGTTTGGACCAATAGCCGTCAGCCGATTGACAGCGATTTCGCTATGTTTCTCTCAGCAGTGCGCAGGCCTTTTTTTAAATCTGTTTCTTTCTCACGTGATTTCCGTCGATTTACAGCGTAGACTTTCCTCTATGAGTGATAAATCGGATTAGTTTTTGATCTACAGTTCTCTGCGAAACTTTGGACTTTGCTTTATGGAGTAGTGTTTGTTCAAACTTCAAGAGTAAAGTAAACGCAAAGTAGATAACTTTCCACGACGCGTACTCTTCGATTCTCGTGATAGTAATTCTCTTCCAAACCAAAACAGTCTGCAGCGCTGTGAACTTGTCTTTTTGTGGTATACTACGCAAAATTACGTCATCGATCCTTGAAGCAGTTTCTGTCAGTTCATTGTGGAGCAGTCAACGAGTACATTTTGCTGCTATCGCGTATTTCACGGGCGTCACTTTATTTTTATTGATCCTTCCGCATCCGCTTTGTCCTTAATGCATCTTTTTTATCGCCACACTATTCCCTGTTGACATATTCGTTGCTCCACTCCATTAGTCGACGGCATTTTCCTGGACAGGACAGTGGGAGTTTATTTCTGGGAATAATTTCTTGCTCTTCTCGTATCTATCAGCAAGATGTCTACCGCTGCACGACGAAGACTTTTAACAGATTTTAAGAAACTCCAGGAAGATTCTCCTCCAGGTATTTTGTATTTTCCCTGCGAGATTTTTTGTAACTATGCCATAATTTTTATATTTTTCGTCTTTTTATTTTTACGAATCTGATACCACTTTTTTTGGAAATACCTGTTCTACTTAGAATTAGAATCACTAGCATTTTTTTTTTAAATTCAAGTTAATTTAACATCCATTATTGCCGCTGCTTGGAGCTGGATTTCTGCAGTTTTCCTCAAACTTGTGCAGTTTTTACCGAACATTGCTGTTCACATACATTGTCAGATCAATCATCAGCTTGTGATGCTATTCCTTATAAATAAAAATTTCTCCAGGGGTGAGTGCTGCACCTACGGAGAACAATATAATGATCTGGAATGCTGTGATATTTGGGTAAGCTTGTCTAATAAAGGGATTTCCACGGTGAATCATAATTATATTAATTAATTAATTAGAAAAATTTTATTACAGGCCTGCTGATACTCCGTTTGAAGATGGAACGTTCAAGTTGGTCCTACAGTTTACGGAAGAATATCCAAATAAACCGCCTTTAGTGCGATTTGTTTCCAAAATGTTCGTTATAATTTAGCTGTTGATGTCCGGTTGTAATTTATTCAGTTTTGTTGTATGACTTGATTTCAGGTTTCATCCAAATGTTTATGCGGATGGAGGAATTTGCCTTGATATTTTACAAAACCGATGGAGTCCTACCTACGATGTGGCTGCAATTTTGACTTCTATACAGGTAATTTCTGCTGCAGAATTACTCATTTTCAGTAGTAATTGGATAGCAACGTACTCCTTTGGATTAATAATGAAAACACGTACTTACATCGCTGAGGTGGTTGGTTTTATGCAATCAGTCTGTAAAAAAAGGGGTTTGGGACTTTTCTTTTTATTATTCATTCCAGTGTTTAAAGTAATTTAAATGGCTGCAGAGTACTTAATTTACTAGTCACAGATGTGAGAATTATTTTTTAGACAGCGTTTGGTATTCCGATTGAACAGTTATTAGTTATGCTGGAGCCGTTCTATGCGTTTTACAACGTTTTATCCCTCTCACGTTTTAATGCGAAAAATTTTGTTTGAAAATATTCCAACCTCTGGATAATTTTGGAAAACCAAATAAAATAATTCGGTTGCTGTAGAAATGGTGATACGTTGTAGCTGCAAGCGTTTAGCAGCCTCTTGTGAAATAGCAGGCTCGATGTAGTGCCACAGATCGACGTGGTACTATGTCAGCTTAATCCTCTGTGTTAGTTCGGAAAAATCGATTCCGTTTGACATTAGTCTCGTTGTTTGAGACTGCGAGCAGAGCTACATACTGGATCATGCGGAAAAAGGAGACCAACGCGCTGGGGTTTTTAATTTGAGCATAGAAGAAGTGATGGAATGGTTTGTCGCATCGATTGCATTTCTTTTCATAATTGGATGCGAGTCGACTGCGGCTCCATAACGACTAACCTTGAACAGGGACATTGCTGTCAGATGTTTCAAGTGGTGTACCTTGTGCTGTCGAACAGTTCTCCATATGTATAAGGTTATATTTTAAGATTTCGGATTCGCTCAATGAGGCGATGACACTTCTTTCCTTTGATATATTTTTATGTTGAATATTACACAGTTACTTAGTTTTTGAGGAAAATTTTCGGATTTTTTAAATTTAACAGTCGGACTTCATTTTCGTTTGCAGTTTCTCAAACCACAGTACTTATCGATGACGTTCTTTTCTGGTTTGTGCAGCGCAGGTTATTCTTTAGGTTTTTGCTTCCGGTAATTTGATCGCTTTTTTGGTCTTACGAATAGCATTTGCAAATGTTATCATAGTCTAAGTGCTTGCCCACGGCGAATCAAGGTTGTGTGGGCAAGCATTTCTTGTAAGCTATGAGTTCATCGGGGATCGTAAAAATATCGGAAACTTGCTGGGCATAGTGCATTTTCTTCGCCGAATCAGCTCTTATGGTTCGTAAATAACTGTCCATTTGATGCAAGTTTGATGCCTATTCCGCATTACTTTGACTTACGTTGACGCAGAAGTACAACTGGGATAAAACACGGCACGTGAAAAAGTTCCGTTGCCAAAAAGTTGGTTTAACTGCTACTGTTTTACTTTTGACTGCGTGCTAAATGCTAACTTCTGTAAACTATATGTGCACTGCTCGGCTCACTATTAAATTTTTGAAATATTTGTATACATGATGACATGGTCCATCAGTCGCACTTTACTATCTGAATTTTTGTTAAATTTTTTTAAGAGACTGAAAACCGGATAAAGAGCAGTGAGTCCAGTGGATCTGGAGTGTTCAAAATATATTAGAAGCGCCACGACAATCAGTACGATTTAATATGAAATTTGTCTGTAACTGGATTATTGAAATTTCGTATTTTGCTTGTCACCATTGTTATTAAAATCCAATTCGTTTAGCAATCTTATCAGGCATGGTTCTATACGGCATGAACACTGACTGCATTTTATGATGCCGTTATGCTACTATACGAAGGTTACGTATTAAACAATAGGTCGTTATCTTCTGTAGTTTCGTCTCTGTGGTGCAGGTATCTTTCCCTACCGAATAGAGGTAGTTGAATTACACAGTTATTCTGGGTTATTGGTGCTTTATGTATGTATGGCGTAATCTTGTGATACTGAATATTTACTTATTGACGAGTCAGCGATGTCGTTCTAAAGTAGTGAATTTTTTAAAAACTTTACAGTGGAACATCCAGCAGCCTTTACTTCGCATGTATTTAAATCAAGTGGATTTGTCTCCTTGTAAAAGTGGTCGTGTAATAAAGCATGTTTTAAAGAATTAATGACGAAAGAATAGTGCTATGCTGCAAAGTGTTTGTTGTTTTCTCGGTGCTAACGTATGTTTGCTTTTGCAGTCCTTGCTGGATGAACCAAATCCGAACAGTCCAGCTAACAGCCTTGCCGCGCAATTATACCAAGAAAACCGTCGGGAGTATGAGAAAAGGGTCATGGCCATCGTAGAACAGTCCTGGGTGGGGTTCGGTGAGGAGGAGGAAGGAAAAGAGCAAACGAAAGCATGAATTCGGCATTTGCATGGGACGGTGCGATGGACTTCTTTTTTCTACGATGTTATGGTAACGGTTTCACATAGTTGTCGGCACAGTTTTTCTCTCTTGAAACTGAATTATCTCTTGGATGCGTTCTGACCTTTTTGATACCGGCTGCGAGTATTGATATTGTGATGCTGATCGGACAACTCTCTGGATGTAGATGATGCTGAACTGTATATAGCCTTTGTGATTGTGGAGTTCTGCTGGCGTATTGTATAACAGTATCTACGAGTTTCCTGTTCACTTTTTGACAACTGGGATGAAAATTCCGCGTATGTTACGTCATAGCGAGTTGTAGAAGAATTCGTCTCAGCTGCATCGGATAATGATATAAAACGTGATTATGTTTAAAAGCGTGACCGTTTATCTGACTGAATATTGCTGTATGCGCTTAGTTTTAATTGTCATCAGAGTTGACTTGATCGAGGTAAGTATTTTATTACAAGCCCTTCATCCGATTAAAAGAGCAAAACCGATGGATCGAACAAGGAGCGCACAACATTGAATTATTGTCTTTCGCGGGAAATGAAAGTTTTTGCTTGTGTCTAAGTAAATCAAAATATAGATATGATACTCGTACAATAAACTGTAGAAAGACGAAAGCTTTTTCTCCCAGTAATTTTAAATCTCAGGTTTCAACAGCACATACTAGCAACATAATCACATCAACATTTACAGCATGAGGCACTTTTATGAAAAATCTGGAAGTAGGAAAATGGCAGGAATGCCTTCGGCCTCAAAATTTTAAGACTCGGTCACTCGTATGGAGACTCGATTCTTTTCTCCGAGCAGCCAGTAAGTGTTGATGGACGGCTTATTGGGCATTTCCAGAGAATGTCGGAATTCTACATCAAAGGTATCCGGAAATTCATCCAAAATCTTTTTCATAGTCTCACTTATTTGAATTTTGGAAGCTGTGCAAAATGACAAACTGACTTCAACATCATGAAAATTAAACATGCTTTCAATTAAGCGAATACCTACGTTTATGCTTTTTTGGGCGCGAAGAATGAAATAGTAATCTCAAAAATTATTTAAGAAAAATAATATGGTACCAGCTTTTAAGTCTTATTATTGTCAGTTTCCTGTTTTGTGATGATAAATGCAAACAACATTCAAAAATTTATTATTGCAGACAGCTATAGTCGGTTCGGTTTAATAATGCAGTAGGTGTATCGTACTCGTAGTCCTGCAAGACTACGTACTTGATATATCAACAATTGTTGATATATCAAGTAGCAGCTGTTGAAAAATCTGAACTTACGCTGGCCAGTGGATTCCATTTTGTTCGCCATTTGAACAGTTTCTCCAAACCTACCATGATTACACATTTGATTGTTTTCTTCACACCGACATACATTATTAAGTAAATTGCCGGTTTCCGCTTACAAGCAGTAGCGCGGCATTTTGACCCCGACCACTCCTGCTGCACAGTATCCTGAAATTTACAACGATTCAGTTTACAAGTAATTTGGGATAAGTATTTATTAAAAATTAGAAGGTGCGGTGAGTCCATAAGTGAGTTGCGGTACATACAGTATACCCATAAAACACATATGCCGCGATATTACATGTTTTGTGATATGCACAACGCAGTACGTAGTACATACTACGTACACACCGGCGTTCGTATACTCGCCACTGGAGCTGTTTAGAACTAAACATAGCTTTCTAAAAAATTACTTATGTCGGCCAGTAGTAAACTTTCGTTTCATAACTAAAGAGCGTTGCAATGGATCACACCAATGTTCAACAAATATTAATTTTGCATCTTGCGTAAAAATTACACGTATTTATTATCTTGAGTTCGAAGTTGTTTCTACAAATCACCGGCTTAATAGTCATTACTGTATATGGACCTGAATGCAGGCCAATACGTAATTTCAGTTCATCATTGGGCAAGTGGCGGATTTTGAATTCCGCTGTGGAGTGACGAAAATTCAGTGCTAGTCTGGCAATTTCCGGGAGCATGACGATTGTCGTTGCGCTTGGGAACGCCGCTGGCAACGACGTATGCGTCACCAATTGTTTCTACCTGTAAATGACAAATACTGTATCGTCGGATTTTGTAATCATAAATTTTGACATCTCTAAAATCCAAATCGACGTCATAACAAACCTTGGGAAAGTTGTTTGACTTCCTCAGTAAAGAATTATATTTTTCCCAATTTTTCTTTGTTGACTACGTATATCTACGATTTCGAATGGTGCGTACCTTGTATGCATCGTAACCGGCAACGATCCCATCAAACACCACATATCTACGAAGAATAACAATATTGTACTGTTGGGTGGCACGTCCTCAAAAACTAAACGTAGGATTCTTAGTTTAAACTTACAGATCATTCAGGAGATCGACAACCTGGAATGCTGTGCTTTTTTGCAGAAATTGTGGTAAATCCTACTATATCGCTGAAGTATATGGTGACCTTTAAGAACCCGGCACCGCTTTAATAAAATTCGTATGCGTAGTTCATATAATATTACCTATATATTACACTTCGATTTAATGCGAACGCCGAACTTAGTTATTTACCATTTCGAAGGCTTCAGGAGGAACCTGTTGGCCAGCCTTTAGTGCATCAGCAACGGCCCTGTAAGATAATGTAAAACCGTTTTTGACCTTCTTTAACAACGGAAAGTTTTTAAAAATCCTTTACTGGAAAATTCACTTACACTTTTTATGAAACAGAAGTTCATTTTCCTTCATTTTAATTTTATTTGTTCTTGTGCAAAACTAATGCAACCTAATTTACCGTGGCAGTATCTCGTATAGCAGCTCTTCCACTTTCTTCTTTTCCTCCATGAGCGCCTTTGTCCGATCGCCCACTGTAGCCTCCAGATTGGCAGCATACTGCTCCATCCGCCGAATGATGTTATCCATCACCGAGCCCTTGGCGACGCCATTATCCTTCAGCAGCGTCTGGGCTTCGTGTACCGGCGGGCGATCTTTGGGATTCTCTTCCCAACAGCGTTTAATAATATCAGCCACAGCCGGCGGACATTCCGTCGGCGCAATTACCGGTCGAAAGGGCGGATCCTGGACGTTGACCACTTGATGGATGATCTCGGATGCCGTGAAGTCCGGGATAAGGGGATCGGCGATGGTGTAGGGTTCCCGGCGGGTAACGATTTCTGAGAGAATAACAGCCGTACTGTACACGTCACCTTTCGGAGTACCGTTGGGATGGGGCATGCCGTCGCGCAGGAGTTCCGGTGAGCGCCATAATAAGGCGCCGTATTCAATATCCTGTCCGGCGGTGGTGACCGGCAAGAGAAAGACATTGCGGAACTGCGGAAAGGCATAATCGGTGATCTTTAACGTGAACCGGCTGTCGATCACGCAATTGCCGCTGTTAAGGTCACCGTGGGAAGACACGAAGGAGTTGTGCAGGAAGTTCAGACCCTATATGATCAAATCAAATCAGATTTGGTAACAATCATATTTCTCGAAATTCTAATTCATTAATCTCTTAAGAAACTAGATTTAATGGCGTTTCTTATACTGCGTTCTTACTGTTGTAAGTGCGGAAGTGCCTAGATGAAAAATTAAGCGACAGACTAACATAGACATGAACAGTTTAATATTTACGTACATCGGAAAACATCAATTTTCATTCTGTTTAAAATTACTTTACGTATACGCCTATCTGTACCGGCCCTGTGCTACCTACCTGTGCTAACTGCATAAATTTGTATCATGCATAACTATGTGTCATGTAATTAGGGAAACGACCCCAATGTTTACAAGATGCCCTCCGCGCGGCGTCATATTGCTCGCTCAGTTTAGATCGGTTGAGTTGTACTTGTACTTCAAAAATCTATGGTGAAAGAATTGCTTAATCACCGGCAACAACACCATCAAGAGCGTGGCGCGTCATTTTAACAAAACTTATCTCCCATATTCCGTGACCTTTAAATATTGACACTCGTGTGTCTCTCAGCTGGTCGATTTATTGGTTGATTGGTCAAATATTTTTATCCGTTAGACTATTTTCCACCCACCGGTCGGAACTTCATCCAGCACATGATCTTACCGATACAAGATCCGTAATTAGCGATGACTGGAATCCCCAGTCCAGGTTCATATCCTCGTTGCCCAATAAGTCATTCAAACTGCCTTTTGAGCAGAACTCTGTCAATATTGCTTCACGATTCGGCTCCACACAGATTCCCACCACTCTGGCCAGGTTTTCATGGGTGAGCGTATGCAGCTATAGGGAAACGACGCGTTGCTAATTAATCAAACAAGGAAGACATAAAAAGTATGTGGTAGACAGTACTTTGCTCAAATAGACGAGAAAGTCCCGGCTGACGTCAATTTTCTGGGACAATTTCAAACTGCGCACCATCACCGGACGATCTTTATACGTCGCCACCGCCATCATGGCTTCTTCGTCGGCATCCTGTTATTAAGTTTCCGCAAGGTCATGGCTGTTGTTTTAACAATACACTCGTATAAATACACAGACAGTACACACTTCGGTATATTTTAACGAACGTCGACTAGATGTGTTGGCTCGAACATGGAATTTCACTTCGTCAAAATTAATCCGCCACCATGTATTTTTCAACGCTTGTTCCATTTTAATTTTTCTAAAAGATAGCGTCAATTTCAGGTTAGTTTATTTCCAAGAATTACTCGCTCACCTTATAGTATCACACACCTGTAAATAAGAAATCCGATAACGGAAACCAGAATCATCACAGCCGCGGCTGCACCAACTGCGGCGCCGATGACCTTTGTGGGATCTGTCCAAATCACACACTTCACACTTTTGTTGGCAAATATTACTGTTGTTGGCAAAAATTTTGTTTAAAAATTACCATTTCTTAATAAGCATATCAGCTTTGTGTTGGTATAACCACATTCCGGTTCGTTTGGCGGTGGACGATCGCGAAGGTACCATTTTATAGGACGTACAAATTCCAAATCGTGACCACTGCCGACGTAATATATGACCGGCTGGAAAAAATACGTTGTATTTACAAACAGCGGTTAGAAATAAATGATAATTACTGCTTCTTCAGGTACAGTTAGTGAATGAATCAGTTTGGGTTCTAGGTAATTTTGGATACTCATAAATTACACAGAAAACAGTAGTACACAATGTCTACCGCTACAAATTATTTAGAGCAATTTGCCCTAAGTAATTTTGTAGCGATACACCCCGCATTCGGTAACATAATTGGTCTGTTATAATCTGCAATTTACCTTGTACGCAGAAGTATTGTAGTGCTAGTTTCTCATGTATAAAGTGGGAACACTTTAAAAATCATCTTACTATAAATAATCCGGTGTTGTAGTCCATTTGGTGGATAAAATAACTGCAATCCCTGTCACCATTTTGATCAATATATATGGTTCCGTTGATGCCTTTTATCTTTCGGTTCCACATCTGCTTAGTGAGCCGTATCCCGTCTTTCGGGTCTTCCCTTTGGTACAGGGTTTCGTTTAATGCAGTTGCCCACAAAATTATTCCATCGTGCATTTCCGCTACTGCCGGTGAAATCTATCAAGAAAGATCGATCAACTATTCTTTCAGTTTAAATTTTACGTGCACGGTTAATGCCTGCAAAGACAATACCTTTATATTAAAGCTATAAAGTGTTCGTGCGAAGAACATGCTCTAAATGTATTTATTAGAGATCAAATCAATGACACGCTCATACAAGCCGCTCGATACTGTCCTTTCTAATTTGCTTTATATTGAAGATCAATAGCTATACGAGATATTAAGCATTACCAATGCGTGAACGAGCAATCGAAGGTCATATTTGTTATATTTGTTTTTCCATCATGAAATTCTCAGTCTGCACCGGGGTAATTACGTGTTACGGTACCTCTTCCTGTTGATCGAAAGAAAATCCATATCGACTCCAGGCAATTTCTTTAGCTTTTTCGTCGAATTCTTGATAAGCTTTATAGTTATCAGTAGGTGTTACTGGTGGAGGGGCTTCCTTGATGACAAACAGTGACTTGTATGCTGTTTTTGCATCCTGCAAAGACAGTGAGATCCTCAAAAGCTACTCTAAAGCATAGAGCATTTGCTTGTACGAGTAATACTTGTACTTCGTAATACTCTGTAGATGATATTACATATTTCGTAATGAGGTATAATTCTAGACTATAATTGTAGCGGTAGATGGACGTACGTACTTCATCGCGGCCATCGTTTCTTTTCCAAGTAAACTTTCCCCAATAATTATCGTAATACCAGTTGCATGTAATGAATACCTAAAACATAATTGCCAAATATGAATAAGCACAGAAAACTGAACGACATTATCTGCCGGATTTTGAATACAGAAACACCACTAATTTGTAGCGCAATGCAGAACTTACGTATTCGCCGTTGGTCATTTGCAAGTCGTAGGCCTGCAGCTGTTAAATTTGTAAACGTGGATTAGTTCACATTTTTTGCCTCGGTTTAAGAATACTAATTGAAATTTGTAAATCTGCCATGCGCCACGTACCATAATCTGCCTTACAGTAGCACCTGTCCCGAAGACAAATATCACTGCAAACACAAAAATATCTGGATCCTTCTCATGTAATCCAACACCTTATATTACTTTGTATAACAGTTTCTGCACAGCATGGAATCAAATGGTACCAATATGTTATTTACGACTGCAGTACTTATTACGGCAGCATGTACGCACAAAACAAAGACATTTAGGTATACTAAAATCTAATACACATTGTTTTTAAATTTGGTGTTTGCTTGATATCCATAATTATCATGATTATTGCATCAATAGAATATTTCGACGAAAAACCAACAAGTACACTGCAATCATTGTGCAGTACTAGTATTACTATTATATATTTTATAAATACGCATGCATATGCAGTAAATGTCATGCATATTTGGATGTACCGCGAGAGCCGTTGGATGCTTGGTAGAGCAAATTGGTAAAATCCGTTACGCCACGAAACGATAAGGTTATGGGATTCATGAGAATTTTTGTACGGAAATAAAATGAGCGGTAGAGATCCGAACCCACCACGGAGGAGTAGCGCATCACATCATCATAAATAAGCGACACACTCGTAAAATTGTACTGGTCCAAAAACAAATGGACAAAACGAGACAGTGTTTTCATCGTAATGCCTGCGAAACGGCAATTCACGAGATTATTAATCAACAAAAAATTATTGTTGAAAACGACACAGGGTATAAATAATTTATCTATAGTTTTGATAACTGATACCTGTTCTTGTTGTTGTTCTGAAGATGTTTTTAGCGTCAAAAATAGAACTGTATGCCTGCGACGAAACATGAGGCAGCTTCATATCTGCGAAAAAACAACAAAAAGCAAATGTACTAAAAGGTACAGCCTAAGAAGTACCGATAACTGTTGCGCATACGAAAACGGTAGCGAATATATAGCGAAATGTGCCTTACGATTTTTTAACAAATCTAACTGGTGTTTTAACATTTATCACTGTGCAAACAACGCTTACCTGCTGTGAGACGACCCAAACTCTCCATTGCTTCTGCAAAAAATTATGGAAGCCTTTCGATTATGTCACTAATAAATTCCCAGTCACAAAAGTTAATTTTCATGCAAACAGTACTAGGTTAATAACCAACTGGAAATGCCATTTATATTTAATTAATTATAATATTAATAGGCAAAAACCGGCTGCTTATTCTTTCCTATACGAAACTTTTCTAGTGTTATAAAATATTTACACGTAGTCGTGACGTAGGTGTTCTATTTTCCAAACTCTCAATACCAGATCCTTGCTAGTAACGTTGATGCCGTGCATTCTCGCAATAATTATATGATTATTGAGATAACGCTCAAATCATTCTGCTTATGGGAGACACTTTTACAGTTAATAAACCAATATCAATCTCTATCGATCTGTTACATAACACCTGCATTATACACTTGTTGTCACTAAAAAACAGCTTTCATTTGAAATACAACTTTTATTCATGCAAAACCGGTCTGAAAGATAATAAAATCATTGAAAATTATATAAATTTATGCATATACTGAAATTGACGTACAAAATAGTTTAGCTTGCTTAACAGAAAGTTTTTAAATGCGACGATGACCTTCACTTTTAGAAACACACAACGGTTAAAAACATCAGTCAACAAACTTTTTCTTTCTATTTAAAAAACAAGTTATGACAGAAAGCGAACTTTTCGATTTAAAGTCTGGAAAAGATCAAAAACTAAATCTTTATTACCTCTAAATTGACCAGGATCAAAGAGTATGGTTTACAGTGTTTTTTTACGACGTTGAACGTTTTTCACTTGCATATTATGTATGCTCTCATCTGTTTCCATCTGTTTCCGTATAAATTAGTACCGGTATCAGCATTATAAACCAAAAAATTACATGACCCACTTGTGCAGCCCGGTCCGACAAATAGTCCAACCGGCGGATATCCCATCAGTTTCGCATCACGCATGGCGAATTTCGTCAGCATATGACCGCCGTGATTCTCTTCTTCATAGCAATCACCAAATCTCGGCCGGGAAGCCATATAATACCTGACATAAACTTCCGGTAAGATGGTCTGCCGCACAGTGCGCACGGCTAATTCAATGGCCCCGCCTGTCTTCCACAAATCGGACGGCAGTTCACCGCCTAAACACACGCAACGCAAATTATCCGACGCCGGTGCGCGTATACTACGCGGCAGTGTAATTATTTTACATCAACTTATTAGCCAATATTATTACCGTAAGTGAGGAGGATGAGGATGGTCACATTGTACACGTAATTGCGGGAGTATGGAGAATATTCCGGCATAAAATCCGAAGCCGGTAAGGTGACATCCGCGTTGACTGACATATTGTGGCCAATTCGCAGCTACGGGATGAAAAATGTCATTCGCTCAGCTGTGACAATTTGAAATTTTAGAAGAGAATGTTGCGTTGAGCGACGAGAAGCCCTAGGAAGTTGCGTGGCTGATGTCATGGTAAAGTTCGACTTTTCTGTGTTTACATCCTCCGAAGGGCAGGTGACACAGTTATCAATAATCTGTTCCCATCAGCCAATCGCTGCGTGAGAAATCCGCAAAAATTTTCTCCTGGATCAGAAGTTAGCGGTACACTGTGCCACCTTTCCCAGTCATTGTTTATGGGCAAACATCCTCGATCAGAGAATAATCCATAGTTAAGTAGACTGTTACCATATGCAGGAGTATACGTATAATTGGTTCGGTTGTGATCTTTATTGCAAAACTTAAGCAAAATATTTATGCGCATGTATGTGTAACCTACAATAGTCCAATTCAGAACGTATGGCGAAGTATAAAAAAAGCCAAACGGAACGAGCAAAAACGTTAATGGGCATGAAGTAACATGTTAAAAGGTATTAGTAAGGTAGTAACTGTAATTGAATGCTTGAAGGGATGGAAGTTAAATAAAAATTGTGCCGTCTCATTCTGCATTTAAAATAACTTAAACTGGAAAATTCCAAAGGTTCCGTCTTTTTGTACGAGTACTCGTGTTCGCAAGTAGCACAAGAGAGAAAAGAATTGACCACTTAAGGGCGCACTTTCACTATGTTTTTTTATGCACTCAGGTTTCAGGCTGCGTATTCCTGTCGGAAGGATGTGTGTATTGTAAACTTGTAAAGTACACATTCCCTACGGTATTACAATGCAGTACCAAGTATAAAATTAAACATCGAAACTGCAATAATTTTTCATGAGATGGGTACGATTGAACAATTACATGCAAAACGCATAAGGGTAAACTACTTACTCATAATGAATCGCCAAACCAAATATACTGAACAATACGAGTATATTTAAATGTCATCCGGCATTTATTAAATTACAAGCATATTGCACAGCTATACAGACGGTTATCGCGCTACGAAATAGTAATAAAGATTTTGCTGGCCTTAAAATTGTTAACAATCTATAGTCCATTTGATATTTACCTTGATATTGACCTGTCTAGCAATTTTGTAATTTTTGTCTGCTACCTACCGTAGTACACGTTAGTGCATACACCATGATACCGAAGTACGTATATACCATACCTGTCTGGCTATTTTCGGTTAACAAAGGACGAACGCAAACCACATTATCTATAATTAATAGGAATACGTTGCTCGTGGAAAAGACCCAAAACATGAACACCAGCACGCTGCAACAACTCATGATCAGACCCTGCATCAGCAGCAAAGTGAAATTAATAACAAGTACAACACATGCTACAACATTACTCATGTAAACCAAATGCAGTTTCCGTTGCCACAAAAATTAGGTAATGTGTATATGAAATAAATGACATATATGGCCGTAACCTTTAAAATACAACCGGCCATATTAATGTTTTACTCCAGACACGTCGCTGTACTTTGCAGCTGTAATTTAATTATCAGTGTTATGTTTCCCAAGCAGGTACTCCAAACGGATAGATACTGCGTAAAAGGCTCCTGTTTGAGTAATGTGATTGCCATTCGTCGTCCTTCATTTTCTCACTCGATTAAGTTTTCATTTTGCTTACGCGAGTCTACCAATACGTAGCGTAAAACAAAAATGGACCGAGATTATTTAAATTAACTTACTGTACTTGCGGCAGACACGGGGACCGTCCCAGCTGCAGTAAACACAATATTGTCCGTTATCTCCCCGCAACGCATGGTTTCCATAATTGATGTAAGCTCCTCCATACATGCCACCGATTAACTTTGTGTAATTAAGAGCAACAATGAGTAGTAATAATTAATCAGATAGTCAATAATTAGTTTGTCTGTTTCCCTTAAATTACACGAACTTGACTTTAGCGGGACAAGACAGGTCCATATTGACATGGCTACTCAGTCCGACGACCTTCGCTTTTACTGTGACATCGTCCCCGCGAAAAGATGAATACACAAAAACCGCTGGCAACCAAATTACCGGCACGCCCTCACAGGACCGAATACCTGCAATTATGCATACAGGAACGATAGCTAGCGTGTGTCAGCTATAGAAATTTACAATTCTCCCCCAAACCGATTTTCCAAAAACGGCAAACCATAAGGTGAAATTAGGCTTACCATGGCGTTGAATACAAAGAACATATAAATAGGTCAACAATTCGTCGTCTCCTAATACACCGATAGAACCATTGGCAAACTACTCCCGAATAAAAGAAATTTTAGGGAGCAGTTATCACGAGTTCATGACCGACGTTGACCGCACAAAAAGCCTTTGACTATTCGCGCTGCTATAACATTTTTTGGTTATTCGATGCTATTTACATTTAACGACATCTCCGGAGACTTCTTTTAATACATCCGGCCTTTACCGGTGGGAAATATTGTTCACCTAGAGTAGTCTCCCGCGTGCAAAACACGCGCCATACAGAAGTGCCGCACGTAAGTGAAACCATTTCGCCGGCATTCTTCGTGGATCAACGAGAAAGTAATGAAATGATCCACATTCGTGCATAGAGACACGCAAATGTTGATTACAAATCATGAATCCATCAACAACAGATCATCCGTTAGACTGTTAACACATTACTATTCACTTGCAAACTTCGTCATTGCGCATCAAAGTGAACCTCGTTTTTCCGACTTAAATGTTCCGGATTTTAATCTGTTTCTAACACAAAAAGAGTATATTCAAACGCGTATATTCTTTTTTCCAACAGATTCTCTTGACAAACAAACTGAAAGTAAGGTATCAATCAAAAAGAAAACCAGATTGAAAACAAACAGGTTTAGTTGACCCCAACAAGAATTATTCCGACCTGAGAAAAGCTTATGATACGAGGAAATAAATAATCATGGGTGGGTGGCACAGGCCAAAACCAACGAAATTAAAGAATCGATCGAACCACACTTGTGGAAGTCATAATTAGAGCTCAAGCCTCAATTGTAAAAGCAAGGAAGATAAACAATGTGATAATATACCCATAAGGAAAAACAAATTTCACCTATTTCTTTCCACGCTTGGGCCTGAGACTGCGCGTCGAAGATTCAGAACTGACAGGGCGGACGGTACGTCTGGGCGGAGCGGCTGAAGTGGGTGTCAAATTACCACCGGCAGTAGACGGAGTCACTAAGGTCACCTGATGGGGAGCGCCGCCGGGAGCATAACCTGCATAGAAACATTTAACAATTCGACGATGTATACAAAAAAACTTTAACTGTGGGTGCTTAATTCCTTAGACGATGTGATTTGTACCCTTTTTTCAAAACAATGAATTGCGCAACAATATTTCTTATCTTTGGTTGTAAGAAATCCATTTCGCATAATTTCTGATCGACTTACCATGCAGTAAAATATGCATCTCCGGATCTTCTGTGCTAATGAGATCACCAAACTGCTTCAGCACTTCCTGTAGAGTCTGGAACAAAGAATTCGTTCATTTAATTAAGCACCACTACGCCCACGCAATATCACAAGTGCACAAGACTCCCTTACAAACATAATACGATCCGCAATCTGGACGGTTTCATGGTGGCCAGGAAACAGCGGTTTGTGAGCGAGAATGTTTTTCCCTTCATTCTTGTAGGCTTCGATGGTGGGAACAAGGTTGGCAGAATTGGGCAATTCCAGTCGTTTGCACACGTGCTCCTTCACCACCATCAGCACTTCCAAGAAATGTTTGCGCAAAAATGTCTGATCTTTTTTCTGCAAACAGTGTAAATGAGGGAGTACGAGAAACAAACAGAGCGTACAAAACACACTCACGTAGCGAACTCCCTGGAGCCACACCAAACTCATTAACTGGATGACATTGTTGTAGAACGAATCGCGAAAGGGATGATGTGCGATACGATTCGTGAACAAGCGCTGAGGAAGGAAGTCCTACAAAAAACAGGGGGCATTTATCAAGTTCTTACAACGTAATAATTAAGGATGTAAAAAAAATGCAACATTTAAACCGGCAAAGCAACTATACATTAACAAATACAGGCACTATATTTCACAATAAACGAATAACCGGGCAAACTTCAGTAAGAATTTCAACTTACTTTGAAAGCTTTCGCAGCGGTATCCACAACCTCGTTAACCTGCGCTTCCAGTTCTTCAAAAGTGCCGGAAATATCCGTATCGGACAGCAGCATACCAAGAAACAGAATGCCCAGATGAGCACGCTGCACATTATTACCGCCGTTTTCCGCATGTTTGTTCGCGCGACCCTTCTTCGTCGGCAACTGTAAAAAGGTTGCTATCATCCAGCAAAGTTGCAAATCCATTGAAACATACTGAAAGTTACAGTATCTCACAGTCTGACTTACAGCTCTCTGCTGCTCGGTTAAAATCCAGTTGTTAATGATTCCCAAGAATTCTTCGCTTAGTCCCCATGTATGAAGGAATGTCATCAAAGTAATGCCATGCTCAATCCATTTTGCGTCATCCTCTTGGCCTTGCTCACCGATACTCTCAAACTCCGCCAAACACCAGTCACAATACTGTAGCTGTTCTTTAGGTACCCGACAGGCGATGCGATATAGATGAGTTGTCTCAACAACCTAAATCAATACATACCGCTTTTTAATACCTACAGCTAACCATAAGTATCAACTTCAATAACTGCTTGTTATACTGAAGTACTGCATATAAATATAAGTAGTGGTATATAAAGAATTCATTCGTTCATAAAGCCATTAAAATTTTTTTAATCTACACGCTGTTCAAATTATCTTACCCAGAATAACATCTGTCTAACTAATACTCTAGGATCCTAACCAAAGTACGTGCAGTCACAGTACCACATAAAACAGAACGGAAATATGATAAAAACAATTCTTACATCGGTAAAAGGGATGGCAACCTTGAGCATGCTGGTGGCTTTCAGTTGGATTTCTTCATTGTACTCCGTATTCTAAAGACAACACCATTTGGAAACTGGGAAGCAAATAAAAACTACAAAATCTCCAAGGCTCTCACTTGGTTCAAAATGAGGACAGAGGCTGCCATAATCGTCCCGCCTAATTCTAATCCAATGTTCAGATGCTCCTTATTATCGCTAAGGAAAATTGCACCCTCTGGATCAGGTAATTTCTTGCTCCGACAATTAAAGGCAATAAAAAGTTGACTAAAAATGGCATCCAGAACGGCACCTATCAATGCTCAGTTTATTAAACTGTCACAAAGCTCACAAAGAACTATTAGCAACAAAACAGAAGTACTCACGGATATCTTTGGGATCCTTTTTCTTGGGCACATTATGGAAGAACTTCACCGCTACGGCAGCATTATTATGGAACAGTTTAATCGCATTCTTCAAAAATTGTCGCATGTTATTGGTATTCCACACCATGTAATCCAGAATCTTCGCGATATCCGCCTCATACGGATGCTTCTTCTCCGTATAATGCACTAGCAGCTTCTCGGCATCGACAATTTGGTTGCCATTCTCCAGTGCCAGCATATCGCTCTGCACCGCCTGCCACAAAATCCGATAGTACTCGGTCCGCACGGCCAAGGCTTCATCCGTGGCTACTTCTTTCATCTGCATCAGCAGTGGGACCAGCGTTACACGGGCCAGCGGATTATCGATGATGCGTCCAACCGCTTTAACCGCGTTAGCACGAACGGCTACGGTGGTGGCATCGAAAAAGTTATCACTTAAACAACGCAGGAGAGTTGTGCGTTCAGCGAGCGGAACGGCATTCCATCCACGGTTAAGAATTTCCCCGGTGGCTTCCGATGCGGCGCTGCGGAAGGCGGGGAAAATGCTCTTCATGTCCGCAATGGCGATGTCCACCTGGTCACGGAGCATAATGTCCCGTGAAACCCTCAATTCATCTGGTGATATTAGTGGAAAGCAGAGTCCAAGAAGGCGTAACGCATTTGTACGTGTTATGCGATTTTCTGATTTACATCCTTCCAAAACCATCAAATCCAAGTTCGAATGGAACATACGTCGAATGGCAGCATCGTTGTCGTTATACATGTATGCCACCATCTAATACGAACAGCAAAAGCGTTTAGAAACAAATACAGGATACAAGATCATTCATATTTTGCAAAGCATATTCATATTCATTTCAGCTTTTTTTACCAATTGGTATTTGGAAAGATAGCCGTTTTTATACTTTGGATCCGTAACGATAGCCCGTTTCATCAAATCAGTGATAACCAGTGCCTCCAAATCGAGCTTCAGTGGATTGTCCTCCTTGTTTAGGATACTCCATGCTTTCAGCACGATCTGAATTGATAAATTTTTAATCAAGTACAGCCATCAATAAATCTCAACTGTCATAAAGATAACTACGGCTTAATCATACATCCATAAGGATCTCCAGCGTCTTCTGATTTCGGTCGTTCATCATAACATCATCAATGCCCAAACGAGCAATATTCATGAAATCCTGATGCAGCGTGACCAGCATAGTTAGAAATTTGCGCCCCTGCGACAAACGCCGTAGTAAGTACATCAAGTTCACATTAGTGTAACAAATAATGAAGAACAATTTCAAAACTGATACTTACGTCAGGTAAACTAGTTGCTTCTTGTCGATTGAACAATTTATACAACGCATCGCACAGGTACTCGACCTTTTCCACGGCTAGTAAGGCTTCAGTAGCAACAGGTTCGGAAACAGCCTCCGAACTCTGGTCACTTTCCTCCCATTCATTCGGCTCTAAATCGGAGAAATGCTTCTTAGCGACCGGCGTAGCAGCCCGCTTTGTCCACGGGCGCCTGAAGCAATCGAAATATCCTCGCCACGAAAGCAACCGCTGGAAAACGCTGCCCTAAAATGAAAAACTTCATGAAAGCAGTCAAAACATGTAATTCGCATAAAACAAGCCTAAAAATCAAAGTTACCGTGTATTTTGGCTTGCAGAGGACATAAACGACACAGTTAGCCATCAGTTTGTATCCATCCGGACGACCGTTCAGAAACCATAATTCCAACACATCCACGATGGTATTGAGGAGAATACCCACTTTAGCTTCGGAACCATACTGGTAAATGCGGAATATATTTCCTGAAAAATTTCAAGTGATTTCGTGAATTGAAAATCCACTTTCACTTTGAGCCGCAAAAGCCAATGTTTTCATACTTCGAGAATCAATGAAATCCCTGGACGTCAACGTTTTTATATAACACCAATATTCCGAAATTATCTAAGCAGCTGAATCAAAATTACCGATAATCAGACTTACGATGGAAGCCTTCCAAGCGGCGATATATCGATGCTGGTGGCTCTTCGAAGATTTGAATAATAGGCTTGTATAACTCCAGAACAGCAGTTATCTTGATCGCAGTTTCTGCTACCTAAACAGAAGTATCAAGTGCCAATTCTTCTAATTTTAAAAAGGGTGTATAAAAGGCATACATTCTCCTTCGACCAGGACGCATCCTTGCTGATAAAAGCAACCAGATATTTGTCCAATCTGCCACACAATTCACCAGCGACGCCAGCCTTTGATTGGCTCCAGAATGCTCCATATTCTTCCAAATGCAGGAATTCCTTACCCTAAGCACACAACTGTTCTATTTCACGGTGAAGCTGGATCCTAAGGACCATCTCAAATTGAAATATTTACGGTGTTTTTGATCCAGCCTTCAAATTCGGCTGGTTGAATCGTGCAATGCAAATCCGCTTCCAGATCATTCAGCAGGGCAACTGGGGCTGGTGGAACGACCAGCAATGAGGGCTTAATTGTTGAATGCGTAGTACTTTTGTTCTTGGCCGACGCCGCTTTTGAACGGGTGGAAATGTTGGACACGGAAGAAGCTTTTGACGATGGCATGTCGAACTTAAAGTGAAATAATCATAAAAATGCGAGGAATCAAAACTGACAGATAAGTATCTCTCAACTCATCCACGCTCGCAGTCAACGACCCAGTACAGCATTTCCCGGGCTGATTCTGATGCTGATATAGATGAAACGATAAATGCTGGAAATATCAAATCTTTTACTTCAGATGTTCTCAGAACGAATTTTTCATTTCAAACTGGCAGAATTAACTTCAAAGTAAATAATTCTCATCACACACTACACGCAGTCTTCTATGAGTAAGTTATTACTGTAAGTATGTTTTGGGTCCAGTGCGCGGGCAGAAAACAACGGCGCGGAAGCGGTTGATGCACAAAGAGCCAATGGCACTCACACTAAATAACAAGCAGGTATACGCAGCAAATAACCTAATACTGCGCAAAATATTTGAACCCAGTAAACAAAATTTTTCATTTTTCTCGGGGATTTTATTTTTAGTAGTAGTGGAGCAGACGGTTATTATAAAATATTAAAATAAATCTTCAGTTTTTATTATTTTAGACTTAGCGATTTTTAAATTCTACAGTTGGCTTGTAAGTTGTAATTTACTTGTTTATGGTTTCCGTTTTCGCTGTTCGTTGGGGAAACTGCAAATACAGAGCACTGGTCCAGTGGCTTGAAAATTGACGAAGCGAAATTGACGAAGCGACAACAACTGGCGCCGCGAATCCCGGAGGTTTTCCCCTTTTGGAAATCCCGAAGTGAATTTACGATTTCATGATCATGGCATCCGTGCCTTGTGATCAGACTACCGCACTGTTAACGGAGGACCGACAGTGGCTGGAAAGTGCGCATGTTTTGGTAAGCTAAGCTGAAACATGCAGGCTAAAACGTTGACGACATAATTTTGAAAAAAAAATATTCTTGACCGAACTGTTGAAACCTACGCTTCGTTTGGGAATCCGAATTGCAGATTAAGACGTATTAATAAATATCCTATGAAATGCAAATGTGGAAACTGTAATCTGAATTAAGTATACGGCGCGACCATAATAATGTTTACTGTATTCTGTTACAGTTACTGTTTGAAGCCTGGGCTTCAATTTCCATGCGTTTTGCACTTAAATTCAGTTAAATTCTTGCAATTTGGTTTCTTGTATGTAGGCAGAAAAGGCGTTAAAAATTGGGGAAGTTCCCGTGGGATGCGTCGTGGTGCACGATGGGAGGATTATCGCTGAAGGAAGCAATGAAACCAACATCTCCTGCAATGTACGCACTGCGATTGCTGTTCTGAAACTGAAAGCGTAAGCCCAAGATGATTATGATTTATTCTTCTTTTCTGTAGAAGTATTGCAGCACTTGCATAACTATTGTTATTATGAATGGGAATTAGTATTCGTGTGGTCGATCTTCAGTTTGCATTTGTTTGATAGCAGGACTGTACCTATTTCACTTTTGGCTTTTATGTCTGTAGATAATTTTGCTTGACTGGAAATTTTGTTTTTTTTAGCCAACACGTCACGCCGAAATGGTTGCTTTTGAAAAGCTTTTCGCTTCGGAAGGAGGATATGATGCAGTGAAGACAGTTTTAGAGAATTCCGCGCTGTATGTCACATGCGAACCGTGCATAATGTGCGCTGGAGCTATCCGAAATCTCGGTAAGATTTTTTTTAAAAAATGTATTGAAGTGATTCTAAACTCGCCGTCAGTTTCACCGGAGTGGTTTTCATGAATTTTTGAGGCTCTCTGTAAGCCGATTGTGCGGGTTTTGACGTCCCACTTTTTTTATTGTATTTTCAGTAGAAGTACTAAAGTTCATGTTGCGCTTGCTGTTTAAAAATTTCTTACTTTAATTGAGTGTGTTAAATTTTCATCTAAAGTCCTGATAACATTTTTGATCTGGCTGTCATAGGTATTCCGAAAGTTGTGTACGGATGTCGGAATGACAGATTCGGTGGATGCGGGTCTGTTTTGTCGCTTCACCAAGACGAGAAGCTCCAAAGCGGAAAACCATTCCGTGTTGTGTCTTGTCCTGTTGCTTCCGAAAGGGCTATTCTGATACTAAAAGATTTTTATAAGCAAGAAAACCCCAACGGTTGGTCTTTTTCGTTTGGTTTTCCTGCTTGGTTTTATTAGTGATAAGTGCTCTTTACAGCCCCACCCGAGAAGAAACGAAAGAAAAAAGACTAATTGACAGTGAAGGCTATTTCCTATTCCGGTTAATCTGTGAAATTCCTGTTAATTAAAAACTTTTTGGGAATGTTACTGTATTTTTATGCTCAGTACATGGACTTGAGTTTTATTGCAATGCTTCAACTGAAACCATATAACCGGTGTTTTGTGATGAATTTAGGAATATACTAGTAACATGCTCATCAGAAATGTAGTACAAAACATTTCCGTCTTCCTTTGCCTGTGATAGTCTAACAGGTCAAAAACAAGTTGAACTTCTGTAACAAATCGTGTTCAATACAAATTGAATTATGACATTCTCAGTATCAGAGAACGATACCGAAATCAAGAAGGCCCACAAGCTGTGCGAGCTCGTATAACATTAAACAAAAGCAGTAACGCTGACCGGTACGATTCTCACTCGCTGTCCTGAAAATTAATGAGGCATTTCATATCCGACTCCTCAATTCCATTCCTCCTTGATTCCATGCCTGCCTTTAAAAAAAATAAAACTTCTAAAAGTTTGGAAAACACAAGGGATACGCTAGCATATCCATTTTTTCTGGATCAGCTCATGGTCAGTTACTTACCTCGGATCCAAAATCCGTAGCCCACTGTTCCGGCTATCGCACAATTTTCGTGCACTCAGTATTCAAACAACGTCCGGTGGACAACTTCCCCATTCACACCGCGCCAGGTGTAATCCTGCGCGATCAACCGCATAGCTGCCTTCAACACCGGCAGCTCATACAGTCGTATGCTATTGCGCCAATAACAAAATTCATCCCAGTCATTCCTTTTCGCCGTCCCCAACACATGCTGGACCAAATAAATCTCGATCTTACGCAGCAGGATCTCACTGATCTGCTGCTCATGGGCGATCTTGTACACTTCCAGAATGTCGAACTCTGCGTCTGCCTCCAAGTCGGCGGATGTCGATGCATACGAAAAGGTCAGCTTTCGAATGTTGTATCCGACATCGAAGTTCTCCTTAAACTTGCACAGGAGTAACAGCTGCAGCACATGCGTCTCATCATGGTCGCGGAAACTCGTGATTTCATTGCTGGTTTCTGGAAACCAAAAAGCAACTTCTGTTGCTTACTCTCGTCGTAAGTGTACCAGTTCCGTTGCAGTTGAATACCAATAAAAGTGAAACACCATAAAATGAGTTAAAAAAACTCAAAAGAATAAGTTTTTCAAAATTTACGAAATTCTTTAAATAAAATTTCAAGCAAAAGAATTTCTATTATTGAGGCTAAATGTCAGCCGCAAAAAAAGATGGAGATTTTTTATTAGGCGGATAATCACTGACCTCCGAAAAAAGAATGATTTGTACCAAGCCCGCACGCCAGTTCCAGCGACTGCAGTTCCTCTCGCTGCAGAGTGAGCGTTCGCTGTTTTCCGCTCGCCGACTTTAGATACACACTAACGGTATCTTCTCCACCTGGCTGATCCAGTGAGTTCAACCAGTCTTCGCAACAAGCGACCATTTCCGGCGACATATGCCAGGAAGCAATGGTCTGCTGCACCATCCGGACCAGGTGGTTAATAACCGGCATCCCGCCCGGTCGGTTCAGCCATTTTGCGGATCCGAAAACGCGCTCGCTACCGAAGGCCTTTTCAAACAGCGAGTATCCCACAAAAGGGCGGGTAGAGTTCCGTTCAAACACGTACTCCGTCTCAAATGTGGCGGCGGTGAAATACGTCCGCATGTCACTGCAGCGGGCGTGATGGGCGTCACTGCAGCCCAGATGAATGGTGTCAAACACCAGGACCGGCTGAGCAGAGCCGGGTGTGTCGCGATCCGCAGCAGGAAGGGATACTTTGATCCCGTTGATCCACCATGGCTCGCTCCAGGCTCTCTCTGAAAATTATGCAGAAATACTGTAGCGGAATTAAAATCAACGCAAAAAAAATTTACATTGCTATTCAGTTTTCGATTACGGGGGAAATACTCATACTTCAGTATGCATACTGCTTATTTACAATTTAAACAAGTAAACGAGCAAAAACTGGCACGATGCTGCTTCAAAGGGCATGAGTGACCTAATGGAAAGACGGATACAAAAACATGCTCTGTCACAAAAAAAGCGCTAACAAATTTTGAATTTCAAATTTGATTTACAGTATTTCACATATTTTCTAAACTGTGAAATTTTATGGCGGTATTTCTGTACAACTGCGCATCCGCGCATGCTTTGTTTTTTTTAGTTTTCACTTATTACCTCGCCAGTGAACTGTCAATCGGAGGTCGTTTCCGCCTAACCACTTGCGCGTTTCCTCATCCTGAACGGTAAATGACTGGGTGTATTTCACATCACCTTCAACTTCCATTCGTTGCCAGCCGTTTTTATCGGCAATCCACTCGATTTTTCGGGATGGAGCGGCTGTCAGGCGATCCCGTAGGAATTCTTCCAGATCTTTCCATTTCTGCGTGACACTATTATCCGCCATACTGTTGCAAGGAGCTCCTTGCTGGTCAATCTTAAAACAGTAAAAAAATCTCCCAGTAGGTAAAAAATGAAACGGTCGCAGATCACAATTCACAGTAAACCATATCTGGTTGTTAGGAAAGCAAAGTTGAAATCACGGTGATGTGATGCTGTAACTTTTTACACCACTGCAGAGTGCAGACACAATATCCTGCTCGTCAGTTATCTTACAAAGAAAGCTGATCATGATAAAAAATCAACTGGCTTTAATTGTAAGTTGTAACTTGTACGCAATCCAGGGATTTTAAGACACCGCTCCCAGTAAAAAAATTTGATCATGAGACACTGACCAGGAAATTAAAGTACTGCAGTTCATACAAGTATGTACTGAACGTGCTGACTGTGCTGAAATCCGGTTCGTTTTTATCCGTTGGCAGCATCTCATAACGATTTTATCTAATTTGCCATAATTACACTATAATCTATAATTACTAGCGGTGGTTGCGAACCACATTATTGCACGAGCGCGAGCGCCAATACCACTGGGAAATGGTATTGGGGTTGTGGAATTGGAAAAGCGTGACGTACGCTCTTCGTGGCGTCAGACAAATTTTATGCTCTTGACGAAGACTTATTGCAGCACCTCGCGCTTCGCGCTCGGTGCAAATAAGTCGTGTTCGGCTTCTGTCAGATGATTCGAGAAGAGTATCGTGTGATCTCAATTCTGAAAATTATAAGCGAAAAGGATCGTTTTTATCAGTTTCTTAATATTTTATTAGAATGCAGCAATACGCAGGTAATGCAAGATCATTTACGAAATGAAATTCCATAATTTTCGTTTCTTCAGTGTGAGAAGTATCAGTTTTTTGTGTGTTTTTGTTGGAAGATTCCCTGGCGTTGAGATGAGTCTGAAATAGGTGCATTTTTCAGCCACGGTTTTCCATAATATCAGTACCGACGGTACGAGAACGATCACGTACGTTCTGCGTTGGAAATCCTTAAAGCACCGGCCAGATTGACCTTGACCACCACCTTGACCACTGGCCAGATTATGAATCAACCTTGATAACGCACATTTTATAGCAGCCAGTAAGTACTTACTAGTAGCAGTGGCACCACTACAAATGTACTAACGAATGTCACACTGTACGCGCTGTAAAACAGTTAACTCGGAACCAGTAATGTTTTTCCTCAGAAAAAACCCCCGCTATGCCATATTGGTTTAACAACTCCGAGGAATAAAGTTGTGCTTTTCAGCAGTCGGTGACCAACTCGCGCTACTAATTGTAAATGAAATTTGTTACTCTAATGCAGTGCTTAATTTACAAATTACAAGTTATCTGTACAACCACTGGCTAATTTCTGGAAAAAACGTTCGCTTAAACATAATCGCACAAACTTCTTGTAAGTAGCGTGTTTTCCGTTTTGCAGGATCTTATCCGTGCCAGATAAACATAGTTATTCTATAGTTTGCTGACCACAGGCTAATTATGCAATGCTTGGCAAATGTTTGCTTCTATCTTTGAAGTTTGAAGCATACAAGAGATTAAACAAAGCATACAAGAGATTAACTTTGTAGTTGGTATAAAAATAATAATTATTCATTTGAAGTAACGAATACTTCCAGACAGACCAAGCTAGGACCTGACGATAACATTTTATTAGGCAATAGCCATCAAAATACCATAAGGTACAAACGCACACCAATCATTACATTTCAATAAAATTTTAAACATTGAAAAAAACCACAATCTCTACCTCTACCCTCTCTTGAGTTAACATGCTTAGAAACTGATTTGCTTGCAGGCGAATCTGAATTTCAGGCGACCGAAAAAGCACTTTAAATTCAAACTGTATGCCCATTTCCGGAGAAAAATAAGTACAAAAGAGGGGAGCGTAAAAGACAACCACATTAACAAGATTTCTGCATCGTGGAGTTGATTGTTAATTCGTAGGGTTCCGTATTTAAACCAGTGCAGCAAACGATGTGCCGAGAATGCCGACTTTATAAAGGAATTCCTTGGTTGGACGCGGATAGAACGGCAGCGCCTTTCCTGTTTGCAAATCGTACACGAGATATTCGGCGCCTTTGAAGAAGAAGGCTAAACTGTCCGCTCGGAAGACCAGGTCGAAATCGCCGGGTCCGCTGGAGAAGCGTCGCAGATCCGCCCACTTCGTGCTGGTGTACACGTTTTCGCAGTCAACCGCCTTCACGTGACGTCATCCAGTCGGCAGTACTGGGATCCCACGAAAACACCGTATCCTTGCAGAAATTGGGGGTTATAATATTTGTTGCCCACTGCCCAGCGCTTCGAACAGGCCGCTTACTGCATTGTCCTTCAGCCATGACCGCGTTTTCAAATCGTACAAACGGATTTTCTCATCGTTGACATCTGCACCGTATCGGTATGGAACAAACGCCAGCTGATTGTTGTTGACAACGAAGACGAATTTCGCCGGCTCGGGAATGGACCATTTGCCCCGGATATACGCCCGTGGTTTCGCGCGCAGCGTCTTGAGTATCTCTGACTCTGAAAACGCCACAGTCGTACTAGCACTTGAAAATTGAGAAGCCAACTTTACTTATCTAATACTGTTCATGTTAATACAGCAAATATCTAATGCACTTAAAACTACTTACCACATATCTTGAAACAGAATTCTCGTTCGTCTTGAGTGACCGGGTTGACATAACAGTAAGGTGTGGTATTGTAGTATGTCGGTCCATGTTCTCCCCAACAACGAATCGATGGATCGTTGGACGGGCTTCCAGCACATGGTATGCCTTCAGCACTCGTAAATCTCGGCCCTTTATAATTGTAGATCTCCGCTTCACAGCTCTTGCTCTGATCGCGAATGCATCCACCAGCTTCGTTGACGCATGCCCCGTGGTCATCTGGAAGTACAGCAACGTTATAACTCCAGCTCTTTTCGACGAGTCAAATGGACAGTCTGTGCTTTATATCAATCCTATTATACAACGAGCGTACCGCAGTCCGGAAGGTTGATTGCCCATCCAGGTATGCGATCCTTACACAATGGCATATTTTTGTATGTGCAGCTCTTATCTTTCTTCACACAATAACCAGGATCATCAGGATCCGTAGTCGCATATCCGCCTAACAGAAAGATTAAAAGGAGCTCTTTTTAAGTGCAGACATACCGTTTAAAAATTTTGGCAAGTAGCTACATAACCTCAAATGTACGAGGACATTTGGGTGCTGTGAACATACCCTGCACGATTAGGCTGCGATGAACAGCTGGTTAGCCGTAGCTCGCAACGCTACTGATATCACAGTCGGAATGCAAACGGCTATAAATTTAGCCGGCTGTTCATCGCAGCCTAATCGTGCAGGGTATGTTCACAGCACCCAAATGTCCTCGTACAGTCTATTCGGTTCAGATTTTTTCAAAACTTTTCATGCAACAACTTCGAGCGAAAGGCGGCGGCACTGTACTCACAGTCTTTAAAGCAGTATTCCCATCGGACACTTTTATCCATTGTGTAGCACCACGGCCCATCATCCCTATCGGGATTGCGGCAGTAATTATGGCTACCCAACTGGTGATTGTAGCTGTACTGGGGAGTGTTAACATCCCACCGTTGACATGTTCTTCCAGACAGAGTGGTATTCTTGGTGCCGGTATACGCTGTCAAGTTCTTGCACCTGGGAATCTGCAGACGGTAACAGTCCACACCCGGTACAGTACACCCACCACCGAATGGATTGCCATCGAATGAGCTTTTGCGACCAGCGTCCGTGATAAAGCCTGACGTGGGAAGGAGGATGTACCCACATCGTACGTCCAGATGCCTCTAAGATGTCCGCCTTTCACCTGTAAATACGAGCCGCCATGTTATTATCTAGTCATCTCTCTACCTGTGATTGGTCGTACGATAAATCCCTAGCGATGTATGCCGTGTACTTCTATTAGTCTATATAAGCTCGAGTGATGCCTAATATCGGGAGCGGTCAGGAATCAGTCTTTCGATTTCTGACATTCTTACTTCTCTGACTACTATGTGTCGAGGAAATACTTGTGAATTAGATTAAAGGGCAGTATGTTCTAAAGGCTACGACTGGCGTTCATAATCGACCTTTCGGATTATAGCGTAGTCAGCCGCAGTATACTCGCGTCACAATTGACTTTCACCTTGATCTGATCCTTGAATTACCCGAGACCAGAAGTGAGAAGTAAGGTATTCGTTTGTCTGTTCGTGTGGTTCGCAGGGCTCCTGATAGGGATTCCTGGTTCCTGTGTTCCGGTTCGTATCTTCATCGTTCCTCCAAGTTGTTTTCGCCATACCAGTTTGAGAGAGAAGAGTGCTCATACCGCTTAGCGTGGCTGGGAAGTGGTTACTCGACGTACCGATCTTGTAATACGACATGGCGCCCACCGATGGTTCGTAATTTTCTCGATGGTACAGCGAAAATTGAGGATGGAATTTTGATGGAGGTTTATGCGTGAAATTGCGCAGAAGTGGTTTGTAAAAAGGCGTTGAACCGAAAGGTGCGCCGAAGGGGGCAGAGCTTCCTCACCCAGGGTTATTATTTTGATTGCGAGCTTCCTCGCTGTAAGTTGGTGAGCTTCCTCACCGGGCAGAGCTTCCTCGCCCATTTTCAGTAAAATTTAATTTGAATTGATCGGACCGTAGAAAAAACAGTCAAAACCTTAAAGGTTGGCTGAGTGTGAATAAAAGTGCCATTTTTTGGGTAATTTCCGGGTTGCCTGCGCAAAGCAGTAACCGCGGTAAATAAAGCGTAATTTGCAGTGTCAGTGTGCCTGGCCTGCAGATTGATCAGATAGCTAGCACCGAGTTATTGTCAGTGGCTTGGTGAGATAACAATCTTTGGTAGCTGAATAAAGGCAAGCCGCAAGCGGTAGCCAAAATCAGCAGCCAGAGATAGTTGTTAGTGGAAAAGGTAAACACCGGCAAACGGTGATTGACCTGTGAGTTAAATTACTGCAGCACGCAAAGTGCAGCAGAGTAATTTTTACGTAACGATCTGCAGCAGCTCGATAAAGGCAAGCCGCAAGCGGTAGCCAAAATCAGCAGCCAGAGATAGTTGTTTGTGGAAAAGGTAAACACCGGCAAACGGTGATTGACCTGTGAGTTAAATTACGGCAGCACGCAAAGTGCAGCAGAGTAATTTTTACGTAACGATCTCCAGCAGCTCGATAAAGGCAAGCCGCAAGCGGTAGCCAAAATCAGTAGCCAGAGATAGTTGACCGGATAAACGTAAACACAGACAGTCGGTGACTGACCTGTGTGGAAAATAGAAAATAAAATCACTGCAGCACGCAAAGTGCAGCGGGGTGATTTTAATAAATTAATTACTACAGTTGAAACCTTAAAGGTCGACAGTAGTAATTAGTTAGTACGGTACTGTGACACTGCATGTGTATAGTCATTCAAACCGCAAAGGTGAATCAGCTGTACATTCTGGCAGTAAAGCTTTGCAGTAACAGGAAGTTGCTGCAGTGATCAAAGAAGCATTCAAACCGCAAAGGTAAAATGCTTGCTTTGTGGAAATGAAGTTGTAATTAGTACTGTTGAAACCTTAAAGGTCGGCAGTAGTAATTAGAGAAATTTATACAGTGCTATGGCATTGTATGTGTATACTGTATAGCCATTCAAGCAAAGGGAATGAGCTGTACAATCTGGCAGTAAAGCCCTGCAGTAACGCAAAGTTGCTGCAGTGCAGTTTAAATTATCTTATCAATCCTTGATCGAAGCCTCAAAGGTTGGTCAATGATTTGGTAAGATGCGTGCTACTGTAGATCGCACAAACGGTTGTGTCTTCGGGATCAGCACCGGTAACCAGTCAAGTTCGTGGGGGAGGCGGTGAAATAATTATAAATAATATGCAGTCAAGTTCGCGGGGGAGAGAACAGGCGTCTTCCCATCCGCCAATTAAAAAGGAAAGAATTCGTCAGCCGTCACCGGCAAGTAGTTCAAGTACCTCGTCTTCGGCATCGGTTAGTCCTGTGCCCAACTCCGGCTCCAGTCAAGTTCGTGGGGGTGGCGTCGGTTTGATGAAGACCGTCTTCACCTGTACCCACAGAAAGTCTCCACTTCTCAGCAAATTATCTCAGTAATGATGATAATTTTAATAAAACGAGATCTGGTTTAATTTTTAAAGTTTAGAGTTTAAACGCAGTCATACGTTGTTCGAAAAAGGAAAATTCAGTGCTTTGATAGCGTGCAGTTTTCGCAACCGGAAATGCAGTGTGTAGTGTGACTGCCGTGCTGTGCGGTTGCACTGCGATTTTCGACTGTGTTGCATAGCACACTGAAATTTCGCATTTGTCTGTTTGTTGTGGTTTTGCGTTTCCTCTCGATTTTCTCCAAGTCTCCTGAATCCTGGATCTCACATCGCCACTTCACCATGGACCTCCGGATGCCAGCGCTTGACGATCACATACATTTACCGGATCAGGCGTATATCTCTTTGGCATCGGACGGACATGCGTGGATTGCGCGATGGAGATGGATGGATCAGGATGGCAGGGTGGTGCACGCATCGCACAATCACGGGATGGTACAGGATGGATGGCTTATATTGGCACGGCCAAGACTCGTTCGTGGGGGTGACGTGGGAAGGAGGATGTACCCACATCGTACGTCCAGATGCCTCTAAGATGTCCGCCTTTCACCTGTAAATACGAGCCGCCATGTTATTATCTAGTCATCTCTCTACCTGTGATTGGTCGTACGATAAATCCCTAGCGATGTATGCCGTGTACTTCTACTAGTCTATATAAGCTCGAGTGATGCCTAATATCGGGAGCGGTCAGGAATCAGTCTTCGATTTCTGACATTCTTACTTCTCTGACTACTATGTGTCGAGGAAATACTTGTGAATTAGATTAAAGGGCAGTATGTTCTAAAGGCTACGACTGGCGTTCATAATCGACCTTTCGGATTATAGCGTAGTCAGCCGCAGTATACTCGCGTCACAATTGACTTTCACCTTGATCTGATCCTTGAATTACCCGAGACCAGAAGTGAGAAGTAAGGTATTCGTTTGTCTGTTCGTGTGGTTCGCAGGGCTCCTGATAGGGATTCCTGGTTCCTGTGTTCCGGTTCGTATCTTCATCGTTCCTCCAAGTTGTTTTCGCCATACCAGTTTGAGAGAGAAGAGTGCTCATACCGCTTAGCGTGGCTAGGAAGTGGTTACTCGACGTACCGATCTTGTAATACGACAAGCCGGCTGAAGCAATTCAACCAAAGGCAACGTCAAATGAGAGTATACAAACTATACACTAATGCAGTATGACCATTCCCACCTCAGCATAGGCTCGAGAGCACAGATTCCCACGTTACCGGCGAAGTAGGTTTGATTACAGATTGCGAGAGTTTCACTAGGCAAACAATGGTCTACCCTGCACCTACTCGTACAGATAGTGTGACTTACGTATATACGCAATGCCAGTACCGTATAAAACAATTAATTCATATTACAGGAAGGCACGCTTCCACTTTTCACCTACTCAGATTTAACGTCCGGTACGTGTAGGCCGAGACCACATAAACTAGTCCGTCCACGGGATTCTGGAAAGCGCTGAGTAGGGCTGTGTCTTCGTAGCGTTCCAAGGGCGCTTTAAACCAACGCAGTAAGCAAGATGCGTAGGCTTCCGGAGCCAGCTCCCGCATGAAATACTGTGTGGCTTGCATTTGAAAGTCCCAATCACTATATCCATGATTGTGCTGCAGTTCATGCTCCAGTGTCCAGTAAGGATATTTTATCCAACCAGATAAGTAATCACTGAAGCGTGGGGTGGCAATCGACGCCCAGGCTCCGGTCCATTTTCGCTCCGGCCGTGGATCATCGTAACCCAACTGTGCCAGACCACCGCCACTGGCGTCGAGCTTTTTCGGAAAGGTTACCAGATAGGTATCAGCTTTGCGGTCGTAATCGGCGTGTCGTCCATGTCGAACCGGGTCGCTCTGCATTATCCGATACCCCAACAACCACAAGCGGTATTTCGGCAGGTGGAACAGTATCCGAAAGTCAGAAACAAGTCGAGCTAAAACCTGCTTCTCTTTTGCTGTTACGGTCAGATATTTCGGATCATCCGTAGCATGTCTGCCATAACCGATCAATACGATCGAATACCATGGAAATGGGAAGATAACCTGCACGAACGAAACTGCGTGATAATATGTTTCCATTATAAAACAATATTTTCAACCAACCAAATTGCGTTACGCGCCTTCATTTGGATCAGACTTGGTATATAGATAGTATGAGCATTAAGTAATTTTTACCAACAACGCATAAGCCATGCACAACACAAAACTGACCTTTACGGTATCAATATCCGCAGTGCTCGTTAAACCAGGAATAGCCGTTTGATACTGATACACGGTCCAGTCGTTGATGGGGCCGGGGACGATAACGTCGATGGGCGCTTTTCCGCTTGTCTTGAAGAGAATTCGGCAACGCAGCTCGGTTAAAGCCCGGGGTGACCAGTTATTGATGGTCAGTGTAAAGGTCTGTCCCGACTGCTGTACGGTGACACTGATGTTGAGAGGACTGGTGAAATCATCGGGAAAAAGGGTGTTAACGTCCAACTGACCATCCTGCCACTTTTTAGCTTTAATTATTGTCAGAGCCGGATTCGGAGCCACCGTGGGGCATTGCTGAACTATAAATGCAACATAGCATGCATAGTCTACATCCACTGTTACTGCGTACATTTGTATGATTACATTGCACACGAAAATGAAAAATACGGTAAACGGCTTACCGTCACACCGAGCAAAGCAGTACTCCCAACTTGTTTCCGTATAACACCAAGGCGCATCGTCTCCGCTGGGATTTCGACAGTAGTTATGATTGCCCTCCGTGACGAATTTGGTTAGTGACCAGTTCTTGCAGGGCAATCCACTAAAGGTTGTTGATTTCGTAACGGTGTACTTATTCAGCTGGCAAATAGGACTACCCGCTTCAGCGCACTCGTCGCCCTCACTGACGCAGGTCAACGTGTTCGCTACCGAAAGGAAATGGTAAATTTTGCGATCGACAAATCTTACTGAATTGTTTTGTCTGCAATAATTTTGACTTTTAATTAATAGAGGCCTAATACTACGATATTCAATAAGCGTTTACTCAACGCAAAATTAATACTGTATTGAACTACAATCACCAAGCAAAAGCCTAGACTAGTGCCTCGCATACAGTGTCACCTACTTGGACAATCTGGATAACAGTAGTTCCATCGTTCATTAGGATCCGTTGTGTAACACCATGGACCATCTGAGCCATCTGGATTGGCGCAAAAATTATGGGTACCCACTTCGGGAAATCGACTGTTGCTCCATGATTGGCAAGTCTTGCCGCTGACGGTGGTCGATTTGTTGGTTACAATGCCTTTACTTTGACACAAACCGGTCTTCTGGTAGGCGCACTTGTTGGTCTGATCCACGCACTGATACTTTGCTATAAATAAGGATATGCATGTTCATTAAGTTGCCGGTTTGCAGTTTTCGGACGCATTTTTTTACTTACGTTTTTCGCATGAATTCTTGAACAATGTAGCGGTTCCCGATGGCAAAGCCGTTGACGTCCATCGTTTGGCATGCGTGACGGTGGCACTCTCGTTTCCGTAGAGGACACAGTCCAGTGTTTTGGCGTAGTGTCCAATAGACGAGCAGCGAAAATCGTATACTTCGAGTGCATAACGACAAGCGACTTTACATTCATCCAGCGAATACTGCTTCAGCCATATCAGCGCCGGAAAGGGACCGACAGATGTCAGACTGTCGAAGCATGATACGTCCGGTGCTGCACAATCAGAACTGGTTAGTTTTTTTCTAAATTGTAACAATTATCAATAGGTAACTGTAGTAACGATGCTGCTTCTGCGTATGTACCTGCAGCGACATAGGCGCTGGCCAGCGTCAGTGCGACCGCGAATAATCTGGAAGAAAACAATAATACAGAAACCGACCTTACTGTGGTAATGGAAAGGTTAAAGGTCACCACGTAATTAGGGATGGCTTCCCTTTTGATTATCCAAGTAGGCTAATAAATTAACTGTACACTGTTTAATTTATGCAGGTATTCAAAGTCGCAGCCTTGGTCATAGGTTTAGTTTGCAGTATTTATCATCTTTTCAATACCGTTTTCGACCATTTTCATGCTTTAATACAGCTTATGGAAAACTTGCTAATACCACGGCAATAACTTACCTCAATAATTTTGTACTTGACTATTCAAACTTAAAACGGTAAGTTACAGTCATTAAAATTTTAAGAATTTAGAAGTACCTGCAGATAATCCCGACAGCCATTTGGCGTTGGTATGAGGCTTCAGCTTGCAATTGCATCCAGTTGCAGTCTGTACAGTACTTTACAACTCCAGGTCTGTAGTGCGCAGACGTTCGTTTAAATTCCAGAACGATCAAACGTCAGGTACCTCATGGTCAGGAGCCGTAGACCCAAGAAAACAACATTATTCCAAATAGTTATCAAGTAATTTTATGGACAATCCAGAAAGGTGAACTGCAACACGAAGACGTCGTGCCCAAACATGGACGAAAATTTATTGTGTCTGAAGTCTTGAGCCAATAACCCAAGTTATTGTACGTGGTCCAACAACTGGCCTGTGGTTCACCAGAGCAGTTGCATTATACGAACTTAAACGACGGGTTTAAAATTTTTACGGTACGTAATATTGCACTTCATTCATACTCGTACTTAAACTCTTTGTCCGTGCCTGGATTGCCAGATCTCGATGATCGGCATTTTGAAAAGAACACTTTACTTCCGACAGAAATATAGATATAAGTACTGATGAATCAGTGGTGGAACAACTGCGAGTAGGCACCAAGCAAACTTTTTGACTTTTCGAAAAAATGTCATTTTTTTGTACCTTTTTTCAAGTATTTTGAATACAATTTTTTTTCATGACAGGGTGCAACAAAAGGTTCATCTGGAACTTGTAGCTATAATCTTTGCCCTTTCACAAACGGGTTTGAATCAAGCCTACTTCCAAAGCGATGGTATGCAAATTGTGTTAAAAAAATCTGCTACCGGATTTTACTAGAATTAAATGTGCAAAGTGTCCATTCTTTGGCTTCTTACAATTAGCCAGACACGACCATTGGAATGTGTCACCGTAAAACAACTACTCTAGAAAGAATCCCTCTACCCGAAATATCAATTTGATGTACAATACATGTACAAGTACAACAGTTTACTTATGTTACGAGTTGGTTTAATATCTGCAATTACAGTTTTGAAACTGGGGAAATTGGAATCGTGGTTTCCAGAACATCATTCAACTCCTCCATTTTTTAAAAATAACTCAGAAGAAAACTGTTCTATGACGTTGTTGGACTTCACTTTTGTATATTAAAGCCATTGTTGTTTCAAATAAAATTAACACGATGTCACATTTGTCTCTCAAGACCAACTCAAACTTTCTGTTAGAAATTGTTATTATAAAAATGTTAATGTTTTGCATTACATTATATTTTGAATATTTTAGATCATTGCTCTACACAACAGGGGTTCTTTTATCAAGCTTTCTGAATCAAGCTTTTGTTTACAGAACATGGTAAAAATGTAGCAATTCAATAAATCAAGAATATGCACAACATCCAAATTAAGAAATCCACGGTAGTTTACAATCTTAAATGGCACGCGTCAAAGGTCACGTATAGCTTTCATGTTCTTCGTGCTGAATCACCGACTGGTGTTCCGAATCGGCGAGTCTTTTTGCGCCGCCAAACATTGGTTGTCCGGTTGTTTTCCTCCTCCATGCAAGATAACCAAGTACGGTTATAAGGGGTACAATTAAGGCGATAGCGACACCAATTCCCACCAGACCACCCGCAGATATGCCCTGGGACGGCGTGGCCGGAGTGGTTTCCACTCCGCCAATCGGGTCTTTTGATGGTGTGCTACCCGGCAATGTTATTGGTGGTGTTCGTCCGGTGGTCATTGTGGAAGATCGCATCGACGTCACCGTGGACGAACCTATAAACAGAAATTAAATATTCCGTATGAAAACTTGCTATCATTAGATCCAGTTTCTTACTACTCACCAGTGGGGCCTGGAGGCAGAGTTTGTGCCGAAGAGCGTGATGTTGTCGATGCGACGGTCGTTGTAGGGTCACTTGTGCCCGTTGTGGGGATTTTCCTCGTTTCGCAGATGTAGCCTCTGGGATGTTGGGCATTTACCTCACAAGCCATGTTCACCCATTTCCCGTCGTTACGCATTTCCGCGCAGGTCTCACGAGGCCAACTGGCACCAGGTTTGCCTGGAAAAATTTGCAATATTTTAGCACTACGCCACCGAAAAAATTTTCCGTGCAATGGACTGAGTGAAGTAAACATTTTTGAAAGCATCCCTTTTTTACTGACCTTCTGCCCAGTTAGCCACGCTACCAAACGGCACATCCGAATCCATCCACTTCCATTCATACCGGGATCCCCACATGTCCATTTGTTCTTCCACCAAACCGATCCAAGCTCCCGTTGAATGCTCCACATACTGCTGCAGACAGGCATTATCCTCCATGCTCCTTATCGATGCCAAACTACCATTTATAGCCGTACATGCATCTCTTGCTTCGGACCATGTATAATTTTTCGATTCGGTAGGCAATTCCACTTTGTAGCAGAAGGTACCACGGCAGTCAACTGAAAATCCCTCCGGACAAACACCGTTTACTGGTTCCGGATGCTTCGAACATTCCGCTAAAATTAGTCAGTAGTGATATTAACTTCGATGTATTTTTACTACAGACTGTACATAGTCTTAAGCTGTTAAGCACATATAAAAAATCTAACGTTTGCTTGCTTCTCGAATATTGCAGCACTTTTCACTTTTCTAAATTTAATTTGTTTTACAGTAACATACTACTCATCTGTGAATTTTCCTTATTTTTTGGCAATGCAAATTGGAAAATAACAAAATAATTGCAAGCTTGTTAACTACGATAGAAATCTTGCTGCTGGGTGTTTGTAATCTTTTTCGCTCACGATTTCTGATTTCGCAGACCGCGTAATTTTTCGCTGCCGCCGAGCAATGACCCGTTTGCCACACTCCATCATACGTCATGAAAACGCACGATGGCACACCGGTATCGGGTAGGGAATAAAACCCGGGGATGTTGTTGTATGTAGGCAGACATTCGCTGACCGTCCACCCGAGACTTCGTGATGTCACTTTCGATCCTATCCACGCCTCCGCGGAGGAAGTGTTAGCAAACTTGACCTTTTCAGCCAAAAGAACGTGGATTTGTGCGTTCTCGTAAACATTAGTAACCGAAGCAATACGGGATCCAGAATTTCCATCTCCACACAGGGCTACTCCATCATCCCAGGTACGCCTGCCAGCCGGCAGTTCGATCACTTTGAGGCAACCGCTGGGGAAATCGGTAAATCCAGCGGGGCAGTTCTGGGTTGGCGCAACCGCAGGAAACTGAGGATCTAAGCGACGATAAAAAATAATTCAACTATACTTTGCAGATATTTATTTTCAGCATTTCTCCCGACTCCAGAGTTACAAAAATACGAACCTTTTTTTACTTTGCAGATGTACGGGAGCCTTGTACGACAAAAATGATCATTCCATCGTCCCGCTCTTCCAGCTTCGCCAAGGATGTATACGCAAAGTGGTTCCTAAAAGTTAGTTTGTGATTAGCATTGTGTTACAGCCATTTAGCAACGGACGCCGTAAATTCAGAGTTACATCCAGAAATCTACTTCGTTATAATTATGGCAAAGGTCACACCTGTGGATAGGGAATAGGTTCATTAAAATCCCAGTTAGTATAGTCCAGAGGAGTGTCGTCGGTGTAGAAAAACGACTGCTTTTGTGAGTCTTCGAATAATCCCATCCACCTATCGACTCTATCTTTTCCCATTTGTGCCACTACAAATGACTCCTCCAGTATGTCGTGGATGGACAGCAGATGCGACTGCTTGGAGAAATCATCGTTTGGATAAATGAATTTGCAGTTGGTGTGGGCTGTGTTCCAACCTGCTTGAGTAAGGGCCGCAGAAAAATAATAACAGCTTTCTCCTGTTATAAAAAATTAAAGAGTTAATTAAAATTAAAATCTTAAAATCTTGGAAGTACTGTTTAGTAGTGTTTACCATCAGGTACGCGAAAAACTGTATTGCTTACTGAATGGTACACAGTTCGGACATGGACAGCCCCAGGTTTCATAACTCGCCGGTGGTGTCGGGGTCACAGTCGGCACAATAGGTGTTCGGCGCTTTTTACAAACATACGGAAAATCCACTCCGCACACTTCATCCTTCCATTTGCCAGTGCGACTGTCCATAGTCACACAAGCCTCCACACCAAAAGGATGGGGCTCACCGGGCGCCCATGCGCGGAAGTACGAAGTGGACCCGTCGACCCATGCATGCTGATTCGTGGCGACGTCACGCAGCCGCAATCCAATCCAAAATTGAGTAGCGTTGCCTGCTTGCTTGCCTAGCACGGTCGTAAGAAAGTCCTGCTGGTCTGCTTCGACGGTTGCTAAATGTGCTTGAGCACTATTGCACAGTGTTTCCGCATTGCCCCAGTTTACGTCGAAACGGGAAACAAGGAAACACGAATCAGACTGGGGGTGATAAAACCAATCGCCATGTGAACTTTCTCCGCAAGTTTCTAAAAGGGTGATACAAATTTCACCAACAATGGACAACAGATCCGCATAAGTAACTTTTTTTTGTAAATGCGTGCCACTTTAAATAGTCTGTGAAAAATTATTTTTAAAAAAGTGGCTTAAAATTTTCAGTAAACTTACCGTTTTTTTCTATTGTTTTCTCCGTTTCACAAATGTATCCCCTGGGATGCTGATGCCTTCCATCGCAACCGTAATTGTACCACTTTCCATCGCTTCCCATCTCCGCGCATGGCTCGCGAGCAAATCCACTCCCGCTTGGTTTACCTGATTAACAAAACAAGCGCATGTTGCTGTGTCAGGGATGTGACCATTTCGCTAAACACTTTTCTCGACGGTGTACCCGGTCCCCAGTTGTTGAAGCTTCCAAACTGCGCGGCCGGATCCATCCACGACCATTCGTACCTGCCGGGCCAGCTGCTGTCCACCTGCTTCTCAACCAGGCCTATCCATGCACCGGTCGAGTGCTCCACCCATCGCTGTAAACAAATATTCTCTTCTTCGCTGCGTATTGACGCCAGGCTTCCGTTCAGAGCAACGCAGGCTGCTTTGGCTTCGTTCCACGTGTACGAGACATTTTTGGTTGGTGTAGGAACTTCCACTCGGTAACAGAACTGACCACCGCAGTCAATGCTGGCTCCATCGGGACATGTTCCGTTGACTGGCTCCGGAGCTTTTGGACATTCGGCTAAAAAACTCAGTATTTGGTTCAGGTACTTAATTAAATCTTGCGTAATTATATGTTACATAGGCACAGTTGGTTTAAAATATGGTTCCAATCAAATATGAACTGTACTAATGCGTATATATAATCGTGTAAGATATATTTGTATATGAATATAGCTATACAGCATAAAATTAAACTTTGATCTGGGACTTACGTTCACGAACTTCACAAACAGCATAATAAATTAGATCGGCGGTACAAGGAGCCGTATGCCAAACTCCATCGTATGTAAAGACTCCGCAGGTTGTCATATCGACTGTCGGTACGGAGTAGAATTCACGAATGTTGTTGTATGTCGGCAGACATCCGCTCGTCGGCCACGACAGCTTCCTCTGTCGTTCTTGCAATCCAATCCATGCTTTAGCATAGGAATCGTTTTTGAACCCAAGCCTTTCCGCCAGCAGTACGTGAATCTGGGCGTTCTCGTAAACATTCGTTATACTGGCAATACGCGATCCAGTGGTTTGACTACGGCACGTGGCTACTGCGCTGTCCCAATCATGCAGTCCAGATAATTCTATAACTTTGAAACAAGCGTCTCCTACACCGCTGAATCCAGTAGGACACTTTGTAGTTGGTGGCGCAGTTGGTGGGCTGAATTTAGCGTCTGGATATGAAAAATTATTATTGTTTTTTTCAATATAAATTTTCTTTTTGGATACAATATTAATCATGAAGCACATCTGACCTTTTTTCATTTTGCAGATGTACGGATATCTGTCGCGACAAAAGTGGTCATTCCATGTTCCGGCTCGTCCCGCTTCTCCCAGAATGTATACGCAGAGAGACTCCTAAGATTTGAACGAGATATATATGAACGGCTAACGAGCAAACATCATGGAAAATAAATAAACAGCTACATATATGAATGCGAACCGTGGTAAGTAAGCAACTGCCATAAGAGTATTGCCACAGCCCAATAATACTACTAATATTAATGTTACTGGGCTGTGGTATTGCTCACTAGTGCTAACCTGTGGATACGGTACGGGCTCACTGAAATCCCAGTTTGTATAATCAAACGGTGTGTCATCACTGTAAAACCATCCTTTCTTTTGTCTGTCCTCGAAAAGACCCATCCATCTATTCACCCGGTCTCTTCCCATCTGAGCTACTACGAATGACTGCTCCAAAGCGTCATGAATAGATAAAAGTTGCGAACTTTTAGTATGGTCCTCTTCGTTCATGTACAGATATCCGCAACTAGCGTGCGCATTATTCCAGTCCGCTTGAGAAAGTGGTGAAGAGAAGAAATAACAACTATCCCCTGATAAAAATTAAAAATGATTACATATACCAATGCCTAACAATTGTTGTTAATTGAAATAAAAATGTTATCGTTTACTCGTGAAAACTGAGCGTGACCAGTCATGTTATACCGATCACATTGCGATTATTATTCTTATTATTATTATTATTAATGTTTATTGTCCTATGCACGGAGCAGTTGCTCCCTCTAGGCTACAGACAGCAGAAGTAAGAAAGAAAAAGAAAATACGATAAGAAAGAAAATACGATAAGAAATTACGATAAGAAAGGCGACCCTTACTGAATGGTCAACATCCTGTTAAAAAATACTTGTTTATACTTATGTAGGCTTGACAATATTTCTCGTTAAAATAAAATGACGTCGTTGTGATAATGAATATGACCATATTATCGATGCAATTTAGGAAAGGTCACCCTTACTGAATGATAAACATCCTGGGCATTGTGTAGGACAGCCCCAGGTATTCCAAGCCGATGACGGTGGGGGTGTCGCCGTCGCTATCGATATTGGGTTCGGACTCCTCCGGCAGATAAACTCGAAAGCCACACCGCATACTTCGTCTCTCCATTTTCCAATGCGATTGTCCATTGAGACGCAGGCTTCCACTCCGAAAGGATGTGGCTCATCAGCGGCCCAGGCGCGGAAATGCGAATTGGACCCATCCACCCACGCGTGCTGATTGGTGGCAACATCGCGTAAACGTAAGCCAATCCAAAACTGTGTGTTAGTTGTCGTTTGCTTCGATATGACCATGGCCAGGAAATCGTGTTGTCCAGCATCGATGCTGGCGAGGTTTGATTCAATGCCGTTACAGAAGCTCTGAGCGCTCATCCACGATTCTTGGAAACGGGAGACAAAAAAGCAAGTATCAGATTGTGCATGGTAGAACCAATCTCCTCTGGCCGAATATGGTCCACACGTTTCTGAAATAATATTTAAAATTGCATGAATAATAAATAACTTGAAAGTAGTAATAAAGCGTCCGTTTTTGATAAAAAGACACTTGACAAATTACAAATTCTACATAAATACACAGCGACTACAGTTTCTCACGATTGGTTTCGATAGTTGGCGGCAAGGTTGGTAATTCTTCTCCTTCTGTGTAAAATCCCTTCGGGACTTCACAAACCCATCCCCATGATAGTTGGCAGTTCTGCTTAATCCATGATCCAGTGTACGCTTCCATTGCCACACAATCGACAACATCTGTTGTGCTGTGATCCAACATGGAATTGAAGAAAGTGTTCGTGCCGTAGACGCTTCCGTCGGACCACGCCCAGGACTGATCTTTCTCTTTCAACCCAATCCAAAAGTTTTCCCTTTGCTGGTTCGCCTGCCAAGAGGTATATGGCAGCATAAAGCTGATAACATTCTGTTCGTTGAGAGAGTCAATGGATGCCAGATGACCTCGATAACCGATGCAGAAATCTTCCGCTTCCTGCCATGTGAGCTTCCTTAAAGCTGGACCGCTAGCAGTTGCCGCGGCCGAAGGATCAAACAACTATCAATTGAAACAATATAATAACTATGAGGAAAGCAAATGGCGATGTATAAAAATTTATGTATACGGTATAAGTAGCATGAATATATACTGCGGTAGTAGTAATCGTAATCTGTTGTAGTCTTACGTCATAGTAAATGCATGTTACCGGTACGATTTTATTTTTTGATTATTACTGCACACAAAATGAGACATGATTTCGATACTCACTTTGTAGCAACTCCTTGATACTGTATCGGGTGTCCTCCAATCTTTTGGGCATCCACTGACGAATGCCGTCGGAGCCGGAGTGGGCGGTGTCCAGCCTTCGCGTCTCCCTTCACAAAGTGCAAACTTGTACGACGAACAGGGGTTCACATACCACTCCCCGGGATTGTGCAGATCCCCTCTGGCCGCCACCAGCGCCACACATCCTCGGTTTCCTTGAGAGACATGCGGCTCACTGTGCGCCCAGTTGGTGTACGCCACATTCTCCCCGGTCACCCATTTCTTGAAGGCATCCCACGGCATCTCTTCTTCTTTCAGTCCAATCCAGTAATCCGAACTCCACTGTCCAATTAAGTGTGCAATAAATTCCTGCTTATCTGCATTGTTAATGATCACCAGATCGGCATCAAAATGTTTGCGGCACATAGCCCGCGCGTCCTCAAAGGTCAACGGCTCCCGCTGTCCGCTGGGATTGCTGGCGTCGTTGCCCATGTACAGACAGGATTCTTTGTACCCGTAACCCCAGCGGCGACAACCGGTATCGTGGGGTGGAGTGATACATTCCGGTGGGAGGAGCTCCGTTTTCACTTCCGGTAGCATACAGACAAATGGACGTTGTGTACCGCAGGAGTAGGAGTCAATCGTTGTTCCTGTTACAGCCACGCAGTCGACATCCGTCGGATTGGGTTTACCCGGTCTGGCGATCTGGTCATTCCAGGGAGTGTACAGCACCGGACTACCGTCGTCGTTGCGGTAGATACGAGGGTCAACTGGCTGCGCTCTGCTGTTCAGACCAATCCATGCATCTCGCAGCATTTCTTTCATTTGCTGCAGCTGTGTTTGGGATGCGATGGCGGCGAGATGGGCTTGCTCTTTCCGACAAGTCTCACTTGCAACCGTCCAGGACACCGCCGTCACATTGCGTCGAAAACAGCTCGTACCTTGATGATGCCAACCTTTTGGACAGCCGTACGTAAAATCTGCAAAAAAGTTCATTTCATTTTTACTAATAATATTTACGATTATTAGGATCTATAAAATTAACCTGACTGATATGATTAAAAGCGTGTACCCATGACAAATTTACATAAACTCGTGCAGACTGAGTGAACATCACTAAATCTTCACAGATTATTTAATAGAGGTTACACGAATACAGAATGAAGTACCAAATGGCAGTGCTGTGGTAGTCGAAGTAATTGTCTGCGTAATGTTGGCTGGTTTTTTGCATACGGAAAATCGTAGTTGATTATTGCAAGATTCTGGCAACCAACCCCCTCCGCTTGCTTTCAAGGTGACACAGGCCGGATTTCTCGTTGAGGCAGAGTCAAATTTTGCGTCTGCAGCACAATATGCGTGTTTTTAACTAATTGTAACTGTTTAGGAATATTTGCATCTTTTTCAGAGAAAACTGATCCACGTTGCGCAGCAAGCCTTACTTGACGCGAAATTGGTGTAAGCAACCGGTAGTTCCCAAATTTGTCCACTACGACCTTTCCAGTACCACTGGTCGGGCTTTTCAATCTGCAAGGCAGTCCAGTACGAAGCATCGGTTGTCATCAGTGATGATGTCAAATTTCGCCGCCCATTCAGCATTTCTGCTCAAAATTATGCTTGTTAAGCATTGGAAGCTTTATAATATAAGCGAGGCAGACGATTTGATCTTAAGAAAATATTAGACACAATTTTACTAGAATTGCTTTTGGAACACGTGCGTGTTTACGTTTACGAACCAACGACATCCCGTTCTTCTTCCGGCGAAGTGAGGTATAGTAGTTGACTATCTGGACCTTCACTGTGGCACACTTGTAAAGCCAAACCAAAATTCAGCGTTTCCAAGTTAAGTTTATAGCAGTTACTGCCGATTAAAACCCAATTCTCTCCACACTCAGGGTAAAAGAAGGTTGGTTCGGGTTTTGGAGGAGCTGGTTCTAGAATATTCATGTAATTATAAGATATCAGAGCGTAATTTATTCCTTGTAATGCGTTCAAGCAGCATTTAATTTTTTCGTTATGAAGCCTGTAATTGCTAAAACCTAATTAAAATTCAGCATTTACCTCCCCGATGAGTGCATATGAATGGTTTCTTATCACTGCACGGACGAGAAAACCATTTTCCTCGATAATAATCGTACGTCGATATATCCATTATAAAGCAGTAGGCATTATCGTCTATTGTTACTTGTCCAAGATTCTTGTAGTCCGCCTCGCTCACCTGCAACACCGGCGACCAGTAACATCAGCAAGCTGGGATTACCACATGTGATAAGCAGACTTTTTAAGTAATTAAGATACATTTAATTACGGCACTTGCATTTCTTCCGTCGGCATACTGTAGGAAGCTGTCTAAATCAGAGTTCATATTTGGTCTAATCACGCGAAATCCAATCCAGGTATCCGTAGAGAGCTGATCTACATCAAACAGTCATGCAGTGCACCCCAAATTTTATTTGCACACAATTACAGGCATATGAATGACAATAAGAACATAGATTTTGATACGTAATGTGTCTGACCTTTAATGTAGTTGTTCTCCGCCATACTGTCAATTTGAACCAGGAGAGAATTTATTTGGTAGCATGCTGCACGCGCTGCATCCCAGGTGACGAGATCAGATGAAAACCAGTAGCATCGATCGTGATACAGAACAAATGGAGGATCACACTTTAAAGGCTCTGAAAATGTACATTATTGATGGCGTACAATTTTTATTACGTATATCTATTACGAAGTTCTTCAACATTTTCTTACTAGCGTTTAACTTCTGTTCTCACAAAGCCACAATGCCAGCTGAACATGTGGTGCGAAAATGAGTAACGTTTTTTTATGGTGTTTTGGAAATTCAAACTCACCATGTACAGCATCAGCTTGCACTGCATCCTGTGGACCAGCTTGACAAATGAAGTTGGACGGACTACCACAGTGAGTCGTCTCCCATGGTAAGGGTATGACACTTGTCGCACCTAAAATCGTCGGCATTTGTGTTTACAAATACTTGCGTTAACAGTACAGTACTTACGACAAAAAATGGCTTTACAAAAAGCTTTTAGGGCGTTTCACTTTTATTCTTTTATTATACAGCTACCTGAAGCTACCGCGCCCATTCGAGCACAGAACTGTTTCCCTTGCACCGCTGGCAGAGGTTGTGCAAATCCCCAGTTGAAATATCCTCCACTGCTTAAATCGTCGGGAGTGGTCAACCAAGAATACGATCCCGATCCAAAACCTAAAAAAGGGCTGTTCCGTATAATACAAAAATAATTACGCTTTAAAAAGGTCATCAACTACATCGGATGACACAAATTATGATTTGAATTGATTTTGTCAGTTAGTAGCTAGCCGAGAGTCTCCATACAGTACTTACTGCTGAGACCAATCCAGAATTGTTTGCTCCAAACTCCCGGTGCAGTTTCCCATTCCAGTCCCAGAGCCGATATTCGTGCTTCCAAGAACTGCTGAACGGAGGGGTTTTGTACGACAACTAAATGGCCGCCTTGATTTTGACACTCCGTCGATGCGTCGTTCCACGTCTTCTTATCGCTATCAGATCCGTGGATTTGGTAACAGTGATTGCCGTAATGATTCCAACCGTATGGGCAAATCTCTGGAGATCGGATGACAACAAAACTTACAAAAACATTTTTTACCTTGTGTGTCGACATAAAAAAATCACGCTCCGGTGAAACAATTCGAGTACCCAGAACTTACCCATATCGGTTTCACACGCAAAGGCTTTTTGCGCTCTGTCGCATTCGTCCACTTCCGTGCCGATGCGCCATTTCGGCACAATTTGGTAACTACCGGCAATAAACTCTTCTGTTTTTATATCCTGTGTTGCACAGTGTTGTCTTCCTGCAGGCAAATTATTCCTATAACAAGGCCATGTGAAATGTTAATAAAACCATTTAAAAGCGGCATATAATACGGGTGCACAATTGTACGTACAATATAACGGTAATATTGGAACTTCCGATAGCAATCCACGGATCAGTATCTCCCGGCCTTATAACCGAAGTGTCGTCTTCCCACGCAACCAGCTGAGCATTAAACCCGGTTTGTGGTTTGGTGACCGTTAAACCAATCCACATCTCTTTGACATTGAATTTCACCAAAAGATTCGTTAGGTAATCTGTTTCGCTGGGATCACTCGGCACGGCAATATGAGATCCTTCAGCACTATTTTATTACAATCAAAATCACATAAGAGCAAAAAAGAAAATGGCGGGATAGCAAAACCACACGTACAGGCATATTCTTGCCGCTTCGTTCCACGTGGTCAACATGGCTGATGTATCGGACGTTGTATACATTTTCAAGCAGCGGCCATTGAAGTACGCCCATCCATCTTCTGTTTTGCACAGTGGTCGACTAGCTATTCAAAGACATATTTTCATTAGATAAGTCAAGCTGCAAAATAATTCCAATGTTTACAATATTTGGCTTTGCAGATGTAATTCATATCACTTTGAGCATCCGGAAAGGTCATAGCCACTTTGGGAACCCATTTAGCTTGAGACGAGTCGGCTTCCATGTACACCCGTGCTTTAAGTTTGCTAGATTCCATAGAAGTTTGGAACGAGAAATCCAGTGCCGGATTACTGAAACAGAGCGACTAAAGCTTTTGCCAAAAAAATTTAAATGATACATACATCAGAGATGTTGCGTAAAAATTCACTAACTAGCGGCACATTAGAAATTATTGCTGTGTACTCGTATGATACGTACGTAAGTATTCAGATATCTCTAATTGCAGAAGTACAGATCTATGTACATAATAATTACGAGTATTATATGCATAGAAATATAAATATTCCTCACCGGGGATTTTTGCTGTAATTGCCATTAATGTATTCCATTTGTTACAAACTTAAATTAATTTCACATTATACCGTAGGTACAGCGTCGATTGTTTTTTTGTGGAAGACGGGTATATTCAATTAAACAGAGTAATTAATTAGCGGTATGCTACTAAGATAACCTACAAATCTCCAAGATCTCCCAGTGAGAACACGCGGTCTACACCGGTCCATTTCCACACACCGGTCTCGAACGATAGACCAATCCAGTAACGGTGATCATAAAAGTCTCGGGACCGCATATTCAATTCCAGAAATTCCTGTAAATATTTTCGAACGATACTGTCTGTAAAATCCATTGTACGTCTGTAATTATGTTCTTGACCGACGTACCCGCTCGGGAGCATTTTGGACATCGACCAGCTGTCCACCTTGGACCATGCAGTCTGACTGTGCTTCGCTAAAAGTTCGCCTTTCCCGGCCGTTTTCGCTTCGATGCACAAATAAGTAACAGAAAGTGCTGTTTCGGCGGGGTGTCCATTCTGGTCCGGGACAACGGTATCCGTATGCATTTGTCACTGCAAATTACCAGAAGATTACTTATTAAATTTTTCCTCTATGCTGAATACAGAGTATCAAGCTTAATTTTAATCGACATTCGCGTCTGTCATCGATGCAAGACTAACAATTATAAACACATTTTGGGTTTGGTTTCTCTACAACCTCACTTACCTAGTACAGCACTTATAACAATTAATCCAAGTGTCAGTATTTCGGGCCTCAACATTTTTTAGGATAGAAAATATACAGCAAATCTAAATTGTAAACCTCTATACGAGAAATTTGTAAGGAAACTGTCAAGCGGAAGCCATGATGTTCGGCAGTTTTGTCACACATATGCATGAGTTCTGCTGCAGTACTACAGCGCTCAAGTAAGCTGGGTATACGCTATACGTTTTACTCGCTGCAGTTGAATTTTCGTTTTCCATTTTTATGATAAAGTTGAATTTACAAGATTACAATTAACCCCAGCCCCGAATCGCTATTCAACTGTTTGTTGTCTGAACCGATAGTTTCATTTACCACTAAAGAAAAGAAACAATAATAATATTGTTACTCAGCGTAAGACCTTATCGACAGCGGGTTATCGCCGTTTGCTACTACAGTGTATGTGTACGACAAAATTGCGTTGTGCATATAGATAGATTGAGCAATTTAGTTATGCATAATGCATAATTAATCATATGCAGTTCTTATTGCCCACTTTTGGAGACTTACCTAAAAGTAACGAAACATCTAGAGTAATACAATACAAACCACAAAGGTGCTGAATTAATAATGAATTCCCAAAGTCCGTTACTTGCCGACTACAGTTCCTTCATATGCCTAGAATAAGACAGTATTTAACCTAATCCTAATTTCACGTTCTCTGTAGCTAAGTACTGTAATTAGTTGTGTATCTGTATGTGGTATAGCAAATAAACTGAACAAAACTTAAAAAACAAATAAATCTAATAACAGCGGTTTTACGTATGAACAGTTTTACGCTTACTGTTTTCTATCCCACTCGTGCGGCATGCTCTTCTGGGCATGAAATATTCTGGATATAGTTCCCTCTACGTCGATATATACTTAAAATTTAAATTAAATTGGAAATGGAAGTTGTTCTAATTTAGAGCTTGTGTCACATGACAGCAAGTACCGATAAAATAGTGAAGTGGTACCGAATGATGATTGGAACGTCGGCATTATATAGGTCACATGCAATACCGCGTCCATGTCGACCTGTCGCCGACAGCTTCGTGAAGGTCACGATAAATCCTTTTGTTCCGTATGGAGTACATATTTTGATGGGCACTGAAACACGCATGTGTTGCTGGTAGCAATCTGGTACTATCGCCGCAGTGGTACCGTTGTATGCCATCGTATGCATACTTGTATGCCATTCGTATTACGTGAAAGGAAATTCATAGATCGATGTTTATTAGCAAGCTTGCAAACAATAATATTGTGTAATTATTATATAAACATATCCAACACGCTACGCAATAATTGCCGTCAAACGGTACAAAATAACCGAACCACGCCATCACCCATCAGATCACATCTTAACAACAAATTCCTCAAACACTCATGTACAGTTCCAGCCAGTAATTTCTCTCTACGTATAGCTATCATACGCTTGCTCCGGATCAATTACCGGCTCCTCGTCCACGGCCATTCCTCGCTTAAAGGACGACTGAGACTTATCGACGTGGCCCACATTTCTCCGTTTCCAGAAGATGTATCCCGCAACGGTCAGCGCCGGTACGAGAATGGCAATGGTCACACCGATACCCGCTAAACCTCCTGCACCGATGCCGCCGGTGTATGTCTCAGGCAAAATCGTGGGAGGCGGGGTACCTTCTTCCCGTCGGGTGGACCCTGTGGACGAGCCACCTGCAGGAGTCTGGTGGGTAGGACCTGTCGGCGCCGAGGTCGACGATCCTGTGAAAAAGATTCAACAATGCACTGGCGACCTTTGTTTAACTTTGTTCAGACTGCTGGTGAATAATATTTGTTAACTTAAACTATAGATCAGATATATATATAGAATAGAATAGTGATATAGAATAGACTATTTATATAGTAGTTTTTTTGCACGTGTTGGTTCTTATGCTCATGAGTCTGATAAAATGTTTACTCCTGAAAACTGGCCTCCTAATATTGGGATGCGAGAGTGGTTGTTCGCCCCCAAGGATGCTCAGTGATCCCTAATCCCTAATTACGCATTTTTCCCTCAGTAATTTTAGTTCAGTTTGACCAATAAAAATACGGTCCGTAACCAACTACATACAAATACATTTCTTGTCCCAGCATAGTAAAACTATCTCTGTCCGCACAAGCCGTTTTATCGTAATTAATAATTAGCAACTGCTTTGGATTAACGCCGTTATTGCAACTACAGTATATTGTCTGAAATTCAAGAATATATGCTACAACGCAGGCATTTTTTTGCTACACACATTTATGGTTTTTTTCGCTTTATCGTTGCTTTACCTGGTTGTGGAGGCGGTGTTTGTCTAGTCGTCGGGGTTGGGATTGTTTGAACCGAAGGTGCTGTTGGCACAGTCGGCTGCGTCCGCGTCGTTTGCGGAGGTTGAGTGCTCACACCATCGCCGATCTTTCGTGCCTCACATACGTATCCACGTCGCGTGTTGTACCAGTCGTTACAAGGAACATTGTTCCACAATCCATTCGGCAAAATCTCCACACAATCTTCTCGTGGATTAAAATACGTTGGTTCGCCTGTAAGAAAAAATTACTGACGCGTGTCAATCACTCCCCTAGACGTTTTACTTACCGGTGTTCCAGTTAGCAAAGTTTCCAAGTGCAACGGTATCGTCAATCCACTTCCAGGTGTACGAATTGGTTGCAACATCGTACTGCTCGTACAGACCAATCCAGAGGCTTTCAAAAGCGTCTTTCATATAGCGCATCAGGCATTCCTGATCCTGTTGGCTGCGAATAGATACCAAACTTCCGCCTCGGCTCTGGCAGTCCACTCGGGCTTCCTGGAAACTCTTCTTGGCGATTGAATTGGGAGCTTGGACGGTGTTATACTGCAGTGCTAAACAGTAGTCATTGCATTCATTCGGGAAACCGGTTGGACAGTGTCCAGTGAACTGCGGTGGGACGGTTTGACAAGGAGCTGTAAAAAGGTAATAAATTTTAATCACCCTATATCACCGTTTCTGTAAAGCAGCCTTTCTTTGTATAACTACTGCTATATAAAACAGCGGATGTATAGCTGCTATGTAAAAGTAGTACAATCATTGTTAATCACCTTTATCACCGTTTCCATTTAATTACTGTACTTCAGTAAAGCACAACTATTGCTATTATAAAACAGCGGATCCATATTGCTGCAGGTTATTTAGCAAGCTTGCTTACTTAATCGTCTTTCGCAAATCGTGTATTTCAGCGTGGCATTGACACCGGTACAATCCTCCAGTTTCCACTTTCCATTCCACTCCATATACACACATTTCTTATCTCGGCCCGAATACGAATAGAAGTCCTGGATGTTGTTAAAGGACGTGTAACAGCTAGATTCTCTGTACTGCAGCTTCCCGTTTTCATAGGTCAAACCGAGCCAGGCCTTAGCGGGACCGGTGGCGCTGGGGTAGTTCTCCTTTTCACCTAGCAGCAAATGTGCTTGCATGCTTTCCATGGCATCCAACACTGACGCAATACGGCTGGACGGGTCGCTCTGCGTGCAGACGCTCTGCGCCCGGTCGCGGTCTCCGTTGACTTCTCGTACGACAAAACAGGCGTCACCGACTTGGACATAACCAATCGGGCAACTGCCCTGTAAAGATGCCGGGCTGGGTTTCCATGCTCCAGACTCTGCAGTAAATAATCGTCAACGGGCGCTCTTCATGTCAGATTTAGCACCCTTTTTTGATCTTTTCAAGACCCCCTTAATTAAATTTTAAAAAGGTACGAGTATAATTGTGAGAAGGGCTCACCTCGTCGTCCTTTACAAATGTAGCCTTTTTCAACCGTACACAAGTCATCGTTCCATTTGCCGGCCTGCGCTTTCGGGCCTTTGATTTCACCGCAGACAGCCCCCTACGCATATCAGTGAAAGCGTCAAGAATCAGGGCGCAAATGCAGAAAATTTCTGGCACATTAGTCACGATTAGTGTACGTACCTCAGGATGGTAATTTGGCTCGCCCGGAACCCAGTTGGTATAGTCAATGGGCGTCTGATCTGACCAATAGAACTGGAACGCACGGCTTGGATCTTGATACAATCCACCCCATCGGTCAATTTCATCCTTCATGAGATACGTGGATAAGAAATCCTGTTCGAACTGGTTGTGGACCGATGTCAGTCGGTATCCTCTCTCATCGGCGAAGTATTTATCGTGGCATGCCTGTTCGGCAGCTTTCCAGCTTTTTCGTTCAGCAGTCGGTGAAATAAAGTAGCAATGGTCGCCTGCATATGAGCGAAAGTTCGTATGGTGTTGCAAAAAGTAACGTTTCTTTCCATTCTTATAGGGAGGTCAAACTAAATCGCTATTGTACTTCTACTTATAGTGTTAGTTTTACAAAGCGTCTGTAGTATGCACGTTAAATAATCAGAGGACGATACTGAAATGTTCATGAAATCAATTTTTTCAGTTTTCCATTTATAATTCACATGAACGGTTCTTGCTGAGAAGAGCAAACCGGTTCCAACTTACGGAAAATGATACAGTCGGGACAGTTAGGGCAACCCCATTCTTCCTGTACCGGGGGAAGTGTCGGCGGATTAACGACACTGAATCCCTGCATGCAGATATAGTGCAACTGTCGCTGGCAATTGGCATCGCGCCATTTTCCATTGACATTACTGATAGCGCCACACCCTTCGATGCCCTCGAGGTGGGGCTCGTCCTTGCCCCAGTTGCGGTACACGTCCTGGTTGTTGTCCACCCAACTGTACTGTCTCTTGGTAGGGTGGGTCAGTCGCAAGCCCAGCCAGAAGAGATTATCATGCGCGGCATACCGGGTCAGTATCGTCATGAGGAAGGGCTGTTGCGTCGAGGAAACACTAGCGAGATTGGTGCCTTTCAGGTTGCAAGCCATATGGGCGTTCTCCCATGAATCTTTTACACGGGACACAAAGAAGCACTTGTCTGACTGCGCGTGATAGAACCAGTCTCCGTCATCGGTGGACCCGGAAGGACATCGAGCTGGAAAGTAATAACTATTTCTCAACACAGATCTTTAAGAAAATTTCACTTTAAAAATATTTTGTTTCTCTAATACTAGAAAAAGCATAATACAAACTGAACGAAACGATTCTGTATGTGAAAGTACAAAAATTACTGGACCAGTGAAATTTCTACTGTTGTATAATTAAACTGAATTTTTAAAGCCCAAGGCAGAACGATGATTCTATATATGCTAAAACTGATTCGCATACAAAATAATTTACCGTTGGTAATTGTTGGAGCCGGCACGGTGACCTGCATGATGTCATCGGTCTCGTTGTACCATCCTCGAGGAATCTCGCACACCCATCCCCATGCCAAATTACAGCTCTGAACAAACCATTTCCCTTCGTTGCCATCCATGGCCACACAGTCCGCGCTTATGATCTCGTTATTCTGATTGTAGTTGGGATGCCAGAAGGCAAAGGTACCATACGGTGTCCCGTCTGACCATTCGAAATCTCCGTAAATGTTCTCTTGCAATCCAATCCAGTAGCTGTAACTGCTGTTGCGATTAGGTAGCACATTATCCAGAATGTGCCGGTATTCGAATTCTGTTGCGATTGATGCCAGATGTCCACCAAAAGCATTGCAGGATGTTTCCGCTTCCTGCCATGTTAACTTGGTTGGATCAACAGGTTGATTGGGCAGCTGATCCGGGGGAGCAAACGCCTAAACAACAAACTGTAAGCAATCTCATGGAAAAAATCTACAGTTAATAATGACAGGTAACACGTAACCGAAACTTTTGAAAGAAGTACACACGTTTATAATAACCAAGATAAGCCGTTTTATAAACTGATGAATTTCCAATAGTTGAGCGACGGCGTCACAACATTTACGTTAAAAATAAATAAACAAATAAATAAATAGGTAGTACAAACTGAAACATGAATACTTAAGTAGAAGCATCTATAAATAAATTTTCGTATAAATAAACAAAAACAAATAATATAAATAATTACGAAAATAAGTATAAATTAAATTAGTAAACAAAAAATACAAATGTTACGATCAAACGTATAAATACGAGTACTCGTATCATTAGCAAATAGACTTACATAGTAACAATGCAGTGCCGATGGATCACTCGGCGCTTTCCATCCTCTCGGGCAACCACCAACAAAATGCGCCGTCGGTCGCGGGGTTGGTGGTGACCATCCATTGCGCGGTGCCTCACACAGAGCGAACTTGGCCACATCGCACTGCCCAACATACCAGTCACCCGTCTCGGCCGTATCCGTGCGTTGTGAGTGCATCGCCACACACCCGGTGGTCTGCTGATGGAAATGCGGTTCATTGTGCGCCCAGTTGGTATACGCGACATCCTCGCCGTTAATCCACTTCTTAAAGGAATTCCACGGGTTAGCATCCTCTCGCAGGCCAATCCAGTAATCCGAACCCCAGCTGCCGATTAAAAAGGTCATAAACTGCTGCACCTCATCGGAGTTGACCACCGCCAAATCACCACCAAAATTCTGTTGGCAGAACGCTCGCGCCTGTTGAAAGTTGACTAATTCCCGTGTCCCAAAGTGACTGGCATCGTTGCCCATGTAATAACACTTGTGCCCGCGACCGTAACCCCAGCGCCGACAGCCATGATCCTGTACCGGCTTCAGGCATTCATTGGGGTCCAGTTCCACCGGGGTCACTTCCGTCATACACGTATAGGATTTGATTTCCCCGCAGTTATACGCCACCAGGCCTTTACCCGACATGGCGACACAGTTTTCACCATATGCTGGACGTGATAACTGCGATTCCCACGGTGTATAATTGGGGACCTGTCGGTTGTGGAGATAGATGAACTGGCGTGGTGACTGAGGTTTTTCCACACTGTCCATCCCGATCCAGCCACCGTTAAGGAACGCTCCGACTTCGTCAAAGTTTGCCTGGTTATGCAGTTCAGCGAGACGGAATTTATTTCCAAAGGTGCGGCAATGCTGGAAAGCGGTAAACCAGTCGGTCTGGTTGCGGTAATGATGGTAGCAGTGATCACCACTTCGCTGCCAGCCCGGCTTGCAACCCATTGTAAAGTCTAAAACAAGTTTAACTCTATTAGAGCATTTACGGCGGTATTCCAAGAGCCAATATTAATTTCATAATATAAAATACAAAATATACTTGAAGCAGAACAAAAGTTTATAACGGACAGAATGTATTACAAGTTTGCGATGGTAAACTTGAAATACTATACAATATAGTAATTACTGAAACAGAGGTATACTGCAATATTGTAGTATGCACTAACTCGAAATTCCTGCGTTTTAATATTAATGGCTGCACAAGTCAAGTATTTTTTATCCTAGTATGGAGCAGCACTCACGGTCCTAGTTTTTACATAACCAAATTTTCTTAACTGACTTACTCATGCCCAGTGGAGGGGAAGCGGTGGTCGTTCCCGTTTGTTCTGTAGCGTTTTGCGGACGGACAGCATGCTTCTTACAAATGAACGGCCTGTAAAGGTCACATTCACTCGCTTCCCATTCAGCGGAAGCATCGCGTCGAAGGAAACCGCATTTTGGCGTGACCGTTGAGTACGAAAGGGAAGGATTCGGCTGATCTAAGAGCACCAAAATGATTTGAGGGATGCGAGTGTCACTTCCAACATAACGTCCTTACTAGGTGCCCAGTTGGTGAAGGCCATCGGTTTGCTCCACATATGTTCATTACGGTAGGCCCAGTGCCACTGGTTCTTATTGGTTATCCGCAGGCCTGTCCAAAACGTCTCCGCATTCGACAAACCCGGTATGGAGATGTTGTTAAACTTTTCGTTGATGAGATCTGGTATATAAAAAATGGTTGCAGCAAGACACCCGTAAGTTAATGGACCATGTTAAAGCCGGTACCTTTCAGAACGTTATTCTCATTGTCATCACGAATGTACACTAGATTGGATGTTGGATCCAAGCCACGGCACATTTGGGAGGCGTAATCATAGGGTGCTCTCTCCAGGTTAATCTTGTAACAATGACCTCCAACGTATGCCCAATCGGCACCGCATTCTGGTGTGTAAAGGTCAGTAGCAGGGCGTGTCGGTAAAAATGCTGAAAAACGAATATGCTACAGTACGTACGACGTGCTTCTGCAGGAAAGTTAGATAACCCTTAAGTTAAATAATATAAATGGTACAGAGATACATCTAACTGAAGAAGATATCGATAATGCGCGTAACAAATCGTATAGAAATCCTATCCTACCGGTAATAGTTAATACAACAATAATTCGTACTGTACAAAGGCACTTACTCATTGGTCCACGATGAGTACACACAAAAAAATTTTCGTCATCACACGATTCTATATCCCATTTGCCCCATGCGGGAATAAGAGCCAGGGGACCATCGGGCGGTAACATAGCGTAGCAGTATTTGTTTTCGAATACAAAAGTTGAGCGGTAATTAGTGAAGGCCGTTCCGGGAACCTAAGGGTAACAATTTCGATTGTGCAAAATGCATATGCACTATGTATAACAAACTCAGATTAATCAGGACAAAGATGTCTAAAAGGCGTACAATGCGGTCATCGGAGTATCGAATAATATCGCTGCCGGATTCACTAGGCTGTCTCTTATACCCGATCCAAGCACGGGCACTGAGATATTCTGCAAGAATTATAATTAATTACGATAATTTGTTACCAAGCACTCTCTTTAATTAATTATCATCTCCGTCTGTCCGACTTACCTCGAATGAAATTATTTTCACCAGCACTGGTAATCTCCGCCAATGTCGAATTTAGCGACCGACAATGCATGACAGCATCCTGCCAGTTCTTCTTTATGGGATTATCGGGTTTGCCAGAATAGTAGAAACATGTGCCATGATACTTCTCAAACGGTGGGTCACACTTGGCTTCCGCTATTTAAACCATATATCAGCGCAGTATCGCAATTGTTTCCTCTTGCACGGCGCATATTTCACCATTAACTTACGTTTCACATATTCGGTAATGTTTGCATTGCCCACCCTGGCTTGACACACATAACCCAACGGATCCAGACAGTTCGTGGTGGCTGCCCACTGGCCGTTTGCTGAGCACAAGTCAAAATTTAATATGAAAACGGCTTTGACAGTTCATGAGCATGCGTATTCGGGGAAGCTGTCAAAGTTGATTTTAAAAGCGCTTACTTTCCGTCATCTGCATATACGCACACCGGCGTGTGTTGGTAACGGGCGGCTGACCGGTTGCCCAGTTCAGATAACTGCTGCTCAGAGCGTCGTTGTTGTTCACCCACGTGAATCCAGCGTTGGGGTTCGCTAAAAACCGGAAACATACATTTCTTAAACAGCTGTAAAAAAAATCCGACATCAATAATTATTCTGCAGCAATGTACCACTAAGTCCCAGGTAGAAGTATTGGATCGACGAAGCTGACCAACCCATACGCCGGATATGTTGCACCAAAAACGATTGCACATTGGAGCTAAATATGACAATGAGGTGAATACCAGATCAAGGGATGCACAATGATCTGTAAATTTTGAATTTAATAATTTATGTACTCTGTTATAATCGCCAGGTGACCACCCATTCCGATACAGCGCAACGATGCCTCGCCCCAATTAGCCAAGTTATCATCGCCGCCTTCGATGCTGTAGCACTGTCCGCTGTAGTGTTCCCATCCATACGGACATTTTTCTGAAAACAGTTATCATTAATCAGTTGCATCCTCAAAACTGGCATGCATCTGTTGTACCAGTATCAGTTTCGCATGCGTAGGCTCGAGTTGTATCACAACTGGCGGACAGTTCCCATTTGGATTGCTGCGATGAGGTGAGCGATCTCTTGTGGACACCGCAGTACCGTGTACCATCGGATAACTGATTTCTACATTAATTACAATAAGAGTTTATTCGACATTACAATATTTTTCCAAGAACTTCTTACAGATAACCACTGATATCTGTTGTAGGCCATTGATTATAGGCGTGCGCCAGCATGGACGTTCCATCCAACCATATGACATTTGAGGGAAAGGTGTTCACATCTTTCGTGACCTTTAGCCCCAACCACGCATCACTGACACTGATGGAGCGTTCCCAGACTGTAATGCGGGTGTTCTCTTCGTCGCTGTTCGGTACACCTATATAACCACCTTCAGCGCTGCAATCAAGAGAAAAGCGGTAGATTTCGGCGTTTCCTGAACATCATTCGCAGGTGCACAATAACCAATGTGCAAATAATGCTAGGACATACAAACAGATTTTCTGAGCGGCATCCCAAGTAGCCATCTGACGATGGAACATCCAACAGCGTCCATTGATATAACTCCATCCTTGCTCAGTTTTACATAGTGGACGAGAAGCTGTAACATAATGGAAAATTACATGAATTAAAAACGTTATTAACGCTTAGTTATTTATAGATAAAATAAACGTACAGTGTGCGGCTTTGCAGATAAAATTGCCTTTACGAGGTGTTGTTCCAAAAAGTCCACCTGGCTGTGGAATGGCAACGTCAACGTAGCCGTCTTCTCGATGTCTGATGGTTACACGCATTTTGGCACGTTCGCTCGCTGTCGAAGAAGTGAAGTAGGAATCTCGGTTGGGATTGCTAGGTAAAGATACACAGATTTCGTTACTACTGAACACTCACTGATCATCGACTAAGAACGATATTACAAACAACATAATTTTACCGCTGTCGGTTCTGTAAATTTCGTCAGAATTGGAAAACTATTAGCTTATTTTAATAACTCTTTTGGCGTTCAGTTTTAATGCCATATGATTGACAGCAATAAGTCCATGACATGGAAGTATACATTCATATTGTTCTAAATCCACAAAATTCTGGTCTCTTACTATGACCCTAAGTCGCCTTCAGTGAACACGCGGCCACTTGTCTGCCATTTCCATTCTCCAGAGGCATAGGATAAATCGATCCAGTAATAATTATAAGCATAATCAAGCAGGCCTATTCCAGGAGCATTGTGCAACCTTGTCTTCAGATAATCCTAGAAGTGCATTAAATTAATTGCAAGAACTGAAATAATCTGAATGCCTTTATTAACCGTATACCAGATCAGCTTGGCTGTAGGAATCCGCTAAGTTTCCACCCCGAATCTGGCACTCCTGACTAGCTTCCTCCCATGATTTTCCTGTCGAATCGAAATCAGGACGATCCACATAATAACAATCGTCGGTGTTTTCCCGCGCATGCCAGTCTGGACCCGGACACCGGTATGCACTTATACCGGCCACTGCAATTATTTAATATTGCAAGGATTAATAATGATCAAATTAGCACTGCAAGATTTAACTGTCTTAAGTAATTTATGCAATGCGTATATTAATTCTTGCAATGAAATATTACCCTTCATAACACCCGAAACACTGTGATACTGTTTGATGACTTGGAAATTGTAAAATTAAATTGCCCCGCTTACCAAATAGGCAAAACAGCCATAAACGCATCATGATTAATGGTGATGAGCGAGATCCATGCAGAAGTTTGCAGAGAATGTACAAATGAGATCCAAGCAAAAATATACAGCAACAACAGCGCAGAATAGCGATTAATTACAACAAATTTTCAGTGTAAAATATGTGCATGAAGCTAAGGCAAACGAGCCTATGGGATTACTAGATTACGGTAAATATCCGACACCGATATCTACCTTAGGAAAACTACGCTATGGCCAAAAGGTCATAAGTGTTGCCATAAAGAATGATATTGGGAACATGGCGTGATTACCGCATCGACTTTCTTTCATTTGTCATGATCGGTCCGTTTATCAGTTTAGGTCTTCTTAAATTGGTGAAGAAGCCCACAGATAAACTGTATTGTCTTAATGAGAATCTGCCATATTTGATAACGCAAACGTTATCCTTGCGATATCCTGTCACAATTCTGATGGCCTTGAAAGCTGATAGTGCTTTAATTGACGGAAAAATGACAGATAAATAACAATAATTTTTACAAAAATCCAGACCATACCAGTCATTTGACATGGCACCAGGCTACCAGCCACTCGCAAAAAGCGCCACGACAATTACGATAACAGGATGCCGACACATATTGCTACACGATATTGTATAGGTAGATTTTGCGTCTGAGTTGTAAAATCAACTTTACAAGTTAATTTTTGCGTTTGAAAATTACTATCGCCGGTGTGTTCAATAAACAAACATACATTATATCGAAATAAAAAATCAGTAGGTCTACAAACATGTGAGTAGGTAAATGGGTGCTTTGCAATTTGCATATTGTGTTATAAAATCATAAGAGTAATTTAACAATGCATATTAATTATGCATATCACGTTAATAACTTCAAACTGAAATGTATAATACAACCTGAAGAGTCTGCCTCCAACCAGCACAAAAAACACAAAACTGATTTTGGAGCACATAAAGAGTAATACAAAATCTCCACTGTGCCGATTTTAAAACTTGCTGCAGATGGGCAGCAAAGTTTTAGAGGCACTGCCCCCAGTGCATTTAAAAGAGCTAATGTCTACGATCTGAAAATACAGCATTTTTAAAATTTCTGCTGCCAATCATTGTTGACGATAAACAAAGCATTAAAATATAATTCGTGCCATTGCGCTCATTGTAGTGCAATAAAACTATCGTGTGGTCCACTAATCGTAAGCTGATAACCTTTCCAGTTTATATGAAGCGTAAAAATCGAGATATCAAAACTGCGAGCATCAATAAATTTCGTAATTAGATTTATACAGATCTGTGGTGCAAAAATCTGCCTCCTGCAGCTTTATTAAACTAACAAACGTTTGACACAACGTAGTCAAGACGTATTGCAAACGGAACAACGGTATCACATCCACAGTTCTTTCAAGTTTCCAACCAAGTTTTCACTCCGTCATTAAAAATACATATGGATCGATAACAAAGAAAACCATATTAATACATATTTATTTACAGAAGAAACCTTTCAACATATTCACATAATTAAATTGTATGTACAGGTGTGTCATGCTGGATCTTAAAATGAACAACTCTAAAGTCACGATGCAAGGTTCTCGCAACTTCTGTTTCCATACAATACTTTCTGGTAGTTTATACTTTTTGCTAGTTACAAGAACTTAAGCACTTACATGTAATAGAAACGAAAGAACTATTGTCACCAGATCGCCGCTACTCTAATCCTTCAGAGCTCGCGATATGTGATTGGCATCATTTCCATCATTTGCTCTTCGATATAGCGCAGCCGTTCTTCCGGGTTCATCTGCGTTGTCGGATTGATACTAGGTAAGACTTCTTCACGCTGCAGACCAAAGAACTGCTGTGGATGCATATCTTTACGCACTGCGTCATACCGCCATCCCAGGTGGCTATGGCATGTTCCACATGCAGCATGCCTCCATGTGTATCCGGGAAACCAGGTAAACTCCAACGTGGGCTTGCCATGAAAATAAATATTCGGAGAGACTTTCTTTACTGTAAAGATTTCCTGAGTCAGACCGCCCGGATTCATGTAAGCCGTGGTCAGACCTTCGCGGGTCATGCAGATGCCGTCCTCTTTCGCAGCCACCATGGTGTGACAATCTGGAAAGACGCACTCATATCCGTTAGTACTAATTCGTAGCAATAGCCAATAAGTATGAGAAGGGTTCGAAGATCGAAAGAGCCAGCAATGCTATCATAATAATTATTCGCTTTCGGTGGAAACAAAAATATTACGAACGTACGAGTATGTACTGTACCTGTATTTCTTAACACATATCGACAAAAATTGCAGTGCGCCAGGAAATTAGAAAATTAATATTATATCGCTTCAAATTGCAATCAAGAATACTCACATTTCCACTGGATACTATCAATACCGATCTATGGTAAAAACAGAAAGCTTACCAAAACAGTCCAGCTGGTTGTAGGCTCGAAGCATTTTCAGACACGCTCGCAAACGGTGAGCAGTGCTCACGGCGCCCAATAACTGCAACCGGGTCTGGGCCGATACCGGCAAATTAGACGCCACAAAGTACGAGAAATCAAGGGGATCTTGAGGATAACCATCGGTCATCTGCCACGTTTTGATCTCTGCAGTTATGGCTTCGACCAAAGAGTTGACTTCCAGTGTGGAGAATACGGGAGGCATCAAGGAAGTACAGTAGGCTCCGAAACTGCGACAGTTAACGGATGCAAGCGCTGTTTTCCACTCGTTCGGCGTTGCCTGCGCCAGAGGGTTCGGCATGGTACATACTGGTAAGATGCGGAACCATCCGTAGTGTTTCTGGTAGATCGCGCCACCTTCAACGACTGATTTCTTCAAATAACACCGCTGACATCCCTTGACAATCATGCGGATTCCTGTAACACACGAAAACGCTAAAACGGTAAGCAAAAGCGCTTGTTCAAAACGTTCAAGAAAAGTAGAATATAAAACTCCATTAATTTTAGTACTTCTACAAAACTAAAGGCTTTCAAAATGCCTGTAATTATACCGCTCCGATGCAGCAATGCGCCAATGTTTGCCTGCATTATGACATTAAGCCGATTTTGACTGACCAAAATAGGCAAATTAAATTTTACCTTTATAATCAAGTTCAAGCGGAGAATAATCACATTACCTTCGTCTTCGCCGTGCTGAACATCAGAGTTCTCGATGCGAACAACCGAGGCGATGGTTCCAAAATAGTAATATGGATGCATGGACAAAAAATGCTCATCGTGTCCCGTTTGTGCAGCCATGCACACGAATCCTTTACGCTGATGTTCCACATCCAGCAGATCGTTGAGAATGGGATTGAGATCCAGTTCGTAAGGCTCCACATTGATCGGAATCTACGTAGCATACAAAATCTAGTATTCTGCAACAGCAGCGCCTATTTACTGCACGGTAATAGCATGGCATGATGTATGTTATACATTATCCTAACGGTACCTGCTGATGTGGCATCAGAACTACATCGGGAATATGGACTACAGGGAGCAGAACTAAATCGCCTTCGGGATAATACGGGGTGCTCGACACTTCGCGCAAATCCCCAAGATAGGTATGTCGACTGGGGAGCGTCAGATCGAAGTTGCGTGAGCTGGATGCAGAGGTATCTTCGCGATGTTGACTATCCCCCGAGCCATTGTTATGGGATTCGCCATTCTCAGCCATGGATAGTCTCCGAACGATTCGGCGCAGTCTGTTCATCTGCTGACCGGGATTCTCCAGATAAAAGTTTTAATCGTCGTTCAGCATAGCATTTTAATCAACGAAGATGGCAAAACAAACAAAATATCGCAACTAATACACTATTACTTATGGTAACCTATCCTGTGAAAAGTAAGGTAAAGTACTTACTCGTCCTCATCGAGAACCAAAAACACTACTTGAGTCTACTTCTTTCAGTGTTGAAGCAGGACCATAATAATGGCAGGACGTATCATCATGTGTCTACAACCTGTCCGCCAACGATAGGCGGTTATATAAGAAATTTATTTATGACATTAATTTACTCATAATTATTATTTAAAGTTAGGCACGGTACTTATTATAAGGAACCTGCTGTTTAATTACAGTACGTTTTCTTAGCCGTAATATAATAACATCAATGCAGCCGCGGGACATTCATCCTTGCCGGTGGGACACTAATAACGGCTCGCCGTTCAGTTACTCTTACGTCATAAATTACATGTAAGCTCTTCTTCAAAGTCTCTACCATGAAAGGATTCTTATTCAAGCTAACGAAAACGGATCGAGCAATGTGGTTGGAACTTTCTGATATGCAGCAGCTTCGTCGTAACACTAAAAGTCAACCACGTTATCAAACATTTCAAAGCTAACAGAACCATGGGAAAGTAAGATACTCTGGTACAACCACACCACAGTGTACAGATTAATTACAAAAAAACAACATTCTGGTTTAACAATCCAACACCACAATACAACTCAGTCTCAATCCATTTCCACGACTCCACCGACGGCTTCGAGGGCAGCTTTAAGCTTTTCGGCTTCATCTTTTGCAATATCTTGCCGGACAGTTTGAGGAAGCGACTCTACATATTTCTTAGCCTGGAATGTGACAGAATTGTGTGAGCGAATTTTATCCGAACGTTTAAGAAATACTTCGGACGATAGCATTATATTGTCCATAATTTATGAAAGGGCGCGACCAACCAGGATCACATAACGTACCTGTACAAGATTCATGCCTTCGATCAAACCCTTGATCTCTTTGATCAACTGAACCTTTTTGCCTTCGTCGAATTTAAGCAATCTTATAGTGAACGACGATTTTTCTTTCTTCTTTACAGCTTCTTCTTCTTCCTGTAATAGCAGAACATAGTTACATGCATGTGCCACATAAAGTTCAAAACCAGTCAACATTCATTACGTCAAGAAATTTAATTTTTAGCAAGATAAATTGAACTGGTCGTGCAGTATAATTAATAATTATAATCATTATTACGATCGTACAACTGGGTTTGATTATTAACTATGATGGTGAAACGGACAAGAGTAAATCGACTGAAAAGCGAAAAAATGAAAGTATTACAAACTGTGTTAAAATTTATAATGCGCCACTTACGGCGGCTGGTGCTGCAGCCTGAGCAGGAGCAAATCCGCCAGCAGACATGAAGGCTTGATCGGGAATTTTCAAGGTTTTCTAGAAAAAATATTTCGCTCAGAATAGTTCCAGATTCGCTGGTTGACGGTATGAGGCACTCCAGCATGCATCCGGCACACTGGGAACAAACCTTCAACAATTCATTGAGATCGGCGACTTCCAGAATGGATAATGCCGCAATATCATCCACGATCTTCCTGATTTTCGGTGCATAGTCCCTTTCTGTGCCTGGCGCTTGTGGAGCAGCCAATGGTTCTTCCGCAGCGATCTTAGCGACTGGAGCGGGTTTGGGTTTCTCTTCTTGCTTCAATTTGGCATCGGGATCAACAGGCTTAAGCTGTGCCTGACTCTGGTGCCTTACAATGGTGAAGGCGCATGGAACACCGTTTGACCGCAAAGGACTGAATGAACTGCATCGTGGAACTCCAGCATTGCTGTTGCAGCTGTGAAATGACAAAATGCTACAACAACGCTAAAGCTCTAAAAACATCAGTCCAGGCACGCAACATACCTTGACATAAGCCGAAACAACTGACATCTGAGCTGGAAAACTGCTCTTGCAGACATTTTGCAAAAGTAGTAATCTGGAGGTAAGAAAACTATGAGATTAGACAAATTTATAAAAGATTAAAAAAATCTGTTTGGCTTTTTGCGCGACCCCGGGATTTGACAAATCAAACTTGTGCCTGCCGTAGCCGGGCGGTACCGCAGGTAAAAAGTTTGTAGTGCGGCACAGTATGGTACTGTAACTAATTTAATTCATTGTTAACAAAATCACAGCAAAGCTGCCAAGAGAAACAACATCGGGCACTGATTATTCCCGACCAGCCAATCTAAATGCTAAAAAAACATCCTCGTTGTCTCTCATTTCATTAAAAGTTCCGAGGACAGACACTGCACTTCCTCGTTGAATCTCAATACTGAATCTCTGGCGTAAAAACTCCCCCGACCGTGGGTTACCGCTACATTACCGCTACTGTAACTATGGTTTGATTACCGGCTTTTGAAGAGCAATTAAAAGTTTCTGTCACTTCTTTAAAATACAATAAAAATAACTAAATACTTATATATATATATAATTATGATATGTGCTGTTCGAAAATTCGTTTTTGTTCCAAACATTCGCCTGTTTCTGTTTGACAAGTACAAACGGAGCTTTAACAATCAGCAGTCAGCGTGGGAACTGTGACGCTCCAGGACGTACTTACTACGCATATCGTACCGTACCGCGCACGCTTTCCACGATTTTAAGCGGGTTTATGATAATCGTTCTCGGTCTGTCCTATTTTAGAAAGACAAAGTCACAAAGATTACGCTTTTTCACGTGGACGTGGAGGATTTTTTACTCTTGCAGTCTTGCTGCCTTGAAATTTTAGTTTTCAGTGCCGCACTGACGACTTGTTGGCTTGCAGTAACCAGCAACTTTTGAGCGATTTGAGTTTTCAGAATCCAGATCATCATAATAATTATTTTGTACGTACGCCTCTAGAGGAAAGTTTCAACAGCAGTTTCCGTAGACGACGCTCGTGCTAAAGTTTTGCTGCCTTCAAAATGTCTGAAAAAAGCGCACCAAGCAGTTCGGATGGCCAGAAGCGTACATTGTCGGAAGCCAATCTTGCATCCACTTCACTACCGATACCGGGGAAATCGGCGACGAAAACCCCACCGGCTAAGAAAGCCAAGGTCAAGACGCCCAAGGGCTCGAAGCGCAATCCCTTGAACGTCGACCAGCTCATGGAAAAACTGAAGAATGCTGGTGTTGACAATCTGGAGAAGGTTAGTGGATGCGTGAAAGCAGGGATTGCCAAAGGTTTGATTAAGCTGGATAGCCCCGCCGATTTGGACAAAGTGATTGCAACTGCAGTGTGTTCGGAAATCCTGCCATCGGACTGCAATCACTTGATCAAGGCTACCTTGAAAATGGCCATGCATCAAAAAGATTGGGGTGAGCCGTAACTGTAAGCGTTACTTTTAGCCATGATTGATCATGGATGTACCTTGCAAGCAGCAAGCCTGTATTAATAATATTAAGGTATACACTGTGTACCGGTGTTACCCAGAACACTGATAACACTAACAGTAAATTTTGTAAGTACATTGTATTGTAAATAACAAAATTATGTTTGTTTCCTGAATTTTTGTGGGTTTTGAACTGCTAAAAGCTTCGTTCAGTATGAGAATTTACAGAGAACACTGTTACGACGTTTACGTACTGTCACTACTGTGTTACATGGTTTATTTTGTGTTGGTCCATTTTAAACTTCAAAGGGACATTTTTTGAACAATCTACTATTTGATTTCAAATTTTTGTGGTTTAAAATTAAATTACGCTTCACCGTTTCAGACTCTTGTGTTACCGGTGCAATCGAAATTTCATTTTCTTTATATGAGAACATCGTCATTAAATTGTTTTTCCTGTTTTCTGGCTTGATTGGACAGTTTTCATAAATTATTAACTTTCCTACAATTTTAGGTGGCGACGAATACAATTTCGTATCATACGAACATCCTGTGACTTGCGGCGGATGTGGAGAGGGATATTTCGTTTCGTGGGTGTGCAGTGGAAAACCGGACATCTGCTATTCGAAATACATGAGCCATTGCAACAAATGTCCCAATTTCGGAGTTTGCATCGGTCAGTCGTTAGTTTAACAGTAACTGGATTATGAAAATGGCATTTATTTGTTACGATAGTTCTTATCAATTGGTCGTTATGTTTACATGTTGGTATTGGTTAATCATGGTCTTCTTCTTATGTTCTTAATTGCAGGAGAATGCCGGGAGATCCATTGCGATAATTGTGGACAGCATTATTATGCTGGTTCACAGAAACAGATGCCGTGTTCGTGTGATCCACGCTTGGACGAGATGATGTTCGGTCGCGGTCCTCGCCGATAAACTGGATCACCGGCACATACGAGCGTGTATAACCGTCGCACTACACTGATCGCGGATAATTGCACCATCGTCGTCACAATTTAGCTGGAATACAATCCGGCTCTGCGAACAATAATCAAATTCTTCTCATTTTCAAGTTTACTGCTGAATCTTTATTACTTAGCCACACTGATTATGAACTATGAAGTATGCATTCTTGAGAGATGGTTTTGTTTAGTTATTAATACAATCGTTGGTTGGGTTGTACAGTACCTATACGTAAGTACGTGTGTGCTCACCATTAGGTTGCTAACCATAAGCATCCCTGAAACGGTCAGGTTGCAGACATCTTTGTTATCATCACTTTATACTGTTATTATGATCTACTATATACGAGAAGTTACTGGCAGGCTTTCGATTTGTTGGTGGTCTGTATCCGATTTTATTGTTGTTGCCAGTTGGATAAGCGAAAATTTTCGAATTATGCAGGATCTGTTTTTTAGTAAGCATTTCGTTTGTTACTTTAATAAAATTTACTGATCTACCTACAGTACGTATGGAGCGAGTCAATGACGTCTTCTTCAACAAAATATTTATCATATACATGATATACTTCAAAAGCGATGCCGAAATACGCGTAATAATTACAAAAAATCTGTTCACCAATCAGTAAATTTGTGACTACTTGTACGAGCAAAATATAAACGCCATCATGCATAATAAGTGATGGCTCCAAATAATATTGGAAATGAACGGTGGACATGAAAATGAACGGTGGACAAAATGAATAGACACGGGCAAAATGATATTGCCAATATACCCGTGTAGATTGGCTGCTGCCTGTTGGCATAAGGAAAATAGATAATTGTATATCGGGTAACTGTCGGTTAAGAAGAACAAGGTTTTCTAATTTTTTTATCTCACTGGTTGCGCCTTATGCGCAGATATTGGTGACATGCAGTACGAGTACGCAGCAGAAGTTCATAACCTCTGTTAAATAATACTGCGCCAGACAGTAGAGTCTGAGTAGACACTACAAACCAGATAATTCAAAACACACTGTCCCCAAAACAACACTCGTCTTCTCAATTTGTTTTGAATCAAACAACAGGATCAAACAGGAAATTTATCAACGGCAACATAACTATTTAAAGCATTGTCCGAATGCAACTGGTAATAAATAAAATGAACTTTGAAACCACATCATCACAACTCTGCCGACTTGTCGGTGAAACATCAAGTTTTCCGAAAGTTATATCAACAGCACGTTTCCATTGGCGAACTGTATCATCACATCCTGGACACCGAAGCAGTAAGTCGTGATAATTTATAATTATTATCAAACAGACCTCGTTTCACTTGTCTGCTCAGTAATTCGGTTATTCTACTCCTCCTTTTCCGCAATTTTTTTGTTTTCGGCATCGAAGTACGTAATCAGGAAATTAGCTCCTCCAAACAGTACCGCGTACAAGGTGGCCTGCAAGAAGAGTACCCCGATTCCTTTGTAAAATCCAGTCATTCCCGATGTTCGTAGGATGTTGGTAGCACACTGTAGGGGACTGCGATACGAAAAGACAGTGGGGATGGCATCAATACCGGTATCGAGATTGTCAACCGCCACTTTCGTGCCCTGTATGCACAACCTGCAGTACAATAAACATAAATTTTGATTGCGCCACAATAGCTAAGATAAAATTAAATCGGAACCGCATCAGACATACACCCAAAAATAAAGCGTCCCACAGTCTTTCTCGAAATACAGAGTTTCAAACTACACGTTTTTCGCACCCAAACAATCACGCAATGTACCCACCTATTTAGCACGGTTTCCACTGGGTAAAGAAGAACATCCGCAAATATTAAAGCTACCGCTCGAGCTTCATAACGCTGCAGCAGATTTCCAAGGGTTCCTTTAGTGGAGGGATTCTTCGATTTGCTAGGCAGATACATGCTAATCTACAAGATACAGTTGCATTAAACGTTAATTTGTCTAATTAAAACTATTCACTGACGGTGCGCTTCAAGCTACGAGTCTGTCTTTACCAAGTACCGAAACACCGGAAAACATTCATAAACAAACGCACTTATCTAAGCAGCAATGAGCAATCCTTAATACCTCATTTCGCTGGTGATCGGCAATATCAGGCAGATGCCGCCGGGGATCTTTGCGATGCTTCAGCCAGATAAACAATCTCCATTGACATGTTGAGGCAATTAGCAATTTGGCCATGAAATAACAGCCATACAGCGGACCAACAATCCAAACGGGCATCACTCTGCGCAAAGGATGTCCACTTCCGGGAATATGCCAAACTGAATAACGCATTCCCACCAGCTTGAGAAAATCCAGTGCATTGCGATGAGCCGTATTTTGTGTCGCCTGAACCGTTGCTTGCACCACGGCCGCGTAAGCCGGCCCCACAAGGCAAGCCCCCAGAAATTTCGCTGCATAATACTGTATCTTGATGTTCCACTCTTGATGGTGAAATGCAAAACTGCAAAAGAACTTTTCAGTTTTTCGCATTGTCTTTAATTCGACACTCAGGAGAGCCAGCAGATTCAGAACATCAACAAAATAAATTAAATAAATAATGGAAAATTTACGATACCTGGGAAGGCCGGAATAAACCGAGATTAACCCATCACAAACGAAAACACCCAGATCGAAGATCAGCACTCCATGGATACCTTTGATCAGAGCTTCGATTTTCTGCAATGCAGTAATCGTAAAGTAAAGTATTAATTTAATAGTGCAGCGACCACCGAACTAGCAAACCAACCACAGACATTTATCGATGACAAACAGACATCAATGAAGAAAGAAATAACAAAAATTTAAAACTGTGTTTAAACGTCTGATTCATCGTGGTGTATAATTTGTAAACGACAGCGAGAGCTCAACCTCACAAATTCTCGTAGAGACTTACATGCTTGTCTACAAGACGGTAAACAACAGGAACCAGGGACAGCGGCAAAATGTGTGTCTTCCTACTCCACGCGTTTACTTGACACTGGCGGCGCAGTATGACGAAAGGATGCGCAACAATGCGATGTAGAGTGAAACTGCAAAGATCAATTTATCGTTAATTTCTAGTACATTATAATATGAAAAATTAATATCGTACTTATTCTTATACCTATTTAGTATCAACGGACAAGATAATTCAAAATTAATAATATATAATGCAACAATACAAAGCATCAACTCATTCAACTGGCTTACTCAATAAGGCCACTTGATGTCGTTATTTCCGAAGTTTCCTCGTCGAACAAATCGGGATCATCCTACGGAAGGAAGGACAAATATGGTATAAGATTATCATCAACCTTGAATTCTTCTGATTATGAAACACGTAGCCGGATTATATCTAATAAGTTCAGGAACAAAATATACTAGTAAATGTCACGCTCGGTAACAATTTACTATCAGCTGATCCCGTGAATTTCCTACCTCGCAAAGTTTTATGCTGCGATAATTCCCCATATTAGCAAAGCAGCAAATTTCTGCACAGCAACTCCGCGGATTTCAAGGACTCTTTAACCAGGAAAAGTTGAAAAATGTTATGATACATAAATCAACACGGACTGCAAGCTTCCAGTTCCATCACACGAAAACACTTCCTACTTTCTAAACCCCTAAAACAAAATCTGTGTGCATCTCAGCATCTGACAACAAAACAGATTTCTGCCTGCAACGGGAGCTCGGTGACTCAGCCCACTGAGCCCAGTCTGGCATGAACAAAATCACTGATCGATCATACTATTGTAGTCACCTAGGGATGGCAGTTACTCACGTAAGTGCTTCACGGTTTACGAATGCGATACGCTGAGGTGTGCAGTTGCGGGTTGCCGGTTCAGGTCGTCGCCGGCTAAATTAACTGCGGGAAAACCCACTCGAAAATTTTGTAAAAGGTTACGCTTTCGGTTTATTGAAACACAGTAAAAACCAATTCATTGTTTGTTGTGGCACTAGGAAAAAAGGTTACAGTTTTGTCCTTTTTGGAAGAAAGCAACAAGAGAGCTTTGAGATGTTGAGCGCAACAGTTACGTAAACACACCCCTGCGTAAACGCTTCGTGCTGTGCCGTACCAATTAACATAACCATACTCGCACCAGTTTTGCGGCTGCGTCGTTTCCGTCAAATGAGATGTTTCAACTTGCATGTCAGTCCGCTCCCGGTTCGTTGCCTCTTGGAAGTCAGCTTCCTCCATTTTTATGGTTTTGTAACAGTACGTCGACCCACATCTCATTTCTAGTGATTATCCCTGGTTTTTTATCCTTTATTTATTCTCTCCTGTTCATGATTATTAAAGTGTTCGTGTTTGTATAGTTTTTCCTTAAAACACACTTACAGCTGAAAAATGCTCAACGCACTGAATTGTGAAGCAGTCCGCTCGGAGGACACTGGAATGCTGCCAGGATTGTATCCTGTAAGATTTTGCCTGGATTCGCGCTGAGCCCCCATTAATTGCGTTGAATGTATGATGTATCGGTGTGATAATCTTTATCCTTGTGCTTGTGTTTTATTAGGTCAGTATTCTGGATATCAACCTGACGAACGATCCACCACGCGTCTACCTGAAATCCGAAGAGGGGTGAGTAGTCCACGCGCGCACCATTCTACTAACGGGCACTAATAAGTTATTACCACAAAAATTTGAAATGAAGATGATGGAGAGTTTTAAGCGGTCTATTTCTACAGCTGGCTTACTGAAGGCTGGTATCCTCTCGAGGGAAGCCAGTTGTTTGAGCCCCCACCGCAGCGAAATCTCGAAGAACTCAAAGAGCGCCTGAAGACTCCTGGCTGCCTTGTGGAGGTAGTTCCCAGTTTAATGTGGCCTCTACGTTTTTGTTCAGCATGTAGTAATATGGCCTTTCATCGCTATAAATTTTCAGTGCAATTCGGAGTTTTATGTAGCTATGATTTTTATTCACAGTAATGTTAAAGTTCATCGTAATATTCAAGACTTTCCTTTGCGTGCGGTACTCAACAGTTTTCTGGCTATTCCGTACTGCAACAGTTGAAATTTATGGTTGATTTATTGATAGAATTAGAGTTTTTACAACTTTGTTTTGGAAGTTTTAAGTCAAAACTCAAAAGTAATTTGATATAAACTTATCGTAAAAACTGGCCTCTCGCTGGTTAAATGAACTTCCGATAAGTAGCTTTTTTGTAGGGCCATCCACAAAATTACCTGGTGTTTTATAATACTAGTACTCACTGTTATTAGTATTCACTATAATGTGTTACAGGCGCTGTATAAAGTGAGACACGGCGTGCCCGCTGCCTGGTACCGCGGGGTGCTGGTTTCGGAGGCCAAGGGTCTCTACACCATTGATCTGCAAATAAATCCTCCTCGCCGCATCAATCAGTCCATTGAGCAGCTTCGCGTTATTCACGATCCGGTCCCTTTAACCCGCGATTCCATTGAACGCCTGGTGCTCGAAGTACCGCAGGGTGCTGTGGAAGAAGCGACCAACGATCGCCAGCTGCAGACCTTCGCCCAGCATGGACAACTGGATTACGTTCGCTACGAACCGGAAAACAGAGCCATCATTGTTCTGGTATATTCATTCATTCAAATTCTGAAACCATGCTGAAATCATTTTCATGTATGGTTTGTATACTTCTTAGGTCTACGGTAAATCGGCTGCCCATCGAGCTTTCATCCTTTACCAGTTTCATACCATGCACGCACTACAGCGTCAGAAACTGAAGGATGAGATAGCCGATATGCGTAAAGAGCTCTGTACGTTGAGAACATCGGAAAACGGCTTATTCCGCTGTGAATTTACGGTCCCACAAGATCGCTTGGCTGAAACAGTCGGTGGTTTTGATGATTTTCCTAATTTGAAGCGCGCTCGTCAACTGGATGGGATTGTAAAAATTATGGCTAACAACAACCATTTCGTCATCACTGCGAAGAGCGAGAGCGCAATGAATGAAGCTCGGGATATGTTAGACGTGGTCACGGAAATCATGTATGTTGACCAGCCGTTTGTTGGCCAGATCATCGGCAAGCAGGGCATTAATGTGCAGACCATGATTAAGACCACGAATATTTTCGGACTGTTTATTCATGATACGGCTGAGTCGGCGCGAAATGCTGGAGTTGATGTGGAGTGGAAAGATGGGCATGTTGTTTTCGTAATAACTGGTTCTCGCGCTGCCACGGAAGCGGCTAAAATGTTGATCGAATATCAGGTACTGGGCATGCGGAATTAGTAGGGAATAAAATAGGATTCATGCTCTGTACTAATACGAGAAGTAATTGCATACATGGAAGTATTCATAACTGGTTTTTTTCCGTTAACATATCAGGTTTTGGGAATTGATTAGTCAGCTTATGCGTTTTACGAAAACGCTTATGAATTGGCTTTCCATGTTGTAGCTGGACCATAATCGTCAACTGGAGCAAGCACTTGGTCCACGACGAGTGCGACGTGGGGATCTGAGCCGCCAAGCTACGGAAGACCGTATGAGCAGCAGCCGAGCATCAATTGATGAGGGTAAGCCGAGCCAGAATCAGCAGGAACAACGCGCTGGAGAACGAAAGCCCAGCCAAGTTGATCATCGTCAAGGAAACAACGCTGGTAACCCACGCGTTCCTCCGCCTCAACCCGAGCCTTCGGGGCAGGGCCGACCTGCTGCGGAGAATCAAAATTATCAGGTACACAATGGCAGCATATCTTGTGAACTGGTAATGCGAATACGCATTACTTTACTCTAGTTGTTTACCGAGATTTCAAGAAATGGTTTGAATGTTTAAATTGGCATTCAAAGTCTGCTTTTGGGTATTAACGTTCTTCCGGTGTAAGAGTCGAAGACAGCCTTGTATAGAAACTGTTCGGAAAGGTAGTAGTAGTTCATTGTTGCTTCTTTTAGGTTAGCGACAGAGTTGTGTTTAGCGTACTTGCTAATAAATACTTTATTATTACGAACCTGCTCTTCTACATAGGAGAACGATAATCGCCGTCGAAGTATCCCCAACGGCCGACCTGAGGAGCCTTCACTGCCGCCTCGCGGAGGTGGGGGCGGTGGATATCGGGGTCGCGGACGTGGTCGAGGCGGCAAGGCTCCCTTCGGTTCCCGGGATGATCGTCAGGATTCAAAAGAATCGAATAACACCGAGCCGCTCCACGCTAACGCAGCCCCACAAGTTAATGGCCATTCTGATGTTGACTCCGAAGGATTTCGGCCTGCCAACCGGCGAAACCGCAGTGGACGTGGTAATCGTCGTGGCGGTGCTCCATCTGGTATGCGTGGCATATTTTTTGAAGTAAAATTACGTTTACATATTTACAAGGGGCAATCTGTTTAGCAGCCCAACCGGTTTCCGGAGGACCATCTGGTGCAAACCCCCAGAGCGCGTAGGTACGTATAGGATTTCTCAACCTTCCTTTTGCTCTCAAGCGGCTGTTGCTTTTCTAACTTAGAAATTCTAGATATTTTTGGTTTACTGTTAATGACATTTTTTTGTATGCTATGATAAACTTCGAATTTGGATACAGAGAAAAGCAGCCTGTGATTTTATTGTTTTGGCTTTTGTATCCTGCATGAATTGGGAGAGAACATAATTGTACTTGCTGTAATAACGAGTTCGATCGCTTTATTAATGGATGGTTATTTTTCAGCGAATGAGCGGTGTGTTTTGGCTTCGTTTTTTATGGATTATTGTAACCACAGCTCTACTTCCCTTAATCCAGTTTTGTTGGCAAAGGAACTTGCGGACCGGATATTTTCCTCTTGTGGTTTGTTATTTCTTTGACGGACATTAGGAGTGTTCATTCTAACTCTTTGGATGGCGTTAATTCTTTTATTCTGTATTAGTTGATGCTTTAATTCTGTACCATGCAGCCTGTTCCAGTACTTACATGGAGAGAGGATTCTGCTGAACAGTGTAGTCACTTTGAAAGTGCCTTTCTTCGCAATACTTTCATCTGTTTAGCTACTAAGTCAGAATTGCTGCCGCACTGATTAATACCAAACAGTCTATGTGATAAGCTTAGACCGGGGAAAGCGATGATTATTTTTCCTTTTGTACGTACAGTTTACGAGAAGTGAATAAAGGTTTTGTTTTGAAGTTCTCTTTATGGTTTGCGAGTAAGGTCTGCATTCGTCGGCCTGGAATTTAACTAAAATCTGTATGCAGCGGTAATGGACCTGGACTTGAAATCCTACAAATGCCGTAATCAATCAACGAAGATTCTACTTCAGTAAACAAGGGATATGGGCCATATGGCGTAGACACTAGAAAGGTCATAACATTATTTTTATATGATAATAAAATTATAACTATATTTTTGGTTTCAGATGATATGTCCTGGGCTCAATGCCTACTCAGATTACGTTTGGTTACTTATACTTGGCAGTAGTTTTCGTTAATTATCAAAAGAAAGTCCTGACTTAAATTAAATTAATAGGTCTCAACACTAAATAGGCGAGGCTAGCCATAGAACAGGTCTGTAAGAGTATGGGCCGTTTCCGATACACTACTGTGAAAGTGGAAAAAGCCTGCTGTACTTTCAAGTGTCAGATTTCCATTATAGTTTTGACGCTTTGGATATCTCGTACTACTCAAACATATGACATATCCAAATAATCCAATATCAAGAAGTTCCTCGAACTCTTAACTCGTTCTGCTGTGTTTTAATTTCTGGATCCAGTAATAAGGCATAACTGCAGTGAGTTTGTCCCGTTATTGATAAGCGAGTGCGTTTGGGAACACTGCCAGTCGTGTGTTTTAGCAACTACCAACCAGTGGCAACCACAGTGTGCATCACTGCATCTCACAAGTTACAAGTAAGCTGTAAAAATTAAAATGCAGGGCTGTAAGGGAAAGGGGTGAAAGATTTTTGGACTCTGTTGTATTCTTCATAACAATTATGTGGAAAAACGAAAGCTAAAACCAATTGATAATAATTATAAACGGGAAATTTATACAAATGCTCAAAATGGTCTGGTTTTTGGTACGTGAAATCGTATTCACGGTGCATCCACACTATGATTCCACAGCCTGCTGAAACTTTTGCTTACTTCATACGCACTCGGATCACTAATCGTGGCTTTTTTGAGTTTTTCCCCATTGTTTTATTGCATTATGCAGCCAGATGATTTAAAAATACAGATACAATAATATGGACAAAAACTGATGCGACGACAGTCTTGTGAAAACAGTTTGGGCGCGCAGTATCCAGTTGCTGTCAGTATCCAGTTGCAGCAACTGGATATGGTACGAGTACAGTCGTACTAATTTTTACATTTTTACGTCTTATTTTCATATATAGATATGTAATAATATGTTATTTTAAATGCGTCAAACGCGGCTTATTAGTAGGGTAAAGTGTAAACTGTGAAGTAGTAAAACGGTGAAAGTGCCAAAATTCTAATTCAAATTTATCGGAGAAAACCTCTTTTAATTTGCGGTTTTATTATACTTACCGTCCTTACGTTTAGCAGTTTTCGCTGCTTGAGACTTTTCGCTGCTGCTGCTTGAAACTAGTTGGTAGTTGCCACTGTCAGCAACATATACGGTATTTTATTTGTGATCGAAAATAACTCTTACAATTAGTTCTCGCGGTTTGGTTATTGCTGACTGGTCAGGAATCAGGATAATTACGATAAACTCTAGTGACGATATTTTATCAGAAATTTCCATTTACTTTGCGCTACCGCAGTGCACGCGTGTAATTCCAAAGAGACGGAAATCAAAATGTATGTCTGTGGAGCGAACGTTTTCTAGACGTGCTACATACGTTGGTTTGGCATTCGTTGGTTGATACCGCAGTTTGAACGCATCAAATTTGTCGTTTCTTGCTTGCACTGTAATCGTCACGTGCTATTGTTCGCGTGGCCGATCGCACTGATTATCATTATTAATATCACCCAACAATTCTGCAGTAATATTAATGCCAGCGAGCAACGACTGCGTGTGTAACAGAATATCGTAGAACTGTGATCTAGTACATAATTCGTAGTGTGTTTTTACTTGTTAAAGTTTGGTACTTTTTACTGTAATGTTTATATAACTTGTGAATATCTGTATTTCCGTTTCATTAAAGTGGTATGTGTCTCGATTTAATTAGCTGGTTTGCTTGTCGATTTACGTTTGATATTTTCATTTTGTTTGTAGTTTCTGACTCAGCGACAGTTCGGAAGTCCGATTTACGGAAGCAACTGCAAGTGCTCTTCGGAACCATAAATATATTCCCGATAAACGTGCTTTTCCGGATTATCAGTTTCCGCTCACACAGATTTCAAAATTATTATTCGGGAAAGTCGCAAGTTATTTGGACAATCATGGTCGTGATTGGCAAGCCCCGCATTGATTCCGTGGAGGATTTTTTGCAGCAGAATGCACTGGAGCCAAAGTGAGCCTTATAATAACTCTCATTTTGCGTTTCTAGTTTCTACATGGAATTATTCTGCACTTGCAGCCTTTTTGCTTAAATAGCAAATGTTGACAGCTGTTTTACCAGCTGACGTAATGAGTCTGACAGGTGTATTTTTATCTTCTGGAGATCGGAAATACTTTTGTGCGTTTTGCTGCAGTGTAATACCGAATGGTTTTAATGTAAGCTTTCGTTATAACTTATTATTGTAGTTATTATTCGTTTATTCTTTTAATTACCTAAATAAATATTTAGGAATGTTTTTCCGTTTAGCAATTGTTCGGGTGCAGTTGTTTCAATTCTTTGCTTCCGCTGTTATTACATTTGCGGCATATTGTTCAGTATTACTTCTCGTAATTACGTAAATAAGTATTTACTAATGTTTTTCCATTTAGCAATGTTATTGACCTCGGAGACACGACAGACACGGCGTCTATCGCCAGCACTCTGCAGACGCAGAGTTCCGTGCCAGGAGTGGTGATCACCATTCGCGGAGGGCAGCGTCGCCAGGAACGCCCGCCCCGCTATCCCCGTCCGAGCGATAGTCCCTCTTCGCGGAAGAGCATGGGCGTCCGGAAATGGCGACGCTACCAGAATAGTGAGTGTGGCTGATGGGGGCAAATCCCCGTGGCTGACCTGGAGATACGTGGTGTGATCACTTGTGATGTACCCCTGAATCATGCATGAGGCAACATCGGTCGTCAAGAACCACGGTGAATACCGCCGCTGTTCCCGTGCGCTGGCGATACGGATGTCGGCTGTTTAAGCCGGTTCAAATGCCTGTGAATGCGGTTTCTGTAGTGTGTTAAAGTAGCACATTTGCAGCGAAAATTAACCCATTTCCGGTATGTTATCGTATTTCAGGATAAGTGAAACTTTTGTTGTTTGTATGTAGTTTTAGTAAAAGAACGCTGTAACTTTTTCACGACGTTTACACAATACAAAACTATTGTGGTTGAAAGTGAAACTTTTAAAAAGTTTGCGTTTCCTTTTTTATTGTCAGAATTTTGCGAATTCTAAATGCTTGCTTGTAAAAATTTGGAACATTCCAGTTCGTGCTGGTCCGAAAAAGGGTAAGCGGTGTGTTGCGTCTTTATTTGAATTTCGTATGACTTCAGATTTGGGACTGCTTTCGGGAATCGAGGAGGAAGACAGTGTTGAGACAAGTTTTGCAGAAGACATTGCCGAGGAAACGTCGGGTGGATTCAGTGATCTTTTTGAAGATCCGGAAAAGATGCAAGCATGGGATAATTTTACAAAGATGTCCGAAGGCGCTCAGCGAAAGTTTTTGATGAAGATGGCTGAAGATTTCGAGCATCAGCATGAAAATTCGTTAAGCGGTAAGGTGCATTGCCGAAAGTATCAGTTCCGTCAGCTGTATGATTGCCTTTTTTTTTATTAGACGAACTGCCGCGGACGGCAGAAGAATGCTTTCGACGCATTGATCGTAATCTGCGCCGATTGGTTGCCCGCCGATCCCCACCAGTTGTAAGTTATAGTTTCGTTCAGTTTTATGACTGATAACTGCAATTTGTTTTTGAAATGCTAAAATTGGTAGGCGTGCTGCCGATTTAGGCCAAAGAATCGTTTCCTGCAGTATGTAAAAAATACAGGAAACGAATAACAAGAGACTCAGTCGCTTGTTTTCTTTTCATGTGATTTGGTTTGATTGATTTCAAACGGACAATTGTACTAATAATCTGTACGTTTGTAGGATTTGATTGAACCGATGGAAGAGGAATTGTTAGAGTTTTTTGGCGAACGACCTCAGGATATTTTGGATGTTATCAAGCCCGATGTGTACCATCGCATGGTCTTCCATGCGATCTGTCAGTACTTTGGCCTTAATTCGAAAAGTATGTTGCACTTGCTGTGATGTACCATAGCTATTTTGTTGAAGCTCACGCGTGTCATGAATACTGGAAACTTGCTTAATTCTATGATATATTGATTCCCCTTCCCATATGAGTGCATTTAGTCGTAAGTATATCTTTATCTGCATTTCTTGATTTTAGGTGTGAAAACTCGTGAAACCTGCCACACAAGAGTTCGGAATCGCTCACGGAATTTTTTACGTCCACCTCAACGCCTCTCAGTGTATTTAACGGAAAGATATTGTGGATGAGGCACCATTACTAAAACATTGATTGCTTAACCTCACCATTTTGTAGGGGAAGAATGCCGGGTTTCTCGGTGTTGAAAATGAAAACTTATAACGGGCTTTGTTAATTAACTTAATTTTAACTCCTGTTGTTAACTTGGATGTTCATAACTCTTTACTAAAGTAAGGTGCATGAACAAACCAGCAGATCTTGTGTGCATGTGTACATTGACTTTGAATTTTACGAGCTTGCATAAATATAAATATGCGTGTAAACTGTAAAGTAATGGTATGCAAGTTGTGTTACTTCCATCGCATTAACTTCTGTAGAAAGCGAGGAATCGTTGCGGTTACAAAGGCGTGTTGTGACCGCAACGGTTAATTTATGCAGGTTGACACTGGGATCTCGTACGGGATCGGGAAATCAGAACTGCCTGGTGCATTGAACCAAGGCAGCAACAACACCTGGTAGCGAAGCAATACTCTTTTTGCCAAATTCTGCAAAAACTTTCCCGTCCAAAATCGAATTATTTTTAAAAAATAGCTTATTGAAGATGGTCGAAGTGATTGTAAAAAACCAAACAAGTGTATCACAGCATCAAAATAGAGATAAGCTCAGATAACATCACCCGAACACACTCATTAGGCATTTTTTTGCCGCTTCCAGAAAGCTTTCACCTGTTCGTGCCCTTCAGGCGACACAATAATCACGCGTTTTTCATTATTGGTGAACATCACTACGCCTAGGTCTTTAGCGTAATCCCGCAGGCGCTCGAAATCGTTTAGACTGTTGAACTGGCTGTACATTGTTCCTTCCGAGAACTCCACGCGTTCACGTTCCATTTCCCACAGTTTGATCTGGTCTGTGAGCGTGGCCGGCAGGATGGGATTATTCTCACGCATCTGCGGGTGGGCGTGCATGCGAAGAAACTTTATAATTTCATCCGCGGAAATTCCTTTCGCCAGGGCCGCTCGAATACTTTCTCGAGTTATCATTCCCATTGAAAGATTCGGGAATCTGAAAGAAAATACTGTCAATGGCGTCAACTAGCGTTACACAACCTGCGATAGCAGAAGCGGCAAATGCATTGTCACTCAAGAAAAACTCAGTATCATGCAACATGTTGGGCCAACGTTGCCTTGTCAAATATTGTAATCAATAATTCAATATTACAGCTAAATTATCAAACAATTATTGAGGAAATGCTTCTGGCAGGGCTTCTAATTACCTGTACATCATTTCTGAAAAATAGCTCACAACCGCGATCTTTAGAGGTGAATCCGTATAAGCATAAACCCGATAATTTGTTTCCACAACCAAATAGCCTTCACTAAAAGCACCGGTGCTGCGCGCTGCTCCCACGCTCAGATTCACAACTAGATTTGTAGGATAAAATCTCGCAGATTTTTTACTGCGCATATAAACCAATCCATACTCTCGGAAATGTTGCAATGTACGCAACTGGTTTTGCGAAAGACCATTAGAGGAATAATGCTAAAAAGAAAAACCAAGTGCACTTAGACAGCGCATCCACGTTCCGATTATGTGCTAAATTAGTAATAATTCAGATAGCCCACCTTCCCAATTTGTGAGAAACTCAGCTGGAAGATAAATGCAATACACTCCACTAGATTCATGTTCCATTTCTGAACCGACTGAAGGTAAGCCAGGATAAAATTCCAAATCTGTGTTGGAGTGTCCATTAATAAGAAACGGAAGCCGTCGTGCGTAATGTCTCCTTCCCGTGACGAGTCCGGCCTGTCAACAAAAATACGAGCTTTGTAAGCGCACTTAAAAATTAAGATATCAGATTTTTACGTAACCGTCATTTCTTCAGCATTTAGCCATATCCAATCTACGCTTTAAAAATTAGTACGTATGCGGCATTGTATGCCCTAATGATTTTCAAAATATTCTGCTTTATCAGTCTTTAGCGTAATCCCGCAGGCGGAAGAAACTTCAAGAAAGCAAAAAGTCGTTTTGCAACGATTAATGATGGGTTGGTGATCTTTAAAACCTTTATTCTTTAAAATCGTTCACCAAAAACAGTGCCAAAAATTAACAACTTTTGAAAAATTAAAATTTCTAAACAACTATCATAATTGATATTTCACCTCCACATACGAAAAATAGGCATTACTGCAGTAAAAGCAGAAATCACGGCAGGCGATTAAGTATTAGCCGTACGAGTCGGTACGACTTACTTCTTTAACAATCCCGCATTTGTGAGCACTTCGCAAGTGTCAAGGGAAACTTTGCTGGATCCCAGTCCAGCAAGGAAATGTAGAACGGTCTCCCATCTCTCCTGTGCGTATGCTTCCAAAAACTTGGCATCCCTACATGCATTTAAGAAAACCAAATCAAAATGCATTTTTCATTAAATACATTTTTCGTATTTTTTTGTATTTATAAGTTACTTTTAACAATTTTTTCCATTTATTTATGTTTAAGTAGATGACGCGCTTTACCGCTCGCTGACTGCTCTTAAATCATTTGTGCGGAAAAACAACACAGACAATCCAAAGTATGCAATTTCTCGAAAACGCTGGTTTACCGTGGCACGGCTTCTTCTTCCGTGGGTTTATCGTCTCCGCTCCACGACGTTCGTCCACCAACGACAACAGCCTGAATACCTTCGCGAAAATCATCGCTCAGCTTCCATCCCATAGAGCCCGATGGTAAAGGGGCTTCTGTCCAGATTTTCAATTCCGTCAAGACTTTCAGTGCATCATCGTGGTCCTTCTTTCCTTCGGGAGTCACCCAGGACAACACGGTGGATTTCGGCAGAACATGTTCGATAAAGAGCTGCCGCAGCACAAACTTCTGCGCCATCGGCGGCAAATCCCGAAATACCGCCATGCACGGACAGGGATGCTTGTACAAGCTATCCAATAAGCTGCCCGGGAGGGATTTGAGATAGGCATACAAGTTCTTACACTTATCGCTGGCAGTCTCAGCTGGGCTAGCCATTTTTCTGCGGTAATGCAGTCTGTAAAAACACGCTAACAATTTCTACCGCAAGACAGCCAGCCCAGGAATACGGAGAGCCAGAACGCTTGACTCTCCTCTCTGTCAAGTCTTCAACAGCTGCCAAAACTGCAATTGTAAACTAAAATAATACCAATTCAAGCTACAACATCGGGATTTAGGAAGGGTGGTCCAGAGTCCAGAATATAAAAGAGATTAGAGTTATTTTAAACTTCAAAATGTATTCGCATGGACAAAACAGAATGACAGATGCAACAGACGGCTTGTGCAGGAATGCAGGGCCTTTCCGGATTTATAATTGGCAAATTTACGTGACGTTCTCCTCCGGGTGGATGGCACCGATCAAAGGGACCGGAAGTGTTCTCAGCGGCCCAACATCAGCGGCTTTCCTTTTTAAGCTAGTTTGATGATGTCATGTAGACATAGTCACACAGCGAAAATGCAAGTGACGAAATTTTTTACCAAATTGAATATTTTCAAAATTGAATATATTCGGACTTCCAGCTTAAAATTTTATGATGATATTAATTGCTAGCTGCGGCCTCTGCATACTTGCATATTGCAGTCGGATCTTATTTTGATCGTTAAAATTGGAACGACTTTTGTGATCTTATCAAGAGCAGTAATTCGTTTGCCATACATTCGTTTGCTGTATGGTTTGTTTCAGTCTTCCCCGAAGATATGTTGCAGAGTGTCGATTCCAATGTTCGGTTGGAAAATGCTGTACGGTCGTTCAACAGGAAGCGTTTCGTAACCAACGAGATCAGCCATGAAGCGTGGATCGAGGCGGTTATCGACGATTTAGCCTGTCGAAATCCCGCGCATCTTCGAGTATTTATTTACCAAGACCTGTCTGCTCGTTATGACGTTGAATCCGAGTTCTTGTTGAATATTTCCAAATGGAAAGACTACTCGAATACGTACGACTTGGCTTATTCCGCCAGCAGTGCCAAGACTCAGAATGCGGATGCATTCTTTCCACTAAACCTTAGTGAAGACAAAATTTCCATCATCAGTACTAAAGATGCCTTCGCGGACATGTTGAAAACCGTCGCATCCGTCGAAATATTTAGTTTCGATGGAGAATGGAAACCTGATCTAACCGGCACCGATTTCCTCGAGAGGAAAAACATGATAGCGACGCTGCAGATTGCGACAGCAGATCAATGTTTTGTTTTGGATGTTTTGGCTTTGCGACCGATACTGTCTGATGGTGATTGGTGCGCGCTGGCGGAATGTTTTCGTTCCGCAGCGATTTGGAAATTGGGATTCGCTGTGCATGGCGATCTGGAAAAACTGGAAGAATTTAGTGGATTTGAGAAGCGTGGAGATTTTCCGAACTTGTTGGATTTAAAAGTTGTTTGTGGCAGGTTGGCTACCGCGCGTCCTGAGGTTTTTGGTAAATTAAAATTTATTACAAAACATTGAACTAAAAAGAACTGATTAACTATTATTAAAGTACAATTTAACAGCAGGATTACAGCCAGTGCTCTTAGTGATAACCATGAAAAATCTGAAAAATCTGCTTCAAGATTCCACGCGAATAAATGTTAAAAGGTGCAATTTCATTTTAACCTTGAACTGGAACTTGGTAAACGTAGGATTGATTTGTATCGAGATACCGTACTAATTTGTTATTCGTATTATACATAATACAGGTATAAAATTTTGGTAAATGCGTAGTGTATATCTATATTAGTACATTAAAAATGAAATTATTGCATCGCACGTGTGGTGCAAATACAGTACGATAATACCGGCATCTCGTCTTCAGGAAAACGAGTTATCAACGACATCCCACAAAATCTGTCAGGTTTGATTGATGTTTTGTTTGGGATGCCTTTGGACAAACGTGAGCAAATGTCCAACTGGGAAAAGCGTCCACTCCGGCCCTCTCAAATTCGCTACGCTGCACTGGACGCTATTTGTCTGATTGAGCTGTATCAAACGCTAAAGCAGCGCTGTGAAGCCTTAAACATAACTTTTCCACCGGAAGCCTTACCGATTGACGAAGAACGTGTCGAAATGGAGTTGGCTTCTTTCCCGTTGGTCAACCGCGATGAAGCTGTTTCTGCACGAAAGGTGAGTATATTTGTACAACACGATAATGGACATACAAGCCTATGCGAGTTCACCGCTCTGGGAGAATTCAATTTTCGCCATATATTTTCGCTCGGAAAAGGTCAGATGTGCTTCCCCTTTTTTGCTTGTAGGTGAAGCTTGCATGCGACAATCATTTGAAAGGTTTGGGCCGGCGCCTTCGCAACGTCGGAATTGATACGATGATTGTGGAAGATGGCCAGTCACAGCAGAGTTGCTACCGTGCTGTTGTTTCGGATGAACGGTTTTTTCTCACTAGTCCTTCGAAGCATAAACAAGCTAAGCGGCATGTATGTTTGCTTTCCTGTTTACGGGATTAACAGTTTATCCAGAACCGAGCAGCAAGTAACGTGCTTCTTGCAGCTTCCACAAGGCCGATGTTTCGCCATATCTAACAGCGTTACATCTGTGCGGCAGTTGGAATATGCCATAAAAATGTTCAATATTTGCGTGGGCGCCGCCGACGTTTTCAGTCGATGTTCGGTAATACCGAATTTTTGTTTTTTATATTGTTCGTACTTCCGAAAGCGTTTGAGTTTGTCTGTCTTTACAGGCATGCAACGCCGATCGTTTTATCCATACCGATGTGAAAGAAATCCGAAAACTGATGATGAGTGGTTTAGGTGGTGAAAAGCAGTATAATTCTGTGCCGGATGGGAATGAGCTCCGAGAAGAAACATCAGAATCAGAAATGCTATTCAAGGAATCGGAGCGGTTTACAGAACTGGTTGACATCAATTCCGCGGTGGATTTTCGAACTGGTATCATTAAGGAAACCCAAAAGCAGGTTGATTTGGGATCGCTTGCTGATCACAAACTGGATCGCGCAAAAGATTACTATATTTGTATCAACTGCGGGAAAATATATTGGTAAGACGACGGCGTTTGAATTCCATTGCAAAGTGCCCTGTAAAGTGGGTTTGCAGTTTGCACTTGTTTTACATCGTTGTGATACATTTTGATGAAATTGTAAGTAGGTGAATTCGCAGATCATGTGATAGGTAGCTATTTATGTGTTTTGGTTTTAGGCATGGAATTCACTTCAAACGAACACTGGCATCGTTGGAAGCCAATAATATTATCCGGAGCACATTAACCGTCAGTTGAAGGTATTGCATGAATTGTTCCTTTGCTGTTTGCAGATTTGTGGGTCGTTAGCCATAACTCACTAACAGTTTTTAATTTTTTATGTTTGAAAAACTTGTTGTTGTGATGAAACGTTCCGCTCAAATTGATGTGATTTTTAAATATCTTTTTTGAGTTTTATTTCTGTGACTAGTTTGTTACAAAGTATAAGGAAAGCAGCAAGACTGCGATAAACAGCTCAGACGCCTTGGAACACAGACAGGTCTTTATTTCGATATTCTGCAAAAATGGCTCATGTGTCACTGTGCGAAACTAAAATCAAGCAAATTAAGGAACTAAAAATACTGAAACCCGGCTAAAAGAACTTAAAATAAAGTCTAATGCCACAACGAATGGGATGAGCATAGTTCAAGCGTACACCGTGAAGCCAGAATTACTTATTATCGGGTACCGCAACACAAAACTCAAAGCAAATCATTGCTACTAGGGTACGTTAAAGACTCAAAGTTAACTCTCTGAAAATGCAGCTCCAGAACAGGTCAGAGCAGATATAATAAACTGAGTAAAAGATCCAAATTAGCACAAAAACTAATTATTAATGTTATATAGACTATACAATAAAAGCGTTAAAACCTTATATCAGCAGTCCGACAAACGCCTCACTTTGTCAGCGGAAAACAGTGGCATCCATATGATCTACTCCCGCGCATCTGCGCTATCCAGGAAATTGTTCCACCCACCACCGGCAAAATTACCGATCAGGAGCCGTGCGTATAATACTCCGACACCGCTTGGCAAGTTCATCCATACAGAACCGATCAGCCCACGGCTCCAAATTCCATGCACTTTCCAGGTTTAATTTATGCTGAGGCAGATCATACGCCGCCATCACAATGGACCGCATCACCTCGGCCGTGGCCGACGGCATGTCGATCTCACTCACCGGCCCGCCTTCATCCTGCAGACAGTCCTCAATCTTCCGATAGCCCAACAGCTGGCGGAAAACTTGATTCTTCACCACAATGAACTTATGCACCCAGATAACGGTGGGGTTAGTTGTGTCAGAGGGCTGTTTGGGCTGCACCAGGATCTTAGCATCGCAGCCGCCGGCTTGGCCGCGCAGCGTGCGCTTGAACAGTCCGAAGGCGATGCGGTGCCAATAATGAGGTTTTCGCTCGCGCAGCACCAGGATCCGCTTTTTTAGCATGCGCATAGAAGCGATATGCTGCGGGGTGCCCTGGTTGAGGTTTCCGTGGAATAATGCCGCCAGGTCTTCCGGCAAGAAACCCATGTGTAAATGGGGAACGGCGGCTAAGGCATCGATATCCAGATCGATGTTCAGATTATTCAACAGCGCTGCACCCAGGCCCGGTGCATGGTGATGGCCGAATGCAGCCGGGATTAATAACTGATTCGCCAGATCTAAGAAACGCCCGCATTAGTTTGTAACCACTTACTTGCTGCTTAGTGTAAAATGCTCGATAAAAACAGTTTAAAAAAATATCATCAACCGAAAACAATTTTTAAAACACCACTCAGTCACAAGTCATAAATAAGCTGACTACAGCACTGGGAAATCGAGAATCTCAACTTTTAAAGCTTCACTAATACAAATAAACAAGGATAAAACAAGTTTAAAATACAAAGTTAACTATTTTTATGGAAAGCTACTTATCGAAAATACGCGACATTCCGTCTTTTTTTTTGCAAACGTATTTTACTATCGACCACCATGCCCCTCACCTCCAAACCCTCCTAGAAGAAAATTCTGCACAGCGCCAACAGGGGCTTCCAGCACGATCTGCTGCAGTGGCGCTGGATCCATCGCAGCTGCCTGTGGCTGCGGCGGCGCATTGGCAGCTGCTTCTGGTTCGGGTGGCAATAAATCGGGAAGCTCCACGTCTTCGTTGCCTTCGTCGATAACCACAGCAAACCCAGGGAGGCCCACGACCGCATTAGCTGGCCCCTCGGCGTTCGGTGCATTATTGTTGTCCGCTGCTGCTAGCATTTCTGCCAGCGCAAGAGGCGGATCATTAGCCAACTGATCCTGATTAAAGAAGAACTCCGCCAGGATGTTATGTGGCCCGATGGCGGCCCCAGTGGAGCCTCCCGCGAATACAGGCATAATAAATTACTATCGTAAAAGGTCCGTGCAGCAAACAAACGGAATGGGAAGAAAGTGTCAAAATGAACGCTAAAACATTTAATAAAAATATTTGCCTTAAAATACAAATTTTAAAAACTGAATAAATTAAAAACTTAAGAGCTGCCACGAGTCACTTGACTAGCGTCGCGAGGAATGCTTAATACAGTGTTCAGATAAATATTTTCATCTAATTTCGCTGCTAAGAAAGTAAGAAAGCATAAACTCCAAATAAAAGTAGGCTAACAAACTAAAAACTTCCAGTTTTGCAAAATTCAAAAACTGCGAAAACCAGAAAATCTAAAAGCCCTACGACTGTACAGTACGCGAAACACTGAGGGCATTTTTGTGCGTGTAAATGATTACTTACGATTAAATCCATTCAGTGCTCGAAGGGCTGTCTTTTCTATTGCCACAAATCTCTGATTGGCCAGCTTGTAACTCGAGCGTTATCTATTTGCCAACACACCTTGTGGGGGCGGTTCAGAGCCTCCTGTTTAAATTGTAGGCTCGTAAACGAAAACCATTAACGAGGGAGACTCATTTCCAGGCTCCTTTGTGGATTGACTTGATTTCATCTGTGAGGTGCAGAAGGACCATGTGACAATTGTTTGACAAATTCTCATTCTCCCAGTTTTTAAAATTTTTACGTTTATGAACGGCAAAGTCATCGATATTAAACGGAGATTTCGTGTTATTGTGCGTAATGATTTGATGCGGTTGCAAATACAATGCAGGCTCCAAGGGATATAATTCTGTTTTCGGGCACTTCTCATCCAGAACTTGCCCAGTTGCTGTCACGGTATGTACAGCAATAATAACAATCGAGTTATGTCAAAAGATTAATCTTTTGTGGACAAAACTGGTTTACTGTTACATATTATGTAATTGATGTGACCTGTGCATATTACTTTCTCACGTTTTTCTTATTTCAGACGCCTCGGTACGAGCTTGGCACCATGCACGGTGTACACAAAGTCAAATCGAGGTAAACCGTATAAGTTTGAATAATCGGTCGTACGGATTTTGCTCTTTACTGCTTAAGCATTCGCATTCTGCATGGCAGTTTTTTCTCTTTGTAGAAACGGTGGCTGACATCGGTGCATCTGTTCGAATGCGAGATGTTTATATCTTGCAGACTGGATCAAAGTGAGTGCTTTGTAGTTTTCTTTTCAGTTAAAAAATATTAAATTAAATTTGTTTTTTTGATTCATTTTTTAAAATTTGTTTGAAATTAGTGAATTATTTTTTTTACCTTTTGTGATATGCATTCACAGTAATGTGGCACTGGCAGATGAATGAATGTTTACGCTTTATACAGAATTATTATGCTCAAAATACCTACAGTACTAAATTACAAATAACTGCACAGCCAAATTTTTCTTATTTGAAGGAATGAATGAATGTTGACGATATGACATCGTGAGTTAAAGTAGTTTCATTTTACTGTGTGCTACCTTCGCTCTGGTGTTGCTTGCGATAAACTATGTAAGTAAAACAGTGATTAGCAACTTTTGGGATGGATTTTGTAATTTTATGTCTTTCCGAGCTTGAGTGTTTTCCCCGATTGATACCATAAGTTCTGAACTTATTTTCTTTGAAAGCAGTGTGTTATGTGTGGTGTTATTTTTGTCTGGCGCATTTTCAGGGATGTTAACAACACTATAATGGAATTACTGATCATTGCTTATGCATGCAAGACATCATCCGCCCGCAACATTGTCGGCGTAATCCCGTACTTGCCATACAGCAAACACAGCAAGATGCGAAAACGTGGCTGCATTGTGGCTAAACTACTGGCTAAAATGATGTGTAAAGCAGGTGTGTATAGGTACTATTGTTTGAATTGCACTGGTGATTTTGTTACTGTTTTCTGTTTTTCTTAGGCTTGACACATGTGCTGACAATTGACTTGCATTCCAAGGAAATCCAGGGTTTTTTCGATGTGCCTGTTGACAACCTGCGAGCGTCGCCGTTCTTGCTGGAATACATTCGTAAACAGGCAAGAAAACGCCGGATGCGTAATCGAATTACTCGATTGAGGTTATACGCGTTCTTTTTCTCGCCAGATTCCTGATTATCGCAATGCGGTTATCGTCGCCAAAGATCCCGGTTCGGCTAAAAAAGCCACATCCTTTGCGGAACGATTGCACCTTGGTATTGATTTTGCTTGGAAATGGGTTGTTTTTGCGAATTATCTCGAATGTTGTGTAGGAATTGCTGTGATTCACGGAACTCCTCGCGATGATGATACTCAACATGATGGTGAGAGTTCACCGCCGCCGCCCAGTTCTCCTACACAAGTGTCTCCAGTAGTCGCGCCCGGACTGGATTTTCTTCCTAGTAAGTTACCGTCAAGAAAATTGCAAGAGGACACATAATGTTTGATATATAATTATAAACAATCCCTTAAATTCTAGGTTAAATTATTACTTTTTTATTTCAATGGTTCAGTTGTTACATTTAAGCGTGCGGGTAATGTTTAAATGCAGATGGGGATCTGGTAGAATTTTTTTTGCTGTGCGGTTTGACGAGAGCGTCCAGCGCGCAGACATTTGTGTAAGTCGTGGCGCATTATCAACCCATGTGTTCAATACAGTCGTTGCGTTTTGATTACTGCATTTCGTTCTTTTTTTGGTATTTAAATACTGCATGTGTATACGTTTTATTTATTGCTATCTTCTACTTCTTGCAGTTTTGACGGCGAAAGAAAAGCCACCGATGAGTGTTGTGGGTGATGTCGGTGGACGCATCGCCATTATTGTGGTAATATTAAAACTTTCGGTGATATTATTTTGCCAACGTTAATCCAGTTTTGCTGTGATCAGGATGATATTGTTGACGATGTGAAATCCTTCATTGCGGCCGCTGATTTATTGAAGGCACGGGGTGCTTACAAGGTGTATGTGATGGTTACCCATGGGATCTTATCGCAGGATGCTCCTCTGCAGTTGGAAGAATCAGAAATCGATGAGGTAACTTGGCTATGTTCTGCTTATTTTTTTGGGATATGATGGGCATGAAATTTTGTTTCTAATTAAGTAACAGTAAATAAATTTCATGCCGCTTCATTTGACATTGTTTTTAGGTTATTGTGACGAACACCGTCCCGCATGATGTGCAGAAGATGCAGTGCCATAAGATTAAAACAGTGGACATTAGTGTTCTGCTCTGCGAGGCAATCCGTCGAATCCATTTTAACGAATCGATGAGTTTTCTGTTTAGAGATGCTCCAGCGGAATAGCTTGCATAATGTGCTGCATTTCGGAAAATTACTCGCTTTCAGACAGAAATGTTAGATTTATTGTTTGTGCATTGCTGATCCCTCTGTTTTGCATGTGCAGAAAGTAATCCTAATTTTTATTGTTTTATTAAGCGTGTTCCCTGTGCTACATTTATTATTGGATTCATTGCCGGTACGTTGTGGCTAGATCACACAATTTTGGAGTAAAATAAAAAATGTTAGCAACTTCATATTTTTTTGCAGCTTAGTCAGTGACTCACTGCAATCTTGTGACCTTTTCGAAAACAGTGAATTAGTTACCAAACTGGTCACTTTCATCGTCGAATCATAAATAATTTTAAGCGCATTAGGTACGGAGTCTGCAGAAAAAAATGCACTGTTGAAACTAAACTCAGAATTAATGGAACACTAACCTGGGCAGGTAAAAACTAGTAAACTGTGTAAGCTATTTGTTTCACTTCGCGAAGGAAGAATGGGAAGATGTGTCTCAAGGTGACTGCGTCTCGAACGTCTTCGCGTAACAAATTCTTATCATTTAAACATCTCGTAAATTAATAGATATCTGTACAAAAAAATGGGCGGCGGTCAAAAATCAATCAATCTAAATTCAGCAAACGTACAATACGCAGTTCAATATGAAATACAAGACGTAACCCCAATTTAGAATTTCAGCACTGCACAAATCACACGCGGTCAAAGACAAAAGCAGACCGCCAAATCTGTCCAAAAACCAGCAGGGCTACTCCGAGTCCAAATCAATATCTTCACGATTTTCCTCATTTGCCTCTTCTGTTTCTGACCATCCAAATAGGTCGTGCATTACGCTGACTGGCTTCGTCTGTTCAAGCACAGCCCGTGCACGGTCACTTAGCGGCGGCTCATAATCCACATTGCGGAAGTCACAATCATAGCTGAAAAGTTGACAAATCTAAACATTTATTTTCGTTGATTACGGCGCAATACCACACACTCACATTAATTCCTCTCCGGCAGCAATATCTCGCAATGCAAAGAAGGCGACTGCAGGAAATGATAACGAAGGTGGCAGGCCAGTATGCAGCATCGTAAGACACTCCATAACCATCATCGGCACAATGTTTGGCTGCGCGTCTGGATTCAGTCGCCGTACTTGTTGCAACTGACGGAAACACCTACAGTAGAAAGAATATAAGAAACATTACATATGGACATTTAAACCAGGGCCTTGTTACAAAGTTGTTGCAACTGCTGACTGGGCAAACACTTATAAAAGTCAGATAAATAATTAATTTTTATAAGAAAAGAATCCTCAAACTGTTTATCAGAGAAGTATTCTCAAACTCTATTCTGATGATCCAGATCCCGTTCACTCACATGGAATCCACATCCAATCCCACACGATAGTCGACTTTCTTACGCTTCGGCCACTGGAAACATAGACAAGCGAATGCAATCGAAGCACATTTTTTTATGATTTTTATAAACCGAATGCAGTTCCCCTAACAATCTGGGTGCAGCCCTTACTATGCCGAATTTAGGATAAATGAAGACCCCTTTACGAGGAAGTGGTGGACTGAATTCCTGAAGAGTCCCTGAAAGCCTGCAAAGCACAGAAATTACACCAGCACATTCAAGTATAAAGTACGCGTATCAAAAGAGTTATGGGATAGCTAATGCCAGAGAATGATAGTGAATGCAAGCAGGACCACTGATTACCAAACAAATTTTATAAAGTGTCATATGAAGTGTCAATTATTACTGAACCTGCACAGAAATGTTCCTTCACGAATAGGATGCGGTGTAATCACATAGCGGCCCTTCTCACCCGACCGTTGAATGAGTTCCACTCTAAAAAAAGGAATCCGTCACCAGATGTCCAAGATGTGCATTTGTTTTTGCTGAAGTAAATTATTTTTACTTGGGTGGCTGCTGTGTGCGGCGATTAAAACAGTAACGCACGTCACATCGACAAGTTTCACCACATTCCTTGATCCACAAATGAGGATTACTGCGATTAAGAATCAATCTTCCGTCCTGCAAATACAACAGTGGACGATCTATCTCTAAAAATAAGAAGGACTGTTAATTAAGGCTTGAAGAATAAATATTGAACCGACCTCCGTGAAATAGCAATCACTATTCATCCAGTTTTCACACCGACAGGTCCCGCTTACGCAAACCGGTCTACACAGACATTCCTAAACGATCGTCATGGAAGTGAGTGAAGTATGGTGAAAGAATGTTTCAGGACATTGGCAAAGGACGCGGAAAACAATGCATACTCCTTTTAGTACAAAGTACTACAGGCAGTGCTTATGCTGTCGCTGAATATTGAAAGACTCAGCAGATTTTACAAACACCTTTCTCAAACCGCATTACCAATTTCTGCGAACAAATTTTACCTCATTCTGCTCTGATATAGCCAACAGGGCTGAGTGGTATTTTTCGTGCAGAGTACAATTATACTTTTGGTGTAGCTCAAATTTTTGGGTCACTCTTTTAAAACTCCCTCTTGTCAGCGCTTCAGTAAAACCGTTTTTGCGGCAAAAAAACCTGAACAATGGATATGACTTGAAACGTCTCTGATATACGATACGATGTCCTCTGCGTCGCTGCCATCCGCGTCCTTTTTCAATCACTTCCACCGTCTCCTGCATGTCCTTCTTCGGGTAAATGCGTGGTGATTCACGGGGCTGCCATACTAGTTCAGCGGCGTCCATATCAAGCAAATTAGAGGTCAATTCAAAGCGCTCCTGCGCTATCAACGTCGCAGCATCGTTGGTTGAAAACTGACCGCCGATAATTCTATACAATTTTACCGGTAATTATTTACAACAAATCGTACCTTCTGTAATCGCAATACAAACATACTTCAAATTCGTCCAATTCACATCACCCGCAACTGTATCTAGCGTCGTAAATTCGGTATTGCCGCAATGAGGACAGATTTTGTCGTCGAAGCATGTTTCGTGGAATACATGAAACGACCCACTGTTATCTCTGCCGCAGCAAATAATAACTGAATGTTCATAGGCTTCCTCCGCCGTATCAGAGTGCGAATATTCCTAAAGAACCAGAAGCGATTTAGAAAAAGGGCTAAGGCAGAAACATTTTCAAGGAACGTCGGATCCAGAGCAACCAGGCATACCTCGGTACTGTAACAACCAGGACAAAGCTTACACCCAACAAAGTCCGCAAGATGAGCCTGACAAAAACGGATAGGTTCATCACAATTGTCCATCCAAATTCTGCGCATAACCGACGGTATCCGCATAACCGACGCCATCATCATGTCACTACACGAATAGGAATCCTTTCTGGTACCCTCTGCCCAGCATCGCATAATGTCTTTATGCTTTTTTACGAGTGCGCTGATCGGGGTCGCGGTATCGGTATCGATTCTGCCCAATCCATGCAATACACGATTCGTTGTTCGTGGCGGACAAACCAAGAAGCGTGCATCATCGCTCATGGGAAATAAGACAAATGTTAGTTCGTTCTGTCGCAGCACTTCCGTGTAATACTTATTAATCGGGTGCCGTTCACTGGCGATTCCCTGACGTAAACAAGCTACTCGGAGAAACAACGTCCGCAAATCCTCACAATCATACAACAGCTCTTTGCAGTGAGTAAACTGTTCCACAGAAGCGGGAAGCGCGTTCTCAGACTGAAGGAACTGTCCGAATCGTCCCAGACTGACGATCAATGTGCCGTATCGCGCTATGGTTTCCGCAACGCTTGGGAACGACTTCAAAAGAGTGGAAAGAAATCGGCGATTCAACGCCAAAGGTAGCAGTGTCGCCTAAAATTGCAAAGAACAAGCGTTATAGTGACCCAGGACAATAAAGTCAAAGACGGATTTCCTGTAGATGAAGTAGACAACAGTTATTATCAACGAATCAAAATAACGAAAAACAAAACAGGTTAATCATAAAAAAATCCACTAGGTATTCCTCAACTCTTCGAAATTCAACGTCGGGTGTAAATGTGTGACTGATGAATGTCGTACATCGTGAAAAGTATCAATGTAAGAAACCTTTAAATTTCTGATTGACCGTCACCTCAGTCCGCTAACATTTTGTATTTCAACTGGTATTTAAAGGTTTCAAAATCACACGAGAAAACTTAAACGACCATTAATTCCACATACACGGAAAATAATGCGAGCGCATTAATCTCAGATGCGCGAAAAATAAGACGCACATTTCTACATTCGCAAAACAAACAATGCTTGGTAAGTCTTACTTTAGATAAATCTGTCAAGGATTCATATTCTTCCACTGCTCGTTGTTTAGTTGTCGGTACATCCACTGCCGGTACTGGCAACTCCTCAACAGCCGGCACCACCGGCGCTGCTACCGAGGCAGGCGTGAGAGTGGGTGCGACTGGTGGAGGAACGGACACTGCGATGGTCTCTTTCCGCCGGCGTTGCAGCATGTGTTCAACGAGCGGCTTCTTCTCAGCCTGCCGCTTAATAATCTCGTTTCGAGTCGGGACTTCTTCAACTGTGTTCCGCGTTGCCAAAATGCTAGGACAAGGCTGACGGAAAGGTTTCGGCGCCGGAGCCGGTTTGGACGAGGTTGGCACGTTTTCTGTATCTGAAATAAATTGGCGTGAACTATAAGAGGAGCTTTTTTTCACAACAAAACCACATTAAATAACCGAAAAAGAAAAAACATACTACCAATTCAGCCAATACTTTAAAAAGGCACGAATGTTATTACGCTATAAACATGACTGCAGTTGCACTATAAACATGACGGAATATTTGGATAATAATAATAACAATAATAAGTATATAAAAATAATTTTTCTACAGAAAATCACGCAAATACCGGGCACTCCCAAACCCCACGCTTCTTCCACAAAATCGACTGGTTCCGGCGGCATACGGGCGGCTACATCAGGACCTCTGCCTGTGTTTTGCGGGGGATTGACGGGGTTCATCGGCAGTGCTTCCGGGAATGGCTGACTCCAGTCGAAATTGGACTGGCGCGATCGCGCAATCTCCGACAGACGAATCTCTTCCGCCGAACGCACACTGGAATCGAAGGCACTGCGACGGTAGGAGCGCGGATCCCCGAGGATGGCCGCTCTGGAGGGCATGTGGCTGTCGCCCCATCCCGACGCCTGTTCCTGCGACCACCCTCTGGACTGACCGTGTCCCCAGCCCGCTGCCGCCCGGGGGGCGGGGTCAATGTTCAACAGCTGCTCCGTGAATGCCCTTTGCTCTTCATGGCGACGGCGGTCCGCGTATTGGCCCAGACCGTCGTCCGGCGGCCGATGGTAACGCGGGTTCTCCGTAGGCCGATTGGAGCGCTCATGGTACGGATGGTAACGCTGGTTGGAGCCGCGGTGCTGGCCACCGCGGGGAAAGTGCCCACGCGAACGCTGATTGTGCTACGAACGAGTGATACCGTCAGCAACACCACAACACAACCAGTTCGCTTCAGAACATGACTCCTGATGTGGTAGCAAGATTCCTAGAGCCTGAGCGAACTACTACTGGCTAAAAACGCACTGCTTCGCTATTTCATACCTGTGGTGCATTGTGTCGATGCTGGTGAGTAGAGTTCGATGCAGATTGGTTCCATGAATGTCGTGGTTCACGGCGATCATCTGAGCGTGATGGATGAGTATTCTGCGATCTCTGAGGCGCTCTGCTGAAGTACATTTCTTTCCCGACCAAATAATACACTCGGCAATATAGGAACGAATCGCCGCAGATTAATTTCTGATGAACCCGAATACACCAGTACCACAATTCACTGCTGTACCCGAGAGGCCCATGTGGAACGCGCCATACTGTCTACAGTCCCAAAAGTTCAAAACAGCTTAACAATGTATAAATTATACCGATACGATTTCGGATATTCATAATAATAATTACTGTACTACCACTGACAAAAACCCTTTCGCAGAAACACACAAATTAGAAAGACATAAGAAATCCATCAAATCATGTCACAATAGTGACAAAACTGACAAAAACATACTTCGATTTTTCTCATACGCTGTATTTTGCTCACCGCCGTCACCGGCACCAACTCACATGTGGCGCCCTGTATGAGCAGCTTGTGAATAATAGCCTTTGCTTTTGATTTGCTTTTCACTGCTCCCTAATTATCAGAACAAGTTGAAATTAAAAATTATTTGCTAAAAACTGGTAGAGTTAAAATTTGTATACGCGGGAGAGAAGTTCTTCTGCAGTGCACCCTGTCCACCGTCCAGTTCCTTTCGTTTTTTCATGAAAGTGATAGCCGTTTACTCCTCAAGGCTGATAAGTGAAATTTGTATAAAATTTATTTTGTAATATGAAAAGTGCGAGTTTTGTATCGTTTATGAAAAGTTGGAAGCTTATTTCGTTAGAAAAGTTCAATGCCTGGTGAGCCAAATACGAAAACCAATACCTACTGTACGTGATAAAGAATATGTCGAAGTGAGCTTTCGTTTTTTTTGCGGATCGTTTCAAACAATTTCCATTACCATTAGTGCCAAACGAAATATATATCGATATTTTATTGACGTCTTCGGTTGCGGTACAGAAACAAAACAGAAATATGTAAATGCATTTAAACACGTGAAAATCTTGCAACCAAAACTGGCCTACAAATAACAGCCTCCACTAGTTAGAGGCATCATGCATGGATGCTTCAGTCTCGGACAATTCGTTTCGCAGTAGCTCCTTTCACGCCGCGTTCCATATCCTGCCATCGCTTCTTATCCTGGCGGAACTTGGCCTTGCGACGTTGTCGAGCTTCCAAGAGACGTTGCCGATCCGACTCTCGATCCCGCCTGATGAATTCGTTACACAGTTCCAAGACCCTCACTGCCTCAGCCACCGATTTGGCACGTTCTTCTGCTAATTTACGGATTTCGGACTTGAACTACGAAAAAGATACCGATCACAACCAACGATGCAGATGATGCACTCAGATCCAGTGCGGGCTACTATTGTGAAGTGCAAAAACAAACCTCTTACAGTCTTACTGTCAGAGTCTTACATAAACAGTTCAACACAAACCTTTTCCCGTGCCTGCTGCCTCATCAATCTTCGAGCCTGAACGTCCGCATCTATAGAAGTCATTTTCATGTCCACCATCCACCAATAACTAATACCACAACTCAAATCAGGCTAGGGACACTTGCGGGAAAATGGAAAACAGATAAAATACAAGATCAAATCCTCCAATGGTTGGTTGAACTGATCAACGTTCAAAATTCAATTGCTCGACGTCTGACGGAATAACAAAGACGAAGCGCGTAAAAAAGGTTACAACTTGCAAGTGTCCACATGTCACCTAGACACCTACTACTTGGATTTTTCATTCAAATAATTTTATCATTCAGCAGAAAGTTAGTTTACCGATACATTCATTATTCATACTTAAGTACATACAGTTTAACTACTTACTCAAACTATTGTTTCCATATCTGTGTTGATCTGAAATCCACTGTTAATTGTAATCAAATAATAATAGGAGCTTGTATTATTTGTTCAGTATAAACTAGTGTTCTGTGTGATTAGGCCGCCTATTTCCGTAGTCGGCTGAGGCTGTGCATTCAGTACAAATCTTTCACTTTTATAGGAAACTTGTGACTGTATCGTTTACCAATAATACTAGTGTTTACTGTTGAGTGTTTTCAGCTCTTTCATTACAGTAGTTTCTGCTGCATAAGTCCCCGGAAAAGGGAAACGGTGCCATTTAAATATTAAATATAGCTATACCTGAGAATACCACATTCAGCATGACCCATACCATACCTCTACTGATAGTGATACACAGAGTACAATACATTGCATTTCAACTATACTATCCATAAATTGTAAACTGTACTGATAGTGATAACAACAAAAAATGTCACTTCTTTTCACATCATACTTGTACTGCGTGAACCAGTTTCAACAAGCCAGTATTCCACAAAAACTTTTGTTCTCGCGTTTATGGAGATATCATCACACATTTTCCATGTTTGTAACTGGAGACAGAGTGAGCTGGAAGAGTAGATCTGACAGCAGTCACAAGGAATCCGAAGATTTCCCGGACACAAAACTCTGTCAAAGCCAGCCTTCCAACTCACGCTGAACCCCATCATTCATCTTCTGCTTTCAAAACGGTGTCCAACATCCTCTTCCTGGCTGAGTGCACACGGTCCAGTTGATGCAGACAGCAGCTGTCAAAACTGAATACCGGAGGACAGCGGGCTCGCTAACCCGAAAAACATGACCCCGAAACTTTAAAAAAGTCAGTTACCACTCCAAGAATACTGACCAGTATCTGGCTGGCGAATTTAATCAGCAGGAAGCGAGAATCAAACTTTACCAAAAACGACAACGCCTGACAAAGCAGCTATAAACAAAACTAAAGTGAACAAAAAACGCTGATGCGAATCATTACATGTTACAACTACTGATTAGGTAGCTATATGCCGTAACAGAACAGCTATAAAATCTTTAAACTCAGCATAACGCGCAAAGTTATATTTCAAACATTAAAGATTTATCGCTCAGTTTCAAAAATATTTAAAACACCTGCGAAATGCCTTCACGCTCCGTAAAGTTCATTCGAAGATTCAACATGGTCAGTCCGGAACCTTTGGCGGTGATTCCCGTCCCGATAAGAGCTAGGAGTAAGTTCGCCAAACTGTTAAGATCCTAAGAAAAAGACACAACTCATCAAACTCTGGAGGCCCTTTTGGAAATTGCCGGTTTGTTCGAAACTACTGTTAAATTTCTTATTTTTATACCACACTACACTTGGAACATTCTTATGCTATTATTCCAAATTATTACAGATACATCGCAGTGATCGCACCGAACTATTAACTCACATTTTCCCAACTTATTTTAAACTTCACAGAAAACCAATAAGTGCTCAACAAGAAGTAATTATATTACCGCCATATATATCATTATATGTATTATTATTGTATTACCGCCATTTCAGCATGCACAATCGCCAGATTGATTTCCTCATCTGCCGGCTTCGCAAATTGGACATCCAATTCCACACAGACATTAAGACAGGATTTCGCAATGGAGATAACACATTTGTAAAACTGAAAGCAATATATTCACGAACATTCACGAACTGGATGCAAACGTGATGAATGAAATTACCTGATCATTTTCAATGAATGACGAAGCAAAGATGTTGTTCAAAAAAGCTTCATGCGCTTCCACAAGCTTGATAAAATCACTTAAGTCGCGCATTCTTCGTTGGAAATCCGTCCATGCGATATGGATTACATCGTCCTGCATCATAACAGAAAAATATCGGTAATTCTGGAAACAATGAGAAATTCAGATTCGTATGAATTATTAAAATACTGCTACTAACAACAGACCTGGATATAACCCTGAACTGCGCAAATCACACCGGAAAATCGACGGTGCCACTGGAATATTTCCATATAATCCCCATACTCAATTCGTCCTGACGAATGAGCCAAACGGAGATTTTCCAGTGTGCGTTTGAATGCTATATTCAAACGTTTCAAACGGAAAAGGAACCGGAATATACGCTTGTATCTGGAAAGTTTGTTTCCACTAGTAGAGCTCGTCAGTGCCGCGTCAAACATATCCTCATTTTACGTGTCAAATATATCCTCGTATTTACCTATCGATAGCTTTGCGATGAAAAAACCAATCCAAAGGCGGTTGCACCAGAAATTCCATGGTGATGCAGTCCCATGCCACGGAAGAAACACCCTCTGCAACAGAAACTGTGCAGGCTTTTCCGTTTTGTACTGCATAAGTCATCAAGCTAGAAGTAGTAAATTCACTAGTAATCAACTGCTTAAGTAGCAAATACGAGGTGCTTTCCAATATTGTTGGTTCTTCAATCAATATTAATAACCACCATCGAAAGCTACAATTGTTAGAGCTAAAGCCGTTTAAGCTGAGTATCACTTACGAGTGAACGACAAACAAAAACAGTCAAATCCTTTATCGGCCGTTTTCTCAACGGGAAAGGCATTTCGCTGATCAAACAACGACGGATTGTACGCCCTTTTAAATTTCGTGCCCTCGAAGCAGCGGTCAAATACGGCGTTAAGATCTGCAAACGAAAACAAAGCGCTTTGCCTTTTCAAGTAAATAGGTGAGTAAATACTCTATAAAAACGTCATAAAATTAGCAATACTGTAGTCCGTCATACCGTGCTTATTCTGTAGTGAACATTGTTTCTGTAGATAAGGATCGGCTTGAACAATGAAATCATCGAAAACGTCGATCAATGCCATTAAATAGACGAGATGAAACTGCTTCAGAATCCGATGAACTTGGCATTCTTCGAATATCTTAACGTAAAGCGCCTGCCAAAAAAACCGCATATAACGGATTGTTTCGGAAATCACAATCATGACTACCGGCGCATTCAATCGCACCCTAGAATATAAATTTCCAAAGTTAGCGACGATAGTTTCAAGTGATGAGGGAGTATATTCCACTGGAGACATCTTTTTCAAAGCATCAGCTTCCGCAATAATAAGAGAATGAAAATCTGTAAATTAATATGACAGTATTATTACATAAGCATGGAACTCTTTAAAATTACAAAAGAAAAAAGTAAGAATTGTGTGCTGACCAGAATCTTCAAAGTTTTCGGACTTGTAGCCGAGAAACTTTCTGATATAACCATACTGAGCGATCTTTTCCACCAGATCAGCAGAGAAGTCCCGAGGAGCTTTCACCGGTTCACAAATTACCGGGAATATTTCGCGAAAATACGTAATGCAGTCAACCTAGAATCAAATAGACGTGTCAAACCCCTATCAAATTAAATTTTGGTATCCAGTGCACAAGTACGTAACACATACCGGCTCTTTCACAAAAAATGTGTTGACTCGAAGGTCAAGCAGTCCAAATGCCAACCATCCGATCAAAATTCGCTTAAATGCAGTAAACATCCTGATAAAAATGGTATCGAGAGCAGTCCTGGCTTGACCGTGCGAACACTGCCTGCGATTCGTGCATTCATCCAGCAGCTGGCCCACTGAGAAACCATGCAACGATTCATCTTCATCGATCCATTTCAGGAATGACAAACAGGCAGACAGCGACGGCTTAAACTACAAAAATAACCACAAAATTAGTACTTTTATTTTGCGCAGCTATATCAGCAGTAGACAAAACTTTCATGAGCACGAAAAATCATTCCATCCAGCTCTACCAGTAATCTTAATTAAATACTGCACCTGATTAAAAACGTCTTCAAATTAATTAAGTCTTAATTAAATACGTCTTTAAATTAAATACGTCTTCATTCACTTATAGCGAATACTACGTTATCCTACAAAAAGACGGTGTAGTTCTGAAGTTGCACAAACCTGAATCAGTGCCGCATAGATGGACTGCAAGGAGCTTGTTCCAGAGCTCTGCATGGCATCATTCTGCTGAATTATCTTCCCATCAAAAGCAGCAGAGATGTCCCGGACTGCCAGCGTCGCTGCTGCCACCAGATAGTGCCCGGCGCGGCCTGGAAAAAACTGGATTTACCCACCGCAATGCACAACCCGCCTCCATAGAAAAGTATTATGCAACCTGCTTTTAATGAATCCACATGAAGACTACGTAATCATGCTACAATACACTGCAACGCAGCAATAGGACAAATTGGTGTATTTCAAAACTCCGAAATATATTTCGTCGGTTACTGTTGTGATCGTATGGATTACCTATAGCTTCACAATTCGCCTGGTATTTCTTCAGCTCTTTCCGCACTTGGCCGAGATTAAGCAGCTCTTGGATGATGGCTTGTTCGGCTGGGGCGCCAAATTTCACCCATGCAGGTTCGCCGTCGGATCCATACCCCGAAATACACAGCATAAGGTCCAACACTGGAAACTACAAAGTAGGCTAGCTTAAAAATTTGGACTAGTGTCGTTTAGCGTTCAGTAGTTTAACCCTTTACTGTTTCCTGACGATATAGGAGGCCCAACAATGGCTAAAAATATCGGATTATCCAGCCACATCGGTTTACCGTATAGCTCTTTATCACTTTATGGTAGAACTTTAGCGGTCAATCCTTGCTACTTACCGATTTGATATTCATATTCATGCCTTTTAAAACGCAGATTAATCTGCCAAATAAAAATTCGAAGAAACGAAAGGCAGGGCACGGCGCACAATAACAACAATACGAGTATGCAGCGTGAATTTCGAAGTTCCTGGAAAGATTTGCAGTCTGCTTCATTTGAAACTTTTTTAATCTGGGACAGATTTCGAAAGCAGAGCTGAGGCCAAAGCTCGAAAGCGGATGGCTCGAGACAAGGCATGAGCCGGGTTCATGCAGATAACGGCATCGCCGGCTCTGGCGGATGTCGTGCGACTTTGTTTTGCACTAAAAATTTCGAAATCTTTTGGTGGCTTTACTTTAGCCTCTTTAGGCACTTTGCAACAATTTTTGTTTGTTGTGGACTTCTTCCTGTCCCAGATTCTTTCAATCAGTAATCAGAAATTTTGGTTGTCAGTTTCAGCAGCGTTATTCAGCCTTCATTTTTAGAAAAGATGATCCGTTTGTCGTGATCGTTGTTGTTCTGTAGTGGAAGGCTGATTCGTAAAGCCCATACAAACTTCGGAGATGTTCCTACGGTTTCTGGCGTCGCGAAACTACTCGAGTGAGTCAAGGAACTGGTTCGGATGTGGTCGTTGTATTGCTTACAATTACGTCCTTCACAGGTAAACCTGCGCTTACCGCGTTACCGAAGAAGTACGATGCCAAATTTGTGGAATCGCGTTGGTACGATTGGTGGCTGGCCAATGGTTACTTTACTCCCGAATCCACCACGAACGTTACAACTTCCACAGAGAAGCCTTTTAGTATTATAATCCCTCCGCCCAATGTCACTGGCTCCCTGCATCTGGGCCACGCGCTAACGATCGCCATCGAGGATGCCTTGGTGCGCTGGCATCGCATGCGCGGACAGCGCGTTCTGTGGGTGCCTGGTTTGGATCACTCTGGCATCGCCACCCAGGTGCAGGTGGAAAAGAAACTGTGGAATGATAGGAAAATGACCCGACAACAGGTCGGACGGGAAGAGTTTCTCAAACTGGCGGATGCGTGGAAGGAGGAGAAATCGGCCGCCATCAAGAAGCAGATTCGTCGGATGGGCGCCGTGGTGGATTGGCGGCGTTTAGTGTTTACGCTGGATGAATCTGTGCAGTATGGAGTGCGGGAAGCATTTATCCGTTTGTTCGAGAAAGGAAAGATCTACCGACAGGAGAAAATGATTAATTGGTGCAGCTATTTAAATTCAACTATCTCGGATATTGAGATAAACCATTTGGATGTCCCGCAGCCGACCAGTATTGCCGTTCCCGGTGAGAGACAGCGTGTGGATGTTGGATGGTTGAATTGTTTTGCTTATCCCTTGGCGGATTCTGCGACCGGTGAGGAAATTGTTGTCGGAACAACGCGACTGGAGACGATGCTGGGAGACGTGGCAGTGGCCGTGCATCCAGCTGATATGCGGTAAGTTGAATTTAATTTCTACTTGCGTTTTTCCTTTTTTCTGTTTTATTCTCGGATTTAAGTAAATACTAAACACCTGTGTGTTACTTGAAGATAGCAAATTCTGAATGTAAGTAATTTTGCAGGCTGCAGAATTTGTGTTGCCCTAAATTCTGCACGAGTACGTTTTTTGTTGATTTGCTGTGGTGTTCGAACGGTCAAAGCAACTGTTGCTTCGGTATTCGGTTTCAGCTACCTTCGATACCGCGGGTGTGAAGTAATTCATCCTCTAACAGGAGAGCGCCTTCCGATAATACGCGATGAAGCGGTCGATCCTACGATAGGAACGGGAGCATTAAAAGTCACCCCCGCTCATGATCCCAAAGACTTTGAATTCACCAAGAGACATTTCTTGATGTTTTTGCGAGTGATTGATGATCAGGGGAGAATAATCAGTCCTATGCCGGAATTGAATGGATTGAGTCGTTTCGAAGCTCGAAGAAAAATTGAGCAGATGTTAATAGAGCGCAGCCTGTGGCGTGGCCAACATCCCTTTCCGACCACATTACCTTTATGCAGTAGATCTGGCGACATTATCGAACCGCAGTTGAAGAAGCAGTGGTTTCTGAATTGTAAAGAATATGCTACGAAAGCCGCGGAGGCAGTTAACATAAAAAGTCTCAAGCTGATTCCCGATCGATTTGATAAAATCTGGCATCAGTGGTTAGCTGGAGAGCAGGATTGGTGCCTGTCGAGACAGTTGTGGTGGGGTCAGCAGATTCCGGCATATAAAGTGGTCATAAAGGGACAGGAACATTGGACAGCCGCACACACGCCGAGCGAAGCTGCAAAAAAACTTGCGCTGAAATTAAAGGTTTCTGTGGACACCATAAAACCTGAACAGGTAAACAGTAATCAGCTTTGTTTAATTATTTTGTAAGATAGCTTTTATCGTTGAAAAATTTAGCGTTGCATACAATTATAGCATAATAACACTGTAGAGGTTTTGTACCTGCGCATAACCTGCGGTGAGGTATAGAATTCACAGTTTCCGTAAATATCAGAAACATGAATCATGTTTTTTACTTTTGCTGTAATTCCAGGATCCAGATGTGTTGGACACCTGGTTCACTTCTTCCGCGTTGCCCTTTTTAACATTTGGCTGGCCCAGTAAAACTTCCGATTTGGAGAAGTTTTATCCTCTTTCCATGATGGAAACCGGACATGACATTCTGTTCTTCTGGGTGGCTCGGATGGTCTTCATGGGCATTGCTTTAACCGAACAAATTCCTTTCGACACCGTTCTTCTTCATGGACTGGTCTGTGATAAACATGGGAAGAAAATGAGCAAATCCACAGGGAATGTTATTGATCCCATGACAATCGTCTGTGATTTCGATACACCTGATGCCAAAGATCGAATTAATATTGGATCGGATGCGCTGAAATTTGCGCTTTGTAGGGAGGAAACGCAGCAGCATGTGCTCAACGTCGATGTGGAACGAATAGAAGAGTGCAACAAATACTGCAACAAAATTTGGCAGGCATTCCGCTTTTGCAGCGAAGTATGGGAAAAATATCCCGTTGTAGACGCAGCCCGTCATTCACCTGATTCCGATCTGAATCAGTGGATTCTAAATTCTCTTCATGAACTTATTGCCGTTTGTGGAAAGGCTATGGAAAATTACACTTTGGATGTTGCCGCAAACAGTTTATACAGTTTTTGGTTTGATAAATTTTGTGATGTGTATTTAGAGTGTGTGAAATCCGTCGTGAAAAGCGAGGATGATCCTGTCGCTGCTCAACGTGTATCCAGAATATTGTTCACGGTGTTCGATGTTTACCTCAGACTGATCAGTTTATTCATGCCAAATCTGGCGGAAGAATTATACCAACGCCTTCCTGTTCAGCAGTTCGAAAGTGTTTGTGTAGCTGCTTTTCCGAGTCCTGAAGAAATCTCTGTTTCTAATATGGAAATCCAAGATGCAATGGGTTTAGTGAATGATATTGCTCGCACTGTGAGAAACGTCCGGCATTTGTATAATTTGCGGAAGGAAAGGGTTCCTATTATCGTGCTTTGCGATGACAGTATTCAGTCACAATTAGAGCCGTTTCAATCCACATTGGCCACTATATCACAGTCCTCGGATGTGAGCTTTGTTCGTTCAGAAGTCGAAGCACCAAAAGGTTGTGCGGTGCAAATTCTGGAAAATGGTGTTAAAGTTTTTGTGCATCTGGATCAGTTTATTGATATTGAAAAAGAGATACAGCGATATGAGAATCAGAAAAGAAAACTGGAAGGAAGTCTCGCAGAGGAAGAAGAAGTGAAGGAGAAGAGGTACAATCGATTACCGGAGAAGAAAAGGACTGAACTGGATGGACGAATTAATAATTTAAAAACTAAAATAGATGAGATTGTTCAAATACAGGAAAAGGTGCGTGCTTTGAAATGATGTCTGCCGACAAAGTCTGTTTTGTAAATTTGTAAATCTTAAGCACAACAGCAAATTTTGCTCACAGTGTTTTTGACCCGGTACAACGCATTTATGTGATTGCTTTGTTTGCCAATCGGCACAGCAAAATTAGTGGTTAATAAATTAGTTCAGAAAAGAAGAAACTACGTTGTACTCAGAATTACGAACTTGATTAGTAAAACAAAATTGATCTTTAATAGGCAGTAGCCATCGAATAACAAAAAGTGCAAGCGCGGACACGCTGCTTCAGATAAAATTTTTAATATAAAAGAAGAATTAAAATCTCTATTCTCCCGTGCGTTACTTAGCACAGCCGTAAGACAACAAATGGATAAAAAATCTTTAATCTTCAGTGCTATGATGTAATTGTAATTTTAAAATTAATCAAAGATCATTATTCGGTATAATTCGCTTTCCCGTGCCCGGACCTGATTTGGACGCATACGCCGCAGGTGGCACATAAAATGGCGGTGGATCCATAGTACTTAATTTAGCGTAGCCTCCATTTTGACTGGAATAACGTTGGGCGAAACGGACAAGGAAACGCCATAAAACAGGTAGCAGCACCGTTAACAGTGCCCCGATGATCATCCCGGAAATCCCCACGAAACAGCAGTTTAGAAAAATGACAGTCCAAGCGATGGAACCGGAAGCCGTCTGGTTTTCGGAACTTTCGGTTGGGTTTTGCCTTATGAGGATCGGCTTCTGTGTCGATGGAATACGGGTCGATTCTTCAGTCTACAAATTTAAAAAAAAAACAGATGTATATCGTGTTTGGATTGAATCGGGAAGTCAAAACTTTCTATAATTAAGTACCTGAACAGCAGCGGTATTCGGCGATTTTGTAGGCACTTCAGGCTTCCGAATCTGCTGAAGAGGTGCTGATGGAACGAACGGAGTGATGTTGACTACTTCCGATTGCAGATCATCCTGTGATGATAAAAACATTAAATATATATAAATTAATTGTATATTGTATTCTTAATATATTGTCCACTCTTCAACAGACAACAATACAATATCCCAGAACATAATGTCTTCGTTAATCGTGGTAAGATAAAGTGACCAAATAGTAGATATATATTCCAGATTTTGATTAGTACAGATGTATACGAGTATTATAATGTTAATGAGTATTACACTGTATTACAATTGTTAACATATTACAATACGGTTGTTTGCAACAACTGCATGAAATTTTAAAAAATACTAACTGTAGTTGTAGTTCGTTGTAGCTGTGATACTTAAATTGCACCCAGAATTTTTTGCGCAGTCTTACCGGACAACGATCACTCTGTACAGTGATAAACTTCTTCCGGTAAAGATCCACTTGGTCACAATCGAATTCATTATTAGCACTGAGAGAAATTTCCACCAAATTTGGCAGAAATATTAGCAAGTCTTCCGGCACCGGAAGGTCATGTAATATGTTGCTATCCAGATTAAGAAAATTGACAGAAGACAGGCAATTTTTTGCCGGTTCGCTCCCGAGAACATTTGAAATTATGACATTATCGACACTGGATAATTCAGCACCAGAACAATCTAATACCGTGCCGGTAAAATCGCAGCCGCACACAATTAGCGGACAAAAACCAGATTGTAGTGTCTCCACCGGCGAAGTTACGCCCGAATCAAAATGCATTTGGAAATGCAATAAATACAAACATAAGCCGGACATTAATAGCTCTAAAACATTCTTCCCCATAATAAGTCAGGTGGATTTCACGTTACAACTGCGTAAGTCGATGCGCCTATTACGTTATACGCTAAGCAGAAAAAACCTGTTTGGCGTAAAATTTGCTACTACAGTATTTGTTGTTGCTCAAAATCTTTTAAAAGTTAAATCCGAAATAGAACTGTTCACCTCTGCGCAGACGTCACACATACAGTGTATGTTGTCTGCAACTTCTCGATAGCAGGCAAAGATAAAATAAATCTGTTTCTTTATATACGACGTTGGGTTTACGGTCTACATCGGGCTGACGTTAAAAGTAAATTTTTCTATGTTTCACGATTAGTTTTGCCCCGTCAATCGAACGTGATGTTTGTAAGGATGAGAGTTTCTTTGCGCACTGATGACAATTTTCCAGACTGGTATGTACAGATATTTCCGGTGTTCACGTGCAAGATACTCGTGTCTTCACATCAGTGCGTGTTCCGTTAATAAATTTCCTGCAGAGCATTGGCGTCGTGTGATCGATTTAGATGAGCAGTTTACAACTTTACAGCAGATCGTGACAAATATTAAAAATCAGAGAATTCTCCAGATCTACTGTTTAAAACGACATATCCCAAACGATAACGATCCCCTACACTATTCAAGAACAATTCTTGTCGTAATTACATGATACAAAACTACAAAGTACAAAACTCAACCTTTCGAAACTTTTTTTTGCCATACCGGTGTTTCAGCTGCAACGCGACATCGACCTGCTAAAAAACATTAAGTTAATTCTGGCTTGAGTTATGATCAACAAGCTTATACCGATACATAGTACATACAGATATTATGTAGAAGCACATGCGATTGCCTTCGAGTCGATTGGTAAAGGTCGTGTTTACTAACTATGTTTTTTTAAAACTATTGTTTCAGTCATTCGTATTGCATTATCAACAAACTTACAAAACGATATCATTATGTATAGTAGCTGGTGTAGCGAACTATCTGTAGCTGTACCACAAAATATGTGCAGCTTCGTCAATAACAAATCTTTCGTTTCTGTAAACAGTTTATGCGTGCCATGGCACAACCTTTAAGATGAAGGTTTATTAGACCTTGTGATGAACAACTTCAAATCAGAGAGAAGTACATAACTTCCAAAACTTAACTTCGAACCAAATATGGACTCACAAATTCTTTTGTGTTCAACTGTTTTTCTCTATACAAATTTTAGATTGCTGTGTGCCTTCTGTAGAAATGAAAAGTTTATTCCCAAGTGCATGGCCAGCATGTCACGTATGGCAGGACGCAGGGCATCTTCGGACAAGACTTCCCGTTCTTCTCCGACCTTGGACAGAAATTCTACCAGTATAATTGTGAACGACACCAAAAGCGTCAGCGTCTGCAACAGAATGTTCACATATGTAATTTTTTCTAATCGATTGCGATCAGATTTCATAGGATTGTTTCATGAATTCAACATTTTTTAGTCATACGTGATGAGATGAACAAAATATAAATTACAGAACGTGCAAATGACATGCAGATTGGCTACCGTCACAATGAATTTGCGCTCCACAAAGAAAAACCCGCACGCATGGAAGTGAATAGGATACAGCGACACCATCACACTGAAATCTTTAACACTGTTCCATAATGTCTACGACAAAAAAGAAGTTATTAGAAGGTCAGCTTATGTATATATAAAAATGGCAGGTTTGTTTTCTGAATTACTCGTACACCTTAATTAAACATTAACAAAATAACGTATAGAATTTCCGTGAATGAAATTATATTTTCTTTCTAAACGTAAAATTTCTGAGGGAACAAATGGATATTAGAGCCACTTGCACTGGTGGTTCTTTTCATATTCGAGGTGCTCGAGTGTACTTACTTGCATGTTGAATTTGTCATGAAGTTCGTACGCCGTGCCAATCGCTTCATACAGAATAATTTTTGCGTGGGCAGCCTAGAATTTGTTGGTTCTTTATTTTCCCCCTAATATCATGCCACAGTCTACAGTATCTCTAGTACTATGTTATTGCTTATCGGTATAGCATTATACTTTACCAGATAGAAAACACGTATGAGAAAATCTGCAACTCGATGGAATGCGCAACTAACCATAAAAATTATATGCTTTCAATCGAGCTGTAGGTTTGCACATTGTACTTACGTTTACCATCCCGTATTGCATTTTATTTTCGTTGATGCGATTTGAGAAAAAGAGAGATTTACCATTAGGATGAATACCGTATTAAAAGATTGATTCTATACGAGTTGATTAAAGTTGATATACTGATTAAAGTACTGATTAAAGTTGATATACCATTTCAGCTGCTGTTGCCAAAGGTAAATAAGTCATCGTAGCAAACAAGACAAACCCCAGTGCTCCCGATAATTTGGCAGGAAACTCAACACTTGAAGTTTCGCTTCCGGTTACCAATACTGTCAACATTCCTGCAGCCGCACCCACGTCCGCAATATACGACAGGAAGACAAAAAATCCAAAATGCTCGTTCCATTGGTCCGAGAAGTGGAACAGCCTCTCGCGGAGGTGTGCGTGGCGCTTAATCTCCGCGAACAATTTGTCAAAATTTTGTAGAGTGCTCCCGGCTTGGTCATGATGTTCATTATCGGGTAGTTTGTTTAATTTGCTGACCGTTGAATTTAAGGTTTTCGCGAACTGCCGAAGGTCATCATTAAGAGCGGTGCTGCAATCGCCTAATATGTATCCCATACTAACCGCGGCAATCAACATTAGTTGTGTAAAATAGTAGGGAATATATATAAAGGTCACTTGCAGGACAATGTATGACCACACTGGCATGGTTAAAGTGTCCATAAGCAAAGAATAAGTGCCATACATTGACCGATTTTCGTACTCAAATCCATGCAGCCAGCTTAATGAAAATACAATGATAAAGGTCACGAGACAAAAACCGGCCAAAACGATATTGAACGTTAACCACGTTCTGCAATTTTTTGCCAAAACTGCACGTTGTGAAAAAGTTGTTTGTGCTATATTTTCGGCAGCGGAAATAAGCGTAACAAGGTTATCTCTCTTCCAGAACATTATCAACATTCCCAGAAATCCTCGGAGACTAATGAGGAAGTTCGGTATTCCAGCTAAGGCAATAACAATTGGACTAATATGCGGTCCGCTTCTTGGCATAACGATGGCATACACTGCATTAAAACCCATCAGTGCTGCACTTAACAAAGAGCCCAGGAGCATTACGGTAAGAGTAGCGTATCGTACCACCGAATATCTTTGTGCATAAAATTTCTTGTATTTCCATAAATACAAAGGAGATAAAATAAACGATTGCAGACAAAATACGCCATAGATTTCCTTGCTGACAGAGAACCCCATGGTTTTTTAAGCAGCCATGTAGGGTCAGTACGGGTACGTCACGAGCCGGAAATGTGTGTACGTATGCAGTTGGCGTACTATGTAGGCACTAGAGTAGACTTTTTAGGTGATTTTGAATGCAGCCGCTAAAGGGAAAAAACACAAATATTTTTATAGACTACTGGAGGATGGTTCGATACTTTGCATAACCACAAATTGCTTCCCAAAAGGTTAGGACCTTTTAATGTGAACTTGTTTGATCGGATATTTGCAGCCACGTAGCCTGTATAAATAGGAGCTACCATCTGTTTGTAGATCTGTGCTTGTTGATGTGTTCACACACCTGGACCGGCTTATCGACGTAAATGGCAATAGTTACAACGAAAACTGTTGTCCTTTAAACCACGATACGTACGAAGGGTACTTGTACTGTGATGCAGAAGCTTTTTGAAAAAAATATCATATTTTCACATGTGGATGCGCGCTACGGAAAATCAACATAATCAACCAACAGAACAAGGGAGGAAACTATTCGTTATTCACTTTTGACTTGTGTATCTACAAAACTAGTACCGTGCAGAAAATCTCAATGCTTTATAAACGATTAAAATTTATTATGAGTAGCATCCGTGTAAGTATAAGTGCGTATAATCGAGGTACGGTACGGTAAAATTATGTGCTGCCGCAACAATGTTGCGTTACTATTGGATGAACCTTTTGCTGACATTACAGTATAAGTGCTTTTTTCAGTTAAATATATCTTAGCTTTTTAATGATTTTATTAAATTAATTAAGTATTGTTTGAATATTATTATTGGAGTTGTTTGTAACACAATAGGTATAAATCTATGATTAGCTCCGCAAATTTCAGAGCATTGTCCGTAAAAGTTACCTCTTTTTCTAATATAAAGAAATAAATTGTTAAAACGTCCTGGGGAGGAGTCTACTTTAATTCCTAATCTAGGAATAGTTCATGAACACTCAATTTTTTGTTTCTTCTACACATGTTCTCCACTCGAGTGGAGAACATCTGTAGAAGAAATAAAAAATTTAGTGTAAACTTTTTCTGGAAGAGAAAATTTATCTGTGTATGTACTGTAGTCTGTAGTATCTGTGTATCTGTGTATCTGTAGTACAAACTAGGTTTGTACTACAGATACACGCCTGCGTTAATACAAACAAGGTAACGCTAACAAAACCAAAAGTGAACAAAGAAGGAAAAAATTCAAAGAAGGTGACAGATACCAGGCGGTTATCGGTCACATCTGCAAACGAGAGATGCAACTGCGATATGCCGGTGTGTAATACTACGCTACTATCCACTGTCCAGCGATTTACAAGAGCACCAGTTGTACTACAGCCGTGGTGGACATCTGTCGTACGCCTCTGTCTGAACTTCTTTAACAGAGAGGAAATTTTAAACTGGATTTTTAAGTTCAGTTTTATAGACGCAACACTTACAACAATCGATTACAACAATCGATTCGATAGTCGACGGGGTCAACGCCATTTTGACTTCTTTCATTATTCTCGACCTTTTTGCGCTTGCTGCTCCAGTGTTGTCCTACTCAAGCTAAACCACTAGCGCTCTTTCCTATATTGCAAACTTTTCGATTATTTCGTAATCTTTTGTTTTTATTATTCTGTTCTGTGTTCTTGTTGTACATAATATCCTACAACAATGTTTTACTCAAATTATTTGTTGGCGAGAAAAGGGCCGCTCAGTCTGATTTGGTACGCGTCGACTTAACAAAAAACGCCGCAGAAATGTTTCACAACGCAACGGCTCTGGAAATCCTGAATTAGAATGATCGCCATTTGCAATTGATATTATATATAATCTTTACAGGATTGCGGGGCATATGAAATCAAGCCGCATATCGAAGAAACGAATTTTAAAAGCGGATATGACTCAAATCTGGTAAGTTAATTGCTAAAATTAAGAATAAATGGATCTTTCAAATTGTTGTAGTCTTCAGCCTGGGATTCTAGCGTGTAGAGATCTGTACAATAATGCGTTAATTCGAAAACGCGGCGTCTGTTTCAGTCGACTTAAAAGAGATCACGTGCGCAGAATGTAGCATTTCGTGATCTTTAAAGAAGCGTTTTAAGTGATCACCGCTTCTTGTAGCGATGACCTTTCGCAGCACATCACGAAATTCGCCTTGTCAGTGCAGATATCGCTGGTGTTGGGAGCGTCCATTGTACTGCAGCGTAAAGCGACGTATTTGCTCAGTAAGGAATATTTTCTTGCTTGTACATTGTTTATTTATTGATTGTACTGTACTCTGTATACGCGTACATCTTTAACCAAAAATATATGCGTAAATGGCGCTTTCGTAATTTTTTCTGCGTGTCAAGTTTGCCGCTCTGAGCTTTACCATCGCGTTTGCAGAGGATGTGGAAGAATTACGACAACTGATTCGAAATGTGGACAAGAAAGGCAGACCCCGCGGCATCGATATGCGTACGGAGGATCGGTGAGAAGCGCCGCATTTCGCCCACACTGGAGGACATTGCTGCAACCGTTGACCAATACAGCATGGAATGAATGGAATTTCGTTTTGTTTTCAGACCGGGTAAAAAGCGGCTGAACCTCCGGCTGACGGAGCCCCTCATTCAGCTGGATTTTGCGCGGGCGGAGGAGTGGCTGCTGGAGGCGGTGGACGAATACCAGGAACCGCAGACATTGGTAAATGCCGCCTGTAACATTAAATTGATAACAAATTGCGCCTAACAGGTAGCTATTTTAAATTTAAATAAATTTGATAGATATATATCTAAATTATTTGAATATGTTTTAATTTGATAAATATTCTTCATTCCATTTCGGTTGTGGTTTAATCAGGTCGGGATTGCGCGTCCGGAAGATATCACTCTTCGCAACGAAGGTCCTATCATTGTAAGTTACCGCCGTAAACAAAAATCCGGCAAGAATGAGAAATCCCTTTTTATGATAATTCTATTATTTACCGTTGGGTGTCTTTCAGAAGTACAATCCGAACCAAACAGTAAGTAGATGGACTTGAGTATTTACGAATCTGCAAGAGGCCGGCCCTGGCAGCGTTGTGCTATGTTTTCGTAGTATGACGATAAACTGCAGGACGATTTTCCTGAAACGGTTGTACCTGTTGCACCGGCAGCGCCGCAGATGGAAGCAGCGCGGACCAGTATGGTTGAAGCAGAGATGACGAATGTGTCAGATCTTCCCCGTCCTTCATCGCTCCCACAAGACCTGCCAGCTAAGGCAGCCGAACTAACTGCGGCCGAGGTCAGGGTCTGTTGTATTTTACAAGGTTTACTGCCAGTTGCTGGTAATAATCCGTAAGTAGCGCATAAAATTAGTCGTAGCTCATTGGAAAAATTAGTACCAAGTATAAAAGTTCAAAAAATCGTTTACTTGGTTTAATCTTTAATTATAGTTGGCGATTACCACTTTTGGTAAAATTTTGATTTCGGAGAATAAAATACAAAGGCCAATTCAGAAAATAGTGTAATAAAGTTTTGTGCAACCAACAATAAGAATAACTGATTAAATGTCTTCTGTAACTGGTTAAAAAATTTCAATTAAATTTGCTTGTGTTCGACGCTGACCAGTGAGTGTTTCGGTTGAGTACAGGCTGTTCCGGATATCCAACCTGTTCAGCCAGCTGTGGGAAATTTGGAATTACCTCTTGAGCCGGAAGCGATGGGGCCACCACCGGCAGCAGAACCGAAAGCAGGCGCGAAGGGCAAAGGAAAGCGCAAGAAGCGGCTCATCGTGGATGATCCCGCGATCATTCCGCATGCGGTGATGAAGAGAAACGTGGAGAACATACGAATGGCTACCATTCCCGACACGGTATGTAGTACTATGTACACAGTGCCAACTGCCAACATATTTCTAAAAGTCGAATGCGCTGGTTTTTGTGTTACATTATAATTTCTTGGTAACTCTAAAAGAATTTTTTTCAAAGCTCTAGATTTTAGTCTGGTTTGTTACAGCTCGGTTTTTTTAGAAGGAACACTGTCCGGACTTTCACTTGTTAAAGTTAAAACAGACGGAGAAGCAATTTCGGAAATCAGGTAAGAATATTTCGGAATAAGGGCTTGTTTATTTGTAAGCTGGGATAAGTAACCTGATGTTCGAGTAAACTGGAAAACAGGATTTATATCGTGTAAAAATGTTGATGCTTTAGGGGAGTATTTTGAAAACGGTATTGTGGCCGGATACATGCGGAACTGCGTGGAGTACGCCTCCGCCAACGGCGCAAAAGTGCGCCAGGAACGGCAAGAAGACGATCCGTTCGGGTGGTGCCCGCCCCAACCTGGAAATGTTCCCATCGAGAACGAATTTCTGGAGCCGGCACAGGCACAAGCCGCACCTCCACAAATTGGTCAGTAAAGGCGTGCTATTTTAATCACCCTTATTTGAAAATTGGTGGAAAGCTTTTCTGATCTTCTAAGTTGATTTAATATCGTATTTCGTTTCAGAGCCGGTCCAACAAGAACCCATCATGGAAGTGATTCCGGAGCCAGCACCGGTTGTGCTTCCTGAACCGGTGCCAGCAATTGCCGTGGAACGGGCATCTTCCGTTGTTCCGACACGGCAGCCGTTCGATGAGTCGGGCGCAGCCATTAGCGTTGCGGAAAAAAGTCGGCGATCGGAAGTTACTGGTGAGTTATACATAAGTGTATAATAGGGTTTTCGGACGCATTGGGTTATTCACTGCATGTTGGTAATATCTGATAAAATTATTTCTAGTGGTAATTTTGCAATGATATTATTATAGCGTGTTGTTGCGTTTCAATAGGTAACTGTAAAAAAGCTCGATTTATGGTCTTATTTATCGTCATGTTTGCTTGCATGTACTTAGACGAAGAAGGTTTTATGCAACCTGCACCGAAGAAAACCCGCCGGGAAAACCGAGAGTTCACAGTGCGAGAACGCGCGGAGCAGTACGCTCATGCTGGACAGTTTCTTGAATTGTAAGTGATACTTCACCGGTTAATAATATCATTAATTGATTTTCCGTAACGTTACAGCCGCATCAATTCTGCGGAATAACAATGTGTACTCTGTAGTAAATTTAACATATTATGAGTCCTTGTACAGTACATAATTATTATAATATAATTATGTGGCTGCTCTGTATGGCTGCACTCGTGTTAATTAGAAGACTTTCCCGAATTAAGAATAGCTTAAGTAACACTTTTGCATCTCAGCACGACACGAGTAGCAGTATCTTTGGTGATTCTAATACATATTTAATAAACGATTGCAATGAAAACTTAAATTTTGCAGACGCTACCGAAAAATTGAAGCATCTAATGATCGAGTCACTTTTCACCAGCTGATCAATGGAAATTCACGCAAAAAGATCGCACGGTGTTTTGCTTACTTGCTCAGTAAGTTATGAAAGTATTCCTCGATGCACATAATTCGCGTTTATACACAAGTGGTAATGGTTGTGTACAATGTGGAAAAGATCTGCAGATTTGCACAAATATAATACCTTTTTCTTGCAGAGAAAGCTGCGGATGGAAAAGTGGTTTTGGAGCAGCCTGAACCGTATGGAGATATTTTCATAGAGAAAACTCATGGTGCTTCTCTGGCATTCATCGACGGACAGGAAAATTAAAGATTCTGCAGAAAGAATCTGGATCTGAACTGGCCGATATAGCACCCGTCAACCGTTGCAGAAATCTCTGTTACTTGTTTTTTTTTATACAGCAAATTGTTGTTGGTGTCAAACAGGCCGGTATTTTTTTGTTTATATTTAATTTATTTTGAAATTCATTTTATTTGTTTAAGTTATTTTGTAACTTGGATTTTCTTGTTTTCGTAAATTTTGACGTTTCATTTAATGAGGAAACAGGGATTGTCAGATGTCGAAGTGTCAGTGGAAAACCTAGGTTTTGAACTCGACATTACTGTACTTGTACTTGTACATCTTTTTGGTTTTAAAGGTCTTTGTTTGTTTGTGCAGGTTTTCGGTTGTTTTTGTTGTTCAGCGAATTAAAAAACTTGCGCTTCTGCTTCCGCTTTTTTTCCGGTTTTATATTGTATGTGCCCTTTACTACAATTTTTTCGCTGTGGAGTTCTGAATAAATCGTGCCTCGGAAATCCGATCGCTTCCATTCCACAGTGAATGCAAGAATGTAGCAATAATACAATATTACAAAGTAATTAAAAACATAACTAATGGAACTGCTTGCATTTTGTTTTGACCATTGGCTCTCAGGAGCTAAATTTAGTTAACAACATACTGTACAGTACAGTAGTTTCACAAATACAAGCACAAGTAGCCGGAAGTAAAGCAAAATCAAGTTCACAAGCCTACGTCATTCTCCTTGTGAGTCACCAGTCGATGTGTCATACCGCTGAGCGCTGACTACTGAAAGAACAGGCAGAATCATATGGCAGAATGCACTGCATTCAGTGCACTTCTCTTATGATAAAATGAAATCATCATCATCGACATCGTGCTGCAAAACTTATTAATTTTTATAATTCAAAGTGGAGTCTAAGGTTTGTTGATCTGAGACTCACCGTCACAGTATTAGATTGATCAGATATTCCTGGTTGTAAGGAGTAAGCACGGTAGCTATCAGTAGCTTTTCCGAATCGTATACTGTCGGTATACATTCACTGTATCGTATTGTTTGGTCGGTTTTTGTTTCCCTTTTGCTTTGCTGGCAAATCCCGAGTTCCACAGTAAACCCACCTGCGTTTACAGCTAGATCAGTATTTTTTTGCTTTGGGACGTTCCTTCAGATTCTGATAACCCGATCCTACTTGTGAGTTGTAAGTTGTTGATGGATTATCATTAATATAGGTATTTATTTGAGTGGGGAAATGTACGTTTTAGGTGGTTTATTACAAACACACACACATATCAAAAATGTCGACGGCAGCCATGGAGAAGCATCTGTTCAACTTGAAGTTCGCAGCCAAAGAAATGGACCGTTCTGCGAAGAAGTGTGATAAGGAAGAGCGTGTCGAGAAGGAGAAACTGAAGAAAGCCATTCAGAAGAACAACTTGGAAGTAGCGCGTATCCATGCAGAAAACGCCATTCGTCAGAAGAATCAGTCTTTGAATTTCCTGAGAATGAGTGCGCGAATAGACGCTGTTTCCTCGCGTGTCCAGTCAGCTGTGGCTACGAAAAAAGTCACTCAGAGCATGGCAGGTATGACCGTGCTCCCGGTAGTGATTTTGGAAGGATGTTTTCAGAATTTCTTGAAATTTTGCTAGGTTATTAACAAGTTAATGGGAAAAAAATGCGACGATAGATTTGCTGAGTTAAAATGAAATTTGTGAAGTTGAAGCGATTCTTTTCCCGTAACCAGTATAACCATAATATTTTTTTGTAGAATTAATCGTATTGAAGTTAAAGAATTTTAATTTGCGGATATTCATGCTAATGGTGTGGTCGTGTGGCAGTGTTCTTTTATTAAAAAATACACTAGATCTGATCTGGAGAATACGATAATTACTGAAGAAACTGAAGAACTTACAAAAGATTTACAATTTGTTATAAAAATATTTTAAGTAACTAGGGAATAGTTGTTTTGGCCGTGGGGTTCTTATGGTTATCTGAAAAATAATACGCTTATAAACTGTACATAAAAATCGCTTGCATTTCTCTAGTTTACTGTATTTTGATGCGTGTGGTCAGCAATAACGTTGTCCTGAGTTGCCATATTTGTTGTTGTTGATTATGATTACCGGAGGTATTTGTTGTAGGTGTCGTTAAAGCCATGGACGCGGCTATGCGCTCGATGAACCTGGAGCAGATATCGGCGCTGATGGATAAATTCGAGCAGCAGTTCGAGGATCTAGATGTGCAGTCGCAGGTGATGGAGGGCACGATGAGCAACGCCAGCACTCTCACGGTGCCCACCGGCGATGTCGACCAGCTGATGCTGAAGGTGGCAGACGAGGCCGGGCTGGAGCTGAACATGGAGCTGCCCCAGGCGGGCTCCGTGGGTGTCGGGACGGCGGTGGGCGCCTCCACCCAGGCGTCCAAGGAGCAGGACGAATTAACTGAACGTCTGGCCAGACTGCGTGAACAGTAATCGCGCACACTTGTGGTGGTTAGTCAGATGTTGTTCTTTTCCATTTTACTAGCATGAATTAGCGCGTCGTTTCCGCGGGGTGTAGTGCAAGGCATGGCTGGAGGGAGCCACCGACATTGAGCTTAAGCGTGCAACCTAGAATTCCATTTTTTGGCCGTAATTGATTTGAGTGGCTGGTGTGCATGATTTTATGGAGATTTGTTTATCGTTTTTCATCGTTGATGCTGCTTTTTCTTTAATTTTTTGTTAAAATAATTGTACATTTTTGCGGCTATTTAAATTAATAAAGTTTTATCAAACAAAAAAACGTATTGTACAACGAAAAACACAGGGCTCTATGAATCAACGAAACAACACCATGTCTGTTGCGCAGACGATTTACAGTCAATGGATTCACCGATGATCATATTGGGACACACGATCTGCAGTAATCCGTCATCCACACAGATTCCTTTGGCGCTCGGCGAAGATTTCGGTGTGCAAGCTGTCGGCGGGTCCACCGCAACATCCACGGAGAAATCTCCACTACCGCTAGTCTTCAGATTGCCGGCATCGAAATTCGCTCCGGATATAAGGACTTTCTTGTCGTTCATACCCAGGAAAATGGGTGGGAGATCTTTGTTAGCGTTTTTAGACGCACCACTGCCGTACGCTGAACCATAGGGCTGGCTGTTGGAGCCATAACCTGATCCATAAGGCTGATTGTTGGAATAACTGCCGTAGCCGTACGTGGTGGTTGGAGGAGGCGGCATTGGTGTAGTTGTGGTGGGAGGCGGAGGTGCTGGAGTAGTTGGTGGTGGCGGGGGCGCCGGAGTGTAATAATTATAATTATTATTGTATCCTTGTTGCATCGGGGTCGTTACTGGTGGCGCGGGTGCTGGTGTTGCAGGTCGTGCCGTGGTTGGCGCCGGCGTGGTCGCGCGGGTTGTCGTTGGGGTTGTGATTTCGACAGGTGGCCGAGGAATAACTACGAGCAATCTATGTGGTACAATAAGCAACAATTTTAATGGATTCTAGTGCTGCCATAACCTCATATGCCTGCAGCTTATTTATAAAGTACCGATTTACTGTAGTACTTAAATTACATAATTGTAAAATATTTACAATAATTTTAATTTACTTGCATGTTGCAGATATCTAATATTGCTTACAATAATTTTACAAACTGTTTTAGGCGATTCAGGTTCATATATATATATATGGTTTCGTGTCACGAAAGAAATGATTTTAATCTCGAAAGGGAATGATTTACACTTCGTCACTTACATAAACCCCATCCCTGAAGCGCTAATGGCACAGGCTTAACACCTGGCTCCCAGAATCCGCTAAAACCACCTCGTCCCGGATATCCGCCATACCCGGCACTGGGACCAGAACTACCATATCCCCCGCCGCCGCCTCCGCCTCCATAACCTCCCATGCTAGAGCCGCCACTGTACGGTGAATCCGGCATAGATGATGATGGTCCACCCATACCCGGTACACTACCCTGCGACAGCATCCCCCCACCACCCTGTCGTCCGCCAAACGGAATTCCGCTGGCCCCGCCGAAGCCGCCGGGCCCACCGAAGCCAGCCCCACCGAAGCCGGCCCCACCGAAGCCGTTCCCGCCGAATCCCGGGGCTGCTCCGCCGCCGAAACTCAGCCCACCGACACCGTTGACCCCAGTATCGGCGACGGTGTTAATCCGGTTGAGTGTATCGAAGGCCACGCCCTGGTTGGGTCCGGCCAGTGCGCCCACGCGGGCGCCGGTCAGGCCACTGCCTACCACGGGGGAGCCCACCGGGCCCGCGATGCCATCAGCGGGGTTGTTGAAGCCGGGTGCGATGGCCGCGTTGCTGATATCAAACGGGCCACCGCCGCGCGTCGGGCTTAATCCGGTTGTTCCCGCATTCAGGGCAGCCCCGATGGTGGACATGCTGAGCTGGGCGGAGCATGATGAGAACGTTAGAAGTCCACAAATCACAATATATAATAACATTTTTTCAAGCAAAGCTTTGTATATTCTGAGTGACTTTCCGACTTCCTCGCCGTTTGATCACAGATATAAGGAAGAGTATCAAGCGGATATTGATCTCTAGTGAGGCATGCTGATGAAGAATTCAGTGAGGTGGCACACATATATGAGAAAAAACTATGCTGCGATATGGCGTGTAATTACAGGGTCAGAATGCAGAGATTGAGGTAGCCATAACAAGACTCTTAACGAGCCATTTATGCGCTGCAGGCGGGATGCTGCACCATCTGCTGCACATTATAACGGAGATTCTATACCGGTAATTCGGCATGAATTTACCGGCACGTACAACTATAAAGACAAAATATTAATGTGGATATATTAATTTCACGTCATAAAGCAAAGGTGTGGATTTATTCTCGATTGACTGCACCTGCACAACACGGGTTCATTAAAGCGAGCCGATATCAGATTTCTTTGCTGCGTAATGATTGTTAATAATTCGTTATCATTCGTTAGACACGAGATACTAGTGGTATAGGTCAATTGCATTTGGGTAACCGATGCGCGTCGGGTAACGGAGAAACGGGTAAAAATCTGTCCATGACTCAGCGAAAAAAATATCATCCAATCGTAAGGCGAGTACGCTTCCGTGCCAAGAAAGAAATTGAACAACGGAAAAACTGAAGTGGAACTGAAAAATCTGTTTTGATGCTTTAATGCGGTAAAACGTCAAAAGTTGATTCTGAGTTTAGAAGTGTCAATCTGGGTCGCTGGATGCACTTTTGGTTCAAAAACAAAAATTTTGTTGATCTGGGCAGGAGAGTTACGAGTTACTCGTAGTTTAGTAACGGTTGCGCTTCGACGTCGAAGCGCAACGGTTGCGCGGACGGGTAAGCTGAAAACCCATCCCAGAATTCTGGTTTACCAATCAAATCGTTTACCTGCTTACGCGCCGTGACGTCATGTTTTTTTACCCGACTGCCGCTTGCGCGTCGCGTAATGCTTACACAGAGCAATTGACCTATGCCACTATGTAGGTGCAGATCGGCTGTATAGCGTAATCATCATACATTCTACTGACTCGTTTAGCTGGTTTCGTTTTCCGTTTCGCTTTCATCGGGTTCATTTCGTTTTTCATTGGTCAAGCAATATTTTAGTTACAGTTCAAAATTCTGCGCAAAAAGCACGTCGAGTTTAGTATTAGCCAGGTAAATTACTTTATCTGTACTTACTATTAAACACAGTTTTGCTTGTCTTCAAAACACATTTGTTTTGCTAAGAACGCCGTGCTGAATGAAGCTTCGAACAACACCCTAAATGAAAAGGTCACCATCAGTTCACCGATTTTCTATGTAGCAGCACCAACTATCCTTTTTACAATCCTTGGAAGCCGCTACTATCATATTCGAACAGGCGATCTGTAACAGCGAATTGGGAACACATTGTCCGGTTGTGCTGGACGTCGTAACCGGCACGCACGTGGTCGGCTGCTCAAATGCTTCCGGATTGCTCACGGTCAATTCCGGTAAATGCGAACTCTTTAGGTCATCCGATACCTTAAAGCCTTTCATCGCGCTATTGCTGTCCAGCATCGCTTGGAACTCTTTATCATCATCCATGGGAGTCACAATGACCTTTTGTCCGTTAAAGACCAGCACTTCCGGTAGCGTCGCCAGCTTGGCCTCCATGGGAAGGCGCATACGGTTGCCGTTGTACGACGGATTATTGATAGAGTATGGTAGCATGGTGGTGGACGTGCCGATCGGTGAGGGCGTGGTGGTAGGGGGACGGGTTGTCGGAACAGTAGATGGTGAAGCAGTGGTCGGGGGCAAAGTGGTCGTGGTGGTGGAGAGCGGGCGGGTGGTGGTAGTCGTTGTACTTGTGGCCGTCGTTGTTGACGGGATTGTCGTAGTGGGAGCGGCTGTCGTTGGTGGTCGCGTGGTAGCGGTGGTGGTGGGTGTTGTGATTTCAACCGGTGGTCGCGGAATAGCTATCAAGAGCAAAATTTAGCTGATTAAAATACACTTTTAGAACTGCCTGCCTTACTGTGACCGGTTTTGATGACTTTAAACTTCCAAAAAAAACTAATTATTTTATACATAAGTCTGAGATTGTATGGCTGTACGAGCATCGATTCAGCATCTCTAAGGGGCAATGTAACAGAAGTTTCCTTGTTAATATGTCAAGAATGCAGCTTTCAGCAGCTTTAATTCCCATACTCCTTTAGCGCTAGGATTCATTAATTCCGCCTCCAAAAAGCTGCGCATAATAGTTTCCACTATGTTAATATCAATAATATGAACAAGTAGTATTAGTACTACGAGTATTGTAACATTACGTGCACGTTATTAATTAATTGCAAATGTACATATTAAAAATTGACCTATGTAAAAATGAATTTTATCTGCGCAGGTTACTATTATATACCTTAGAATTAATGACAATCACATTGACTTTACATACAAAGACTCCATCCTTGCATGGCTAAAGGAATCGGCCGCACTCCAGGTTCCCAATATCCACTATAACCGCCGCGACCCGGATATCCGCCGTATCCCGCATTGGGAATGTCTCTTCCGTAATCGTAACCGCTTAAGCCGCCGTAGCCGGGGCGGCTGCCCATATCTCCTCCTCCACTTGTGAATGCCGTAAAGCCATCGCTGTTGGTCATCCCTGCCGGGCCGGCAGCCGGTCCGGAGGCGGAATTAATGAATCCTGGCGCTAAAGGAGTTTGAGAATTGATGCTGCTGAAAGCTGTATTGTTGCGATCACCCGCCAAGAAGTTTGCAATGTTGGCATCGGCCATGGCGGGCGGTGGCGTGACCACTTTCAGGTTATCCGCCGACTGGCTGCCTTGACCGGTGCCACTGGCGGTAGCTTGACCGATGGCCGCCGCAACCTGGAGAAACTGGCAAAGGGCACTCGGGATATTTAATAACACCGATATGAGCAACGTATGAATAAGCATGGTTATAATGCACGAAGAATTAGGGAAGAAGTTTACAGCAAACCAAAAACTTATCAGAATAAACCCGAAGTTACTTAATACATATTTAATTGTATGCTAAATTAAGCCAGCAAAATTTAACAATATTGATGTAACGGAAATCGCCGTAATTAACATATTAATGTCAATGTGGGCGATTTGGCGCACCGATCCTTCTAATTACAGGATTGTTTAGAGAGCACGTACGATAACACCAAAAATAAACCCTACCACAACTTAAGAACGATGCCAGAATTAAGGATGTAAGTATTTATTTCTCTTATGTACGCATACGTGCGGCGAAAATGCAAGAAAATGTTCAGTATCACGCCTTAAAAGAAACGAACGATGTCAAGTATTAATTCATAATGTTTTACAGTTTTATCGTACGGAAATGATAATAGGTAACACGGTAACCCTGTTGGGAAATTACTACGGTTTGAACAAGAATTTCTTAAAAGGAATGTCAAGTCTTGGATAAAACAACGTGTTTTAATATGGTAGTAGCTTCTGGCGCGATGTACTTATTTATTTCGATTTCGTTCAAACGGCAAGAATGCCCCTTTTGTTACGGAGCAGAAGTTACTGTACAACGAGGCCAATAGTACGCATATTGTGCATATCACGCTAAACTTGTAACTTTTGAACTTGTGTTTTCAGTACTAGTATTCTGCAATTTCTTCTTTACAGTTTGCTAAACTTTGCTTAACGCATTATCGGCGATTCCGCAACCGGTGTTGTTACTATTAATTTTAGCCTACTGACTGCATTTGCTTTACGTAAAACGTTTTGCGAATTTAAAAATTAGGACGAAATGCAGCACAGATTCTTGTGGATCGATACGTAGGCTACGTGAACAATACACTAAATTTGCGAATATCTCTTCTTTGTGAAATCTCCTTAATTTTCATCGTTTTCAGTCGCCAGCACTAGTTACATCATATACTGTAAATAAAATAAAGATTGCTGATGTACGGAAGGTCTTGAGTGTGGGTTACTTAACGTACAAGGTACTGTACAACCGAAAACGAAGATTATGGTATTTTAAATTTTAACTAAAGCCACGGTCAACTGACCGGATCGTCCTAATACGTAAAGCTTCTGGTTAGTAAACTCATCCTGGGAAAGGATATCAAACTTCCTCGATCGTCACGTTCTAACCAGCTTTACATTAATTTTTTACAAGAAAATTGAAATGAAAATGAAAATTAATGATTCCATCGCAACATGAAATAATTCCACCGAAAAGATTTTCTACTCTGTAATTGTGCCTCTTTTCTATGGCTTACGCATCCTACACACAAATTTCAGCAAACAGGAAAAGACAAACTTTGAAATTAATATAAATATTTGAATATTAACATTACTGCTGACGATGCAGCGTGTACTTATCATCGCTGGCCGTACATGCTTATGTCATGACGAGGCAGTATCGCTAAACAAGCGTAGACTATGCACTTTGTGATCCACGGTATTGCTCCAGCTGCTGCAGAGTTGCCTTTAAATAATCGGTTAGTGCAGGATTGTGAGTGAGGCGACATGTTAATGTTGAGAAGAATAGTCGTCGTTTATCCCTGTAATCGATTTTTAGATGTTGTAAGAGCGTCGACACAATCGTCTAAATTCATTTTAATTACAACAGTATTCACACGAAAGCCATGGAATCCAGTAACAAGGTGTGCAGCTGGCAGGAAATCCTCGATTTTTGGTACAGTGATTCCGCCAAGAAACACTGGTGGTCCAAGAGCGACGACTTTGACGAAGAGATCCGACGCAAATTCTACCCGACCTTCGTTGCCGCTACCAAAGGCGAACTGTTTCCCTGGCGTGAGCATCCCCATGGGCGAGTGGCGGAAATCATCGTTCTGGATCAGTTCTCGCGCAATCTGCACCGTGGAAAACGTGAGGCTTTCGAAAACGATCTGGCGGCGATTATTTTGACCCAGGAGGCGGTACGACTGAATATCCACAAGGAACTGCAGGGGACACCGTATCTGGGACATCTGTTAATGCCGTTGATGCACAGCGAATCCGTGCCTGTCCACGAGGAAGCTATGAAGCTGTTCGCACCCATTCCTGAGGGGGAAGGAATGCTAAAGTATGAGAAGCTGCATTACGACATTATCAAGCAGTTTGGTCGGTATCCGCATCGCAACAAGGTGTTAGGCCGAGAGAACACGAAGGAGGAAGTGGAATACTTGGAGAAGAACCCTAAAGGATTCTAGTCGCTGAGTCTTTACAGCCCTGTGCAGTTTATATTTGTCGAATTTAACGTGACTGTTTGCATTTTGTTTGAAATTTTAAATCTCCTTGGTTGCTTCTTTCCGTTAATATTAAATATGCGTGCGCGGTAGTGGTGCTTAATGATAATTAGGGTTTACATTCTACCCTCTGCGATGCGATGCGATAAGACTTATCATTAATCAGTTATGAAGAACTTGTGCACGAAGGATAGTAAGTACAATGCGAGTATAATGATGTTCTTTCCCAAATTCAAAATAATGATTGTTTTCGCTTTTCTGATTTGCTAAGTACGGTGCTGTATTGCTTTCGCAATTTCGTTTAATGAACTTAATAAAATTTAGTGCTCATATCTGTATTCTCCGCGCTCTAGTAAGTCCGTAGTTTAAAATTTCCAAGTCTAGCAGGAAGTATGTACGAATATTTGGGATAAAAAATTCATATTATTTCCGGTTCGCAGTAAACAGGGTGAACTGTGTATAACCTATCCACCACAAAACTATTCAAGTAGAAAATATTTTTACACTTTAATGCCTAGTTTATAACTTTATAGAGAAGAGTTGCTCTTAACAAACTCTTAACAAACATCCTGAAACGTTTAATTTCTACAAAATAAAATTTAATTTTACGATCTTCCTATAAACCAGTAAGTTTAAACGTGTATCGGCAGCATTATTAATTTTCTATGATCGCATATCGTCGGATCTCTGTATAAAATGTCAACAAAAAACGTCATCGGACAGCGATATTCACTTCGGCTATGAGAGTATGAATCATACGTGCTTTATTCGACCTAAACATCACGGCTGATCTAATCCTCCTGGAGGGATTGGATGGGTGCTATTCACGCACTTCGGTTCATTTTATGGACTTAAGCGTCGTGCTCAGTGGCAGCGTTTACACATCCAATCTGCCACAAAATCCATTGGACGTTGTTGCTTTTCAGTGCCTAAGCGCAAGTCCAAGCACGAAAATAATTAATATTATTTCAAATTAGAAATTTTAGTTTCTATCAAAAGGAGGGCTTAAAAAGCAAAGCGCAAAACGTATCGACCCTGATAACAGATACCTGATTTTCTGTTATTATGGTTCCATTCTGACTAGCGTGTGGAATTTTTTGTGAATTGTAAAAGCTACCGCATATCGACATATGCCACGTATAAGAAGAAGAATAGAATGAGAATTTCTCTCGTTCGTGCTAAGTTTTATTTTGGCCAAATCACAAATGAATCTTTTCTCGGATAACGTTCCATATGTTACACTTTCAGACCAGCAACGAAGCATTACAAACCTGTTTTTTTGTTTAAAATGAAAAGTCAGGACCGTTTTTGTCCTACCAAAACATGCTTACAAAGAATTCTAAAATATCTATAAATTATCACTTCCACTCACGGAAAGCCTTTCGACAGCACTAACATGAGCACTCAGGTTAAGACTATGGTTAAAACTAAGGTCAGCATTCGGTTTTTACTTTGGTTAGAACTAATGTTAGCACTCGGGTTAAGGCTCTGGTTAAATTAAGTGCAAAACGAAACGGGCTTACCATTGTTAGGCTGAAGCATTACTTAGTTAGATAGTTAATTCGATAGAACAACGATTCAAAAAGTTTATTTTTATGATTGAATTTAAAAAAGGAAATGGCTATTCTCACCACCCTAGCACCTCCTTTGGCTGTTCTCACGACCTTTCACCACCTTTTGGCTATTCGCACCCACTTTTTAAAAAATATTTTTGCCACCACCTTTGGCTATTGTGACCACCTTTTTACACCTCCTTTCGACTATTCCCATTTCCTTACATATTTTAATAATAATATTATGTTTATAAATGCCTACGGAGATCTTTCTTTTATAAAAATGATTGTAAAATCATATTTGTATAACGCTATGCGTTTAGGCGCACGACCTTTAAAAGCCGGGCAAGTAAACCCGATAATACTTGCCGGTATCAACAAATACTGTACTAGCAGGTACAAAATCATGAGATACAAGTCAGTTAAATATGACTGGATCCGCCACAAAGTGCATGACGATCAAAGAACTGGAAGAAAACCATTCCAGCATACCCGGCGTGCCGAATGCAATGCCGCTCTAACCGTAGCGGCACGGCTGAAAGAACACCGCCCCATCATTACTAAGCAAAATATGCGGCATAACCATCCTCTTACCAAGGATGGTTGGCAAAACGTGCTGGAAAATCGACGGTTGGATCCGAAAGAAGCTGTAGAAGTCCGTGAATTGATAGAATCGCGAGTGAATTTAAAAAAGTGCGAGTGCGAGTGATAAAAAAACTACTAAGTTTCCAATAAGGCCAATCGATCGACATTCTGTTTCCTCGGGTATAGCAGCAAAAAATGGATACGACTGTAGCGTTTTCACCATTGCTTTTGCAGTTGAAATCGTTTACCAGGGTTTACCGGAAGAAGCCGAACTCTGCAATAAGAAGATGCGAGAACGTTTGGCAAACAGCTGCAGCACGGACAAGATGCGCCTAGATACTTTTCCGGCCGGCGGCGGCCCCAACCGTAAAAAAAGTGCCCCCAACGGCAAAGCTTTGTTTTTTGTCACGAAGTTTTTTATAAAATTTACTGTGTAAAAAATGCAATAAAGAGGTGAGAATAGCTAAAAGAGGTGTGCAGAGGCGGTGGCAATAGTCAAAAGGTGGTGTTAGAATTCAATTCTTGGAAGGTGGTGGGAATAGCCAATAGGTGGTGAAAGGTCGTGAGAATAGCCAAAGGAGGTGCCAGGGTGGTGAGAATAACCATTTCCTTTTAAAAATCAATCAGAAAAAATAAACTCTTTTGAATCGTTGTTCTTTCGAATTAACTATCTAACTAAGTAATGCTTCAGCCTAACAATGGTAAGCCCGTTTCGTTTTGCACTTAATTTAATTAGAGCCCTAACCCGAGTGCTAACATTAGTTCTAACCAAAGTAAAAACCCGAATGCTGACCTTAGTTTTAACCATAGTCTTAACCCGAGTGCTCATGTTAGTGTTGTCGAAAGGCTTTCCGTGAGTGGAAGTGATAATTTATAGATATTTTAGAATTCTTTGCAAGCATGTTTTGGTAGGACAAAAACGGTCCTTGACTTTTCATTTTAAACAAAAAACAGTCTTGTAATGCTTCCATTGTCTGAAAGTGTAACATACGGAAAGTTATCCGAAAAAAGATTCATTTGTGATTTGGCCAAAATAAAACCTAGCACGAACGAGAGAAATTCTTCTATTCTTTTTCATATACGAGGCATATGTCGATATGCGGTAGCTTTTACAATTCACAAAAAGTTCCACACGCTAGTCAGAATGGAACCATTATAACAGAAAATCAGGTATCTGTTATCAGGGTCGATACGTTTTGCGCTTTGCTTTTTAAGCCCTTCTTTTGATAGAAACTAAAATTTCTAATTTGAAATAATATTAATTATTTTCGTGCTTGGACTTGCGCTTAGGCACTGAAAAGCAACAACGTCCAATGGATTTTGTGGCAGATTGGATGTGTAAACGCTGCCACTGAGCACGACGCTTAAGTCCATAAAATGAACCGAAGTGCGTGAATAGCACCCATCCAATCCCTCCAGGAGGATTAGATCAGCCGTGATGTTTAGGTCTTTATTCGAAATACAAACGTAGGCGGCTCCGCACCCGATTCAGCCATTCATTCGCGTTTCATTGACGTTTCCAAGTACGAGGTTATTTTGTGGATTACGGTCGATGATTATTGCTCACAAGTGACAGTCAGCATTGAGGACAGAGAAGGGTTTATTTTTCACGAGTTATTTTCGAAGAATCAAAAATTCTTTATGCTTTTGAAATATTAATAGGTTTCCTTTTAGATCTGTTTTGGCGCTATCTTTAGTTGCACGACTTTATACGCTACTATTTGGCGGAATCCTCATCAGCATTGATCCGTTGTCTTGGTTATCAGGCATTATCGCTCGCCATTGTTCTAGAAAACAGATTTTCCCTTTGGCTTCCCTGCTCTGCGACCTTCTTGATTTTACCGAAAAGCTTCCTGGCCGATTTTTTTTCCAGTAGTATTATGCGAACAGGCGAAATTGAATGAGAATGAGGTAAGATTTGAGGCTTGGATACAAATGAAACTTGATTTAGAAACTCGGGAGTAAAGAATTATTTGATATGTTTAACCGTGTACCACGATAATTAACCCTTCCGATAAGGTGTTCAGTGTTCACTGTTAATTTTATCGTTATGTAACAACGTGCGCAGTGGATAAACGCTTCGATTAACCTTTGATTTCTCATAAATTGTGATAAGGCGTTTTGGGAAAATTTGGGAAACCTCGAGTATCAGTGAAATGTATTGTGGCATTGTCGGATAGGCGATTTCTGTTGATTGCAAATGCAATGCCCAGTGGCTGTAAAGTGTAAAGCATTACGGAATACGGGTTATGATGGAAATTCTTTTTAATATCGGAGAATTTATTTCTGCCTGAATCTGTTCATTTGTTTATTTTTGAAAATGTCGTGTGATTGTACTTGAATGTCTTTCCGCTCTCGGCACGAGATGAGCATTGATCAGAAATATTCCGGAGGTCACCTTGGAAAAATGAAATTAACTGGATCTGAGTTAGCTAAGTTTATCTTGTATTTGGATATGAGAGCTTCCTCGGGATGCCTGCTCAAGGCTGGATCAGCAGATTTTGCATTCGTATTTGCACGCTCCTCCATTACCGTATTTTAGACAGTAACCGAACACTGTCACATGCGTCAAGGGGAAGACATTTTTATTGGGTACACTGGAAATTCTACGGAGTTTCGTGTGGTTCTCGGTTTATTTTGACGGGTGTAAATAGAAAGTGATATTTTTATTCGCCTTTATGCAAATACATTGAGACACATGTTGGCAGATGCCTTTTGCATTATTGATAAGAGAATCATTATTCTGACGTTTTTGTAATTACTACCAGCTCGCACAAGTCAGTTATACTTGTTTCAGCGTGGTCAACCTCGCGACATGATTTATAATATCTTTTTATATTACTTTGATTATTTTAATAGCATAGAATTTCTAATAAAATCAGGAACCCGCTGGCATTCCACCGGTTTAGTTAAAAATTTGTTTACTCCCATTTTATTGAGTTTCTGAGTCGCTGACTCGCTAGCACTAATTTCCTGGAAACACCTCTGGGAATTGAAATTGTGGAATCTGAGTTCAGTTTTTCTGTTTCCTTAAATTTTACATTCTGATTGTTTATCATTATTGTGAAATCAGCGTTCGCTGTTGATGCCTAATTGATAATGTGCGTATATAAACAATTTCACTTGATTTAGTTATTATTATTATTTGATTATTATGTTTAGTATTTGATTATTATGATTATTATTATTATTATGATTAGTTATTATTATTTATTTATTATTATTATTATTATTATTATTATTTAGTTATTATTATTATTTTCGATCTGGCAAAATTACTCTGCAATTCACCCGTCAGCTTGTTACGCGTAAGCCGTAAATTTGTGATCAGTGATCACCATCAGATGTGAACTCAGAGCATGTGTTATGTCAGCTGTGTTTTGGTCAGTTTTACGGTATACAGATATTGCATCTGGAAACTGTACTACTATAGTACTTTACTGGGTTATTCTGTACACTACGGTTCATCTAGATAAAAATGTGGTGTACGGAATAATCCAGCTTTTACCCGGTTTGTTGTCTCAACTTGTCTGACAGAATAATGTCTGTTGGTATGATTTCTGCCAAGTAGATTAGGAAGAAGTCCTGATTTATTAGTATTATTACCTACTACGGCGACTTGAGTGTTGTCTGTAAACCACGCTTACCCGTTAGATCGAGTCTCTAATTGTTTCCGATGTTTTTGCATTTTTATGTACGATTATGTATTCAGGCGTGTTTCGATTTTCTAAATTTTTCTCACGACAGAATTAGCGACACTGTAATTTGTTGGCAGAATACGTAGTCATTGCGATAGTGCGACAACGATCTAACCAGCTTGAGTTATATAATCGTTTTTTGTCAGCATTAGGTTTTTCTGTTATTATTAAAAAACTTGTGAATTTATTATATGTTGGAAAAGCCTTTCTGAATTTTTAAAGTGGGAAATGCGAATGAATTTATCTAGTTTGCGGTTTAATAACTATTGTTCTGTAGAATCTGTTGTTTTCGAATTGGGATTACTTTATTCTGCTCGTTTTAGAAGAAACTTAGCGTTAATGATAGCGCTGGGAGAATACTCACTGTTAATTGCCATTTTGAGAACTTTTGATAAGCGATGAATCGACGCGAAAAGTCGTAGACCCGGGACCAGGGTGTAATGAAAACCGCAATTCCACATCAGCTGTTTTTACACGAGCTGAATTACAGATTATTTTTTCATATACCGCACTTTATGTTTGCGTTTCTAAATCAGCTTGAGGGGAAGCCCGTTTCCTGGGATATAGACCTAATGCATTTCACACTGAGAATCGATTGTCTTCGCCCCTGGTCTTTGTCCTGGAAGGAAAAAGAACTGCTCGACATGTTTCGACCTTGAAGTGTTCTCAAACATTTACATTATCAGCCACATGAATAAACTATCGATCTGTGCGGTTGCATTTATTGCTAATAAGATGAATATTTGCATTTTTTTCTACAGAAAAAGTTCCCATTTGTGGATGAGGTACGGCAAGAGAGCCCCTGATCACTACGCTACGGACCTGAAATATTTACGTAAAAAGCAGAAGAACAATTGTCAAGTGCTGTGTCGTCGAAAGCTAGCCCGGAGTTCCCTTCTGTGGGAATTCGGCATCGACGTCTGGGAAATCTTCTCTTGCGATCCGTCAAAAAAGCCCTTGTTATTCAAGAACAAAGCGACATTTGAATACTCACATGTAAATACTGCCTGAATTCGTTTCACACATTTTGTGATAAGCGATAACATTATTGAAAGAGTATCATCTTTCCTCTGCGGTCTCAGTTTTTCTTTTTCCTGTGATCATCGTCACTACCGACCTTTCGTTTTCCTACTTTTGTTTGTTTGCAAATTTTAAATTATTCCTCCATTTTACGATCCCTGCAAAACATGGATTCACACGAATTACACATTCCCTTCCGCGATGACTCAGTTCTGCGTCGCGGATCACCGATTCCACCGAATTTCCTGCGCAGTCCCTCAACGAAGCCGCGTTCCCGTGCGAATAGTACGTTTTCCCAGGAATCAGATGATCAGAGTGTGTCGACATTGAAGCCGGATGGTGGGTGGGGCTGGATGGTGGTGTTTGCATCCTTTGTCATACAGATCATTGCCGACGGGGTGGCCAATGCCCATGGTATTATTTTCGTGGAGTTGTTGGAAGTGTATGGTGAGAGTAAAGGGAAGACGGCCTGGGTGGGCTCGGTGTTCAGTGGAATACCGTTGATTTCGGGTGAGTGGTGGAACTGAAACGTATTGATTTTCTTGTAGAATAATTTTCTTCCTCATTTGCCGTTGATTAATGCGGGACGGGGATGATTCGGCTTGCCAATGTAATGCGCTTATTTGACTACTTGACATGCTCGTGCATTAGAGCCGGAAGCAATGGCTGTGTTGCCATTCAGGCGAATTTTTTTTCCAGTTTTAATGAGTTCCATTTGCTTGTTATGCCATAAGGCACAAAACCAATAACAGCAATAACAGATGCTGTGTGTTGTCTAATCTGATTAGAATAAGCCGATGCTTTACTTTAAGCTTATGCAACAAAGGCCTTGTAATTTAGAGATCATATATCAAATTTCCTTGGTTTCCTAAGTTTCCTTCGTTTTTTTTTATATTTGTATTCTGGTTTATTTAGTGTTAGAACATACACAATTATTTTTATTTACTGCTTCAGCTTGATAAAAACCGTTAGGCAAGCATAATTGAACTATTATGCTCAACGTTTAAAGCGTGTTAAATTAATCGATATATCTACGTATAATATTGTTTAGAGCGTAGACATGAATGATTGATGTTTTTGCATTGATATCGGTATTTCTCTTGTGTACCTAACAACAACATTTTTTGCCTGCAGGTCCCATCGCGTCTGCTTTGGCAGAACAATACGGTTGTCGTCCAATCACCATTCTAGGTAAAGCAAATCCGGAAAAACAGTTTTTCAAATATCTTGTCAGCAATTTCGGTCCTGTTTTTACCTGGGTTTTAATCCTAACAGGTGGTTTGTTAGCGGCGCTTGGTTTTGGTTTAAGCGTGTTCGCTACATCGGTCAACACGCTATGCATCACCTTGGGGCTAGTGTCTGGATTTGGTTTATCACTGGTTTATGTTACGTCCATGTTTATCTTGGTGCGATGGTTCGACAACAAACTGTCCTTTACAATGGGCATCGCATCCGCGGGAAGTGGTATCGGCATGTTCATCTTCGCTCCGTTCGTCACCTTTTTGCTGGAAAAATACGAACTGAGTGGGACGTTGCTGTTACTGTCCGGTGTTTTTCTAAATATCATCGTTTTCGGAGCGGTGATGCGCGAACCGGAAGACATGGGACTGGTCACACGCTCCTGCAACGTATCGGATTCCGATGCAACGGAATCTGAAGGAGAAAGTTCGACCTTGTCCGCGGATGACCTGCATAATATGCGGCGATGCGTCTCGTTAATTGAAATTCCGACGTTCTATCGACAGGAACATCCGGAGAATCCGTATTTAGCCGTGGCTGGTAGCATCGATAATGTTTATACCCCAGTCAAGCCTCCGGTGCCCGTTGCTACGGTTCCGTCGGCTCTGAAAAACACAGCAAGCCCCAGCTTTCATCCCTTGCTCCCCGTGGAGAAGAAGAAAAAGGTGCGATTTGAAAAACCTCCGCCCATACAGCGCCGAATCATCGATCGACGCAGGAGTTATCTGTTTGGTCAACATCACGTGGTGAATTGGAAACGGTATGGATTTCACGTTCCGCTGAAGTTGGCCGCCATGGAATCGCTGTCCTGTCCCGATTTAACTTCGGAAGTCGATCTGTCACAGGAGGAGGAAGACGAAGTCGATGCCAGTCGCCTACACCGCATCATCAAACCTTTACGAAGAGAACTGCGACAAATTCGTCGTCTCTTATTCAACGTGAAGCCTCTGCATAGTCCGAAGTTTGTTCTGTTTTGCCTGGCGAATCTCATTCTGTATCTCGTTGTCGATATTCCCTGTGATTATGCCACGGATAACGCGGTGACGCATGGGATTGATTTCCAGAAGGCCTCCTTCTTATTGTCCATTATCGGGATCGTAACGACGATTGGGCAGCCGATTTATGGGTATTTAGGCGATCGGACGTGGTGTGATGCGCTGGTTCTGTTTGCTGTATCGATATTTTTATGTGGGGTGGCTACGATCTTTGTGCCGTTCTTCCTGACGTACGAAGCACTGGCGGGTTATAGTGGAATGTTTGGATTGTTTATCAGCGGCAGTAATCCACTGTTTGCCGTCATTCTCGTGGATATTATCGATGAAAAGTATTTCAGTAGTGCGTTTGGACTGCTGTACTTTGCGCAAGGCATTGCCACGCTGTTTGGACCTCCTCTTGCAGGTGGGTCTTGTTTATTATCTGTAAACGGTTGTGAATCATCATGATGCTGTATGTAAAAATAGTACATGGGCGCAGTGTGTGATGAAGTTTTAATTAACGCATTTTACGCGCGAAGAACTAATTTGTCTTTAGTTTGTTAGAAAGTCGTTAATCATTCTAATGACTGCAGACTGTTATGAGTAATTTCGTACTTACTGTGATCTGTGATAGCGATAAAATTAGCATGAATTGGAAAATCTAACCGGTACCAAATGTATTTTAGGCTTCCTGTACGATCTAACGGGCGATTACGACCTAACCTTCTACGCGGCCGGTGCCGGTATGATCTTGGCATCCATCATGCTGCTCCTGTTTCCAATCGTCAAAAAGATCACGCGCCGTCGTCGCACTGGCCTGGTGATTGGACAGAATCGCGCACCGGATGTAGAGGCCGTGGGAAATGGTCACGTTGCGCAGAAAGAAGAGAGCGACACCGAAGAGGATAACATCTCCAATGGACATGTTGCGGATGGTCATCCGCGCATCTACACCGGGCCCATTGCACCGCATCACTTGCAGCAACATAAACGCGTCAAAGTGGGGAAACATTTGCTCCCGGAAGGGGAAACGGCACCGGTACATGTCGGCACGCACCTGCTGCCTCCGTTGGAAGAAGATGAAGTGGAGATGGATTGAACTATGGGCAGTTAATATTTTGTCTGATCGTTTTTAGCTCTTTCTCATTGATGCTTTCTTATGTCCGGCCGCACTAAGAGTCAGATTTAGTCTTATGTTTTAGCGGGAACGGTGAAATCGCGGTGGGTAGTCTTTTTTGCGCAGTCGGTGTGTTGAATTTGTTGTTACAGGGGGAATATATGTGATTTACTGGTTCCTTTTGTTTTAATTTTGATAGTATGTGACCGTTTAGTTGCGAGAATTCCGTTGAAGTCCATAAACAAAATTTCTGACGTGCACGATTTTCCAGAATTGCACATGCTGTATGCAAATGCTTAAAGGCACTTTTAATGAGAATTGCCAAAAAGTGGCTGAGTACAAGGCACACCTATCAAATATTTCTAAGACTAGACACTGAAAAGGCATCGTTGAGATTACCAAGTCATAAGTCAGATTACCTGTCATAACGATCAGCGCTAGATTGACAATACTTAATTGTAATTTAAACCCAACTGTTTCGCATTAAAATTTGGAGGACTAGACACAAGGCACGGGAGGTCCAAAGACAGAGGAAAGCCATTGAAAGTAGAGGTAACCGGCACATATGTTGAGAATAATGACAATGGAAGCCAAAGGTCAAGGATTCAAAACATATGAATACACTGACTTGCACAGGTAAGTTGAGGCTACCCATTTGTGGTGTACACGTTTATTTGTTCTTTTTATCCACTTCGCCGTTGGCGGCCTTCTCGGCGGCTTTTTCCCGACTAACCTGGACAGCGCGACTGAGGGCATCCCATACTCCGCCCATGAAAACCTAGACCGAAAAGAAAATTACCGGAAAGCTCGTTTCCGTCAACTCGCCAATTATAATTTACATAATCGCTATCTTAATAATTTCACGTTATTTCCAACGGCTCGGAATATCGCAGGCGCATTATCGATCCTGTTCAGTTATACAGACAGCAGGAATAATGAATACCGCCACATTCGTCGTTGAAAAACATTCATGGATCTGTCAATTTCGCTCTGTCTGTTATCAGTGTTATGTGATTATAACCGAGGAAACTGGATATTAACGACTAACGAGAATGTGCCCACACAATATGCGACGTTCAAAGCAACTGTAAATGAATCCGGATAAAAGAAACACTCGAAAACTTGATTTATAATGCACTGAAATATTTCGACCGAGTACACAAACACCTGGGAAAAAATTGTAAAAGTTCTGAAATTTTGAGTTCTTGCGAACTGCATATCGCAAGTAGTGTGCTTACAAATGCTTGCTTATTCAGCACAATTAGTACACAGAAAAACCCAGATAATCGTAAAGACAGTGAATTTCGCGAAATTAATTATCAAGCTTACCGCACAAAATAAATTTTCGATGGGCTGGAACGGATCATTCATATGGAGCACCAAGCCGGACAACTTGAAGTAGACGAAAAATATAACAACACCCAAGTAGACCATCGAATGCGGTGCCGTTATCCATTCGGTTTCCGCTTCCACAACAAACAACACGGACGCCGCCAAACAGGCCTTGGTCGGGCTAAAAATGTCGGTCGGTTATTATCATTTTATTCCCTGAAATGGCTACAAGTATCACTTACAAAGTAGGCTGCAGAAATTCATGCCCGGTGGGAGTCCATGTGCCCCGGATGAAACGCTCAAAAATCTTGGTGAATCCGGCACCAGCGCCTACGACAAACAGACCGCGGTATCTACAATTACATGGCTCGCGGAATCTGTGTAAACATCCCCGCGTTCGTTCGAACCTTTGACAGTTCCGATAATAACTTGCACCAAGTATGCATGTGGATAGAGAAGGGCTGCGTGCTCCACGCCGTGATAGACCTTGTGCACCCTCTGGATCTCCTTCATTACCGACAACGTGGCCTTCACCGGCAACATCTTGCACATCTTGTACACCACATCGAACGGGGAATAAAAAATCAGATACCTGTAAAAACAACATCCAACCTAGATATCAAGAAAAAATAATGAAGATGTTCCAAACATTACGCAACCCGAAAGACAACTGCATCTGTATAATTAGATAGGAAACCGATATTTTGTAAGTATACTACAAATTCGTATTACCATCATCAATACAGCCACCATCGGAAGTACAAAATAATGCAAATATCCATTCAGTAGATGTTCTAGATAAATTTTTTTAGATGTCTGTATGCAACCGAGGGCGCATGCTAACGAAAACTTCAAATCTGATTAACGCAGATAAAGCGCACGCCTCTAAAATATACGACAAAAAATCGGTATGTACTGTATAGTAAAGCAAATAATAATGAATCGACCCAAGGTACTATCCCGATAAAAACCTCGCGTAATTTTTCGGTTACAGTTTAACTGCAAAGTTTCCCCAGCTATCCGACTTTGGTAACAGGTAAAATCAGCCAGCTTAGTCCGTCATCACCAGTACTGACTACTATTTTCAGCCCAAACTACTTATGCAAAGAACGAAATGTAAGGAGCAACGCAACGAGTAGTATGATACAACATTCAATGCGTCAATAATTTCAGATGTTATCTACTCAAATGGGAAAATATTTTACCATACTAAGGTGGCCAGACCGACGTTGTCGAGATTTTTGAACGGTGCAAGAACCATTTCACCCAAGAGGAAATTGGCGATAATATAGCCGGCGAAACAGGATACCATGGATGAAATCCAACAAGCCAGCGGATGTTTCCGCGATATCAACTGAACGCCTGCAAAACATCGCAGTTATTTTATCACTTTCAAACTGCCAGTTTCTCGCCATCAATAAAATGTTATGGACATTTGGCAATTTCCGTTGCCCGATCAAAATGCACAATTTCTGAGCTGCGATACATGAAAATCTAATAAAATCTCAGAATGGATTATGTCAAATCAAAATGCTTTATGATGCAACAATCAACATCACACAATATTATACCAGGTGCGACTTAATAACAGATAAAACAAATTTCAAAATATGCAATTTTTATTATCACAACAATTCGCGGAATACTTAAATTACAAACCGCACAGGTAGTTTTCTTTTCAAATCTTTAGGGATCATAACAAAATCAATTTTACATAAACGGTGAAAGCTTGATCGTCGGCACTCGTGAGCAGAACTTACTGCTTGTCATATCATCGCGCACGTGAATACAAGATAAGGCATAATGTGCGATATCGAAATAGGGAAACATATGAATCCCTTTGACAGTATTGGCAAAATCCAGAAACAGTTCGGGATCCATGGTGGACAATGGCTCGGATCCCACGCAGAGTCGAAACTTCTCACAAGGTTCTCAAGTGTGATTTACAACGAGCATCCTTGCCATCAGTCTAATGCGCCACCCGAAAAGGCATCGCAGAACATGGTCCACCGTGCTGCTCCACTGCAAAAAAACACTCAAAGCAAATTCACTATCGATAGTTGCTATAAATAGCTTCCAGCTCTTAAACTGCACTGGAAGCGAATGTTAATAATTTTTAATTTCTCGTCTGCTTATCGCGTACTTCGCGAGTTCGCGTTTGTTTTGAGTCTGCTTTGATGTATGGGACTATCATGGGACTACGTACAGCCTAAAAGCGTTTTGACAGGCGTCGTTGTGACAGGCGTCGTTTTAGTGCAGCAGCCTCCAGCTTTCACCGTACTGACTTTTTAGAACATATTATTTTTTAAATTTAATTTTTCTTGAATAATACAAATGAAAGTTTGCGATGAATGCTAATAATAAATAACTGTGTGACTGTGTCTACATAGGTTTCAAAATCCAAGCCGTCTAAAAGAGACTGGGGAGCGACCCCTCGCTACAACGCTACTAGTGTTGCGAGGGCTCTTGTGAAATTTCCAAAATGGTGATTGGCTGTTCCTTTATGGCATCGTAATGGCACAGTTTGCGCATAAGCTGCCGAAATCGTCCACTATCCGGCCTATCGTGCTTGTGGCATTCCAACATCTGCCGCTTCTCCAGTTTTCGGGTTTTCGGCGATTGGCGTAATTCCGCTTCGTTTTGGGACAATCTGAGATCAAGTCCGTTTTGTAAATCTTTATCCAGAAATTTAAACCAAAATGGTAAGTGGATTGACTGAATAATCTGTTGACGGCGACAGGACAGACGTGTAGCAGAGACCCTGGAGTTCGCGTTCAGAAAGCCAGACAATCTAGTTCTCGATCTGTGGAGTAAGTACTTTCTTTCGGATTTTGTAGGCTCGCGGCCCGAAAAAGCATCTGAAGCGCTTAGCGGCACCGAAACACTGGATGTTGGACAAGTTGGGTGGAGTTTTCGTAAGTTACCAATCCTTGCGCAGTCGCAGTTTGCGATCAGGTTCTCTGGGTTCTTGAGCAATCAACTGCATTTTCTTCGAAGGCTCCTCGTCCTAGCTGTGGTCCCCATAAGCTCCGCGAATCCTTACCACTAATTATCTTTCTCCGGAATCGTTTGAAGTATGCGCTGACTGGTGATGAAGTTAAGAAAATCGTTATGCAGCGATTGATCAAAGTTGACGGAAAAGTCCGCACTGATCCCACTTTCCCCGCTGGTTTCATGGGTACGTTTGCTGTTTCTGCTTATTTTCCATTAATTGGGGTAATTCCATGTCCGGTCTTCGCAGATGTGATCAATATTGAGCGGACAAACGAGAACTTCCGTCTGATCTACGATACCAAGGGCCGATTCGCAGTTCATCGCATCACGCCAGAAGAAGCCAAGGTAAGCGTGTTTATTTGTGATCGAATTATTTCCTTAAATTGTTCTTGGCTTTCGGTATTGGTTTGATATTGTAATTTGGGCATTTAAATTTTTTCATTTTGGGTATTCTGTATAATGAATGTATTCAACGAAATTTTTTGCGGTAGCGATTGTGACTGCGACAGATGGCAGTTTTTGGTAAACGGTAACGCATTTTAGAATTTTTACGTTGTATTTATTCGAGCAAGTGATACTTTCTTCATCCTAGCTGGGGTGATAATTATTTGCTTTAGTAAGTCCAATCACTCCATTATCGTAGGCTGTAGCTCCGAGAGGAATTTTTTGAGTGATGAATATTTCGTATGCGATTAGATGTGTACAGTTGTGGTTTTTTTCAGTACAAACTGTGCCGCGTGAAGAAGTTGGGTGTCGGTCCCAAAGGTGTCCCGTTCTTGGTGACTGGTGACGGCCGCACCATCCGCTATCCAGATCCATTGGTTAAGACCCACGATACCATCCAGTTAGATATCGCCAGCAGTAAGATTCTCGACTTCATTAAGTTCGAAGTTGGCAACTTGTGCATGGTTACTGGTGGTCACAACTTGGGTCGTGTCGGCACCATCACTAGCCGCGAACGACATCCGGGAAGCTTCGACATTGTGCATATTAAGGACTCCTTGGGACACGTTTTTGCCACTCGGTAAGAACGTAAAGACGCATGTTTTGTTATGCGGTAGATAAAATGAGGCCGAAGATACTGAGTTTACTTTGGGGGCTGTTCGATTATAACGCTCTGATTCGCATTGCAGATTGAATTACGTGTTCGTTATTGGAAAGGGTACGAAGCCATATGTCAGTCTCCCCCGCGGAAACGGTATCAGGCTGAGCATTGCGGAAGAGCGAGATCAGAGAATTGCTGCGAAGAGAGAAACTACTGCATAATTATTGTTGTATTGCGATTCATCGATGATTTTATGTCAATAAAGCGAAAAACACGTCTCTTTAATCCGTATAAATTACAGCTGTAGTAGGAAAAGGCTTGCCGAATGGTTACAATACTAGTAATTACGTAGTTTTTGAATAATTATTATCTTCAAACATTGTCCAACATACAGATCTAGATTAATTTTATGTACTATGTATAGCTGCAAAGTGTGAAGTTTGACTTTGAACGTTAATGTGGAATTCGTAGAAGACAGCATTACTGTAATTAGGAACAAATTAACTAATGGTAAAACGAAATAACTCTGAAATACAAATTGGTCTGGAATACCGGAACTACGGAGTGACCAATGACCATCCGGTCAACTGTAGAAAACTTAATAATAACCGGTATGCATGAAGATTACAGACTTTACCACTCTGGCTCCTTTAATCATTAGACGGTAGAGTGACGCAGTGCAATGAGTGCATGCAATTTCCTTTCGCACGATCATTCTGCTCAGCACAGCTCTACCTTTTTTGCATTTGTGCAGCTAAATTTTCTTGCACTGTCTAGCTTTAAATTGATACATTTAATAATTTTAATTTACGTCAATGACAACTCGACAAGTACCATACACAGTGAGGTAGTGAAGCGCTGTGTAGAAAATTCAGCATAACATTAAAAAACTTTTATGGAAACAAGCAAAACAATCACACGGAACTCAGTGCCAATTTGCCAAATACCAGTACCAAAAAGTAACTAATTTGGCATAAAATTACAAAACAGATCAAACAAATCATATCAAATCTTGAAAACCGCTCGTTCGCTCTCGGGAATGATTCTAACATTGGGAGAACGCTTTTTAGACACAACGTAGTCAAAATCTTGCACATTCTGCCAGTTGTTATTCTCCTCCTGTGCAAGGTTTGCTGCTTCGAAATCTTTTTCCAAACCGTCATACCGCAATGTGTAGGGTCCAAATTGTGCATTCGTTGTGTTTTCAATTATGCCAGCACTGGCCAGGTGGACGTAGCATTGCAAATCCGAAGAATTGTGCACACGCAGTTGTTGACATGCCGCAACAATGGTGCAGCGGCAACAGCCGGCTATAAATACCGATGTACGGACCGGACCGCAGATTATAGTGCAATCGCGAAGATTATTCATGTACACAGTAGAGGCTCCGGATTCCAGCAGGATTTCGCAGCTGTTCATATTTGTCAGATTTACATCCTTATTAGTCAGCGATTTCCTCGGCAGTCGCAACTTGGAGTTAGCAACATTACTAAAGCCACACGAGAAAGCGCTGTCCACTTCTGATGTCGCAGCAGGCAGGTGACTACTTCCATTTTTCACAGAATCTGTAATACACTGCACTTTAATATCACTTGGAAAATTATTCGAAAACCTTGTTAAGAAAGTATTAACAAAAACTATTAGTCCATCAGCGAAACTGCGGTCAAAACGTTACAACTTGCGACCAATTTAAATATTTAATCCAAAAAAGTATTGCAAATCTTGATTAAAATTACATTTTCTCAATTTTTCTGATTAAATTCATGTACAACAAACGGTTAGTTGCAAACCAAAAATTAATTACACATCAACAACTCTGCGTCAAAGTTAAGGCTGTTCAGTGTAGAGTCTGTGGACTGTACGCTGTTAATTTTTCTTATTAAAATACGCATACAAACACACTGTTCTGTCTGTTCGCAAAATTAACACGGTAAAGGGTAAAAAAAAAATAAAAAGTGCAGTAGTAGAAGATGCTAGCAGCTTACAACAAGATTAATGGCACTAAATACCGCAATTTCATTTACAAATGATAAAATCATAAATCTAAAAATTTCGTTACCTGATACGCTCGGAACATGGCATTCACCGGAGCTTTTTGTTAATAGCTTAGCTCCATTTTCAACAGGACTGACAAGATTCTGATCCACCACGATTTCACTCACAGGTTTCACTTCACTACCGGATGCAGGAGCCGTAGCACCTTTCCGAAAAGAAAAGCCACCACCGCTCTTCTTCGCCTGAAGTTTCTCGGATAGTAGTTTATTGGTATTTTGCAGATGGCTCTGGAAGAAGCGCTGATCGTATGCTGGAATATAACTCGCTGCATCGACAAACACACCGTTCAGACGCTCAAGCTCTGTCTTAGCTTTCTGGTATGCGACTTCCAAATCGCCCTTCGACAGAGCAGAAGGATTTAAACCTTGCAGAGATTTCTCTAAGGATGTTAGATCTCTTTTCAAATTGTCGGAAATGTTCTCCACTGGTGCAGCACAAGACTCCGTACGCGCAGTCAACGAACACTTTCCACTGGAACCAGACTTACAAGGAGAACCAAAACCAGCAGCTTCCCAGTGGGAAGGAAGGATATCTTTGACACTATCACAGTCGCTATCAGGAACCACCATTTTCAAATTCTACTGTAATTATACCAAATTCCCAACGAATAGTCTTCCAGAATATTTAGAAGTCAAGAAGTTGCAGCGACTACCCCCTGGCAGATCTATGCCAATGAAGGATGCGCGTAAGTAATTATATGGATCAGAGTATCATCAGATTATCCCAGTCCCAGAATCCATCATATGCAAATACGTTTTGGACATCTTAATCATCTTATCATACCTCGAAATTAAAATTTTAAAAAGCTAAGAAAACTAACAATAAGATAAGATAAGTAAATTGTGTCGCGAAGTTCACCACCAGGTTTTCAACAGCAACTGACTGGTGAGCAACTCGTATCAAACGTGATTCATACGAAAATGGGAATCAGTACAGCAGAGGCTGAGCAGACAGCAGCACAGCAGCGTGACTCATTAATTTTTTTACCCATTTGTTTAGCGGCTTTAGCCATTATTTTTGATTTTAAAAAACTTAAAATAATTATTAACAGAAGCAAAGACTAAGGTGACTTCCTAATCTATTTATTCACATTAATCAATATTGTGTCATAAAATTACATTCATATATCATAATTACCGTATTTTTCGAATTTAAAGCCTCCTCCAAAATTGAAGCCTCCTCTATCGTATAAGCCTCCCCCCACCTTAGTTCGAAAATTTAGTAACCTCCTCCGCATTAGAAGCCTCTCTCTATATACGGTGTATAGCAATTACGCTAGTTTAAAGGCTTTGAAAATTTAAAAGCCTCCTCCACAATATAAGCCTCCTCTGCTGTATAAGCCTCTCCCCAGGCACCTTTAAAAATTTAGAAGCCCAGGGCTTCTAATTCGAAAAATACGGTAATTTTCGCATTGATTTCAAAAGTGACCATTGCTAATTTGCTATTGCTAGAGAATAAAAGTTATTTCTCTATGGCCAGTCTCGCAAATTTTTATGCAAAGCATTGCTACGCACGTCTGGCACTTCGCGTTAATCCTCTTGTCCTATATTCTCTTTATGAATTCAGTTTTTTTCTGGTCTGGTTAATTTTCTTGTAAGTAATCCGCAAAGTTATTAATTTTTAAACTTCGCGGATTACATGGGTGGGTAGCCGGCACTAGCCGCCAAATTATTCTATGAGATCACTTTAACTGTATTTTGTAGTTCATAACTTAATATGAACAAATAACAGTATCCAACGGTGCAGTGATTTATAATGCAAAACATCAAACCCATGAATACGAGCAGTAGTTACATAAATATTTTGCTTTCTAATCTATTTTATTTTAGAAAATATTAATGATGTTTAAACTTTCAAGGTCAACCAATGGTTGTCAGGACACTAGCCAAGGCTGCGCCAACTCCGCCTTCTGCCAGTCAGTCATTCCTGGCTGACTCACATGATTGCAAGCAGACAACCACGGACACGCAAAGAAGCACCACCGGAATGGTGTGTGGAAATCAGCATCTGCGTTTCCCTTTGAGTTTGAGCAACACAGTATCCTGTTTGCTTTGTTGTTTTATTAATATTTCCAGCTTATTGTGTCGCATACCCTGACAAAACGGGCTGGAGCTTATTTTTTTCATGCAAGCACCTGTGCACTCCCGTCTTCCCGCCAGTAGCAGCTAATAAGCGAACAGTTTGGCGGCGATAAAATGGTGACCAGCTTGCGAAATCGTAACAATGCGGGCTCCATAAAGAAATTCTGGAAATGGCACGGTCGTCCGCGTTACGTTTTTGAAGCTGCCTTTCTGCTGATTTCCATTGCCTTGGTGTTTCTGGCGTACCGTTACTATTTTGGTGAATCTTTCGATGAAACCGTGTGTGGAAAACCTCTGCGCGAATTGTGCCTGTTAGATGATCGCATCATTCACGCTTGCAAGGTCGGTAACAACATTAAAATAATAATGTACTAAATCGATTGCCGTGGCGGTGGCGAATTATGTGTGAATTGCAATTATGCCACTCAAATCGGTCAGATGGTGGATGGTGTGCACTAGGCGCTTATTTACAGATTGCTGCCAGTTGTCCGGACATCAAGCAGCAAAAAGAAGACGAAAATGCCGCAAAGATGGCTGCCGTGCCGCTTGTGTTAGTGGAAGTGTTTTACGAGGTTTTATGTCCGGACAGTAAAGATTTTGTTATCGATCAGGTTCGTGTGTGTTGATGTTGAGTGCATTAGCACGTTAGATTACATAATGGGATTGCATATTGATCGGTAGATTTATCCGACGGTGCAAAAGATTGGTGGAATTGTCAATATCTCAATGGTCCCCTTCGGAAAAGCAGAAGTAAGACATGGTCAACATTCTTAGAGCACTTTACCGTTACAGCCTGGTGTATTTGCTTTTATGTACAAGATGAAGAATAATAGTCGCTTAAAAGGTAGCAGCATCTATTCACGGTCCTTGAACCAGATTTAATTGAAAACCAGCGAAGCGTCTGCAAGTATTTATCTGCTCCTGCGTGATAAATTCATATTTCGGCTATGATTTTTTACTTCACTGGATTATAACCGCGTTTGATCGATAAGCCGTAAATTTAGGGCTGAAACTATGAAGGAGGTTTTTAATAAGTTTTGCATAACACTGATATCAGTTCGCATGGAGTTTTTAGCTTTTTTGCGTATATGCGAGTATGCACATGCAGATAGATATTCAGTTTTAAAGAAAAAAAGCATTTGATTACAGTAATTACTAGCACAGTTTATTAATTTGCAATAGAATTTGTTTTGCATGAATTCACCTGTTAGTCGTCCGACTCATTCCGCATTCGCTCAGTAACACGTTGGCTTAAATTTATTTTTCCGTTATTAAGTTTGCTCTGTTTAAAGTCTAATCTCATCCGAAGATTTTAGACAACGTTATTTGAATGTCATTAAATATATAATTTTCTTTAATTTTTTGTAGATGTTTTTTGCTAGCTTTTCCGATTCCCTTAACAATAAGTTTAAACTTTAACGAACAATATTCCGGGAATACAGTATAGTACGTACTGTACTTCGGATCCTGTTATTAGTGATTTACGATTGTTAGCAGTTGCCGTTGCGGTTTTATTTATATTTGTCCAGTACTGACCGCGGCTGCGAATAACATGTTTTATCATCAGTAATGACTCTATGACGATGACCAACGCGCGGGGTTGTTACGAGTTTGTGATTACACCGTGGGGTTAGCGATGATCCATAAAGTAGTTTCAGGGATGTTGTGGAATCTATTTCCGTCCAGCTGGGCTCATGGCAGCCTGTCAGTTCCCTTGTAGTTTCCCTTATCTGAGCCCCCATTTGACGGACGTGTCCAAATGACAAATCTAATTTATATGCATGCCCTTGTCACCGATTTGAGTAAGCAGCTCTTGTTTATCTCCCGAGCAGCTGCAGTGTCTGTACCGGACACACACACTGGTCATGATTTGTGGGGTCAAGCCTGTCGAGTGCAGACGAGTATTCCCGTGAGATAGCCATGCTTTTGTCGAAAGCATTACAATTGTGGTGGCTTCCATCACAAAGTGAGCCAAGTGGGAAATTGGGAGCATGACGACGGATTCATTCCGGTCAGCTCAGAGCTTAATTAGATGTGGCTTATGCTTTACTCTGTGGCCAAGTGAACCATCAGGAAATCACACTTTATACACCCTTGTTGAACTGCATAGCCCTGACGAGAATTGTAATCGATTGGCGATTTGGCACTAAGATTGTCCGAAGTTATTACGAAGTCGTGCTGTGATAACGGTTTCATGTTCTACTACAAAGTTTATCAAAACAGTTAATCCTGTTTGCGAATATAGAGCTACAAGTGCTGCATTGCGTATTAATTCACACGGTATCGGTTTCACATTTATGTTGCTGCTTATTAGCTAAACATTTTTGCCTGTAGGAAAGGAAGGATGGTGAAGAATACATTTTCTCGTGTCAACATGGCGAAAAAGAATGCAAAGGAAATTTGGTGCAGGTATTGATAATTTGATAATTAAAGGTTTTGATAATTAAATTATTGCGTCAGCTGTCGTGCCGATTTTATTTACGAGTAATGGATAACATGCTTACGAACAAATCGGAAAAACGTTCTGTGTTTCAGACGTGCGCGATTGGTGTTTTGGGCGATAAAGACCGGAATCTGGCCATCAGTTTTATTAACTGCATGGAGATTTCGCATGATCCAGCTACATCAGGGCCGGCGGTGAGTCAGTTAAATTTGTTGATGTGAAACTGTTCACCAACGTAAGTGCTTTTATTTCGATATTTTACAGTGTGCTAAGGATATTGGAATTGACTATAAACCGATTGAAGCCTGTGTAGCCGGAAAATTAGGCAACCAGTTGCAGCATATTATGGCTCAACGAACATTAACACTGAATCCCAAACTTTATTGGGTGCCATGGGTGGTGCTGAACGGGGTCAGTATTAGCTGAGCCTGTATCAATAATTCCATGGTCTATATCATACCGGTTTTAGCTGTGCTTGCAGTTTATTGTTGTTTACTTGTGATCATTACCGCTTTACATATCCGAATGTTAATTTGCTTTGCAATTTGTCTGCAGGTTCATACAGAAGACATTCAGCGCAAATGTCTTGCCGATCTCCGCGGTGTTATTTGTGATGCTTATAAGGTAAGCTATGAGTTATGCATAATGCCATTCTGATTCTGCTGATACGAACTTGCAATAAATGAAAGCCAATGATTTTTTGTACCATCTTTCCTTAAACCGTAAATGTACATTGTACATGTACATGTTTAGTAGGAGAAATTGTAAGAAATTGTAGACATGCGTAATTTGATTTCATGAGTTCAGCATTGTTTGTCGTCTGCAGTCCTGCAGCATTTGTCGTTTATTTACTTCAGTACGACCAGCCTAGTTTAATATTGCTATTCTTGAATGGTCCAAGAAATAAATAATAAGTGACAAGTGAGCTGTAAGATGGTTTTTATTAAAGGGACCAAAGCCTCCAGGCTGTGAGGATACTAAAAGCTGACAACGAGAGGCCGAAACTACTTGAGAATGGGTGGATATTTTCGGTGTACTCTCTTCCTGTGATATTCCAATTCCGGATTTTATTAAAGACTCATCAGATAGCAAGTGATGGATTGTAGTGTGCTGTGGACTGAGTTTCGGTGCCGATCGTTGGATGGCTTTTAAGGATTTTCTTTTGTATGTTACTTGTTTGAAGCATTCGCTCTATCTGTAACTACGGAATTGTTTTAACGAGTTGAACAAGTTATCAGATGTTTATTCTGCTGAGTAAGTATCTTTCCCGGTCACAAATGCAGTATTTATGTATTGGTTTTTATGTTGGATCTGGTTGTTGTTTTTTTATCATTTCTGTTTGAAATTACGTACTATAGATGTTTGCCCTTGGACTCTACTGTATCGATGCTAGCGCTCGCGAATAAAATACTTCAAGATATTCCTACATTGTTTGCTGAATCGTTTTTGGATTATATTATCGTAGGTTCGACAAATTGTATCCTTCGTACATGTACATTGTGCTGTGCTTCTATTCTGCATGCGAAACAACGAAAGCTGAAAAATGTTCAACTTGGCCAGCAAATCTTCAAAAAATTCAAAACAGACGTTGAATCAGTAATCAGACGAGACTGTCACCCGGGCAAACTACAACGGGCACTGGTGCGCTGCCACTTCCAGATGCCGTTTGAGGCTTTGAACTGCAAATAGAGCGGGAAGTGTTCTCAGTTTTTACATTTCTGACAACAGTGACAAGATTTTGCTACTAGTCGCAGCTGCACAAACTAGGGTAAGTACTAAGTATCCTGCAGGAGTAGGTGCAACTGCATAAGTACATTTTACGCTGCTACAGGCATTGGTGGAGGCTGAGGCTGATGGAGCTGATTTAATGGAGATTCATGTTTTATCCTGAGGAACGATGAATTTAACGGATATTAAGTAGCTACACAGTAGCTGCTACTGTGTAAACATTACGGCTTTCTAGTTTACTGCCTATTTTATTATGGAGACCGAGAACGAAGTCACTTCAACTCAGGAAGACTGCGCTATGTTGGACATCCAGCTGCCGTACTACCTGCAGAATTTCAACTGGATTGTCAAGACGGTATGCAGTGATGCGGAGTTCCAGCATCTATTTTCCGCGGAGCAATCATCCCGTCTGAGCACCATTGCTTGCTTCGATGCCTTGCCACTGAATGCGCAAAAACTCTACGTACGTTTATATCTGCGGAAGTATGCGTTTCTCCCGCGGAACAGGATTAAATACGACGAGGAATTTGGCGGGCAAGATGCTGTAAGCGATCTCTTGAACGCACTCGCGGAAGCTGGTTTTCTGGATGATGAACTGTGTGGTACACTGCTGGATGCAACACTGGTAATGCTGAGTCTGCCGCAGCTGAGGGAGCTCTGTAAGATCTTCCGGGTGGGCAATGGAACGAACTCTAAGAAGGAATTGCTGACTTCTATCCTGGCAAAGTGTCGTCAGCAGAGAACTCCTTTTGGACAGCCGTTAGCTGAAATTATCCGTCAAAAAGCTGTGTCCATTCTTGGTAAAGTGTACAGGTAACTTTATTCGCTGTGCTTGGTTTTTTTTCAAAAATTTTGCTAGATTTTATGAAACATGACAGGAATTGGTAGCGGCGTATAACATTAGCAATATTTATTAATTTTTACTATTTTTTTGCTTAGCGCGACGTACGCGTGTTTTAGTACGAGTATAAGTGCAGTAAGCAATGCTGCGTGCTTTAATAAATAAATTATAAATGCGTGCAGTGTGAAATATCGGGGTTACATTTTGTTGTTGTCGTTTATTCTGATTTTGAGTCATGTGCGTGAGTGATAAGAAGTTGAGTGATTTAATAATTGAATTTATTTTCTGTTGCAGAGTTGAAGAAACGCGGAGATCGTTATTTAACCGCATTTTCTTATTCTTCCGATTGACCGCTGGTTACACGAATATTATGGCGGACAATCCCATCTTTGGTTTGCTCCAGTTAAAACTTACAAACACGAAATATCCGGATTTTGTTATCCAGACGGATGCTCCACTCTTCCGCTCATTTGAACAGTTTACAATGCTGGATGTCGCTCAACAGTGTCTCGAGGAAATAGAACTCGCATGGATGGAGAGGAATTTTATGGGTGGTCAGTTAATCTACGAGAAAACACTTCCGCTATGGGAAAGTATTGTAAAGGAGAAAGAAATCAGTGACGAAGTGATCGGTTTGCCGCGGTACCTACGGAAATTTCGACCGGGATATTATTACACGAAAGTTATGGAAAAAGGATTGGAATGTCTGGAAAGAATGGGTAAAATACGCGACGCCATCCACGGTTATCAACAGTTGTTGGAGCAAAGGATTTATGTTCCGCACCATCGTGGCAGTTGGTATAATCGATTGAGTATTCTTATGCCGAGAGCGGACAAAAATTTCGCTCCCGCGGCGGGATTGTTGCTGAAAGGAATCGAAGATGTCGATGTTAGGCCTTATCAGAAACTGGAGTTGTTTGGGCGTTTGAAGCGAACTTCCAAAAACGCCGAGGACGTTGTGAATAAAGACCAGATTACGGAAATGGCAGAGCGATTTTTATACAAACATGCTCCCGCCAGTATTGTCTGTGGAAAAAGGTGTGCCACGGAGAATAAAATGGGCAAATCAGTTTTCATCGGAGCAGAGGATGGGGTTGTTGTTGGGTCGGTGGAGGAATTAGCGTTATCTCATTATCGAAAAAACGGTTATCCTGAAGGTCAGTTTAGCAAATAATGGGCGATGTAGGGATTCGGTGGTTAATTTCGTATTTACATAAATTAGTGACATCGCAACAACAAGTTCTTGGGATTTTGTAAATAATTGATAGTTCATTTCTGATCTTATTCGCATTTTAAAACAGGTGTTCATGTGGAAGGATCAATTATTGCTAGCCTATACGGCCTCCTCTTTTGGGATGTTATTTACGCTGAGGGAATCCCGAACGTTTTTCGCTCCAAATTCCAAGTATCGCCTCTGGATTTAGGATGTCCTAGCTTTTTTACATCTCGACAAGCAAACATTCAAAGGCGGCACGAATCGATTAGCAGTAGTTCTCTGGAGAATGTGATAACTTCGATCTCTGAAATTTGGCATAAGCACCATGAAATACAGTCCGTTGTTCAGTGGGACATCTTGGCTTCCTTGGATTGCTTGATCTCTTTTGTGCAGTGCTTTCGCCCGAATCAACTGGCAGAAATCTGCCAGAGATTTGCCAGTGATTATGGTGCTGTCCGAGCTGGCTTTCCCGATTTGACTATATGGAATCCGGAGGACAAGCTTGTGAAATTTGTCGAAGTCAAAGGACCAAACGATCGGCTGTCTTTTAAGCAGATTCTTTGGATAGACTTTTTGTTAAGTATAGATGTTCCCGTTGAGGTATGCCATGTGAGAGCAACAGGTGCTAAAAGAAAATCTGCGCTGATTGCTACACTTAGCGAGGATGAGGACGATTGTATTGTAATCGAGTGATTTTGGTGTTTTCCTTTAGAAAACGTTGCATGCAATGTGGAATGTTGGTGTTTTTATTTAAGATCGATGCTGGCGCCCTGTGTAGTGTAAATTTATTTGTGTTACAGCAGTAAGAAGTATTATTAATGACAGTAAATTGGAATTGTGGCAAAAATCCATTTCCGCACTGCAGAACTGCCAGAACAACACTGTCCCGATATTACGAGCGAGCAGAAGAGTCAAACAATCTTGTGGTTTATACAAGTTTTAACAATAACTGTTTATATACCTCCATTAAAAATTAATACAGGAATTGGCTGCTGCAGTTGGATAAAATCATATAATATAATATTAATAATACTGCAAAAAAACCAAATGTAGCACGCTTTCACTGCTGCAACAAGTTCCTTATACCCGTTACACGATAATACAACAAAAACAAAACATCGGCAAGCATTGGATAAGTAATAAACGAGATAAAGCGACAAAAGTTCATAAAAAATCGAACACAGCGATTTGTTTGGAGAAGTGACGATTTCGGAATTGCAGATTACGCGATAGTATAATTCCACAATACAGGAGGCACATCCGGTCCTTTAATCCACTTTGGCATTCTCAAATCGAGCATCTCAGAGTCAAACCGAATACCATCCGATCCGTTAAATCCTCCAGCAACAAAAACACATCCATCTCGAGAAGTGGCCGCGAAATTCCTGCGACCTGTGGATAACGGCGGCAGAAATGTCCAAATATCGCGATGCAGATCGTACATTTCGCAAGAAGAGTACGAATGCCGGCCACCGAATCTGAAATATGTATTACAAAACACCCAAATATTACAAATATCAATACTGCAAGTCAGCTTGTAATATCTGAAATATAACAAACTGAAATTTTACACGATGGGATGATATGACAATGCTAACCTGAAGGTCCCACCAACAGCAACAACTTTGCCGTTGGAAGGGGAAACAAAACGATGATGACCTCGCGGCACAGCCATTGCACGAGCCGGTTGTAAAGTTAGACGTTCATCTATAACGGACCCGACATGGACGCTGGGTAATGCCGTTCCGTTTGCTGCAAGAAGATTACCCGAGTAAAAAAACATTTAATCTGCTTTTCATATCACAAAATTCTGATTTGTATTATGACCATAACAGCCAGAATATATGCACTTAACAGCCAGTATCATATATTACAGTACAATACCATCAACACCCCCGCCTAACACGAGTGAGCCTTCGGAACTGCACATCCCAACTTCAGATATGCCCGATAGCCGACTTATCGTGTTGAACACTCCACTGTCCCAGTCCAAGATAGCAAAATGGCTAAAAAACCGAGATAACTTAAAATACATATGCGGTTGTTCAATATGCAACTATTACCCTGTAGAACGTAAGTGCTACGCGTTATCTTCTCGACAAAGTAAGTTCTACATAATGCGGTTGATGCGGTAGACAAAATACTCTTTTCATCGTTTAATTTGATCATGAGCTTACCTCTGGTAAGGAGTGCCGCCTGCATATAACTCACTGATATTCTACAATAAATTTGCCGAGTAAATATTTTATTCAAAGACTTCGGCGCAGTGATGATGCTTTTAGTAATACTTAATTAAAGGGCTCACCTGTTTCGCATCGTAAACGAGCATTATCCGCTCCCGCGTGCTGTCGCGATCCAGAATTATGCATTCATCCACGAAAACTGGTGCGTCGATTATTCCACTACAGGTTTGCCAAGTTCCTTTTGCAACATCAAGCCTAGAAAGAAATTATAATACACACTTACGTACATTTTCCATCAGTCCCATGGTTTCACATTTCGAAAAATTTGCGAGTTAAGACCGCAATACATTTTACGGACCGGTCATTTCACACAGTCCACGCGTTGCTGTAGGTTGATTATTCACTATGTCATTTCACACTCTATCAAAAGTTCAAAACACAATCGAAAAATATAATTTTGTGTGGGTGACGTATCTCCGCTATCCATACGAGTGTTCCTAGTTTCAAATACTTATATAAATACTCGTATAAATATACGATAGGAAAAACGATAATAAGGTCTATCATACAGGTTTGATCATACACTTTTCTATAAAGGTTCTGTTTAATATTTACCCGCACCTGTGGGCATGTCCTTCGAATTCCCCATTTACGCCGTGACCGGAAACGATGTGCAATGCGTTGTTCGTACATACACTAGCCGCGTTAATCGTGTACTGACACGGCAGTGTTGCAAAACAGCACCATCCATTGTTTCTAAGGTCAGTTTCATAAACATTTCGGGATGCTGTGTCGTCCGCTAACTGGTATCCTCCTGCAGTTCAAACCGCTGATTTACTGAAAAACCAAAACGTCTGGATGCAGAGAAAAAATCCGTTTTGTGCCGGCAGCAAGGTGTCAGTGATTAGATACTCTTACCTAACCCTCTATTTCTTTGAGTCACTTAAACAAAATTTTAAAAAAATATGCATCGGCGTTGCTGATTTTTTCAAGTCTCCAGCTAAAACAATACAATTTTTTTCCATTTGCACAGGTCTGTATACTGTACCGGCAAGAAAAACTCGTTTATCCATGATATCTTTAGATATTTGTGAAGCTATCTGAAAATAATAGATTTACTCATTTACACGATTAAAAACGAATTATAGTATGAGTAGGTCTGCTTTAAGATGCGTTATACTGCGATATTTAGCAGAGCACAGAGACTTAGAATTTGAAATCAGGCATGATCATGCACATACTGTAAACAGGTAGTACGTTTCAAAATGCCATCTTTTAGACTATTGGAAGCAAAATTTACGCCAAATTGATATTGCGGATTGCGGATTAAAAAAACTAAAATCGGGAATTTGTACTTACATACTCGTACCGTGAATGTTTTTAATACCAGCCACCAGTGTGCCTGAGTCATCCGAAAACAAGTCTGCAAGCATGGCTGGCTGCCACTGCATATAACTTGGGTAGCTCACAGCTGACTGTCCCGTTCGTACTGTAGTACAATACAGCGGCGGCACGTCTTCGCATCAACTATAATAATTCATAACCAGTTCTTCGGAAACCAGCGGAATTTTATATAAGTACCTCACTATTTCTGTCGGCTTTTCTGAATGGCCCAACATATCCGTCTCAGTATTCTGATTGTGAGTGCACTCAGTCAGCAACCTACTCCAACCAGAGAATCGAAACGTATTCCGAGCAAAGTCCAAATTTGCTCGCGTGCTATCGTGTTGTTGATTGCAGTTGGTTATCCAATAATTACTGATTTCATTTGCATGTTCTTTGATTGCACTTCGTCGCCATTCCTGACTGGCATGTGGTATTCTTGGACGAATTTCGCGTCATTCCCAGTTGCAGCAGCATGTCCAGCGATGCAGATTGTGAAAAGAGTGGGTCTGCCGGGAAGAAAGAACTTCTGCCATGTTACGTGAACGATGGAACGGAAACGCTGTCAGAGGAGAAAAGCAGCGACTTTGGAGCGCAGTTTGATGAGCTACTTGTGGCTGTCGGAAAATTTGGAAGATATCAACAGTTTGTTATTCTCGTTGTTCTGCTTCCTTCCATATTCGCTTACGCGTTTTCCAATGGATTCTGGGTGAGCGTGCGTGATTGAATCTGAATTCTGGAAAATGCACTAAACTGCAATAAAATTGTATAAAACCAAATATCGCGTGCAAAACAGTAAATTCCTTATGGTTCAATGACTTGAATCGACATGAACATGTAGCTACCAAAAAAGCAGCCGAAAAAATATAAAATCCTTAGTGAATCAAAATTATTTGGATCATTATTATAATAAATGATTTGTCAATCTTTTTATTCCGTCAAGGGAGTTTTGAAAAATTTCCAACTTTAGGAATTTCTTATGTAATTAATTACGTAACCACTCGCAGTCACTCCCAGTCAGCGTAATTGCTGAAACCGATAAAATAAACATATATATTACAATAATTATGGAAAAAATCACTAATAAATTTTAGTATTTATTATTGAATTTCAAAAGCTGTTTAATAGTAAGCTTTGCGTTATTACTATGTGTATTTGTTATTTAGCGTTTTCGGTATCGTTGAAAGTTTTCTGTTTACGGGAAAAGGACATAACGTCATTATGTTATATTTGCATGCTAAAATTCATGCGAAAGGTAATCGAATGTGCAAAAATGCAATGTTGCATTCAGTACGGGACCTGGAGCAGATTTGCACGATGAAAATCAATCTTTGCATAAGTGAATTTTTTTCATCGACCGTGACATTTTTTCCAACTCATCGGATGTTTTAATAATAATGACGATTAATGCGTGGAAAGTATGAGATTTGCTGACTTTGCTTAGCGGCACACGTTTTGACTTGTCAAGCGTGTGTGATTTGTACGTGTGCAACACTCGAAGGTCACTTTAAATTGTAAACCAAACCTAAAACGGGACACAATAAGATAAGATTATTATCCTCCTTGTGTCGTCTTTATGAAGAAATCAGGTATTTTTTGTGTGTAGTACACAGGTATCGGTCGTTCCCCATAATAGTCTTACTTACAAATACTGTCTTTTACGTTTCATGTGTGCTTGCATGTATCTGTATTTCCAACAGTCAGGTTAATTTGGTTTATACTTTATATGTTGGAAATACTGTAAACATCGGACAAACGCAGATTCAACAAAAAAATACCAAATCATATGCCCAGGCAAAAATAAGCTGGCCGGGATTACTGTACTTACACCTTGACTGTCAACTTCAATATTGTTAAATTTTCATTACCTGGTAGTAGCCTTGGAAGTTTAGTAAATTATTACACGGCTGTTGGCTCTTTAAAAGCAGGAATTCGTTATCATTATTTTTCACTTTTCAGAGCGTTTTACGTACAGCGTAAGCCGGCTGGAATATTATTTTGAGATAAACATCCGACGGTAGTTACCCGAAGCGATTAGGTCGGAAGTTTCGAGTTTTTCTGCAGATGTTTCTGTCGGTCATGCCAGTACACGTGGTGTGGAGTGCCGTTTAAATTTTAATGGTTGTCTAGCCACGCAACCCATGCCGACAGTTATGATTATGTAATGTCGTTTTTAAATAAACGCACTGGTGGTCGAAGAATTAATGGGCTAAAAAACTTGTATCATTTCCTGATCTTGAGTACTCAAAGCCATCTGGCAGTTCACTTTCCTTGTGGAAATTGCATGCTGTCCTTGACATTTACTGGTTACTTTCAGTGACATTTACGTATCTGCAAAAGTTGAAAGAATACATTGGGAATGAGATTTGACAGCGGATGCTCCTGAAGATGTGTGTTGCAAATTTTAGTGTGGTCATCAGAGCCCAGAGAGCCTAAAATTAACAACTCGATTGCAATGAAACAGTCAAGTTGAAATGCGGAAAGCAATAAGAATGCGTATTAAATTTGTTCGCGTTCAAGAATTCGATTGTTTTTTCGGAATATGAAGTGTAATTGAAAACGCAAATTTACAGTACGCAATTTTACATTACTTACTCACAGTATTCACATATACAATATTCACATATACAATATTCACAATATTCACATATACATTTACCTCTGCGTCGTTGGTGAAATATCCTAATATCCTAGTATACCTAATAAAAGATCAAATCATTTCGATGGTTTAACAGTGTACGGTGTACGTAGAGGTAAAATGGTGTATTGTAAATTTAGAAGAAAACTGGACAGAATTTATATATTAATTATTTTTAAGTTATCACTTCTGCGTCTGCGTAAGCAGTTCTGCGTCTTTTCTCGTGCATGGTAAAATTAATGAAATCAGTTATATAGATATTTTAATTCGTTTATCAATTTGCACTTCTTTTTTTGCATGGACAAAGTACATACACAGTAGTTTACAGGTAGAAAGAACGTGCGTAGGTTTACTAATTCTTATATGTAATTGTAACTTGTAAGCACTTAACATCGTTATGCGAAATGTGCTATGGATATGCACAAAGAATAATTAAGTAATTATCGTTTTGTTGCACCATGAACTCATGCAGTTTGAATCCTTTCATTACTTAATTAATATCTTTTTAATTTACAGCTTTTTATCATCGCGTCACCAGACAAATTCTGGTGTCGTTCTGGAGATAACGTATCGGACTTCAATTTAACCGCGAATGGGGACCAGCAGTGCACCGTCCACTCCATAGCTATGGCGAATGCGTCAGATTCTGTTGACCGGACCAGTGTGCCGATAGCGCCTTGTGCAAGTGGTTGGGACTATGATAAGACCTACTACTACAGCACCATCGTAACCGAATGGGATTTGGTGTGTTCCCATGATTTCCTGGCCACATTGATGTACATCATCACATCCGTCGTGGGAACACTAGCCGCACCACTGGGCGGCTGGTGTAGTGACCATTATGGCCGGAAGTCCACATATTTCGGCTTTCTGGCCGTAGAAATTGTCAGTGGCATAGCGGTGTCTTTGTCCCCTTCGTACTGGATATTTGTTGTGTTGGCTTCGGTGCACAGCATTGCCGTGTACCCAACTTACCAGACGTTGTACACACTGGGTTTGGAGATTCTCAGTCCTGATTATCGCACCAAATTTGCGGTGATGTTAAGTTTTGCATATGCATTGGGCGCTTGCGCGTGCTGCGGATTATCCTTCTTCCTGAGGGATTGGCGAATGATTATTCTGAGCTGTAGTTTGCCCGTGGCGAGCTTGTTTGGGTTTTGGTGGGTGATGCCGGAATCTCCGCGGTTTTTGTTGAGCCAGAGACGTTTTCGGAAAGTGGAGCTGTACTTCCGACGCGCAGCAAAGTGGAACCGCGTGAATTTCGAGGTAGAATGCCGGGAGAAGTTGTGCCATCTATTTGAAAGTCTGTCCACGCGCGACGTGAAAGCCAAGGAGAAGTCGTACTCGTTCAAGCATCTGTTGATCTGCCCGAAATTGCGACGTCGCTTATTTGTCTTAATGTATTTGAGCGGAGTCGTCGCGGTATGTTATGGTGGTCTTGGATTTTATGCACCACAATTGGGAACCAATCCGTACTTGAATGTCTTCCTGACGAGTTTAGTGGATTTGCCCGCCGCGTTGTTGACACAGTTAGTGGCCGATAAGTTGGGAAGACGATTGACTTTGTTGTTGGATTTCGTTTTGGGAGGCTTGGCTTGTTTGGCAACGTTATTGTTCCCCCAAACGGAAGATTATTATTTCGCAACCCTGGTGTTGTTTTTGATGGCGCGGATGTTCGCTGTGAGTTCATACACGGTGGAGGAACTTGTGTCGTGCGAGAATTTTCCCACGGTTGTGCGGGGTGAGGGAATTAGCTTGACGAATGGCGTTTCGGGGATTGTGTCGAATTTGGGGCCGACCATCGTTTACTTGTTTGTCGGGAATGCGTTGGCCACACCCATGGCTTGGTTTGGAGGAATTACGATTTTGGCCAGTTTTATTGTGTTTTTCATTCCAGAGACAGGTACATCGATGCATTCTGTTTGTGTTGTATTTCTTGTTCGTTTTCAGTTTCGTTCATAACGGTCAAAGGATGTAGTGCAGTATGCAACAGACATTAATGCTAAATAAACTTGAATTGCGCAGCTGACAATGAGTCAAATGAGGCGCATGAAAACGAAAACTGATTGAATAAAATTTGTTTGTTTGTGTTTTGACAGTTGATAAACCGCTTCCGGAAACGTTGGATGATTTTGAAGATTTCACTGTGGTTCAATCTGTGAGGGAACTTTTTGTGCACCTGAAATGAAGCAAAGTGCATTAATAAGGATTGTGATGATGCGGTCTGCCTGTGTCTGATTAGAATGAGTTTCGTTAGTGTTACTCGTTATTTGTATTATACTCCTGGTTTCGATATCTTTATTCTACAGATATTCTGTGGTTGTTGGTTTCTCAGTTTTTCTTTTAGAGTTTTAGTTTTCGATCACCTTCATCACATAGTTATAAGGATTGTGCTGTCAGTGTAAAGTGGCTGGACTTATTGTTAGCAAGATTTGTATCCCTGCACGAAAATTTTTCATTCATTGGCACAAAGTTTACTTTCTGGAATTTTGTGGCTAACAGCAGCTTTGTTAGAGGTGAAGCATCGGATAAAAAATAACAGGGTGATATGAACTTGCTTTTTATTACTGTACTTGTAATCAAAACTTTGTGTGCGATGCTCGCAGACTTTTAGTGCCAGTTACCTATGAAATTTGGAGTTGCACTGGTTAAACTTACCCATTATTGTCATTGTATTGTTATCGTTTCGCATTTGTGCTGCCCAAAGCTTCCGCCATCGGATATTTACTTATGCCCAACGAATACAGTATCATTTCAACATGCTTAATAAATTATAGAGCAGCTCTGTCGATGTAATTTACACTCAAAACATGAAACGATGAAAACAGAAATCAAAAGCTTAAATCGGGTAGAGAATACGGAGTAACGGCAGCTACAACACAAGTGAACACTGTAAACGCCTTCGGGTATGGAACAGTTAAGCTTCCACAGTCTCTCCCTCCGCCTGCATTTCCTGATCCACCTCTTCCACGGCATCGCCCTCTGCACCTTCTAGTACTGCTTCGCCCTCCCCTTCACCCAGCACCTCCCCTTCCCCCAGCATGGCGTCATCGCCGTCGGCTTCGACAATTTCATCTTCCTGAACCACGTCTTGTGATGCATCCTGCATAATACCCTGGGTGCTCATCTTCCGTTTGTGACGCGCCGTATTGTGGAACCTAAATGCAGTCTGACGTGAGGGAATGCGATGACAGATATGACTTTCACTCACCAATAAATAACCTGAGCCGGAGTGAGCCCCAGTATCCGCGCCAGGCGTTTGGCTCGTTTATCACCACACGTTGTACTTTTCTGGAAGGCTTTATCTAAAACAAATACAATGAACTACTCAAATCCGTTATATAAAACCAACACCAGTTTTGCGCATTGCACAACTGAACGAAAAAACGAAAAAACGCTGTGAATCTCTAGGGTACCAAGGGTAGTGAGCACCTGCGCGGTAATCACGTTAGCAATGATCGAACAACAAGGCATTTTTATATTTGGTCCCATCCAAAATTCTCGTCCAATAATTTTAAATCGAATGTTCGGATACTTAAAACACCAAATAAGTTCGGTAATAAATAAAGACTGAGTTAAAAAAAGTAATGCCGGCTCGTATTTCGAAAAAACATCCGACGAAAACCCAATTGTCCTGCGAAAAGGCAAATATAGAAATTTCTCATTAACAGACTTTTCTAACGCGCCTGTGTTCTACAAGACAATCCTTTCGGATTCGAATGTTCAATGGGCGGACGCTGCCCGTTTTCGGGGCACAGAAAAAATAAGAATACCGTTGAGTAGCGGTAATCGCTCATTCATCGCATACGTTATAACTGCTTCTGACCAGTATGTGTACACTGCAGCAAGCCGGCTTAGCCATTTTTTAATGCACATACCAAGGATTTCAAGCTGAAAGGGGGTCTTCTTCATCGGCGTTTTCCTATTGACAGGCGCTTTCTTTGGCTTGGGAAGGATTGGAAGCGTGACTGTAATAGTGGTCACTTCCGGCGTCGTTTCCTGGGTGGAAGAGGTAGCCACGGGTTCACTGGATGTCTCACCAAAAATATTGTTCAAGGCCGCAGCTACCACATCGGCAGAAACTTGTGCCGGCGAAGGGATCATCTGCTCAGTAATTCCTATCCATAAAACAAGCATGTTTACAAGAAAGTAAAAAAATATCAGCATGCGATGCAAATCATCCAGATTGCAAAAGCAACGGTTTACTTCAAGTTAGCGACGTCGAATAATTTGTACTACACGAAGTCCATACAAATAATGCAAAAGTTATTGTAAGTGTGAAAAAAGATACTATCTGTATGCATTCAGTAATTATTATTCTAGACCGTCATAAAAACGCCCACCTGGAACTCGCAATCGAATGAGAAGCTCATTGGCCTCTTCCTTGGTTAGTCCGCCCCGGACAAACGCCTTCCGGGTCTCTTTGATGGCGCGCTCTTGCGTATTTAATTTCGGCTTCTGCTTCCAAACGCTGGGCTCCTTAATGTACGTTCCATCTTCCAACAATGTCATGCGTGTGCCCCCGCCAGTGTCCAGGATGTCCAGATCCGAGTCAACGTCGTCTTCGCGTTGCACTTTCGGACTGAGAAGCTTGATGATGTGCGAAGGGAGACGATGACGGTGGCGTCGCACAAAGCCATCGCGCCAGGAATACGTAAATGTACAGCGCATACCTGCAAATTCAGAACGACAGCTTTAGCATTTATTCGTTTTTAACCATCCACTTTTAAATTTTAAAAAAATTCCGGAAATCTAGTTTAATCTAATAACGAGGCCAAATCAAAATAGTCATATTTATATTTTAAGAACATTCACCTCCCAATTCACAAATATGTACAGTAATATACTAATATAAATATTCACAGATTTACTGTCTACTGAACAGTCATTATACATGTGTGCATTTTACTGTTTAAGTACATGTAAACTCTGAATATGATCAGTCCGTAAGGAGGCTAATGTTGCAACGGTCTGTGTTAAAATTTGTTTGGAATCAAGTTCATCCTACCTCCATAACGGAATGTTGCCTGCACATCCCGTTAACACCAACATGCGTAAACAAAACACGCTTAAAGGATAGCCGTCGTTAGCCGATAATTAAAAAAAACTTATCCCTAATCGTAGAGGGTGTAATAACAACTGGCTAGACAGGTTTACCATACTTGTAACTTCCCTCATAATTTACCGTTAACAAAATGGACATTTCTTAAAATTGCGTTATGTTATGCCTCAGCTTTTATGATTTTCATTTGAAACCGTTTTTTCCACATTAACGGAATATTAACAACCCGAAACATAAGCATTTACGATGATTTACCATTTTCATTAGCAAATTCTTCCATCAGTGTCCTGAGCGTGCGATATTTCCCTCGGAAGGGGCCCAGTGATAACAAAAACTTGACCAGTCCATCTTCCTGCTGTGGAGACAACAAAGTCGCTAATTTCCGCTCACGTTTCGGAATACCGTGTATACTGATAATGCGCCGAATATTGGTTTCAGAGATTCCCAGTTCCTTTGCAATGGTGCGATGGGCGATGCCATCCCGATATAATTCTTTTACTCGCTCAATCCGATCATCCGTCATCTTAGAACGCGGACCGCGTTTACCCATTTTTAAAATAATATTTTTGTTAGGTTTTCTAATAAAAACAACTTTGAAAGCAAAACTTCTCAACAATTGTTGGATTTGAATGGGTTCTTCGGCATAACTTTCCTGTAGAGCACTACAGGAGCAGTTAGCAGAAGCTCCACGATTTCGAGATGTCGCAGACACGGTGTGCACCACAACAGCATGCATTTACACGTGCCAATTGAAATTCCGTTTTTACCACACGAATGCTTTCTATTGGCTGTGATAGTGCTGCTAACAAATCAGAGATGGCGTCTTTGAAACTCCACCTTTGCGAACAGGGTAGCGACGTGTGCAGTATTTTGGCTTGAGTAGTAAGTCTGACGCCTGAAGCTCTGAAATCTACCTTTAGCGTCAGCAGTAATGACTTGGCGGGTTTACCATTATTCTAGACCTGTGGGCCTCTTCGATGTTCTGAATCTTCTGATCTTGCTGAACACTACGTGTTAACGGCGGAAGTAAATATCAGTATCTTACAGTACTTAAATATCGCCAATCCAATAAATAGAATGAAAACCATATGGAGGGAATCCTCCCTTTCCCTTGTACTTGTACGATACGCCTCTATTTTTCCTCTAGTACGATTGCAATATTTCTGTTTCCGCCCTTGTTTTTGGGACTTAGTACGTAATACCTATACGTACAGCGCTGATTTACATTAAAGCTCGGTTTTGGCCCATCAGTCAGGAGTATTGAAGCTATCTGCCAAGTAGCATAATAAAATTATTTTCTCTTGCCGTTCCTAGCCATATTAAATTTTATGTACGTAGTTTACGTACGTACACACATTGACCATTTCTGTGTAATTATTACCGATTGGTATATCTATATACCGAATCTGAATGATATCATAATCTGAATATGATCAAATGAAGAATTGATCATATTTGTTGAGCGAAGCTCGCCTTGTACATATTGAGAAATAAAGTGCTCATAATCTGAATGATATTAACCGAATCTTCTGATCATTTTAAATTTTTTGACACACTTTATTATCTGTTTTCACCATAGACTGCACTCCGCACTTGCAGACGCAATTATTAAGGTCTTCACGGTCATACGTTTTGATAGCAAGACACCTCTTCGCAAAACCGCGGCGTCTGTTGCTTTAAAACTCCTACATTATGAGTACTCGTACGAGTGTTACAACAGAATTGCATGACTTCGTACTGCAGTCATGAAAATTAATACGAAACAATAATTCAGGTCGAGATTCAAGTTAGTCTAAAATACACACAGTAGAGTTGCCCTTTAATTTTGAACCCACGGGACAGGTGAACTCTTCGATGCCATCGTATCCCAGTCCCGTATCGTAACAAATATAATACTTTTGCGGTGCACTATCCGCATGGGCTGCTGTATCGCCGGTTTGGCATTTGATCTGCGCATAGGTGGCCGGTAAACTGGAACCGGTCTGGATGTAGAAAGGCTGATCTTTCTTCAACGTGGTGGACGTCGGCACCACACAGTCGATGGCGGCTGTAACAAAGGTGCAGTTCTTCTTTTCCGGACATTCCAGTTCACCCGGCGCAAAGGATGAGGGAAATATTTTCGGACAGCGTAGTGTGGTTTCACAGCCACCCGGCAGGGGCTGCTGCGAGAGACATCGGGATTCTACCCGCGAGTTGAGATCGGAAAGAACGGCTTGCTCGTCGGTCGGGGATAATGGAGCCAGGATGGAACGGGCAGCGCGTGTAAGTGGATAAGGTACACCACAATACCCGTGTGGATCTGCGAAATGAATTAATATTTAATCGAACCACAAATATGCGCAGTAATTTTTGTGTAATAACCAGTATACTTTTATCTAGTTCTTTTAGAAGAACGCAACGTTGCGTTCTTCTAAAAGAACTAGATAAAAGTATTTTATCCAAAAACACTGAAAACTTCAAAATAAAATTTCTTAAGAATTCCCTAATCCAAATTTAAGTTTTCTGAATTACAGATATAATGTTTGCGTATACATCGATCGCTACCTGACCTCGTGAGTAATTCTTCTAGGACATTTAAATTAAATTTCGATTTTTGTACAGTTGTCGCACCATCTTGATCGCTGGAAAAGACCATTATCCCTCCAAGATTATTTTGGCGCGTATAATTGGCTTTCTCCTTCACACTGGCATCGTTATCATAGGAAAGCCACTGGTCGCCGTCGTACGAGTACGAATGCGACACCTTGGTAACAGGATCACGGATCATGGTATAGACACCCGTAGCCAGCATCCGGCACACTTCCAGATACGCCAGCGTCCCGGGGGAAATAGTCAACGGGCCGGCTTTGCCATCGCTCAGAATCTTTACCCCGATTTTCTTAGGATTATCCCCGGAATCATCAATGGGGATGGTGTAAGTGCGTGCGGTACCGGTAACTGCGATGGAAAGTTTTTGCCGGCCAACCGCTGTTTTCAACCAACCTTGCACAGCCGAATCCTGTTAAATTAAGCGAAATATGTATTAAGTATACGCAAGATCCTTATAATAACTGTAAGTATAAAACCATGAGCGTGCATAATTACTTAAAAGAGAAGGTTAGTTACGTCTGAGATGGTTAAAACCTCTTGACTGGGTTAGTAGGAATCATGTTTTTTCCTTAATTAACAAACAAATACAGAGTGTGCGAAACAGATATATATTGCGCTACCATTTTTGCCAATAAGTAATTTTAGTCTTTTACCAGGCTATAGTTTCCCGGAGAGTTGTACAAAGGCGCATGATGGTATGTGACTTTGCTCCAAGGACCATAGAAATCGTACGTTAAAAGATAGAAGATGTCCACAACCCTGAAATGCGCATCAGGGTATATGATGTCAGGATATTCTAGTAACGTACTGTACGTATTTGAATGTATTAAATCTTACTGATTAAGAGCGTCGACATCATAATAATCGATGTTGGCAATATCTGCTGATAAAGTTATAGAAATTATCAAATCTTCCGCACGTCCTGTAGCCTCCTTTTTGAATGCCGCTTTCATTTCCTGTGGGACATTTCGCCATGCTTTATGTACGAGTTACGACAGAGTGAGATGGAGAACCATGTGCAGAGATGGATAGCCATATACTCGTACAGATACAAATACGGTTATGATAAAAGAAGTTGATATCAATGGTAAGTCCCAACCTTGAGAAGCGTGGGAAAGTTTTTGTAATCTTCCGGATCGCCACCGCGGTTGCCCACTCCCGGTACCAGCCAGTCGATCAGCAATCCATCGAAATCGTACAATTTGCAAAATGCTACGACGCTATCAATAAAAGTTTTACGGCTGGAAGGTTGCATTGCCTAAAACGAAATATGTTCGACAATAGAAACGGTGCAGTATTGGAATAATGCGGGTTCACCATTTGACTAAACATAAAGCCACCGGCATTCCATCCTCCAATTCTAAAACGAAGTATTTTTAAAACAGCTTATCAGTCATTCTGGATAGAAAGCTGCGACGTCAGTGAAATGCTTGCTATGCAGCTACGTATACACGTGTTAAAGCATAATTTTGTGTGGTAACGAAATGAAACGCCTGCAGTACACGCAAAGAAAGTACTCCTGAAATGCAGCGTGGCTGCAGCACGGAAAGCCACTTTACGACATACCCAATGACGGCCTTCATTTTCGGGTTTTTTGCTTTCAGAGATACAAATTTGGCGATGTTCCCTGAATACGAAAAACAGATTTAAGATCTATACCATTTCGTTAATATAGTACAGACTTTACTGACGAAAAATTGCAATTGCAACATAAAGGAACTGCTGAAAATGATTATATTACTGAATATTGTCTGTTTAGTAAAAACAATAAAAGTGCTTCAAACAAGAGCTAAACAACGCGAAATATTAATTGAGAGCATGAGCTTAGAATCGTTATCCCCACCTCGCCGTCCGTTTCCTTGCAGATCATTGTAAGCATCGAATGCTACCATCGTGTTATTCTGCAAAAAATTGTGCGTTTAGTGCACGTCAAATTACTCCTGCTGTTACTTTAACTTCGTAAAATTACTTCTGCTGTTAATATTATGATTTTTAGTTACGGTATTTCTCCACACATCATGCATTTAACATTCATAATTTCGGAATTTATGGTTCCTTTCACCACTATTTAATTTAGTCTGCGTTAAATTTTCGACAACATTCCATTTTCATATACTGTACAATTTGTACATCCATATTTCATGATATTTGTACTACTACAATATTATGCGCTTTCGTATACAGTACTACTTACCTAAATAGTGCAAATTCTGTACATATTGGTTAATTTTAGCCACTCTGTAATTTAATTTTTTGTATACGTTTGTAAGCAAAAGTTTCGCATAAAGTTTTTTGGGGATCTGAGTAATACACTGTATATTGCGTGGATCGTATAAAACGTATAAAAATCGACTGTCAAAAATAATTAGCCCCAGCGCCAAGCATTAACACAAATTAGAGACACCCGCACATTACATACAACTTAATACAATTGCATAAACTACAAAGCGATGCATAAGTCAAAAGAATGTATCACAATATTATCACATGTATCTTACCGCCATGGCTGCGTATAAGTAAATCGCGTGCGTGCACAGTTGTGCCGGCAAATCGTTTCCCATAACGCGCCCTAATTGTAAAAAGCCAGTTATTCCAGCTTCCAGGGCACCGTCATTATACAATTTAAGGACAACACTGATTGTAAGGTAAATCCCAAATAAAATTTTAACCGCCGTGAGCCCATAGATGGATCTATGCACGACGTCAGTTTATAGAATTGGTCCATATTCAAAACAACATTCACCTTGAAGCTTCCTGTAGCTCGCCCATGATGCATAAACACACGTAAGCATCGGTGTCTGTTGTAAGTCAACATTGTCACACAGAATCAGAATCGTCAAAAAACATACAAAATATCCTCGTGTTATGGCGAAATCCATCCTTTTTACGTGTGGTTCTGTGCTATCTCTTGCTGCAAAACTTTTCAAAATGCAGTGCGCTTGAATTGCCGGAAGTTTGCCATGTGCTAACGTGCAGTAGGTATAATGTCCTACTGACACAGTAGTGGATTGTTTAATTCTGTGTAGTATCGTCTGCGGTAGTTTCGTTATTCCGAAACAAGTTCAGATTCACGGCCATCGCATAAACGATGTGTCATTTCGAAACGTAACCATTCTCAGTTCTTAACATGCCGGAATCATGGTGTAATACCGATATAAATTATTCTTGCATATTTAATCGATTGCCGCGGGTGACCATCTCGTTTCTATGAAGCTGATTTGTTGTTTTTGCGCAGTTTAAGCAGGGGCTCAAAGCGTGATCTGGCAATTTGATGCTTGAACGCAACCATTTTCGTTAAAGCTTCGCTGTACACCTGCAAGCATATAAATATTAATTACTGACTTACTTTATACGATGTATTCAAAGTTAACTATGTACTTCGTGAATTTACACTAAACTATCTGTACAACAGCACATACCTGGCATTTATATTTACATTGCATGATACACACTAACCCATACAATCACATATTTTAACCTGCACGAAAACAATTCGAAATAAAAAAAACGTAAAATTTGATAATAAACAAACTGATTACCTACAAGTAAGTATAAATCTGTAAGTACAAATCTAGCTGTGCAGTCAAGTAGTTTCAGAATATCGAATCAGGTTCAGTAATGTATATAGATATGTATTGCAGATGCGTGCACGCGTGCTCGGTTCATATGTCCAGTCACCATGCAGTGCCTCCGCTTTTGTGATGTACTCGTAAATTAGCTACGTACGGTAGTGAACGTGAGTAGTGAATCAAATTAATTTTATAAATTTATAATTTTTTTTAAAACAAAAATTTATAAATAACCTAAAAGCACAGGTAATCTTTGAAAAATACATAAGAAAAACGGTTACCATTAGCTGTACAGAGTATACCCGGCATACCGAAAAACCCAGGCATACCGCAATATGCAAGTCTACATTTGCTACTGCGACGACCCACCTGTTGATTCGGCATCTGAACATGCACAACGGCTTCTTCGCGCGTCAGCAGAACACAGTTCCACGGCGTCCACAACTCTTTCATATTCCATCGAACAAACGTCAAGTCGTAGATATCGCGTCGACCCGACACCAAACTTGCCTTCCGCCAGATCGTGTCAAATAACGCTTTGAAATCATGCTCTGTTAGTACGGTGAGAATTGGGTGTGTGTCCTTTGTTAGTGTCTTCTCGGTGGCCATTAAAGCTTTCAGCGCACGTCGGTGGAATCCCAGATCCTCCCGCTTTTGACCAATGTTTTTCATACGCTCGCAATCGCGACAGATCAAAGCGCCGTTCTCGGCCCGCGAACGCCGTTGGAATCCATCCGCCGGTTTATGGGCGTGGCAGCTGGAACAGTGCTGCATGTTGGTCAACAGACGTGATTCACCGCTAGCGGAAGCTTGTGCCTACAAATAAGTAATTTCATAATGCAGCTTTGTGTAACAGCTTATTGCGAAATTTTCCCTTAAATTGGTATTGCTAATTTTATAATTAAGTGTCGAAAGTACGAATATCACCAAAGTATGAACGAGCTATCTATTTCAATATTAACAGGAAATTAAAAACACTCGCTGTCATAGTATTTAGTGGCAAAATTAAAAAAGTATTAACCATAGTTTATTAATTTACCAGATTATTCTGGTTTACCAAATTTATGAAGCATTTACCGGCAAGAAACGCGCTATCTGAGGGTTGAAAAGGGGATTTTTGATGAACTCCAAAAACAAACTGGAAATCCGAGTTCGTATTCCGTCCAGAACATGATCCGTCGTTCGCACACCGGAGGTCAGCATTGTCACTTCGCGATCCACCAGCGTCGAAATTTCCGACGTGAGATCGCATACAAATTCCTATATAAGTACAAATTTTAAATATAAATTCCTATTGAACATTCTGTTTTTAACCATTACACCTTTCGTGTAAGAAATGCCGATTCCTTTAATTTAATAAAAATTTAATAATTTCCTTCACTAGTATACCAGATAGTTCACATTCGAAAAATTTTCATATACAGAAATCTTGTTTCGAAAAATTTTTGACGTACGGATACGGTAATCGTCACCGACAAGAGCAAGTCTAATCGTTCGGCTTTGCTGACGGTGTTATCTGTCAGTGCACGATACAGCGCCACCAGTTCCTTTGCGCGTGTTATCCACGGCGTCTCCATCGTGGTCAGTTCTCCAGTAGATGCGGCTTTGAAGGCAATTGGCTTGGACACATTCTGCAACAGTCGGTCTTTCTTCAGAATTTCATTTTCCTTGCGGGCTCGGGAACGGTGACCTTCTACCGCTAACAATAGCGCTACTTCATCCTTCAGAACTTTACACAGCATAGCCTTCCTTTCCGGTCCATCCAGTGCAATGTTGATTTTATACAATTCCTGTTGACGCCAGTCTGAAAAAAATATCAAACATTACGACTGATCCAGGAAAAAGGCATCTGACGTAGAATTTTCAATTTTGCTCACTCTGTACTTTCGATGGTTTTGTACACCAGATCGAAATCGGCTTTGCTACGCGGTCGTGTGCGGCGACGGAATTCTTCGGATAGCAGACGCTCTTTTTCGCGGATAAGGGATTCCTGAAGTTCCTTCTCTCTGCGTTCACGGTCAGCTTTCTCTTGACGTAATCTTCCAACACGACGTTGGGCCAGCCAGCGCCGCCAGTATGACTGGAGAGTAATGATCTGCCGAAAGGTCATCGCAGTGAATTATCGCTGTTGCAGATTTTACTCATAATATGCTTTACATACTACAAAATAATAAGTAATACACAGTACCGTACTGTACTTTACAATCAAACTTGTCGATGGCAATGTAAAATAATTTCGTATAATTTGTAATATTTTGACACAAAACTGCGTCCAATTAATAAACACTGCTGGTTGCATAATAAATTACATTGCAATGTGATTAAATTTGCACATAAAGTATATCTATCTTCTAGATTGAGTTTCCTGACCTTTGCGATCTTTGCGTCCAGCCACTGATCAACGGTGGGAACATCGCGCGCCCCAAGAGTCACATCAGTGCTGTCCGTGATATAGACGCCGATTTTTGTCATCTGAGTGCAGGCCTCGCGCAGGCATTGTGTACGACTGTTTTTTAACTGAAGAGTTTGGGTTTCCCGACACTGGTTCTCGGGGTTCGGGGGCCGAACTGTCGGCTGGAATAATGGAATTAACATTAACACTACTCGTACGTAATCTTAAAATCTTGACTTCTTAAAACCTGTAACTGGTGAAATTTAATGGGTAATACTCCGAAATGTTTAAACTGCATTTTCAAAAAATCGCACTGTACCAAAGTCTGAGCAGTTGCATGATGGAACTCCACATTGTTAATCCGATCACGGTATCCACCTAGGAAAGGTTTCGCAGCCCGCGGCTGAGGACCTTGCTCCGCCATCGTATTAAAATAATTGCACGAAGCTACATTGTTCACCGAGCAGGTTTTGCGCTGTGAATGGCAAATACTGAACAGAGTTGCAACGCAATGTTACAGGCGCTATCCCAAAAGTGTATATTTGAAGTATTTCTAACCTACGTATATTATCCTGGCTCTGTAAGTGCTTATCCGTAATTACTCAACAAGTCCTACATTTTAGAACTAGTCAGTACTTACCTTAAAAATATTCCAAGTACTGTGCACAGTGCAATTAACAAATGCAGCACTCGTTTATTTTTTAAAGTACAATACTGGAGTTGTTTCTATGGAGAACGTTTAGCCATGCAATGATTACTTGCGTCGTACATCAGGGAAGCGAAAAATAAAGCAATGTTCCCTGAATCTTTATTATATAAAAACGGACATAATTCTCGACTATGCGTTAGTTTCAATTTATCAGAACGCAGTCAAATATTACCGGTGAATCGGTGACTATCAAACATTCTGAAAGCAACTGCGAGGCGGTTGTAGAAAACGAAGTAGATATTGCATAACTGAATAAAAACCAGAAGCGTTACAAAAATCCTCGGAAGTATCCTCTCATTTCTTGGCCACATCTTCTTTTAGCGAGACCGTACGACTGAAAACCAGCTAAAAATTGAAATGATAATAACAATTTTGCACAATCTCAAATCATTCGAATTTAATGCTACCATACCTGCTCTCCCGTGCTGTCAGGGTCAACACTGAAAAATCCCACTCGTTCAAACTGGAATCTGTTATACACTTTCGCTCCCTTAATATGCTTATCCGCCAGTGCATTGGGAATAATCCGCATGGAATCAGGCACCATATCAGCCAGAAATCCTCCCGGAGCGCTACTGGGATCCACGTGCTTGAACAGGCGTTCATACAAACGCACTTCCACCGGCATCGGATCCGACACCCAGTGTATCCATCCTTTAGGTTTCTCCGAATCATTCGTCACCGCATGACACTCCACCAACAATTCCACAGGATTACCATCTTTATCGTCCACCACTTGATTCACGGTTAAAGTCACCCCACTGTATCGCAGTCCAACAGACTGGTTGGGTGTTAATCGTTTGTAGTTCTTATCGGCATCCTGCACAAAACCAACAAGCTGTTGCTCGACTGACACGCACAAATCACAAAACTTCAATGCCAAACCTTTCGGAAATCGGACTGTTCAATATATATCACGGGGCCAAACGCAATGGTGTGCTTGCCCCGTTCCGGCTTTTCCGGAAAATCTAGGGCTTCAACCTGAATGGCTTCTTTGTGCGGAAAATTGGTAATGGTTACTTTAAGTGATTCCAACACCACCATGGTGCGAGGTGCGTGGATGTTCAGATAATCCCGCACACACGATTCTACAACTTGTGGATCCACCGCTGTTTCAGCCATTGTCACACCCAGCTGCACATAAACAAGCAAACGTTTCTAAACTATCACACAATTTAAATTCTGGATTGAGAATGTACCAAAGCGCAGAAATTATTGATCGCTTCCGGTGGAAATCCACGACGACGCAGAGCGGTCAACGTGAACAATCGCGGATCATCCCAATCCCTAAAATATAAGATAAATTATGTCAAGTCCACCTCTGAGCTGTTTCATCTTTCAAATGATGATGTCGCTGTGCTGATAAAATTAATTTCAAATACAACCATTAATTCGCACCTGACGCTCTGCGTCTCAATAAGCTTGGCAATCTTCCGTTTGGACGTGACGGTATAATTCACGTTTAAACGTCCATACTCCCACTGCACTGGGCAATACAGATCCAGAGCGTTACACAGCCAGTAGTAAGAAGATCGTCGCTGCTGGAATTCTTTGGTGCACAATGAATGAGAGATATCTTCCAGGGAATCACACAAACAATGCGTATAATCGTAAGTCGGATAGATGCACCATTTGTCTCCAGTCCGGTGATGGGGGACATATTTAATTCGATACGCCACAGGATCCACTTTTCCTTCTTCCAGAACTGTGCGCATGCGTAAGGTGGCGGCACCCTCGTCGAACAAACCATTTTTCATATCCTAAACAATCAAACACCCGTAAATTTTTATGCGGAAGCATAAAAGCGGCTAAACAGAAAACAAGAAAATTCTTAACACATGAAAAGGCCAAAACGTATACCTAAGTACCATAAAAATCGTACCTCGAACAGCTTCAAAGATTCTTCGATAGGACGATCTTTCCAAGGAGACGGTGGCGGGTTAAATCCCTTTATTTCTTCTGGTTTCTGATGACAGACGTAAGCCTGTCCACGTTTAATCAACTCCACAGCGAAGTCATATAGCTCTTGGAAATAATCCGAAGAATGAGTTATTTTGTAAGGCTTGTATCCTGAAATACGGTTAACCATTAAACATACTTTAAACAACACGATATGAAAATAGTTAATCTAATTGATAAAAACATTTCGCTAAAATAAAAAGTAAGTGTGGTACACTTTATAGGGTAATTTCGCTTAATAAGCAACAATCACTACAATTACACGCAAGCGAGAAAGCCCACAATAGCGAGCAAAATGCCCGCAACTTGCTGCGAGTTCAAGTGCACAAAAACGCATGCTAAGCGCATATCAGTTCCGGTTTATCATGAATCAGCGAACTTGCACGTGTGGTTTCCGGTGGTCGTCAATGCCTTACCTAGCCACTCCACCATATCTTTGATGGCGGTGAAAAACTTTTCCTCCTCTTTTTCCGGGTTAGTATCGTCGTAACGCAGATAGCACACTCCGCCGTTGGCCTCGGCATAACCGAAGTCGATATTAATAGCTTTGGCGTGGCCAATGTGCAGAATACCATTGGGCTCGGGCGGGAACCGTGTAACAATCTAAGTAAGCATAAAAATCACTAATAAACAGAACTAAGAAGAGAATAAAAAAAACTGTCTCACTTTGCCACCGGTTCGCTTCAGATGCTCTTTCATCAATTCCATAGTTTTCGGTGTAATCACATATCCATCCGTTTTGTAATTCTCGCCTGGTTTGTGGAAGTGCACTCGTGTTCTCATCAGCTCCGTAACAGTGGGGGCGCCCGATGTTTCAGGCTTTGCAGCTTCCTTGCCAGCTTCGGCTGGAGCTTTTTCTTTCTGTGAAATGTAACAAATATGAATACTTTCAAAATTCAAAACATTAAAAAATATAAATATTTTTCAAAAATGTATTAAGACGCTGGTGAAACATCTAAAAAGCCTCCCAACCTTTTTCACGGGCTTCTCGTTATCTTCCGCTGTCTTCGGGCCTAGTAGCGCCAGGATCTGCGCATCCAGCTCATCTTTTAATCGCTTTCCATCCACCCAGGGAATGGCTTTACGTGCGTCCACCAGCAAAGGACCAACGACAAACCGATAACGATTTTCAACCAAACCCTTCTGATTCGCTGCGATCGTACTGGCAACCTACAACGCGGATTTGCTAAAACAAAAATTCCCTGATAAATAATCTTCATTTACCGCTTTCTTCACGTCGTCATCGGTGTACGTAACACCAACACCGCACGCTTTCTCGAAATCGGAGTTACTGAAATCTCCAGCAGCGGCATGATGCAATGTGAAATCCAGCGCGGCTGCAAAAAAATAAATTCCGACAAAACGGAGATGATCGGGCAAAAATCAAAACAATACCGTTCAGCTGCAATTCCGAAGTGATCTTCTCGTCGACGACGTACTGCGTCAGAAGGGGAATGTGCGGAGCTGCCTGGCTCTTGACTTTCGATGCCAGCGCGTACAACAAATTCCCCACTGGTTTCGAGATGTTGTCGCCTTTAGTCTTTCGCGCCTGTATTAACACCCACTGAATTTACAAAAAAACGCATCGGGAAATCATAGCTAGCCGTGACCGTACAACCAAACCGTACCTGATCGATAATGGCTTTCAGGTTTTTGGCAACATTGTCATTTTTTGCCGTTTCTTTCGCTTTCTCCGCTGATAAACCGATGGAGACAAACGAATTGATTAAGTCTTCCGTCACCATTCTGCAAAGTTATTCCTTTCCACGTGAAGGATATAATCGAAGAACAGGTTTAAAAGTGCCCTTAAACTTTTCGGAACGCCGCGACCAACAAATCAGCCAGAATGGAAAATGGAAATCAGAATTGCATCAGACCGATCACCTATGAATAGAATTTCTTGTTGACGTTTTCGTCATTATTCACTCGTTGCACTGCAGCACTGGTCAAAGTCAAACTACTTGCATTGTACGTACGAAAACTCAGCGTCCTGGGAGGAGGAGGCGTATTTTTAGCGTACGACGCTTGTGGCCGCCCGCCGGTGGCACTTGACCGTAGTTTTGGTCAAAACGCAATCACGCAGAAACTTTTAAACAAAAGCCGAAAGCGACACTTAATACGCCCGATACGGTACAGTACCTAATCTAAGGCCTAACTTCCTAAGGGAAAGATTCGTTGTCTGGCTGCCTGAAAAGGAGCTCATCTTTGCACCGGGCACAATCGCACCTACCTACACAATTTGGGACTGCATTCTTTCTAATTTTATTTTTGCTACAAATACTGCTGCAGTTTGAGGGTTACGCCTATTAGATTTTGTCAGCGGAAAAATAAACTTACGTGACATAAAAGACCAAAAAATGTCGCTGAACCGAAACGACACTGGCACGTTTTCTAGGAAACCTGGCGACAACGACGCGGCCATGCCGATCGCGTCAGGTTCAGGTCTTGGTGCCACATCGAAGAATGGCGTTGCTGAAAAGAAAGCTAAAGCAGCGTCGTCGTCAGCAGCGAAAACGGACAGCAATTCTGGAGCGACGAAGGAGCCTGGAACGCTGTCAGATGCTGAAGTCCTGAGCAAATTGACGAAGGCCGGCGTGGAGAATGTGGAGAAGGTAGGGCGATGTGTGAAAGCTGGGATAGCTCGGGGTTTCATCCAGCTCGAACGTACTGCAGACTTGGATACTGTTCTTGTTAGTGCTGTGTGTGATGAAGTTTTTGGATTTGAATGCAAGAACAAAATCGACGCCACACTGCGAATGGTTCTGCACCAGAAAGACGAAGGTGAGTCTGACTGCTTGTGAACGAAAAAATGGAAAATCTACGCGCTTCCCTGCTACCGGGGAAGGTTTTCGTAGTTTTTGACTGCGTATGTTAATAACGGTTCAGGTTGGTGTCTTGTTTACTGCGATACGACATCCATAATATCTACAGATATAAATCACATAATTATTACAAATTAATCTGATCATTTTACACAGTATTTTCTGCTCCGGTATTGTGACGTCACTTACAGGCAAAAAGCCAAAATCTTATGTGAACGTTTTGTTTAACTTCTGGGCGAGCGAAGCGAGCCCGCGTTTCTAATTCAAGACATGTTATTTTAATAATTATTAGGTATTGATGAATACTTGGGATTAGACGACTATGCCGTTCGTTGCGACGGATGCGAACAGGGATATTACGTTACCGACTTGTGCACTGCCGATCCAATGTTCTCCGATCCGAAGTATATGCATCACTGCGCTGATTGTCCAGGCCTCGGCAAATGCATTGGTAAGACCTGTGTGCGTCCAATTTCCAATCTGGATGTGTCCAGAAGTAATATCATAACAATAATAGTGTATTTGCTCTTTCCTAGGAGATATACGCGTGCGTCATTGTAAAAAATGTGATGACCACTACTTTGCTGGATCAAATGCGAATTTGAAATGTCCATGCAGATCTGAGGGTAAGTAGAAGACGTACTTGTCAAGCAATCTATAGTTAGCGTCACATCTTTAGATGGTTCCCTTTTACATAAAGACTACGAGTGTGTGTTTGAAAACCTGCTCAAAAGAAATGTGATGGGCGCAAAGCGTGTCATACTCGTAAGTTATAAAAGTAACAAATGTTTTCAACACTTTTCGAGCGATTTGGGTTTACATGTATCCAAAAGAAAGTACATCTGGACGTTATGATATAAATTTTACATTAGCTATGACTTTAGGGTATGTTTTCTTTTTTTTTAATAATAAGTGTTTGTCATTGCTATGGCTCAGTACTTGACTATGTAACATGATCGCAAGCGCCGGTACACTAATTGAAAGTTAAACTTTAAACATTAAAATATGTTTTAGTTACGGTATCCTCTGTTACTTTAAATGTTTTAACCCGCTGACGACCATTGGTGTTAGGGCGCAACATGCTCTTCAGAATGTTTCTCTCAATTACCCATAGCAATTAATCGATATGTCATAGCGTGATCAGCATTACAGGACTTCACCGTAGCAATAAAAAAACAAGCCATACTTGTATCTTAAGTTACTCAAGAACCACGAGCTCGCGAAAGTCGCGAATTTCGAACTTTCTGACCTCCCGAAGGTCCTGCTAATTAACTAATTAGTACAGTACCTGAGACAATTATTCTGAAGTAATTCAGTAGAGTACAATCAGTGATGCTTTACTAAGAAATGTTAAGCATGGGTCCTGAAAGTTAAACAATAGATAGCCATAGTCCATCAAAAACTCGTGTTGCGCGCACACACCATTGGGCATGTATGGTCCTAAAGTACAGGCGGGCGCATATTCGACACATGGTTTTAACATGTTAATCGAATAAGGGCCTGTCGGTTCGAACTTATAACTTTCACCATGTGGTTCTGCTTACCGGAACTTTTCCAAAAAAGATTTAGTTGAGCGGCACCCTGGGCGGTCGGCTATCGCCCTCAAACAAACGAATGGAATTCGTTTCCGGGCAACGAAACTTGTGCGTGGAAGTTAAGTTACTTGTGCGTGGAAGCCATTTTTCGTAATCTACTCTGTAGTATAGCTATGTCGTATCACAGCGCATCAGTGTAACAACCCTGCCGTTGGCCTTTACACCAACTGGAACAGCGCACGGTGGAGGGGTACAAAGAAAACAGCACATCGGCATCCTGCAGCCGTGAATATAATCGCTATTACAATAAGCGTATAGCCGGTGGTGACCTTAGCGGAAGGTGTATAACTGACTTCCGCTAATGTTGCGTTCATGGTTTCGGACGCTGCATTCCAGAACTTTTAGTGCGAGCGTAGTCGCATCACTACTGCACCTGCAGCCATGCAAAGGCAGTGGCGACATTCATGAACTGTGCAAGCGTTGATCATGCAAACAGTGTAACGGCAACTCGGCAGAATACTTATAGGAAGGCTGTCGCGTAAAGTCTTGCGAAGCGTAAAGAATAATAATTTTAAAAAAGGTTGTTGAAATTCGCTATTTTTGTTGTGTCCGGTTATCTATCAATCACTGAATCATGCAAAAACCGTTTCTTTCACTTTCGGTTTTTGCTGACCAGTGGTCACTTTACTGACCATTGGAATACCCTGGTTTTGAAGTAATTTTTATGTACTATACGATGAACGTTTTTATTTCTGTCAGTTCTTGCTTGCTGAATTATTATAGAATTATGCGTTTTATGATTAGGACCGTCTACGCCCAATGGTGTTGCTAAACACCCATGTCACCGCCGGTGACCTATGGTCAGCACAAGCACACAAAAAATTCCCTTTCTTAATTGAATTTTTTTATTGGGAAATCCTGGTTTTCAAGAAGAAACTCCCACCCCTTCGGGTAGTGGGCGTTGGGGGGTTAAACCTCTTCTTGGTGTGCTTTGTTTTTCGAATTCCGCTTTTTTCAGTTATTAGCGTGCGTTAGAAATCAACCGGTAGGCGCTTGCCGCTAGTTGTTGATTTGAAATTGTATGGATCTCGGTTTTGCCATCCTTCGCTGGGTTTGCAACTTTACAGTAGTGTAATTTTCAGCATGTAAATGTTAGAATTGAGTCTCATGATTCATTTCCGAGTTTCCATTTCTAGGAAAATCGGTATCGAAGGCCTCGAACGATGAATCTGATGACGAATGCGAAACTGATGAAGACAGTGAATCTGATTCTGAGGAAGATTCCGATATGGATGAGGAGGCTCCATCTCTTGCTGACTGCATCCTTGGTTTGATGAAGGATTTCGCATCGAAAAACCAGGCCACGATTCCTACCGGGCCGCAGGCTATGACCGGCGATCAGGTTCTGGAAAAACTGAGGCGTCTTGGTGTGGAGAATTTGGACAAAGTTAGTGGATGTGTAAAAGCCGGTATCGCCCGCGGTTTCATCAAGCTGGAGACTGCCAGTGATTTGGATAAAGTGATCGTTGCAAAGACGGGCAATAAAATTCTGCCAACGGATTGTACTCATAAAGTCGAGGCTACTGTAAAAATGGTACTGCATCAGAAGGATTGGGGTGAGTTTTTCCACTGGCAGTTATGCAACAGGTTAACGCTGAGTGCTACTATTTATGACATCTGCACAAACGTAATTTTGCTGTCCTTTAGGTGGAGATGAGTATAATTGCATAAAAAATGAACATCCCGTTTACTGTGGTAAATGCGGCGAAGGCTATTTCGTTTCGTGGATTTGCGGGGGAGAGCCGACACTCTGCTACTCGAAGCACATGAACCACTGCAAAAAATGCCCGGATTTAGGAGTGTGTTTGGGTGAGCTTTTTCACTAAAGCATTCAAATGGATTTCCAGTTATTTTCCACATATTTGTTTGAATTATACTTAGTCTGAATTTTACTGTAGGATGCTGCCGTGAAGATCACTGTGACCGATGTGGTAAACACTATTTTGCTGGATCCATGAGAGATATGCCATGCGACTGCGATGAAGTGGAGGAGACTCGAAAAACTGTTCTACGCTGCTTATTGGAGAATGTCAATAAAACTGGCAAAAAATAGTAGAGGATGTATTGTACAATGATTAAAGACCGAAATCGTTATGCTGCATAACTTTGTGTACGATATGTGTAGTACACTTCTTCAAGATGACCAAAAATCATGAGATCTCGATTGGAAACTAAATGGAAAGTTTTTGCTCTTGCTTTACGCATTGCTGTCATCTATGATGTTTGCAATTTACATATCCGCGATCTATTTCACAACAGTACTGTAATCGTACAGGCGTACTCGTTCGCTGCTTAGCTGAGCTTTCGTATAAAGTAGTAATTTTGGTTGTAGACTTCCAAGTAAATAACTTGCTAACGACATCGATAATCACCAGAACTGTTGTTTTATTTTTTCATTTTGTTGCCCAGATGCTATACCCTGTTAAGGGTTGTTTTTTCGGCAGCTGAAAATGCATTAAAGGTCATTCAATAAGATCTCAAGCTTCGCAGACCATCATAGAGATGGACAACGTGTTTGGCGGTCACTGTTTGCCAATTCGAAAGCGCAATAAGGTGACAAGTTCAGAATTTAAACGCGCTTGTAGTGGCGGACGGCCTTTCCACCGTTCCAGGTGTAGGTCTGCAAACACAAGGACATTCATTAATCACGTTTCCGTTTTAAAAAATTTTACAGTAGACTTACCAGGGTCAGACCATCATCACGGAATTCGTGATCAATGGTGGCGGTGAATCCGCTCTCCAAGGTCTGCTTCTGGACCAGACGGTCACCGTTCAAGGTGTAGGTGGCCTTGATGTTCTTGCCACTGGGGGTCTTCTCGTTGACCTCCTCGTTCAGCTTGAACTTGACGTCCTTGTTGATGACCTCGCTGGTGATCTTCATGGTGTACTCATCACCAGACTTGCTGAATTCGAGGGTGGGACGGAGCTGTTTGCCGATTTCTAAACATCACATTGAGAACAAGCTTATTTTGAGTGAATTCAAATCTCAACAACATTTGGTCGCTGCACTGCTTAATCGTTATAATTTACTTTTTATAAATATCAAGAAAAAACAGCGCTAACCGTTGACAGCGCCCATTATTTATGCAGAAGATAAAGTAGAAGGCATATTAAAATATTACGAAAAAATACTTATACTTAAAAAATTTTACTGGTACTCATGATCAGAGTAAACACACAATTACACATACCGATGTGCTCCTCGCTCAAACCGGTGGCACGGAGGTACTGTTCGAAGTTGCCATCGTCATTCTGGTATTCGTACTTTCCGGCGATTTTGGCCATTTTGTTGGGAGGAGTATTCGAAATAGCAGACAGTAAAATTCAAGAAAGTCAGGAGATGAAAGATACAGTCGCCCAGCCGAACAAGCGTATTTATACCCAGCTCTACCGGCAAATTTACACGTAACACAGATAAGACACACAAACAAGTCCAGTTATTTAAGTTGTCTGGCCTGGACGGCATTGTCCACAAGAAGATACACACACAACCACAGACGTTTCCAATAAGACCAATAGATTTTCATGCAAAACCGATAAAGGTCGCCTTCATTATCACAATTCACGCTATTCCAACAAATGTCTTTGGTAAAATGGATTTGTCAAAACAACACTGGAAACTCGATAAGATGCATGCGTAGGCCAACTTCCAACCTTCTTTTCTTGATAACGGTTGATACGATGCCCTATGCGTTATTTAAATAATTACGAAATTTAAGGAAACAGAGTGCGATAGGAAATTCGTCCGCGATACGGACTCACCTGCATAACCGAATGACACGCGTCCACATCAGCTTCTGGACCTTGACCTCCGCTTTTTATGCTTGTGGTCTTTCCTGTCAGATCTGCCGCTACGTCGGTCAGATTCGGACTCGCACCGCTTAGATTTCTTTTTATCTTTCTTTTTCTTCTTCCTTTTCTTGTCTTGCTTCGTTGACTCGTTATCGGAGCTTTCAGAATTCAGTAAGGCTTGTAACTGCTTAATGCGCTCTTCCTTCTGTTCTTTTTTTCGTTCCATCATAAACTCGTGCATGGGATCTTCATGACTCTGCGAAAACATAATAATATGCAACACTAATTTTTTCTCATATTAATTTTTTATCATTCCACGGTGTGCACAAAGATCATGGGAATCGATATAACATGCTAATTAGAATGCAATCTTTTACTTATCGTTAGATTCGATCGTCTGTTTCACGCATTAAGAAGTATGAACACGCGAGCATACATAGCGAAATTTCTCAATGTTCCTGTTGCCGGAATAAAACAGTGGGCATTCCTTATCTCCGGATCGGTGGCCATAATTTTTGCATTTCCAACCTACGATCGAAATACTTAAAGCACTTGTGTGCGTTACGTAACTTACGTTACTGTTACTGTAATAAGACCTTCTCTAGACCGCCCTAAAGAACACAAGACAGTCAGTCTGGGGGCACTTCTACATACTTTTGTAAAATCAGTAATTCCCGTACAGAAGCGCCTATACAAACAATTGCAGCCTATTTTCAATTATACAAACTTTTGCAGAATGCTATGAAAAAAATCGCACGTTTTCCACCAGATACGGCCTACATAAATTTACCTATTGTGGTACAGTACAGTACATCACAGTTCACAAACAGCATTCAGCAGTTACAAACTGTTAGCACAGTTACCCGCGAAAAAAATAATTACTATGTGTTCGCATACTATAGTTCTACAGGTGGAAATTCAACTCGAAAACTAGTGTATACTGATAAGGGATCACTTCACTCACACTGCATAACCTTTACCTCCTTTCCCAAAGGCATCTGGAAACAAAACCCAATTAGTCCATTCACTTTGTGCTAAAATTCTAGACAAATAGTGACTGGAACAAGTAAAATATTTTTCTTCAATTCATTAATCAGACGTGCATTCACTAATATTAAAATGCCAACTATTCAAATAATCAATTAAATAATATAAATATAAAAAATTAAATATAAAACATAACAGAAAAGCGGCGCAAAAAAAACTGCACAAGTTCTGCAATGCAACATAACATGATAACAAGCAAAACTTTAGAAATTTACTACATTAAACCCACAGCCCACAGGTACCACACAGCTAATCAGTACTCGAACTTAATTTTAAAATTAGTACTACAAGAACATGCAATAACGAACAAGGAAAAATTGTAAACATTGGTCATTGCACCATCAATTTGCAGGCAAACTTAAAACTGATCGGCTAATTCAGCTCATATAATACAGATATGGATACCTGTACATGTAGTCTGTAGACAACTAAAAACAAAGTAAGGCCTGAGCCAAATTTGAACACATTATTCTTAAATTTCAGGCGCTTATGCCTTCTCGTACCCACAACCCTTTACTTGGCGCACTTGCTAAAAACTCTCTGGCAGCTTGATTTTGTGGAAGATCGGGAATACAATCTTCCGGCCGCTCTTCATCTTCCCTGATAAAGCCAGGCGGAGGGGCCTCGTAGCTGAAATAAAAATGCAAATAAAATCGTACGTGATACTGAATATGCCATCACCGGAAATGTCCACAACTAAATTTATTACGTACAAGGTGTCAATATGCTTCAATGCTGCCACAAGACTCTGGTCAATGGAACTGGAGGAACTCTTCCCTGCTTTTCTAGAGGATTCTCCATCCCTGTCGTCCGCACTCCGCGACCGACTCTCATCCTCCCTCTTAGATCGATGCATTGGGAATTCAAAAGAACTATGGATAACAGAGCCGGCAAGACTGAAAGAGAAATAATAATATCACAGATCTGCAGTTTCGAGCAATAACCAAATCATTCAGTCTTGACTCTTGCCTAAAAAGTTAAAAACTGGTACTTACATTTTTAACGGTGAAACTTTTGTTGCACAAGTGTTAAAGAATGAAAAATTTGAAAAATTTTCGACTAGGGAGCGCTTGCGCTGCTGACAGCGCGAGCGCCCACGAGCGTTAGCTGCCTATAAAGCAAAGCACCGGAAGACGTCTACAGGAAAGTTGTGCCGAAAATCCTATTGAGTTGTTTTGGTTTATTCTAGCAAAATCTACAAGTATTTGTGGCAATAAGCAACGGTGGATTATTACAAAAAGTGACGAACAACTATTGCTGCGAAATGAGTTACCGCGGTCGACGATCCAAATTGACGGATGACAATGTTGAGCGATGAAAGAATTGTATCAGAATGGGGTAGCCCATCGCAACATTGCGAAGGAAAAGGGAATCTCCGAAACGAATATGCGGCGCATTATTAGTTCCCACGGTATTCCGAAACGTGAGCGGAAATTAGCGACTTTGTTGTCTCCTCAACAGGAAGATGAACTGGTCAAGTTTTTGGTGTCGCTGGGTCCTTTTGGGGGAAAATATGTAGCGCTCCGGAATTTGATGGAAGAATTCGCCCGTGAAAATGGTAAAATTAATTTCATCATATAATTCCACCAAATGTGGAGTTTTTTGCTTTTTGTCGCTTGTGTGCTCAAGTTGTGAATGCAACTTTGTTGATGTACGGCAGTATAGGCGTAAAAATCATTAGGCGATTATTATGATACGACTGCGCTTTGCAGACATGCAGTGCACATTCACATATTTCTGGCGCGATGGCTTCGTGCGACGGAATCGTCAGCGTCTGCCGGCTCACTTTATTAAGCTGCTCAGTCCCAGAGGAACATCTTTGACGAGCGGGTATGATGATGATTTGGACATCCTGAGGGCGATGAATTCCAGAAGGCGCCCCCGGAGGATATTAACCGAAGACGATGCGGGCGTAAAGGAGCCCAGCGTGTGGAAACAGAAGCCGAAGTTGAATGTCCACGAGCGCGCCGTCAAAGAGACACGGAAGGCGTTCATCCATGGCGGACTGACCAAGGAAGAGGCCAACGAACTTCTCGTGCGACTGCGAGTCGAAGGTGGGTTTTTGTGAAATATATAGTTCACGTTGCGGAGAGTATGAAATTCGCGATGATAAAATTGACATAGGTACTTGAAGTAAACATTTTCAGAGTAGTTAGCAGTTAAGGTCATTCCTTATTAGGAATTCCGCAGCCAGTAACCCCCGTGCCACAAATGTCCAGTGATATTCTGTGGGTTACCGCGATTAATAATATTTTCGGCGAGACATCCGGTGAACCGCAACCGACCTGTTCCACCCAGGAAGCAGTACCGGAAGCGATATTCCCTAATTTTCTTCTCAAGGCAAAGATACCGCCGACTGTAAAATTTGATGTGAACAGGAGAAGTCCGATGAAGAAGACAGCTTTCCAGGTCCAGGTTCTAGGTATAAATTATATTAGAACGATAGCAGATTATTTTGTTTTGTCTTAAAAACAGCTGATCTGGTTTAAAGAGAAAGCTTTTCAAAAAAGCACAACATGCGGTGATAAACGAGCCAAACGACTGGGACAGCTGCTGAATCTTTCTCCGACTCAAGTTATCCATTGGTAATTGGAAGCATCGTTTTGTGGTGAAACTTGTGACTTTATGCTGTTTTTGTATGAGGACGGGTGTTTGCATGCAGGTTTCATAATACTGCGCGTCAGAAACGGAAGATGGCGCAAAAGGCGGGTCCGGAAGGAGTAGTCGTACAAGATGCCATTTTGGAGGCGCAAGCTAGTCATGCCATGTTGGGTGGAGAGGAAGGAGCGCTGGATGGAGGCGAAACGATGCTAGAAAGCGGAGAACATTATACCATGGAGAAGATTAATCAGGAAACACCACAAGGGTTGGTTCTGGAAGGGTGATATTGCTGTGTTTGTGCGAGTTGCTGTGTAATACTGTACATAGATTTTATACTTGGGTAGTGATAAGAGATTTCTGTTAATAATGCCACAGTCAAACTTCTGGTAAGCTTGCCCCAAAAATGACGTGAAATTTCCTCAGCGATCTCTCTGTTTGTGATATGTACGGTATTGGGGCACAATCATTTAATGCAGTTGCATTTATCTATTTATAAATGACATTACAAGCTTGCAGTTATATTTTTGTGTCCAAAATAGGAAGTGCAGTTTTTATAATATCTGAAACGTAACTTAACGAAGAAGGAAGTCACGCTGGGTCGAGCGACTTCAGCGTTTTCTTAAGGATTACGTCACGCTTGGGTAGCAGAATAGCAGCTGGGCCGTAATGCATTAATCGTAAATTTTATTTTTTATCAGTATAAAAATTCGCTCTTGAGGCACAAGATCGCTCATCTCACAGAGTGTGGACTTCTACATTTAACAATCAGCAGTATAAAACATTTACAGGCGCCTGAAATGCTGCCTCATCGTCTTCCATTGCAACATGATTACGCTGACCAGCATGCACAGGCACAACAACAAGGAAACTGCTTAACCTAGAGTCTTCATTACTGCGACTCAGGCTAATCTTTTTGTGCTGCGAGTCTTCCGTGTTTCTGGAAAAATCCCTGCCATTAGATTTTCGTGCACCTTTGACTTTTTTCGCTGGCCTCGGTGCGCCATTTGTTGTACAATCGACCGGCTGGATTTTCGAGCTACTGGCACGGTTTTCCGAAACCGCAGCGGATTGGACAGCAGGCGAAGGAAAATTCTTCCCCAACCATTCAGAAACTTGCTCCAGTTTTTTATCCACATCTGGCGGACCCTTTGCAATTAATTTCATCCGTTTCCGTTCTCTGCGTTCCAGTTTCTTCAACTTTTTCTCTTCTTTTTGCTTTCTCTTTTTCTCTACTTTTCGTGTAGTTTTGAGCAACGCTTTCCGCAGTTCATCTTCTTTTTGAGACAGCATTTTTGAGAATTCGACTTCTTTCTGCAGCTCCTGCTGTCGCGCTTCCTCTTTTAGCCTTCTTTCCTCCTGTTCACGATGAATACGCTCTAATTCTGCTAATTCTTCCTCTCGTTTCTCCTGAAAACATGTTGACGCTTGCCAGCACAATCCACAAACCACGTTGTATGCAGCGACCACGTACCTTCAGCCGTTCCAGAAGTATGGATAACAGTCTAACGCTTTCCAGTTCGCGCTGAGCTATCAACAACTTTCTCTCCTCGACAGCTACTTCGTGTTGCCGCTTTCGTTCTTCTTCTTGTCTCTTCCTTTCTGCGGCTTTTCTCTGCTCCATTAGTCGTCGTTGCCGGCGCCGTTCTTCTCGGCGGCGCTTCTTTTCTTCTTTTCGGCCAATTCCTCAGCCTCTCTCTCTCTGAGTGACAAAACAACGGAATGCTGAAAAATCTGTGTGATAAATTGCTCTCTAAGTGTAAAGCTAAAAAAGTTATCAGTCTGTACGACTGTACTTAGCAGAATTTCTTAGATAGCATACCGGCAACCGTTTAAAAAAATAATATCATCAGTTTAGAGAGTAACATTAACAAACTAACAATCCCCATTCCCCACTATTATGCAAACGAAAACTCACGCCTCTAATATGCGTTTCTTCTCAGCTTCTTCCGCATCTTTTTTGGCTTTTTGCTCTTTGAGCTTTTCGAGTCGCAAATATTCCAGACGATCCTGCCGCCGCTTGCGAATATTTTTTTCGCTCATATGTTGAGTTTTGTCAAATTCCACCTAAGAAATCAGACTGCGTCAAAATACAAGCATATTACAAAACGGTAATCACTACGAACTACCGCCACAAATTTAGCCACATAACTTGCTGCGCATTATTGGTATCAAAACCAAGACTACTAGCTCTGAAAAAAATTCCAGATAAACTAAATTAATTTTCAAGGTAAGTCAGGCAACTCAAAAACTGCCTAATAAAAGCGTTAACGCCTGGACAAATTACCGAAAAACCATTGTCTACATTTTACATCCACGAGATTGCAGTAACAGCAGAAAAATAAATGCACATGACAAAATACAATTATTTCCTGCCACCTTCTTCAACTAAAACTTATCTTTCTCCTGCTGATAAATCCACAAACCGCAATGAGATCAAAAAGGATCCAACTGCACTGAGCTCGCTGTATCAAGTTATGCGGCGGTGGCCCATCAAAACAACACAAGCGTCAAATAACCTTGATATTGGCAGTAAATGCCTTCTCCTCGCTCTCTTTCCATAACAGCTTCATCCCGTATAACGCAGTGAGGCATTTAACAAAAGCATTGTATTCAGCATACTGGATAAAGGCATCAAAAACGAACTCATGTCCGAAACCTTTGAGCGTATTACTGGCAAGGAGAGACTGATTGCGCGATGGATCCAGCAGTGGCACATCGGCGGCGCGAATCTTACCAAATAGTCCGAATACTTCTTTCAATCGGTCCATGGATGGCTTATTGTTAACGTCTACACCCTTTTTATCCACCGGAACAAAGCTGTTCTCAGCTGGATCGGTCACCTCCGCGGCAGCGTCTGTGCTCGGGGGCGCCTTAGGCACGGAAGGATTATCGGGCTTCGGTTTGCTGAACCATTTGCAGGGCACATTGCGCAGGACAACAGTATCGGGCCGCTGTCCCGGCTTCAGTTCGTTGAGATTCTGTGCATCACGAAAAAATGCAGTCCAGTCATGCCGCTGAGGAAAATTTAACTTAGCTTCTGAGCAATGAATTCGTAATGTCTCCGAAAATCCGCTCAGTTTTATGGTCTGATCCTCCAACTGGTGCATCACTTTCAGAACCAGTTCTTTGTTGTCCAGTTCGCCTTCATATCGAATAACCTGCCAGAAACTTAACGATATGCAAAACGAAACTGCAAGCGCAAACTGAAGAGGCACGACAAACCATATAAACTGATGAAACTAAAATTTAATAACATACTACAAGTGAACGAACTACGAAGTCAGTTACGTGTGATTGCGAGATACGTTACGAGATAAAAAGATACCCGCCTAAAATTTAAAAATGATCGAATGATACAATATTATTAAGAAAAAACTGCAACTGACAATCGTAAGTCGTACTGTCGTACTTAACTTTCAATTAAGTAAAACAATTCACTTACAGTAAGTCTTATTAGCTTTTGAGTACTTGTAATAGCTTTGAGTAGTATTAGAAGTTTTTGGTTTGCGCAAAAATCTGTATTCAAAACTGCAAAAGTAAACGCTTAAGTTCTTAACTGCGATTAAGTAAACGCTTAATTGTTTGCTTAACTGAGTGCGTTTGCCCAAACATTCAAATAGTTTCCTTTAGATTACAAAATACCAGCGTGTCACAGTGACCACTCTCAGAAACTGTGCAAACACAAACCTCAAGGTTACTCGTTGTCACTTTCATCATACTGAAAACCATAGGCTTGGCAAGAGTTTTTATCTTCTCCATAACTTCCCAATTCGAGATGCTTTTTCCCACCGCTGAGGTTACTGAAGTTGCGGCCAAGGTTTTGGGAAGCTGAACGGCAATGCAAACCCGTGCTATAGGTTTCAGAAACAGCGACGGTTGAGCCAACTGCGTCACATCGGACAGGTCGGAGCATGGCTGAAGTGCCACAGCACCTGCCTGAAATAAACACAAGTTTGATACAAAACCAAATAAATGTATGTCGCAGAGTGCCATAAAACGAGCAACCGAAGCATACCATAGCAGCGCTGGAGCTTGCAGACTTAGCTATTAAAATCCCAGCCTTCGACTCTTCAGGAACTGCATTCGAACAAAGCCTATTTAAAATGCAAGAAGCTTAGAAGCCACACAGCGACTGATGTCCCCTCCTGTACCCAGTGACCACACTCAACAGAACCAGCATCATTAAACAGACAGCTCCTAATTTCTGGGCAGTTCTAATGCCAAGATGTATCAATTCCGGAATTTAAACCCGTTTCACTTCCTTCGGAAATTTTAAAAAAAAACTGATAAAAAGTACAAAAAGACAACACCATAAATTCTTACCAGCAGTTTGCTTGATTTTTCCTTTTTTTCGGTTTTGTACTTTTGTTTTGATTTTTGATCAGACAACAAGCGTATATGGGCAAGGCTTGGCCTTTACTACTCTATTAACTGCGACTTACGAGTACGTATGTATTTAAACGGCGTTTATTTTTTTACGACTTCCTAATTTTTTTCGTCAGCGTGTTACACTGTTACGGTTTACTATCTACATATCCACGAAGTCTATCAAAGATTAAGGATCTCTTTATGGATGCATGGTAAGAGATTCAAAACTGTATTTACTGGAATCGGGGGAAACCAGAGACAGAATGTTTCATTTGTGCGGCGCCGAAATGTTGAAGTTGAAATCAACGGGGCTACATGACACTGACGCACGATCAGCTGGTCTTGGCACCCTTCGATTAGACCAGCCGGGCAGTCGATCCTCTCCCGTTATCAGCATCACTCCGATAGCCGAACCAGAATCTCCGTCCTCGTTATCAGTTCAGGAACTCCGCAGCATTCTCATCCAGATCAGTCGTATTTTAGCGCCGCAAGGATTTGAAATCTATCCGTACCTAGTAGGTATGGATATGAGTCTAGGACAAATTATTTTTTTCATTTTTATCCTAACCACATTGGCATGATTGATAATTATTTTGATTCTCGCATTCGTCGACGATTGTACCAGTTTCAAAGATTTTATCTTGTCTTCTTATTTTAGGATGGTATAATAATGTTGTGGAGCCCCCGTTTTGTTTGCAATATGACAAAGATACGGTTGCGGTTCTGGTTATCAGCACGCCTTCCATGTTCGAGCGCACATTCATTCCCTTCATCTTAAACAACGATCTGAAAGATCTACGGGATCCCATTGATTTGTGTGTTATGAAATGCTTTAGCCGACTTCGGAAGGTGAACGATTATGACCCATTTTGTAGTAATTGTCATATGATGTATTATCATGTTTTGCCATTGTATTTGCGCTATTGCCTTGCGGGAATCCGAATAATTTGTATGTTCGGCAGTGGTTTTTTTTTGCTGTGTCTGGGGGTACTCTGAAATTAGCTAAATGGAAATAATTGCAGTGCAGCCTCAGGCCTTAGTTTTATGCGACAATTTGATTTTGTTTTCAATTGAAAAAGGATTGAAATAAATTTTTGCAGGGACTTGATAATTTGGATATGGACATCATTCATGATTTTGAACTCCATCCAAATCGACGACCAAAAATTCTTGCCCAGACTGCTGCACATGTGGCCGGTGCTGCATATTTGTACCAACCCAAACATTATCCCAGCGCATCGAAAAATCAAAAGGTAATAACTGCAACAATGATTAAAAGACCAAAGTAGTGGCGATAATTTGTGGGCTTCTTGTTTACAATTTTTAAGTTGGTGATAGTTTGCTCTGGGCGGTTATTGTTTTGGCGCATGCGCCGCGCCCAATTTTTGACAGCAAGGCGTGTGCAGTTGCGAATGTTGAAAAGGTGATGTTTTTTTATTATTGCATTACAGAAGTTGATGGGGGTATGCATGCATCCAAAACTCGGAGGCTGGTTCGCAATTCGCGGCTGCATTATTTTGAAAACAACTTTATGCAGAGATTTGCCCCGTCGTCCACCTGTTAACGTGATACGATCAGATATAGACGCACAAACTGCCATTGAATTGTTTAATTTTCACTGGCGGGATAGTCGCTTCCGGGATGTGATTCCGGTGGTGGAAAAGTATTCCGAAGATCAGCAGTTGTACTTTAACACTTCCCCTGGCAAACGCAAAGAACTGCTACCACTTTTAAAAGAAAAGTACAAGCATTTGGAAACTGAAGAGTAACTGCAATCTCAGCCGTCAGATAAAAAAATTTTGACATAGTTGATACGAGTCTATGACATGTCCAAGTCCAGGCATGTACGCAGTAGTATTGCGTTTGTTTATGCATTTATTGTGGAGTTATATTAACAGTAATATACAAAATAATAAAGATTTTGTGAATTAACTTTTTAACTAAAGAATTGGTCTTCACTCGGGGAACCTGGAATAAAAGAAAAATTCGAGGTGTACCACCTGATGGATGATGTACAGAGTCTGTATGCCATTGCACGTTTTTAATATTTGATAAACACTTGCTCAATCGAACGATCTTTATTTACGGTTGGTCATGTCCGGAAGCGCTTTCCGAATCTTTAAAAGCGGCACATAATCGCAAAACACTCGAAACAAACGTGATGCATAAATACGAGCGTAAAGCGTAACAAACAAAGATTTATCAAGGGGATTTTGCGCAATTCAGACGAAACTAATTTTTTGTTGTTTCTCTCTCCATTCTATGCACCGCTTGGTAGAGTACAGACTACAGATATAGCCTACTCAGCAAGATAAACAAAAAATATTTTGACAAAATAATAGAAATGTATGTACGACAGTGCGAGTACAATGCGAGATTGTCGAACTGTCTGCAAAAATGTTTATTACATAAATTGACCACACAGTGGCACACACCTACTGCTATAAGAGTACGTACTTGTGCATTAACAGTTGTAAGTACAGTACATAAATACTTAAAATTTTGCATCAGTTTTTTCTTTTCGGGTATATGTACTGGTATACTTCTGCTCACCATCAGTAGTGAAGTGGCTGGTGCACAGTGTACATTGATATAATACCGGTTGAGTCGTTGACCAAGGTCCACCCAATGATTCAAACAGTGTTTACGGTTAGATTGCAAAAGGCAAAATTAAGTAAGCATTTATATTAGATTATTTTATTGTATCTATATAAATAGATGTCAAAACGTATTAATTTTTTCTATAAATGCAACTGGCAGAAAATAATTAAGCGCAGCATTTATAATAATATTAGCAGTTAGTAACCGCTTAATATCTGTATGCAAAACAGGCGCTGTTTATAAGAATTTTATTTACAACATGATGAAATATACTCCTTGTAAGTAATATTCAAAGAATCGAAGAGTAGTAATACTTGTACTCTTCGATCTTCATACAAATTAGATCTTTGTGACCGTAGCCGGCTGATACGGTACTCGTACACTAAATTTGCGTAATCATGAATGTTATGATACTAGCCATGAGTTACGCCATAACGTTCGGAACTTCGGATGTAAGTATTTAAACTTTAATACCGCGTACCCATGTCCCATATCCTGCACTACTGTAGCATGCTTCAGAATCTTCCAGACATGCGTGATTTTAATATGGCCTTTCCTATTCACAATTACAAAAATTATGGCTTAATAACTCCGTAAGTGGAACCTTGATCCATAAAATAATGAGTAGGATGTTCTATTTTGCGAGATAACTGCAAAATTAGCTGGAATATGTAATAGGTTTAAATTTTATTATCAACGCTGGCGAGAATCGCTAGATTACCAACTAACAGAAGGTTTACATGCGACGCAACTTGGTTCCACCCATTTCTCATCTAACGACAACGTGCAACACTGTTTGTACACACTGCGCTTTGTTGCACGCCACGAGTTTGGGATAATTCTGGGAGCGGAAGTTTTTGCAACCGTAGAGTTATTATGGATTCCTTGATTCCTTCTGATTCTGCACAGAATGTGCTTTTGGAGGAAACACCTGATGAAATCGTTAACAGCCAGAATCTACTGCGTGAACTATGCAGCAGGCTTGACCATTCAGCATCCTCCAGGGCCCCCACCCAGTTTTCCAGATCACTGAAAACGAAGGAAATGCGCAAGCCCATCACGCTCATCGACTCGTCCGGACGTGAATACCTCATGAACCTAACACCAACTGACCTGCGAGATCTTCTAAAAAAGAGTATTCTAATTTCTGCCGCGGCAAAAGCCAATATACCCTTCCCTGAATGCAAGCCCAACGAAAAAGTTCACAATATCCCCCCTGCTCTCCCGGATTATCCCGAACCTGCTGCGCCACTCCCTGCGAATGGTAAGGGAGGTTTTTATAGCTGTTTTGCGTTTCGGAGTTTTGTTTCTTAAGTTTATGTTCGAATAATTTATATAATTTTTGTGTTCCCATGACTGTAACATATGGGAAGTAAGTTTTTTTTGCAAAGAAAATTATTTTTCTCGTCAAAATTTATTGTTTTAATCGAGATAGTTTTCTTGATTAAGAAATTGCTTCATTTGCGAAATGCATATCCAGAACTACTGAACTAAAATTTTATAACGGGAATTGGTGGCAGAAACTAAATGTCAGAAATGGCGATATGCAGATACTAATTTACAACGCTGGTTCAATTTCCTTATTTCCATAGTCCTTCCAGTATTTGCAGTTATGTGTTTGCACTCGGGCTTTCGGAAAATACGTAGACATTAAAATCAGAATATTTGCCGTAAACAATCAGAAGTTTTACAGGCAATTTTGAGCGCGGAACGCGAGTATCGTTCAATCCCGCAGAAGAAGAACTTCCTCCAACCCAGGAAGTCCATGTGAGTTCTACCTACTGGCCGGAAATCGCCACCCGCGAAGAACTTCGCGAACAAGCCAAAAACGATCCGTCGATGTGTGAGGAAATTTTGGCTGCATTGTGTTATGGCCCCTTCATGCACGACGGTAGTGTGGATTCCGATTCCCGCTTTGCCACGCCCGAACGAAACGGCAGCGAAGGTGACGGGTCTATCCCACAAGAAGACATCCGGCGGTACCATCAATGTCGGCATCCCAACTGCAACAAACTCTACTCCAAGAGTTCCCACCTTAAGGCGCATATGCGAACGCACACTGGCGAGAAGCCCTACAGCTGTAGCTGGCCATCTTGTACGTGGAAGTTTGCAAGATCGGATGAACTCACGCGACATTACCGTAAGTGGACGATTGTGTTTTGTCTACATGTTTATTCCTTCAGAATTATAATTTTTAAGCATTATCACGCCCACAAAGAGATCCTCCAAAACCTGAAGTTTTTTAAACCATAGGATGCTGAAAATATGGTTTATCCCAGCTATTATAGTTATGGAATGTTTAGTTATACACGTAATTCATATTTGCCAGAGCTCGCACCAATAATATATCTGCTCATACAGTATTGTGGAATATAATTATATTCTACTTGTATCTCTGCAGTTTTGTGAAGTATACAGTTATTTGAGTTTGAAATATTGTTGGATAAAGGATTGCGATTAAGCAGCATTTTAGTGGTACTTGCAGACGTTTCAGTTAATCGTTTGATATTTTTTAGGTAAACACACGGGTGATAAACCGTTCAAATGCCAGCAGTGCGATAGGGCCTTCTCTCGAAGTGACCATCTTAATTTGCATATGAAGCGCCATTAATGCGGGTGAAAAGGTTGTCGCATGGAGCTCACTAAGTCTAAAAGAGCCGCTACGCCTAAAGGATTTTTATTAATTTGGTAGTGATAGTTTTAATTTGTTTTTATTACTCGTCTAAGATTACCATATAATATTTGATTCTGTACGTCCAGATGTGCCGTGGCTAGTGATGCGCTGATCCATCTGTCGTTTTACTGGGAACTGTTTTTACAATTTTAGTTGTACATAAGTCTTGTGGTGTTTCCCGAAGATTTTAACAACCGGTTGTTATATTTTACCCGTGAGCTGCTACACAGTTCACAGTTACCGTCTCTTTGTTTAATATTCTTTTATTTGTTGACGATTTGGACGGTGAGTTTATGATTTCAGCTTATTTTACTAGAGTATAATTATGTGGCAGTTATGTGTTGGTTCATGGAATCGACAAACTTTCTTGTATAATATAAAGTTGCCATTATGTAATGCTTCAACTGTAATGCTTCAACTTTACGAAATGTGCCATGCGACTTTTCGGGAATATGGACTCGTTACACTAGTGTGCGATCGTACTGTATGTATCTACAGATAGACTTCAGCAAACCTACTGTAGTCAGTTTTTGTTAGATAAGCCGGACACGAGTGCAGGCATTGTGGATAAGCATACTTTATGGCGACCTTTATTGGCCATATCGGTACCATAGACAAGCTTGGCCTTCCAATAATACTCGGCCAGTCGTACTCTACATTATGCACGGGTAGGTATACACTATGCACCGGAAGCCCGCTGTGACGTCAGAAAACGACACCGTTGCAGACTTGCAGTACACACCAGACCATAACACTATCTCAGAGAATTAATGGTTCACTTTCAAGTTGCAAAGATATACAGTACGAAGTTTCAAGTTTTATTAAAAAAAATGTCCTCTTTCAGTCTTTCTGTGGTTAAAAACTTTGGACAAATTGATAATTTTTTATCCGAACTAAAGCTAAATAGCTAAGCTAAAGCTAAAGCTAAGCTAATTAGAGCTAAATGGCTAATGTATAATCAATTAATATTTAACGCACCCCCCTGTTTTAATAATCAGAAACCGACTTTCCCCTTATTAGAGATTACTGAACAGAATGACTCTTAGTTTTAAGGAAGAGTTGCTTACAGCTTCATCCGTTCCTACTCTCATTCCCGTTTATGATGCTCCTACGAATACTGAATTCTTCGATATCCAGGCGCAGCGGCAACCAGCCGTTCTCCGTGGTATTCCCATTGGCGCATGCGCGGAGAAGTGGACTGCAGCGTATTTGGCGCAACAAGTTGGACGGGATAAACCTGTGAGTGTGCACGAATCATCGAGTAATCGTCTGCGATTCCTAGACAAAAATTTTGTTTATCGCGTGATGCCGTTTGGAGCCTTTATCGACGCTGCTCTCACATCCAGCGAGGGTGACGCACAAAATAAATTCTATTACTACCGCGCACTGGCGGACGATGCCAGGAACGTGCCCAGTGATTTCCGTCGCGATTTTCCTAAATTAGCACTTGACTTTGTGCTCCCGGATTTTCTGGAGCCTGAAACCGTGTTTTCCTGTGTTTTGCGATGCGGTTCGGCCAATTTGGGATTGTGGTTGCATTATGATGTGCTCGACAACGTGCTCATACAGATCCGCGGACGAAAACGCGCAGTGCTTTTTGATCCCGAGGATTTTGATCATTTGTACATGCAAGGCGATAAATCACCCATCTTCGACGCGGAGAACGTGGATTTGGAGAGATTTCCCAAGTTTCGAAATGCGACCAAGTGGGTATGCACCCTGGAAGAAGGCGATATGCTTTTTATTCCTGCTTTCTGGATGCACTACATGGTCGCGGAGGAGTTCAGCATCGCCGTTAACGTCTTTTGGCACAATCTGCCAAAGGAATTGTACGATAGCAAAGACACGTAAGACAATTCCCAAATTCCCTTTTACAACTTTTCTGCTTTTAATGGCATGCATTATTTGCGTTGATTTCTCCATTGCCTCATATTTATGTGACATGACAATTATTATGTATTATCGAGAATTTATTATTTATGCTGGCATATTTTGATAATCTCTTGATATCTAAATTATTTTTAAAGGCAAATGCTGATTGACAAATTCACACTAAAATATATTAGTAATTTTAAGAAATATGCACCTTTGTTTTTATGTATAGCATTCTGCAGTTGGTAATCTGCGTATTAACAGTGGTCGCATTTTTAGGTATGGGAACAAAGAATTACTGCCATACTTCCGTGCATCTCAGGGTCTGGATCGAGCGCTAAAACAGTTGGAAAATTTACCCCGTGAATATAGAAGATTCTATGCCAGAATGCTTAAAGCGAAGCTGGACAAATACTTAACCGACTCCGCATCGGAGAGTCCTAAAAGTTGATAGTTGTGATATTGTGATCGTTCCTTTCGAAACCCGCGTTTACGCTGTGGTGTTGCAAGTGCGCTCTTTAATTTTTGGCAGCGCATTTTTTACACTAAGTCTCGAAGACTTGATGGATGCATGGAATAAATCAATTCAGAAGATTTTTAATGTGGTTGCAAGCTGCTTCGGTTTAATTTTTTTGAAATCAGTGTGCGACTCAATCCAGTCGTGCACGGTTCACGCGCCGCAGGGCAGAAATGAGCCATTCCGCTGTTTTTACCGGTTTACACATATAAAATGGCCTTGAGCACCTGGTAGATTTTACGAATCGGAGCAAAATTTTGCACCAATTTAGTGCTGCGCTGCTCTGGTGAAGAACGGGTCAGTTTCGTGCATCGTTTCGATTATCGCCCTAATACCTCTTCTTTACGATGTCCAACGAACTGAACGGTTCGCCCCGGTATCCAATTCCGGAAAAGCTCCCGAAGCCGTACGACATCTCGTACCACGACCCAAAATTTCTGTAAGTTGGCACCTTGTATTCAGTTACGTGTAATAAGAATTACGAAAAATAACGCCAGTGCCCTACTTTGCAGGAAAAATTACAAAGGATGCTTCGTGGAATATCCGAAATATTTGACCTTAGACGATGTGGAAACCTTTGAAGCGTCTCCGCTGGACACTCCAGTTTGCTCATTTCCTAAGACTGGTGCGGTGTTCCATAAAAAAATTAAAAGCCTGCTACGATCCATTTATAACTTTGATTCCTTACGTGACCCTGCAGTTTTTTAAAATTTCTTTTTTTGCGCTAATTAGATGAACATGTACAGATGCTCTAAAAATTTGGATCTGAATCGGCATCTGACCGTCACTTTTGCTTTGCCTAATCGGTGTTGGTGTTTCAAATATTACAGGGACCACTTGGATGAACGCTATCATCGTCGGCATCAATGCAAAAGGTGACCGGAATTGTTTTTACGACGCGCCACTGGAAATGAAGAGTCCATTTCTGTGCCGCTGCGAACCAGAGCAGCCGGTAGGCACTCGAGCAATCGACATTCTGAAGAAGAAGCCTCCGGGCAGGACTTTCTTCACCCATTTGGCTTACCAAGCGCTACCTGAATCGATCATCCGAGCCGGTGCCAAGGTGATTCATCATGAACTATTTTTATGTTATACTGGTTTGATTAAAAATTTATTCGTTATGACACTATTGTCGTAGGGTCATAAGGAAGAAGCTTTAATCAAACCAGTATGGAAAGACATAAGTTATGTCTTTTTCATATTTTATTGGGAACTGTAATTTTTGCGTTCAGCGTATCGAACATACCCTATATACTTTCCATTTAGTACATTTCAAACTGTCTTGTCTTATTCGGAAACTTAAGGATTTATCCGACGGGTGAGAATTAATTTTATCGTAATCCCGTTTAAAATTTGTAGCTTCAAGTTGCTTTTCATCGTGTTGTAGAAAGTGTACATTTGGCGCAATCCGAAAGACACCATGGTTGCCCTGTACCATTTTCTCCAAATTCAGCGCCGCATCGGATTTCATGGTGATTTAAATGAAGTTGTTGATTCATTCATTAGCGATCACGTCGAATTTGGCCCGTTCTTTGATCACATCGCCAGTTTCTGGAGCCGTCGCCACGAAGATCCGAACATCTTCTTCTGTTCTTTTGAGCAACTGAAAAAGGTCAGAACGCTGTATTGTTGCAGAATGCAAATAGTTGTCTTCCGTGTCTACATTTTGTGATTAGCAATGTTGTATCCGTAATGGTAAGAAACAATGTTTTTTCTGTGTTTTAGAACTTTGAACCGGTGGTGTCTCGCTTGGCGGAATACCTTGACAAGCCGCTTACTCATGAACAGATCCAGGTTATCAAGGAGGAAACCGACTTCCCCAAATTTCAAGCTAACCTAATGCTCAACAAGTACAAAGCTCATGAGTTGGGATTTTTGGATTTCAACAAATTCCCTTTCATTCGTGATGGTATATTGCTGCATTTTGATGTGGGTAGTTAAGAATGGGATACACAGTTGAGTATCGTTGCAGGTGGCACTGGCCAGTGGAAGAAATGTTTCACACCGGAAATGAACAAGAAAGTCGACGCCTGGGTGGAGAAAAATCTTCAGCGACCAGAAATGAAAGATTTCCCCGGCTTTGAGTATGAATGAATTACCGAAGATCTTTTGCTTTTTTCTGTTGTCTTTTGGTGGACGCTTCTAGTTTTCGGTGAATTCTGCTATGTGCTTTTAGAAATAGTTGCGTAAAAATAGTAAATCGTCTACTTTTAGATGTGCTTCGTTTGTGGCGCAGTTTTTCGTTTAGATTAATAGGAATTAAAACTCATGAAATTTAAATCAGTCTTCTGATAATATTTATTTGCTTCGACAGGGTAAAGGCTTTAAGTAACTCCCAGCAGCCGGCAAAAATTAAGTTAATTAGATGAATATTTATGGGACACAAATATAAATAGTAAATACTAAATACTGTATGCAAGCCCAGATAAGCACTTTTGTTGTAAAATTCGGATGCGGAACCAACTAAGCATAGGATAAAACAGGCGGTATTAGTTGTCGGTGACGTAGTACAAATCGTTGCGAGCCTGTGCAAGGGGGGCATGCACAGTTCTTTTAGGGGCATATGTATTATTAGTAGGTTGCCGCAGAAGTGCCTCGTTGTGTTACGCGTTCTCGTCCGCGCTTACCATGAGTTACCGTGTCAGTTGAAAAACGAAAACGTTTTGGAAAAAATTTACGAGCAATTTAAATTTATGTTTTTTATAAGTTTCTTCCTGCGCCCCTGTCCATTCACAGAACTGATTTTTTTCACTGCAGCGTTTTACAAAATGCATCAATTCTTTGGGCCGAGAGTGCTCAAATCTCACCACTGCTGATGACCAGCAATCAGTAAGGCAACCTGCGATTCGACTTTGGCTGAGTGTGATGCGTGCAGGAATGAATTCATGTCGGTTTGCCAGGAGTACGATTACAACGGCGCGTCGTGGAGCTTAACTGTCGCCCATTGTTACGAGAATTTTCAGGTAAAGTAAGTAATAATGATGAGGATAAGTGCACCAGTTTGCCCACATGCGGAATACTCTTTGGTTGTGTACTTGCGAAGAATTAATATTACTCATATCCAGGCACTATTAGAGACCCGTGGTTCTACTCTAACAGTTTATCAGTCATGGTTTAAATTCGTTCATAGTGGTGAATGAAGAAGAGTAGTGGCCTGTTAATGAAATGTTTTCTGAATAATCATTATCTCTTCGCATGCCATAATATTGTTGTTAGTGTGATCCCAGGCAGAGACCCAAGCAGACGCAGTGCGCGTTTAGTTTCTCAGTAATTCTTCGGAATTTTGTTAATCTGAATGTTTACTGTCGTAGGTCTATGGGAAATGAATTCTCCCAGGCGCTCGCAGAGGGTTCTAGCCTTGGGAAGAGGCTCCGTCCTTCCTCTGGCCGTCGCCGTTCCTAAGCGCAGAAAGTTCGCTGTCCATCGCAGTCCCAACGACAATCTTAATGGCAATGGCGTCGAAGAGGAAAGCGCCAGCAGCGCTCGTTCATCGAGAAAAAGACGCTACCGCTCTCCGAATAATGCTGAAATAACCAGCGAGACAAAGCAGTTGGAAAACTGCGAAAGCAAACAGACATCGCGGAAGAAAAGTAAGCATTTGGAAAGAGCGGGAAATTTTCGTTTTAAAATTTAAAAAGATTTAATTTTTCTGGATTTTTCGTTTACTTGAAATTTCTTTAAAAAGTTTTAAAAAGATTTTAGATAGGCCTTAATTATTTCTTAATTATGCGCACCCTTCATCAGCTACATACCTTTTTTTATTGAAAATCAATTTTTGTTGTCTTTTTTAATATTCGTTCTCAGGCGGTTCGCTTTTTGTAATCGTACATCCTTATTCAGTTTTGTTTTTTTTAGCAGCGGAGAATACAGCGTCAAGCACTTTCGTGGAATTGGCTCCTGATAAGACAGAGAATAACGAACCTCGTGGTACAAAAATTCGGAATAAATTTCCCACGCCAGTTCGACGAAGTACCCGAACTGCCCAGCCTACGCTAAAAGCCTTGGAAGGATTCGCAAGGCTTCCTCCGCGCTCTAAACGGGGTCAGCAACGTGCTTCTGATTCGATGCCTTCGTCCTCAACAGTTGTAGCTGTGATTGCGCCGTCGATACAGCTTCATAGTTGGGCGGCTTCGGTACCAAGTGTTCCTTCGTGTTTGCTGAAAAAACACAAACCCAGTGTGATCCAGCATAATTCCTCAGCGTCAGTAGTGGGTTCCAAAAGAAAGCGAAAGCGGAATGCCGCATCTAATAGGGAACACAGCGTCCCTGCTATATCCCATACTGCATTGGAAGCCTATGATAGCGATCTGCCGAATTCGAGCGAAACTCAAAATATGACTGAATCCACGGTGAATGGTGTGCATGCAACTGTAGCAGTGGAAGATGCTGCGCAATCGAATATTCCGCTTACGGACGGTATCCTGTCAGTTCGTGCGAAGAAAACGATAAAACCCAAACCAATCAAAGGAAGTGCGGCAAAGAAAACATCAATCGCGAAGGCAAAAGCGGTTTCGGCTGTTAGTATCGAGGTTGGGAATGTCGATCTGCCGACTCTTCCACCGGAAATGGATAGCCATATTCAGATATCAGCAGAAACTAATAAACCTCTAGCTGTTGCAACAAGCTCGGAAGGGCCGCCAAATCGACGCAAAACTCAACGAAGTTCTCGTCCGAGTAGATTACTAGTCGGTGGAAGTGCCTCGAATTCGATTTCTCATTATATTGCAACGAAAAGGAAAAGGCAATCTGCTTCGACTCGTGCCAGAAATCCACAGACAATTCTGATACAGCCAGCTGGAAGTAGTCAGGACGGGCTCAAAAGCGATGTTATTCCACCGAGTACAGCAGTGGAGGCAGAAATTACGCATTCTTCTGTGGAAATGGATGCAATGAACATGAACACCCAAACAATACCCAAGCAGTTTCGAATCACAACTCCAAGACGCCGATCGAAGAAATCGGGAAACAGTGTGTTACCTGCCCAGCCAGGGGAAGTAATTCCAGTGGAGAAGATAGATCGTCGAAAATCTAGTGAACTGGATATTTCTCTGAGTCAGAGTTTTATTCTGCCATCCCAGGTATTAAAATTTTTTTATTGCCTTTGCAATGTTTTGCTCTATAGACTAGAGTGTGAGTACACTTATTTCTTCGGCTGCGCTCCGTATAATAGGCAGTCTGCAATAGTGCCCTGCAACGGAGTCGAAAACTTCGTCCAGTCCGATCCGAACTAATAAATTTTTCTCCGAACCCAGTCCGACTCCGAATTTTCAAAATCATACTCCGACCACTCCGATCCGTAAATATTTTTTGCAAATCCGAATCCAGTCCGATCCGCTCCGAAAATTTTTGTCATATTTATTTTTTATCTCATTCCAGAAAAATCTATAATACCTATACTATCCGCTGCAACAATTAAAGATAGCGCACGCCAAGTTGTCATCAAAATTCTCAGTTTTCAAAATCTTCAGAACGTTTGTTTAATTTTTATGTAATCTCGCTTTAAATTTTGCGTCGTTTTAGCCATAGATTGCTCATACCTGAGCGTTTTTCGAGTGCGAGTTCCGAAAATTTCGATATTTTTGCCATCGCAAAAACCACAGTTTCTTGCTGTTGCTTTCACGTGTCAGTGACATCTCTTTTAGTTCTCAACATAAAAACTCATAAAAGTTGAAATTCGGATTTCTTTTTTTGATTGAACAAGCTTCGCCTCTAACAAAGGGCACAGAGTAACAGAAGTTAACGTAACAGAAGTAGCTACGTTTAGTGTTTTACCAAGTCACACTGAAGCCTCGCGCGGAGCGCGAAGCTTACGATGCTTTTTGTCCTAAAAATTATGGTAATTCTATAAAAATTAGTTGAAAATATAATTTTATTTCGGATAATTCGGATTCATAATTAGATCCGAATCCGATCCATTCAGGCAAGCCTAAACTCCGAAACCACTCCGATCCGAATTTTTTTAAAACAAATCCGTCCAATCCGCTCCGAAAATCGGAGTGGATTCGGAGCGGTTCGGATTTACCAGTCCGTTGCAGGGCTCTAGTCTGCAATGCAATTAATGAAATTATGACCATACGAATTATTTTGTCCGTGATTTTCCTGCTTAGGTACCTACAAAGTACAGATTTCGACTTTCTCCTATTTTATACGTGATAATATTTTGGGAACTTTAATTTTTTAGCAACTGCGGGATGCACGATCTCGTAGCAAACTGTCTTCGAAAAGCAGTGGTTCCCGTTTAGACAGTGTCCATGCCATTTTTATGGTGGATACACAACCGGTATCTGCTTACAAGAGATCCAAACGGAAGAACAGCGGTGTTGATGAGGAAGTGGAGTGGTTCTCTTTGGACGAGACATCGCTGGACGGTACGATCGTATCGCCAGCTCGGATTTCCTACCGTCCAAAAGACCATGCTATACTGGATACTATAGATGAAATTGCCGAGCTGCCGGTATTGCCGGTAAAAATGTCGATTTTATTACTAGCTTTATAATTCTGTATAAGTGACAGTGTATACCATTTGCAGCTTGTGATCGGCGATGCGGATGTGCAAGTGCAGCCTACTGTCGAAGTTTTAGCAGACGTGGGATCTCCACCGGATTTATCGCGCCAAACAAGTACCGGCAGCGCCCTGGAGGAGGTTGCGTCCCCCACTGCTGATCGTTTTCTGTCACCGGTGACCAGTGACTTTTCTGGTGATTCCTGGCATTCCGCGATGGATGTTTTCGAAAACGAACATCCGGTACCTGGTAACTACAAAAACTCAGAGAAAGGAAGCGGATCCGTGTGCTGACAGAGGATTAAAGTCTTCCTGTCTAACACCTTCCCGTATTTCCCCAACGCAGCAGGATCTCGACTAGATTTGCGGACGATTTTGGCGTTGATTGAGTTAAATTTATCGTTTGTGGATCGTTTGTGGATTTTATAACATTCCGTACAAACTTGCTTTTGTAGTTGAATCTTTTGGATGGGGTAAATTCCTTTTCGTTTGTAATTTGACAAGCTCCATACTTGACAGAATATGTTATGTGATTTATTTGGATACTTTTAGCTTTCTCCCAGCAATGTTTTGGAGAATTCTGTGTCGACTTCCAGCCAAGCTGTCACTTCAACGCCAGATTCACAGAACGAATCATCTTCAATTGTTACTCAGCAGTTCGAGTTTTTGTCCAGTCTACCTTCTGTGAGTCTTTGCCGTTTCGTGAAATGTTGAGACTGAAATGGTTTTTTGAAGGTAACCTTTGCACATTTACAGCTCAGCCAAATCAGCAGTCCTTTGGCCCATTCCACTCCTGTTCCCAGTGGGACCGGCAGTAGTGAGATTATACCAGATAATGCTGCACACGCTGCTTCAAGCAGTAGCCTTCCTTCGACAGATTTATCTCCCGAGGAGCGGAACAATCCCGATGTTCCCGAGCGGCCTGTTACTCCAGAAGGCAGTGGTATCTTGGAAGTCGATGCCGGCGCACAGACCGTCTGCTCACCGAAGCGACCATATTGCCTGGAACCGGATCTCTGTGCACCTATCGAGGAATCTTGCAGTTTAATCCGGAGTACGGATTCCTTGCGTGTCAAACTGTAAGCGTTCTCGTAAGATGGACGTTTTCTAAGCTCGCTCTGCGTATACAGTAGATTTGCACGACCCATCTAGTGAAATGTAACTCATGCGTGTATATGAGCGTTTTTTTGTTTCTTTAGCACCAATGGAGATACCGCAGTTGTTTCCCGATCAAAACTGAAAGACAATGTGGTTTACCAGCAGATGCTGATTGATTACTACTCTAAGGCATACGCATCCCGTGAAATGCCGGTGACCTCGTCGGACGCGAATGCGTAATGCGATTGTGGGGGGTTAGTGAGGTGTTTTTTATTTGTGAGGCCAATGGTGGTGTGGGTAGCTTTTGTAGTTTGCATTTGTTTGATAACGGCGCAGATTCGAGTTGTGCTCGAGCTTGCACTTCGAGTTGTTCTGTTGTATTTTGTAGCGGTATCGGTATTCTCCTTGTTTGATTTTTTGCCTGATGATGTATTTTTTACTTGGCGATCTTCCTTGTTAAGTTATGATCTTCTGTTAATTGAGGATTTTCTTTGTTGTGCAATTGTGATTTACATAAAATGTACATACTTTTCCCGCTTTCTGCATTTCTGCAGTAGTAAGATCGCACTCATAAACAAGTTGAGTGTTTGGCAGCCTATCGCTGATCTTTCGTTTGAGGTTGCATTTTTTGAAAACCTTATTGTTTATGATGCATGTTATCCGAAAATAGTACAGACAGAGTAGATAATAACGAAGCAACATAAGAAAAAACTAATGCTCTGAGAAGAAGTTTAAGACACTTCAAGTTACGTGCGTAGGAATTACTACTTATCGTTAGTACTTACGTACGTAATTTTCTTTAATTTTACGGTTAATGGTGTTGTGGTTTACCAGCATCTTCGTACGTGGTGTCTCCCAAAAGAGACAACTGTGCACGAGAGTTTTTAAAGCTTTAACATGTAGAGTAGCTCACGTTGTTGTTCTTGTGTAGTCAGTTTAACGTCTGTAACGACCAGATGAAACCTGCACTTACCTGGCTGCAAATAACATTCAGAATCAGCTGCCACAGTGTATAAAGGACAACTACGCACAAAATTCTTCGAGGTATCGCAATTTTGGAGCAAGTTCCATCATTAAGTAACTTGTTCCCAAATTGGAAAACGCATGTCTTGACTTACTGTAAGTACCGGTACATCCCTTTAAATATGGAACTGACCTGTCATATTTTGTATAGTGTCTGAATGTACGTATATAGTGTCTGAATGTTTGTATAGTGTCTGAATCAGTGAATCCGGTGGATGTTTTCCAGGCTTAATTCTGCTTCTGTTTTCCCTGCATTGAGTGATTTGAGTCAGTTTACTGTATATACAGCGTTCCGTGGCCGGTTGTGTATTATTACTGACCAGAAAATGTGCGTAGTTATCACCGGCCAGCTGGTAGAAAATGAATCTTTATTGGTAGAAGTAGATATTGCTGTGGAGGGTAGTGGAAACATACGCTACTTAACTGACCCGACCCTTCGACAATAATTATTACTGGCGACTTCTTTATGTAGCCGCAAGCTTTAAGTAAACGCCTTTGGGGTTGTTAAGTACTTGTTGGCGCAAAAGCAAAGAAAATCGTTTTGATTAAATTGTATTTCCCTTATATCCAATCTACAGAGTATACAACGTACTGTACTTACTTGTTAGCGAACGAAAGCGGTGCACTCTGACTGACCAAAGGTCGGTCTGGTCGTCCTTTCCAGCCGTAGCAGCATGCACAGCATCACTTTTTGCCCTAAAGTGGCACGACTGAACTTCGCTCGAACTGAGATGGCTTACTTATGTTATCTGCAAAGGTATCTCAGAATATCAGTATAATGTATATGATAATATAATGCTTTTTTCGCTCAAGTTAATATTTATTCTCGCAGTTTTTTTCCACTACAACAAGATCTGCAGTAAGCGTTTATTAAGCTCCCCCTTGAGTAGGAGCAGTCTAACTGGAAAATGAGTGTTCGTGATCCTGACTACGAATCTGGACTGCGCGAAGAATGCGCTGTGTTTGGGTGCGTTGCAGCAGGACCGTGGCCTGCCACAGGAGAGCATGCCAAATTGAAGGTCCATGTAGCTGAAACAATCATCAATGGTCTAGTGGGACTGCAGCATCGGTAAGAAACTTACATTTGTTAGCAGCAAGTCCGTAAATTAAAAATCCATTTCATTTAGCAACCGATTTTCTTATTTCTGATGTTGCCCAGCACAAGGTTTAATTAACTTGACACTAGTGACTAGGGTTTTCAGCACAAATGCTCATGATAATTTTCATCATTATGGATATTCGTAGTATTCTGTTTGCAACTAAGAAATAATGATAGTAAGAAAACTTAATAATAACTTGAAGCACCCTTTATATATAATGATAAATCTAGGCTTCTAAAATCGTGATTTTGTATTTTTAATGCGATAATTAGGGAAATTTTTGAACGCATATCTACGTATATACCGTACAGTGCATTGATAGTGCCCTGCAACGGAGTCGAAAACTTCGTCCAGTCCGATCCGAACTAATAAATTTTTCTCCAGACCGTCCGACGAATTTTCAAAATCATACTCCGACCACTCCGATCCGTAAATATAAATCCGAATCCAGTCCGATCCGCTCCGAAAATTTTTGTCATATTTATTTTTTATCTCATTCCAGAAAAATCTATAATACCTATACTATCCGCTGCAACAATTAAAGATAGCGCACAAGTTGTCATCAAAATTCTCAGTTTTCAAAATCTTCAGAACGTTTGTTTAATTTTTATAATCTCGCTTTGGTACCTTATAGTCGTTTTAGCCATAGATTGCTCATACCTGAGCGTTTTTCGAGTGCGAGTTCCGAAAATTTCGATATTTTGCCATCGCAAAACCACAGTTTCTTGCTGTTGCTTTCACGTGTCAGTGACATCTCTTTTAGTTCTCAACATAAAAACTCATAAAAGTTGAAATTCGGATTTCTTTTTGACGTTGAACAAGCTTCGCCTCTAACAAAGGGCACAGAGTAACAGAAGTTAACGGCAAAGTAGCTACGTTTAGTGTTTTACCAAGTCACACTGAAGCCTCGCGCGGAGCGCGAAGCTTACGATGCTTTTTGTCCTAAAAATTATGGTAATTCTATAAAAATTAGTTGAAAATATAATTTTATTTCGGATAATTCGGATTCATAATTAGATCCGAATCCGATCCATTCAGGCAAGCCTAAACTCCGAAACCACTCCGATCCGAATTTTTTTAAAACAAATCCGTCCAATCCGCTCCGAAAATCGGAGTGGATTCGGAGCGGTTCGGATTTACCAGTCCGTTGCAGGGCTCTACAGTGCAACACTCCTGCGGCAGTACTTCGCATGAGTTTCTACTATCTGGAAGTGGGCTGCACTTAACAATTTTCTATCAAGTAAATTAAAAATTGGCAGGATGTTAGTTAGTTCAAAGTTTTAACAAATTAATGTTTATTAGTATAATAGGATACATAATGTATTAACGTTGAATGTATTAAAGTTTTATTTTTTTCATCTTTTTATGTTTTTGAAATACTGTTTTCCTTTAGCGGACAGGAAAGCTCGGGCGTCGTGGTGGCCACTGGCTCCGGCAACGATCCGCTGAAATGCCATCGCGGTATGGGCTTGGTGAGCGCGGTGTACCGCGACGAGGATGTACGCCATCTGGAAGGCAATCTGGGCATCGGCCACAACCGCTACTCCACCGCCGGTCGGTCCCATCTGGTCAACTGTCAGCCGCTGACCCTGGAAGGCTCCCACGGACACATGGCCATTGCCCATAACGGCGAGATTGTTAATGCCGAAGCGCTGCGTCATGAAGTTTGTGCAACTTTTTTTTTCCGAAGTGGACTGTGTGTACTTGATGTATTGGGATATGTAACGGCTTGTGTGATCTGCAGCTGTTTCTCCATGGCACGGCATTCTCCAGCGAGTCCGATACGGAACTTTTGCTGCGAGCTCTACTGCTGTTGCACAAGGATTCTTTGTTTGGTTCGCGCAATTCCCGGCGCGGATCAAACAATTCGGACGACAGTCCGTCTGATTCTGGCCGAGCAATGATGGTATCGACTACTTCTACCAATGATCTCGCTTTTTCTTGGAGTAGTTGTTAACCTTTGGCTTTTGAACGTTATATGCTACTACGTACTGTACTTTGTAAAAACATGTCTTGAGTAGTCAAATTAATCTCAAATTTACCAATTTTAAGCGGGACATACTACTCTAGCAGGTGGTAACATCTTGCTTAATCACGCGTTTGGACTGGTTGTGAAGTTTGACCAGTGTCCTTACTTTGTAGTCACCTTCGGAGAAAATGTCACCACCAGACTGGCCACGACGTTTGGCCGAATTGATGCGCATGTTTCCGTTGGCGTACTCCTTCCTGTTTCTCAACGGGGACGCTATATATGCGGTACGAGACTGCTTCGGAAATCGTCCACTAGTTCTGGGAAAAATATCTTCCGAAAATAACCCAAGCAGTGGTAAGTACGAGTAGTTATGGAACTACGAATTTAGTTATGGAACTACAAATTTTTTCGTAGTTGTTATACGAGGCAAGGCAATAACGCGCGCTTTAATTAATGATCCTAACTGCAGGACCATATCAAGCTGATGCATGGATTGTGGCATCGGAGTCCTGCTGTTTTAAAAATGTGCCGCATTGCAAACTTGTTCGGGAAGTCTACCCGGGAGAAGTGGTCAAGATCACCAAAGACGGCTTTAGTACGGTGGCACGCGTTGAACCTCCGGAACGCACTCCCTTAAAAAACGGGGTGGAACTGCCGGAACCCGTGGTCCCAAATAAACCAAAGGCCACAGCGTTCTGCCTTTTTGAATATGTTTACTTTGCCCGCGGGGATTCGTATTTTGAAGGTATGTTGGAAAGGCAGTGAAATAAATAATAAAATTGAGATGCAGATTATAAAGTTACTGAAAACAGTAAAACAGCCATATTTGGTGGCGAAAAACGAATTCTTAACATAACGGTTAATAAAGTAGAAGTTCACCAGTTTTAGTACGAGTAGAGAGAAGTAAGGTTTGGCGAAATGCATCTTCACCAAATTTCTAGTGAACACTGTACGGTACTTATTTAAAGCCTTCAAGAAGCTGAACTGAGTGAACTCCATATTTCTAGGTTAAAACAATCAGGTTCTAAGTATTAGGACATTTTACTACGGTTTGTAGTTACGTGTGTAAAATAGGCTTTCATCCCGACCCGCTCAGAAATTTTATTTACGTAACTGTACCCGTTCCTGCTTACGTGCACGCTCTCGATTACATATGCGCAGTTCAACCACATTTCGTACGTTAGACGTATCCAGGCCAGGGTAAGCGGAGGTCAGGCTACTTTACAACTTTCTCAATAAAATTGTTTCATTTTTAGAATATGGGGAAGCATTAATTGCGATTCAGCGTATGCTATAATTGACGTTAATCCCAACAATAAGCTCGCTGTGGTAATTGTATTTCGTGGCAGAATGGATTTTTCTAGGCCAGTTAGGGAAGAGAAATGATTGTGTGCTCAGTATTAGATCGGGAAGTGGATAACTGGATATCATCATCCAGGCTAATTCTGAAGCAATAATCCCGGATGGAAGGTTAACGCGCATGACGTTAATTTCGATAATGGGTATTTTTAGTCTGCGGTTGTTATCTAGAGCAGCCGCCCCCAGAAAAACACAGCCATCCTCGGCAGCAAATAATTTCACTGGAGTTGTTGTCGTTTTTCTGGCTGTTTTTAATAACGCTAATGAGGCAGTAGGCAAATTGCTAGCCATTACACCTATTATCCAACTCAAAATGTCGGTCATTGCCTGTACCCCGCGTAAAGTGTTTTTTTTTTATCGGAAAATACTACTATTTGCAGAATCAGTAATCAACCTAAAACATTAGCTAATTTTTCGCTTTGTAGGAACTGTTTTGTTGTCAAAACAGTCTGAGATCGTTAGCTTATGTACGATACGACATTATGCTGCTGAAACAGTAGGTGCGAACAATGCGATTGTTCACCTTGAAACGTTAGCACTGTAACAATAAGATTAAACTGTACATATTACATAACATTCTGTGTTAACAGAATAGTTATTGTGGCTTACGTGCAGTACTGATAGGCTGATAGTTACTAGTATGTTATTGAAATATTAACTACGATCTTCAGTATTGCGTTTCTACATTTCGTGTGGTCGGTGAATGAATGAAAATCGGTGAATGAATGAAAATACTCGTAATTAGAATAGAAAAAATTATAATGATAGTATACTTGTATACCTACTGTAATACTGCAGTGACTGTATGTGTAGTCTGCAAATTTTGCGTAAGCTGAACCAGCTGTTTATTTATCGTAAATAGTGGAAGAAATGTACCCTTGAAGTTAAATTTGCGCTTTGTTAGTCTCATTGTCTCAAATGTCAACAGGACAACAAGTTTACGGCGTGCGTGAACGATGTGGTCGACGCTTGGCCAAAGAATCCCATGTGGATGCTGACATTGTCAGTAATGTACCGGATTCTTCACGACCCGCTGCACTTGGATTTTCAAAAGAGGTACGTAACCCACACCTTTTTTGCTGAGCCAATGAGGCGTTAAGTCATAACATATTTTTAACATGCAGAGTGGAATCGAGTACAGTGAGGTATTTCTGAGAAATCCTTACATTGGCCGCACGTTCATCCAGCCAACCAATACCGAACGCCAGTCGGCAGTATTCAAAAAATTTGGTGAATTATCAGCCAATTATGCCGGAAAGCGGATCGTGCTTATCGATGATTCCATCGTGCGGGGCAACACGCTCCAGGGGATTGTCAAATTATTAAAAGACACTGGCGCGAAAGAGGTGGGTGAATGTGGGAGTCATTCGCATCCCAGCATCCGTTATACGGAATTCTGGAATGCGCTTTCCTGTTGAGTTGAACGCACTGCGTTTGGCATTCGCGCCGATATATATCATACTGCGCCAATGCTACCGAAGGAAGTATCGTAGGTTTTTATTCAGTTGTGAGAAAGGGTGCGGTCTGTGGATGTATGCTGCACGTAGTATTGTAGTATCCTTGAAAGAAATGTCGGGTCAAAACACGTACCCTTTACGGAAGCGCGTCCTTGATTGCGGAAGTGTGGTTGCACACTCGTTACTGACTCGTTTGGCCATGTCTAACTATGACCGAACATTATTGCAGTGCCAACGAAGAATGATCAGTGTATTTTAGTTTCTTTTGCGTCTAAGTTTTGTTGTGTGTGCTTGTTAATTCCTCATTTTGGTAGCGGGAAAACTGAGATACTCTTTGCAGACGTAATTGCAGCGACTGTGTGCGCAGTTAATCGACCTTTGTGAAATATCAAGAAGCAGTATGATTTACTTCCAGCGCGCTTACAAGTGTTAGTGTCTACGCATATCTTTGGCAAGGAAGATTTGAAGACAATAACGAAAAGTCGAAGCACTAAATAAGTGGACTGCTAATCGAATAATGCTGTTTCACAGAATTGTTAGCTGTCTACGAGCAATCGCATAGACCGTAATAATTAAACAATAAAGGTTTTAAAATTACCTTGAAAAAGTTTCGTTTATGCATATATGAGCGTTAAAAATTAAAATACATTTGATAGCTAGTTGCACCCGTTTAAATTTTGTGAGTATTGAATGGGTTACGTTGTAAATGCTTGATGGGTTTATTTATTTATCATCTATACGAGTAGGGAGTGGGCATTTAAGATAAGCATGTGAACAATTATACACATAAAAACCCACGCCAGAATACATACAATTAGCCGGATATAGGGCATAAAAAATTTACGCTATTTTCTAATTTAAGTGATTATTTCACTATGAGAGACATCAGAAATGCAGTAATAAAAGACACCCAATAAAATACAACTAATTTGTTGTAGAGATATTTTTTGTTGTACAGACTACAGAATACAGATAGCATTGTTTATCGGCTTTTTTCATAGGTGCATATCCGAATCGCCAGTCCTCCGGTGCGTTATCCGTGCTACATGGGTATCGCGATACCGACTCGGGAAGAATTAATCGCCAACCAGATCTCCATGGAGGAGCTACCAAAGTACTTCGGTGCGGACAGTGTGGCGTATTTATCCATTGATGGCCTGATTGAGACTGTTCAAGAGGGTGCAATTAGCGATTTCCGCTCTGACGCCGCTGAATGGAGGGACGTCAAGAGAGGTTACTGTTCAGCCTGTTTCACGAAGGATTATCCCATTATTCCAGTTGAACACGACTGGTGATCCACTTGATTTCATGGTCTATTACCGATGAACGTACGGTTTGCACGGGGGTTTCCACTTGGTTCTGGGCTGTGGTTGGCTGGGGGCCGGGCTTTGTGTTTTCTCAAGTTCGCGCTAATTTGTGGTTAATGCACGGCAGTGCGGTTTTTAATTTCAAGTGCTTCGTGGTAAAGATTGTTATGGTCTTTACAGTTGGACATGTACATACTCGTAACATACAAATTCCGGGATTTTACCCACGGGTTTGCGACTTTGCGTTAAGCATTGGCGTTGGGTGCGGGATGGTTATACACCGTTCAAGCCCTATAGCACGCCTTAAGAGTGCGTGGAGTGTAATGCAGTTTCTTACAGTTATTTGTTTGTATTGTAGTATTTTTATAAGAAACTGGAGGCGCATATGCATATGCCCATCATATTACAAAGCTATTTGACAACGGTGCGGCTATTTTATCAGTTCTTATGTACTCGTATGACATTGTATCGGTGTAGTGCGTCTGGATAACGTCGCACTGTTAAATATGTGCGGTTGATTGGTCATTTGTATTACCATAAATGTAGAGCAGAGCAGAAACTAATATCCAGTTTGTAAAGCGTTAGGTGAACGAAGAACTGAACACTGTTGTGAAGGGTTCGTGTAAGAAATTTTTGGCGGGGAAATGTCAGCCCGTGCTGTGAACAGATATTCATTAAAGTTACATTACTGAATTTAATTTCCTAAATAACCAATTTCTAATCATTATCATGTGCACAACTGTAAAGTATACCAACCTGTAATTGTACACGGCCAAATTTCATAAAAATGTTTCCTTCAGCAAAATATATCTTACCTGTACAATTATGACAGTCGAACGTAGATCAATTAATTCAATTAACCTTTTTGACTATCAAATGCCAAATCCAAAAATGCGAGTATAATTTTACTATGTCGTGCCGGCGACAGATTCATATGCATCTAGGCACACCGCAAAATGCACAATGCGGTATAATTTACTCCACTTCAATTTCATCACATTATCGCGCACATATGGTATTAATAGTAATGCGTACTTAATTACCGCATGTACATCTCTGTTTGATCTAACAAAGATTTTGGAACGCAATTTCTTTTCTTAATAAAATTTGTATTGCAGTATGCAAGTTTCTCTGATATAATGATTAATTTTAACGAGAAAATAAGCCCACGTCTTTAGATTTTGTTGAGCACCGTTGCCACCGATTTCCGGTGTTTAATTCTGTATACGTATCAGCAGTTTCGAGCAGGTCACCGAAAACTGATCGGATGTATAAAAATCATCCGAGGTATAGTGCTCGCGAAAGCGAATTCGCTGAAACAGAATTAGCTGGATTTTATATTAAAATCCGGGATTAAGCTGCTTCTATGAAAAACTAATCTTTACGAGAATTATACGCTGGAATTAGGAACATGCCAGGAAGAGGGCTGCAGCTTTCAAATTTTTTGGCTGCCTCTCTTAGTTGTCGATATCGCATGACATACAAAATAAATACTTCCATTATACACAGTTTCATTGGCTATATTTTATAGCACCATACAAGTACTGCGGTAGAGCAACATATAAGGGTATTCATTTGCATAAAAAGACGCTCCACATGTTTCCTTCCTTAAGATGAAGGTAATTAGCTGCATCAGTCATCAGCAGAGTGGAATTCGCCAAAAGGTCGCGAGGGACGGCAGTTTCATGTAACATTAAACTTCTATCACCCGGGCTGGCGTTGCCAAAACTATGCAATATTTCCCAGCAAAATATTCAACATTTCGGCGTGCTGGGCGTAAACAGGCGACGAGTTTCGTCACGGTTAATTACATTTGATTTACATTTAACCTCGACGGCATAATTGAAACCGATAGCAGCAAGCGTCTTAGAAAGTGCTCCGACTAGACGATATTCATTTCAAAGGGGTATTTCGTACTGATTTTGACGTGCCAAGAAAATAATTGGTCAGGAATGATGTTGACCCTCGAGACTTTCCAGGCTACAAAGGAACGCGGACTGTAGTGAAGGTTGCTGGAAAAACCGTGTAGTCATGTTGTACAAAAAGGGTTTTCAAGGTTAACGTTTCCTGCACCTGGAGCGTTTCTTTCCGGTTCTGTATGCATCACGATGACGACTTTTGTTGGGTTGACAAACCGGGATGCCGGTTTTCAATTCCGATTATTGTATGACCCGATAAATGCTTCGCTCGACTTGATAATTATAACCTTTAAGCGCATATAATATGCCGGCTTGCGTGTTCTTCAGCACCATAGTATCGGCATTTGCAGTATAAAAATGTAAGCATAGTGATTATTGTTTGTATACAAGGAAAATCACCAGAAATTAATTTTATGTCAAAATGTGCCAGTATTCACCTATATATTTTAAATATATAATGGGCAGAGTTATGAAATTTGTACACTAGAAGTATCAATTTAAGTTTTTTCTGCAAACAGACCATTCTAAATCATTTGTCCGTTTTCACAACGATTCCTGGCGTTGCATCAAAACCTAATTTGCGCGCACGCTGTTTTCAAAAATAACATAATTGGCGTTTTCCAAGTGAGTTTCAAGACTTATTCGATCTACGCAGCAAAATAATATTGCAGTGGTATATGCGGAAGATGCATAGACATTTTGGTTGCGGAAAATTTTGGCACTGGCAACACCAGTCTTTTTACTCGCATAGATGGATGCGCACGTTGCGGTTGCAAGAGTTATATTTCATTCTGCCTGACAGATTCCAAACCAACATTTCTTTAGCGACAAACAAATCTCTAAGAATAGCGAACACTACATGTACTATGCTGTGGTATCATCTATGTGTAACTCTTGTGCATCTTTGGTGTTAAGAAGGATTTCAGCCGCTGTACACTGTACGCGCATGCAAAAGCCGCTGATTTCGCATAGGTTGTATTGTATTCGTACAATATGAAAATACGTTATAAAACATAACAGTTTGGTTCCAAACGTTCCCGGTGGTATACATTTCGCTAACGCGAGAAATATTGAGTTGCAGTTGTTTGCTTTTTGACGTATGTATTTCAGTACAGTTATCAAATTAGCACGGAGCTACAAAATGATTGGTCGACGAAGCAACCAACATTCAAAAACCTTCTAATTGTAAGATTCGCATGCTTTTGTATTATTATTTGTGTGCATGAAATACTTACTTAAAATAACAATAAATACAACTGTAGGCCGTAAGGTTACATTTCTCCTCAGTTTAATCTTAATGGATTATCTGTTTTATTAAGGCTTCGAAATGACATTATGAATAGCATTTTTCAAGCAAAGCATTAGGCGGCTTCTGTGTCACGAGATGCAGCGGCGTATTTCACATTTGATTATGACTATTTTTGCTTATTTATCAGCCGCCCTGGAAATGCTCTTGTCATCTTAGTCCGGCGCGATCTTGCGGTAATCATATTAATGTCCACCGGAATTGCAGCTCGTCAAGTATTTACCGCTCATCATTGCGGCCTTCATCATCATTATCGCCGTTGAGTAGATATATACACTGTGCAGTAAAGTGCTGTGATTATTTTTTAAGATTGCCCAGCTTAACGTCCGTTTAATGTGATTCTGCGAAAATTTACAATATCATCTCAACTGGTCATTATCCAGAAAAAACACTTAGTCCACACTCAGTGCTGCTGGGTATCCGGTACAGCGGGAATGCGTCGTACGCGGCGTAATCGTCACAATCATATACCGTATACACTGCCCGTGTTACATCGTAAAATCGATCCGTTTGGCTTCATTTAGCCCCGTCCGCTGGAGTACTGCGTAATAATTATAATCCCATTCCATAAGTCAATTCCCGTACAGCTTCTTGCCGGTCCCGTCTACGCTGTACCGCGCCCGCATATATAAATGTGACGGGATTTGTGCATTGGCTATATATGCGCCCCAAGAAATCACTTGATTAAATCAGCTTACCGGACCGGTGTGGCACCGGGCGCCCCTGTTGCTCTATATGCCGCCTTATAAGAATCCGTCAGTCTTCATCACATGCTCCTTTCCGAATAACCCTGATCCTACCTACCGGATGTGGTACTTTGTGGGGTTTCACCGTTGGACGCAGGGACGTTAGAAAATTCCGTTTGACACACACGCTCGCGCCGGTTATCAGTTGTCGTGTCGCAGTCATGCCGGCGCCAACTACAATGGAACAAATTGTCCATGTCCTAATTAGGGACGATGTGCCGAAGGTTAATTACAACTACACCCATGAAGAGCCCGGTGATCCCAATATGCGATTCGGTGTGAAGAATGTCATGGTCATCGTCACCTATGCCAATTTAATATGGATATCGCTGCTGGGGAATGGTGTGGTATTCTGGAAGTTATATGGAAGAAAGAATCGCAGCCGTGTACATTTTATGTTGCTGCATTTATGTGTTGCCGATATCCTCGTGACGGTCATTGAAATGCCACTACAGGTACTTAACCAAAAGCATTAATCCTATACAGTAATAAGAATTTTGAAACGTCTGTTGACTGCATGCCGGAAAAAATAATATGCCTGTACTTTTTTACCCATTTTTTGCATGTTTTTTTATGGAGTTACAATTTTTTTGCTTGACGCATAAAATGACGTAAATGTAAAACGACAGAAGTGCAAACAACAATATTATGTTACAGGATTTTTCTCAGTTATGATACAAAGTATAGTGTAGTTTTCTTTGCTTTTCTGATTATCGGCGGTAAGAGCTTCCTGTAATGGGACGTTAACAACTTAACATTGATTGAACGGCCTAATAATATTTTGCCGCCCATAACTCTCTGTGCGTGATAAGTCAATGTAAACAAATGTCGGCGATATTCTATACGGCTCCTGTTACAAACGGGATAGCTTATATAAAGGAATGCGACGGGTATATAATTAGAAACGTTTCAGTCTCATCAATAGGCGGCAGTATATGTGTTTTTTGGGGGATGAACACTGGAGCAGATGCTCGTCGATCTTTCACCGTATCCTGATAGTCGCTTCCGGTGTGACCATGCGGTGCCCCTAATTGCACGTTTAGCGCTTACGTTGATACCATTCGTGATCTCGCTAATAAAAAAGATCCGGCATCGTAATAGTTATTTACATTGAGGTCAAAATGCAATTAAGACACCTCACAATGTTGTTTACATCTGGAAAAATTAAGAAGTAGTTTAATCAATAAGAGGCCATCAGAAAATTAAAGGTAAAATAACAACAAATAAAAGAACGAATGATTAGTAAGGGTTGCATTACGTCACAAGCCCGGTAATTGCAACCTTACACCGGCAGGTCCGTGATCAGATTACTGGTTTCGCTACCTTTGTACATGAGATTCTCAATCTGGAGCAGATTTTGATTACATGTTGTGCAGTTTTAATCATCTGGAAACCTATCCTTAAAATTTTAAAACGCACCGTTTAAAAAACTTTATATTTATTGTATTCGAGTCTGGTAATTATTAATTTATGCCAGTTTCTTCATTCAGGATCTTGATTATCAGCATGCGGCATGCCGGCATTTCAACAAGGCATGGAACAACGAGCATTTTTACAATTTGCGTTCAGGTTGCGCCTAAAAGCCAGCCTGAAATTACAGCAACCTGTCATATTTTCACATTAGATGGGTTGTCATGAATGACCATACGAAGTTCATGTGTGGAGCTGTAGTCCCGAAATCAGGCCATTCAAAGGTTACCTGTAGACAGGTTTTGTAATTCAACATCGCCTGACAGCCGAAACGTGCACAGCTTGATACTTCCGATCGTATTACGTTGCCGCTGATCCTTAGGTTTCGAGTGGCTGTTAAAGTACTTGTTCCGTTCGATAATTAATTTCTTTAAGGAAACTACGTGTGCGAATTAACGCTCTTTGCGCGTTACAAGAAATCCCATAGATCATGAGACGCGCGTTATACAAAGATTTAGCGATATCTTTATATTGTGCTTAATTATTTCCTAGCTATGTGTGATTGTTGTGCGCGCCCTGCATAATTAAACTGCATCTCTTACTGCGCTTTATGTTTAATTAAAATTTCATCATCTAGACCATTTTCAGTATATGCTTATGTACAACAATATTTTATTAATAATTATATTTTCTACTTCAGCGAACATTTAATGATTTTGTGCCCTTTCACAGATTGCGTGGAAAACTACCGTGCAGTGGCGTGCCGGTGACACAGCGTGCCGGTTCCTTGCTGGACTCCGCGTAGTGGGATTGTATCTCAACGGTATGGTAATTCTAGTCCAACGTCTCATCTCGCCGTTTGTGAGCGCCGTAAAAATTCACATTACCGCTGGTCTCACGTATAGCTTTTCTCCTGATCGCCATCAGCGTGGATCGTTTTATGTCCGTATGGGATCCACTGTCGACGGCCCGCAAGGCCACCATACGGGCCAAAGCCATGGTCTTTCTCTCCTGGATACTGAGTGTGGTGTGCGCCAGTCCGCAAGTAAGTGCCCATCAGCCATATCATTATACCATCGAGGGAAAAATAACCTCATTTTCAACTTGGAAAGCAATTTTCTTTTATGACTCCAGATGAGCATTAAGATATTTTTTCTCATTTCCACCATTATTTTACAGTTGTCCGTATGGAGCCTGAAAACCCATCCCATACACTCCTGGTACCAACAGTGCGTGACCTTTGATGCCTTCCAAACCCGCACGGCGGAGCTGGCCTACGGATTACTGATCACCATTCTCATGTATGGCTTGCCCCTGGTGACCATTATCGTGTGCTATTTGGGAATATGGCTACGCATCTCCCAGTATTCGCGCCAGTCACGACAGCAAACGGACAATCCCGCTCCAACGCACAACTGCAATGGTTAGTGCATATTCTTACGTGCTAACTAATTTGTGCATGGCTGCTGCATAGATACGGGTATATTGCACATTTTACCATATTGTACATACCTACGTATAGAAGTATACGACACTGCAATAGAGACACACCTTGTTTTCTAAATTCATCCTTCTATTTATTAAATTGATGAAACATTGAATATTACGTTGCATGTAATTGCATGCTCGTTTTAAAAGTAATCAGTTTACTGACATTTATAAATATAAATTAAAAACATAAATTTTACCAAAATCAGTATCACGTGCAAATATGTAAAAATTATCAAAAATGTTAGACGTCTGCTGTATTTAGAGTGAACTTTGAACGGTCATCTATAAATGCTGCGTAGCTGAGTTTGACGGCACCCTTTTAAACAGGACGTGAATTCCTTCCAACAATGTCAAATGTCAAAGTTACGCAGACGAATCGATCCCCATCCCTCTTTAAAAATATATTCGTCAACAGAACTGTAATTTGGTGCGATGCTGTACTGCCTATCAATACGGATTAATGCTATTAGCGCACGCTCACGTATAGCGTGCACAGTTCTTATTAATGCTGGAACAAACACGTACGGAGTCAACCATAAACTGTATAAGAAGTTAAATGTCGGATTGCGCTTGACATGACGCGTTATCGTTAGAAAACTCATCAGGAGCGACGTTTCCTAAATCTCTGTAATAATGATTGCGAGCGATCGAATTGCAAATTGTCGTCCGTCGGACACTAGGAGCAACTAGGTTAGCTACTGCACTTTTTTCTCCGCCAGATTAGTAAGTGTCATTAGTGCCATACAGTCATTTGCAACTGGGATGTTTTCCCATTCCGTTCGATTACAACCATTTTTCATCAGTCCCGGTTTTCTCCGGGACGCCGGATATAAGTGGTGGCATGCAAAATCCAAGCAAAACATACTGCAGAAAAAAAATTACCGGCAAAAATTGTAGACCAAATACGGATGTAATTGTATCAAAACAGTACTAGCCGGCAGCAGGTTGCGCCTGTCTACAATTGCACGGAAAGGATGCAATTTTTTTCAAGTATCTTTTAAGGGTCATACGCCGCTCTCCACATTATTTGCTTATTTTATGCAGTGATTGACTGTTAAGGTATCACATGGCGCGGACTACCAACTGCCGCGTGAAAATATTTGTGGTATCCAGTGTAACTATGAACGTCAGCGGCAAATCGGATTCCCGTCGTAATATACTGCACCCACGTACGCCGCACACGGGAATCAATATTGACGCTGGCGTAACAGAAAATATCTGCCTGACTACAGATATTGTATACATAATATCATTATATTGTACATTTCTGCAAAATAGTAAACTACTCATACCATGTCTAGTATTTCAAATTATTCAGAAATAGATAGTAGTCGTTCGTGTCTCCTGAACAGTTTGTTCCTTTTGTGAGTTTATAAATGTAAGAAAAATAGTGTATATCAATTTTCACTTTGTGACAAGCAAAAAAGATGTACTTTGTCATTGCAGCTAGCTAAAATAGGTCGCCATCCTATTTTGAACTTTTCGCCCGGCTTACGTCATTTTGCATAGTTAGACTATACTCTTGATGTGCACAGTTCATGTTCGTCCGAACAATTTTACGCATGGATCCGAAAACAGTAGTGTATCTGTAAACGGATATGTACTATCTGCCGATCGCTCCGCAGTTTGTCCTTGGAAATGCACATTAAGGAACCACCATTTTCATCCAGAATAGTCTCCACAATGAATCTTTCATGCCGATGTTTATCAGATGACACATGCTCGCTGCGTGAATTTTCGAATGATCAATTTGCATACGGAAAACTCCTATAAGCGAATATGGGAGGGTCAGGATCAGAATCCTAAATTAAAGTCACCGGAGTTTTTGTTTCCGGATCTCATTTAAAATGCCAGCAAAACAACCCCGTTTTTAATTAGCTATAACAATAACACTGCATTGTAAATGTGCCGAAGTAGATACAAGTGCAAACTGCAAAGTACGGAGCACGTAGACGCTAAATGCAAAACAAACAAATCAGAGTACTGTGTTATTACCAAGAGTATTTACCGTAGATGCCGGACATTTATTGTTAGTACTCGATTGTATACAAATGTTCACAAGAAAGGTAGGATTGTTTATCCCGTTTTTCTGTTGCTTCAGTATTTTGCTGCATTTTCCAGCTCAGCAATTTCTAGCACCGTCCTTAAACGCCGATTTAAGGAATTAATAGTGCTTCATAGTCCGATGTTGTTGTTATGAAAGAGAATAAGAAACCACTATTACTAACAGCGTCTATAAATTAATTTCTTCTTACAGCTGGATCAAGCGAACGGCTTTCTTGCACAACACCGGTGTCACAAGATTTAACCCGGGATCGCAATTCGGCGGATTTCAAGCAAATTTTGATTAATCCTCATGGAGATTTTTTATCCAAAGCTAAATCACGCACTCTACGGATGACCGGTAAACATAACGCAGTGAATGCGACTGCAAATAAATAAGTGCATGCGGCTAAAATTCGATTACTGCAAGTGTAACGCGAGTGCAAATATTGTAGTTGCCACCATGCATTAACATTTTAGTCGGTATGTAAAAAAGTTTACTTTATTAATACGGAAATCAATAAGGACTTACTTTACAGCACTGGTCGTCCTGATATTCATTGCCTGCTGGTCGCCCTACCAAATCATCCACATATGGTTTTTTGTGGCGTGACTCGGCCGCTGAAATCAATCCTTTGCTGCAAGAGATTCTGTTTATTTTGGAGTGTTTAGCTGCGTCGTTGATCCGTATGTGTATGGATTGTATTCTATGGGAATTTGGAAAGAGATCAAAACTTGGCAGAAGCTGCGCTGTGCCGGGCAAGATGCTCGCTGGAATCGCAAATCGGCCAAGCGGGCCAGTTTCTGTGCTCATCAGCCAAAAGATCTGTTTCTGCGCGAATCTTCCTTAGGACCCTTCCAGTTGAAAGCCGGCAACACTATTTTCCATTTCCAAAAAGCTTATAGACACTATAATTCACCAATGAGCCGATGTGCCGCAACCTGTTGAATTTTGATCTTTAGCATAAAGTATTTGCCAGAATTTTATGTGAACATATACATGACATGTATTGCAGTTATTTTTACTAAACCAATTAAAACGATAATTCTCCGAAAGTAGATATACTGTACTCATAGAACACTTATTGTCTGATGATGATATCAGCACAATTAATTCGTTGTTCGCATTGTATGTAAATGTAACCTTTCGGTGTTTATTTTGTTTTTACGACCTTTAATTACCTATGTACTGTAGCTTGACCTTGGGCACAAATAAAAGTAAAAACTGGATATGCATTGCCGTTACAGTACTAAACTGTGCTGCTTTATTATAAGAATGTTTGACGCTTCGCACACTACTGCATGCAGCTTTGGTTTTTCGCTATTCTTGTGGTTTTGCTTAAGTAAATCAAGGCGGCCAAGAACACTTCACATACGTAATTTCTTGATATATATAATATTATTGTTTTTCTCGATCCAGCATGTATTGTATAGTCTTCGCTCAGCTGCACACGTCGTTGCCAAGACAAGCATCACAACGATTTCTTTGGTGCGAATCTGTAACTGATTAGGTGCAATGCCGTTCCATGTACACTCGGTGAATAATAGCAAAAATGTCTTTCGGTTACTGTAGTCCAATGCAAATTTAAAGGTTACCTCTAGCCGGCAGAAAAGAGAGTCCGGTACTTTGCTGGTACAGTAAACCGAAGTTAATTAAGTCCGACCACAATATCGGCATCGCTAGTAGCCGCAGTAGACTGGTTTAAAAAGAAATAAACTGGCTCTTTCGTTATCAACATGGTAGTCATTAGTCAAGTATATATTATCGGAATGTTGAATTTAAGAAACAGAATACTAGCTTTATGTCGGGTCACACGACGGCCGGGTTCTACCGGAACGACCTCATGTTCAACGTTGCCGTAGGAAGCTACATACACTATTTACATCTATATGGACGTTTTGCTAAGTGCTGGCAGTTCCTCAGGTGAAATTTGTTTGCAATACGGTTACAGTTTTCAAACAATAAAGCGGGAAATATCTGACGCTGTATATTAGTGGAATGGGCGCATAAAATATTGCGGTCGAAAGTGGCGACACAGTAGTATTCTGATTTTTTACTGTGAGCAATATTGTCGGTCATATCACAATTACAATGCCTGACAGCTGCCACACCAGAGGAGACCTCTTACAAAGGCTCCCTACCGACCGGTCAAGCTTCACATTTAACCAGCTGTAAAACGAACGTTTGGCCATGTGCTTGCTGCAAAGATAAGATTCTACAAATGCAAATTTTCCCATTTTTGGTTGCTGTAGAGTGTGATGTATGAAATATTCTCCAGCCAATTTCATAAATGACCGGTAAATAGCATATCAAGGAATAAGATCTATATTATAACTACAAAAAAAACTGAGGCATCGAGATCGGAAAAACCAGAACCTAATCAAAAAAACTGAAAACGCCATTAGATTCAGCATGTTCAGAAACTGTCTCACATGCATTTTATTTCTAAAAAATTATTTAAACCTCCTACATGCCGGTTTCGGCAAAGCTGGCTTCGGTAAAGCTTCAAGGTGACCTTGTGAATAATAGCAGCTCGGTCACTCAGTCACCTAGCGATTTTGTTCACTGGACAGTGGTGGTAGCTCAATCACTTACTCATCTAGCAATTTTGTTCACTGGACAGTGGTGGTAGCTCGGTCACTCAGTCACCTAGCGATTTTGTTCACTGGACAGTGGTGGTAGCTCGGCCACTCATTCATCTAGCAATTTTGTTCGCTGGACAGTGGTGGTAGCTCGGTCATTCATTCATCTAACAATTTTGTTCACTGGACAGTGGTGGTAGCTCAATCACTTACTCATCTAGCAATCTTGTTAACTGGACAGTGGTGGTTGCTCGGTCACTCAGTCACCTAGCGATTTTGTTCACCTGGCGATCCATTGCTCGGTCATGGCTCACCTATCATCCATTGATCCATTGCTCGGTCATGGCTCACCTATCTATTTCGTTTTGTTCACTGGACAGTGGTGGTAGACTGGTAGCTGGGTTACTCACTGCCCTAACAGTTTTGTTCACTGGGTTTTGTTTCGTCGAAACCTGGGCTAATTCAAACTTTAGAAATCGAAATTTTTTAAGGATTTTAACACTGAACATTTGAACAGCAATCAGGCGATTAGAATTCAGCATGTTTGCAAATAAAATGACACAAATTAATTATAGTACATACTAAATACTTTATTAAATGTTCTAAGCAACTGGCAGTCTGGCACTACCACCACTGTCCAGTTAACAAGATTGCTAGATGAGTAAGTGATTGAGCTACCACCACTGTCCAGTGAACAAAATCGCTAGGTGACTGAGTGACCGAGCAACCACCACTGTCCAGTTAACAAGATTGCTAGATGAGTAAGTGATTGAGCTACCACCACTGTCCAGTGAACAAAATTGCTAGATGAATGAGTGACCGAGCTACCACCACTGTCCAGTGAACAAAATTGTTAGATGAATGAATGACCGAGCTACCACCACTGTCCAGCGAACAAAATTGCTAGATGAACGAGTGGCCGAGCTACCACCACTGTCCAGTGAACAAAATCGCTAGGTGACTGAGTGACCGAGCTACCACCACTGTCCAGTGAACAAAATTGCTAGATGAATGAGTGACCGAGCTACCACCGCTGTCCAGTGAACAAAATATCTAGGTGAGTAATGACCGAGCAATAAATCGCCAAAGTGAACAAAATTGTTAGATGAGTGAGTGACCGAGCTAGACTCCTTGCCCAAGATGTTCTACAATAACGGCTAAGGCATTTAGTGAATTAACTAACGAATTACTGTAAGTAGAATGATTTCAAAGCGGCCGGGGATCACAAGAAACGCGGAGGCGAAGCCGCAGCGGTTTCTTGTATACAATATCTGCTGTAGCTAACTAGGCAGTCCAATTTTTCGCTAAATTGATTACCTTCGGTCTTCTTGTCATAATAAATAATGTTAGTATTGTTAGTCAGAGCAAAACATCATGCGGATTGTCGAAGCTGGAAATAGGGTGTCTACTAACGCTCTATGGTGACAACATAATCGCCTCCTCGTAATACGCTCCTTGTCTCAGATGCAGTGTGTGGTCACGATCCGGCGGCATGCTCTGATTCATTGTGGTTAAAAGGATGTCTATAAACGGAACCCGTACTTTTAGTGCAACCCGTACAAAGTGACGTATAGGTAAAGTTACGCATATAAGCTGTACATAACTTAAACCGACAAAACAAGGCGTCTTGCCTTTGTGCGCGATCACTGCGAAACAGAAACTTGCGACGAAAAATAATAATTATTTCGTCAAAAGGACAGATTACGGAACTAATAGATTGCGGAGATGACCAAACTGTATGACATGAAAACCAGATTAATGTTGCATGGGAACCCAACTCACCACCGCATCACTGGTCACTGTAGAGGTCTGTCTGGATTACTTCCATAGGAAGATGGGCTATCGCGTCGCTGAAACGTGCCGCTGACCGGAAGGCTGTGACCAGCAATATCGCCAACTGTTTTAGCGTTCAAATTGCATATTTCAGTGTGGAATCCCCAACTGTACTCCACAGCAAACATTTAATTTTATAGCACCGGGTAACTTGTTAGTGTTTATGGACTTCTTTTTTCGTAACAATAGTGAACGTTTTCCACGTTTTGTACTCGTTTAAAGATTTTTCATTTTTTAAATTGATGAATTTGATGGTTTCTGAGTAGAAGGGCTTGCATTAAGCATTGAAAGTTGAAAATTCGATACGCTAAATTAAAATTAAAAATTCAGAAAAATAATTTAACATTAGTAAGTACTACGGTACAGTACGTTAAACGTACACTTGTATAAACGCGGAGGTTACCTACATGCTAATTTATTTGTTATCGGATAACAAAAGTTTGTTGTCTGACAATTCTTTCATTATCTTAGTATTCCTGAATACTATCAAGTATCAAAGCAGTTCATTTACGCTGTTAAGTTTCTCGTAAGCTGTTATTATTTAATTTGACCTTGAAAATAGTTGTTGATAATTAATGTACTTATACTTTGGTAAGTACTGTACTAAAATCTCATAACTGAATGACCATAGCTGGCCAGGCCAATAAGTTTAACTCGCCAGAAATGCATAATCATGACAACAACGGCCACTTAAGGACAAACAGGCACCAGTTCAATACAGTCTTCGACAAAATCTTTGGTACAAGTTCACTGGAATGTATAAACAGCTTATACCAAGGGAGCAGACGAAGTGTATAAAGAGCATTCGCATTTGTTAAATAACTTTTTTTAAACAAGCCAGGCTAGGTTTTCCTTTTTCAAACTAAAACCGGGTCATCATAAAAGCACAGTTGAGAAATATTCTTCATAATTTAGCGTTCCTAAAATGGAAGCAAGAACACCGGTCAACCGGTGGGGTATTTCCCGTAGGCCGCACAAATGTCCGCCACACTGCGGAGCATCAGGAATGGTCACAAAAAAGATCCGGAAATATTGCTTTGGTTTCCATAGAGAGGTATGTAACGCTTTGGGCAAACGCAGGAACAGCGTGAGGACTAATTTCACTTTCTTTGGGGTGGTTGCGATTGGGAAGGCTTTGCTTTGGGAGGAGGAGGAGGCTACGGATTACAAAACAGTATTAGCAATTATTACTGCACACAATTCTTATTGTTTATATATTCTTCGATATATACTGGCCAAACAGAAAGGTCGTACCATTTGTGATAGTCTCCTTTCCAGGTTTTCCTTTTCGGTGCGCAGTTGGCGCAGTTCGTCGGCAGTTCGCACATTTTTCGGTCCAGTTTCTTTCAGTGCAATATGCGCCATTTTTTCACTTATAGCCGCCAAAAGACAGTCTTGCCTACAAAGAAACACCGATCTTATACAGCTGCATATATGGCACCCGTCTAATTATTTACGTGAGTCTTTGCAGTTCATTTTCCATTTCTATTCTATCTTCCATAAGACGAGCAATCTGGTCTTCCTTGCCGGCAGATTGCGTTTGAAGACGAGTCAGCTCCGCAGCAATCTCGTTGTACGCTTTCTCAATCTCCTTAAACTGTTGCTCGTATTGTTGGACCTAAAAAATTGATAAAACATTTTTACTGGCCGAAGATTGACAGCCATCTCAGTGAACAAAATTAATCTTAATATAACTAACGAAGCCGGTGTCCGACGTCAAATCAGGCTTGCTGTACAGATAACAGAGTAGATGCCAATAGCGTTTGTATTCAATATTTTTTTATATATAATTAACCATAGAAGTATACTTTTTATAAAAGTTAAAAGCTGATTAATAATTACAATCTCGCACCTTTTCCTCAGCAACTTGGAGCCTTTCCAGTTGTTGAGCTACAATCATCTCGCGTTCCATGGTAAGGGAGCTACTCTGCTCGAGCGCCCTTTCCAGTTGAGCAACCTGGGCATCCTTCTCGCGCATCCGGGTGGCAATTTCCTCCGTGCCCTGCATCTGTGCGGCGGACTGCTGCTGTGCTTGCCGTTTCAATTGTTCCGTCAGCTCTTGGCTGCGACGTTTATCCGCATCGTGTTCACGCCGCAGTTGTTCGGCTTGACTTTGCAGCTGCTGCAGTTCCTGGCGCAGTGCGCTGATTTGTTGGTCTTTGGTCATCTTCTCCTCCTCGGCCTCTTTGAGCAATGTAAACAATCGGTTGGCCTCCGATCCGGACTGGTCCTGCTCTTGGCGGGTTCGGTTGAGCTGCTCGTCCTGCTGCGAACAGATCTTCCGTAAGGATTCGGCTTCACGGGCCGCTTGATCGCGCTCTTTGGTGGTGGATGCTAACTGCTGTTCCAGTTGCAGCATTCGCTTGTTTAGCTGAAATAGTGATTGGTCAGTGACCTTTCGTACAAGCTACGAAGTTGTGAATAAGACAACCAAAAACACAGAGTCATGTTTTGTGTCCAGTACTATAATCTGCTATCCAAAATTTTCTAAGTTTTTATACCTATAAGGATTATGTACATTCCTGGTTTCGTAAAGTTTTGATGAAAAAAGATTTTCTGGGATTGATTGTGAACCGTTACCGATACTGATCACATACAGAGTAAGTTACTAACTGCATAGTGCAAACTGAGTAGTGTTATTGGCCGCACTTACGCTTCTCGTACAGAAATTTCACTTTTTCACGGTCTATAGTGGAATGTGGCAATTATTACGATATAATATTCTGATAACCTTTGTACATCACTATTCTGGGAATTCCACTCACCCGCTCGGTTTCCGCCTGGGCGGAGCCGCGGTCATTATGGTTCTGTTGGGCTTGTTTCTCCAGACTGGCACACTTCTGCCTGA